GAAGGACGACAAGAAGGACGACAGGAAGGACAATAAGAAGGATGACAAGAAGGACGATAAGGATGATAAGAAAAATGACAAGGACAACAAAAAGGACGATAAGGATAAGAAGAAGGAGGACAAGAAGAAGCATTATAGGAGGGCAAGGCTATAGGTATATGCTCCCACCATCTCCTATTACAGCATTCGCTTCATCTTCGTTCTACTAACTTGTAATAACAGAGCGCCAACGTCTGCCGTAGCAACTCCAATACCACTTTGCATCTGAGCGGAGTCAGCAATTCTTGCACTGCGACGAACGGACACAGATGCAATTTAGTAGCGATGGAAGGAATATAGTTGTCGCTCCTTTTGGCAACCTCGGTACAAGCGTTGGATGCAAGCGCGAAATGGCTTGATATTTTGCGTGTTGCGACATTGTTTGCTTCTTTGGTACTGAGCTTCACTAGGTATCACGGTCTCTTGGGCTCCTGGCGAGTAATAGTCTAATTAGCCTATGTCTGGAGGGTAATTGAAGTAAACATACATAGCTTCGCTCCTTCGACTGCAGAATATTATGCGAAGTGATGAGTGCAAATACTGTCTTTGATACCGACGTTGAAGTCGACGTCTTAGCTTTCAGCCTAGGTCCTTTCGCAGCTGAGGCTGCCGCTGCGCCTCTCGTGCTTGATGCCGCCGCCGGCGGAGGTTGCTTTCTACCTGACTGTGGTCTCGCCCCCCACTTCACGAAGGCTCTCCCCTCGAGCTCTTCACGAGCTCTATTACGTATCATATTCAGCTGTGAGACCCTTCGCGATAATACCGTAGCTAGCAAACGACTGCGGGTAATGGAACTTGGAAGCGGCGGCTCAGTGCCAAACGCTACTTCGATGCGACACGGTCTCTTTCGTCAAATAATGGATAGAAGACCACGCCTATAGCGGACGGCATAGCACGTAGAGTAAGCAGCCCTCATGAGATACTATCGTTGAATGGACCTTGGGATACTTGCACATCAATGCGGTGGAAGACTTGCTTGAAAAGCGGTCTATCGCCCGCCTTCTTGCGGCCTTAGCCGCTGCCAAGCCCGCCAGTACGCGTGATGAGCTTACCGTAGCCTACAGTTCAACTTATGCCACGTGCCATTCAAGCGTAACTGCCTGGTCTCGAGGAGATTTCAAAGCTGTAACCATAGATTCAGGGTATGACAGAATGCTCGCTACTTTAGATTTGGAGGAGTCATGCCACGGAGACAATCTGCATAGTTTGGCCCAATACACACACATGTCTCCCACATTCCCTCTCATTCTCTCCCCTAGATCTTCAACCATCATTCATATACAATCGCCAACCATCCAGCAGTTTTCTCACTCGACATGAAACACCCCAAAGTCTGCAGCCTCTTTATCCCGGAATCTGGCTTCATCAGAGGGCCTCGCCACAAGAGCGAACGAGCCCTGTCGCTCGCCCATACTTGGCTTCCAGTGAAGCAGTACCTTATCACCAACGAACAACTTGTCGACTTGCTCGAGCGAGAGATTTTGCGTCTCTGGGTAGAAGAACCAGATCAATGGTAGGAATGCGGCATTGAAGATGGCGAAGTAGATATACGTCTTCCATTTGATACTGTTGATCGAAACAGGCGTGATCTCGACTACGAGGAAGGTGAAGATCCAGTTTGACGCTGTCGCTAAAGCGGCAGATTTCGTTCGGATAGCGAGTGGTGCATACTCCGCCGGTAGCAACCACGGGATGGCGAGAAGGCCGACCGTGAAGAAGAAGTTGAAGAGGAAAAGCATAACGATAGCGCCGATACCGGCAGACTTGCTGCCATTTGCGACCGTACCTATAAGGTACAACGTCAGCGGGCCAATCTTTTCGTGAGTTGGGAGCAGAAGACTCGCCTGCAAGGACAGCCATGCACATTGCTTGACCAGCGCAGGCGAAGAGCATAAGCTTGCGACGTCCGAGGCGGTCCAGTAGCCAGATTGGAGGGAGGGAGGACAGAAAGTATGCAACGCCATTGAACCCGGCTAACAATATCGCCGTGTTGTGAGAAGATTTTTAACAGATACTTCCATAGTTACTGGGGCATACTGCGTCTTACTGTTAGTATAACGCCGAAGCTGTTGCGGAGATCCTGGAATAGACGAACGTATGTGATCAGGTTGATGCCTGAGAGCTGTTGCATAAACTGACCGCCTATACCAAGAAGAGTACGGCGGCGGAATCGCTGTGGGCATTTCATAAAGAGAGCGAGGAAGGTTGTGCCACTAGCAGCTTCTCGCTCATTCTGGAGAGCGTGCTCGATCTCCTGTAGTTCGGCAATAATGACGGGGTGGTCCTTACAGATAGAGTGAGCGTTGTTTGCAGCCTTCAGAGGATAGTACGGGCTTCGTCAGAGCGGCCATGAGCAATTAGCTATTTGTGTCAGTTTCTAAGTAGGCTATGGTCCGAGAGAGTATTAGGGGGACTTACCCAACGCGGACTCTCAGGGAGGAAGAACATAAATAGTATCGTTACAAGAGCAAAGAGTATCTGGAAGGCAATCGGGAAGCGAAACTGGGATTCATTATTGACAAAGCTCATTCCATAACCTAAGAGATGTTAGCGTGGTCTTTGCTCTAGCCCGGAACAGAAACTCACCAGTCCAGTAGAAGAGCATAACCCCGAAGATATTGGTAGCCAGCTCGATCGACAGACCTCGATCTCTTAGGGTAGGCTTCATAAGCTCTGAGTGCCACACAGCTGTATAGGGTTAAGTATCACAACGCTTGAGAGTGTGGTCATGTGAACGTACGGATAGTTGCAGTATTTAACCCATTGCCTGGTCCAGCAACAGTTCGTCCCACAATCATTTGCGGAATGCCATAGGCGGTGGCCTGAATGATAGCACCGACACTAAGCACCAAACCTGATAGTGTAAGCTGTGCCCTATTCCTACCGACAACTGAAGTGCTCAACATACATGCAAGAATTATTGACCATCGTCTGCCGAGGCGTTCGCCGAATAGAAAAGCAAAAATGGCACCAAAGAAGCATCCGATTTCGTAGATAGCCACCACCGTTCCTTGGAGTGACGAACTGCCGCCATTCTGCGTGTCGATTTCTGGGAATTGCCTCTTAAACGAACTGCCTGTCAACAATCCTGACATCTGCGTCGAGCGTTAGCTGAGAGGGTATCCAGCTTTGGTCATGTGAGATCAATCGGTGCTCACCACTCCTTGATCTATTCCGAGCGTTAGTTAGGGGTTGATCCAAATTTAGCGACGAGGCGAGATAGTGCTCACCATATCCAAACAACAAGAACCCTGATCCGGCAGCGATTGTTATGGCCTAGTCAAGGGCTTTCCCTGTGAGTTTTGACATGTCTTGAAAACTAGCTGATGCAGTGTTTCTGTTTCCGGGCAGGCAACGTTGCAGTCAAAGGCCGGTGTTTGATGAGAAGTGCCGTGGGGATGTGAGGGATCATATATACATCGTGCCAGGTCGCAAGCCGGACAGTCTCGTGAGAGGAGTACCTAGGTAGTTGGCCACGCCTCAGACCAGAAGCATGGATGTTGTGCGACCCTCGCGAGCTCGTAGGCAAAATCAGCGTTGAAGCCAAGACGGCAATGCGCAGGTTGCTACTCCGTAGAGAAGGACGGACTCTCATTGAGTCGGCCGTTTTCTTACCTTATACGGCAGCCGCAAGCGCTGCTTGGCTGCTCGGTTGGCTCGTAGTCCATCGATGGGCCAAGGGCCAAGGGTCATTCGAAAAGTCGACTACCGCATTGAAAGCAACTCGCAGCCTGGGAGCTGGATGGACCTTGAGCACAGTCTAGAACTCAAAGGCACCTTGAGCGTTCGATGCATTGAAGGACTACATAGCTAAGCATTCTATACTCTCTATTACGTGCAATCGGTCTCGTTGCTCTATAATCGACATGTTCATGAGTATAGTTTGATCATGAATCTAGCATTGACTAAGCTAGAGATGCGGCAACGGACATTTTGGGTGGCCCTTGGGCTGTTCGGACCAACTCTACGGAAGTCACCGCCTCACGTTCCGCCGCGACTCTTGACCTCGAGAGGCGATTCTAGAGTATCACGAGTGCACGCACGAGTAGGGCCTTAGGGTCTGCGCCTCTCGATGGTGGCGGTGTTGACTCCAACAGGGTCGAATACTTCCATATCAGGGAATGCGGGGAAATACGAGCCTCCGCTTAAGCATTCCGAATGCGGAAATACGAAAGCTCCCAAGGCAGTCAAGCCATGCTTCCAAGACACTGCACATCTCGCCGCACTCCTCCGCTCTCTTCGTTGGCAATTTGGAGCTCAAGAACGCAGGTCTGCCGCATAACGCGGTGTACTGCACTGGACCGTCAATCACTTTATTGGAGGCACATCGAACCCACTGCCTAGGTGGACGTTGTTATCGGAAGACTATGCGCATGCGGAGAGTAGGACCTTGTTCATACCTAGCCTTCCGTGTAGTCGCCGGTCCGCTGGTGTAACCTCCAGGAACCATGCCGGCCCACCATGTCTAGTAACACAACCTCCTCGTCCGACTCGATCCATTCTGCGGCAACCGGCGTTACTGGCGGCTATGAAGGCAACAGTCTCGCTCTCAAGGTCCTCATCGCCTTCTTTCTTGGCTTGTCAATGTACAATGCCATCGAAATATTGATTCTAGTCTTTCTCACCTTCTCTCGATATCGTGGCCTGTATTTCTGGAGTTTGGTCATCTCGAGCCTGGGCCTTATACCTTATGGACTAGGTTTCCTGTTTAAATACTTCAAGGTCCTGACCAGCAGTTGGAAATGGCTTTCCCTCACCCTCATATCGATAGGCTGGTATCCCATGATTACCGGGCAGAGTCTCGTCTTATGGTCAAGACTGCATTTGATTGTCAGCGGAGAGAAGGGGCGTAAGATCCTGTTGTACACCAAATGGATGATTATTATCGACGCCATTGTTTTGCATATTCCGTCCACTGTCCTAACGTTTGGATCCAATGGGGACACCGATACCGCCATCTTCGTTAGGGCTTACGACATAATGGAGAGTCTACAGATGACGGGCTTTTTGTGAGTCATTACCCTCTGAACCAAGCGCCGTCGCTTACCACGGTGTCAGCCTCCAAGAAGTCATCCTTTCGTCCATCTACATCGTGGAGACCGTCCGTATCCTCCGCACATCGTTCCAGCCGGAGTCCCGTCGGCTCATGCATCAGTTGTTGATCATCAATATCATCATCATCGTGATGGATGTGGCCCTGCTCGGCATGGAATACGCCTCTCTCTACCTGCTCGAGACCGTGACCAAAGGTTTCTGCTACTCAATCAAGCTCAAGCTGGAATTCGCTATCCTTTCCCGCCTTGTCAAATTCGTTGGTGGAGCCCAGAGGGGCGGCTCGAGCGGGGATCACTCAGATCGGGGCCATCCGATCACCTTCCTCGGCATTAAAGAGGCTCCTAGGAGGAGAGACAGTACTGAGGACAACGAAGTCTCGGAGTTCGTCGATATGACGAGGGTGGCGACTGATTTTACGCATGCTTCTCCGCTTCCAAAGAGGAATCCGTTCGACTCGTGCGGGGATGACCTTGACGTGGACTTCGCACGGTTCCGACATGTCGAGAGCGCTAACTGGAAGGGTGGAGGCACGGATGGAGGCGAGGAGGGCCAGGGCGATGTCCGAAACGCGGGCTGAAAAGTGTAAGGCTATCTAGGAGTCCGAACTTTGACCGCGCGATATCTCAGTCTTCCAGCTCAAGCAGATAATAATAGAGACGTGATGCACATCTGCAGTCCTATTCTCCACCGTTGGGGGACGCCTTTGCTATCACGGGGAATGCTCATGACTCAGATTGGATCTCTTGTTTGCCGCATTGGGCTTGCAGACCCGGCGTGAACATCAGATTTACCCGAGGAGAAACAACACCATAGAACAAGCGAAGAGAAGCAAGTAAGACAGAACTTATTGCAGAATACGTACTCTATCATGCCGATGCGCAATGTCCTCCATCCACTCTTAGGTCCGCACCGGTCATGAATGAACTTCCTTGGGCTAGCAGAAATATTGCAGAGCTTTAAAGTCTTCAGGAGCACCAAGTCTGCCCAAAAGCGCGCCCGCCATCCACGTCTTTTCCACCTCCGGCTCCGCCGCCATGAGCTCGTCTGTCATCGCCGTCCTGATATATCCTGGCGACAACGTATTCACCCTGATACCATGGTGACCCCACTCCTGTGCCACAGACCGACACATCTGTTGGACGGCGGCTTTGCTAGTGTTGTACGCGGTGCAAGTGAGTCCCTATAGAGCTGTCTGTCAGCATGGGATCGTACACTAAAGCCGCAACTACTTACCCGATTCGCAATCTGCCCTGACATGGACGCAACCATCACGATGCTACCCTTGACCCCGCTCTCTATTAAGATCCTCGTAGAATGCTTCGCAGTTAAGAACGTGCCCAGCACATTGACTCCTAAGATTCGCTCGAAATCCGCCGGCGGATATTCCACGGCGGGGATCTTTTGCTGAATACCTGCACATGCAATTGCGCCATAAAAAGGCGCTTGCAGCCGCAGCCCTTCTGCAGCAATTCCGTCCAAGATACGAGATAGTTGTTCTTCTTTCGTTATGTCGCATTGGTGATACGATACGTGCAGGCCAGTGAGTTTCGCAGACACACACTTCCCCCGTTAACGAAAATTCATCCTCATCTCCAGTAGTCCATCCTTGCTCTCTCTGCACGGCAGCTAGAGCGTAAAGATCGCTCACGTCCTTCATCGGCTAGCCTCGCGTTATATCAAGAGGCCATCCATCAGTTGCTGCCGGAACTGCAGACCAGAAACACCGCCCTCATTGCGTCCTGTGTAGTGCTCTGTGTTCTCGAGATGATGAGCTGTAAGCATGGCATTAACGAGCTCCGGGCGATGCTGACATTCGCCAAGGCTCACCAAAGGAGTGGCGGCGGCATCTCGACGGCTAGCCTGGTGGAATCCGTAGGTATCAATGGGTTTGTCGGCGGCATTGAGCAAGCACTTTTCTGGTGCTTCGCCCGCATGGGTCTGTTATCAAGACCACCCATGCACTCAAAACAAATCGACAGCGCACCAGACGTATGCGGCGGTCCAATCTCGTCCGACCGTACGCTGATTCCAATCGGAAACTGGGCTTCGAAGCTAAGCCTTGCCGAAGACATCGGCCTTTTTCGCGCGGCTCCGTCATTTGATATATACGCGAACTATGCTGTTTACCTCTGCGGGCAAGTTTTGGAACCCTTTGCCAGCTATGTTGCAGACAAAGACACTCGTGCGGCCTCGTACGCCAAGCGCTGGTCTGAACTTTTCGAACTCATTGAAGACTGGTACTTGTATCGGCCGGAAGAGATGAGGTCTGTTCTACATCTCCAAGGTGACAAAAGAGACTGCTCGCGACCGTTCCCGATACTTTTGTTTGGAAATGCGCCGGCTAGTGAGCTTCCCTAGCCTTGTAACGATGATCTAGACTAAGAATTGATGCCGCCTAGTATCCGGAAACCAGTTGTATCATACTGCTGCGCTTCTCATGCTGCCAAAGCAGCCGCGCGGCGTAGTATGCCGTCAAAAACCGGTACGAAATTCCACGGACATCTTCGCGCATCAAATTGACATCGTTAACCCGATTTACCTCCTTGCAGCGGTCAATCCTTTGGCATGCGCGCCGTATCTGCGCCATTTCTATCACAAACATTCATCAGTAAGCCATCCCCAGTATTCGTTCCTTTGTCACATCTTTGCTCACGCATTGGCTTTACTAGTGGATGCTGGACCAACTGTGTTCAACCGCTGTGGATAGCCGGGCAGGTTATGTCGCACCCCGCAGAGCACCAAAGCAATCCTGGATAACATACGAACTCATCGAGCGTGAGACCGGCTGGGGAGCAAAGTGGCGGGCTGAAGATCTTAAAAAATTCTGGGGCGAGCTCGACAGCGAATAAAACAACCTAGCAGCACTGTCACTATTAACTCAAATTCCATGACTCGCTGCGTATCACTTCGGATGGCACAATGTGCTGCTCAGCCCGGCTCCCCTGATGATCGTTGTTACCGATAACCCCAGCCTTACGTGAATGCGGAGCCGCCGGAGCGCTGTTGACTCGAACCCTGATCAAGACGATACAGCCCGCTACGGCTCGTTCTTCCAACGTCGTGCGTCGGCCTGCTTTGCTGTCTTTTGGTGTTCCACTTGAGGCCCGCTCTGAGGCGGTTCGCTCTGTGCGCAGCAGGGGGGGAACGCTGAGCTTAAGTCAGGTATAGGTAGAGCGACGACAACTCTTTCGCATCAAGGTCATTTCTGCCTTTCCAAGCGGACATCAGATGAACGAAAGCCGGCATCGCAAATTTTTCTGCACGTTGCGGCGTTGCCTTAGTCGACGCCGGCTGATCTGGTACGGAACTCCGTGCTTCTTGCAAAGATAGCTGCGCTGAATTCCTTCCTCTGCCAAAAGTAAGGTTTCGAACGAGTTACCAAGCATGTGGGCAGCGAATGACACTGGAAAGATTGTGCGGCATCACGACCGCCAGAAATGAGATACCATGTATCCGTACCGTGCTGTGCGCCCCCGTCCGCTAAAGAAATACTGTGGCGTACACGTCTAGTAGCTTGCAGGGGGGCAGTCAACGGTATTGTTAGTTCAGTGGCCCAGACATCGACCCGGTGATGATAGAAGAGGACTGTAAAGACGCTAGATTTATGCTCTTCGAACGATGGATATGTACAAGCCGGGCCGTGCCAGGAACCGGTAATACAGAGACAAGTCAAGGGCAGTTTTCATCCTTCTATACAACTCGATTGCGCCAAGAATTCCGCCGATACCAGGATAACTCCGCGCTTGTTGCAATGCGCCGCTAAGTGTTCAACGCTAAACCTGCCCCTCGGGGGGTTTCAGAATACCGACGCCTAGCAATGCAACAAAATGGGAGGAAAGAGGTTGTGTGAGTGCAGGATGAAAGGTGTACTAAAGCGCGGTGGGACGAGCTCTAGAGACAGGAAGAAATCTCCGCGCGAGCCAGAGCGGTGGGGCTAGTGCGATAATGGTATGGAGAGAGCGACACCAGTAACCTGCACCATACAGAAGGCGTCTCTGGTTGGCTGCCTGGATGGCTGACCAAACATGGGAGATGTTCGAAGCCGATCCAGACTGCTGATACAAGATCAGACTCTGCTGGGTTGATACATCGTGCCATTCTCGGCATCCGGCCCGTTGTAGTAGCCTCGATCGTGCGGGAAGTGATTGTGACTCGATCCACCCGGTGGGTAGGCTGCGCGTGCGGCATCTGCATATCCATCATACGACGGCTTCGTGCCAGAGCCACTGCCGCCACGGCTGCGCCTGTGATCTCCGCTGCTGCGTCCGGTATGCGCGGGCCTCGGCTGGCCATAGACGGCGGAGTTCCTGTTGGAACGCGAACGACCTAGATCCTCAGACGTGCCATCATGGCCACCTCGGCCTTTGGAGGGATATTTCGTTAGCTCTCCGCCATCGCTAGAAGCAGTAGTGATAGAGGTCACGGGCTGGATCCCCTCCTCGGTGGCAATGTACTCACTAGCTCCGACTCCAACATTGGGTCTCCTGACGTCGGCGGCAGTGGCCGGTTCCTCATCTGGGTTGAACACTTCTGCCTCCTTCTCGTTGAAATCTTGGCCGGGGTTGGCGGTTTCGTATTCCAAGACCTTAATCAGGCGGTAGAAAACTACGGCTACAATAGAGCCCAAGGCAGGTCCAGCCCAGTAGATCCAATGGTAACCTTCAAATGTGCCAAGGATGACGTTGGGACCGAAGGAGCGGGCCGGGTTCAGGGAGCCGCCGGTAAACCAAACACCTGGGAAGTGACGGTTAGCGCGGCGAATCATGAATACAAGCGTAATACCGACCTGCAAGCTCGGCGATGAATAGTGCGAGACCAATGCCAATTGGCGCAAGAAACGTTCCCTTGTGCTTCTCCGCAGCGAGCATGAAGATGGTGAACACAAGCATTGCCGTGAGGAACATTTCGATGAAGAGACCGCGAACGATGGAAGTGCCGCCGCCGAGGGAGGTACGAACAGCAAGCGGGCCTGGAAAGAGGCAGGAAACGATGCCTGCCGCAGAGATGGCTCCAAGAATCTGTGAGATGAACACCAGGGCACCTCTGACCCATCCGACGGCGCCGATCAAGCACATGCCGAGGGTGACCTATTTCGCATCGTCTCAGCCTTGTTGTCGCCATTGGGATCTTGGACGTAGCTCACCGCCGGATTGAACAACCCTCCACTGATCCGGAAGAATACCCAAGCGTTCACAGCCAGCGAGAAGCCAAACGCCAGGCTGATGTACATCAAGACCGACGCGTTAGGGACCTGGGCCAACTCGCCGCCTTCGGTGCTTGCTCCCGCAGCTGCAGTGTTGGCGACCTGTGTGCCGGCGAAGGCGAAGAAGAGGAACAGGAAGGTGCCGACGAATTCACCCATCATGGCGATGAAGTGGTTGCGGACCTATTCATACGTGCGTCAGACTGACTCGAATACAGGGAGCTTGAGGCTCAACTGACCTTGTTGGGCAGCCATCCAAAGCCGCGCAGACGTCGCTCGGCGGGATGGTTGGGGTCACCGGTCCTTGCCCTCATGAAGGGAAGGACGATGTTGTCGGCGGGCCTCCCGATGTTCATGGTGAAGGAGGATGGTTGGGTCTTGTTCGAAGGCGTGTACGGGTGACGCTAAGGGAGCTGAATAGGTATTTCAGGTTGTGAGGGGCCGATTGCTAGGAAGAAGACTCTCAGGTGACAGCAAGGGTGAAGGTGAAACGAGGTTGCCGGTAGGTCGTAGGTCGTAGGTCGTAGGTTGTGGGTCGTAGGTCTCGAATGGAGTGAGTTCGTACCTAGGTTCAGGGTGGTGCACTGAAGAGACTTGGAGGGAGGAGAGAGGTTAAGAGAGCACGAAGACGGTGCAGACTACCATGGCAATATTTTCATGAAGGGTCAGGAAGGAGGCAGCTTGGGGGTCAATTGTGCCAGCAGGAGCTCGCGCCAGAGCATCCATGGATGACGGCAGTGGTGGCCCTTCCCCTACTAGCAGTTTGGCGGTTTGGCGGCTGGGATGCACAGCAGATTCTCTACCTGGGCATGGAAGCGGCGGACGCGAGTCGATGGTGGCCGCTGGCGTGGCCGCTGGCGTAGCCGCTAGTTGCAGGTCGATCAATGGGCGATGAGCTCTCGTGTGCGCTAGGAGCAGATCAAGTTGAGGTGGCCGGCATGCAATAATCATCATCATCATCAACCGTGTACAGAGGGAGATGCTGTTGCTCCTTAATGCTAAGATTGAGGACTGGAGCGGCCTCTGATACCTCAGTGCTCCTTAAGGCGGGGCTGCTCCCTGCTCCAGCTCCCAGCTCCCAGCTCTCAGCGGGGCTCAAGCCAGTCGGGAAGGGCTTTCGACAGCCATGCACACCTCAACGCTGCACGTTTGGTGATGCTGCTGCCGCTGCTGCTCCCGTGATGTTTCAACTTGGTGTACGAACATGGTCAGACTGCCACCAGCAGCCATGAATCCTCAGCAAAGTCGACCGCAGCTTGTTGATAGGGCTGCGGTTGCTTCGCGACTCGGCAGCTTGGAGCTACTAATCGTCTCAGGCCCTGCAGAGGGCCGAAACCCGCTCAAAACGCTATCGGGCCGCCGCAGCAGTTCGGACTGGTGATCGTTCGAGGCGTCTGATGTCTGTCCAGATGCGCAGGGCCTGGGTATGAGCTGTCTGACACACGCACGTGACTCTACAGGCCATTCAAAGACGTGTAAAATAAGACGTTGCCTGTGCTGGAATCACTTTTGGGCGCACCAATGGGCAGCACTTTCTTCTCACGGCCCACAGTCGACAGTCGCGGCTCCGCACCGGTCCAGAACGTCACCCGCTCAGCGATCACATCCATGGATATTATATAATCATGAAGCGCATGCACACGCCGCCCAAGCAGTCGTGATCGCCCACCATCTGCAACCTCGAGCCATCATCCACTCTTCCTAAGCTGTTGTTCTGCATATTCCCCTCACGCACTTGTGTTTTGTGTCTTCAGCTTCATTGTCCCTTTGTCGTGTGAAGTGCCTATTTTCCTGCATCCTGCATCCTAACCCTAGCCTGTCGCCAGCAGTTGTCCCCGCTGCTCTCGCCTCGCCAAGCTCCACCTCACGTTTACGAGTACAGCGTTACCGCCAGCACCCGGACCTACCGTACCACGATTCTACCCGCGCAGAAAGGGACTGGCGCTCCTTCCAGCCCCATCCGGATGTCAGAATTAGAGTAGAGCAACTGGACTCGGTATAGCCACTCTACAGCTACCGTACTTATAGACGCAACCACCATGCGGCCTCTTCGGCTCCTGTTCTCCCTATGCTCCTGCGTCGTCGCCCTCGCCCTGCTCCTGTATACAACCCTCCCTTCGAGATCGCACCAGATTGCGCCAAACGTATCGAATCAGAAGAAGAGTAGATTACACGCCCTCTTCTCCTTCCATACCCCGTCCTCCCTCTTTCCGCCGTCCGCAATCATCAGCCTCACTGACGACAACTCGACCTTCTTCCTTGCTCGATCTGCAGCATTCGGGCCTCTACTGCCCAGCAAAGGCCTGAGCGGACAGCTATGGATAGGCAGCGGCTTCGCGGATGACAGCGTCGGTCGGGGTGGTGTTGGTGCGAGATCAGAGGGCGAACTCGGGTGCAGCGATGTACCTGGTTGGGAAGGTGGAGGAAGAAAGCTAGCTGGAGGTGTCGAATCGGATGCTTCTTCGAGGAAGTCCACTAACGGCTCGCCGCTACGCTTCGAGGCTGCAAAGGATAAAGCTGGCAAGTCGAAGAGGGGGGATATACCGAGAAATGCTGCGGAGGCGGGAGATAGTACGGACACTGCTTCTCGGCCTGCGGATGGGACGGACGACTACCTTCACGAGCCTTTGCCCGCCTCGAACGAGCTGAAGAATACTGCCCATGGGTCGGTCACGGAAGCCGGTAAGACACCTGAGCACGCCGATATTCAGTCGCTGCAGGAAAGCGCCGAGATAACCGGAAGGATTGTTCTGCTCAGTCGCGGCGGCTGCGGCTTTTTAGAGAAGGTCAAGTGGGCGCAAAGAAGAGGAGGCGTTGCTGTGATCGTTGGAGACGACATCCGTGGCGGGCCGCTAGTGACAATGTATGCGAAAGGAGACACGTCGAACATCACCATACCGGCGCTATTCACGTCTCATACTACTGCTCATTTATTGTCATCACTCATTCCCTCAGGTGGCTACATCGAGGACATATCCGTGGAAGACGCGCTACGACTTGGCCTGAAAGTGCCGAAGGGCAGCAAAAGTAAGGTCTCTGGATCTGAGAAGCAGATCAACCAGGATCGTCCAACTTTCACACGCACAGTGACCTCCTCGCAACAGACTACGGCCGCGAAACCTGCGGTGAAGCAATCAATTTACAAAAGTGAGGGAAACCAAGCTACAGATGTCGAGATCCCTCAAAGCAACGGCTGGTTTAGGTGGATCTTCGGTTGGGGCAGCGGCGCAAAGGCTACAGGCCGCGACGACAGACGACCTCCAAGCAGCGGCCACATTGACTGGGTTCTAATCGAGGATTGGAATGAAGATCAAGACATCAAGCTCAGTAATAAGCCGATCCAGGCGCAGAACGCGAAACAGAAACCTACGGCAACCTCATCACGCCTGTCTGCAGATGACTTTGTTATCGGAGTTCAGGATTGGAGGGACAAAGACTTGCTGCCAAGGCAGACTGTTGCAGTCCAAGAAAGAGCACCAAGCGACCGGAGCATAGATGATGTCTCCCCCAACGGCCATTTGAAAGGCGGGAATGCGCTTCCGGCAAGCGGCGAGTATGAGAAGCCTGGAAACAACGCTGGTGGAGCTGCTGCTAAGCTCAAGCCATCTCACGAAGATGCAGGTGCTAAAGGAGACGAGCACAAACCGGCTGAGAAGAGTGACGGCTGGCTGAGGAATCTCCTTGGCTCCAACAATGCAGATCCGCCGAAGCCAGAGTCTACCAAGCCCTTTCAAAAATCTCCCACAGCGAGCCGGAAACACCAAAGCGCAGATACTTCTACAGACTCAAGCATCCTGCACGAAGGGCTATGGGTCACCCTCACCCCCACCGCAATGTCCGCGAGCCCCTTCTTTGACACTATCCTCGTCCTCGTAGTCTCCCCTCTCGTGACCCTCACAGTCGTCTACGCCCTCCTCCTCCTCCGTTCACGCATTCGACGGCGCCGCTGGCGCGCGCCAAAATCGGTCGTCGAGCGCCTTCCAGTCCGCACCTATCACACCATCCCCAGCGATGCCACCTCTCCTACAACCCCTCTAGCTACGCCTCCGAGTCCGGGACTCACGACCCCACTCCTAGGCTCTAACCGGCCGACACTAGCCTCGCGGCCATCGCGATCACGGCCACGGTCGCGAACGGCGTCGGAGGTGCCACCGCAAACTTCGGCATCTTCGCTTCGTAGCGGCAGTAGGCATGGCAACCAGAGCCACGACTCAACGAACTCGGAGGAGAAGCGCGAGGCAGGGCTCGCGGAATGGAGGAGGCGGTACGGCGGCCGGCAGAAGGAATGCGTCGTTTGTCTCGAGGAATACGTGGACGGCGTATCTAGAGTCATGAGTTTACCTTGTGGCCATGAGTTTCACGTTGAGTGCATGTAAGCCGTCCCCTCTTCTGCCCATCCCGTTTGTCGTTTTGTAGATGATGAGCTGATTGGTGATAGAACTCCATGGCTCACCACCCGCCGCCGCACCTGCCCAATCTGCAAAGGCGATGTCGTGCGCTCGCTAGCCCGCGGCAGCCCCTCAAGACCATCTTACCGCGACAACTTCGGCTCCGGCCTCGACGACGCCGCCGAAGAAGACGTCCAGGAGGAAGCGGCATTGGCTCGCAATGATTCCGTCATGGCGAACCGGCCTGTCTCGCTCAGCCGGGCGGCGTCCGAGGACGAAGCGCTGTATGAGGACGTTGAGCGTGGCGAGGAGGATGCGGATGAGGGGACGGAGAGGGAGAGTGGGGACGAGGGACGCTGGGCGGAGTTTAGTGCGGCGGTTTCGAGGGGGTTGGGGAGTCTGAGTCTGAGGATGCCGGGGAGGAGGAGGCCACCGCAGGAGCTGCCTGATCGAGATCGCTGAGTTTTGTTTAATGCGGTGGATGGGCTGAGGTGCAATCCGTCTAGCGCATGTTTGTTACGGGCTACGGCTTTTTTTGCGTTTCTTTTCGGACGGCGTTGTAGGGGGGCGAGCGAGGGTTAGCATCCACTCTTATGAACCACTCTGACTGTGAAGTATTACCAGCATCCGCGAGACCGGAAGGCTAGACCTGGGACCAACGGCCAATTGACCGCAGCATTACATGAAGAGGGGCTCCGTAATCCTGCGAACGCTCTCCCTGCCGGATTGTCCGGCAAGAGATACACTGCCTTTCTAAGTAACGCGGTATCACTTTCGGATAGCCGTCGCTATCCACCGCGTGAAACCTCAGTCTTCCAGCCCAAGCAGACAACATCGAAGACGTAATGCACATCCACACGGCCGGCTTCAGCCCTCAGGGTTTGGAGCAGCATCGAACAAATTGGCAAAGCTCCGAATCTTGTTACGCGTACCACCACTTCTAGGTAACCCGCTTACTATACACCACCTCCACCAATCTCGCAACGCAAAGCCCCAGAAGTCCAACCAGCAGCATACACTACGCTCTGCTGCAGGAGCCAGAAACAGCACCCCGAATGCCCGCAAAAAACGCCCACGCTATGACATGCTTACCCCCACCCCAGCTACCCATAACCCTCAGCAAAACTCCTCGCCAATGCCCCCAACTCCAGCGCCTGAAGAGACAGCACTTGTTGCATCCTATACATCCACTTCCGTCAGCAAGCGCGAAAAGCAAACACATGTTTGTCTCAGATGAGATGTGGTTAGTACGTCTCAACAACCCCTTCCTTCTTCCCGTCCTGGACCGCAAAGATGTTGACATGTGTGTCGTGCTGCGAGGCTCCGGCAATCATCATGCGGTGCGGATGGAACGCCGTCGTTGCGATGGCGGCGCTGCGGTTCTGGTGCAGGAATGAGGAGTAGGGCTCGAATGAGGAGAGATGGGTGCCTGTGACGAGGTTGTAGAGTTTGACGTGGTGGCGGTCGGTGCCCCTGTCTCTCTCGTTAGCGAAGTTTCCAAAGAGGTGATAGGGGTAAGGTGCAAAAAGCGAGAACACTTACGCCGCGAAGACAGGCGCGTGCTCATGCACCGTGAGCGTGCGCAGTGTATCTTTTGTAGCCCGATGCGTTTTCACACTCGCATTGAGCCTGATGTCCCATAGCTTGACCTCGCCGCTGCGGCAACCGGTCACCAATTCCCGCTGCCCACCGCGCTGAAGATGCACATTGGTGACCCACTGCTTGTGCTCTTTCCAGACCTTGACGCAGGACTCTGCGGGCCTATGACGCTGGTCATACACTCGGACCGCACCGTCGCCAAAACCAGCGATGAAGACATTGCCCTCGACTTGGTCGGAAGTGAGGGACGTGATGCATGAGCCCGACCGCGCAGGAATGTCCATCGTGCAGATCTCAGTGCCAGCGTTCCACACGCGAATGACCTTGACGTCTCCAGCAACGAGTAGGTGGCCACGTGACTGCTGCCAGTCGAATACCAGGCCGGCATTGCGCGTGCTTGGTACGAGATCGGTGAGCGCGCGGAAAGCAGTGACTAGTTCGGCTTTCTTGTTCTGCTCGTAGTTGCGGAAGATCTTGATCACGCCGTCAGACGAGCCGGTCATAAGCAGCGCTTGGTCGTCTTCGTTGACGAAGCGGACCTCGGTGACGTGGGAGCCGTGGGGGTTGCCGTTGGAGAAGCGGTTGAGGCGGTTGGACTTGTTCCAGTCCCAAACGCTGAGTTGAGTCAGTAACCATCACTATAACTCAATCAAGCAGCAGAGCTGAATGAATGCTCACCAGATACTGTCCTTGTCATCGGCGACGACAAGGTGATCCTCGAACTGATGAAAGCACATCTTATACGGCTGAGTTCCGTTGCTGAAGAAGCCCTTTGGCTTATCCCATCTGTTGCTGCCCGCGATCTCTTTCTGAGGTTGCGTATCCGCAATGATCTTATCGTTTCGATTTCGTCGCCACAGCCGCATGTTGTAATCGGTGCTGCCAGGCTCGTCCGCCTCGCTAGGTTTCATCTGCGGCTCACGGAAGTACTCCACCGACCAGTCATAGAATCTGCTTATGAGAGGAATAGCCGGTTCCTTTCTCAGATCACGTGGCTTGAAACCGCGGGGTCTGGGCTCCGTGCTGGGAGTGTGTGAGGTTGTAATTGTAGGACTGTAGTCCTCAGCCTCGGGGGGCTTATGCCATGCGTCCGGTAGACGGGGACGGGAGCGGTCAGGAGGCGCCTGTGTCTTTGCGGGGCTTTTGAGTGATCCTGTGGGGGTGTTGTCATGACTGGTTCCATCGCCGAGAACCAAGTTCTTAAGCGCACCAGCAACGCTGGCAGTGCGTCTCATGCCAGCTGAGAGGTAGCCTTCCTCTTTGCTTGGCGTAGGCGGTGTCGATGGTTGAGAGGCATTGTGAGGTGTTTGCGCGCCATCACCGTGAGGCGTACGTGTTACGGTTGTCTGCCCGCTGACCTGCATTATCTGGTCCATGAGTGCTTGAGCGGGCGAAGCTAACGGTGATTGAACAACCGTATTGAGAACGCTGTCGATTACAATGCTGGCATCTCGGGCGATTTCGGGATGCGGATCGACCGACATCACGAGAACCTGCTTCCAAATGGCAGAAAAGACGGTGTTGTGCGAGAGGAAGTGAGATGCTTCATCCTCAGGCTCCTCCACAGTCTTGATGCGTGGCTTCATGTAGAGACCATCTGCCTGCTTTTCATTGATCTGATCCGCAGACGGTTTGGTCGCTGCTTCCAGCTCTTCTCGCAACTGGCCGAATGCTGTCACAATGAACTTGTTCTTGTATCTAGCGATGAACGTCGAGTAAAACACAAGGAGTTCCTTTCGCACCATGCTATTACCATCTGTCGTCATCGTGAGAACCATGGCGGCAATCGACTCTTCGGTGTGTGCGACCTGGGCCGTCAGATCAGGAATGCCAAGGAAAGTAGTAAGCGCATGCAGCATCGCTGCTCGAACCTCTGGCACGGGGTCGAGGACCAGATCACAGAGCCGTTGATGGGCAAGGCATCGAATTGCCATCCACTTGGCCTCTGGGTAACCGACCCAGAGCATGCTCAGGCAGAGACATGACCATTGTCGGAGTAGCGGGTTTTGAAGGTCATTAAGATGGCCTAGACAGCTCTCGATGAGCTCGCGACTTAAAGACACGACTTGTCCTTGGTGGAAATCTTTGCAAAAGACTGCTACGATGAAAGCGCACATAGCACGATGCTCACTAACGTTTCCGATAGGCATGCCTGCATAGCGAGTTAATATTGCTCTACAGTGATTGCACAATAAGATAGGGGAGGATTTGATACAGGGCGCATGGCGTCTAACAGACTAAACATGGTCAAATTGGTGGATTGCTTACCGGAACTGGGGCTTAGAATGTTGATGAAGTACTGGTAGCCATTGTCTTTCAGCAGGTCAGCCTGGCAGGACTGATCCACGGCCAGAATGCGGGCCCAAATAAAGACCATAACAGGCTTCAGCTCAATTGCCTGTGACTGCAAGAGCTTCAGAACATATGGAAATATGCCGATGCTCAGAGCAAGGTTGACAGCCCAAGGGCCGAGGTCGAGGAACTTGCTAAGAAGTATAAGTGCTCTGAGGCGGTGGACCTGACTCAAGAGGACCTGCAACACGATCGGCAGCTGCTCTGGAATCTTTTGCTCAACAGCACCTTGGCCTAGGTACACCTCAAAGGCCGTAAGCTGCTCGGTGAAGAAGTTACTGTGCTGATACTCGTACTGCTTCTCGCCTTTGTCCGCGGCAAGGAGGTCGGGCAACTGAGCTAGGATCATCTCCACAGCAAGGTCCCAGCTGCGCCATAGTGGATGGTTATGCGTTTGAGGTATGTTCGGATAACATTGCGGATGGCAATGGTAAACCCGCATGATTCGTTGCGCCAAGAGGAAATTGCGGAAAAGAGCTGCGACCATAAGATCTTGGCGGAAGAGCTTCTTAAAAGTAGGCTTGTCGAGCATGTTCCAAGCGATGGTGTCCGTGATTGCCGTAAAGATCCAGTTGAGTTCTCCGATAGGCGTCCTTCGCTCAGAAACCCGGCCTGGAATATTTGCCGCGTCGTTAAGCGTCACGCCGCTCGGCAGAGGGTTCTGAAGTATGAAGAACCTCACCGCCATCTCAATGGGGGTCGTCAGACAGGACGTGAAGACATCTGCGGGCAGATCAGGATTTGTCGGTAGTGTTTCCTTCTCTTTACAGGCTGCGAGGTGGATGCAGTCCTCGAAATCCATGACTTCTGCGTTAGGATCTCGTCGAAGAAGTTCCTCGTACTCCTCTGCGTGCCTTGTAGCGAACCTGTTCCAGTTCTGTATGATGACCTCGGCATCGGAACAGTCGTATACAAATAAACTAGGGGCGCCGAGCCAGCTTTGCAGATCATAGAGGGAAATTGGAATATACTGGGTATAATTTCTGTTGAACACCCATATCTCTCCGGATGCCGTCGGCTTCGGCACGCCGTGGCCGTTGTAGTGGAATAGAACACGTTCATTCCTGGCATTTCTCCGAAGGGTTGAGCAGTATCTCCGTAGCTCATCAACTGTTGGATCGAGACATTGCTTGTACCGGGTGCGCATGCTCAGCTGTTCATACTGTGTCTGCAGCGCCTTGCCGATCTGGTTCATCGGTGTGTGTCCGGACGTTCCAGCCGAACTTGTAGGATCGATCCAGCATTCGAGCTTGGCGCAAGGATTCGTCTTGATGACATCAGGCGGATCGACGCCGATGTTGAGACACAGTGCCAGAGCCGCCGAGACTGTCTTTAAGCGATCCCGCATGCGCCACTCTTGTAGCGGGTAAGTGTTTTCCTTTGGATTCCCTCCCGTCTCGTGCTTCTTATCGGTATAATACATGAAGAAGGACTACCAGCAACTACATTAGCGGTGAGTCGCGTGACACGCTCAGATCACTGACCGAATTAAGGAGATTCTGATACTCCTCAGACGTCAACTGGGTGTCAAATCCATGCCTGATCTTCCAATCCCCCCCATCGACGCTGCTTTTCGAGTCGTCATCTTGTTTCTCTTCACGGCGAGGGCCAGCGTCGCTCCTCGCCCGCGGAAGCTGTGGCCTGTCGTTTCGATGAGACCCGTTAAGTGCCGGGCTCTTTGCGGCACCGTTCACGTGCTCGGGCTGCGGGTTGCCTGAAAGATTTCGCGCGGAAGCTGGACGTAGCGTCGCCGGTGCGGTCAAGCGAGAGTCATATTCTGCGAGTGTCGACTGATGGTCGGGCTGGCGGTCAAGGTCGTGCACGTCGAGCGAGTCGAGGACAGGCCGTGGACCTTTGGTCCGCGGCGCCGAGGGCATCTCCAATGCTGGCGCGGGCTTGCTCATTGCTGCATAGACAGAGGTGGTTCAGCCATGGGGGACTGCGACGCGTCGGGACCGAAGGGGGAGCTGCGGACTGAGCTGGTTGAGAGTGTTGAGAGTGTGAGTTTGAATCAAGGCTGGCTCGGTGGAGTGCCGCGGTAGACGTTTGCTGCCACCGCTGTCCATCAACTAAGGTATCAAGACGACGTCGAGCTGGGAGGTCAATACGGACGGAGCTTGCCGGCGCCGTATCGATAGGTACCTACATATCGATAATGCGAGAGACTCGCGTGCCTCGCACACCTCGTTCTGGAACTTTAACTAGCGCTTTGGACGCGGACGCGGACGCCGAGACTGAGGAATGCAATCCTCTAGGTATTTACGCGCCACCCTGGGCACAGCCCCCCATCTCTCTGCGGAGCGACCTCCAGTTGATCGGTGGTTGATCATGTCAAGTCTGCACGTCGACTGCAACTGGAGACAAGTACTCATAGCTTCGGCGACAGCTCCCCCATAGTCGCGGGGCCTGGAGCCGGTCTGTCAACTGTCGCGGCCCGTCTCAGGGGCCCCTTACAAGCGCCGTGATAGATACTCAGCAACTGCATGCCCTGCCGCTCCATTCATCTCGCCATCGTCTGCTCTTCGTTAGGGCTAACTTACTGTCCCTGTAGAAAAGGGGACGACTATAGTTGCCCCTAGTTGGTTAATATCCTTGAGCTGATTGCATGTCCACCTAGCGAACGCTTTATTGAGTAGTAGTTCGTAGACCATTGATCCTTGTTAGACTCTAGTGCCTGCATGAGGTGTGTGAGCCGCCTCGGATTATTTTCGAAACGGCCTTCAAGATTCGCAACCTGCGCCCAGCGCTCCGCTGCATTTCGAACTCACCGTCTGCCATTCTCCACTCCAGGACCGCGCAGCAATTGCGCCCTCATGAAGTGCGCTTACTTCGCCCATCGCTTGACGACAGACCATCACACCCACGACTCGACGCCCCATCTTGGACGGCATCTCAGCTTCGCCATTGCACCCTGACCGCGTATTTCGGCGAGACCCACGCCTCGGAGTCCCAAACAACACGTTTTTTCTGCCGCTCGCCACCTGGATGAATTGATAGGGGCCCCAATCGGCTGTTGCTCGATTGCGACGCTCTCGAGATGTCGTTCCTGTTCAAGTCCAAGAAGAGCCAGCAGCAGGGCGCATTGCCCGCAGCTACCAGGAACATCGGCTCGTCGCATGGGCAGGAATCAGGCATCCCAACTCTCAACGGACACCTGGCAGTAAAAGATGCAGAAAAAGGAAGAGGCGGTCAGAGCCTACAGACGCCGTCTGGAGGTAGCAGCGCCAACAACTCGCTGAACTCCTTACCAGCAGGAGCAAATGGCGCAAATACTGAGCCCAAGTCTTTGCGCGAAAGGGCTGATTCGGATGTACATGTGAGTGTCCGTCCATCGGAAGCGCACGTAGGCACGGTCGACGCGAGCTGGTGGGGAGGACTTGAAAGCCGATACAACCCTTGAGCGCATCTTAAAGGCCTACGGCTAACATATTGCCCAGAATGGACGAATGACTCTCACTCGAAATCCCAGCGACTCCCCGTATCCCTGGACTCAACGGCGCATGACATTTACCGCCGGCGCGCTACCTTTCCCTCGCTATGGCGCCGCCGTGAACTCGAACGCGTCAAAAGAGGGCTCGATATACCTCATGGGCGGTCTTATCAATGGCTCAACTGTAAAGGGCGACTTGTGGATGGTAGAAGCAGGACATAGCAGCATGGCATGCTATCAGGTTCCCACAACAGCAGAGGGTCCTGGGCCAAGAGTAGGGCATGCGAGTCTGCTTGTGGGCAACGCCTTCATAGTTTTCGGGGGTGATACTAAGATGGATGAAAATGACGTGCTGGATGACACATTGTACCTGCTCAATACATGTGGGTTGAGTGGCAACAAGCGGTGAAGACAAGAAGACTGACGAGAAACCAGCTACGAAAGCGTGGTCAAGAGCCCTGCCGGCAGGACCCAGACCAGCTGGCCGCTACGGTCACACGCTCAACATCCTCGGGTCAAAGATCTACATCTTTGGCGGACAGGTTGAGGGGCAATTCTTCAATGACCTTGTCGCATTCGACTTGAACGCCTTGCAAGCAGCCAGCAACCGCTGGGAACTGTTGATAGCTAGCGGGCCTGTCGACCCAGAGAAACCAACGGTACCGCCGGCACGAACGAACCACAGCATGATCACTTGGAACGATAAGCTTTACCTGTACGTGCACTGGTCCAAGTCTTTTGTCCCCACTGACATATCTCTTTAGCTTCGGTGGCACCGATGGCCACGAATGGTTTAACGACGTGTGGACGTACGACCCTCGGACTAATGAATGGGAAAAGCTAGCATGTATTGGTTTCATACCGTCGCCCAGGGAAGGCCATTCCGCCGCCCTGGTCAACGACACAATGTACATCTTTGGCGGAAGGAACGAAAATGGCGTTGACCAAGGCGATTTAGCAGCGTTCAGGATATCCTCGAGGCGCTGGTACATGTTCCAGAACATGGGCCCTTCACCTTCACCGCGTTCCGGCCATAGCATGACCGCCTTCGGGAAGAACATCGTAGTTCTCGCAGGCGAACCAAGCTCGCAGCCTGCTGACCCGGCAGAATTGAGCCTGGCGTATGTGCTCGATACTTCGAAAATACGGTATCCAGCAAGCGAGAACCAGCCAACGCCACAGCCCTCTACTGGCCAGATCGCGCCTCCTGTTCGAAAGAACAGCGGTGGACAGACTGGTATACCACAGAGCAAAGCTGCAGCCATCAACCGAGATACCCCTTTACCAGGTCAGAACTATAGCAGAGGGCTGGAGCGAGTGTCCAATGTTCCCCAGTCCGGTGCGGTCAACTCGAAGCTACCACGTGCGGCTAATGCACAAGGCCCTCCAGGGCCGCCTCCACAACAGCAACCGCCGCAGCCCAGAGCAAACGGCATAGTGACCAGTGCCAACAGCCTTCAAGATCAGGCTGCGTCGAAGCCTGAACGGGGCTATGGGCCCCCAGTGGACACTGCAAGAGCCGCATCGTTTGAGAGGGAGAACCAAGGCCCTGTTGTGACCGAGAGCCCACAGTACCATGACTTCGACCGAGGACATGACTCGCTTGAGCAGGCACGCTCGACGGTACATTCTAAATCGTCTTCCTACCACAAAGTCTCTATGGATACTGTACAGTCGTCACCTTCACGAAGCGGATCAAGGTCTACCACGCAGCGGGAGTCACAGGAGAGCATGGATCAACCGAGTTCGAGACCATCAGTCGACGCTCAGGCTCGACTTAGTCGCGATGGGCAGCATGCACCAATGGACAGCGGACTTAGATCATCTCCCAATTTGAGCCACCAGAACGATGAGCTCGTCAGGGAGCTTGAAGCAGCTAAAAGCCGTAACGCTTGGCTTGCCTCTGAGTTGGCATTGGCGCGCAAAGCAGGATATCAAGCAAACGCTTCCAACAGCCCGATCCTAGATGAACGTGCTGCGGACGCCTTTGGAGACGACGAAAGGCCTTTACTCGAGGCTCTAGTGAAGATGCGGACAGAGCTAGCCAACGTGCAAGATTCAATTGACTCGCAAGCGATAGCGGCCGCTGCCAGGATTGCAGAGGTTGAAAAGCAGAGGGACGCAGCAATCAACGAGGCAGTCTACGCCAAAGCGAAGCTCGCAGCCCATGGTGGCAGCGCAGTCAGCACGCCACAGCTTGACGGCGAACGCGGCACAAACACGCCGGACAGCGATCGCTTGCCCGAGATGAACCGACGACTCGCGTCATCACTGGCAGCTCAAACAGAGCTATCCTCACGCGTCGATGGCCTGATCCAAGAGATCGAAGCAGAAAAACGCGCGAGGCAAGCAGCCGAGGAGACAGCAGAAGCGGCACAAAAGCGTGTTGCGGAACTAGATTCGTACAAGCAGCGCAATACAGTAGAAGCGGACAGTCTCCGGGCCAAGTTGCACGAGGTGCAGAAGGTAGCGCGAGAGGAGGCAGCGAATGCTGCGGAAGCCCACGCATCGTCACGGCTGCTGACGGTAGATAAGAATGAGCTATCAGCAAAACTTACGAAGGCACTAGAAGATGCGAGGAATTACTCTTCGGTCCTGCAATCACTGCGCGACGCTCTCAATGCATCCTCAGACAAGGCACTCGTGCTGGAACGAAGGCTCGAAGAAGAGGGGTCGGAGCGCGACATCCTTGAGAACAAGCTGCAGCAACTCAAGGCAGAGCATGAGCTTCGGGCTACCGAGCTGGAGACGACGAACAGACGCTTGCGCGACACGGAAGAACTTGCCGAAAAGCATGCTGAAGAGGCACGAACGCACCGGCAAGCAGTGCTGGCTGGAATTGGACGAGTCACTGAGAGGAACGAAGACGAGCACGACGCCGCAGACGAACGTGTCACCATCCTCCAGCAGCAAGTCCAGATTGCCAACGCAATGGTCCGCAAGAACCAAGAAGCAGCTGACACCGAAGCCGAGAAGTTGCGGCGAGCCGAAGAGCGCATCGCAGGCCTCGAAGCATATCAGGAGCAGGTTAGCCGTGAGAGCTTGCAAACTCGTCGTCAACTGCAAGCAGCTTTACGCGAAGTCCAGGCCTTGCACAGCGAGAAAGCCGACATGACGCAGCATTTGGAGCGGCAGCACCTCGAGTCCAACGCCCTCGAAGTCCAGCTCAAGACTCTCAAGACCCTCCTCGAAGAACGCGGCGTCAATGCCGCAGACGTCCGCCGCTCCCGCGCGCTCGACAGCCCCAACTCCCGCTTCAGCACGCCCGAGCTGAATCGCATCCGCGAGCTGGAACAACAACTCGAAGTCTCCTTCAAGGCGCACGACGAGCTGCGCTCCGTCTACGAGCAGCGCGAGCACGAAGTCAGCAAAGAGTGGGAAGAGAAGCTGGCCACGCTCGACAACGACCACCAGGCCGCAGTCAAGTACCTCCGCGGTACGGAGAAAATGCTGAGCAAGATGAAGCAGGAGCTTCAGCGCTACAAGAACTCGAATACGGAGCTCGAACGCGAGATCGCTGGCGCCAGGGAGCAGCTCGCTAAGAGCGCTGAGCGTGAGGCCGTGCCGCCTGAATGGGAGACCGAGCGAACCCAGCTCCACGATGACCTAGCGCGCATCCAATCGTCCGTCAAGGCCGACATCTCGAGCCTCGAATCCCGCATCTCCACGCTCCAATCCGACCTCGCCGCCGTCTCCGCCGACCGCGACGCCGCGCTCCACCACGCGCAAGACCTCGAAACCGCCATCGCTTCCGCGCGCCAAGAGCTCGAGTCTTTCCGCCACGAGAACGCCCTCCTCGAAGAACGCACCCGCGACGCCGAACGCCGATGCCAGCTCTTCCTCGACCAGTTCGAAACCAGTGTTGACAACTACCGGCGCATGAGCCAGCTCCAATCCCTTCCCCCAAACAGCCTCAATAACCCCAACCCCAACAGCAGCGGCACATACACGCACAAGCGCGCGCACGACAGTATATCGGGCGATAGCATCTACAGCCAGCAGTCTGAAGACGATCCGACGACGCCGCTCGCGGCACCGCAGAATCCGTACCAGACGAGCCAGGTAGCGCGGAATAGCGTCGCGCTGGATAGTTTGGCTACGGAGTTGGATGCGCTGAGAACGCATTGGGAGACGACGAATAGGAATTATAGGGGCGATGATAGGTTTGATTTTGAGAGGACGCCTACGACGCCGGGAGGGGGGGAAGGGGGATTGGGGGGTTGGAGGAAGAGGATGGAGATCGATGATGACGGGCAGCTGGAGGGTAAGGGGACAGGGCTGGGGGTGGGCATCGGCGAAGGGAATGGGGAGTATGAGAGGAAGAGGACTTCGCCTGCGAGGGATGCGGAGGGGGAGGGGAAGGCGGTGTCGTAGTGGGCGGGGGATGCGCGTCATAAAGGTACGGGAAGGTGGCTTTGACACCATGGGAGTCGCGAGATGGCTCCAGGCGTGGCATCCCATTCACTACATCCACTTTCTCTTCACCTACTTTCGTCATCTTTTACCGGATCGGAGGCGTTTCTTCTCTGGTGCGGAGTTTTAGTTTGGCGGTTTCTAAGATTTTCTATCCGTTTTCTTTGCAGAACACACAGTTCTGTGCCTCGGCGGGCTTTTGGAATTTCGTTATCGGTGTATGCTTAGTATGCCGTCCGTTTATGGTAGTACCGGGAGTCTTGGAGTTGGTGTAGGGACAGCTAGGGCTCGATAGCATGCAGCAATACCAAGTTAAGGGATTCTTATTCGCTTGTAATTACCTTCAAGATTTCATGATGCTATGAAGCGCTAGCCCATCCAAAGCATTACTGAGCCGATGCCTTGCGAGATCACGCGACCCTTCCAAGCTACTCTACGCAATGCTCAAAACGAAGCCAAGGACGTGCTGTTGTACAAACATGAGGGCATGCGCCGTAAAGTTTGCATGATCCCGCGCTTAAGAACGAACGCATAAAAGCAACAGAGCTGTTTTCCACAGGTCTATTCTTGTCCGCATGTGTTCCCGAAGCGCACCCGTTCCTCAGTATAGCTAATAACCGCCGCGCTCCATGATTCGAAGCCAGTACTGCATCGAATCTAGATTCTCCGGGTGTGAGCTTGGGACACTTACTTCTGCTTGCGCGGCTTGAATTGCGCGAGGAGGTCGGCAGGTGCTCCCCCGGGACTTGACGTGCCAGCAGCAGGGTCCGGCTTACTCTTCGGATCGTCCTCTCCGCTATCTGTGTGCGCAGCAGGAATGGCGGATGGTGCGGTATCGTTAGGCGGATCGACGCCTGCCTTTCCGTTCGCTGGCGCCTTCTGCTTCCCTTTGGCTGCTCTGACGGGGTTGGCGACACTATCGAAAAACTTTGAGGAAACGGGGTTCGTGCTCCGCGATGCCATTGTCTTCTTTGCTGCGGCGTAGTTGGCCGGGGAGACGGCGACATGGGGGTGGGTGTGGGACGCTTCGGCGGCAGCGGTTGTCGTTGTGGTTGTCGATGGAACTTTGGGGCGTAGCACGGTTTCCTCTCCAATGTCCTCAGCCGTTTCTCTGCCTTGACCGCCGATGAGATCAGGTGCGACCGTGCCTGCTACTGGATGATCCGCAAGCTTCACACGAGCTCTAGGTTTTGGAGCAGCTTTCGCGGCGGTTGTTCGCTGGCGCTTCGGGGGCGGCGCCATTACGTATGTCTGATGTATCGCATCAGTAGCGGCCATGGCGGAGGCACGACCTGCAATAGTCAGTTCTGTTCCCCACGTGCAAGACGATTACGCTCGAGCGCGAGCTTACTAGTTCGGGGTTGTACTAGAGTTCGTTGACGCCTCACGAAATCCTCGAGGGTTCCTTTTTGGCCTGCCAGCTCCCAGCTTTGCCGCCATAAGGTCTTCTCCGCGGCAGTCACAGGATGGTCTACATGTGAGTTCGCCTGGGGCTCTGCGGAAAGCTGTATCTGTGCCGAATCCTGAGCCTGTACTGGATCTGGAATTTGCGTTGCATTCTCCTCGCTGGTGCTCATGACAGCATCCCCGTCGTTGTCGACGCGAGCTTCGGCGTCCCTCACTGCTGCTGGCGTCGAAGGTACTAAAGTGCCAGGAGATGGCGGCGATAACGGCCGAGTGTTGCTGAGCACGGCGGCACAAAAAGCGGCTGTTGCGGTTTGTGCGTCTGATGACTGAGCGATCGCAGTATTGTTTGCTGAAATAATAGGTTCCGAATACAGTGCTTCAGCCAGACTTGGCGGTGTTAGCCGTTTCCTGATCACCCTGCCAGGTTGGAGGTGCTCCCACGGCAGTTCTTTCGTAGGTTGCGTCGCGTCGCGCAAAATCTGCTGTAATGGCAAGCGCGACACACAGTTCCCTATAGTTCTATCTTGCTGAGCAAGAGTGGGTTCTTCGGTGCTTGGGCGAGCACTTGCGTCCGACGGGAGACCCCGTGGCGACCTACGCGTTCAAATAAGCCGACGTTATTAGGCGCGGCGGCCTTGAGAATCTTCATGAGTGATAGGTTAGATGCGACTTACGGGACTTGCGGTTTGAAGCGTTTTAGTGCATGCTCAATTTCCACCATGAAGGTATCCATATGACTACGAAGCTCACTGCGCGCATTGTCGCCTTGCTTTTGGTGCTCACTTAACGAGCTGTCGATGTGCCCCCGAAGCTCGTTTAGTGAACGGTGGATTTGCTGTTGATGCTCAGCCAGAGCCTCGCCGATCGTTTCTTGTAATAGACGCCTAACAACCGCCTCAAGGGAGGGCGATTGGGTCCCCATATTTTCAGTGAGTCCGACCGGTGACTTTGTCGACGACGGTGGACGTAGTGATAGTAGAGCTGATGACTGTATGGGTGGTTGTGAGTTGAAAGGATGATTGGAGAGAATGCGAGGTTTGGTGTGGCGAAGTCTTTACCTGGTGAAGGCAACGCAGCCAGGCACAGAAACGAACAGAATGCAGCTATCGGAATTAGGCAGAAGCCTATAGCCGCTGCAGGGCAACGGCTTAGAGTGAATCTACCGAGCTCAACCTAGCCTGACGTTCGCTGTTATTGATCTTGTAAGCTATCATGCACGCCCATCATCTTCCACATAAACAGTTCCAATTGATGAGAGCTGCCCAGCAATCAAGCTGCGCCGCAACAGCCGCAACAAGTAAGGGATAAGTTTCTTGAACTCGCCGCATGTGTCAGATGGCTGGTTTGTCACCAGTCATATCTGATCTTGTAGTTCCTCTGTTAATGATGATAGGGCAGACTGAGACTTTGACGAAACATGAGAATGATGCCTTGTTCCAGCCACAGATTGAACGCGCTTAAATCTGATATGATGCCTTATCGCCAGGAACCGCTACACATACAGTAAGTTAGATCCCCGTTGTAGCGCAAACACTTTGTACAATCGAGCACGGCCACAGAGTGCACTTCCCTAGTGCAGCTTCTCCCATGTGGTGTCGCCTTAAAACCTCCGCTCCGCTTGATCCTGCGGTATCCTTGGATAATGCCGTGGCATTACTATCGGTCTTCGTCGTGACCGATGCACTTGTGCAAATGCCTCCATTGCCATCGGCGAGCTCTCCGTTCGTATTGTAGTGCCAATCGACATGAAGAAGCTGCGTGAACAACGATCAGCGCCCCGGTCGTCGACGTCTTCTGCCAGCACCTACCCGAACGTCGCGGCCGATCCTAACATGTACTGTCCCAGTGTCCGTAGCATGCCGTTGGGGCCCGGCCCGAACCTTATGATGTTCGTGGCTCCTGCTGAACGTCAGACTGTCGGCTCTTGAACTGTCTGAGCTCAGGCTGCCTATATACCGAATATGAACCCGATGATTAAGCCGACGGCTGTAGCGGAGCGGGTTAACGGTGAAGGAGTTCAACGGGGTGCCATGGAGAAGACGTACATCCACCCATCATGGCGCCCATCTTAACTGGATGATCATCAGCACGGAGATTCCATCCAACTTATTCGCGGGACTTACGCTTGTCGAAGGTCGACGGACCCGTCATTCCTCCTCCAACAGGGACAGGCATCTTGACAGGAAGTTCGTGTACCTTATGTTCAGGTGGTGGTGCAGATGGCTTCAGACAAAGTTCGATGGGTTGCTGCAGAGGGAAGTGTGGCAGCTGTAGCTAGATTCTTAGGCGCATCGTCTCCGTACCAGAGCTCCCGCCCTCCCGCCTCTCTCTCTCTCCACAACGTGGAAGACTGAACCTCGCGCAAACGAACGATCCGTGCGTTATGTCACGTGCTCAGGTTGAGGCCCGGACGAGAAGCCATCGAGCCCCATCCACAAGAGAAACCGTCCCGCCCATCTCTAGCACTCGCTGCACCGAAGGCCTGTCGAGGCAACCGCTCTGTCTCTTTCCAAGCCCCGAACTTGACGCACCTCTGAGCGTTCGCATGGGCGGCACAGCAAACGTCGACCGGCTTCCTGAACCTGAGCCTGAACCTGAGCCTGAACCTCGAGCGGCTAGTGACAGCGCCAAGCGTTCCTCTCTCCTCCTTGACAGGAGAACCGACCTGGAACTGCCATACCAACACCAAAACAATCCCACACGACGCCTTGCACCTCTGCCGCTGTAGCAACCCGGTCAGTCCCTCTGGATATCCTCACTGCCGCAGCGGTCCAGCGTCTGGCGCCTTGTGGCTTCCGCTGCACTTCCCTCTGCTTTGACGTCGCACCGCACGGCTGACACCGACGCAGCACACGACAGATCGCGGCACACCTCGCTCAATCGGCTGCGCCATGTTCTAGCCGAAGCATCGCCATATTCATATGAAACCACGACGAGAAAACTCGGCAATTGTTGTTCGCTTGGATTTTTGGGGTTGAGGGCGATTGCCACAGGGCTTCCAGCATACGGTAGAGGGTTGGAGAAACCGGACCACACAACTACAGCTTTCTCGTCTGGGCAGTCGCTCTCTGCAGTAGTGGCAGATGACGGCAGTCGCACCTCCTCCGAACTTCCAGCCCATCTCTCGAGCAGGATGGAGCGGTCCTAACGGAGCCCCAAACGGCATGAATTCCATGAGTGCCGACGAAGTCTCTCGGATGTTCATGCCTCGCAAAGCCGCCCAGCGCACCACCTCGTCCTCGTCCATTGCTTCATCTGCATCCTCGAACTCGACCGTCTCTGCATCGTCAGTGCAGACCAACGGCGCGCCCGTCGACGGATTTGCAAGAAAGAAACCTGCACGCAGCCTATGGCCGCCGTCGAAGGCCGAGCCCACAGCAGGTTTGTCCACAGCGCGGCCACAATCGGTGGCTTCTTCAACGTCGGGGCCGTCCGCAGCTTCTGGGCTGTCGGCGCTACATACTCCATCATCGATGCTGCCATCACAAAACGGCGTCCAACCGCAGAATCAGCTCAATGGCGCGCCTAGGCCGCAAGGACAGCCGGAGTCCGCTGCTATACTCCACCTGTTGCCGATGAACGGCACTTTCGAGCGGAAGACCATCAGCGTCCCATTTTATCCAGATGTCCTACGCATAGGCCGACAGACGAACAACAAGACCATACCGACTCCGACAAACGGCTACTTTGACTCCAAGGTGCTTTCACGACAGCACGCCGAAGTATGGGCAGACCGCAACGGCAAGATATGGATTCGAGACGTCAAGTCCTCAAATGGCACTTTTGTCAATGGGCAAAGGCTGTCGCAAGAGAACAGAGATTCCGATCCTCACGAGCTGCGCGAGCAAGACATGCTAGAGCTGGGGATCGACATCGTCAGCGAAGACCAGAAAACAGTAGTGCATCATAAGGTCGCCGCGCGAGTGGAACATGCGGGCATATACACGAATGGCAACAACATGATGGACATGAACTTTGGTGACCTTGATCCGTCCGCAAACGGTGGTATGATGAACGCACCGATGGGTCAGAACATGGGTCAGCTAAGAGCTCGGAATGGAAGTCAAGGATCCATGGTCAGCAACGGACGGCTAGGCGGCGGGATGGGTGGCATGGTGAACAACGTGGGAGCATTGGGTCAGACGCCAGGCATGCTAATACGGCCATGGCTGCAGACCATTACCGTGGAGCAGGTTGTTAAGAAGCTAAACGTGAGTCGACCCTACCAAACTTCCACCACCTTTACTAACCAAACGCAAAGTCGGAAATCAGAAGTGCCAAGCAGCAGTCCATCGACCTACAGCGAGCGGGCCAGTATGTCGACTCGCTTCTGGCAGGCGAACTGAAGAAGGAGGGCGCCAAGCTTTTGAACGTGCCTCAGTCGAAGCTCTCGCCAGTCAAGGGAGACCTGAAAGCACGGTTCTCGGATCCGCCGGCGCCGCCGCCTCAGCAGCCGTTACCCGAAAAGCCGGACGCCGCTCGCATTACAGCTGAAAGTGTTTTGCCCTTACTACGGAGGAGTGATACGGCGAAACCAAAACTACCAATGGCTGACAGCTCACCGCTACGGTCTGATCAAGGTTTACAAGTCACGTCGCTTGTTGAAGCCTTGACGTCGGCGAAGAAGGAACTTGAATCGCAGAACGGCCGCTTGAAAGATCTGGAGGAGCTGCTAGCGCAAGAGCGGCAAGCTAGGGAAAGCGCAGAAGAACGCGCGCAACGTCTAGAAATGGAGTCCAAGAAGGATCTAGTAGCTCTGGATGACACCGCTCCGAACGAGGACTTGGAATCCACACGCCAAATTGTTTCTGGGGATGCGAGCTCGGACACGGCAGCCGTTGACGCCTCAACTTCTAGGTTGCAGAAACGGCTTGAGCTTTTGGTTGCTGAATTGGGGGAAGTGAAAGAGCAGTTGGAGAAGGAACGATTCAGTCGAAGAGATGCGGAGGCTGAGCGCGATGCGGTGCAAGAGACATTGGCGGAAATGGTTGAGAAGCTCAGACAAAAGCAAGATGAGCAAGCATCGCGCGCCTCGTCACGGTCTCCGCGGCGCCACAGCAGTCCAGGCGAGAAAGTCGCTCCTTCGAGCCCCGATCGAGCACCAGTAGCCAATGGCGACATTGAGAAGAAGAGAGAAGAGGAGGAACAGTGTCTGAGCACAGCTGCGATGCTCAGAAAGGTAGGTATCGAGCAGAATGGTCGGCCGGTCACTCCCGAGCAGGTCAGGGAGTTGGAGCAGGCCATGTCCCAGGCGTTGGCGACGAAGTTCGGGAAGGGAGATCAGCTTGTGCACCTTTCGCCGTTCGCGGCTGCCCTTGCCGTCATCCTCACCGGCATCGGTCTGATGAGCTACCTCAACGGGCTCCCGAAGATCGAGCGATGAACTGCTGAGAAGTAACGGACAACATCGTTCCCCTTCCTGTAAGGCCGTCAGGCTGCTGGGAGGTGTGCTATCAGTAGGGTGCTTCCGCTCACAATTTGCGCCACTCGACAACACCGCGGATCGTCTGTTGGGGTTGGATACGTGCGGCTTGCTTCCAATCATCAGCATCGCGTTATCCCTATATCCCTCTTGCACCCCCTGAAGCCTACGGCGAAGGGGGATGCAGCAGGGCCGCACAGCGTTGCCCGGTCTACCCTCGCATACGACGCCTCGCATCGGCGACACATGAAAGAGCCACAAGCTACGATGACACACTACGACCGACACGTCTCCATCGCCTCGTCCTCTCGCCCTCCCTGGACGTCGCGTACACCTTGCTTCCTTGCTACCTTGCTATCTTGCTACCGTCCTATCCGCCCACGTATGGGCTTTTCTTTCTCTTACCAACTTTCGGGGTCAGGAGTTCTGCATTTGCGACGGCGAACAGCGGCGCCCTGGATGGGTCTTTGGGGTTGGATGTTTTCTTCAGCTTTTTGCGAAATACCAGTTTCGCATGTTGACATTCGTTTGGATCACGGTGCGGGCGGCCGCCACGAGGTGCGGCTTGTGACGGTGCGAGAGGCTCTGTAGTGCGGCGATTAGTTCATTTGTTATTGTAAATACAATCAGTGATCTTCTCTTTTGAGTTTCTTGGAGTGGATGCATGGATGCTCTGAGGCATGGCTGTGGGCTTTGGCCTTGGATCAGAACATGGTGCAAGAATGGGGATATCTTCGCATACTGTTACGACCGCCATGCTTCCACCCAGTGGGCTTCGACATCTCCCAAAGCTCTCTCATACTCCCATAATCCTTCCCTTAGTAGCACCATCAATGGTAGAGTTAGCGGAAGTGCCAAGGCCCACGTGACGAGCCATCACATGCAATTGACCTAACTCCTAGCCGACCTCGACACCCCAAAGCTCCAGCCAGCCCTCGAGGCACTCGATGCCCCAGCATAAGTCGCTCTGCACAAACAATACCGATGGCTGCAACGCTTCCAACCCCTCCACCTGAGCTCCCCAATCCACCCTCCGCTCCCTCCCGCGAAGCCCTCCTCGACAACCTCGACACCCTCCTCGAACGCTACCTCCATCTCCTCGACGAATACCAAGCCGCGCGCCAGCAGCTCCAGAAACAGCTGTCTGCGGGGTACATATCTCTCGCGCAAGCAAACTTCAGTGCGCCGAGGGGTGTGAGATATGGACGGGACTGCTACGACGAGCGGATGGGGGGGGCTACGCGACGCGTAGCCGTCTCTACATCCGACAACCGGCAGACAATCAAGATCGAGGTGCCAGAGAGCACGATGGGCGCTGCAGATATCTCACCTGCCGCCGCCATCACCTCCAAAGACGACGCCGAAGAGCCCAGGCAGCCGGAAGTGCACCCCGCCGACCCCACACAGCCTATACAGCAGGAACACCCAAAACCAAAGAACCCAATAACAATGTTCGGCATCCTCACCCCACCAGCCCTCCGCGCCGCGCAGTCGTCCTTCGTCAAAGCAGTCGAGGGACCGGTACCGCGGCTCGTGGAGCTGGGGGCGCGGCTTAGGGCACTGGAGGTTGAGGTTGGAAGAGCGAGGAAGGCTTTACGGAAGGCTGAGGGGTGAGATTTCGCTCGTTGCAGGAGGGCGCTTGAAGTGTTGGTGTGATGTAGGGTGTGAGGGTGGCCGTCGTGATGGGCGTTATGGGGATGGGAGGGTTGGTGGATGGTGGGTTGAAGGGCACGGCGGCGGGATCTCTACAGGGACGATGTGGAGGACGGTTGGCCATGGAATGGGTCCGACAGGGCCTCGTTCGGCTTTGCAAGCCTGTGGACCGGCTGTGCATATTGGTTCTTGCGACGATGCAGAGCCCTATCGGCGCATCAAGGGGCACCGCCCAGGTGATGATGCCGACTCTGGACGGCTCACGAAACGTTGGGTTACAGCTATCGAAGAGCTGCCAGAAGTACTGCCGTTGCGGATAGCCTGACGAGTTAAGCTGTTTCATATGATTGTGATGAGTTTGATGGCTGTATATGAGTGAACGGAACAGAGAAAGGAAGGCCATGAGCAGAGCTTTCTAGGATATGCTGGTGCACGTTATTCCTATATGCTGGGCTTGTACCAAAGCTTTCAGATAGATTTTCGACGGCGATCGAATAGTAGCGTCGGTAGGAACGAAGCTGTGGAAATCACAAATCCAAGTAGTCACAGACTGAGCTCAGACTTGACAGATATCGGGCCTTCCTGAAACGAACGATAGTAATCACACACTTAATAAACTGACAAAGGCCAGTTCCGTTAACACTTTGTCATTTCAGAGTATCGGAGAAGGCTTGACGATTACCCACGCCCATCTCGTCTCATAAACCTGAGCGCGATGCTGAGCGCGAAGGCGTTAGGTGAGATTGCTAAGATTTCCTACTGTACAAGAGGATTTTTGTACACTATATGATGCAGCTCCATCGGTAAGCCCCCTGGCTTCGACCACAACGCCGCCCAATGCTCCTCCATCCGTCCAGCCAAACCCAACCCTGATACAAGCACACAATCTTTTACACTTTACATCCCCAACATCTCCTCAATATCTAACGCCTTCTCTCCCCTCCCCCTCCCTCTCTTCCCCTCCCCGCCCTTCTTCTTCCCCATCTTCCCCTCACTTCCCCGCCCAACACCCTCGCCCACTACATTCCCATACCCATCAACCGGCACCTCAAAAAGCCTCTTCCCCTTCCCCTTAACCTTCCCCCTCCCCTGCCCCCCCTTCCCGGCCCTCTTGACATTCCGCCACCCCTCCCCGCCCACACTCCTGCCCCTCGGCACCTCCCCTTCATCTCCAGGCCGCCCCAGCCGCACAGAGCGCGGCACCCGCGTCTTGGCCCCCAACGCCCACAGGTCTCCCCACTGCGCCTTTCTGGCGTCGCGGTACGCGCGCTTCGAGTAGGAGCGGCTGACGGTCCAGCGCTCCAGCGTGCCGGAGGGCGTGCAGACGTCGAGAATCACGTGGCCGCGGCGCTTGAGGGGGGGCAGGATCGTGCGGGGGAGGGCGAGGGGGTTTATTGGGGGTTGCTCGGCAGCTGCAGCGGCTGTGAGCTTGACCCCTTTGTGCGTTTCTGCTTCTGCTTCCGCTTCCGTTGGTGCCGCTGGGACGGCGGCGGAGAGATGAGTCGAGGGGGTAGGCGTCGCGCCTTCGTGTCCTGCGAACGCGGCGGTGGTTGCGATATCACCTTGCTCCAGGCCGTGAGAGACGCGCTGATCCCGCCCGCGCTGCACAGTGAGGTACGAGAAGTGGACGTCCTCGTGATTGCGGTCATGAGCGCCGAGGACGCGTTGCAGGAACGGCGGACGAATGAAGCGCTGGCTAAAATAACAGAAATCCTTTCTCCCTTTGCTGAGGCCTGGAGTCGTGTACATAGGGCAGGTGCCGTGGTTTGTGCAGGGGGCGACGATCATTGCTTGTTCCCCCTTGACCACGTGCCCGTGGAGCGGTTGGTGGGCGGGATCGTCGGCGGTCGAGGTTGAGGAGGGGGAAGTAATATGGTTGTCGAGGAGCATGGCTCGCGCGCCGGCGACGGCTTCGAAGCCGCGGGGCATCCCCTTTTCGATGAGGATGAGGACGCCGCCGGCGGGGTTGAGGAGGGACCAGAGCTTCTGGACATGCTGTTTGCGGAGGTAGTCTTCTTTTAGTGGTAGGAGTGTGTGTGGCGCGATGATGATGTCGTATAGTTTCCTTGGCTGCGCTTTGTTTTCATCTGCAGGATGAATTGTGTCCGGAAGGCGAGGCAGGAACGTCGTACTGTCCAGCAGCCGACTCGCACGGTGCCGTAGGGTATCAGAGCCGGTCAGAACTGTTGCCTTGCCCAGCGGTAGCGAGGCCCTAGAGATGTTATTCTCGTGCATCCTATCCCATTCGGCCGCAAGAACTTCTCGCCAAGCCAGAACGGCCGCACCGCCAGCACCGGCATCGAGAATGAATGGGCCGCCTTCTTTGCGAAGCAGCGATTCCAACCACTCGGAGCCTAGGCGCTTTCGTGTCTCGACAATCGTGCTTAACGCAGCAGCGTAGGTGCCGGGCATGATCGCTGTCATATACACGTTCCCTTCCATCTCCGTCATCTGGCCCTGGGCAGCTTCCAGAGCTATAGGCTTCTGTTCAGGGGGTCGGCCTATCATGGGCGTGGACGTGGAGAAGGGCAGGCCTATGCCGCCAAAGGTGCGGTGAGCGGCCTCTGTGAGATGCTTGTTTGGTGTGCCAGCGAGAAGATCTGAGACAGGCTCGACAAAAGTAGCTTTGGGCAGGTTGACGGTGGATGGTGATGTCGCGAATCGGCCAGCTGCAGTAAGCGGATGCGTCCGTTCGGTGGGCGAGTCTGCGTATGAATCCGGTTCAAACATGTCCTCGAACTCGCCATCTTCTTCTATGGGAAGCTCTACTTCGTCCAGATCCACCTCTTCGCCCAGCACGATATCCGCCAGCTGCTGCGTCTGAAACTCCAGCTCTGCGTCAAGCTCCGTGACTTGCCCATTCAGTATCTGATATGCGCTGGACCCGCTCGCTTCTTCGCCTTGTAGTTCCGGGACCGGTGCCTGGTAAAACTCCACCTCCTCCATCTCGCCATCTTGCCCCCTCCGCAACAATGCGTAGCCTCTGCTCTGCTCTTCCACAGCTGGTTCAACATCTTCTCCGCGTTGCAGCTCCGCCACTTCGTTGAGATCTGTTGTCCATGTTGGAGCCCCATATAACCGCTCATACACATTGTACTCTTCTAAAGATAAGTGGCCCTCCGGTAGACTATCGCCAAAGGTCTGCCGTGCCCGTCTGGCAACTGCTTCTATCTCCTTGTGAGAGCGTGGGATGTAGGGAGGTGGCGCATCTGCCAAAGGTTCGACGCTCGTCGCGGAGCTTTGCTGCGTGCTGTCGAGGTGCCTGGATGCGGCTGTGAAGTTCCTGCGATGCGGAGTATGTGTATACTGCTGCGACAACCGTAACCGTTTGCCGTTGGGTAATAATCGTCCAGGCAGTGATCGAGTGCTTTCAGCGCTGTGGCGGCTTGCAGCGTTGAGTAGGCTCAGTCTACAAGACCAACATACTGTTTGAAGCTGCCTTACAGCTAGCATATTGATATTGAGGTTCTTCAGTCTGATTTGTACCGAATGACCGGGGACGGTGGTTTGAGCTGGAAATACTCTGATGCTCGAGAGCGGCGAACCCTGGAGCAAGTCCGAAATGCACGCACCAACCAGCGAGTTTTCCGCCTTCAGGCAGTTCACCATTTGTATCACCATTTGTATCGCGTACAGCGGTTTGAATCTGGAGTGGAAGACCGTGGCTAACTCCATGCATATGTTTTCTATGTAGACAGCAATGAAGCACATCTCCCCAGAGTGAAGATAGTGCTTGCAAGGTAAGCACTGCATTGACCATCCGCACCACACAGTCTCCCCCCGACCACAATGGCAGCAATAATACATTGCTGGCATTTGTGATCAAAGTCGACTCCACCAGCTAGACATGCCCGTCTTGTCCAGCATCCATCGAATCCTCGATCCCGCCTTGCAATTTAGTTTCGTCCCCTGAATCTTGATACCTCCCCACAAGCAGACAGACCTCTCCCATTGTGATGCAGAAAAAGCAAGCAACGCAGTAAAGAAACAGAACCAGACAGTGCAGAAGGGGATTATTAGATGTGAGAAAAGCAGCGCAAAACCCGGAACCACAGTGCAGACCGCTTGCATAGAGCGTCGGATAACCAGCGCTCATAGCCAACACCCGCTTCCGTTCCCAGTCAAGCAGCACGTTCGTGGAACCGGTGAACAGTCCATCCCGCCCAAAGCCATGTTGGTGTATCTTGACGGATCCGAAGGGGCTCATCTAATCGGTCGAACGGCCATATGCTGAATGATGCAACACGCTCTTGCACGCGCAAAGCAGATGTTGTGAGATTGTCCTGGGTAAAGCAATTTGAGAAAGGAATGCCGAGTTTGCATGTCGCCATCCAGGAGAAGAAAGGGACGGCGAGGCCGCGTTTCCCATAGTGCTGAGTAGAGATGGTATCTTGTTCGAGTCGACAGCCGAGTCTGCTGACGCCCGCCTAAGTACCAGTGATTGAAAGTTGCGCCCAAGGGGCTATCGAAAGTTCGTGATCAGTACCCGCCGCTCTGGTAGTCAGCACCACCGCGCTTAGAGGAACGAAGCTGCCTGTGACGGTGAATTCGAGGTCAGCAAACGTTGTTCCAACAGCCCCCCGCGCCAAGCGTCGTCGAACACTAAACGCTGAGGAGAAGGGTCCTTACAGGGACCAGATATCGAACTCACATTCCGGTGCCTTCCTGACGCGGGTTGACTGGACCGCGGCGCTTGTCAGTGATGGTGCCGGTCCCTGCTGCGGTCTGGCCAGCGGTTGCTGCGTTGGTGCGGACACGTCCAGTCTTGTCTTCCGACTCTTCTGGCTGGGCCTGGTTGCCGGCGGCTTGGGCGATGGCCTGGGCGTTCTTCTGGTACTTGTACACGGTCCAGTCGAAGACGTAATCGTACTGGAACCCCTCACGGACGAAGAGATCGCGGAAAATCTTACGGAGATAAGAGTAGTCTGGCTTGTCGTCGAAGCGCAGGGAGCGCGTGTAGTTGAGGTAGATGGCGAATTCGTTGGGGAATCCACGGCACAGGACCTCCGTTGGAGTGGTCATCTTCTTCTCCATGATGCGATCGTACTTCTGCTTCTTCGTGGCAGCCTTGAGTCCCTGCCACGGGAGGGAGCCGCGGCAGAAGTAGAGCATGACATAGCCCAGAGACTCCATGTCGTCGCGGCGAGACTGCTCGACGCCCAAGTGGGTGTTGATGCTGGCATAGCGGGCGGTACCAGTCAGGTTCTTGTTCTCACGGTAAGGGATGTGGAAATGGGTCTTCGGATCCCTATACTTCTTGGCCAGACCGAAATCGATGACGTTGACTTGGTTGCCACGCTTGCCGATGCCCATGAGGAAGTTGTCCGGCTTGATATCACGGTGAATGAACGACTTGGCATGGATGTACTCGATGCGTGAGATGAGCTGGTCGGCGAGGAGAAGAACGGTCTTCAGGGAGAACTTGCGGTTGCAGAAGTTGAAAAGGTCTTCCAGACTGGGTCCGAGGAGATCCAGGACCATGGCGTTGTAGTCGCATTCAGTACCAAACCAGCGAACGAACGGGATACCGACACCCCCGGCAAGAGACTTGTACACACGGGCTTCATATTCTAGTTGCGGGTGCTTCGCCTTGACGCTCTCGAGTTTGATGGCGATTTCCTCGCCGGAGATGATGTTGGTGCCTGTCATCAAGTCAGTCAAGGCTGAGAACGCTCATAGACGAACAGCCAAGCCTACCAAGGTAGATGTCACCAAAGCTGCCGCTACCAATTTTGCGGCCGATACGGTACTTGTTGCCGACTCGTAGATCCTATGTGGAGATTAGCACACGCTCCCGGTGGCGGTAAAGCCTTTGAAGAAGTTCCAAGCAGAGCTTTCTTCAGCAAAGGGGGCAATGTACCATTGTCGTCATACTGCAGGTTCGTCTTCTTCAAGAAGAAGCGTTGAAAGAGCCGGACGGCTTAAGGACGGTCGAGTTCGTGGGCTGGTAGAAGTGTAGAGGAGTTTTGAAGTTCAGCCTGGTCTGGTGAGGTTCCGGTCAGCGAGAGTTTGCCAGCAAGGCGGTGTGTCCGGTGACAAGCGAACGGGGTCAGGCACAACGTAGCTGCTTTACAAAACAGCTGAAAGAGAGAGTGCTGCAGCAAGACGATCGAGGAAGGGCACCCGTGACTGAGAGATGTTTTGTGTAAGTGTGTGTTAGGGAAGTCACACACCTCTGGGTACCAGCGAGTCGGGCAGAGTGGAGAAGCAGGTTTGATGCCCGACCGACGAGAGTTTGACGCGTGGCCTTGGATGCAGGCGTGACGGACCGAGCGAAAGGAGACGTGTGAAGACGGTGGACAGCGAGCCCGGTGTCTCTGCTGGCAGTCCCTCAGGATATGTGTGAGGGAAGGGGAGGTAGTGGTGTTGGTGTTCGGGGAGGGCTTGGAGCAGTTGAGTTTAACCAGATGCCGCCCAGAGAGCCTTGCCGACCGACCCGCTAACCGCATTCGGCAGCCCCAAAATTGGAGATTGCACCTCACGCCCTTTAGCTGAACGAGGCCTCCCCCTCAGCTGGTGCTTCCTTCTAGAATAACCGGATATCTTACTCGGGCAACAGCAGCGGTGCCTCCTCGTTGACGGCAATAACACGAACTCACGTCAAAGCTGCAGGACGGCGTAGACTCTCCAAATCGGGATTGTCCTCTTTTCTCTCAGCTGACGGCTTTGCCTCTCCTCCTTTGTGCGGAGTACGAGTACTGCTGCTTACGCCAGCAACGCCTGCCCAATGGTCCGCCAATAGATGGAGAGTCAGTCACCCACACAGCTCCTTCTCCCAAGGTTCTGCGTACAGTACTACGTGAATGGCACAAGGCTCAAATCAAGCAGTCGCTGCCGCATCCTCTCATGCGTGACGACTACTTCGTCCGAGCCTTGGCAGCAGAGCTTGGGTACGGTCTTTGACGCTTCCTACTGCAGTGCATCCCGAGACTTGCAGTACACGAGTACCTAGGTACTCGGGTCACCACGATCTGCCATGCATTATGCGGGACAGGGAAGGTCCACGCAGCTGCAGCGGAAGAGGCTCCTCACCACTGGACGTTGAGATAAGCTTGAAAGTTGAGCGACACCGCCGTCATCGGAGAGTTCCTTTTTTCAACCATTTTTCCAGAATTCGTCGTGTTCCCGAGGCTCGCCAAACTCACTTATGCACGGCGATGCATGAGGTGCAAGCGAGCTGTGATCTACATGTCTTAACTACGCAGCTCACGTGACATGCTATCTATTAGTGCCTACTGAAGTGACGAACGCCTAGGTAGTAGGAGATTCTGCTCGCAAGATGCAGCCGCCGACTGTGTCAAACGATTGCGTGGGTCGAATTTCACGATATATGCCTACCTCAGACTGGTCGTACTCAGCATCCTGTGCATATCGGCCCTTCGGCTCTGTGGGTGAGTGTCACGCCATTTGCTATCGTGGAGATGTCTAGAATTGTGTCGGACGTGATGTGCGTAACAGAATCACGCCAACCACTCGTTGCTCATCTAAAACCCCTCCGTGTCCATGTTCTCCGTTGCCACTACAGGGTATTGACGCAGCCGATGGATAGTCCGCAACAGTCTGACAGTGGCTTCTTGATGGGCCAATCCCTTTTGTAGGAGGCTCATTGGCCCATACGTTCAAAGCCACGTCTCTCGCTCCAATCTTACTGTGACCCAGTATACTGAAACCCCTACTGAGGAAGACACTATCCATCGGCCGCGTCAATACCCTGTATAGCTTCATCTGGTTAGTTGCTTCTCTGCCCACAGTACAAAGCGGGTGATTCGTAACAAGGATCAGAGGTTGACGCAGCTTTGGGTACCTTTAGAGAGCATTACTGCTGGACTCTGTGGTGTGAATGTAGTGGGACAGTAGTATATTCCGAGGGAGATGAGTGACGACCACGGGCCACATGGAGATGTGGAGCAGCACAGAGATGTTGTTACAAGCAGGGCGCAGAGGAGAAAATCGTGGACAATGACTGAGAAAGTAAATCTGGCATTTTCATATCCTTGAAGAGCAGTTCTCATCCACAAACGCTCCTGCAATTCAATGATTCTCATTTGCACATTTGGCAGGCATGCGGAAACTATTTTGATTGTCTCGAAACCCGTCTATTCCACTACCACAGCCTCATCAACCGCTCCACTCCACGATATCCGCGGCATGCCCTCGCATATGTATAGTACGCCTAGAACAAGAGTCTGTCTGCCTAATGACCACCATTCGGCACGCTCTTCGCTCCCGGGTTCCGCGGATCGTTCTTGTACTCGTCGGCTGGGAACTAGTAAGCTTTTGGGTGCACTACCAATGTTTCTTCGTTCCAAGGCATCCAGCGTGGGGTTCTCGTGGTGACTAGGGATTACTGACTGCTGGCTAGTGTGTTCGCGAAGGAGTTGACGCCGTAGAGGATGACGAGGCCTGCCGTGGGTGCGGTGTCAGCGTATGTCTCATAGTGCCAGTTCCCGGCTGTTGAAGCTCTTCCTCTTGCGATTGCTGGTTGTATCCCCGTAGTGTTGTGCGATGATGCCACCAAAGGCGCAGTTGGACATACCGGCAACGTAGAAAGGAGCCATGGGCCGAGCTTGGAGTCTGTTAGTAGAGTCCTTGCGCTTGTGTTTCCGGGTGCAATTGCAGCATACCAACAGGCGCCGGGAACTTCTTGCCGAGGAGACCCATTGTGACGTTTCGAAGAAAGGTGTATGTATTGCGGTGACCGTTTGTTTGCTGTCGTTGATGGGAGCCGTAGCTTTGGACAGCAGTGATGTCGGAAGGTTGAAGAGCTCTTGGCTCTGTCGGCTGGGTTTGGGTATAGCCGCAGTACGCCCGAGGTGGGACCTGAGGACCGCGATTGATGTAAACACCTTGCAATCTAGGCTTGCAATCGAAAAAACTCACATAGGGTCAAGGTGTGTAGCCGGCGAGGAGAGTCAGAAGATGGCGAACTCCCTCGAAGGCTGTGTCTCCTCGCTGCGCTCTTCGATGCAACTCCTCGACTCTTCAATATCGATCCTCGACTCCGGTGTCAACGACTTCCCGCGCTTAGCAAAGGTGCTTCAAACCACACGAGTATGCGGCTCCCTTTACTTGTTGTACGATTGAGTATCTCTGACGTCCTCAGCACTTCGAACTCATCTCCGAACCCGATCTTATCGCCGCGCAAGCCTCCCTCCTCTCCGAGATCCGCCCCGAAGTCGACAACCTCCTTAACCGCGTCTCCAACTACCTCGACAAGCTCGAGCGGCGCGAGCAATCTCTCATCGCCAAGTGTGAACTGAACGAAGGGCGACTTTCGCGAGACAGCAGCTCTGCCTTCGCCAAGCCGCAGAATGCGCGAAAAGCAAGTAGTAGCTACGGGGTCTCGCGGCAGAGTGTTGGCGGGGTTAGTGCTATGGAGGAGTTCAAGATCAAGCAGCTGAGGCAGAAGAAGGAGAGGTTGAGCTACGCGGTGGAGCGGTTGACGATGCAGGCGCATCAGAGGGAGAGGCAGTTGAGGATGAGTATGGCGGCGCCGCAGCAGCAGTTTGAGTAATGGCTGGGCTTGGGAGGCGTTTTGGGGCTAGGAAGATACCCTTGTTTTGGCGTTATTGGCCACTATGATGGTGGTGTGGTAAACCATTTCTATTCATTCATGGGATACTCCCTAAGTCCAACATGCTCAGATTCAATTATGAAGTTAGCTCAGCTTTGCATGGAGAGGCAGGCTGCTTGGTTTTAGTGACTGGACCTTTATCTGCTGTGGTTCCCGCCTTCAATTCAACTCGATCAAAGTACCCAGTTCATCAAGTCCCAGCTATCAACATGTTGATTCATGTTTTGCTCAACCAAGTGAAACACTTTCACCTTCTGAGTCTGTGCAGAAAGATCGAAACCCCACTCGAAAATTTTCCTGTCTAGTACTACTGCACACGCACATGCATATATACTACAATAAGCAGAAATTGCCCCTAAGACTCTTACCGAGAAGGCTATTGGTGCATATGGTGCATTGGGCGCCGAAGGACCAGCGGCGTGGTAATAGGTCATGATCGCCCCTTCGAGCTCGGCTGCAGGTTTGAGTCTTTTTGTTCGAGTCCTTTTGGTACCGTTTTCTTTTCTGGCATTTTGGTTGATCGTTTCACTTGGCATACGCATTGCTGTGCCCGAACCCCGTTCTTAAGCTCGGACCGAAGAAGGCCACCAGTGCATGTGATGGGGTGGCTGCCTGTCTACTTTATGGTTCATGTTGGTTTCCACGCCATCAGGCTAGTAGTAGCCAAAATTATATCCTCTCTACACACTCGTGTAGGAGTCGACCCACCGGCTGCTCCCGTATTGGTTCACTCGGGCAGTGCAAGGGAGATTCGATGGACACGCATCTGCATTTGCAAGAGGACCGGCACGCTTTGCTTTCCACGCTGTAGCATTTTCTGTGCGCTCATTCTATACGTTCTAATAGATTAAGAGCATGACGGGTTTGAGTCGAAGGCGATACTGATTGCCTTCCCTCAAGAGCCTTCCAAGTTGCAATAAACGCCAATCCAATCCCAGTCCAGTGGTGGACAGATGCTTGGAAGCGTACCGGAGTCCGTTTCTTCACTGCCTCAGAAGCAACGTTCCACCACTCATGAACCCCAGCATCACGAGAGGAGGATTTCTATTACTGACACTTCACATGTCACTACAAAGTCCTAGGCGGCCACGGAGGCATATCTAAAGAGTTCCACTAGCTGGGTAACCTTCGTTAACACTGGAGATGAGAAACGATCACAACCAGGGCGCATTCAGGTGCATTCATGCATTGCTGCATCACGTGTGACGGGAGTTTCCTTAACCATGTAGCTGATTCACAGTGTTTGGTGCGGTACAACACTGTCTTCATTGCTGGCACATCAAGAGGACAACCGTATGTGCAGTTCCATCAGCGACACCTTTCGCCCATCCAAAACCCCACAGCGCTTTCTTTGCATCCGATATCCTCCCCTCTAGCCAAACTCCGGCTTCTGCTCCGCACCCTCAACCTGAGCCGAATACTTCAGCCTATCCTTCGTATAAAACTCAACCGCAACATCATGGTTTGAGGCTCCTCCATCCAGCGTGCCACTCTTCACACACGTGACGTCCGGCATGACTTCAAGCTCCGTGTAGAGGCTCGATCCGCAGTTGTTACAGAACCAGTGCTTGTTGATCTTGCCCGATGCACCGGTCGCGTCGTAGGACTTTAGGACATCCTGCCCTTTTGTGACATTGAAGTTGCCGCGCGGGACTACGACGTTGGCGGTGTAGGCGGCGCCGGTCCACTTCTGGCAGTCGACGCAGTGGCAGAGGGCGGTGGTTGCAGGCTCGCCTGGGAGTGGCGGTGTTAGAAGATCTGAGGCGCGTAGTGAAGAAGGGTGTAACGAGTTCTCGTACCCGAATATTCGAACTCGATCTGAGAGCAGAGGCAACTTCCCTTCGCCATATTGAACGCTTTGGCTCGAACTTCAACAAGATGTTTTGGAGTTGTTTTGGTAGGAAGAGAACTTCGCGACAAGCAATCCACAGACAGTTAGGGAATGCGAGAGTTTGACAGGATGCTAGTGATGACTTCTATATACCCTTTCCCCTCCATCCGCACGAAGGGGAGGTGATCACAACCATGGACCCCGCGGTGCAAAACCCCGCGTTAGCCATCATATGCACCCACTAATAAGACTAGATTGGGTAACAAGATTGAATTGGCTTCCGACTAAAGATATGCTTAACATCGGCTTAGATCCTACTGTAGATGGCAGGTGCCCTAAGTTGGAACTGCCTAGCATATTTTGGTCAAGGTGTTACCCTATGCATGCCTTGAAAGTACGGAGCGGCCGTAGGCATGAGGACTAAGGTTTATCAAAAGAGCGGTCTGTGTACTTGATCGTAAGATGGCCGCCTCCTTATGGTATTGGCATCGTGTCTTTAGAACGTGAGGTTTGAAGCTGAGGTGTCTGCCATACGTCATCATCACGGGTATTCAGGTTTACTTGAGCAGCGTCCGAACATCTTCAAAAACCAAGTACTCTAGAGTGCCTATAGACGTCGAACTTCGGCATATTTCCAGCCCATTAACGTCGTCAACCGCTCAAATGGCCTCGATAGTTGATCTGCAGACTCTGCGCCGTGCTGCCCGGTCCTTCACCTTGCCATGGGAAGTGCAATGGCGCTTCTGGCTTGTCCGCTCACCATGGCTAGTACCGAACTCAATTCTCAAAATCACGTCGCCAGAAGGACCGCATCCGTTTATAGTTTATCTCCCATCATGGAACGGTCAACATAAGATACCACTTTATGTGTTCCTCCCATCAGAGGAGCAAGTTTTGAAGCATGGCGACCGTGGCGTCCCCGTCCATCTCGACTTCCACGGCGGCGGCTTTATCATGGGATCATGTCTGGAACAAGCACCCTTCTGTGCAATGTTGACTCGGGAGAGGGGCTGCGTTACCATCAGCGTCGACTATCGCAAAGGACCCATCGATCAGTTCCCTGCAGCTATCGAGGATGCAGAGGACGCATTGGCCGCTATTTTGGATGCTGACGCAAAGTCTGAAGGCTCGAGCACCTTGCGGAAACAGATCGAACAGCATTGGCGTGAAAAATCCGAAGGAGGTGCTGCTCCACCGATTACACTTGATCCAGGCCGCATCTCGATATCTGGATTCTCTTCCGGCGGCAACCTAGCATTAAACCTCGCACTAGACATTCACACGCCTGATATCGACTGGCCAGGCTTGCTACCTCACGATGGCCCGGCAATACCTCTGCTACTTTTCTATCCCTCGTTCGACAGCCGGCTCATGCCACACGAACGCCCAAGATCTGAAAACATGCCTCCACCTAACCCGACGAGCTTTCTCGGATCTATCGGACCAGTGCTATCGCCTACCTACCTTCCAAAGGAGATGCGCGACCATCCGCGCGCCTCTCCAGGTCTCGCAGACACAGCGGGACTGAATTCAAGAGCAAGGGTCTTCCTGGTGCTGCCAGAGATCGACACGCTAGCCAATCAAAGCGAAGAATGGATACATAATATGCAGAACGAAGGGCATGATGGTGTCCTAGAGGTTTATAGAGCGAGAGGTATGCGGCACGGCTGGACGCAGTTTCCAGAGACTTTTGTGGGAAAGGAGGCACTGGAAGAGAAAAGGAAGGTGTTCCAACGGACGGTGGAGTTCATGAGTGAGGTTCAGGATGGCGCGAATCCGCAGATTCCTGGAACAGGAGTGTTTATCAAGTAGTGCATTGCGACCTTAGCGAAGCACATGAATCCAAGATCATTTTGTGTTTGGGCTTGGTTTGAAGTCGGGTTTCTTTTTACCCCGACTGATCACGTGCCGGACAATCGGTCAGATCTTCCGCCCGTAAGCTCTTCCCCCCTTGCCAACGTAACGCGTTATGCTCCTCAGCTAAGTCATCTCGTATTGGTCCTGGATGTTTTTGCAGATGAACGGCCAGTTGACAGGATCTGCGAAACCCATGTTGTGCCCGCACGGCGGCTGCCAACCCTAACAGCTGTTGCGGAGGATATCGAAAGGCCGAGTTATCGTATTTCTTTGGTGTATATAGCGCAGGACATTCCTGCTGGTGTTCCTTCAAGTATTCCGAGTCTTCTCAAAAGCCAGTTCTACTCCTCGTATCATCACCTGTGCCAGTTCCAGCGCTTGACTCTTAAACCCCAACCTCAAGCAACAGCGACAGCTTCGATCCAAAATGAACACTCTCTTCCCCCACGCCGCCTACGAGGAAGACCAGCGCTACGCCCGCACAATTCTAACCCTCCACGTCCTATCTCGCGGTTTCACAACCGGTGCCACAATCTCTCTCCTCACGGCCACCGCCTCAACCCTCCTCTCCCAGCCCCGCACATGGGCGACTTTCGGACGTAAAGCCCTCATCAGCTCCTCCCGCGGCGCCATAATCGGCCTCCTGGCCTCCGACCTCGCCCTCACGGCCCGCATGTGGGGCCGCGAGGAGATAGAATGGCAGAGCCGCGCGTGGCGGCTGCAGGAGAATAGGGGCCAGAGCGAGGCGGACAAGTGGGTTACTGCGAGCGAGGTACTGGGCGTTGCGGCGGTGGTGGTGGCGGCGAGGACGGGGAGGTTACCGGCGGGGCTGGGGAGTAAGAGGGTGCCGGCGATGGCGACGGCGGTGGTGGGGGCCGCGGGGTTGGGGAGTGTGGTTGGGACGGCGGAGTATGTGGTCTGGAGGCATGGGATTAAGAGGGGGAAGTGGCCGGAGGTGGCGGAGAGTGTGAAGACGGGCGTCGAGAGCGCGGAGAAGGGGATGGGGGTTAAGTCGACTTCGTGAGAGATTCTGGAAGATGATCGTTTGGATGCATGCTGGTGGAGCGTTAGGTCTGTGTTAAGAGTGATTTTTTATTCCGTCCAAAGTTATGCCTAATGATCTTGTATACAAATGTGTTCAGTCCACTTGCTAATCGTACGGTACTACCGTCTAAGGAATGTACTGCTTCGGTGCTGGAAGCTACTGAAATCAGAACCCTCCGAAACCACTAAACGCCTTGAGTGAGGCTGCGAAAGGAAAGTCCAAATGTACCCGACACTCCCAAACCCAGACTCCGTACCGTACGCAGGTGCCAAACCCTCAAAAGTAACATCCATCGACACGGCATGAAGCCGCTCAACAATTGTAAGTCATCCTCAACCCTGCCGCCTGACTCTGCACAAATTCGACATACCCCGCCTGGTTCTCACTCGCAATGCTGAACCTAAACGCCATCTTGGGCTTGCACTGGAAGCTATTGATCACCACCTTCGTCGGCTCATTCGGCTTGCTCCCAAACGTCACCGTGCCGACCTGGCTGACGATGTTCGGTGCGCCATAAGCCCACGACACGTCAATACCCCTCGGGCTTCGCGAAAGTGGGCCGTCGAGGCTGTAGACGTAGACCTGGTTCGAGCCCCAGGTGTTGATGCGGTAGCCGGCAGGGAAGTAGACTTCGAGCTGGCAGCCGTAGGCCGGGGTTGGAACGGTGAACTCGGCAAAGGCGTCTTTGATGTTGGTCGCGCCGGCGTCTTGGGCGACGATGAAGCCGGGGAGGTAGGATTCGACGGGCCGAGCCTGTTCGACGCGGGCGATGTCGGGGTAGAGGGTTGAGCAGGCCCGTGGGACGAGGTCGGCGTCGGAGGTGGGGGTTGGGGCCGCGGAGGTGAGGAGAGCGGTGCTCAGGAGGAAGGAGGCGATGGTGAGGTAATGCATTTTTGGTTGTGCTTGTGTGGAGGACAGCGAGTGTGGGTTATAGAAATGATGTCTAAGTACTGGGTCTAGGTGTTTGAAGCTTGCTCTTGCTGGAACTGAAGAATACAGATAGGATCCTTCATGGTTCTTATACTCGATTCTACAACAAGGAGAGCTGCTATAATTACCTACCCATCGTATGGCGTGGTTCCATCTCAGAAACCGTCGGCTTAGGCAGACCACAGTCGTCCAGAATGGGAAGTATACGATGCTTGGCACCGTGCGCAGCCATGGTGTTCAGCTCTTGCGCTATTGAGTCTCACCGCTTTCCGGACTCTCCATCGTAAATGATCGCAAGCCATTGGCTCGCTCTGAGAAATATCTTGGATGGATCTCGTGTTCAGTTTTGGAGCACCAAGCCTCAAGCCAAGCAAACGCCATAGGGCTGCGTATTATGTAATTTGGTAGTAGAAGCTCAAGACAAGCCTCTGTGGAATAACATGTCGGACCACGCAGGGAAAGGCTTTAGATGAGAGAGGCACGTGGGACAGGTAACTGGGTGTACCATTTGTGGTGATTGTCCTATTGCATCTGTGCACCCGTTTTCCCGCCCGACGTAAGAGGAAAAGCTGAGTGAGGATGAGAAAACTGTCTCACTGCTAGTGCAACCGAAAATAGCTCGTCTAAGTATACGCTCCTCTCCGGCCGCGCATCGTAGCAAGCCGACATCGCATTAGCGGATCTGTTACGAGGTTACAGTAGCTGACATTCCGGCCGCGAGACGGTCACACACAGTCTTGGGTTGTCCGTAGGTGGAGTGCAAAGAAGTAAGCGTCGAGAGAATGACAGCCGCAAGCCGAAAGCTAATCACGTGATGAGCACCATCAATCCCAAGTCACGCAGGACGGGGTTTCTGCGAGGAAGCGGTGCCGGTAACCAAGCATCAACAATACCACAACTTCCTCTTTGTAACATCAAGTTCAAAGCGCTACAATTTTCACAGGTAAGAAAATTTGCGATGTAGCTATGTACTATAATATGTATACATCATGTGCTATGGCTGTTTGACGATGACTTCGTAACCGGCACCGCTTCCTTGTCAAACCCCTGTCCATCGAAGGGAATGGTAATCTAGCTGGATGGGAGACGATCTCTCCAGCATATGAATATATCAGAACTTATGATTCTGCCAAATGGAATCCCATGCACATCCCATCCCCTCCTCATCGTCCATACTTCCCCACCAATCTCTCCATGATCCCCACCGCACCGCCCCTATAACTTCCCCCAAACAACGCATAATGATTCAAGTGATGATAGAGTTCATACAGCTTGACCCTATCCTCGTATTCCTCCACCGGCTCCGACTTGGGACACAGCCCGTGATACTCCTTCAGAAAACTGCCTCCGAACCCCCCAAACATCTTCATAATGCCCAGCTCGTACTCGCTGTGCGCGTAACATGATGAAGGATCGTATACAAGGTCCTGAACCTCTCCCTTTTCCCCAACACGCCCACGGCTCTTGTTCCCGCTCCACAGGTCGCCGTGCACGACGACCGGCTTGATACTTCTACCCTTCCCGTCAGAAAGGTGCCCTTCCCCAAGCAGCCTTGGCACTACACCTCCCGCCGTATCTTCTACAAGCCGGTTTAGTTCCCTATCAGCGCCGCGAGCGGCTTCGCAGCGCGCGAGTATGAAGCGCAGGCGGCTGTTGGCGTAGAAGTCTGCCCATGAGGAGGAGAAAGTGTTGTCTTGAGGGGTGTCGCCGCAGCAGGTAGGGACGAGGAAGCCGAATTGGGGCGTGCTGTAACCCTCGGGTATGGGGGCGGGGATTGTGTGCAGCTTGGCGAGTTTGGCGGCAAGGGAGGGGGGTGGGTTAGTAGAGGAGCTGCTGGAGGAAGGGGAGAGGTGCAAGAAGTCGGTTACGAGGAAGAAGGTTGAAGGCGAGGAGGAAAAGTGGCCCCAGCCGAAGGATTGGGGACAAAGGCTGGGGACGGCGGCGTGGATTGCGTTTAGGGAGGCGTGTTCGCCTGGTTTGAAAATGTTAGTTAGGCTTGTCTGCTGTATGAAGATGCATTGGCCGGCTGCGGACCTTGGAACATGATCTCGGCATCTTTGCTCTTCCCTGTCTTCATGAAGAAGCTCATTTCCGTGCCATCGTTGAGCTTGGTGGTGATCTTAGAGGTCGAGGCGGAGGACATGCCACCCCCGCCATAGGACGAGACGGAGGTGTTGGACGGGTCCAGGGACAGGAGCTTGACGACTGCTGGGTCGAGTTTCATGGTGGATGTGTGTAGTTTCCTGCGGAAAGCAGCGAGCATCGGTTGAGGAGAAGCATTGGTTGTGTTGATGGCATTTAGTGTTGATGGTGGACGGCTGTTGCAGCAGGGAGGAATGACGTTGATCACTTCGGAAAGTCAGAGTCGAAGGTAAGTAACGCCCTCCACCAGAACACAGGTGATGAAGCGCACTAAAGCTTTTAAGAGCCATGGAGAGCTAATTGTGCTCGTGGCATGTGTACAATGTAACCCTCCGGCTCATATCAATAGAGCGCCTCCCAGCCAAACGCCATGGAATACCTCTTGAGAGAAAACTCGCTCTTCCTTGCAACCAGTTGAGATATGGGTAGGTAGAAATGAGCCACCTTGTTCCATTCAGGCTCTAATAGACCTAGCTCTCAGCCAACCACTCTCAGGTGCCCTTTGAAGCCCAACCACTTGCGCCATTCATCGGGCGACGGCAATTAAGTAAAGCAGAGGTTTCACTCTTCCGCGACATTCCAGTCTGCGGTATCCTCAGCCACTATGTATCCTTAACGCGTACTGCATCTTCCTAAGGGCTCTACTTCCCGCCATCATCAGCCTCCTGCCCATCGCTGTGGGTGACTTCCCGCGCGTTCTCCTCGCTGGCGTTCAGCTGGCCTTCTATGCGATTTATCCACTGAGCGAAGTATTCGGTTGTGCAGCGCGGGCATTGGCAGGCAAAGTCCCACTCCGCAAGTGCCTGATGGCGCTCCTTGAAAGGCTTGGTTTCCGGATGGTCGATATACGACACCAAGAGTTCCTGACCTTCTCCAATGTCCTCAAGGGCATGGCCGACGAGCAAATTGCCATGAAGCTTGTAGGATACATTTGGAGCGCACGAGTGGTTCGTGTATGACGCCTTTAACCATATGCCCTCGCCAAGCCTGTTGGGACCGCAAGCCATGGCGTTGAGTTCGACAATGCGGGAAACATGAAACCTGTGAAAGACCACCTCGTTAGCATTACAACGCAGTTCAACGGGTCGGAGCCGGGACTTGGAACGAAGGCTCCGCAGAAAACAGTGGAAAAGCTCAGACTAAGATAGCCGGAGCGGACACTTACGCATCTAAGACAAGATTTCCATCCACGATCAAGACTTCCTTGACTTCGCTCCTGTATTCACCGGACCAGAGTTGCAGGAGGTCAGGAACAGCAGTAGGACGCCGTTGTAGCTCCTCCATTACCCTCACGTAGAGTAAAACGTCAGGATTGATCCTAAACCGCTTCCTGACGAGATCATGACGACAAATAACCCGTGCCAGCTGCGATGGTGGTAGAACCATCGCGAAAGCCGTCTCGCAGAGAACAACGTCTCCCTTGTTGACTGACTTAGTAGCGAAGAGACCTCGGCCAGCGGCTCCTGAGTCTCTAACGATGACGGTCTCATGGCTGGAGGCGTGATCGAGCCATTCTTGACGCGTTTTCGAGGTGTCTTGAGCGACTTCTTCGATCCCGCATGAAGCGTAGTACGTCTCGCTTAGGCGTGCGAGGCCGCGAGTCTGCAAATCCGAAGCGTCAGAATCGAATTGTCCGAGTACTTGAAGCTGCTGTAGGGTTTCTAAGCATGATTTGTATTTTTCGAGGCCGTAAAAAGCACTAGCTAACAGTAGACGAGCTCGAGGGTTGGAACGATCGACTATCAGCGTTGTGAGGCAATATCTGCAGGCGTTCGTGTACTGCTTCATGCTTAGAGCAGCTTCTGCTTTTTGGAGCATGGCAGCATGAGGTTCTGCGTTGATCGTAGTCTGATGTAACAAGTTAATACACATAGCCCTCAATAAGCACAGGTGGCCGACTTCTGGACCAGGAAAGGATGGCGAGGCTTTCCGCACTTTCAGGTTGCACTTACCGGCTCCCTGGCGATCAGAATGAGATCGGACGGGTGGTCAACGCGCACGCGCACCTCTCTCTTGCTGACAGCATAGAAGAATGGCTGCTTGATTGCACATGTTGCACCTTCGGGAAGGACTTCGTAGGGTTCGCGATGATCATTGTGAACCTCGATTGTGGCAACGTGACCGTGCTCGTCTTCTATAGCCGACAGGCAGCCACCATGGTTCGCCGGTTTCGTGATCAGCCGGACGACGAGGACTTGACCCACATGATGGACGCCTATACGGAGCTGCGAGATACAGGTCTTCTGCAAGGTGGTCCATGACTCCAGGCAAGGTGGATAGTAGTCGGTGACGACTGTGTGACAAGTGTAACTTCCTGGCGGACGTTGGGCATTGCGGCAGTGTATTGACGAAAGTTCAGTCAATACACTCTCCTTCAAGATCGGCTGCTGCGGCGGTACTCGGCCTTTCATCGCCTCCAACTTCTTGTGGAGAGCAAGCAGGCGGTTGTATTCCTCCTGAGCTCCTTCCCAGATACCCATGACTCCCCGCGTTGAAACGTACAAATGGTGGTTAGGTTCAGAGGTGACGTTGTGGGGAGATAGACTGCTGAAATGAAGAGCGGATGCGTAGGAGTCCGCTGTTATGCTCGGCTGGGCTGTAATGGTCAGTGGGGAAGGTGCAAAGGGTACTTCAGCAGCAAGCCCGGGTTTGCTGCTTCCCAGTTGCTCCTGCCACGGAATGAATGCCGCCTTGGGACCCGGAAACTTTACTTCCTCACACCTTAACCGCTGCGATCAAGTCCAAACGGTGAAGATCCGGGCATTCACCCTTGTGGCCTTTCGCACTTGTAGTCGCACACATGAACCTCTAAAGCAGCCGGTGTCGCTTACGAGGCAAATTTCGTAGAGCTGAGGACCCACGAGTCTATTGTAGCCCACGCAGTTAAACATCAAGAACGGAGAGTACGAGTACTGATGTCCCGTGCTTCGTGATCCCGTCTGACTTTCTCTTCTGAGACTAATGCAAGACGACTTCTTGCAGAATCAGATTCACGCAACGGGCAATTACAATAGTAACATCCTGTGAGCGTGTTATGGGTGAATAAAAGCGCAACAATAGTGCGTACCGGAAGTGTTGCCAATAGTGAAAGTTGACTGTGTGAAGAGCGCAACTGACGCTTTCTTTCGGCTCCGATCGGAGCGTAACAATGATAACTCTTTACGGGATCGACTCAAGGCCCTGAATCTACCTCGGAGGCCGTTGTGATACGGATGGTTGAGGGACAGATGTGAATAGAAACGCAGACGGAAGTAACACCGAATTTTGATCAGGGAAGAAATGAATTGCATAGCTGAGCTGCTTCAACTTACTGCGTGTCACGAAAAAGAAAGCGACCTCATATGAATAGTGAACTTTAGGCATCAAAGGGCCTAGGCAGTTATTGTCCGCAAATAGCCGTCAGACAGCCTTCGAGATCAGCATGCGTGCCTTAATATGGCCACTAGAACCGTTCAAACGCCTGTTCGGACTCTTCGAGTGACAGCTAAGGCGACGGCCTTGTATCATGTGAGACCACGATCCGTATCCGCAGGAGACTTTCTTATGCCGCGAGAATGCAATGATGCAGGCAAGGAGTCGTCCGGTGATGAGGTCGCATTCATCCGATGACGTGGGGTGACATACGGCGCGCCTACTGATGGTCGGCCATGCTCACCCAAGATGGTTCTAAGCCCACTACACACCAAGGGACCTATATCAAGCTCTAGTCTCCAGTCGAAACTGAAAGCTTCGACCACGGTTTCGTGAATTGGCCTTTTACAGCCCTGCTTGCAGGGCTTCTCTCAGATTTTCCAGGATAGAACCACGGTTCTCATGACTGGTTGGGGTACCACGTCCTCATTGATTGGCTTCTAATACTCACGGTGCTCTGGTCCGCTCAGCAATCTTAGTAGACAATAACAACGCATGCGGTGGATGCATGGAGCTATCAGATCTGAATGATGAACGCTAAAACACCAGAACTGTTATGGAGAAAGACTTAATGATTGCGACGCAGGTCTTTGGATACCAAGCTGAATACATGACCCATAGATGCCATGCGCAAGGGCATGAATTATCTATGACTTTATGTTTGCGAGGTGCTAAACCTTGGGGTAGGTCCTCGGGAGGACGGAGCAGATAAGTGGTGGTAGCTCGAACGGTCTACGAGTATGTTGAAAGTGAGTTGATGAAAGAGTCTCATCAGCGCTGAGCGAAGTGAAGTCAAAGATATCCCTGGCAGCGCCGCTTTGCCCGAAGCGGTACACCGCGATCCCCTCCACCAGCTTGCTGCCAAGGACACTGTCCTTCTGCCATTCAACAACGCAATATTGATCTTCAACCAAGTTTTACCATAATGTTGATAGAAGAGTCTCACAAAGATGTACCCACTCAGGCGGGTGGAGATATGAGTATACTGAATTGTCTCATTATCCAATTCGCCGCTGAAGTTTTCAGGGATCTTCCTCTTCCACCCGACTGTGCCGAATTATTCTCATGCAAAGTTTCCTGGTGTTGTGGTTTTTAGTGAGATATACCAAGGCAGGTATTGAATTCTGCGGAATCAACTGTAGAATGTCTCTTTTTTCTCTCCTTGTTGTCGCAGCAGAATAACTTAATCCGGAGGTTTAATGAAACCACATGGATGAGACGATAGCATTTAAACATTCATGAATCACCGCAGTCGAGTTGTCATGAAGAGAATTCTGGCGCAATGTTCTCGTCACACTCTGTGACAGTTAACACGCCTTGTCCTTCCGTTTTGTCAGCTGGTATCATACTATGCATTTCCAACTCTATATCACATCAAGAAGAGTCATCATGTAGCTCTTGCCGCCGGAAGTAGCTCGTCCTAACACCACCCGCACCTCCAGTTACCGGCCCCGTCGCCCGCTTCGCCCGCCAAATAGCAAGTCAAGGCTACATAGTCGCCGCCCCATCCTCCTACCACGAGTTCACCGGCCCCGAGGCCCTCGCCTATGACGGTCCCGGCACAGACAAAGGCAACGAGTGGAAGATCGCCAAGGTACGTAGCACCTGCCTTACACACTCTCTCATCCTCCATTTTCTCCGTTCTTCCTCCGCCACTTTCCACCCTGTACCCCTAACCCGATGCTATATAGAAAGTCTCTGCCTACGACGAAGACGCCGAACTTTCGGTTACAGCATTGTTGGAGCTGAAGACCTGTAACGGCCGCATCGGCGCAACAGGCATGTGTCTCGGCGGGCACCTCGCCTATCGCTGCGCGCTCGACTCCCGCGTGTCAGCAGCGGTGTGCTACTTTGCGACGGACATCCACTCGCACAGTCTCGGGGAGGGGAAGAATGATGATAGCTTGGCTCGGGCTGGAGACATCAAGGGCGAACTGGTGATGATTTTTGGAAAGAAGGATAACCATGTGCCGCCCGAGGGGAGAGATCTGATTCGGCGGACGCTGACGGAGAAGGGGTTGGTATTTTCGTGGTATGAGGTTGCTTGGGCGCAGCGTGAGTGTTTTCGTCCTGAGCTGTGATCAGGTTCACTGGTCTTACCATGTCTTCTCGACATGAGGTAGTCGAAGTGGTAGCGCTGACGTGGTGTTTACAGATGCTTTCATCCGAGATGAGCTGAGCAAGGGTCGCTACGATCCGGCGATTGCGGGGATTTGCTTCGAGATGCTAAAGGAGGTGTTCAATCGGACGCTGCGCTCAGATCTGGGGCCGAGAAGCGGGGAGGAGAAGGAAGTGGAGAACGTTTGCTGAGTGACGTATAGACGCTCCATGAGGCAAGTCATGTCAATAATACATCTTGTAGCTGGATAGGAAACCGGAGTGCCACATGCCCCTAATGCTGATAGGTACCGACACGGTGATGTGACCTCTGCATGAGACCTCGTGGAGCTACCGATTGCAAAGAAAAGACGCGCTCTTACTCCATGCGCAGCTACTTGGGTGGACAGTCTAGCCGACTCCAACTTCTTGAAATCAATTTCCTGCCTCTATGCGAGACAACAGCGCTGCACTGACCCGGCCTGGTGTAAACTTCCGGATCTATCGCCCCTCCGCAGACCTCCCGATGCTTTCAACGCCTGCAAATGTATGCAACCCTTTTCCGAACGCCCTGCTATGCCCACAAAACACGGCCTCACGGCCTCACATCCCCCTCAACACCCTCGCAACCAACCTCCTCTGTTCCTCAACCCCCAAACCCCCCTCATCCGTCTCGATCACCGCCCTCCCCACCGCCAGCGTCACCCCCACACTCCCCCCCTCTACCCAAACCCTCCCATTCCTCCCCACCGCAACCTCAAACCGCACCTTCTCCGCCAACGCCTCCAGCAGCACCAACCCCCCAACCTCCCTCATCTTGCCAGGCGGCAGCAACAACCGCCTCGCCATCCCAAGACTAACATCCCACACCATCCCGCCCTTCAACGGGCCCAGGCCCTCCGCTTTTCCAGTGCCGGGATGCACGCACTCGAGCTCGGGCTCCATGTGTTTCCCCGCGACGCTGATGCGCGCGTACACTAGCGCGCCCGGCGCCAGCACGGGGCGGGTCTTCTTGCTCGCGCCCTCGAAGGCTAGCTGCGGCAGTGTTGCGGGTGCGGTATAGGGTGTGATAACGCAGTGATAGGCGTCCACGGAGCTGTGGTGCATGCTGCAGATCACTAGGTCTCCGGCTACGGGGATGTAGCGCCCGCCGTTGTTCTCAATCCACAGGGCGTTTTTGCGGGGGTCGGTATGGAGGGGGCCGGAGAGGGCGGCGGTGATAGTGGAAGGAGGGATGTGTCGGAGGCCAGGCCCGAGGGTTAGGGGTTTGGTGCTGGCGGGGGAAGGGAGAAGGGTTGGGGGGATGGTGTCGCCGGGGAGGAGGATCGTGGGTTCTGACATGGTGGAGTGGGTTTGTGTAGATGGGTGTTTGAGGGCGTTTAGGAACGTATCTTAAGTAGCGGGATGACGGCGGTGGAGCAGAGGTCAGCCCTACGGAATTCTCCGGCCCAGGAACTTTTTTTCGAGGGAGCAAGCCCAGAGAGAAACAACACGGCCTTGTGTGTGATGTTTGTTTGTTGAGCTCTTCAAAGCTTTCAGAAAACTTTCACCAAAGCCTCTCGTTCATTTCTTACCAGACCGCTAGCCATCCGGTTTAGGGAAATCCACCACAATGAGCGACGAGGAAAGCAGCCCCCAGCGGGTAGCTATTGGTATATCCTTTGGAAACTCGAACAGCTCGATTGCATACACCACCAGCGTGAGTTGCTCTCGCTGTTACTCCTCTCCAAGAACTTGCTCTGACTATCCGTGTAGGAAGGCAGGGCAGAGGTCATCGCCAATGAAGAGGGAGACCGACAGATTCCTTCGATATTATCGTACGTCGCGGGCGAGGAGTTCCAGGGCACGCAGGCAAAGACGCAGCTAGTGCGGAATCCGAAGAACACCGTCGCATACTTTCGAGACTTTCTGGGGCAGGAGTAAGTCGGTTCTTAGCATGTTCAAGGGCGAGGGATCGGGCGATGAGGTGCCCTTCGACCGGTGATTAACAGTTTATTCAGATTCAAGTCAATAGACCCCACGCCATGCCATCAATCCGCCCACCCTCGAGAGCACGAGTCCACGGTAGCCTTCTCGATAAAAGACACCGAGTCTGACGATGAGAACATCGTCACCGTCTCCGAGATAACCACCCGGCACCTACGACGGCTGAAGAACTCAGCCTCAGACTACCTAGGCAAGAAGGTGAACGCAGCAGTCATTACGGTGCCCACGAACTTCTCAGACAAGCAGAAGGAGTCATTAAGCAAAGCGGCCAGCGAAGCTGGTCTCGAAGTCCTCCAGTTCATCCATGAGCCCGTCGCCGCCGTGCTAGCCTACGACGCCCGGCCAGACGCCAAGCTCTCCGACAAGATCATCGTCGTCGCCGACCTAGGCGGCACGCGCTCCGACGTCGCCGTCATCGCCTCGCGAGGCGGCATGTACAGCATCCTTGCAACGGCGCACGACTACGACCTCGGCGGCGCGCTGCTCGACCAAGCCGTGATGGACCATTTCGCGAAGGAGTTCATCAAGAAGCACAAAACGGATCCTCGCCAGAACGATCGCAGCCTCGCGAAGCTCAAGCTGGAGTCCGAGGCCGTGAAGAAGGCGCTCAGCATCGGGGGCTCTGCCTCCTTCGGCGTAGAGAGCCTGGCTGATGGCATCGACTTCACGTCTACGATCAACCGCACGCGCTACGAGCTGCTGGCCAACAAGCACTTCGCGAGCTTCACGCGGCTGATCACACACGCCGTCGAGAAAGCCGAGCTCGACGTGCTGGACATCGACGAGATCGTTCTCGCGGGCGGGACGTCGCACACGCCCAAGATCGCCTCGAGCCTGCGCAACGCCTTCCCGCCCACAACCAGCATCCTGGCGCCCTCAACCTCCCCGACAGCAATCAATCCCTCCGAGCTCGTAGCCCGCGGCGCCGCGATCCAGGCGAGTCTGATCCAGGAGTACGAGACCGAGGACATCGAGCAGAGCACGCATCCCATGGTAACCGTAACCCCACACCTGCGCGCCTCGATTGGGGTGCTCTGCATCTCCGGCTCCGAATCCCAGGGCCTCTTCCGCCCGCTCATCGACGCGGAGACGCCCGCGCCGGTCCGACGGACGGCGCAGTTCGCGACGCCGAAGGAGGGCGGGGATGTGCTTGTTAAGATTTGTGAGGGGGTGCGCGAGATCAAGGTCACGCGGGCTGAGAAGCCGCAGACTAACGGCAGGAAAGAGGACGATGAGGACAGTGAGGTCGATAGTGACGACGAGCCGGAGGAGGTTAGGGAGAAGGTGTGGAGAGTTGGGAAGGTGCTTGCGGAGGCGGCGGTTAAGGGTGTCAAGAAGGGCGGGAAGGTCGAGGTCCAGGTTAATGTTGGGCCGGATCTAGCGGTGCAGGTTATTGCGAGGGAGGTTGGTGGGAAGGGGGGCGTGAGGGGGAGTATTGAGAAGCCGGCTGTCGTGGAGAATGGGAGTGCTTGAGAGATAGGTCATTAAAGTGTGGGGTTTGCTAATGATGCTTACGAGCATGGTTGTCTGGGCAAAAAGTCGGAGTGTCTGCGGAAGGAATCTTGCATTCATGCATTTTTTTTGTGGAGGCCATAGATCGGGATTGCGTCTTTGATGACAGCTTTAGAGCGCGTGGGTCTCTGCAAGTCTAGTTCTACTCTTGATCCCCTCCAACACTTTCACCTTCCCCCATCCCCCATCCACCAACCACCCGTGACCGCCCCTCTCACGGCAAAATCCTCCCCGGATCCCTCGGAAACAAACTACTGAGCCTAATATTCGGCAGCCCCAACCAAAAGCTCACAATCCGCTCCAGCCCAAACCCGCCACCCCCATGCGGCGGACACCCATAGCGAAACGCGGCCACATAGTCCCTCATGCCCGGGCTCTCCGGGTCGACGGGAGGATCCATGGCGCGCATGCGCTGAGTGAGAAAGTCGGCGTTGTGGATGCGCTGAGCGCCGGAGCAGATCTCTTGGCCGCGCATGAAGAAGTCGTAGGAGTTGGAGAGTTTGGGGTCGTGGGGGGAGGGCATGGTGTAGAAGGGCCGCACGGAGAGGGGGAATTGGTCCAGGACGTAGAAGTCGGTGTTGTATTTCTCCAATACTAATTTTCCGAGGAGTTTTTCCATCGGGGTGCTGGAGGCAGGTTGTTAGTTTGTTGCGTAAAAGGGGAAATGGGGGAAAGGTGTAAGGAAGATGGGAAGGGGGGGCCAGAGGGGGGACAACGACGCACCTCAGATCTTCGTACTCGGATAGCTCTTCGCCCGTAGCTTCACGCAGCAGCCTGATCCCCTCCACAAACGGTATCCTAGGCACCTTCCCCGCCTCCGGAAGCTTGAACTCCTCGACGTTATACGTGTTCCGCACGAGCTCCGTCTCGCGTGCATACCGCTCGCGCAGCCCCTTGAAGATGAACAGCATCAGTCCTTCTAGCACATCCATCACCTCATGATAGTCCTCCTCAAACGCCATCTCGAGATCCAGCCCCGTGAACTCCGTCAGATGCCGCGCGGTATTGCTATTTTCGGCCCTGAAGACCGGCCCGACCTCCATGACGCGCTCGAAGCGCGCCGCCACGAGCATCTGCTTGTACAGCTGGGGCGACTGGGCCAGGAAGCCGGACTTGTCGAAGTATTTCACCTCGAACACATTCGAGCCGCCTTCGGTGGCTGCGCCGAGGAGTTTGGGGGTGTGGATCAGAGTGAAGCCCTGCTGTGAGAGGTACTCCTGGAACAGCTGAACCACCCCGCCCTTGATCCTAAAGATGGCATGGTTGATCTTAGCGCGCAGGTCGATGACTCTGTTGTTCAGCCTTGTATTGAGCGTCACGAGCGGGCGGCCGTCTTCAGCTTTAGGCTCCTCTTCTTGCCCAGGGACGTCCCCCTCGCCAGGGAGCGCGCGTTCCGCGTCTTCAACTTGCATGGGCAGCGGAATCTCGGCTCTGGAGACAGTGTAGAGTTTCTGGATGTGGATCTCAAAGTCCTTGATCGTAGCCGAGTTGATGGGCTCAAAGGGCTTCTTGACCAGCCCGTGGACGAGCACCATGCTTTGCGGCGGGACGCTCGCGGCGAACTTCACCATCTGCTTGCTGAGGGTGTCGCTGGCGGCTACGACGGCTTGGATGCTCTCGAGGCCCTGGCGTAGGTTCAGGAAGGCGAGTTTGGCGGACTGGGAGCGTGCGGTTTCGACGACGCAGCGGAAGACGACTGCGTCTTTGTCGACATGCTGGGACACTTCGAGCAGTGGTATGCGCGTGTGGCCGGAGGCTTCGTGCGGCTCGGAGCCCACCATGGGCAGGTCGCCGTAGTTTTCTTTCGAGACATCGGTCGCTGCGTCTTCGGCAATCTTTTTGGCTTCGGCTTCGTTGCGCTCGGCTTGCTTTCTGGCCTGGCTTCTGTTAGACTCAGGTTTGTGTAGTCCGTTCAAGAACGTATGGGCGATTGAAACCGCCTAGTGGAGGTTGAGTGTCCATATGTAACCCAGTTGCAACAGGCCAGATCGCAGGATACTTAATCCATGAACACACGCACCTTGAGAGCTGCTTTTGCAGCTTCCTTTTCTGCCTTCTTCTGTGCCTTCTTAGACGGTTCGGCGGGCCCGTCTTCCGCGGGCGCGTCGGCCTTGGGCCGTTCTGGTATTTCTTCTGAGGCCATCGTTGTTGTGCGTGCGCAAGTCACTCGGTATGGTGGGGGTGTTTTTGCCGTGGCGGGGCAGGCGAGAGCTTCATGACTCGAAGTGCAACCGTCATTCAGAGCATCTCTATGCCAAACTAGACATTCTCAAGCAGGTCATCCAGGACGAGTATTCCTGCAGTCAGCTACTGAAACGGACAGTCTGGCCGACTTTCATCTCCTCACAGCCTGTTCCCTTCAACACGGCTCTTGGAGAATAAGGAACTAAACATAGCCCGCCCGCTGAGAAAATACGTGTGCCCGTAGAACAACTCCATCGCTTCTCCACCGCCATGAGTATTTAACGCAGTGCGGCTAAGGATCCTAGTAATGGTCTTCGAGCGTCAGAGTCCCCGTCTTCGTGACAAGGTATTCCTGCACAGCCACATCCTTTCCTGACTCCTTTCCGTAGCCGGACTCTTTGATGCCGCCGAAAGGAGACTCTGCAGCTGAAGCGTTGCCTGTGTTCATGCCTGCCGTATGTCAGAATGCAAACGTGTGAACGCAAGGCTGTGTGTCCTTACCTATCATGCCTGCTTCCAGGTTTTCTAGCAGTCTCCATGTTCGATCAACGTCTGCCACAGTAGGTCAGCATGTAAAATCATGCTTAAGCCAGATAGATTGAGGGAACCTACTCTTCGTAAAGAAATACGACGCCAGGCCCATACTTGTGTCATTCGCAGCCTTGACGGCTTCATCCTCCGTATCAAAGCTGTATAGAGCACAGAGCGGCGCGAAGGTCTCCTCCCTCGAAACCAACATCTCCGGCTTCATCCCCGAGATGATAGTAGGCTCAAAGAAATAACCGCTCAGCCCCTCCGCTTTCTTTCCGCCAGTCAAAACCTTGGCCCCATGCTGCTTTGCGTCCTCAATCTGCTTCTGCACCTTCTCAATACCTCTCGGTGTCGTGACCGGGCCAAGCGTGGTCCCCTTCTCCGCACCATGTCCAATCTTCAGCTTCCTCGTAGCCTCCACCAGCATGTCCTGGAACTTGTCAAACACGCCCTTTTGCACGTACACCCTGTTCGCCGCAATACACGCCTGGCCCGCATGCCGCCACTTCAGCAACATGAGCGCATCAAGCGCCTGCTGCAAATTCGCATCGTCGAAGATCAAGAATGGACAGTTCCCGCCCAGCTCCAGCGTCACCTTCTTGAGCCCCTCGCTGCAGTGTTTCGCGATGAGCTTGCCAACGGCGGTGCTGCCGGTGAAGGTCACCTTCTTGACGAGCGGGTGCTTGCACAGCCTCTCGCTCAGCTCAGGCGTGTTTTCCAAGTCGGTTGTGAGCACGTTAAGAACGCCCTTCTCAAACCCGGCGCGCTGTGCTAGCTCTACCAACGCGAGTACGCTCAGCGGCGTCTCGGGAGAGGGCTTGATGATCATCGTGCAGCCCGCCGCGAGCGCCGCGCCGGCCTTCCTATTCCCCTAACGTCAACCCCAATTCTTCACCAAGCAAACCGGAAGCGCACCCACCTCAGAATCATGGCAATCGGAAAATTCCATGGCACAAGCGCCACCGCCACGCCGACAGGCTGCTTGACCGTAAACGTCCGCCTATTCGGCGCGCTCGGCACCGACACCGTCCCCTGGATCCGCTCCGCCTCGCCAGCGAACCACCATGTAAAGCCCAGCGCGTAGTCCAGCTCGCCGCGCGCTTCGGCGAGCGGCTTCCCTGTCTCGTAGGTCACGATTGTCGCGAGATCTTCCTTTGCGGCTGTGATCAGGTCGTTCCATTTGAGCAGCAGCTTTGCGCGGTGGCGCGGGTTGAGTGTGCGGTAGCGCTGGAAGGCGGTGTGGGCGGATTGGACGGCCGGGTCGACGTCTTCGGCGGTGTTGGTGGGACAGGTTGCGAAGGGAGTGCCGGTGCCGGGATCTGTTGGTTGTTGGTTTGTTGTTAGGGTTATATAGCGTCGCAATCATAAGAGGATGTATGCGGACCTATGACGTCGAAACGGGCGCCGGATTTTGATTCCACCCACTCGCCGTTGACGTAGGATTGTTGGTGGAGGAGGTCCGGGTCGTTGAGCTGTTATACACAGGTCAGAAAACTGTCCTTGTCCGCTAAAGTCAAGAGTAACGAAAGTTATCAAGGTACCTTGAAGGGAAGCTCGTACTTCGAGCCGTTCGCTCCGTTAGTCCCGTTAGATGTCATCTTGGTAGTTGTTTTGCTTCCCGAATTGGAGAATGAACGATGTCAACCTTGAGATTCTATTTCAGCTCCGCGAGCTGTTTCCAGCGCGGAGTCAGACAGTCCTACATTTATGCAGATGCACGACCCGATGGGGGTGAGGGTGAGGGTGAGGCGTTGCGGGGTGTATCCGAGGGGTCGTCCCGAAACCTTATCCCCGCCTTGCTCGGTTATGTCCGCTGCTGTCACGTGCAAGATGCTTTCATAGAAATGGCTTCTAGCCATGCCAAATTCTATGGGGATTCCTGCTGTTTATTGTCGATACATGCTGGACCTAGACGGGGGCTTTTACTCACCTTTGCCTTTATTACTCGGCAGCTTATCTAGCAGGATGTTTTGGCCATTCCATCCTAACATTCATTCTGTTATTTTGGTAGACTATTCGACGTGGACTTGGATCTAATATCCTTCTCCAAACGTAGGTTTTGTATATAGCCCTGAGCATATCCTTCCGATGACAAGTCACACCCAGCCCCTAACTCCCCTCTCCACCCCCTTCCTTCCCCTCTCCTCCCCCTATCCCAGCACCACCCCACCACCCCCAACGAGCTTAACACCAAACAACCCCCCGTGAACCCCACAACTCCACCATAACTCCCCAACCTAAACCCCCCCCTGTGCACCTCCCCCTCCAACAACACCGCCGCAATCGGCCCAGCCAACACATTCGCGACGCCCCTCACAAAGCTAAACCATCCATACAACGTCTGCGTCTCCTCCCCCCCTATTCGCCAACCCAGCCGGACACCGCGTCCAGAGCACGCTATATGAGCCCGCCGTCGCGTCCCACAGCGCCGCGAACGCTGCGAGGCGGCCGAAGTCGCGCGCGGGGCCCCAGAGGAACAGGACGGCGGGGCCGGAGATGAGAGCGCAGGCGTGGGAGGGGAGGTGGATGGAGGCGCGGTCGGAGGAGTGGCCCAGGAGGGTCTAGCCGCTTACTTGGGCTAGGCTCGGTATTGCGAGGAGGGTGTCGCCGGAGGAGGGGGGGAGGGAGAGGGAGAGGGCGTAGGAGGGGAGGGAGATCTTAGGGAGGATGGTAGCGAAGAAGACGTAGACGAGGGATTTGCGGAGGAAGGCGTGGGTGTTGCCGTAGGGTTTGCGCGGGGTCATGGAGGGCGGGATCCGCGGCTTGATCATGAGAATGCCGGGGCCGCTGCCTACGGCTGTCGCGACGGCGAAGGCGCGCAGTGTGGTGCGGGCTCCGAACCGGTGGAGGAGGGCTTCGAGGAGGAAGGGCAGGAAGAGGCCGCTGATGCCGGAGGCACCGAAGCGGATCCCGTAGGCGAGACCGCGCTTTTTGTCGAACCATTGGTTCAGCATTATTGGAAAGGGCTTGTAGCAACTACCCAGCCTACGCCGTAGAAGACACCCTGGAACAGGATGAGGTGCCAGACTTGGGCTGCGAAGCTGGCGCCGATGAGGCCCAAGATGCGCACTAGCCAGCCTAGCACGAGGATGTGCCGTTAGAAGTGGGGACACCGTAAGGCTATTGGGTTGATGAAGGGAATACCGAAGTAGGACACACCAGTGGCTATCGCTCCAATGGTAGGGATGTGCTTGCTTGATGAGAACAGCGGATACTGGAAGTAGTGAGACTAAAAAATGCCGAAGGAAAGGAGGAAACCTGGAGTGAGGTTTGAGGTAGAAGAATTAGAGGGTGATAATGTCATTCGTCAAGCAGGGGAGACAATCGAATGAACGATGGGAGTAGTAGTAGGAAAGGTGCATTACCCCAGAGGAATGCCTCAACAAGCCAAGTGCCTAACAGAAATCTCCTTGCCGCCCAGCTCGTATCAACCGCAGGGAGGACCATCTCGCTCAGAGGCTCATCGTCACCTAAGAGATGCTCTTGGTCTGATGCAACCGACTCAGAGGATATATGAACTCACTGTAGGGGTATATCCTTATTAAAGGTATCAGGAGTTTCCACGCCATCTGGAGTATTTACTGGCATCACAAAGTTTCAACTGATTGAGAGATAACAATAACGCTCAGTGAAATGCTGCCTAACAAATGCAAGACATGAAATTATACCTATCTCGTTGTGAGTGATAGAAACCCAACATTCAGAGGAATGCTGCGCTCCTTCAATAGAATTTCCAGTCAGCTTGCACCGGTACACCAGTGAGAGCCAATCATCTTGTGTTTGTGCAGAAGTTGAACCGGCAGCACAGCAAAAGCAGAGCGAAGAAGGCATGGAAGTAGAGCTCGGACCAAGCAACGGAGCCAGAAGCCAAATCACCGAAGCGGGCACTTTCCCAGGGAAACTCGCCTGATCGAGGCCATTGAGTTAAAGGGCCATTCACTCATGTATGTCGGTTATTTGTAACACAATCAGCGGTCGAGACTGTATAGTGTTATCCAAGTTCACATTCCTACTCGGTGTCCTCCTCCACCATTCCCCCTTCCCCAATCTCCACAAGCAACCTATATACAAGAACAAACCAGCCCTCAGCAATCCCCTACAGCGTCCTCAGGCGGACCAGACAAAGCACTGGCTATACATAGCGATGGATATGCTGCTCCCTTTGCACTCCCCGTCCTTGCGGTATGCCCACAATCCACAAAACTTTTACCCCTTGGTGTTACTGAACGGGTGGGCAGGACTCGGCGTCCAGCTGATTAGGCCCGCTAGTTCTTGATCTGCTGGTAGAACAAGATGTACGCGACCTTGTTGTCCCTCAGCCCGCCCCTCTCCCTCTGCGTCGGTGTCTGCTTCCCCGCCTCCGACGGCGTAGCAGTACCATTCGCCGTTCCGGGCCACTTCTTAGCCTTCTCCTGCGCGCCGCTGCCGTTCACATGGCTCCATGGTCCCTCGTTCTCGCCGTCCTCCTCGTCCTCTGCACCCCCACCCATCGCCTCAAAGATATTCCGCCCCTGGCTCACATCCCTCTTATGCTGCTCCAGCGCCTTCGCGAGGACCTTCGGATCCTCCTCGCTCCCCCCCTCCGCCACATCCTCGCTCCTAACACGGCGGATAATAGTGTCATCCATGCGGATCCACTCCCTCCCCTCCTGCCTTCTCGCATCAACAGTATAATGCCCCCCGCTCGCGTTCTTGCCATGGTGGTACACCACGCCAATAAGCCTGTACCTCGGCGCCCCACGCAGAGCCAGGGCGCCGCGTTTCGCGGGCGGGAAGACTTCTTTCGGGAGGGTCAGCTCGAGGGGATACCCAACGCGCTTCCAGATCTTCTGCGTCCCGCCCGCGTCGCTGAACTGGAAGCGCTTGAGATGCAGTATCAGAACGGGCGGAAGTGTTTCGATGAAGACCTGTTTTACAGCAGAGACGTTGGGACCACGGGGGGAGGCGAAGTCGCCTTGGAGGGTCTCAGGATGTGTGAGTGCCTTAAGGGCGTCCGTGATGTTGTTGACAGCGGGGGAGCCGATGTCGAGTTGGAGGGGTTGGTATGGCTCGAGGGTTACGGAGTTTTTGAGGCCCGGGATGCGCAGCTCGGAGCGCAGCTTGCCGCCGAAGATCTTGGTGATGGGTGTTTCGACATCTATGGTCCCGGAGGAGCGGGTTATAGCGGCTTTTTGCTTGGGACCGACTTCGAGCCAGCCATCCGTTGCTGCCGCTCTTTCTAGAGTCGGGGAGGTAGGCTTGTTCGCTTCGTTCGGAGTTGCGGAGCGGATGACCTGGGCGCACTCCTCGTGTAACTCAGCTAGCAGGAAACCCAGGAATTCTTCAGCGTCTTGCTGATGTCCTCGCTGAAGATGGGTTAGTGGCAGTGTGTAAACACATGAATGGAGGCATTGACTTACCCGCATAGAAGAGAACCGTGGCAAGCGCTTGATTACGTCATAAACAAATTCAGGGATAAACGCCTCGCCGAATTGCTCGAGATCAGTGTTATTGAGGCGCAGTCTAAGCTTCTCCACAGACTCCGCCGACGTGATAACCGGAAACTCTCGCATGAACATGATCCTGGCGTATTCGTTAGTGCCTGGCATGTTCAGGTAAACAGAGTGTTTCAGACTTACATTGCATCGAGTAAGGGAGTCTCGCTTTTGAAGCTGTGCGCCGCCCGCTTTCCAAGTTGATCAAGAAAATCATAAAGAGGAACGCAGAATACAAGAACTTGAAGAATCTGCAGTTATCAGTCAGCAAGCGTGCCGCGATGTGCGTAGCAACCTGTACACTCACAGAATTCATATAACACATATTCCCTGTATTTACAAGCCCTCTAGGCTCCAGAAAGGGAATTTTGTTGTCGGATTCGACGGTATACGATCGCAAAACGTCACCAAGCGAGCCCGAGTTGCTCGCACTAGTGCCATTCACAGTCGGCCCGCCTACGACAACTGCGGAGGAAACGCCTGCAGCAGCAGCACTTTTTGTTCGTACAAGATCAGCCCAGGACTTCGGTGGGGCCGGCTTAGGAGGAGATGCTGGGGTAAGGGTATCGGAAGTTGTAGACGCTGAAGGGGCTGCCGCATCACTCGTCACCGCACCGCCTTCCGCGGTTGGAGTGGACACGTCTGCGGCAGCATCCTTGCTTGGCTTTCTCTCTGCCGTCGGTGACGCAGGAACTGTAGGCGCTTCCTTCTGCGATCCTGATTTTGTAGGAACCAAAGGCTTGACGGGTATGAGAGGTATAACCGGTCGAGTGGCCGATCGCGTGTGGCCCTGGGAAGTCTGACGCGGTGCAGGTACTGATGGCTGAGCCGAAGATGGTGTTGTAGGATGCGTCGAGTCTGCTTCTGACGGCGCTTGAGAGGTTGCTGGTGTGTCGACTTCTGATGGCGCTGCCAGGGTCGATGTTTCAGATTCATGCTGAGCTCCGTCTACTAACGGGGTCTGTGGGTCTTCTTTGCTCGGAAGCTCAACTGTCGTGGCCACGTCCGTTATACCGCGTGGTCGCCGTCGCCTTCGCGCTACTCGCGGCGGGAGAGGTGTATTCGGGACAGACAACCATGGAAGCTGAGAGGCCGTCAGCGCCAGAGTGGCTGGTGTGTGTTCTCCAAAGCTCACCGGAGGACGAAACGGCCAACGGATGTTTGGTGGTTGCGAGTGTATGGCAGTTGGCGGTCCTGATGATGAGGCGGACGGAAATGTTTGTGTGTTCATTAGAACTGCTGGCGTTTCGGGCGACACAAGGGCTTGGAAGTTGTTTGATTGGGCGTATAGAGGTTGCGTGGATGCAGGTGCAGGTGCAGGTTCAGGCTGGGGTGTTCTTGCCGGTATGACGGGCGGTGTGTGGGTTACAGGGCGATTCACTGGGGCAGCCTGCACGTGTGGCTGCGACGACACCACCAACGGCGAATGTGGGTGTTGGTATTGCCGCGGTGCTATCGGATATTGCGGCTGCTGGTAAGGCGGATACCATTGCTGCTGGTATTGCGGCGCCGGTGGATAGCCATGGTACTGGGGGTGCCAGCTGGCGTAGGGGTTGTGCGGCAGCGGCGTATGAGCTTGAGGCGTATATTGATAATGGTAGTCACTCTGCCTCCTGCCAGGCTGGTAGGGAAGGGCAGGTGGTATGTGTGGGCCTGGCATCATGCCCGGAGAGGCGTGATGCCTCGACAGTCAGCGCTGGTCGTCCACGACCCAGCGACCGACGTCAAAGGCAGTCGCAGCGCGGCGCGAGGCTCCCTAAGGGTGTCTAAAATCGGCAATCTCGTCTTGCTCTTTACGGAGGGCGCGATGGAGGCGTTTAGGCGCCGAGGTGAGGTTCGCGGTTGCTACCTGGGCAGGATAGATTATTGCAGGGCTCGGCAAGACGGGGTTGGCGTGGTGGGAGTTGGGGAAGGCTGGGTTCGGTTTCGAGGTGCGGGATGAGGATGGTGGGCGAAGAGTTCAGTACTTCGACGCATGGCTTTAGAAGGGTGTCATGGGGTGAAGGTTGTGGTTGACGGTTGACAGGTGAATGGCAGCGGGAAGCGTTGCGTTGATGCTCCCAATTTCCTGAGGCCAGCCTTCCTGCCTTTCGCTTGCTTGCTTGCCTGCACGGGCATCATCTCGCAGCACCACCACCAGCGTGAGAAGCGCTGGCTGCCAGCAAACGCAACCCACTTACATACGCCGATGTGGTGGTGCAAAAGGGTTCTACAAGCCTGCCTTGCGAGAACAGCAGACTGCTTGAAGCCTGGAAAAGCTTCTGCTCTTTCCGTCGCAGATGCTTGTGCTTTGAAAGACATCCTGTGCACGTGACTGGCTACACTCTTGATACTGCCCCCCCGCCTCCCCATGTCGAGAGCGCCTCCTGTCCCCAAGGTCACCTTCGGGTGCCCCGACCCGGAACGCTCTAGCAACCACCCGCTGTCAGTCTGAGGACCATCTAGACACCAGCTTCTACCCCTAGAACACGCCGTGCCGCCACGTCTGTAGTTGCTGTTCGCTCCCTTCGTTTTGGAAAGGCCCTGCGCGTCATCCTGTCATCGTCATCCCCGTCCTCATCCCCATCCACAGCCCTTCAGTCTCGAGAACCGCCATGTCGTCCGTCCCGCCACCAGCTGTTGCCTCAAACAAATCAGTCAGTACAACAGGACAGCAGTCGCCAGCCCAGTCGCAAGTCAGCTCGTCCTCAGCGGGCGACAGCTACGGCCAGCGGCGAAGCGGGGCTTCTGGCAGCTTCGGGGCGGGGGCTTCTTCGCGAGCTTCGTCCACGCCGCGCAACAACCAGGCTTCGAAGAAGCAGCACAAGCAGTCGAAGCGCTTCAGGCTCGCGGATGAGGATGCTTTTGCGGAATCCGTGAGTGCTGTGGCCGCGTATCCATTCCGGCTTCTCGCCATCTGACCGTGAGTCACAGGCCGCCATGCAGTCCATAAACAGCCGTAAAGGGCAGACATCAATTACCCACCTGATGAACTTTGCCCTACCTCCACGCCCTCAGTATCATTCTCAGCATCAGCGATTTAACAGCTATGGCCGCAACACACGGAGGCCGCCGACATGGGGTCTGGGCTCGGGTTACCACGCGAGTGACAAGGCCAGGTGCGTCCGACAGATTGCATACCGACTGCATACCTCTCTGACACGTCTTCAGATACGTTCACGCGAACTATCGCTTCATTGTCGATCCGAGGGCCGACTACCACGCCCAGCGCGCTGATGCCGACGTGCATCTGGATTGGAACAATGTTCTTCAAATCCTGGCATCATCCCTATCGCAAGCCGCCGCGTGTCCTATTTGCTTAGGCACACCGGTGGCTCCAAGGATGGCCAGGTGCGGCCACATCTTCTGCCTGCCATGCCTCATTCGCTATATGCACTCGGACGACGAAGCCAGCCACCTTCACGAAAGACGAGCGAGATCGAAGAAGTGCCCTATCTGTTACGATACTATTTATGTTTCGGAAACTCGACCGGTTCGATGGTACATCGGGCAAGAAGGCGAGCCTCCTAGAGAAGGGAGTGATGTAGTCCTCAGGCTAGTCAAGCGCTCATCCGGCAGTACGATCGCTCTGCCGCGAGATAGCGCCGATGTTCTGGACAACGGAGAAGACGTTCCCTGGTATTTGGCTGCCGACGTGATGGACTATGCAAGAGTTATGAGAGGCAGCGAGGAGTACATGGTTGAGCAGTTCGATGAGGAGATCCAGGAGCTTGAGAGGCAAGGACAAGAAGACGAGGTCATGTTCGGGGAAGACAGCGCGGAGTGGACAAGAAAGGCTGTAAAGCTGATCCGCGAGACCAAAGACAAGGTCAAAGGCATTGGCAATCCGCCGACGGCGCCGACGGCGCCGGCTGAGGAGAAGCCAAAGCGAGCTCCAATCGAGTACTTTGAGGCGAATGGCGCTGTACCCAACATGTACACGATTCAGCACGCTGCGAAGTCTGGTCAAAGCCTCAGCGAGGGCTCGACAACACCTGCAACTCAGGAGCCCTCCACGGTGTCAACAGAACAAACGGCCGTCTCCTCATCTGCAACGACATCAGCAAGCATGACAACCGCAAGAAAACTGTCAACCGCTTCTTCCGGCTCCCAGAACCGTGTCTCGAGCGGAATCGCCGAAACACTCGCCCAGATGCGCCATCGCCAACAATTCACCGAACATCAGCCGCCGCCCGAGTACTACTTCTACCAAGCATTGCTGCATTACTATCTCTCGCCTCTCGACATCCGCATTCTTAAAGCCGCCTTCGGTAGCTTTTCCGCTTTCCCCTCCAACATATTGACAAGAGTCGAGCGCGTATCAACCGGCCATATTGTCGACGACGATCTACGCAAGCGCACGAAATACCTCGGCCACCTTCCGTACGGCTGCGAAGTGGGCTTCCTGGAATGCGACTGGGAAGACACCATCGCCCCCGAGGTACTGGAGAAATTCAAGCCCGAGATCGAGCGGCGCAGGAAGAAGAACGAAGACAAGGAGGCAAGAGAGGAGAAGGCGCGCCTCAAGGCAGAAAAGGACGAGGACGAGAAACGCTGGGCTGCGGCGAGGCGGAAGCGACCGAGTATCTCCACGACTAGGTTCACCGCCGAGGACTTCCGACCCCTAGTGTCGGCTGAGGTTGCCGACAGCGCTGCATCGATAGACGCGGACAGCACTTCAACCTCACCTCCATGGCCAACACGTCGCGAGGGTTCCTCCTTCGCGTCTCTCGCTTCGCCATCGACGAGTCCGTCCGCGCCTCGCACGGTCTGGGGGACTGCAATCGTGCCGGCATCGTCGCCAATCATCCAAGCACAAGAGCCTCGTCCAGTACCATCTGATGACGGCTGGCTACAAGGCTGGGAGAAGGATCTCCTACACGAGGACGATGAGATGGTAGCGCAGGCTCAGGCGTTGTCGCTTGCCGGCGAGGGCTCGAAGGCGGGAGCTGCCTCTGGGGGGAAGAAGAAAAAGGGAAAGAAGATTACCCTGATGAGCACGGGTGTGAGGAGGGGTGCATGAGATGGGAATCGGTCATTTGGGGGGGTTATTCTTTGCTGGTAGATGCGCGGGCGCTCTAAGGGGTCAGGACGTACCTGGGCATACCAGCGGATGCTGGGCTCGGTACAGATCGTGAGCGGATGATGCTGGCATGGAGTCGCTGCTTCGGTGTTGCAGCAGGCTATGGATGATATCAGAGACAGAGTCTTGTGCTCTTTCTCGATAGGCGAGTCGAATCATGTTCCGTGTGCCACGGAATGGACGAGACCAGTTTCGTCCTGCACCACAATAGAAAGTTGATGTTCAGTAGCACAATGCAGTCGATAGCGGTGCAAAGGATGCTTTCTGCCCGAGTATATACTGTAGCCTCCAAAACAACCTGGCGTGCCTGGAAAGGCGCGCACCCCTGTCAGGGTGTTGTTGGTTGGGATGTTGTGACGCCTCCAAACTTTTGAATTTCGCCGACGCCAGCGCTCAAGGCCACCACTGCCGTATACACTTTCACTTTTCCCTGCACGTTCGTGTACACGGAGCGCAGAAGTCTTACGCATCTTTTAAGCGTGGACAGCGCATCTTTACATATCAATTGATTAAGATTACTCCCAAGCCCTCCTCTGAATACCATCAGCCGGATCGCGTGTTGTATACTTAACCCACAACAATGGCGGAACGAGTGACGCGTTCAAAGACCGGGAGCTCAGCGAGGTGGGTGTTTTCTATGCATTCCGTACCTTTGACACTGTCTCGGCTCTTTATAACCCAACGAGTCTGGCTCTTGGGGAAGCACACAGAGGTACTAACTCTTTCCAAACACCAGAAAGCCTTTCAATCCCGGCTTCGTCGAGACCCCAGGACGCAAGCGACGAACGCGCAAGTCCGCTTTACCGACCGGCGACGACTACGACTCCGAATCTCCCGCCCCCGAGCAGTCTTCAATCAAGCTCAGCAACCCCATCGACGAAGACGAGGACACCGCCAGCAATGCCCACGGCGACAGCACAAGCAATGGCTTTGCAAACGGCGCTCTCAAGCCCAGCCACAAGCAAAAAAGCACGTACAAAAATCTTCCGCTCGACGACCCCCGCGTCGACGCAAACCCGCACTTCGAGTTTGGCGGCTCCTTGGGCGTGCTGGCCATGATGCTCGGCTTCCCCGTGCTGATGTGGTACATGTGGATCGGGGCGACGTACTACGACGGGCGTCTCCCATGGCCGGCGCCCGACCAGCCTCTCTCGGACTTTGGCAAGCAGCTCGTGCATCTAGCGTATACAGGCGCGTTCCCGCACGCGCGCGCCTGGGTTATCTACTGGAGCTTCTTCATATTCGAGATGGGCTGTTATCTCTACATGCCGGGCATCTACGCCAAGGGGAAGCCGCTCCCCCACCTGGGCGGAAAACAGCTTGACTACTACTGCTCCGGCGTGTGGAGTTTCTACGTCACTATTGTCCTCGCGCTCGCGCTGCACTACACCGGCGTCTTCAAGCTCTACACCCTGATCGACGAGTTCGGGCCCCTGATGTCCGTCGCCATCATCTCCGGCTTCCTCGTCTCCTTTGTGGCCTACTTCTCTGCCCTAGCGAGAGGCGCTGAGCACAGGATGACCGGCTACCCCATCTACGACTTCTTCATGGGCGCAGAGCTCAACCCCCGCCTGCTGCACTGGCTCGACTTCAAGATGTTCTTCGAAGTGCGGCTCCCCTGGTTCATCCTCTTCCTGCTCTCCCTCGGCGCCGCAGCACGGCAGTACGAGACCCTCGGCTACGTCAGCGGCGAAGTCTGCTTCATACTCATGGCGCACTTTCTGTACGCTAACGCCTGCTCCAAAGGCGAGGAGCTCATCGTCACCACCTGGGACATGTACTACGAGAAATGGGGCTTTATGCTGATTTTCTGGAACCTGGCCGGGGTACCTCTGTCCTACTGCCACTGTACCATCTATCTCGCGAACCACCACCCAGAGACTTACAAGTGGTCGAGGCCGGCGCTCGTGGCGCTGTTCGCCGCCTACCTCTTCGTCTACTGGGTCTGGGACACCTGCAATTCGCAAAAAAACATGTTCCGCGCTCAGGAGCGCGGAGGGGCGCTCCACCGCCGCACTTTCCCGCAGCTGCCCTACAAGCACATCACGAACCCGCGCACCATCAAGACGTCGACCGGCGACTCCCTGCTCTGCGACGGCTGGTACGGCAAAGCGCGCAAGATCCACTACGCGTGCGACCTTTTTTTCGCGCTGAGCTGGGGGGCCATCACGGGCTTCAGGAGCCCGTTCCCGTGGTTCTATCCGGTGTTTTTTGCGGCCATGATTTCACATCGCGCGTGGAGGGATATTCAGAAGTGTAGGGAGAAGTATGGGGATGCGTGGAGGGAGTATGAGAGGAGGGTGCCGTATTTGTTCATCCCGGTGAGTTGGCTCGGGTTTTTGGGGTGGTTTGGAGGGTTTGGGGGATGTGAGCTGACCGTGTGGACAACAGTATGTTATATGATCAGCACATCCTTCGGTGTTGGAGAGCTTTATTGTTACGGTCTCATGGGTGGCAAGTCGCTGGAACGGGGCGGTACGTGTAGACTTGGTAGACATAAATGTTGACGCTTTGTTACCAGCAAAGAAGCGTTGGCGTTGGTCTGAGGTGGCGTGCATCTGTCAGCGGTGGAAGGCCTGGAAGGACTCTATCGGTCGCTGTTGCCATTATCGCTGACTGCCGGCTGGTGCGATTTGCGACGCCTCCGTCCCGTTTCACCCTGTCAAGTTGATTTGGATTTGTTGCAGAAAGTGCCGAGGGAGCTGCGGTAGATAGATATCTTCTCCTACGAGGAGGCAGATGTGAGTTGAGGGTATAGTGAAGTGTCACGTGATTTGACTAAGATGTACCCTAAGAGTTATCTCAGCTTGCGGCTCAGACGGCAAATAAGACAAGGGCCCTGTGGCTTAGCTACACCCCATCCACCAATCAAACCCCTCCCTCCAGGTTTTATCTTATCTACCGTCTAAAGGCCTCTAGTGCGAGTTTATATAAGGTTAAACTTATAAAACGTGTAGAAAATTATTCTACTATATATCACACTCCTACTATAAGATTAAACGTGTGTAGACTATAAAAATAGAGTATAAAATATTAATATATATACTCTTAACACTTTTTTTAAAGGGAAAGGCGTAAGGTTAGAGTGTATAAGCAATTCCCACACAGCTTATAGCTATATGTGGAACAACTTATTATTTTAACTTTTTTTACTTTTTATTTTTTTTCTTAACTTTTCCACCTTTTAAGCTTTCTTTTCTATATCTTAGAGGATACTTCATGTTAGTTATATAAAGCGTCCTCTAGCTTTTAGAAAAAAAATCTTAAGAGTTAGAAAAGTCAAGAAAAAAAATATTGATTTTTCGATTTTTCACACATAACACTTCTCTATCGCTTTTCCACCTTTTAAGATTTTCTTTCCAAATTTTAGGAGATACTATATATAAGTTATATATCGCATCCCCTAGCTTTTAGAAAGAAAATCTTAAGAGGTGGAAAAGTCGTATAATAATTAAGTGGTCTCTTATATAGATCTGCACTAGTGGCTCTTAGACGGCGGGGGTAATTCCATGCACCGCCACAGGCTCGTGCTAATGTCAAGGCTACCCCTGCAAAGTCTGAGTCGCTAACTGAGATAACCCAAGAGACGTGAGCCGCAGCTGTTGTTCGAAAGATCTTGAACCAGAGCCTACCACTTTCCTAGTTCAACGCTGTCCAGATGAATCATCATCGACTCTAGGATATCAAGTAGGCCGAACGGGCAAATCTCACTCGTACAAAAGGACGGCTTCAGCCTCAGCCTCGTACAAGATGTGGTCGCCTGGACCCAGTACACCGAGACAACATTGGGCCAGCCTATTAAGTAGTCTCCTTCCCTAGCCTTTTACTCACGCCGACCTGCTTTGCCTCACTCTAAGTCATAATGGTTTTGTGCGAACACTGCCAAAGTATTGACTTCTATCGCCTGCTTTGTCAATGGGCGTCATACAATTCTGCCCGGTCAGTTGGCCCCTTTTCGGAGTTTCCCACTGTTAAAGTTCGATATGCCGGTGGGTGTTACTGTCTCTAATCTGCGTTTGATCTATAACTCACCGTTGGGATGGGAGTCTGTATAGGAACCTACCGGCACGCGAGGACTTGTGACCTATGCACGCTCGTCCGCATCTGCTGCAGAGGTGGGCCCGTTCGGGTTGTGAAACGAACGATCACAGTTTGGAACAGAAGTGAAGGGAACAAGGAGTGGCCAGAGTTCATTTTCTGTGACAATGGCAGAGAAAGTTGCTCGTTTGAGCTATTCATGGGGCGAACCGGTAAGTTCTTCGACATATGCGTCCTGGAACCAGCGCTGAAGGGTTTTCAAGGGCGTGCACAGATTTCGACTCTACCTGCGAACTCACATCTGGCGGCCAGCCTCAAGAGAGATATCCAACATGATTTGTCATCCGCAGCCTGCCTCCAGACATGTCGGGACTGGCTTTCGGGATGTCTGAACCGCCATAACACCTGCAAGCTTCGAGTGGCCGACCAAAATCTCCCTACTAGGGTAATCGACCTCTCGATATCACCTTACAGGGCGGTCTGGTCCACTGGTGGCCGTAAAGGCAAATGGGCTGCTCTGAGTTATCAATGGGGCACCACTGGGAACGTGAGGTTGACAAAGCAGAGTATGCATGCATTCTCACGGTCCCTTCCTCGTCTTCCTGCAACGATAGCGGACGCGATCAGAATTACTCGTGCGCTTGGAATCCAGTACCTATGGATCGACGCCCTGTGTATTATGCAAGATTCAGATGCCGACTGGGCAGCTGAGGCTGTCAAACTGAGTGAGTACTATAGCGGGGCCATTGTAACAATCATAGCGGCCAATTCTCCCCACTCACAATTTGGTATCCTCCATTCCCGTCCGCGGATCCTGGATTGTACGGTGCCGTTTAGATCGCCACATGCCGCTGGGGGCGGCCATTCGCCGCAGGTCCGCCTGCGTTCGTTCGGCACCGCCCACGCGAGCGCTGCGTCATTCAGTAAGAGTGGCTGGAGACGAAGAGGCTGGGCCCTCCAAAAGGAGCTTTTTTCTGTTCGGAAGCTAATCTACACTGAACATCAGATGCTATGGGAGTGCCTGGAGAGTCAAGAGACGGAAGGTGGAGTGCTGCACTGGGAAGCAGAGCTTTTCCGGCCCGATGAAGACACATCTGTAAGCTCTCATGACAATGAGACATTACGCTGGATTCTGCGCGAGAGTTCCTCGAGTTACAGACCTGCCACTGCTCGGATATCCCAAATTGCAACCTCTGGTATCATACTATCAGCCAATATTCACGGAGATCCCTCATGCGAGCGTCAGATAGATTGGTGGTGATATCAGCACTTGCAAAGCGATGCTATCAAGTTACCGGCTGGATTTACTGGGCTGGTGTGTGGATAGATGATATCATCCGCGGACTGCTCTGGAAACCGCAGAACGTGCGGAACACCAGATCTACCGGTATTGCCCCGTCATGGTCTTGGGCTACGTTTGACAACTGTGGAATAGAGTTTCCTCAGTTGGACAGGCAAATAGCGACCTTCCGCAGCTGGGCCGGGAGGCGATTATCTTTACCAGAATGCCCAGTTGGCCCAGCTTACGATCTCCGCTCCATTCAAAGGCCTCGGCCGTTTATATCAGCTCAGGACTCAAACTCTCGACCGTACCTCCGCAGCTTTGTCGCAAGCCGCGCGCTTCTCTATCTCTCCGCACAATGGATAGCCAATACGGCAGCCTCGATTTTCCGGAGAATGAAAGCGAGTTCGCAAGTCAATATAAGAGCTCTAAAGATCAAGTCGTCGCAGTTATTATCCTCGCACACAGGTCCAGGAACCCGCAGTGGGAGACTCCTGCGGTGAAAGAACTTCTGCTCTTTGAATCCGTAAATGGTGCTAATGACACAGCCTCTGCGTTTAGATGTATCGGAAGACTAAGCGTCTTGGAACCTCTTATTCCCGAAGGGCATCCCTCTACCGGGGGGCTGTGGGATCAGATAGAAAATGAAGTGAGACGGGGCGATTGGCCTATAAGGGAGATAGTTCTAGTTTAACGTCATCTGTTGTTGTGGAATGGGGCTATCCAAAAGTCTGTTGCCAGGTTAAAAGCTACTCGTAGCCCTGAAGGTGGAGAGCTCACGAGTACAATCCATAAATTAAAGACACCTTAGGTGATTAATAAAATAGAGAGCTGAACTGCTAAACATACTTAGGATTCTGTCATATGAAGCCGGTCCAGTCGCTATATAGTTAACCGGACTATAAGTCCAGTTTAATCGTGAAGCTGGTGCTGATAAGCTGGAGCAAACATGCGGTAACAGGCTGTTTGGGTAGCCCTTGGGAGGCAGATACCAAGCGTCACGTGAAATATTGTAAAGACGTCAAGCACTTGAGTTATGGGAGGGCCAGACCACATTGCAGTCCTCGAGAAAGATTGTATAGAAGCCTACTCCTCTCGTACTTGATGCTGCCCGAACGGAATCATCATCGACCAGAAAACACGTGCCTTAATAGCCAAGACGAGACGGGTAAAGCTCATTCGTGTATGGCTTCGACCTCAGCCTCGCACCAAATGCAGCTGCCTGGACCCGGTATACTGAGATAAAGTTTCACACGCCTTTACACGACAGGCTCACGCTTGCTCGTAGAGTAATGCCGTGGTTACTTCCATTGATCCCATGGACCAGCGTTTTTGTGACACTTGTCGCTCGATGACATTTGAGCGGCTTTTTTCACGCGAGGGATACCGAGATTACTGGCAAGCCAAGCTACTCCGACTCCAAGCAGAGCTGTCAAATGGCTGCCCGTTGTGTTCGATCGTATGGGCGGCGTTATGTGAAGCCGTGAACAAGCCTTCGGATGAAGATTGGGTTACGCTGATAATGAACCATGCCTATGTCGAAGTTGGGAGCAAATATCACAGACTTGAAGTGCGCTATTCTAAAACGCGCAGTGTGGGTAATTGGGGTTGGGGTACGTCAGTAACATGACTTTATAAAGCCCCTTAAGGCATGATAGGCACGCTTACTGTGGAGCTCACCTCTTGTAGCTCTTTATAATGAAGTCAGTCTTTATACTTCCATTGATCGAGGTAAGTGCTTCCACTCCCACATCGACTCGCCATAACTGAAGGTGTGTCAAGATGATTCCGAAGCGGGTCGTTTCCAGTGGAAAACGATTATACCTCGAATCATGTCTCCCAGATCCTTTCGACTGTGGCAAACTTGGCTTGACAGCTGCCTCGATGGCCATCCGGGATGCCCTAGAAATATTCGGAATGTGCTACCGACCAGAGTTATCGATGTCAGCCCTGCGGATGGATTCGTAGAACCCTACCTCCTCGTATCGACAGACAAACCGGATGGCCTCCGACGCAAGAAAGCTTCACGGCTAGGGAGATATATAGCCTTGAGCTATTGCTGGGGGGCTCAATTGCAAGAACCTGCACGGAATCTAACTACGACTACCTCAAACTTGGCCGCATTGAGGGCGAAAATCCCCTTCGCTGAGCTTCCGAAGACAATACAAGATGCCGTCGTCGTCACGCGACAATTGAACGTGCGATACTTGTGGGTCGATGCACTTTGTATACTGCAAGATACCGATGAAACGGCGAGGGAAGATTGGCAGCGTGAATCTGGGAAAATGGCAGCTGTATACGGCGGAGCATTTCTCACGATTGCGGCTGCGAACGCAAGCAATGCACACGAGGGGTTTCTCCACGACAGGGAGAGTTCTATAGACTTTCCTTCCATCGAGATTGCATTCCCTCGGGGCCCCCCTTATCATGACCAAACTCCAATACCGTTACATCTTGGACTTTTACTGCCCTCCGTACAGTGTGAGCCAACCTTAGCCAGAGAACCCTTAACGCGTCGCGGGTGGACTCTCCAGGAGGAGCAGCTATCAGCGAGAGTCTTATTTTTCGGTACGGAACAGTTCGGCTGGGAGTGTCAAGAATGCCAAGAGCACGAAAGTGGACACCGCTTACAAAGCGCCCGTTCTCTCAAATCGATGGAATCCGTTCTGGACAGAGATAGTCTACTTCATGCCGAATCTGAAAAATGGAGATCTATTGTCGCCGACTACAGCAGTCGAGCGCTGACGAAGTCCACGGACAAACTACCTGCTTTGTCTGGTTTAGCGAGGGTTCACCACCAATGCACAGGGAAGAAATATCTTGCGGGTTTGTGGGCTGAAACCATCAGCAGCGACTTGCTTTGGCGTGTCCATACCCATGAAGATTCCGCCTATGTTCACCATGAACTCTACCGTGCACCGTCCTGGTCTTGGGCGTCCTTAGACGAGCCGGTTCGATATGGGAGCCCGACTTATGGAGAATCGTCTGTGGTTCTACAAGACAGTCAAGCTGTGCCTTCCGGCTTAGATTCTTTCGGCGAAGTATCATCCGGCTGGATACGCGTACGCGGTTCAGTGCAGCGAATACATCACTTTACAAGCGGGCAAGAACTCAGAATGTTCTGCTGTAAGGGTGATGGAGATTACCTCTTTGTTGGTGTAACTCATCCTGACACGTTAGATGATGCGATCTGGAAACACGTAGCGCCTGCCGGGAATCATCGAAACTGGACGGATACTTATAATTCAAACGGCGTAAGCGTATGGATTCTGCGGGTTCGGAATTTCCAAGGACTGGTTCTTTTCTGTGAAGAGAATGTGATGGGGGAATGGATGTTTCGGCGAATTGGCTACGGAGAGTTGACCAGCGAAGGGGAAGTGTGGTTGTCTCAGTTCGAAGGAAGAAGTATTATGATCTATTGAATCCTGCTGCTGGACAAATACTGCATCTGATACTACGCCTGCGAGTCAACGTTACCATACTCGAACGCTTCCGAAATCCTTTGGTCGTAGTAGTTCGAGCTGCATTCAAGGAGGACTGAAAAGAAGCCTGCTGCTCCGGACAGCCAGATCACGTGTGTAAAACGGAGGAGTTGGAAGTGAGCTTGTGTCACGTGGAGATAGAGATAAGCCCGGTCTCCTGCTCCGCTTCAGACGCGACAGCTGAGTCCAAAACTCTAGTTAGCGCTTTTATCGACGAACTCCTACTATGGATGCGTCCTCCATTATTGTTCGCCAGTGTAGAAAGCTGCCACAGCTTTCTGAATATTAGATCAACTATGCCTGGCCGTAGATTGGTAGCCTCAGCGCAACACTCTGCAAGCGGGCAAACGGAAGTGACCTCAGAGCAATAGTTCTAGGCCCACCTTACTCCATCTCCGCATTCATCTAAACTCTGACCCCAAGCTTCATCTGAACCAGAAGGATTCTGAGTCCCATACAACATCTATCGAAGTCTGACAAAACAAAAACCACCACAATGCTCACCCTCATTAGCGCAACCCCCTCCCCCTACGCCCGCAAAGTCCGCATAACCCTCGCCGAAAAGAACATCCCCTTCACGCTCCAAACCGAGGTCCCCTGGGACTCCACAACCAAGACGCCGCAATACAACCCCCTCGAGAAGCTCCCCGTCCTTATCCTCGAGAATGGCAAGGAAGCCGTCTACGAGTCCCGCTTCATACTCGAATACATAGAAGCCAAGTACCCCGACACAAAATCCATGTTACCCCCCGCCGAGGACGTCGATGCGCGCCTCTTCGCGCGCAAGGTCGAGGTGCTCGCGGATGGTATCTGCGACGCGCTGGTGCTGCTGTTCTTCGAGAAGCAGCGCGCGAATCCGAGCAAAGAGTGGCAGGCGCGGCAGCTGCGGAAGGTCGATGGTGGGCTCGCGGCTCTAGCGAAGTGGGTAGAGGGCAGAGACTACGTTGTGTGCGACAGCTTCGGGCTGGCGGACGTTGCGGCGGGCTCTGTGTTGGGATATCTGCGTGTCAGATGGCCGGATCATCCGTGGATGGAGAGACATCCGGAACTGAAGGCGTATAGCGATAAGTTGGAGGAGAGACAGTCGTTCAAGGAAACGGTGCCCTCGCCGCAGAAGATCAGTGATAAGATTGTATAAGTAAGGCGAATTCTACGTATCAGCCAGTTCCAAGCCTCTTCTTCCAGTGTAACCCCGTCTCAAAATGGTTCGCTTGTGATATCCTCAAGCGATCGAAAGCCCCGGACTGCGTCTGGCAGTCTCAGCCACCACGCTGGTCTTACAACTGGTCGGCATCGCCGTCAAGAGAGGAACAGAGTGAGTGCCAGATCAGGTGATCTTGCACGTGATATGTCGTTTTTCCCGGTAAAAGAAGAGTATCTAGGTATGCGAAAACAAAGTGTACAACGCAGCACCTAGCGGTAAATCCGACAGGAAAGAGTAGGGCAGTCCATCCTTTCCCTCGATGAAGACTTCCTACCTCACGCCGTGATGCTGCCTCGTAGATCTACCGTAAAGCCTTCCCAACCGGGCGAACTTCAAGACGACCGCAGATCGTTAAAGTTGAGGCATTCGTTAAGCATGGTCCCAAGTTAGTCCTTGTTCCCGAACTGGGTAACACTGGCCACACGTCCCGTTAGCCTGTCCCAGATTAGAATCAAACAACAAAGCAATGTGACTCACAGCAAAATCGACCTTAGTATCTTGGAAATGAGCCTGCCACTTGTCGCGCATGAATTCTGGCAGCCTCAGCAGCTGCTTAGTATCTATCAATCTGAGAGCAGGCAAGTATTCATCGACGCCCATGCAAAGATCGTCCATGAAAGGCGAGAAGTCGTCGTAGCCAACTGGATCAAGCAGGATCAGCTCTTCAAGAGAAGGTGGGAGAATCTTGGCAAGGTTCACGCGTTTCAGTTCTCCTTCGGCGCTCATATCTTCCTTGCCGGTTAAGAGCACCACCGATATCTCGAGCTTTGTCAACGTGCGGAGATCCCTCAACGAGCCCATTCCCACGGGGCATGGCATGTTTCCGTATATCACTGCATAACACTCGCTAACATCTAGCAGAAGCGTCCGCAAAGAGTCCTTCTGAAGCATCAGCGCCCGACCCAAGCCAGGAAGTTGGAACTCAGTGGTTCCGACGACGGCGTCACCCCAGTGACACTCGAACGTCTTCAAAGCCTTGCAGGCGCCGATAAGGTTTGCGAGTGCCGCATCGCTGAAGTCGGAAAATGTGAAGGACATGTTTTCGACGTTGGAGATATCCCGTGGCCACTGTGGAGGTGGAGGCTGGTTGTAAGTTCCGTCATCGAAGGACCATGAGCAAGCGTTGCCTACGATCTCGCGCAAGGAGGAGAGGCGCATGAAATCGATCAAGAAACCCAGTTCAAGACCGTTCTCGGTGTCGCCATGTGCCACGCTAATACTTTTAAGAGCGGAGAAACCATGAACCGTCGGATTGGTCACGGTGGGATCAGCTTGTTGGATCATCGCCCAGGTGTACAGTTCTTCTTCATTTTGGTACCCGATCTCCATGTTGATGCGCTCTACGTTAGGTGTGTGGACAAGCAATAACGCCAGTTCCGCGTCGGCAAGGCCCTTGCTGAGTGCCTCTATCCAAGCTCCCTTTCTAGGGTAATCGATCTTCTCCGCTGCGGCTTTTAGTACGGCAAAATCGTCCTTGGAAAGTGGCGGCTGGGAATCTCCCGATAACTCCTCCCCTTGTAGGATTCCTATGTCCAGATATCTCAACTCAAGTGCGAAGCGTGGCTGCTCAATCACTCTTCGTAGAAAGGCGGGCAGGGTCGTGTCCATGTCTGCAGTGACGAAGGTATGGTATAGCAGCGGCTCTGCTACCTCACGGAATCTTTTCGATGTCAGACAAAGACTGCACAAAGTTTTCACACGTTCTGAGTTGCGGCGATGTCTGTCGTATTCGGGTGTCCACATGGTCTCGTTGACGTAGAAATTGATCCACATGAATGTTTCGCGAAGTAACTCATTGGGCATGTCGTTCATCGTGATGTCTGCTGGTCGTGGGCCTCGTGGCTCAATAATGCTGGCGTGCATGTCTGCTGCGAATGTATCGTAGTTGACGGGGGGCTGCAAATGGCACAGTGGTTGCAATTGTATAGTAGCAAACACGCCGACCTGACTGTAAGTCTTTTCTGAAGTTGTTGGATGAAAGCGCTGCCAATTCGAATAATACTCCTGTAGTTTAATGCTTTTCATATCTATCAGCTTATATGTCCGGAATAAATACTAGTTTGATCAGTAACACGCGATGCAAGACCGTACCGGTTGCAACTCCCAGTCAAACACGTTATAGAAATAATTCCCACGGTCTTTGATTGTGATGCGGCTAGAGTGTAGTTTCTGGTTGAACTAGAAAGTGAAAGTAGGTAATCTTAATCAGCAATGAAGCTCTTACGACCAAGAGGAGCAACAAGTACTTGACGACTATCCATGCAGCGAGAGACTTAAAATTGTAAGAGACAAAAGAGACAGGAATACACTTCGAAGATGTTCTCCGCGGTTTCAACGCGCCTGCCAGGCAGCAGTGGCGCCAGTTCTGGCGCACTCGAAATAGCCACGCGTTTGTGAATAATATCACAGCCTAGAGCAGGTGGGGTAGCCTAGAAGGACTTCGATCCGGACGCGAGATGCCTCGTTTGGCTTAAGCGTGTGTTTAGCAGCCATAAGTCCTAGACGCGAAAGAGCTTTAAGACCAGGAACGCCCTTACAAGGGTCAGCTCTATGTGGGCTGCCAGCCCTCCCGGCTGCATACAGTCAATAGCATAGTCACTTTGAATCAGCACGATGCCTGAATGGTTCGCTTCACACAGGGAAGCAGGGAGGGCTGGTAGACCGCACAGGGCTGATCCTTGTACTGTCATCAATATCCGCTCTCCTGTTGTACGGAGAGCGGTGTGTGATACAGTTCGCATCTGCATGATGAGATTAAAATACAATTCCCCCCAGATAGTCCAGCAATCACGTGCCTTATCACCCTGGCTACACTCGGTGAGGTTCCAGTTAGGTATTCAGACGGCCACGATCTTCGACTAGGGTGTTTGGGGGGAGTTTGGAGTTGAAGCAGAGCAAGTCACGCCACGCAGATGGAAGAGAGAACACCAGCATTGGGATTCAGCAAACATAAGGTGTGGACGCGATCAGGGAAATCAGACCAAGTGACTCGGCACGTGACCCGTCGCCTTTCGGTTTGAAAGAAGAGTAAGTGAGAATACAGAGAATATCACAGGATACGTTGTGGTCCATGCGGTAACAATGGAACAGTCAGTCCACACCTCGATGCTTATCCAGTATGAAGATGTACTGCTCTATGCCATGACGCTGCCTTATGGATTGACCATGCCCTTCCCAACCGGGCGAACTTTATGACGGGCCCGCAGATCTGCTGAATAATTCATAGATGAGCAACAACCTTGAAACACATTCCAGACGCGTTCTCCTGCAATCCGTGGGGAAGGAATGTAGTCATGGTCACGTAGAGGCTGCCGGAACTCTTCCTGGATATATGTTACCTCCGAAGATGTGAGCAGCTCCGTTGAGAGTAATAATCAAGCCGTGACGGTTAGCATTCATATATAACCCGCCGCCTTGTTCCCCAGTAGATATATCGGATCAATAAAGTCTCTGATATCCATTTCACCGAACTCTCAGTCCTCCGCTATACTTTCTGAGCCTCCGCGTCAGTTGCACACCATGGCAGCGTCCCAGTTTCTCCATGCAGCCTATCCGGAAGCTCTCTCCGACAAGCCTTTCAGTCAGGTGCCGAACAATGCGCGCGTCAAACAGCAGCTCTGCGAAGTTCGTGTCCCGCCGCACGCCATTGCGGAACTCAAGCGTCTCATTCAGACGGCCAGACTTGGCCCTGAGACGTTTGAGAATTCACAACCAGAGCCCAACGCAAAGTACGGCTTAACATGCTCATGGATGAGAGAGGTAGTTAGAGCATGGACGGATGTGTCTGTTTTTAATTGGTAAAGTGAGCCTACCACCATGCGGAATGGCTCACGCTAAGATGCTGTAGGGCGAGGGTTCAAGATCATATCAACAGCGTCCCCCACTTTAACAGCGAAGTCGACTACGAAGGCCATAAGTATACCATCCACTACCTTGCTCTCTTCTCCAAGCGTAGCGACGCCGTACCTCTAGTCAGCATCCATGGCTGGCCCGGCTGCTTTCTAGAGTTTCTTCCACTCATGAACCTCCTCCAAAAGAAGTACACTCCTGATACTCTCCCCTACCACTTTATCGTCCCATCAATGCCGGGCTACACCTTCTCTTCCGGACCCCCTATCGATCGTGACTTTTCCACATTGGACGTGAGCCGTATCTTCCAGATCCTCCTCCGCCAGCTTGGCTTCAACGATACCCAGTACGTCGTAGCCGGCGGCGACGTGGGCAGCCGCGTGGCACGAGCCCTCGCTGTCGAAGACCAGGCCTGTTCCGCCATCCACCTAAACTTCTGCTTCGACCTCAACATGCACGGCTTCCCACGAGATAATCTTGCCGCAGAGGAGACCCGCCGCCTGGAGACGCTCGACGAGTTCATGCGAACAGGCGTCGGCTACGGCCAAATGCATGCCACGCGCCCCTCGACCATCAGCTTCGTCCTCTCCTCCAACCCCGTCGCCCTCCTCGCCTGGATCGGCGAGAAATTCGCTACCTGGACCGATAGAACACCTCCGCTCGACACCATCCTTACGTTCATCACGGTCTACTGGCTCACAGACACCTTGCCGCGGAGTATATACCCCTACCGAGCAGACTTCGCATCCAGCGATGAGGTGCCGTCACATGGGAATCCGCGTTGGCGCATCCCGGACGGGAAGCCGTTTGGGTTTTCGAGCTTTCCGAAGGAGATCCTGCCGGTACCGAGGGCGTGGGTTGACAGGACGGGGAGGGTCACGTTTTGGAGGGAGCATGAGGCGGGGGGCCATTTTGCGGCGTTGGAGGTGCCGGAGGTGGTGCTGGGGGATTTGGAGGAGTTTGTGGGGCACGTCAAGGCAGAAAGACAAATTTGAGCCGAATCACAGTCATGAGTAATTGCTTGAGGCTGGATCGAATCTCCGATCGAGGCAGTTCCTAGGTTATCGTGGTCATGTTGTAACGATAGCCAAGACGAGCTTGGAAAGCACAATGCGGTTGTGGGTCGCCTAAAGAGCGTCTGTTGAATAGAGGCGGCGAACTCACAACACCGTGCCAATCCTTAAGTAGCTAAACACACAATCACTCGTCCATTCATCTCGTAGTTGTCGCTGTGTTTCGGGAACAGATGCAGAGCACTGATGTTGCCGAGGGTCGTGATAGTGGCCCGTCGCCTGCGTCATCAACAAAAACTGCCGACCGAGAAAAGCAGCACGGCTCTGCGAATTGCGACGCTGTATAGCTGTCAATTGGCTGGACAGCCAGAAAATTGAGAAGAATATAGTTATTTCAGCCACTGATAGGCCTCACTACAGGATGTTTCGGCCTAGCAGCCGTTGACGCAGGGATTGAGGGGGCTGGACAGGGGTTTTAACTTGTTTTCCCAGCCCTGGTGTTTTCGCATCACCAGCCCTCCAGCACAGCTCCCCCGCCAGCTATCATGATGCCTGCACGCAGTACAAGTACACTCCAGCCTCCACAATGCCTCTGTACCTGCATCCTGCATTCCCCCGAAGGACGAGCACTTCATCCCTTCGTATTCTCTGCGTGCGAACGACATGAACTCTGGTGATCGGCAACCTATACTCCTCGGAGACAGCGCAGTCCTCTATCCATCCGCCGCCAACGGTACCTGCTCTCTGCCTGTCAGTTCACTTGTGATAAATTACTGATTGAGGTCTCGATGCAGTTTCCCGACCTAGATTACAGCACACCGGCTCGAACCACAGCGTAGCAGCAGAGGAGGAGTACTACTCCCTCGACGACGGCACCTCGAGCGTAGTAAGAAGCGATGACCCGCACGCCTCCAGAGCAACGGTCCAAAGATACTCCACTCCGCCCTCCGCCTTCCGAACACCTGCAAACAGCAGCGACATGTTGCAGCAGGAGTTGACAGAGCTCCCACGGAGGCGTGCGACACTAGTAGCAACCGGGGCTGCCCCGAACACCGTTTCGTTTGACGAGAGGCCGATTACAATTGTTCGCAAGCCGGTACCTTCGCACTCGTCATCCAACCACACAACACCTGAGAGAAATCCAATGGATCCTGCAGCTTCCCCATCGACGACTCCGGGCGTCGATGACACACCGTACATCCGCTTCGCAATCGACCAGCTGACCCGAGATGAGGAAGTGCGGAGGGAAACCAGGCAGTATGCGCCTGCGATTCAGGACGACTACCCGGTGGACAGGATAATACCGGACGAAGGGCTTGGATATGTTCAGCACGAGCAAGCGCCAACGCCTCCTCCTCCCCCAAGAGTGCCGCGGAAGAACTGGAGGCGGTCAATGTCGCCAATTGGACGTGACGTCTTCGAGCCTTTCCATCCTCCGCGGGAATCCCTGCCATATCCACCGCTCGAGTTCGTCCCGGGCATCCTGCGACCTACATGGCTTGGGCTGTACCTCTTTCTCTGCCTGCTCATGCTCACAGGCCTGCTCTTTTGCGCCATATGGTCTCCGGGCCACGACGGCTTCTGGGATTACGACATGTTCGGCGATGGCCGCTACTTCGTCTTCCAGTACTTGCCGACCATGCTCGGCATGATACTTCTTTTGTGGCTCTTCCAGATTCAAAAAGCGGTTCAGCGCATTTCGCCCTTCATGGCGCTTGCCTCCGAATCGCCACGCGCGCGGACTGAAGGTGTCTTCCTCAGCATACACCCCTCGCAATTTCTGCTCCCTAATCTTCAGCACTTGAGAGCTGGACAGCCAACACTCGGAGTCTGCTCCATAGTCTTCTGGCTTTTCCTGTTCACCATTCCGTTGCTCGCATCAGCTTTTAATGTACGATTCTTCGGCCCTCCCTCCGTCGGGCAATGGCGCTGGGTTGCAGTGCAGGGTGTCATCTGGACCGTCATTGTCCTCTACATCCTCCTCGTCATCGCCCTCATCCTTCTCTTCGTCTCCCTCCGCCGCAAGACCACTGGCTTAAAATGGGATCCCCGCTCGCTAGCCGACATCATCGCCCTCCTCGAGCGCTCGAACGTCATGACCGCCTACAACGGCAGCGAGACGTTCGCCAGCACTCAAGAGTTCCGAGACCGACTACAGCAACGCTCAGACCGACTCGGCTATTGGCACACCAGCAAGCGTCCTCAAGACATATTCTACGGCCTCGGCGAAGAGGGCGGCACAACGCGGCGCTACTCCATCGAAGCAGGCCGCATCCGCGAAAAAGCGCCTGAGCGACAGTACCCCCCGCCCTCAGCAGGTAGCGAAGCCGAGCGCCAGGCCTCCTCCGCCGGCGGACACGCGGGCGACTTCTCAATTCGCATGGACATCCGCTCCTCGCGCATCCGGGCCCGCTACCTTCCCTGGTTCCTGAAGGACACCTTCGTCGTCGCGTGGCTCGTTATAGCGATTGTCCTGCTGATCGCTTGGCTCGTCGTCTCTTTCGTCAACACCGCCGTAAACGGAGGATTCTTCCCGCTCGTGCCTGTTGCGGCGAACAGCGGGGGCTTCAGCGCCTCGAATTTTCTGTATTCGTTCCTCCCTGCCACTATCGCGATGCTCCTCTTCCTGCTCTACCAGCCCCTCGACCTCGCATACCGCCGTCTTGCGCCCTTTGCTGCGCTCTCGGCTCCCGGGGGGACGACGGCCGAAAAGAGCTTGTTGGTTGACTATCCAGCCCGCCTTCCCGTCTCCGTAACTGTCGCCGCCGCCTCCAACGGCGATTGGCAAGTCGCGGTCCTTTCTTTCATCTCCCTCCTCGCATCCACCTTCCCCGTCCTCGCGGGCGGCTGCTTCTGGACCCAGTTCTACGTCTCCGACGTCGAGGTCCGCGTCGCGGCACACCCGCCCGCTTACTACGCGCTGTGCGTCTTTCTATGCTTGTATGCCGTCAGCTTGCTCGTGCTGCTGGTGCCGGGCGGGTACAGGAAACGCATGGCGCTGCCCCACGACTCGAGGACGCTGGCGGAGGTCGTGAGCTGGGTCTACCAGAGCGAGCTCCTCACGGATCGCGCGTTTGCGCGCGTGGGGACGCGGGCGGAGATGGTGGCGAGGTTGGTGGGACATGAGCTCGCTCTGCATCAGTCTCAGCAGCAGCGGGAGCAGCAGCAGGCGGGTGTTTTGGGTCCCAAGGCAAACGACCGCACCAGTCCCTGGGCCAGCTTCGTGAACATGGTTGGTGGCCCGAAGCGCAACCTCGCGGGCGGCGAGAAAGCGGAGCTGGAAGCTGGCAGGACTGCTGAGTCTGAGCGTCTGAACCCCTCGGCCGCCGCTGAGAACCCGTTCTCAGACCCCTCGGAGACTGGAGCCCCGACTGCGCCGGCGACGGCGATGAGGTCTGAAGAGGCGGGTGAGAAGCGCAGATACAGGACTGAGCAGCAGCCGGTCGGACCCACGCGCTACGGCTTCGGCATCTATGTTGGACGCGACGGGCGCGAGCATCTGGGCATTGATCGGATGAGGAGGCCGGGGAGGGGCGAGTTGGTGTTGCATGATTTTAGCAAGAGGGGAAGGAGAGAGAGTGGAGTTGTGTGAAGACGTTTCCGCTCTTCTTCCTTCTGCTTTGTTTCTTTTCTGGATTACGACGGTCAGAGACGATGACGAACGAGGTGTTTCCGGTCCAGTCTCAACTGTTCTTTTGGGTCTCACACTCTGGACCCGCATGCCTCTGGCTGCGCGGTCCTTCTTTTTGTTCCTCTTTGCTGCGGTTTAGCGAGCGGCATTTGCATTTGCTGGCGCCACGACGAATGGGTCTTACGGTTTGATGGGTCTACGGATAATTGCTGTATGAAGCGGCACGAACATACATACGACACGGTAATCATGGCAATAGATGGGATCATGGATGGCTTGTACAGTAGTCATACCCTGTAATATAGCTTAGTTCCGAGACAATGGACATGATGTCTTACTACAAGCCTTCTGAGGTCAACCGACTTCAAAGTGGAGTTAGTGGTTAGCTGAGAGGACAGATCTTAAGGCGGTGCTTCCAGTGCTTTGTTCGTCTTGGGCAATCACGTTCGTGGTGACGCAAACTTAGCAGCACATTCGATGGGCCGTGGCGGTCAGATGAGTGGACCTCCACAAGGTTTTCCGCTGCAACACCATGCCAAGGTTCACGGCTTTACTGCTCAGCAGCTTCGAAGGCATTAGCAAATTTTTACGCAAGATGTGATCAGCTCAGTGGTGGTGACCGGTACGGTTAATTCATTTAGAACACCGCAAGTAGTCGCAGCAGTCACGGCAAGCATATAGGAAGCACGGTTTTGCGACATACGGCTTTCAAATAGAAGTCTATCTGAGCTAGCTACAGTATGCCACCTGTGAGAGAAGAAGGACAACGCAGTTGGGCAACACAACACTTTGCAGATCATCAATTGGAAGTAGGAAAACAAACCGTCAGAAGCACAGAAGATGTTGAAAATTTCCCTCATCCTCCACGATCCGCCAGATGTATCCAAGGAAAGAGATCGCCGTGTGAGCCGGTGTCATCAGCAGTAAGCTGGAGCAGAGCAGAGCATTATCGTCAGCGTCGAGGCTGGAGTGGAGCAGTGAAGTAGTGTTGGTACAGAGTCAGACTGGGGAAGACATCAAGGTGGAGAGGTGTCGCTGCAGAGGTCGCTCGTCGAAAGATTGCCAGGTGACGAGAGAAGCCAGAGAGTGCGGCAGCTCCAGCGATGTTCTTCAGCCATCTACCAGGCTTCGTCGCCAGCGGGGGTATCGTTGCCACCGTCCCACTTGGGCTCCTCGGCAGCAGTCCACTTGGGTTCTTCGGCAATCTCACCAGCAGCGTCGGTGGCAGTATCGCCAGGCATGGCGGTCTTGGTGTCGGTATCCTCGCTGCTGACAGAGTCCTTGTCGGAGTCATCATCGAACACCAGCTCGCCTTCGGGGATGCGGTCAGCCAAGAAGTCGGGGACGTCTTGGTTGGTTTCAACAAGGATCTTGACAAGCGCATCGGCGATGTCCTCGTTGCGGTCATTGTAGAACGAAGTGGCAAGGCCCTCATTTCCGATGCGGGCGGTGCGACCGATGCGGTGGATGTACTCATCGATACCGCCGTGGGCGGCAGAGGGGAGGTCGTAGTTGATTACATGCAAGACGTTCTTGATGTCCAAGCCGCGGGCTGTGACTCCAGTGGCGACCATGATTGGCATTTGTCCGGTACGGAAGGCACGGCTGTGGAAGGTCAGCAGGGAACAGACGACAAGGAGGTGATTGACATACATGGCGTCTTCACGCTCAGCCTGCGTGCGATCAGAGTGGATCGAGGTGGAGGGCAGCTCCAGGTTGAACAGGTAATCATCGAGAAGATCAGCCATGCGACGAGAGTTGACGAAGATGAGGGTCCGAGCGGGCGGCAGGGAGAAGAGCAGATCGTAGAGCGCTTGGCGCTTAGCGCTGTCGTCAACATAGACAATCTTCTGGGTGATATTGGTATGGGTTGATCCAGTACGACCAACCCGGATGCGAACGTGGTCGTCCATCATGTAGCGCTTGGCCAGTTTCCGAGCCTCCTTGGGAAAGGTAGCGGAGAACATCATGTATGTGTGATCATCGTCGGCGTTGACGTCTAGTACATAGTCAGTAGTGAACTATTGGATATCAGGAAAACAAATTCTTACCTGCACCAGCCAGGATACGCTTCATATCCTCCTCCCAGTCGTCTTGGAGCATCTCATCGGCCTCGTCAATGATGGTGAATCTGATGGATGATTAGCAGCATGACGTTGTTTGACACATTGAAACCCGAAGACTTACTTGACGCGATTGAGTGAGAGCACGCCCGGCTTATCCATCAGGGCCTTGAGACGGCCCGGGGTGGCGATGAGGACATCACAGCCGCGACCAAGCTCCTCAAGTTGAAGGCGGAGCGGAACACCGCCATAGACGACGGCAGGACGCAGGAGGCTGCGGTAGCAGAGGCGACGAGCTTCATCGAAGATTTGCACAGCCAGCTCGCGAGCTGGACAGATGACGAGCACAAGGGGCTCTGCGCGCACGCGGTCGGTGGCAGGATTGTATGTACGCGGATTGGGACGCGGAGCCGCAAGCTTCTTCGCCTTTCCCATCAAGCGGGAAAGGATTGGAATGAAATAAGCGCCCGTCTTGCCCGAGCCTACAGAGAATCAGCAAGGGTGGCTGTTGATGCTAGGAGGGGGACAGTAACACACCGGTCTGAGCGATTCCGACAACGTCGGTGCCAGCAAGGATGGCAGGGATGCAGTACATTTGAATCGGGGTCGGGAAACGGTAGCCACAGAGCTTGATGTTCTCGAGCATGACGGGATGCAAGCCTGCATTGGCGAACTACTGAAGTCAGCCATGATCACCAATCATGAAGGTGTTACTTACTTCACGAATGAGGTGGACGGGCTCAGGAGCTTCTACTGTGACTTCGTACTTGAAAGCATCAAACTTGGTGCCAGCTTGCATGCGGTAATCAGAGCCGAACAGCTCGATCTCTAGCTCTGGGATGGCGGGACCCACGTCGCCATAGTCGTCGTTCCACTCATACACAGCGGCATTGGCCAGCCAAGCAGGCTCCTCACGATCAGCGTCGTCGTCCTTGCGTCCGGTAGCATACACGGAGTAGTCGTATGGTGTGCGTTCGACGAACCCATGGAGACGAGCCTTCTCGCGGGCGTCGATATTCTCACCAGCACCGTTGTCACCGGCATCGTCCTCACCGGCACCGTTGGAATCGCCGGCATCGTTAGCATTCTTGTCGTCAGCGCCGTTGGCATCAGCACCGTTAGCATCAGCAACGTTGGCATCGGCGCCATCGTCATCGGCACCCTTGTTGGCATTAGCGGCATTGTTAGTGCCCTCATCATCGGACGGCGGCGTAGTGCTGCCCTCTTCAGGAGCATCCTCCTTGGGGTTGAGGTCCCACTTGTCAGACATGGTTGCTGAACTTAGATCTATGAGGTATGAGTCAGTGAGGTGAAGTGAGTAGAGACGACGGGGTGGCAAGAGGCAAGCACGACGACATGCCGCTGAAGGCGAACGTGATTCCTCAGTCGGTGGCAGGAATGTTGATGAAACGCCACCGAAAGAGGATGTTATGGTTCAGTAAGTAATAAGATCGGTGATGAAAAGTCAAGATGCAACACCAAAGCGAGTGCTTCACGGAGGCATGCAGCAAGGCGTCAAGAAGAACGACGTACCCTTTACGATGAATGCCCTGTTGGGGGTAGTGAGTCTAAGGCGATTGAGGGAGTGCGAGCGCGGTAGATGCGAGCTGATGATGGTGTTGAACGATGGTAGAAGTTGCGGTTGAAGAAGGTTGTTGTGGGTGGAGGAGGGACGGAGGAAGATTTGTTGTGGATGGACTTTTAAGCAGAGGAAATTAGGCGGCTGCACGGGGGCGGCGTGACGTCGGTCCCTTCACGGCCCTATTGACAAACGGGATGGGACGGTAAGGGATAGGCGGTGTAGGCCAAGACTCAGAGCAGGTCGATGAGGCCGGCCCCGCTGTCCTTCAGCGCGGCGGCAGCTTTGCAAAGTCTTCTGGGCTGGTAGATGACACGAGACGGGCCAGAGCAGGAGGGATAGATTAGCTTATGATAGATGCAAAGCTGGGAGGTTGCAGCCGCGGTATTGATTTGGAAAAGGATTGAAAGTGTTGACCAATGTGGGCTGCACTTTCAGTGAACTACCCTCACCCCTTACAGGAGAGGGATACCGAAGTGAAGTCGCCAGCTTATCCAAGGGCAGACCGGCCTCTGAGAGCAGAAGATACACAGAGAGTCCGGAAGTCCGCGCGACGAGGTTGCAGGGCATCCGATGATACCTCTTGCCGGCGACGATATTGACACCTGAGTCTTGAGCTCAGCTGGACCAAGTACATGGCTCACTGCAACGATGAGACACCTTTCCGCACATAGCTCCAGCGGAGTCCAGCATCTATGTGATTGGGATAGGCAACGTTAACGGCCACCCCTTAACCATGGTATTCGAAGCCACACGCCTGTCTGGAGCGCGTATCGACAAGTCTGCCATCTACATTCATTGGAGATTGATTGGCAAGAAGCCTTGCGGCGTGGAAATGCTTTGACATCTCCTCGTAAGACGCACACCCGAAAGATGGTAATCACCCTCGACCAGTATTCCGATTCCCTCAGTTGCAAGCACCCTTCCGCGGAGTGACATGTAGGCTTTATGACCGACATGAAGGAAGACAACCATACAGACCAAGACTCGGGGTGTGCGTGGAGCAGTGACGAGAAACGGAGTTGGGCCGATGACTGTGGAGGCTGAACTGACTACGAAGCCGGCAGAGTCTGATTCTCTTGGCGAACTCGAGGCCGGGAGAGTGATAAGATGTATCTTTGAGATAGAATCGAGTTGGATGCCTATCATGGCTACCATGGCTCTGATCTCTGTTCGAGAATTCATCACAAGACAATTTTATTTGCGCTCTTCATCAAGAGCAATGCGTGCTGTGGTCCGCATCTTTACCCAAAACCATTCATCACGGCTTTCAGAGCATGGTTTGAGCTCCATTGCATCCTCCTGGCATTTTGTAGTCTCATCCGCGGCACGGTTGTTTGCTCTCAGCACGTCTCCAGTGGTCGTCCAACCGTCCTCACAGTACAGCTCTGGCCCTTCCATTCATAGCAAACCCTCAACAGCGGCAGAAGTCCCGGTGCGCCAGCACGACAACAACCACGAATACTCTGCGCCCGTCGTAGCAGATCTCAGCAATTTGCCAGCGACAGTTGCAAGACACAGCACGTCAGTTCAAACTCGGCGACCAGGAGAAAGGCGATGTCGATGAAATGCGCCGGCAACTTGCAGCTTCAGCACGGCTCCACGCAGCTTTTCCGTCTCTGGAAGCCCACAGCACTTGTCTTTCGATAAGAACCAGGGTTGCCAGCACAAGTTGCTTGAGAGCTGCCAGATTGACGAAGGGAGCTTTCAGTCAGGATACCTTCTCCGAGCCGTTTCCGCCTCTCCAAACCCTCCTCCACCGTTGGCTTTTGAGCACACAGCACAGCCTAGGACGACAGCACAAGGGCGGCACATACACTGGGGAAGGGGGACGTTGGAACAAACAATACTCTGGCAGGGTTCCGCTAGAAGGAGATCCATGGTACAGCCCGAACCGGTCCCACAAGCGCAGCCGACCGTTTCATGTCACCACCGCGCTACAGATGCCACGCTACACTTTTTTGGATGGCGGAGAACTGCGTACGGATGCCACACCAATCGTTTGGTTGGAGATGTCAAAAAAGCCAGGGTCGTTATCGGCGATAACCCGTGCACAGCGCCTTGAGGGTCTCCACTGGTTTTCGATGGCGGCGGCAGGCTTGTACAAGCCGGAATGCTTTCCTCCAGGATTTCCGGCAGGGCAGTAAGGCGATTCGATGCCCGCGATAAGTGTCAGCTACCAAGTCGAGACACCATCTCGCTCCCGCCACAGTTTGGCTAGCGACCGAAAAATTCGAGCCACGAAGCAGGGCTCGACCAGCAACCATAGCTTGTCTCACAAAGCATATGCCATCAGGGGCGCGTAGCCTCCGGAGGTGTCGAAGCTATTCTGATGCCTCTCACACTGGGGGCTGAGTACGACTGATTTGCGACCGCGCCACCGTCTGTTGATTCGACAGATGGTTTCCATAGCTGGCGACAGGGCACAGAGCCACGACTTGGGTTGAAATCGTGGCGAGACGATTAGCAGATACTGATCCGGTCGCGCCCAGATGAGGCCACAAGCCTTCCATGATTGGAACGCCACCGGAAGGGTGGAGCTTCGGCAGCATTGCCAGGGCTTTCGCCTGTTTCCGCTTGACTTCGATGACGGCGGAGACTCGGAGACAAGATGACCATATTAGGGAGCTGAGCAACGCCCCATCTGACTGAATTGAGAACAGGAATCTGCTTCGGACCGGACCGCAGGAGTGCCGCTTCGTAGCAGTCAAGATCTCCCAAGGGTGGTTACCATCTCAATGAACACTCCGCCTCCGAAGACACAGATGCCGGACACGGCACAAAAGAAACACATAAAGACGAGGTCACCACACTTTGGAGGAAGGAACAGACTCAGACAAGTCCTCATTCAACAATATGAAAGGACTACACGACGGCACGGCCTGGAGCGTTTTGCCACTCGCTTCATCACAGAAAAGTAAGAGTGTCCGCACACGCCCTGCTGCATGGGGACGCTCTTTATATAGAATCCAAGAAAAACCCTTCATATCAAGCCAGCTGAGGTCATACCCGAGAAAGCGCTCAGTGTTCCATGCTCACAAAGGCAATACCCGAAAATTGAGCACGCCGCGGAAGAGAACGTCCAACATCTTCAACCCCTTTGCCGCAGAGCCGCCTTCTTCTCCTTCGCACCGTCCGGCGACATGTCCGATTTTGAAGGCCGCAAACATTAGGGGCGATGAGTTTGAGTCTTTCTGCCGCCGGTCTGGAGACGTGCACGCCAGAGAGATGAGCGAATTGGACATGAGTGTGCTGGAGGCCCGAAGCCGGACCGATTAATTGCATCTCCAGTAATCGCCGTCTCATTAGGTCCGTACGACGCGCCTCCAGGCAATACAGCGTCGAAAAAGCTCGAAGGGTTTAAATGGTCCCAGAGACGGCGTCGATACTCAGTTCAGAGCCAGCTACAAACTCCTGGACCGTTCGAGCTTCACCAGGCAACGTCCTGGATTACGCATCTCCGCAAGTATCGCGATCAACTGAGTGACGACGTACAGCTTTGAAGCCGCCGGTCACTCGATGTATATAAGATGCGGCCATCGCTTGCTGTCACTTCTCTGAGCTCAGGGGTTCTCGAAATTCCTGTTCGAGATCCATGTTGTCACGTGATCGTGCACACCCCCTGAGCGGGCCTCGTATGGAGCAAGCTAGTTGGGTTCGCTGGCCAGCGGCGTTGTCTGAGAGGAGCCAGCCGGGGTCGCAAAAGTCGATGTGCTCGCGGAAGGCCGCGGCTAGAAGGGCATATGGTTTTTGCTTGAAGAGACTATCTAACAGCACCATACAAGAGCACCGTACAGAGCAAACACGATAAACCTCCAGCCGTCAGGGCCTCCCCTTCAAGAATGAGCGTGCCAATCCCATGTCCACCCCTGCGGCCCCCTTCCACCAACCATCACAACAGTGGGCACTTGAATAACTACTAATCCACCGCTTCAAAGTCCAAATTCTACACCATTTCTGCGAACAGGACCAGACGCTCAGGACTAGACGCTCGGGATACTCGCCAACCTCCGAGATCCCGATTCCACCTCCTGCAATTCCAAAGGATGAGCGTAGCGTCCGGCTTGATCATCTTGAAAGAGTGATCGCAGCTTCCGGGTACGGCTATTGCGCTTGGGTGGGCTCCTCCAAGCACAGAACAATGCCACCTGACAGCTCACCATCGCCGGCTGTCGAGTCATCGTAGTCCTGAACGGTTTCATGTGGTCGACAAGGTTATATCGCCTGGAGAAGCCTTTGCCGGGAACTGCCTGAATGCGTGGTGAGACCAAGGTGTCCATCACCCTCGCAGGTTGCCAATTAGACCAATCAATGATTGTCACATCTAGCGAGCGATTCGTACGGCTGTGTAGGAAGCCTGTATGTCAGACTCAAAGCAGTCCGAGTGATCTCCAGAGAGGACTTCGAGGGGAGGATTCCGAGGTTGGAATCTCAGCGAACTAGACCTTGGCTCGGGACTCAACCGGCTGGCGTAGTTACGCCGTTCGGAGATTGGTGCTTCTTCGCTGACCCATTGGTCTCTGTGCCCTGGAGGGTGCAACCAAAGCCGGTTGACTATGCCCACTCATACTCGGGATAGATACAGAGGTGTGGCTTGGATCCATGGCCATGCATGCCGTGAGCCTCCCTCTCGTGGGGCAGAAGGCAGGTTGTTGATGAGAACTGGATGTCTCTGCAGGTCAAACATCCTGTTCCACCGGTCGCCGCAATTGTACACAGTCTGTTCTAGCTCTACAACGAAACGGCTTCAGATGCGCCACTTGCGCGCACAAGGGCTTGAAGCCGAAGGAGCTGGATGTTCAAGAAAGGCAAAGGCAACTCAACATCCGGAGACATCAAACTGGTGAATGCGGTAGACAGGACCGCAGGATTCAGCAGGTCTGTAAAGACATCTTCCAGGAGCGATGGTTTGGGTCGATGTCCACGCCGGCGTCGACTGGCCGACAGGGCGGTCTTCAAGCATCCTCTTCTTCATCTGTTGGCAGAAAGCCAACGACCAGCCATAGTATGCCTCGCTGAGCACAAGGTCGACCATCTCGTCCCGGCCTATGGTCTGCCCCATCTCGTCGATTTCTGCTACGATGCCTTCGTCGTCGTGGTGCGCTGGATCATAGATCCGATCAACGTCCTTCAGGAACTCTCGCACGGCATTCACTAGGCTCTTGTCTACAGGTCCAGTCGGCATCTGAAGTGCTCTCATCTGTCAGATATCGATCGGCGAGGGCGAACATGGTCATCGGGAAGACAACGTCTCAGGGACTGAAGAAAGAAAGGAAGAGGGGGTTTGCTGAGAACAAAAGCGGTCTCGAGTATTTCTTGCACATCTTCTTCGCAGAGTGCACGACGGCGCTGCGATTGCCGAAGAAGGAGCCCAGGCCCGGCACGAGCGAGACGTACAGGTCCGTGTAGGCGGCGTGGAAGGAGCCGCTGGTGATGTTGCCATGTTTCCCACCCAGATCGCCGGCCTGGCAGGTCTGGGGAGCTGTTGCGTCGCAAGGTGTCTCTTCGCCGCCATGCGAAGGTACTTCAAGAGTTTTGCTTGATGAATAACGCTGTATCTGTACGGGACGAGCAAGAACAGTCTTCGTGTCCTGTGGGTCCCCGAAGCCAGCCCGAGCCCTGGTCTTCACCCTCGCGAAAGAAGGAATCCAGGTAGAGCCGGGTGGAGGATACCTCTGTAGCCATCTTGGTGAAAGAACCTGGGGATGTCTTGAGAGCGATGAGGCTGTCGCGAAGCGAGGCTGGTCGCGAAGAAAGGAACACTGGCTTCTACGTCCTATCCAGAAGTGAGGCTCCTCGGCGAGTCTCAAAGACAGGAGCACAGTAACGACACAATCCTGCTGCGCGACGGGAAGGACATGTGGACTGACTCCGGAGAGGACTGGTGTCTGTGGTGTGGTGGTGGTGTGGTGAAGAGGAGAAGCGGAGTGGATGAGGCGGAAGAGTTCATCGCCTTTCCGGAAATGAGGCTATGGGGAATGTTTGCTACGGCGAACTGTGGCTGTCCCTAATAGCACGCCTGCCGCACCACGAACCATCTCCGGAGAGAATGCCGTGGCATTGGTAGTAGGAGAGAAGTCGGTGTAGGACGCGTTGGTCTGAGCTGAGTAGGGGCTGCTATGAAGTCTAGATGAGATGGAGCCAGACCGAGAGGGGATTCGTGCTACGAACCGTTCCCGCACGCTTGTGCTCGACGAAGCCGAAGCCATTCATGAGCTTAATTTCGGTGATTTCAGGGCACGCCCAGGGCGTCCTTGTACTCGACGAACCCGAACGAGCAGGGTAAAAGACGGAACTATGTTCCTCGATACTTGGATGTGGATTCTTCACGGCAACGTAACTGAAAGCGGAGACGTCGGCGGGGGCCCTGGGAAGCCTGCTCTTTTCTCTTTCAACAATCCAGCACCCGACCATCATGGCAGCCAAGTGCACGGATTGCTGATCGTATACGTGAAGTTGCTGAGCTAGCACATTCATGCCGGCCAACGTCAAAACCCCAAGGGTTCTTGTACAATAAGTGAGAAGGCGGGACAGACGAATCCTAGCTCTTGTATCCACCGTAGTCATTGTTGCCATAGGCAGCAGGCTGCGGCGACGGTGTCGACGCAGAGGAGAGTCGGTGCGAAGGGGCTCGAGGACGGTTTCGCACGGGACGAATGATGGTGCTTGTAAGGGCCTTCTGTTCCTGTCAGCGTGTTCAATAGCGGCTTAGAGAACAAAAGGGGAGGTTCTTACCGGTCCAACCACCACGCCGGCTATGCAAGATCTTCGCAAATCCCCGGCTCAACACCATGCTAAGGCGTGTGATCCCACGGGTCGGAAGCTACATACCTGTCTTCGGAGAATCCGAAGCTGCTCAGTACGGTTTAGCATCCCAACCCGCCGGTGGACATCTTCTCCGCCGGCTTCCATCGAACCAGACATTCACCGATTGAAATGCCTCTTGTTGCCAGTGGTTGGGGATGTCGCTTGCAAGAGAGATACGGCCCAGAACCTTACCGTATGATGCAGCGCGGTCATACAGCATCTGCTGGATACCGAGGAACTGATTTTGCACCACATCGAACGGGCCGTGAGCCCAGAGAATGACTTGCCCTTCGAGTTCAAGCACCGAGGGCGGTTGAGACATGAGAGGAAGGAACCCCAGAGGGATGCACTCGGCACGCGCGCTACACTGACAGAGCCAACGAGTTCATCACCTGGGCCGGAAGGTCTGGGTAATCTTGAGATCAGTTCTCCACTGCGAACGGGCCGTGGGCCAAGACAAATCACCTGGCCCTCGAGCTCGTCGATGCACTCAGGGCGGCTGAGGGACACCAAGGAGAAGTCCCCTAGGGTGATGAACTCGATGAGCCACTCTCCGCCGCGAATGAGCGCTACGTCGTCCGCAGCTTCCTGTGCCGAGCTGATGGTGTCAAAGGCGAAATACAGTTCGCCTTGGATCAGGACGCGCTTCACAATGTTGATACAGGCCTTGAAAGACGGCCGCTGCGCTTTGAGTTGATCATTGCAGTTAGCAAGGGTGTCGTAGAGGGTGTGAGGGAGAAAGTCAAGATGAGCAAGAAAAGCTTACCTGCGGTCGGATGAACGAGGCCTTTTCCTGTCGCACCATGGCCGAGGGAGAAGCCGGGTCCAGGACCCGCATGCTCCACTGAAGGGCGGCCACCTGGCGGCTTAAGCTCTCTGTATAGAGATTGTTTCCGCTTTTGGGAAACTCAGTGGGGGCAATTGGATGGTCACGAGGGCAGCCGCCGTCCAAATCTCCGAATGTGAACCAGATGCGCATGGCCAAGTTTATCTGCCACTCTGGCTTCTGCTGCACAATCATCTCGTAGCTCTGGACGCCGTTGGTCGGGAAGTGGTGGTGTCCGAATGGTGTCGCTGGAGACATGCCCATTTGTGCCACGGCCTGTTGATGAGACACCGAAAGCTGGCCCGTCTGGTCGGCCCAGTTGCAGCGGATAGTGCAACAACCGTCGATTGAGTACAGCCACTTCGAGAAGATCTTGTCTGTGAATAACCATCAGCTGTTGTTTCACAGCGCGCTCAGCTTCAACAGAACTCAAACGGCACAAGAAGCCAGTAAGCATACATGGTCAGCGAGCTGTCCGATCTGTGTAGCCAGCCAGAGTCACTCAGAGCCGGCAATCAGAATCACCAGCTATTGATAGAACGGGTTGCAGCCGACCGCACGGGTAGATCCACTGGGACAAAAAACTCACCTCGCTTCCGCACACGAACAGTCCATTGTCCGGTTAAGCAGTCGTGATGCAAAGGAAGTAGACGTGGAGGGCGAGCACGGCCGCTGCCGTGAGGTTGAAGCTATGAATGCGAGTGGCCGACCGGTGATGGATCCGCCAGAGCAATCAGAGACCGAGGTGCTCAACGATGGCCCACAACACGGCGAAGAGGATATGGAGGATGCCGACGCCGTCGAAGTTTGGCTTGCCGAAATCAGGTTCGCATATTCGTTGTCAGCCCCAGAGAGCAGTCTGATACGGCGCCGACGGCCCCCGGGGCTGCGCAGAGGAAGTAGACGGGGATGGCAAAGACAGCACTGCCATGAAGAGTTGGCACAAGTGTGCATAGCTGCCATATCGACAAAGATCCCCCTCGAAGACGATTACCTTGGTGCAGCGGCTGGTTCTGACTCTCCACCACATTGTGTGCTGGTGGAAGAGTCGAGAGGGAGATCGTTCGCCCAATGCTGACGACGACGCCAGGGTGCTGCGCTGCGCCGATGTCCGAGTCAGTACGGTTCGAAAGCGAATGGCTGCTTTACAACGCTCGTTGTGGGCTAACTAGAAGCCATGGCCTCGCGATGCCAGGTCGGTGGACGCTCGACTGCAAAAGATCTTGGGTTTGAAGGAGGGTGCTATTCAGAGAGGAAGTCAGTGGCATGCGCGAAGTTGACGACCAACCGCGCTGCTGAGATCTAAGAGAGCGGTGACAATACATGAGGTAGACGGGCTCATCTGGAAAGGAATGATGGCTTGAACTGACCTTACGCTGGAAGAACCTCAGCGCCGTGATTCCACACGGCGGGCCTGTGGCAAGAGTCAGTGTGTGCGGACCATCACCACTGCCGACGAAGAAAGCGGATTGAGACTGGACGATACCTCGCGAACGATGCTGGCTCGGCGGCGACTCGTTAGATCAGGAGAAGGGTGACACGCGTTCATCATGGACATTGACGCGTATTCATGAAGCTCATCTCGATATCAAAATGCTCCTGAGCGACAGTAATTGTTGTCGATGAAGGGGGCGGCTTGTCGGGTGGAATGACTGAAGATCTGACAAGGTAACTCACCACGAAGGGAACCGCCGCAGGGGCACATGGTCAATGGACACACAAACCCGAGTCCGAGATTCCCCGGATGCAAGAAGTGATTCGAATGTCAGCTCCAAAATGTTGAGGCGGTAGTTGAGTTGGGAGGAGACTGAAACGAAGTAGATGTAGGCGACGGGCAGTGTGGGTGACTGCAAGGCCTCCCTCTCCCTGACTAAGCGAATCAGCTCGCCCCCTTGCGTCACGCCTTACACGCTCTTGCAGGGCTACAAGGCGCGCAGCTGGCCTTGGGATGACATTCTTCATGAAATTGTTGGAAGCTATGAAAGCACCTAAGCGTCTACTTACACTCCCTAAGGCTCTCTGGACACCCTACGCCCGCAGTACCCTATCGTCCCTGACCCGCAAGACATCGCATTGCCACTACGAATCTCCCCAGCAACGGGACTTGGGCCACAACGCCTTGGCTTGAACCACCCTCCCGCGCCAGAACTCCCAGCCTTCCGAAGCAATGTATCTGTATCGCGTCTCGAAGCGCCAAAGACCCAGCAGCACCACTCTTTTTCCACAGGCAGCACGCTCTGCTTCAGCGTGACAGAAGAGTTAACGCGCCTTAGCTTCACTACTTTCTTCCCTGATCAATGAACTCCGAGGTCAGACACGAATATCTTCCGAAAGTAAAACAGGAGCGGCGGCTGCTCGAAATCTTGGGAAGGTAAGGAACCAGCAGCACAGGAGATCAGAGCCAGAACTAAAAACCGTTGCGCCTGAGTATTCTGCAACGGTTTTGAACGAAGAACACTTGACACTCAGGACGCTCCGGAAGTCAGGGAGTACCACACGGGTGAGAGTTCAAGTTTTTCATATTCCTGGATGGAAAGGCGACAAAGCAGTCAGCAGAACATCCGGTTCTTGCAGAACGTGAAGACAATGAGATGGACCCTATGGCTCGGCGGCAGAATCCTCAGCGAGGGCTACCGTTGTCTGAGCCGTTCGATCCAGCATCGACCTCTTAGAGATTAGGTGTGTCGACATCACAGCTTGCTGGCAGGCTGTACGCTTACTGCGGAGAGTAAAACGCGCACTTTATCATCCGCGCTGGAAGGACTGTTGAGCACCTGGAAAAGACTCGCTCGGAAGGGGAAGGCCGATTTCATGAGATGGACAGGGCTTCTCTGGAGAAAGTCATGCCGGATGGGTCGGTCTTGAGGCACATACCAGACTTCCCCTGGTTGACACCAACGATCGTCGATTCTGTATCATTCAAGTATCCGTCCGCGACAAAGGGGATAGAGTAACTTCGGAGACTCCAATCTCAGGGCTCGTTCGGCTCAGCACATCATTCCCGAGCCGGGAATTGAAGCACGCACATTAGCACGGCGGAAGGCTATGAAGCTCTGTAATGTATAAGAAACGAATCCATTCGGACTATGGTGAAGCAGTGGATTCGAGGTTGGACCGCGAGTATACGGTCCGGTCAGCGCTCTCACAGGAGACCACTTACATGTATACTTGCCCGCAATAAATGCGCTCAACATGAGGGCAAGCAAGACTGTTGGCGACGCCTAGCAAGCAACAAGTGACATAAAACCGAGTAACCCCTGAGCTTTCGTTCGCGGGCTGCTTAACCCGAGGGCGCCTCGACAGGAATCTTGAACCGCAGTGGTAGACTACATAACGCTCAGAATCATTTCACCGTAGCAATTGAAACTAGTGCAAGCGTTTCAGTGATGCTTTAGAGCTACAGGCGGGCATGAGGCATGATTGAAGTTGGCACAAAGTCGAAGCCAAGCGGCCTCGCTTGCGGCGGCGGCGCTTGGGGAATCCTTGGTCATGAGCGCTGCCACATCGTCATCTTGGCTGTGCACTTGTCGCATCTGCAACAACCCGGCGCAGGTTTCCTTAGTGCGTCCGTCTACCTGCTATCTTGGTGGTCATGTAACATGTTGCGCAAGAACTTGCATGCGTCGTGCTGTACAACAGCACACAACACACGGCCGCCAGCATGACTGAGCCCGCACCGACCGAAGCAGTTGGAGACGCCGCCCAGGATGTTGAAGACAACCCATACGAGCATCAGCAGAAGCAGGAGGAGAAAGAGGAGCAGGACTTCCTCGATCCAAGGTTCGCCTCGTCTGAAATGCCATCTGGCTTAAGCACGAGCTGACAGCCTTACAGTCGATGGTGGCTCGCGTCGACAGCTATACCACTGTTTGCTGGTACCTTTGGGCCTATAGCTAACGGCTTCAGCATATGCGCCTTGGTGGAGAATTGGAGAGACCATGTCCCCATCGGGGGTGCTGAGAATGTGGACTCGACACCCGTTGATGACCCGTCGTTGTAAGTATATACGCCGTTCCGCACGCGTCGCCGTGGAGAAGAGCTCGCTGTATTAGCGAGGACTCAGGGCTCGCCTCCTACACACATGCTGCGCAGACCGGCGGAGCTGACGATGTTCTACTACCAGCCTCATTGCGGTCAACTCAATCTCTCTCATATGCGCCCTCGTAGCAAATGCGGCTCTCCTACTCAACATGGCCCGTCGGATACCCTTCGCCATCGCACAGCCTATCACCATTGTCGGATGGCTGGTGTCATCCCTCCTACTTATAGCTCTCGTATCAGTCGCCAATACACCTGTCTTCCGGATAGAGCCTCGGTCCGAGCACGTCCTGACACAGGCATACTACTATGCAATCATAGCGGCTGCTTTATACTGCATCATAGCTTGTGGAATGGTCATCACGGTGGTTGGCGCACATAGAGGGCACTACGAGAAAGAGTTTAGATTGACCATGAGCCAGAGAACGCTCATGTTACAGACCATCGGCTTCATCACATACCTGCTGCTGGGCGCGTTGGTGTACTGTAAGGTTGAGAACTGGAAATTTCTGGACTCCGTGTACTGGGCGAACTTCACACTGCTGACGGTTGGCATCGGCACTGACAACCATCCTATGACGCATCTTGGGAGGTCCCTACTCTTTCCGTACGCAATCGGTGGCATTGTGATGCTCGGTCTGGTGGTTGGATCAATCCGTTCTTTGATACTGGACAGAGGCAAGCACAAGCTGACGGCCAGGATGACCGAGAAGAAGAGGGAGGAAGCGCTTTCCAACATCGATTCCGAGAAACGTACCATTAAAGTTGGCTTCAAGACGCTTTCGTTCGAACAAAAAGGGCTCTCGGAAGTTGAGAGACGGGAGCAAGAGTTCAACATCATGAGAATGGTACAAGAAAGCGCCGAAACCAGGCGGAAGTGGATCGCCCTCGCATTTTCGACGATGGCCGCTCTCGGATTGTGGTTCATCGGCGCAGCTGTCTTCCAAGTCACGGAAAGAAAACAGGGATGGACTTACTTTGTGTCGCTCTACTTCTCTTACACGTCCCTTCTCACGATTGGCTATGGCGATTTCCAAGTGCAAAGCAACTCTGGAAAGCCGTTCTTTGTCTTTTGGTCACTGTGTGCAGTGCCGACGCTCACTCTGCTCATAAGTAATATGGCTGACACCGTCGTTATCGGGTTTCGAGATATTACAATCTGGGCTGGATCAATCACCGGTCTGTTACCAGGCGAGGCTGGCTTTCGAGAGACAGTCAAGACTACGGCTGCAAAGATCGATGTGAAGAACCTCTTCAGCAAAGGGGACGCTTCTGGGAACCCGCCGCCGCCCGGATTCGCTGCCACTGGAGGCAAGGACGAGCAGAACAAGAAGACTGCGACTGAGGACTTTGCTATGGATCGTGTCACAGGTCATATCGAAGACGAAGAGCTACGCGAAGCCGAAGAAGCCGGCGAACGAGGTGATCCGATTGAGCGAGACATACATTTCTACCACTATCTGCTCGCCAAGGAGCTCCGTAACGTCATGAAGGATGCCGAATCATCGCCACCGAAACAGTATTCCTACCACGAATGGGCGTACTATCTAAAACTCATTGGACAAGACGAGGCCGATCCAAAGCGTCACCGCAAACCGCCTGTCGAACCCAACCGAGACAGAAGTAAGGGAGACGGGGGCCCAGATGTCGCCAAAGCACACGGCGAGGATGAGGACGGACAGCCATACGAGTGGAGCTGGCTGGGCACGCGCAGTCCGCTAATGGGCAACAAGAGCGAGGCCGAGTGGATCTTGGAGAGGTTGGCCGCCACGCTGGAGGAGGAGCTCAAGAAGATGAGGTCGCAAGATCCTTCGGAGCGCAAGCAGAAGCCGCCGGTGTCGATGGATGATCTAAGGCAGCGGAAGAAGCCGAAGGAGGAGCAGAATAGCAGTGGTGAGAGCAGCAGTGGCGGGAAGAGTAATGGTGAGAAGAGCAGTGATGAGGAGGAGAGTCGCAGTCGTTCTTCCAAGGACCGCAAGAAGGAGCAATGAGACCTCGTCTGCTCCTATTCGTCATCACGTGATATCGCTTACTGCACTGAGCAAGCTTGAAGGCCCGGTGTGCAGCTTCGTCTCTTTCGAAACACAGCAAATGGCTTTTTGTTCTTGCCCCAACTCTCAGTCATACTTAGCGAGGCGTTCTGGGTGTGCTGTAGATAGATTACACCGGCATTGATGGAGCAAAGAGCGGGGCCACGTTGCGCTCTGCGATTGTCATAATCAATCTCCCTTCGCCTAACGTACGGGCGTGTAGGTGCAGGTGTTGCTCCAAGGGCAGGGTCTGGAAGGCAAATGCTGCCACCGCCCTCCGTCTAAATTCTTTGCCCCCTTCCAAACACCATCCTCCGTGAATTTTGTCCGCCGTGATTTGGCCTATGGTCAAGCGCCCCGGATTTCACTCTCAAAAGACGCACTCTTCACAGTCACGAACTGCATAAGTCCTGGTCACCTTGTCCGCTGTGGCAAGACTACCCGGCTTCACGGCAAGTAGATCTTGTACCGACTTTCACTCATTGTATGACCACATGGTCACTTGTGCCAACCGACCTTCGGCTTAGCACAGATAGTGAATACATACACTCGACGAGCCGCTCATAAGTTTACCAGCAGTCCTTAGAGCGCGGCTTCGATAGTGTTGGCTCGTGTCCACCGACTGCACGTCTACTTGCGTTCTCAACCCTTCTCCTCGGTCTCTTCTCACTCACCCACATCTTCGACAGAAGTTTTCACTCAGATCTATTATGGCTCGGGCTCTCTCACGTGGCAGCATCATCGCTATAAGTCTTTGCATCGTTGGCGCGGTCGCTCTGATCACCATAATCATACTATTCCGGTGGCAGAAAGACAGACGTAGGCAGAAGACGAGGACCCTAAGGACCTGGCGCAATGGCGTTCAGCCTGGTCAACGGGAGCCAGGACGCTTGATGTAAGCCACCTTGTCAGATTACAGGTACAACATGAGCTTATTCGCCTAGACCGCTACAGAACTTCTCCCTGAACGACAACTTCGCGGAGGACGCCCAAGCCATGCGAGGCACCACTATACCCGGAGAACCGTCTCCAAGGGACACAGAACAAGATCTCCACACGTCGCAGCAATACCACGCAGGAAGAGAGCAGCGGGCCAGGCTGGCGGCTCTGGCGACGAACAACTTGACCCTCAACGACAACCTGCCAGTAGATCGTATCCTAGGAGCACTAGGCAACGGTGCCGACATCGCAAATGCGTCTGAGTCTAACATTCCTCCCGGTGGCCCAGCCGTTCACCCTGAGTGGGCAGCTCGGAAAGCACTCCAAGCCGGGGAGATGGAGGCTCAAGGCAAGTCCGAATCAGAGATCATGTGCGCCAGCGAGATGGAGAGTTCAATCGCAGGCGCTGCGCCTGTCGAAGGCAGCAGTATGGCACGCTGGCAGCGCGTCATGGGCAACCAGGACAGTCAGGCACGTGGATTGGGTCTTTCATTCGGACATCGGCGAACAAACCCCATCTCGGTTACGAGACTGGCACCTCTGCGGCAAGACTCCGCTGAGTCCACCCCACCGCAACGCATGGAGAGACCAACCCGCATGTCCTCGCTCCGACCACCAGAGGCAAGACCAGCACAACAGCCCACGCCGCCACCACTCGCCCGTCTCGGCGCCAATCGGCAGGTCACTCAACCCTTCTCAGATGCCTCAGCCGCACCCTCCCCCCTCCGTCCCCAGCGCACCTTCCCCTCCTCGGCAGAGCGCCAAGGCAGCTCGCCACGTCCGGCACGGTACTACTTCGACCTATACGACGCCGCCATCTCCCCCCTCTCCCAACCGCTAGGGATACAAATCACGTCCGCCACCCCTCGTGCACCGTCCCCGAATCCCGTTACTCAGCGGAGAGTTGATCAACCGCATCTCGATGAGCGGTATCTGGAGCCGCAGCCGGCGGACGCGGGCGTGTCGGAGCTGTCGGCGGTTTCGCTGAGTGAGACGGTCTTCCCGAGGAGGGGGGAGAGTGAATCTGGGTGGGTGGGAACGGAGCTGAGTTTTGACCCGTGGAGGGAGAGGGTTGGTGGTGGTGGCGGCGGTAGGGGAGGGAGATGAGCGATCAGGGGGGACAGGGGGGTTTGGTGGATATGCGGCTTGGGTTATGGAGCCGTGATAGAGAGGTCTTTGTTGTGTTCACAGCAAGTCGTTTGTCCTGGTGATAGGGCCTCTAATTGAGCCTTGGGTGTTCCAAGGCTTTATGCATGGTACTAGAATGAGCATCTAATATAGCTGTCACGTGATCTCGTGTCGTGAATGAGCTCTTGTCGCGCCAAGAAAGGCTCCGTTGTGAAGCTCCCAAGGGCCGGCGAAAGAGTCCGTTGCCGCATGAATAGCCACTCATTGCCCTGGAGGTGGAGAGCCTAAGCACACCGTCCACGGCTTAAAGACAGCTCAGGGGACGCTGTTAATTCCATGCGGATGCGACGGGCCGAGGTGTCTCAGATCATAGTAGACTTTCTCTTTTGCCGGCGTGAGAAGCAGTCTAGCACGCAGCCTCACCGGATCAGCTCCACAAGGTGACCTCGGGAGGCCCAGCCGAGCGGAAATCTGCAGTGACTGCACCCTCGATACCACGAGCGTATGACCCGAGGCTCAGTCGATGATCCTAACCTGCGTTTCTTCGATCCCAAGACTCTTCCCGAATTCCTCCACAAACGCAGCCGCCACATCTCCCACGCTCACATTGGCTACCCCTTCCTGCTCAAAACTTGTCGTCTTCTTCCCTTCCAACCCACACGCCACAATCCTCTCAAACCACCACAGATCCGTATTCACGTTTATCGCAACCCCATGGCTGCTCACATTCCGCCTCAAATGCACCCCCAGCGCCGCAATCTTGCTCTCCTCGCTAACCCACACGCCCGGATTCTCCGTCGTGATGCCCTTGATCCCCCAGCGCGCACACGTCGCAATCACAGCCTTCTCAAGCAAACACACATACTCCCGCGGCGAGATCCCATGCCGCTTCAAATCAATCACCGGATACGCGACCATTTGCCCCGGGCCGTGAAACGTCGTCTGCCCGCCCCTCAGCGCCTCAACGAACTCAGCCCTGCCATTATCGCGCAGGAAGGCTTGCTGTGAGGCGCTGATGTGGCCGACCTCACGCCGGCCGCAGGCGTAGACGGGCTTGAACTCGGCGGTTACGATGGCTGGGTTTGGTGGGGTGGAGGAGGGGTGCGCTTTGTGGGCGAGGAGTTTGGCGACGAGGTTGTCTTGGATTTTGGACACGTGGCGGTAGCTTACGATGCGGGGGAGGGAGAGGTGGGTGAGCCACATGGGGGGAGGGGTGCTTTGTCGTGTTGCGGTGGGAGCTTCGTGAGAGTTTTTGATGACGCTTGAGAATCTGGGGAAGCTCGTGGGTTGCGGGACGGGAGATCTCCGCCCTTGGCATTGAGCTCCCACTCATAAAAGCCACTGCGTGCAGACCTGGCACACATACCCGGTGAGAAGAAGGACTACCATGTAGATAATGGCACAAAGACGGGGGTTTACAAAGAGGTGATGCTCCAGGGGATCTCCAACACGGTCGCAGACGGCCAACCCGATGTGAACGGCCGCAACAGCTGAACACGTTTAGATGCAAGCTACTTTACAAGTCACCGTTCTTGAAACGATCAAGCCGTCGTTACCAGTTGTATTTGATTGCGCTGTCCTATTAGAGTATAGCAAGTCAATAATTACATCGCAACGCAACATAAACTAGCCTGGCTGCTCGGAGTGGAGATCTGGAGCCCTTATTACCATCACATAATTCAAGCCCGCGAAGGCCAAGGCCACCGTGAAGAATATTGCTACCTGCTTGGCATGAGCTTAACATTCTTGAACACAAGCACATCAGAATCGAGGCTTACTTCCGTACCATCTCCTGAGTTAGATGCTCCCGCACTGCGACCAATTCCCCATACATGCACAATCAAACCGGCTATGGAAAGGAGGATGCTAACATTCAATAGTAGTTCGGGAATCTGCCAAGCATATAATTTAAACAGCCGTGGCTTGTACTGATCACCATCTCTCTTGCCAAGCACTGCTCTAACCTTACGAAGGGCTTCTGGAGAGCCGCCTAGACTGTGAAGACTTATCGAGAGCTTTGTGGAAGTACATATCGACATGAGAGACATAATCAGACCGCTGTACCAGTATGTCTTGGTCCACCATGGCGAAAGGGCAATGTTGCGCTAGGAAAACGCGTTGATAATGACACCAATGAGAAGGATGCTCTAGGGAAAGACACTTACGTTGGCCGCTGGATCTCGAAGCAGATAAACTAGGCCTATAGTGAGTGTGACTGAGGAGAGCTCAGCAACCCTATCCTCACGCCATTTTGGCTACAAGGACATTCTATTTCCACTTCGTCGTCCTCTACGAGTAAATTTGCAATCCGACTTCGGATAGCCTGGTCCGCCGGCACAATGATGGATCCAAAGGCCCTAGCAATCCTGGCGAGCAAAGTATCCGTTCCAAAAGCCAGCTCTTTTCTTTCACGTTCTGACATGTGTACAAGCTCTGAGAGGGTTTAATATTTGATGGCTGAAGTAATATTAAAGGCAAAGTGTCGGAACTGGTAACAGGAACTGCAAGGGGCGAAGAGATCAACCGCAGGTAGCGTTGTCAACGAAGAAGCAGTATTTGAGCATTCAATCAAGTTGAGCGGTTATATGTCTAAGCCTCAGAAGGCTGAGGCCAGCTGCGCTATGCTCCGAGGGCTCGGCGGGTTCATTTACAGCCACACAAACAAGGCGTAAGGGATGTGATTCAATGATCCGAGGAGGCTATAGTGATGGTTTTACGGCGTCCCGTCGTGCCATGAGAACGTCACGAACGACTACATCAGTAATGGTGGACTAAAGGAATCCGTAGATTGAAGAGCTCATGGGCTCACGTGCTCACGCACTCCGGACGTGGATCCCGAAATTTACCCGCTCCGCAAATGCTGCGGAAGTGGGGAGCTGCACAGGAGCATTGTCAAAAGGCAAACCTGATATTTAAACATATACTAGATGACCTGAATCTCATACGAAGCTCTCGATAGTAAACCAGTCACAAGCTCACCTCAACCTCCACTACTGCCATGAAGCTCGAGCCGCAGGGCTCAAAGCCCCAAGCACCACAGAAACCCACCAAGCTCGCCCGGCTGCCACCCAGTAAGCCACCCACCAGCAATCTACCTGTGCTCGCTCTCGACTAACCGCCCCAGACGCGCGAATTGAGAAACGGCCCCTCCTCCACGCCCCAATCCCCTCTCCCTACGCCAGCGCCGCCTCTCAAAAGGTCATCTACGTGTCCTCCAAAACACCCTTCATCTCCGCCGTGAAGCGCGTCCGCAAACTCCTCAAGCAAGCCGAGAACCGCGCCACCCAGAGCAAGATCGACAAGCACGGCACCACCGCGCAGCGTATTGAAGCCGCTGCGAAAGCTGCGCTCGAGGGACGCGGGAAGAGCGAGGAGGTCGTGGTTAAGGCGACGGGGAAATGCATCGAGAAGGCGCTGAATGTTGCGCTGTTTTTTCAGCAGCAAGGGGATTGCAACGTGAGGATCAGGACGGGGACGGTAGCGGCGATTGATGATATTGTGCTAGAGCCGGCCATGGCGAGGAGCAGCCATGCAACGGACGAGTCTCAAAGCGGAGACATGGAGCTGGATGCGGCTATGCCATCGGTTAAGAAGGTGAAGAAGGAGGTGGAAGAGATGCCGGAGACGCGGATTAGGCATACCAGCGTTATAGAGGTGGCTGTGTCGCTGCGATGATGGGCTCAAACGCGTTGATCTCTCAGTTCTTTGAACAATCCGGAGCCACACAGGACCCCTGGACACCTGCTTCGTCCAACTTACGGACTCCCGATATAGTGGCCTTGTATCCTAGGTAGAACCCCATCACGCAGTTCTAACCCCGTAGCGCACTTGACTAATCTCTATTTCAGTGCGATGTCACTTCGCAGACACTATGATGCTGTCGCGGGAACGAGAGTGGCTACGTCCACGCGCAAAAAGCTGCGCGTCCAGCGTGTCGCTCTTCGACCATGCTGGGAAGCGCGACGCAGTTCTATCATTGTGGGGCCATGGCGTCTATGGCGAACCCAGAAATGAGCTGATGGCTGTGGTTTTGCTCGACAGCAACACCAGAAGGGAGATACGATGCAGGGGTTACTCAATCGAAGGACTATCTGCTGGGTATCGGAACGGGGAAACTCTTTTTTGATAGGTCCTTCCAGTTGGACGTTGTGGATTTTTTAAGGGAAAAAAAAGCTCCAGCTGCCGTTCGGCATCGCTTTACGACTACGAGCGGTCATACTTCTGAGCTTGTCTGCAGCTGCATTCGTGACAAACTCGAGTCATATTCGGAAGTCGTCCAATCATGGAGCCTTACATGTTCTCCTATCGAAGCAGAACCTCTGTCGTCAAGACATCATAACACCCAGCCTCGCTGTCGAGTCCGGCCAGGCTACCACTCAATAACCTTCTCATTCTGCCAAAACAGCCCCGCCTTCCCGCCAATATCCCCTATCGCCAGCATCACCGGCGTCTGCGCGCCCTGATCCGGCGTCTTCGCGCCCCCACCCCTCGTCATATCCGTCTTGACATACCCCGGACAGCACGAATTCACCAGCACGCCCCTCCCCTTCCCCTTCTCCTCCTCCGCAACCACTCTCGTCATGCCAATGATACCAGCCTTGCTCACGGCGTAGGCGGCGCTGGGCCACCCTTGCTGCTTCTCGTTGCCGGCTGCGACGGCGGCCTTGAAGTCTTCCATGAGCTTGGTGACTTCGGGCACGGACTTGGCGGAGAGGAAGCGGGTGCGTATCGCGTCGGAGTATTTGGATAGGTGGCCGGACATGCTGGCGACGTTTACGAGGCGGCCGTTCTCGCGGATCAGGGGGAGGAAGTCTTGGGTTGCTTCGAGGGTGCCGTAGTAGTTGACCTGGAGGGTCTTCTTGACGACGTTGGAGTCTGTGGTGAGACTAGTCAGTGCCCTTGACAGCTGTGGCAGAGTGGTCTGGGGGACGGTAGGCGTTACTCACCAAATCCCGTCATAGCAAGTCCAGCGTTGTTGATCACAAAGTCGACGCCCTGCGGATGTTCCTTCTTCAAGAAACTCGCGAAGTTGCGAATGCTGTCCGTGGAGTCTATGTCGAGCTCATGGAATTTGACGTCGGTCAACCCGCCGTCTGCGGCGAGTGCCTTAGCTTTCTTGAGCTCGGCATCGCTGTGAATGTTCTTCAAGGCTTCTTCGCCACGGCCTCTGTCTCGAGCGGTTAGGTATATTAGAAGTGGACCGTTGTTGTAGGCGGATTTGGGATACTGCAGCGCGAGCTGTCGGACTGGATGCGTTGTTAGCGGGGCAGCTGTATCGAGGTAGGATGAATTGGCACGTACCTATTGCGAGTCCGATGCCCTTGTTAGCTCCAGTCACTGCTCCAACACGACTGTAAGACATTTTGTAGAGCTCTAGAATTTATGAAGTGGGCGGAAGCCATCGTGCGCGGTCGGTGTTTATGTTCATGATGAGCATTTCTAATCGAAGGGATCGACAACGTCATCCGCGGCGATCAGATTTGGTGCCTGAAGATCAGCGCTCCAGGCAAGGCCGACACAACCTGCAACAAGCACAGATCAAGGGCGGAACTCCGCTTGTGAACGACATTTAGATATCTGGACGGCCAAGAGCCATCCGGAAAGGTGGTTGCCGCGTTAATAGCTGCTCGTAGCCCTGGAGATGGATAGCACTAAAGCGCAGTCCGCAGCTTAGAGACACCTTAGGTGGTTAATGCACTGAAGTTGCAAACTGTTAAACATCTTATACTCTCTATCGCATGGAATGGTCTAGCTGGTCTGCGGTTGCTAAGGTCATGAGTCCAGCTCCATCGTGAATCCAGTATCTAACAAGCTGGAGCAGAGATGCGACAGTTAACACTCCGCGTGGCCCTTGGGCCACATATGAAGGATCATGCGGAGGTGGTTGGTACCAGGCGTTGGTGCGATGGCTTGATAAGAACCCCGTCCTCTCATATTCCTCTTTCGTCAACAGGAATGCCGTCCACGAAGAGAGTCGATGCCGCTCGTGTTGGAGACCGGGGAGTTCAACAGCATACGGGGTTTTGCACAATCCAGAACATTCTCTCACACGGTCTTGATGGTCGTTCGTTCACAGGTTGCGAAATCTGCGTCCTTTCCGGCTGTGAACATCCCTATTCGACGAAACACAGAAGCTCCCTTCTCAAGAGGCAACAGCATAAGACCATCGATAAAAGTGTAGTCTGCGTACTGTTGCCGCTTCTCTAATCCATAGAATATTCTGACGGTCGCGAGGCAGTATATCCAGCCAGGCATCATAGACGCATCATCAGAAGTATCTGGTTGCCCATAAAGGTCGCGGGGTCGTGCGGCTTGTATCACGCTCTCATTATTCGAGCCTCCATCTGATCGTCCGTCCGGTTCTCCGCCTGGTTCTTTGTCTGCCAATGTCGCTCTCTCTTCCCACGTGATCGAATGGGGAGGTTTGAACCAGACCACTTTCAGAGCATCTCTGAGCCTAAGGTGCCCAGCCGTAACAGCGCCGAAGGTAATCGACTGAGATAGCAGCGTAGCTGTGCACTCGAGGACTGTGCATCTGTACGGCACACGATCAGAGGCAGGATTGTACCACAGCTGCGAATCGATTGAGGCCCATGACCAGGAGGGTGCCCGATAAAATTTCGGTCGTGGCTTCAAGCATTCGGTGGATGCTCTCCAATTGATCTGCCAGAAATATGGGCTTCCCAGAGGCCTGCAACGTAGGGGATTCTCGAGAGATTCGAGAAAAGTTCGGCTATGCCTGCAAGGGCGATTAATTTGTCTTCGGTATTGGTCATGCTGCGACGGGTGTACACTGCCAATACCGATGCCCACTGATCCAGAACTCCGAGTAGCCGCACTGGGGTCAACCTGAGCTGCGGTTCCCTAGGAGCGAAGAAGTAGCTCGGCAATCGGTCTTGTCCGGCTGGACTGAGTAGTGAGTTTCCCAAATTGAGTACGGACGTCTGGCATTGGTACTGCAGCGTGTGCGACGCATAGAAGAGCACGCGGCGAGATAGGAGGGTTTCTTGCAGCGTCCAGGCCCTGAGGTTGATTGGTTCTTTGCTAGCCTATAGTATGCTTTCCGCCCTTCATGTCTTAAAGATACGGTTCCCGTTCTCCCGTTCGGGCATGGAAATGGTACTCTAAATCTAGGCCCGGGCGGAGGTCTATCGCCAAGGAATCCAGTGCTTGCACTGGATGAGTTCGAGGCGACGATAGTGACGCGTGAATTCTTAGAATGTAGCGCATGTCTGCAATTTCTTTGGTCTTGTCTTCATCAGAATCCTGCACTATGCACAGCGCGTCGACCCACAGAAATTTATCCCTAGTCTTTTGGTACAGTATATGGCATCCTTGACAGTCTGCGAGAGCTTTTGCATGTCAAGCTGATTCAGATTGTATTGAAGGGAATCTAAAGTCATGTGCCTTCCTGACGGTCACCCCAGCAATACGACAGAGCAGCATAAGAGCCGATCCTTCCGTTAGACAGAAGTAGTCTGGGTTGATCTGGATGATCACGGGGCGCCACCTCAATCATCCTTGTGGGTAGAGGCCCTTCTTGGGGTTCCTCACACTGCTCATGCAAAGCGCAGTCCCTAATCCAAGCTCTGGCTTCTTTGAAGGCTGCTTCTGTGTTGACTCTTGTTTACAATTCTCTAGCAGGCACAAACTTCGATGCTACATCATCTGCGGTTGTGAATGCGTGAACCCGGCCGACACACCGGTTGATCCGCAAGCGAAAAGTGGGGCAGCCTCGTGGAGTCTCATGTTGAAAAGGAACTCGATGATGGAAGGTGATGTTCAGCCAGGTGCCAGTGGCTCTGACTTCAGCTCAGTTTCCCCATTCCCATTGAAATTCAAAATCAGCTGACACCAACCGCATCCTCGCCTGGCCGACTTCTTCACCTTGCGCAGCGTTGTCTTGTAGTGAAAGTAGACTTTGTCGTCTTTGCCGTCAGTCCAACAAACTTCGGCGAATTTCTCAGACGAGAAAACTTCACTCCGGCATCGGTCACACACAAGGGAGCTGGGATCGATCACTTCGGCAGGGGCTTCATCGAGCAGAGGCCGATCACAAGGACTGTGTTTTCCGGCGGGGTTGTACGGCAGATGGGTAAGCAGTTGCTCAGGAGAGGGTCCCTGATCCTCCTCCATGTTAACCTTGACGCAAGAATGCCTGGAGTTGGTTTCTTGGTAGACAAGCGGCAGCCTGAAGCTGAAGGCTGCTTAGTAAGCGGAATGAGAGATGGAACGTTGAATGTCCTTATGTACGATTACGACAGCCACACGAGGCTCTACGTAAAATGCTTTGCGTCGTGTATCTCGTCTTCGCGTAACGGCAAGAGACAACAGAGAAGGTTACAGATATCTACGTATCAGTGAGTTAGGAAAAGGGTACTAAAAGATCCGATCTCGTGGACCATCAATAGACGCAGAGGGCTCTCTAGACACGAAGCGAACTCGATACTCAGGGTTCCTAGGTTGCTAGCCTTCTCCAGGATCCAGACAAATCTAGAGAGTATTTGGTTTAACGCTCGTTGACTTCGATGGACTCGCGCGGCTTGGCCCCGTTTCAGCGTCGGCCACAGTCTGTGCTGCAGTACTGCGGATTGGCTGGGGATGGAGTGGATTGCTTGTCCGGCACTGGCGGCGCCCCTGAAGCAAATCGGGACTCTCCAGCTGTTTGTGCTGAATGCGTGCAGCCAGCACAGTCGTACTGAGCATGTCAGCACACCACTCCCTCATCCATGAGGCTGACCGTTGTCCTTTCTCCCATTCACTCCTTCCGAATTGCTTCAACTTGCTGTAGCAGTCGCCCTGGCCCTTCGACGGTGTGCTAGAGCTGTAGCTAGCGGTAGCCGCGCAGCCCGTACCGACCGACGCAGGGCCCGCTGAGGAAGCTCCTGGATCCCTGACAATCGACAGGTACTGCAAATTAACCACAACGAAGAGGAAATTACTGACTGATGACTTTGAAGAGCGTGGTAGCAGCTGTTTGATAGTGCAGAGCATACTTTGCTTCGTCTCACTCACCTCGGACCCTTCTTCTCCACACAGGGATCATTTCGCGCAGGCGTGAATCCTCCATCGTTCGTAAAGCCGTCCCAAGTCGAAGCAACAACAGACGCGACATCCTCGTCACTCCACGCGATTGAGCGCGACAATCTTCGGAAATGCTAAGCCCATCGTCTCCGCCTCGTCAATCGAGCGCGCCGCCAGAAGCCGGTGGAATGGCGCAGACTGCAAGACCGAGCATGGAAGGGCAGCAGCCGCGGAAGACGAGCTTCGGATTCCTTCGTCGGCAGAAGTCTGGCGATGTCCGCCCAGCTGCCGACCGCAGTACTTCCTCAAGCAGCAGGCTCAACAAGAAGCAGAAGGCGCTCGCCCAAGAGGAGCTCGCTCGGCAACAACGCGAAGCCGATGCTGCTTCGAAAGAACCTCCACGCCTTCCCTCACATTCCCCACTACCCAAAATACACACCTTCGGTGCAGACGAGCGACCCGACTCCATCGCAATCATCTCAAACCAGCTTCGTGGCTACGCACCAGCCGGGAACTACAGCAGGCCTGCAACCGATTCCAAGATGAGCCCGAGTCCACCTCACGGCGTCTCGGTGCCTCCCGTACCTGGCAGCTCACCAAGCACTCGGAACGGCGAGTACATCGACCCATACGCGAGGACTGAAAGCATGACCCATCGAGGCCGCTACAGCTACGCCAGCAGTGCTGTGAGCGCAGTGAATAGCCCAAGGAGGGTTAGGAGAAGGAAGGATCCTACGCCTTTCAAGTGAGCGACATCGCCTTCCCCCCTGCTTCTGTCACTAATCGTATCCGCACAGCATTCTCATTGTCGGAGCCAAGAACTCTGGCAAGACGTCGTTCATCGACTTCCTTCAAACCTCACTTAAGCTACCGGCCAAGAAGAGGCACAACACTCCGTCTCCTCCTAGAACCGCACTGCCTCCGGACTCACCCTTCACCTGCGAGTACATCGAGAGTGAGATTGACGGCGAGAGGATCGGCCTGACGCTGTGGGACTCACAAGGCTTGGAGAAGAACATCGTAGACCTGCAATTGCGAGAAATGTCCACGTTCCTCGAGTCAAAGTTCGAGGAAACCTTTACAGAAGAGCAAAAGGTCATTCGAGCACCCGGCGTGAGGGACACTCACATCCACTGTGTCTTCTTAATATTGGATCCGGGCAGACTTACGGCCAACATCGCCGCTGCCCAGCACACGGACACGCACGCCTCGTACAAGTTCAACACCCACCAGCGCTTCGTAGGTGTCCTCGATGACGACTTTGATCTTCAGGTCCTGCGGACGCTTCAAGGCAAGACAACTGTCATTCCAGTGATCAGCAAAGCCGACACAATCACCACGGCTCACATGACTCTTCTGAAGAAGTCAGTGTGGAACAGCTTGAAGGAGGCCAAGCTCGACCCGCTCGAGGCGCTTGAACTCGGCGACTCTGACTCCGAAGAGGCTGACCGCCTTGACGAGCGCGACGAGGACGACTACCTCCATTCCTCTTCCGATAATGACGAGAAGCCTACGATGCCTGGGAAGTCCTCGGCGCCATCTTCTGACGATGACCATTCGGACAACTCCTCAACTGACCTGTCATCTCCGCCACGTGACGCATCACCTGACCCTTCCGGAGCCATATCGGTCAACAAAGTCCGTCTAGCTGCGGGTCACGGCCGCACCGCGTCCGCAATGTCTGCCCGTCTTGCGTCAGCCGAAGCCAACGGCGATGACGCACGCTACCTCCCTTTCAGCATCATCTCTCCGGACACTTATGAGCCAGGTATCATCGGCAGACGGTTTCCGTGGGGCTTTGCGGACCCATACAACGCCGAGCATTGCGACTTTACAAGGCTGAAGGAGAGTGTCTTCGGCGAGTGGCGGGCGGAGCTGAGGGAAGCCAGCCGAGACCGCTATTATGAAGGGTGGAGGACCAGCCGGCTGAAGCGGACCCCAAGAAAGACTACGGTTGCGGCTAGGGATAGCAACACGAACGGCGCAGCGAAGGCGATCAGCTCTAGCCCGTACACCGCCGACTATCAAGGCAGTCCTGAGGCTCCCAGGCAGCTGTATCGCGGCGTTAACGCCTACCAGTAAGAGGAACACACCACTACGGCATGTTAGGTTCCCAGCAGCACTTTGATTCATCTTGCCGTAACATGCCGAAGCATGTCCTGGGTCGTATGCTGCGTTCTTTTTTTGATTCTGGTTCTGGTTCCCATCCTCTCGGCTGCATAAAACCCCAGGCATGGGAACCACATACTTCTTTCTTCTGCCGTTCTACGACCTCTTCCGCAATGTACCGCATCGAGTATTCCAGTTTCTTGCGCTCTACATACCAATACCCGTACATCTCGCCCAGGGGAGATTTCCGTTTGTATACCCAGTTCGGCTCTCGCATTATCTGTCATACTTCAAGGACCCTGGCGTCATGTTCACGGCCTCGGTGGATGCTCTTGCCTTTCTTGTGGGTCAATTTTTGGGCGACTTTAGTAGGATATAGGTAGTGTTCAAGAATTGAATAGCAACACATCCTCTTTCTTCACTGCTCGGACTGGGTGGTTGTTCAAACTAACCTCCAGTCTGAGCCGGCATCCTAGAACCTCGATCCTCCTCCTAACATGCGGAAACAGCTCCTCTACCAAGAACAGCTTCACATACCTTCTTGGGTTACACTCAACCCCGATCACGTGTGAGCAGCGCGAAACAACAGGGCTCCCCTCGGCTCAACCTGCCCGCCTTCTCACTCGCCGTGCCATCTCCGTGACCTGAATCCGCCGCAACTGGACAGGCGTGCAGGCGGGGCTGGCTGGGCTTCAGCAAGGTGTCCTCTTGCCTTTCACAGATGGGGACCTACACAACTCCTTCAGTCATGCTCATGGCCTGATGGAGTACCTGAAAGGTCAAAACTTGGTACTGGTACAGGATATCGCGCCCTAGAGGTAAATGTAAAGAGAATTGAAGACGCTTTATGCGACAGCGAATTTACAAGTTTTGCAACACTAGACACACCGCCACCTCTTCCACAACTCCCCGTCCTTTCTCTCTGCTACCACAGATCATCTTCTCATTGGCACACTCACTCCCCAGTCTCAATCGCCGCAACTTCCCTCATCGGCCTCCACGGCTCAGCATCTCCCCATCGATCACTCGTCAAGCCCGCACTCCCCGGGTTCTTAAACCCTCTCTCCATCTGCCTCTCATAGCTCACCTGTCTCAACCTATCGCTCTCCCTCGGCGTCAAAGCCAGATAAATCTCCACACCAACAAGATGCATCAATAACGCCATCCACAACGCCATTCCGAAGCCCACGCCCAAGCTCGCAGCAATCTGCTCCGGTCGTCCGGCCGCAAAGCTCGCGTGCACGATGACGAGGCCGTCGACTGTAGAGTTGGGATTGCTGCACTGGGGGTAGAATTCCTTTACTGAATCCTCGGAGTCGTAGATGAAGCTGATCTCGTCGCAAGACCTCGTGGTGTAGTAGGAGCCGAGCCTTGTGATGATGAGCGCGGAGAGGATCATGATCAGACGCATCGTGATGATGGTGCCGAGGTAGAACATCGCTCGCAGCATCCAAGCGCGATGCTGGTCGATCTGGAGGCGCTTGATGTTGTAGTATGCGAGGCCTATGCTGGTGGTTGTGAGGATCACGAGCATGCCGACTCCCGCTTGGGTGTCGAGTGTCCCGCCGAAGGATCGTCGGCAGATCATGAGGGCTCCGACGTTGGATATGAGGACGAGAAGGATGATGACGTAACCGTTGATCCGGTGGAGGATGAGCAGTTTGTATCGGATGACGGGGACGAATTGCCAGACCATGAGGAAGCCGACTGGCAGGATGGTGCCGAGATGGAGGGTGATGCCGATGCGATAGACGCCGGCGTGGTACCAGTACCACTCGCCAGGTGAAGTACTATTGGCGAAGCTGGTTTTGGCGGTGCCTGCGATGTTGAGGTAGGGCAGACGCGCCAAAGTGAAGCCCATTATTGCGCCTGCGAAGATGATGACTGGGAAAATTAGCATGATGAGGAGGCGATCAGTGGGTTACGCTTACAGAGTGTGAAGTTGTACCCCTTCTGGAAACCGAGAAGACGGTAGACTCTGTGCCAGAATGTCACGAACTTATTGGGAGTCTTCTCCTCTCGGGAACTGGCTGAGGAAGGTGGAGTTGTGGTCCGCTCCACATTGACAGACGTATCTGGATGCATTGTGTAGATTGAGAGAATGCTGGGACCGAGCAAAGGAAGATAAAGTAGATAGGAGATCGAGTGATGCTGAAATTGTTTGACTACTCCGTGGAGGGGAGATAGACTTTTATATACTTGCAGGATTTCACGCTCGATGCGGAGCTTGACAGCATCACCTACGTGGGAGGAGTCGTAGGCGAAATAGCCTGATTAGGATACCAAGTCGCTCTTTGCAAATCCTGTTCAGCCGGAAAAGCAGTGAGGGGGAACGCTCATTTGCAGAATAATACCAGAGGCTCAGTTGAAGGCAGGACGGCTGTGGTCGATGGAAGAGCGAGCCGCAGCATATTGCACTAGTATCTGGACAGCATTTCGACCTTCTCATTGGCCGAGATATTAATCTTCACCAATCATTTGCCATCTCCAAAAACACAAGGCTGTGGCAGCAGTCATCGGAGGTCAACGTAGAAGTTGACTCCAGTCCTATTCGGGTGGAGTTTGCGCTGCGCTACCAAGCCTCTTCGAGCGAGTTTTGCGACCCGCCTTGCACGTGTATGGACCAAGGGTTAGTAAGAAAAGGCGTTGCCGCATAGAAAGCGAGTCGTGAACATCACGGTGGATAACCTAAAGGCAGTTCCAAGCTCACAAACGTCTTTGGGTGATCGATGCATGAGAGTATGACGCAGCTATATGGCTCACAGTCTTTATCGAATGGAACCGGTCTGGTTCTTATACACTCAAAAGGATACTAAGTCCAGCTCAGTGGTGACTTGATCTTGAGAACGGTAGCGGCTACGAGGCGGCAACGACCTTTTTGAATGTCCCTTGGACGTTGGCCCAGAGGAACACCCCGTGACCCCAGATCTTCAACAACTGCCCTCCTTTACCTGGACACCACTTCATAATCCCATCACCAGCCGCAGCTTCATTGGCAAGTTGTTGCGATACCGTACACGTAGGGCCGGGGCAGTGTACGGATGACGAACAGCCAAGCAGGCAGGGTAATCTCATTCAGTCCGAACATCACGGCGCACATGTATTGCTACTTGACATGGTCCTTTCGTACAGCAGGAATGAGGCGTCTCCTTCGTCACGAGGACAAAGCACAAGTCTTATTACGCAATGGTCCATCCTGGAAAGCCAAGTAGAGGCTGTGATGTCTGTCGCAAGCGTCGTATCAAGGTAAGTTCTGCTCACTTGATCCGAGAAGGAAAAACTGATATAAGTCTAGTGTGATGAAGCCATACCCAGTTGCTCATATTGCTTGAAGAAGCAAGTTGTATGTCCTGGCTACAAGTCTCAATTTGACATTGCGTGGAGAGACCAAAACCTCGTGGCAGAGAAGAGCGTACGACGCCGAAAAGCTGCCACCGAGAAGGCCGATCGTGAACGGACAGCAGGAAAGCAATTAGCGAAGCTCCCTTCGCCGAGTGTTCCCAGAGTCCCATCAGCAGACTATGAGGGCTATGCTGTCAGCTTTTTTCTCTCATCATACGTCCTCCTGCCAAAGGATCTGGAGGTCCGACGAGGTTTTTTGGATTGCCTATACCCAGTCTGGGTACAAGCAGACTCCACGTCACCATTGAGGCCAGCTGTTGCCGCGGTGGCTTCATACCTGCTCGAGGCGTGGTCGCAACTGAAACCAGATCTACCTCTGTCACTCTCCCGGTCACGGTACCTGAAAGGCGTTGCAGCCTTAAGGAAGAGTCTGCAAAGCACCGAAGACGTGGGCGATGATGTTCTCATGGCATCCCTCATGTTGGACATGTACGAGCAGCTACGGTCATTCTTCATGCTGAAACCTAACGACAGCCCTCACGCAAGCGGAACTACGGCATTGGTCGAATACCGGAGACGACTGCCGTTCGCCAGCGAGACGTCTCAAAGAGTCCTACTCGGAGCTCGCAACCAAATCGTGGGAAGGGCACTGAGCAACACGGAACCTGTACCATCAAATGTTTCCACATGGGCCGACATGACCCAGGATGTCCCCAAGACGGCGGCATACCGACTTGACGACCTCAACGTCGAGGTAGCAAATTTTCAGGCCTTGGCCTCGCGACTCAACTCAGACACCACAGTCGAGGATCTTTCAGCCTTGGACATTTTGGAGAAGGCTATCGAGCTTGACCAGCGATTGTTAGCCTGGACAAGTACTGTTCCCGATGACTGGGCTCCCATCCGCGTCTCTGGTCCCGCGTGCATCCCACAGAGCGTGCGCGACGCGGGACTCTACCAAGACCATTGCGACATCTACAAGAGCATCTTCATCGCCTACACGTTCAACGCACAACGCTGCTCGCGCATCAAACTTCAGCTGACGATCCTCGCCTGCCTCCAGCATCTCAACAGCGGCAATTTCGACATAGCATCGCTGACAACATTGGAGATTATTCAAGAGCTGGTGGACACCATGTGTGCCAGTATACCATACTATCTAGGAGATAGAATGATGATCGCCCGCATCGATGACAGGACATTGCAATATCCGCACGTTGCAGGGCTCTCAGTCCCTGACGATCACCATGTAGGAGCAGCTGCGTACGGGGGTTGGTTCCTTGTTACACAGCTTTCGGAGCTTCTCTCACCAAAAGTGCCTTTGAGACTCGGGCAGCGGCAATGGATTGCAGGCCAGATGCAGCGGGTTTTGCAGCTTTATGCCATACAGCAGACATAGAGCATGTTGAATCCTAGGATCTATCGTCAGTTGAATGGATGCTTGATATCTTGGTATGCGACTCTCATAGAATACTCCTCCATACCCAACTGAGAGGGTCCATTAAACGTCAACGCTGCTGCGTAGCAGCATCACAGCACTCGTATGGGTGTTGATTACTGCAATGCTTGCTTCGTGGGACAGCGACTTGACCACGCCAAAACCTGTCCACAGTTCCTGAGGCTCTCCGCTGTTGGTAGCTCACGTCCTCTGTCTGCAAGTTTTGTGACAGTATCGTGCATTTGCATCTTGTACGCCGCCAATTGCAATAGAAAACCAACGTTGCAGAATCATGTTCTCCCTTACTGTTTCTGCGCCGCCCTTTACCCCTCTCAGTAATGATTAGGGTGCTGGCTCGGAGCGGTACGGACTGGGCGTATAAAGCCAGGGGAGCTGGACTCTTGGGGCCTGGGACGACTTCAACCAAATTCGATTTCTAGATTATATATCAAAATGTTGACATTCGAAAAGCACATACGGCCATAGATCAAAGAATACTGGGCATCCCGTTCGCTCTGCCATTACATAAGCTTTGAATCGGTGGATTAGTAGTTAGGTGGGTGACCACTAGCGAATCCCCACTGCTGTATGTTATTTTGCATTTTTGCTGGATGGACAAACGGCCCACCGAGAGGGGACTACCGAACTTGCGGCAGCATTAGGTTTTTGAAAGTGTGGCACGAGGGTCTTAAAGGCACCATCAAGATAATGCGAATCGCGCTGTGTGTCCTGTTCCGATATTTAGGTGTTATTGTTAAGAATCCTGGTCAGCGCACCCTTTACACCCTTATAATATTCATCTAGGGATGGTCGGTTAAGAATACGCTGTGTTTATCCGTCGAGATAATAGCTTTTCTACATGATAATAGCTTTTCTACATGATAATAGCTTTTCTACATGACAAGATCGGACTAGAAGCGGTGAACTCCTAGGGACCGAGCAGAGTGGTGCTACAGTACCTGGCCAAAAGTCTTTCCGTCTCACGCTAGTCCGACCGATAACTGGCCACCCTAGTTGTAGAGGGATCCTTCTCTAGCCGACCCTGAGAACGAGCTGAAGCCACGCATGGTATCACAGGCTCAATCAGCCTGCTATACTACAAAGACTAGTAAAGACTAACATTGGAATACAACGCAAGAACAGGGAATAGAAACTAGCAAGGAAATTCGCAATCAAAATCTCGTGACTGTTGTAGCGAGGGTCGTTAGCATAATTCGTACTGCGTCTGAGAAAATCCACAACACTTACAATAGCTGGTGCTGCAGGACAACCTGGCGGGCCACTCTTGTTCCAATCATCTCCTCTCAGCGTGCAATGCACAATTCCGTCCTTTGTCCCTGATGTCCAAAAAGTCGATCCGTACGCGAACTGGATGTAATCATTGGTGTGCTCTCCCGTAATCACCAACGCATTCTTCATTCCATTTTTCTGTAGCGATAGGGGATTCGCGTCGTTGATAGGTTGTCCAGGAGTACGCGTAGATTGTGGCGAGGCATAGATCTCGTCGCCATATGCATCCGTGATCTTGACCGATGCGTAGAGATTCGATTCGACAGGCTCGCAAGTCCAAATTTCTCTGATGGCTAGCTTGCACGTCTTCGAAGAGTCCTCACCCTTAATTGCCTCGAGCCATTTGTTACGTTCATCCCAGTATGACTTGGGGTACAGATCAGAAGGAATGGGAGCACCAATCTCCAGGTCTTCTCCACTGTCGTTCTCAAGGACGGTAGGACAATCACCGCCGTCTTCTAGCTGTCTGGCACCTCCATTGTCCGCGGTTGTGAAGTTGACAAACGAGACAGGTTTATCGCCGTCGGCGGCAAAGATGACAAAAGGATCTGTGGACTCGCGTTTGGGCGGCAGCATGGGCCCGCCCTTGATAATGTCGTAGACTATCGGGAGGAACGGGTACGATCTGATTTGATTCTGCACGTAGTTTGCCAGCGCGAAACTGACGAGATTGTCAACGTTGCGCTGGACAAAGTAGCCCGTCTGTGGAGAAGAGATGCTAATCGGCTGGAAGCGCGCTAGAATCTTTGCAAGGCTGGGTCCGTACGCTTTGGTCCATCCAGAAGTTTTTATCTCACCGTCTTTGATATAGGTGAATTTAATCTTAAGGTCGCGGATGTGTGGGTTCGGGCTTTCCTTGACGGAGTCCGCCGCGAGGTCAAGATGCATCAGCTCATGCAGAAAAGTGTTCGCTACGAATCGTTAGTCTGGTTTGATCTTTGCAGACCGCCCCTTGAGGCTAAAGCTTACCTCGCCCCTCATAGTTGCTGAGATCGTTTTTCATGTTGGGGTTACTAAACCCCGACCCATAGGCGATGGCATTACCGAGATTTCTGAGCCCGTAGAACTCCGGACAGAAACTGATGTCTGGATATTTTTCGCCAGCCTGCACCGGGTTGCGGGCATAGGCTAAGACAACAGCTGGGTCTTTGTTCTCTTGAGATGTTGGACATTTTTTGGAGCAGAGCCCTGCAGGATCGTCGCAACGTACCTTTAAGATAATATTAGTCTAATTGCCAGAATGGGTCTCACGAAGAACATACACGGATCCAATTAGGTGTCCACCAGGATATCCCTTCTTTGACTGTAGCAACATTTGCAAACACAGCCTGAATCTGCTTTTGCTGGTCTTTGTTGTAAGCTAGGAGACCGAGGCTGTTAGCTCAACAATGTCCGTTGTGGTGCTTCGAAGCGACATACCAGAAGGTCCCAGGTACTCTAGAGCGGCAGCGGAATCCCAGTTGATATTGCTTTTTACGCCATCATAGTTTACCAACTTATTAGCGTCAGTGTACGCCTCCTTGATCCATCCCTTGATGAGCTTGTTAATGTCATCGCATCCGCTAACGATCAGTATTAGTATTTGCTCATCAGGATAGGATTATAGGCAGACTCACTCCCAACCATACAAACTGGTTCCATACCAATTCGTCACATTCGCCGGGTCCCTTTCCGGAAAGGCATCCTTCATCTGCTGTTCCGTAATATCTTCGGGACGCGGCATTGCTTGGGCAGGCAGAGCAAGGGATACGTAAGACCCAAGTGAGATCAAGCCTAGAAGGCTGCTAAGCCGATACATTGTTGAGAAAGAAATCTGATATGGAATAGGAATGTCGAGTCAGAACAGATGGGTCTGCCAGATCGTCACGCCTTGCAAAACCTTTATACTTCTACCATCATCGTGTAAGCGCCACGGCATAGCCACCACGCCGCTTCTCTCTCTAGTAGGACTTGCCATGTTGTCAGGAGAAGTTAGAGAGCGTCTCGAGGGTTTCAAGTTAGCACTCAGTGATTCAAAAATAGCCACGCCTCATCCCGGATGAGCTTTTTGAACAAACTTATCTGCAAGACCAAATAGAGGCTTCTGCGTGAAGATTCATGAACAGCTGCAGGAGCTGGAGGATGTCGCTGCGGTTATCTCAGCCATGGTACTTTCATCTAAAGCTATTGCCGCCCGAGCACTTGTAAAGAAGATAGCCATTGCTTTCTATTGGTGTTCTAGGCGGAAGGAACACTCAAAACGTGTTGGTCCCCTGGATGCTGGTAGCAAAGGATCGCCCGCAGAACCTAGCTGTACCGCTCCACCAACACGGCCCCTGGACCGGGACATGTTGGTACGAGGCGTGGTCCCAAAAGTCACACAGGTTGCCGGCAGTTGGAACTTGGCAGTCAGCCGCCTCACCTGTTCGCTATGTGAAAAACACCACTCTGTGCCAACATCACACGAAGTGAAGCGCGATGTCTCTAACTTGATCGAGGTCATATGTATTAGACTTTGAATAAGACTTTCTGGAAGTGTGGTGGTTGGATGGAATGAGTATCGCTAGTTGAAGCTGATGTTTGATCGTGAGCGCTCGGACCTTGCATGACTTTTGACACCGCGCCTCGGTAGAGCGGCACAGCTACACCGGCTTAATCCAGTGTACCGCTTGCTTTAGCCGCGCGGTAGATCTAACTGTGAAGGATCCGCTAAAGGTGGCACAGCGAGTACAATTATCGCCATCAAGGTGTTAGTTTTTAAATAAACCGCTTGGGTGGCTTGGCGTCACGTGGCGCGTCGATCGAAAGTCGCATGTCAGTCCAAGGCTGCGGGGCAGCTCGCTCACCACCTGGGTAGTTTCTCAACTCATCTTTGTCACATTCTGTCTCGCCTTACTCAATCCAAGATGCTCTCTTTCTTCCCCTTGTTTTTCTCGTTCATATTCGGCCGTCAGCAGCTTCAAATACAACCAGATGTGTCATCGGGAGTGAACCAGGCCATGTATCGCGAACCCTACTTTTCCCACGACCCCAACACTCGCAGGGAACTCCAGTCAGGTGAAGTAACCGCTTACCCCTCATCCGGCGGCATCGTCCTCGGCCACTTCTCCGCTGTTGAGCTCGCCCACCTTAACCTCTCCCGCACCAAACCCGCCAACCGCTCTTCAGACCCAGCCGAAGAAGACGATCTCGCGCTCCGCATGCTGCGTCTCGGCGCGCACTGGTGGCCTAGTTGGGGCCTCTACGCCCGCCACAAAAAACGCATCATCGACGGCATTCCGTACGATTTCCATTTCCCGCCTGTTGTGAATGTTGGGTATCCCTCGTCGGGGAAGGGGGTGTGGGTGTTCAAGTTCTCTGCTGACAAGCGGACCTGGGACGAGGAAGATGAACGAAAGCCGTATCTGGAGAGAGAGCCGGACGATTGGGCAGGGAGAATCAGGATGGTCTTAACGATGGATGAACGGTGCGAGGTTTTGAAGGATTTTGGCGCGACGTTCTATGAGAAGGTGGAGGACTGCGTGGATATTGCAAAGACGCTTCAAGAAGGTGTTGACAAGGGTAAACGGTACGAAGAACTGCTGAAGAGGATGGAAGACTTGAAGTATGTGGACAGGTGGCTTTCCGGTCTAGAGAAAGGAAATGATGCGAGCATGAAAGAGGAAGATTGGTGACTTGGAGTAAACTGCCAGCGGCTAGTTGTGCAACATGGGAGGTTGTGTCAGTCTGCATTATGTGGTGTTGTGAGGTACGAAAGACGGGGTTCTGAATGAGGAAGCGGTGCCGGTGGTTAGCTCACCGTCGAAAAACAACTACACTACACCTGATACATACGCGTTCTGTATCGTAACATACAGATGAATCGCCTGCTCCATTATCTGTGAAGCATGTAGAGCTTGGAAGCCGACGTCACAAAGAGAACGTTGTGATGTTCTTGATGCTCAACGACCAGCACCGCTTCTTTATTGAAAACCCCATCCTTGATGAGAATGCAGTGACAGTGGGCCTCTTTGGGTGCATCTAAGCTGAATTGCTCTCGCTGCTGCTAACAGTCCCTTCAATCAAACCTATAGAAATATTAATATACCTTCAGAAGTGACGTTGTAGCTCTCGGTGACGCGCCTTGGTGCCTTAGGTCAACCGCTGTCCGCCGAAGTGTGACCGAAGTTCGGCGCGACAGCTGCGAGCTTGAGGTTGAGCCTCACGTAAAGACGATCAGAGAGCGTCGACATTTCACCCAGCCCGCCTACACGATCGTCTCCACCTCCGCGACTTCCTTTATAACTCGAGCAACGCCCGTATATCCAGTACAACCTCCGACACATCTGGTCAACCACCGCCGCACCTCGCCACCATGTCCGACAATCAGGTCATCAAAGCGGACAAGGACTTCACGAAGGAGGTTGACAAGGCACTGCCAGAAGCTCAAGAGCTTGCGAAGGTCAGTGGCGTATCTTACGCTTCCCAGGCCCTGCTGATACATTCTGCAGAGCAACCCCCAAGCAGCAATCGAGAAGCTCCTCCCGCTCGAGAAGCAAACACGGCAAGCATCAGACCTTGCATCGACCTCCCGCATAATCGTCGCCATCGTCACAATATGCAAGGAAGCCGGGGACTGGAGCCTGCTGAACGAGCAAGTCCTGCTGCTCTCGAAGAAGCATGGGCAGCTCAAGCAGGCTATCACGAAGATGGTGCAGGTCGTCATGGGCTTTCTTGACGACGCGCCGAGTCTGGAAACGAAGCTGTCCGTGATCGAGACACTGAGAACGGTCACGGAGGGAAAGGTAAAGCTTCATGCCCCGGACGTGATTCGGTTGTGATGGGCGATGCTGACTCGAAGCATAGATATTCGTCGAGGTCGAGCGGGCTAGAGTCACGCGCATTCTGTCGAACATCAAGAAGGAGCAGGGCGATATCAATGCTGCCGCGGACATCCTATGCGAGCTCCAAGTCGAGACCTTTGGTTCCATGTCCCGCCGTGAGAAGACCGAGTTCATCCTCCAGCAAGTGGCTCTCTGCATAGAAAAGGGCGACTGGACACAAGCAGGCATCCTGAGCCGGAAGATCAGCACGCGATACTTCACCCGCAGGCCAAAGAAGTCGCCCGAGCAGTTGGAGAAGGAGAGAAAAGAGCGCGAGGAGAAGGAGAAGACAAGGAGTGTGGATGAGCCGCCGCCGGAGCCGGAAGACGACGTTACGGATCTGAAGCTGCGGTACTACGAGCAGCAGATTACACTTGCGAAGCACGAGGATAAGTATCTGGATGTGTGTAAACATTATCGGCAGGTGCTGGACACGGAGGCCGTGGAGGAGAATCCGGAGCAGCTGCGCGCCGTAAGCAATCCCTCCTCTTCGATTGAATCCAGCTAACTCTATACACAGTCGCTGCAACGGATCATCTACTTTGTCATCCTCGCTCCCTACGACAACGAACAGTCCGACCTGCTTCACCGCATCCACAAAGACTCCCGCATCTCGCAAATACCTCAAGACGCTCAGCTACTCAAGCTCTTCACCGTTCCAGAGCTCATGAGATGGCCGATGGTTGCACAGCAGTTCGGGCCACACCTCTGCAGCACCGATGTCTTTGACGCCGAGAAGGGACAGTCAGGCGACCCGAAAGCGCACCAACGCTGGGAAGACCTCCGGAAGCGCGTCATCGAGCACAACGTCCGCGTGGTCGCCAAGTACTACACCCGGATCCAGATGCCGCGACTGACGCAGCTGCTGGACCTGGCCGAGGACGAGACGGAGAAGTACATCAGCGAACTTGTGACGGCTAAGACCATCTACGCCAAGATCGATCGGCCGGCGCGGGTAGTGAGCTTCGCCAAGCCGCGGGATGCGGACGATGTGCTGAATGAGTGGAGCGGGAACATGAAGAGCTTGCTGGGGCTGCTGGAGAGGATTGATCATCTCATCACGAAGGAGGAGATGATGGCCAGGATCCAGCCGACGAAGGTCGAAAAGGGCAAGACGGGGAAGGCGCATTAAGCGCATGTATTCGTAGAGCATTGGCGGGATCATCAGGCGTTGCATGGTTGGAATTGCAGGCTCTGTAGCTCCAGCCTTCTATAGACAGCCCCTGCGCTTCGAAGCGCGTGGGTGTAATATACCTCTAATATCTTCATCCCGAGCAGGTTTCATGTGCCTGCCCGTTCAACGCCATGCAAATGCTCAAATAGCCAGTCCGGGTCCCAGAGGAATGCCGCAGAACGCTAGAACGGCACATCCATATCCTCCGCCTTCTCTTTCTTGTCCTCCGCGCTTTGACTCTCCAACACCTCTCTGATAAATCCCACCAGCGCCCCAACATACGGCTTAGCACTACTGGGTAAGAAGTGCCCACCAGGGTGATATACTACCCTCCTCCTCCCCTCACCTCCGCCATCCGCACAGGCGTCGACAAGCCGCAAACTCCTACTCTCCTCGACAACTGTATCCAACGTCCCCAAGAAATGCAGCATTGCAGTCCTAATCTTCGGTTCGTAAAACGCCTGATACAGCGGATTATTACTCGCGCCGAACCCGCTATAGCTCACGGCGAACTTGAGCGGCGGATGCACTGTCTGGTCCCCATCTCCCGTATCCCGCACCAGGGAGGCCGGAAACTCCATCCCGCCTCTACTCCGCGCGGCCTCAAAGGCCTCCCGCCGCCCAGGTTCGAGAAGCGAGGCGAGCATGCCCGCGCAAGCCCCGCCCTGCGAAAACCCCACCACGCCATCAAAGGGCCCCTCAGAGCCCAGCACCTCCGCGATGCGCGCAAAGCCCGCCTCCATGCCCTCATACGTGAAGGGTTCTTTCTCGCCTTTGCGCACCCACCAGCCCCACGCATCGGGTTCCTCCCTGTCTGCCCCACTCTCCGCATCGCCGTTGGAGGCGGTGCCGAAATTAGGGATGTCGGCAGGTGAGAGCCGGATCGGGGCCGTGGGGTAGGAGAGCGTGACGTAGTGCGTCGGGAAGGCTTTGACGAGGTTTTTCTCCAGCGCGCGCGTTTTGGCGTGGAAGAGCGGGCCGGATTGCGTGAAGCCGTGCAGCATGAGGATGCGGAGCGCGGGTTTGCCGGTTGGGGTTGCGGCGCCCGAGGGCAGGGCGGAGGAGGTGGGGGTTGAGAAGTTGGACATGCTGCGGTGGGCTTTGTGGGGGAGAGAGCGGAATAGAGGAACTTGGGCGCGGATGTGGCTGCGGGAGTATGCTGGGCGGATGATCAGGATAGCATGGCGCATTGGTGAGATGGTGAGCGTGGGTAGGATTGAGGTCGGTGATAAGGCGGACTTGAGATGCTTGGCATGGTGTTGAGGCTGCGGGCGGTGAGCGGAATCGCGAAAAAGTTCAAGGTGACGAAAGCCGCATCGCATGTCCAAACAGTGTAGATGTCCTTACTACCACAACACGACAGGCCATCCATAGCAGTCCGAAGCTCCTTCGGTGATATTCTTAGTCATTGGAGCTTCGCAAAGACCACTGACGAGCCCTCTCCGGTCAATTAGAGCCTCCACCACACCACCAGACCCGCAGCCCATTCGCAGCATGCTCACCGAAACCTTCATAGCCTCCATCTCCACCGCCGCGAAAACTCCCAACACCTCAGCACATACCAAAGATGCCGCCATCTTCCTCCACGAGTTCCAGCCGCTGGCGGCGCAGCGAGCCGTATTCAAGAAGAGCGCAACGCCGGCCAACTGCCTCGCCGTGAGCGCATCGCACATTTTCGCGGCGCAAGCCGAGAAGGCTGTCGTGCATGTGTATAGCAGGGAGAAGGGAAACCAGGAGGCGATTGTGCCTTTTCCGGAGCGGATACACAGTCTGGCGCTTGCGTGTCATGATACCGTTCTTGTGCTTGGTACGGAGGGTGGGAGGATAATTTTGTGGGAGGTACGTATGCTTCCCGCCTTGAAGCAGTAAGACATTGTACTGATTACTATATAAACTAGACATGCACCGGCCGCCAAATCACAACCCCCCAATCACACCTCCAGCCCGTCACATCCCTCGCCATCGACCCGACATCGTCTTTCCTCCTCTCCGGTTCCGCAGACTCAAACATCCACGTCTGGTCCCTGCCCTCGCTCCTCTCCTTCACGACGCCCTCCTCCCAGCGCACACCCCTGCACACCCTCTCCTCGCACCGCGGCGCCATCACAGCTCTCGCCATAGGCCACTCATCCACCCCCGTCAACATCGCCATCTCCGCATCCGCAGACTCTACGGCCATTGTCTGGGACTACCACACCGGCACCCAGCTGAGGACGTATCTCTTAGGCGCCCCGCCACTCGCGCTGTTCCTCGATGCGACGGACATAGCGTTTTACGCGGGGTACGCGGACGGCAGCGTCCAAGTCGTCGAATTCTTCCCCCCGGGTGCGGGACAGGCGTACCCGGCCATCGACACCCTACGCGACGCCGACGCGGCTGTAGCGCCCGTGCAACCGCCCCTCTCGACACGCTGGCACGCGGAGAATCAAGACTTGGGGGCGGCGCACTGCGTCGCGCTGAGCTGGGACGGCTCGACGCTGCTGTCTGGGCACGAGAGCGGGAAAATCGGCGCCTGGGACACTGGGCGCGCGGTGTTTAGGAGTGTGGTAGCCACGTTGCCGGGACCGGTGACGAATCTGCGGTTCTTGCCTGTGACAGGGTGGCCGGCAGTGGCTGGACGGGAGGTGGAAGAGCCGGGCTTCAGGATGCATAATGTTGTGAAGCCGAAACTTGAGTCGGGGGGCAGTGGTGGACCGCAGGTGCCGGGGAATTATACGTTTACGACGCAGTTTGTTTCCACGCTTCCGACGCCCCATTGCTCGGCTGAGGGAGACTTGGAGGCCTGGTTTGGCGCAAGAGGCAGCAAGAGGCGGAAGACTTCCTTCGAGGAAGCGCTCACGCATACCTCGTTCCCAGCCGCGCTGCTCGAGGAAGGCATTGCGGAGCTCGCGGAGTGGGGCGGAAGCCAGTCTGCCGGCTCCGGATCTGGCGCGGCTGCCAACGGCGCGGCTGGGAATGCGGGTGAGGCGGATTTCATGGCGCTGGACGATACGGAGGGAAGAGCGTCGGGGGATACGAAGCTAGCGGACGAGAACATGCGGCTTAAGAAGCAGCTGAGGGCGCTGCAGAGGGTGCAGAAGGCCACGTTTGGGCAGATTGCAGACTTGAGAGAGGAGATTAAGGGGTTGAGGGAGATGGGAAGGGAAACTGAAGAAACTGAGGATGAGGATGAGGAGGAGGAGGAGGAGGAGGAGGAAGGTGATGATGAGGAAGATGATGGTGAGGGAAACAACGACGTCAATGACGTTAACATGGGAGAGAACGATGAAGAGCTGGTTAAAACGAGGCGATCGGAAGGGGAGAGCAGGAAACCCGGAAGGGGGCTTAAGGGGGTTAGTAGAGTTAGAAAGTACGAGGGAAGTGAGGACAACGCTGGAGCATCGAGAAGTAGAAGAAAGCAGTGATAGTCGTAGTGAATAGCGGGATGAGCGAGTATCAAAGCTGCCGCGATAGCGTCGACGCTCACCATGGGGAATTACGGATATGAGCGTGATGACTCGAAGCGTCGACCATCCGAAGCGTCGACAATCAAGCAGTGTCAAGCAAGCGACTGAAGTTCTCAGAGACGCGCTAAAAAGAACTCAGACTTCGAGGTGGACCAGGCATAACGCTCGATGAGAGAAGTAGCAAACGGGTAGAGAAGCCGGTAAATATGGTTTGCAGCATGTTCGAAAGCGCATGTATATACTGCTGAGAACTCTCCACGTCCCACCTCTACTCCATTGATTACAGCGCTCCCTAGCTTCGGAGCACAACCCCTGTATGCAAAGAAAACGTGGCCGCCGCAAGCCCAAGCGAAGCCCAAATACCCTGACGGGAACAAGGTGGATATAAAGCTTTTGCAGAGAGAGAAGAGAAAAAGCGACATAACCACTTGGTAATATATGCAGCTTTCCGCGCCAACTCCCGCCCCGTTTTGCCAGGCCAGGTTGGAAGGTCAGCCGAATATGTTCCAAGAAGTGAAAGAGAGACTCCGATATATAAATGACCGAGCAAGCAAGCAGTCCAGTGACCCAGAGAACGCCAGCGCTAAAACGCTAGCAAGCCCAGTACAGGATTATACACCTTTTGTTATCCACCGGCCCATCCCATCCTAAACCGTTCCCCCATTCCCCAAACCCAATCAAAAGAAAGCTCACCAGAGCCAACGGAGAAACTCACCCTCACCGCCATTCCATCCCCCTACTAGTTTGACTCGCCCGACTCGGACTCGTCCGACTCCGCTCATCTTCCTCTAGCACATCACTCAACCTAGTCGGATGATGATGTCTCTGAATACTGCTCCACTCATCCCCATACCCACTGCCGCTATAATCCGGCGGCCCGTATCCCGCACCATAACCCGGTGCGCCAGACGTCGGCTGTGCGTACGCGGCACCAGGCTGCGAGTACGCGCCCGCTTGGGTGTATGCACCTGCTTGTGTGTACGCCGCCGAAGAGCTCGGCATCGTCGCCGGAACGCCGCCGTAATGCTGCCGTAGTTCCGCTTCCCGCGCGAGGTCGGACTGGACGTCGTACTCGTCACTCTCGGCCTCACTGCGACCCGTGCCACGCATACGCCCTACCGCCGCCGCCGCAGCTGGGGAGTACGGAACGCGGTTTCCGTGGTCGTCGAGCACGGGGTTGCCCTGGCGGTCGTAGAGCCATTCGTCCTCGTCCTCGCCTTGCGAGACGATGTCTTCATCGTTGCTCATAACGTAGGAGCCGGACTCGTCGCGTTCTTCGTGGGGAGCGGGCGGGGACGGAGGGCCGGCGCCGGTGTGCAAGAATGTGCCGGTGTGCTGGTAAAATTGCTGGGCTGTGGGTGTGGTTGGGGTGTGCTGGGCGCTGGAGGTGGTGGGTGCGGGGAACGAAGGTGCGGCGCGTTGGGATGATGTGGCGATTGAGGCGCCAGCGGATGCTTGTGACTGCTGCTGGGGCGGTAGGTTGCCTGTCGTGGGGCGGGCGGTGGAGCCAGAGCTTGCGTTGCTGCTCGTTGGGTGGATGCCGTGGGGTGCGTAGGTGCTGACATTGAGGGAGGAGATATCTGGCTCGTGGCGGAGTTGGCTGCGCTGCTGGGCGCTCTCGGTAAAGGGATCGGTGTCTGTGGGTGACGCGCCTTCTTCGTAGGAGTAGCCCTGTTCCGACGTGCCTTGTGGGCCTCCCGGGGTGCTTTGCTGGGGGCCTCCGGTCTGATATGGACCTTCGCGGGTCGTGGGCCGCTGCGACACGCTGCCGTGCCTGCTTGCCATGCCGCCTGCGGACGGGAAAACTTGGACCCCTCCGACCCACGTCGGCTGGCCCTCCCTAAGTGACATGGTGCGATCTCGCTCCTCCTGTTCCCGGCGTCCGAGCTCTTCCCATGCCCGTCGCGCCTCCTCGCGCGATATCTGTAGCTCCCGCTTAAGCTCGGCGAGCAATTTATCTGAGTTCCGCCTACCGTTGTCAGAGCGCGACGCTTTCTGTTCCGCCTCCTGCTTCGCTGCACGCTCGGCCTGAAGCTGACTCTCTAGTTGAGCAATCGTCTCTTGAGCGCGCTCCTGCTCCTGTCTCGTTTCGAAGAACCAACGCTGGAACTTGCGCTCAGACGAAGCGCGAAGCCGTTGAAGCTCAACGACGGCATGAAACAGGTTTGCTCCAGCAGCCGATAGGTCAGTGATTTGTCGAGACATCTGTTGAGCCAAGGGCTCGCGCCTGACCTCTTCCGTGTTTTGTTCGAGGCGGCGGATCCAGTAGGAGGTGAGTCCTTCCCAGTGCGACGAAAGAGTCTCCCACCGTTCAAAGGCATGAGGGAACGAGGACGCCGTGCTTCGCGCGCCAGCTCCATCGGCTGTCGGGGGAGCACCTGCACCAGGTTGCGCAGACGAAGACGGCACAGCTGATGGTCCGGCGCGGGCTTGTTGCGAGGTACCACCTGTCCCCGAAGCCTGCCTCGCATGTGTCTGTTGTTGGGGTTGAGATACAGCACGCCTGCCTGTTGTTTGTGGCGCAGCTGGTGAGGCCGGAACTGCTTGAGGTTGGGCCTGTGAATGCGTCGACGCCCGCGGCCGAGTTCCCGCGCCCAAATCTGGAGGTCGAGAAGCTGCGGGCGGAAGGTTCCCTGGTCCGTCATACCCGCCAGCAATACCTGGTCCTTGCGCGGGCGCCGTAGTGTATCCGCCATACCCGCTGTCTCCTGAAGTTCTGCCCCCGGCAGTGTCCATTGGTCTCCTGTAACCCCCCGAATCTCTCGACTGGCCAGCAACGCCAGCAGCAGCAGCAGCAGCTCGTCTCTCCGCGCTCTTTCTCCGTTCGTCAGCCTGAGATTGTGCCCGCGCTTGTTCCTCGGCTATTCTGGCGGCAGCTGCCTCGGCTTCTTTCTGTTGTTTTCTAGCCTGTTCGCGTTCGCGTCTCTGGTTCATGATGTCTCGTGGAGTCCGGACACCAGGCGGCGGAGCTGGCTGAGGTACTGGAACCGGCCCTTGGGCGGCACGAGAGCCGCCATTTGTAGCACGGCCGTTTCCAGTAGGCCCACCAAGCAAATCTGACATGGACGCGTTCTCCTCGGCAAGATCTGGCGTGAAAGGATAGGGCGTGCGGATCGCCTCTTCGAGCGCGTATAGGATGGCAGAGGCAGTGCGACGGGAGATGCGAAGGGCAGGGTGAGGCGCGCGAGGATCTTGTGCGTCGTACCGATGAGGTTGGTTTCCAGCCGAAGCTTCCCCTGACCTTTGTGTGTCGTCGGCGAAACGAACACTCTGCTGAGGGCGCTGCGCGTCGTCGAGAGAGGAAGCTCTAGGCCGTCCTCTGTTTCGATCTTCAAAGTTCGGGGTGCGGCGTAACGTATGCGGAGCGCTACCGGAGGAACTTGACGGACGGGAACGTGCTTGTGCGCTGTGGAATTGCTGTGCCTGCTGCTGGCGTTGCTGTAGTGAAGTCGTATATGGCTCGTAGACGTTGGCTTCGTGGGGATCGTGAGGCGCTGATGGACCTGATCGGAACACGTTTGCGACCTTCGACGAAGAAGCCAGAGGTATGGATGCGACCCTAAAGGATCTATCGTTCCAAGGACATGTAGTGGCAGTAGCTGCTCAAGACAATGGCAAGCCTTAGCTGTTGCCCGTTTGATGGTGGCAGCTCCGCGTGATAATGTCGGGAGGGGTCCCTGGAATGCGGGAAGCCTGGAGCGAGGTTGTTAGTGAAGTGAAGAACAAGGGAGCAGAAGCCATAGTTACGGAATAGCAATGGCGCTGCGTCAGAGGGAAGGCTGGGGAAATGGGGTGGTCGGGCCAGTGGTGTTGAGACGGCGGAAATGTGAGGCTGGGGGCGCGAAGCGAGCTCCATGTCAAAAACCACCAACTCACCACCAAGTCAGAAAATGACAGGATTCGCGGCCAGCACACCGCTCATGCCGGATTCTCTCTTCTTCGATGGGTGATCGGACTGAGTGCGCCGAAATGGTTTGAAAAAAAAGTGCGCCTTAGGCCTCGATGTCGCGCGTCAATGGCTCTGCGACGGCGATTTTGGCAAACAGTTGTGGTCCGTGAAAAGCAGCTGCGAGCCCCAGGTCCGGCTAGCCGCTGACAGCTCTGAGCGCAACGCCAGGCTTCGGCAGCGCGAAAGGCAGCTCAGAAGGAGGGAAAGAACGGCGCAAGTCCAATTGACCGCGTAGAAGGAACATGTCAGCGTGCGAAACGGTGCTGTAGGAAATGCGACAGCCAGCGGAGGAGAGAGCTGTCCTGGGCTCTCGGCTGTCAGAACGCCTGAGGCTTCACGCCAGTCCAGCGCAAGGCCGTCCTCTCTCGTTGGGTTAAAAAGCCGGTTTCCACAGCTTCTATGCGTCAAGGACAAGACGATAGCGGTCAGGCGAGTTCAGTAGGTAGCGACTGAGAGGGTGCTGCTGCACGGAAAGGACTGGTGGATTTGCTCGTTGCGAGGCCAGCGCATCCGTACATGCACCAGCCCCCCGCTGTCGTCATCTTCCCTGTGCAGCGTTTCGCCATAATCCGCTCCGTCTTGCTCGCCATTGCGCAAGCGTAATGGTAGACCTGCATAGTACATGATACGCGTAGTTTGCCGGAGGAGTCGAAGGTAAAGAGAGAAAGAAAAGGGCAGAGAAGGTGGGCGACTGAGACGTGCAATCCGGTGGAGCATTCCTCGCTCACAGGACCAAACCCTCACGGCCAATCATTGTTCGTAGATGGCATTTGCCTGGGAGAAACCTTCAACGGCCAACAAGCGAGGCCACCGAACTTGACCGCACATGTATTAGGTGTATAACGGCGAGATTTACATGGGTGGGATTGTACCATGGCTCAATCTGGCTGTCAAATGTTTAGTTTTGTGCCGGGAGGACTGTGCGATCACGTGCAGTGCAGTCAAGATCAGATACACACTCATCATATTACACTCTATACGACTCTACATAGCAATTGACAGTGATAACTTGACACGACCTGCCAAACACTCTGCTCCACTATAGACTTCACAACATGAACAGACCAGCAACGGCCGCAACCACACCTACACCCATGCCCATGCCTGCCCTGCTCGCCGCACCCGTAAACTGCGCCGGCGACGCATGCCTCGTCGCGGTGCCGACTGCAGACATTCCGGTACCTGTGCCAGCTGGCATCTCATGGAAGCCGGCACCATATGCGCCCTTTCCAGTCGGCGCAGCTGTGCCATTCTTGGCGTAGTACTCGCTTGCCGGGACCGGCACGACCGAGACCATCATGGTACGGACTTGTGTGCTTGTCACTGGGATGGGGGTCACGGCCGAGGCGGATCCGTGGCCTGGCTTATCTGGGTACGCGGGCGCCGATGAGGAGCCGCCAACTGGAGCAGCTGGGGAGGAAGAGGCGTCGTGGACCGTCATTACCCGTGTCACGTAGGATGTAACCTGGGAGATGGTCGTCGTCTTAGTCTCGATGCCTGGCTGCGCTGGAACGGAAGGCGAGTTGGATGGCGCAGAAGGTGAATTAGACGGAGCATAAGCCGAGCTCGATGGAGCGTAAGCCGAGGTGTTGGGCGCTGGATGCGACGGCGCAGCGGAGCTGATGGCGGGAGGATGCGGCATTGAGGAGCTGGCAGCCGCATGGGTGGAGGAGACTGGGCAGACGGTGGTGTAGAGCGCAACGCTTGAGGTTATCGTCTGAGTGGTCTCGGATCCCGCTGGGCAGTTCGGCATGTTCGCAGGGCAAGCAGTAACGGTAATAACCTTGGTCGTGTACACGGTGGATGTCGTCATCTGGGTAATAGTAGAAGAGGCACCGTGGACTGGATCAACCGGTGTTGTCGTCGGAGGAGCTGGCCTAGTCAGAGTGACAGTGGTCGGCTCAGGACCGCAGACATCGCAGACAGTGACAGTCGTCGACCAACCATCCGGCACAGCTCCACTGGACGTGGCGCTGGAGGCGGTGGTCGGGCACACCGTGGTTGTGTAGGTGGTGACAACGGTCGTGAAGCCAGTAGGGCAAATGTCCACGTACGAAGCTAGTGAATTTGGTAAGTACGGAACATTAGCAGTCAGGATACGAACTTACTCGTGATGACGGTTGTGGTGACCTCTGAAGATGTCGGCGTATAAGGCGCCGCGGGTGCAGAAGTTGTTGGCGACGTGGTGATGGGGCCGTAATGGGAGCTTCCAGGGCCTGATGGATAACCAGGTGCAGAGGATCCTGCAGTCGGGTAGCTCTCAGGGTAGGAAGACGTTCCGTTACCGTAAGGCGCAGACGAAACCTCGCTGGAGACACCATGTACAGACGATGAGCCAGCAGTGGGGTACGACGGGTATCCCGTTCCATGGGAAGACTCAGTTGCAGACGTCGTTGCGCCATCATAAGGCATAGAAGATCCCTCAGAGGAAGCACTGCTCGAAACCGATGAAGAGCCTGCGGTGGGGTATGCGTAATAGCTTGTCTCGTGGCCCTCAGAGGAAGTCGTCGCATTGCCGTAAGGTGCAGATGAAACTTCAGAAGAAGTGCTGCCGGAGTCAGACGAGCCCCCAGTGGGATGAGACGGATAATCCGTAGGGTGCGAAGGATAGCCAGTCGATGACACCATGCTGCTGCTCGTGTCATGAGTCATCTGGGAGCTGTGGGACCCGCTGGAGGAAGTGGTGGTGATGTGCGAGGAGCTGCTCTCAGAAGAGGACATGACATCCGAGTAGCTGGACGAGGCAGAGCTGCTGGCGGTGCTCGATGCACTTTCGGAGCTGGCGGTTGTGGAGCTCATACCGCACTTTCCATAGAGCGGGTTGCAGCCAGTGCCGCACCACAATTCTTGAGAGCCGCAGTATCCATACTCGCTGCAACAGTCACCGAATTCCGACCCGAGGCAAGTCCGGCCGTTCTGAACACCACACATGCCATCCTCTGAGACAGCGGAGGCTGTGGGGGTGGCTGACGAAGTAGAGGAAGCGACGTCGGATGTCGTAGTAGCGGAAGACGTAGAGGAAGCGTCGCTGGATGTCGCGGTGGACTCCACACTGCTGGACGACGAGCTCATACCGCACTTGCCGTAGAGTGGGTTGCAGCCAGTGCCGCAGTAGATCTCCTGGGAGCCACAATATCCGTACTCGCTGCAACAGTCGCCGAACTCAGATCCGGCACAAGTGCGTCCGTTTTGTGCACCACAAGCACCGTCTTCCGAAACAGCAGTGGCTGTGGGGGTGACTGAAGCAGTCGTAGAAGCGACATCGGAGGTTGCGGTCGCAGAAGAAGTAGAGGAAGCAACGCTGGAGGTTGTCGAAGCCGCAGAGCACGTCTCCGGGAACGAGAGAGCGGAGCCGGCCTGGCAAGTGTTCAAGGTCTCTTTCATCCACGTCGCGTAGTCCTTGCCCTCGATCACGTTGTTGATGTTCGCTTGGGCCTCCCAGAGCATGACACCGCCAAAGGCCTCAGGATATAGCTTCATGTACTTTTCGATCAGCTTACTGGCCTCGCAGGGTGTGAGGTAGTAATCTGGGTTGGACCCAGGCGGGAGTCCGGCGGTTGAGGCAGGCTGGGAAACATTAGCTCCGAGCAATCTCTCTCACAACAAGGTTCAACTCACCAGCCCGAGGTAGATACGGCGGTTGGAGTTGCCAGAAGCCACCTTGTTTACCCAGTCATCGAAGCTAATGTCGAACTGCCCTCCGGACATGTGGTTGTATCCAGCACGAGCAGAGCACTGCGGCGTGTTATAGAACTGGACGAATAGGAAGTCGAAAGGTGAGTTCGCAATCGCATCAGCAAGATGAGAATCCGGAGTAACACACTGAGGGGCGCCAGAGATATAGTACTGCTTGTTGCCATCACGAGGAAAGCAGTCATTCTTCAAGTGGTTGACCATGTCGGCATAGTGTTGGGACTGATAGTTGGTAACTTCTTCGCCTGCATCGCCCGTGGGTTTCGAGTCCATGTAGGATTCAATGTCAAAGTCGAAACCATCCACCACAGCGTCACCAAAGGGTCGGGGAACGAGGTCGGAATCGGTTACGGGGCCGAAAGCTGCCCAGACGAACTCAGCGAAATCCCTCGCGCTGTCGGCGCTCTTGAGGTAGTAGTCGGTAGGCCAACCGCCACCGAGGGAGAGCAGGACCTTCTTCCCGTAAACTTCCTGACACGCCTTGATATCTGGTCCAATCGACGGGCAGTTCTTCCGCAGAAGGGTCTTGACACCATCAACCTCGTACATCTCCTCCCCGCAGGCATTGCCGAAGTTTGAACCTGGGTAGCTCCCCGGTCCTTGGTCTGGGAACACGTTCAAGAAGGCAAGATTGACAATGTCTATACTAGGGTTCTTGCACGTCTCGATCAGTTGGGCCTGGTAGGCACCTTGACCCCAGTACATGGCGACATTTGTTGTAGAGGCGGCATTGAAAGCCGTAGCGGATGCAAGAGGAGCAATGACTGCCGCAGCCGCAGCCACGGTGCGGAAGGAGGATGTGGAACGCATTATGATTAGAGACAACTAAAGAATACTAAAGATCGTCACAGTGAAAGTGGATGGGCGGAGCCCGTAAAGATCGTGGTAGTGATACTCAACGAAAGGACGCAAACAAACGTTTGCAAGGGTGGAGAGCAGTCTCGGTGGAAGATGACTGAAGCTGGACGTGAGAAGGAAAAGAGAGAACGGGGGAATAAACCATAGATGTAATCTCACCACGGCCTTAGTTACACCCTGAGGTGTGATGACTGCCTTGCAGACCAGACTACCAGAATCCTTCAGCGCAGCCACGGCGGCCAAGGAGGACAGTCCATGACAAGTGGGCCCATGGTGAGCTCGTAATTGACGCCCTCGCTACCATGAGACGCCGAGCAGATGGTGATGGATTCTCCTCGTGTCGAGCCTTTCCTGTTCCTGACGGCGGCTCTGGGGATGCCTTCCCGTCATTGGGGGTATCCTTTTTAGAGCCATGAGCCAAGCTCGTGGCTGCTCCCGGGCATGACGGGAGATGGTCAGGGGATTGCCGCCTTCCGGGCACTCTTCCAACTTCGGAGTGGTCGAAGCCTTAACGGATAATTTCAGGAGGCAGCCAAGATCCTGAGAGATGTTAGTCTAGCAAGCGACTTGCTAGCGTCCTCGTACGGCACAGCAATTGCCGGCACAGAAATGGCTCGACGATACTCGGATATGGCAACCGCAGGAGCTGTAGCTACATGGCAAGACCGTCCATTTCGCCTCTTCAGCTTCTCTTCCCTCGGGCTCAGACTTGTCTAGGATATCCTTCATGGACAGTGCAAAGACGAGTCGCGCAAAAGGGTCAGGCGTGCCGGGATGTTGTTGCTATTTCGAATTGCCAGGAGTGTCAGGATTAGCGCAGGGGAACGGTCTCCAGCCGAGTTGGCTGTACCGAGGTTCCATCGCACGCTGTGGCTGAGCTTAACCCGTCTTCGCGCAACTTGGTAAATTACTTATGGAATCCATAGCTTGATGCTTTACTTCACCGGGTCTTCACTCAAGCTCCTAAAACATGTGCCCAAGGCTCAGGCCAAGTAGCCGTTGCCGCATCCTCTCATACGAATTTGCGGCTGAATTCCGGTGACGACTACGAAGGATGGGGTATCTACTGAGGAAGCGGCCGCTTGACGGCGCACAACCACAAGGCCCCTCAACACAGTAATCCAATGCTTGTTGAGGTGGACTGGCTCGTTAAATACATTTTCAGTCAATAGAAGGCCTAGGTATAAATTGTACAGACCGTTTGTTGGCGTTTGTTAATGGTATTAGAGGGTGGTCAAGCGGCCGCCGCTTCTTCAATACATACCCTTTCCTTCGTACTTCGTCCGAGCCTTGGCTCAATGCCGCGTCTTGCTATCACGTTATCGCAGCTTCGGCACATGAGAAGGTCTCTACGGCCTCCAACAATCAAATCGCACCGTCGGGTTCATGTGCTGATAGTTAGAGAGAAGTAGCATCGAATCAGCATGCATTCCTACGGGCTGCTCAGACATGAATGTCTCTTGATTGCTCTTTACGCTGTCAACCAAAAAAGAAACCCTTCGCGCAATACGTCTGGCTCGACTACTATAGTATGTGCTTGCACGCTGTAGTTTCCAGCCGTCCAATTCTAGTACCAGATAAATCACTTCGTACTATCCGTGAGTTTCCCGCATCAATCTCATCCGCAACTCAGTTCCAGGTAACCAATGAGTGTCTCGTCGGCACGAACACATTCGCAATCGAGCCAGTAGCCAAGTGTTCCACCTTGAGGTTCATCACCAGCATAGCGGCGGCGCCGAGGAGAGTAAGCAGAAGGATGCTAATGAACCTGCTCGAAGCGGTCGTCTTGGCCGGGCGGCCATCCTGAGCGATATCAAAATCCGACCAAATTGGAAAGATCGTCCGCAACCAGTATTTGAACATAGGATCCGGATAGATAAATGTGTTCTTCTTCGTAACAGGATCCATCCACCAACTCTGGCAGCCACTGTTGAAGACAAGACCCTGGAGCTTGCCGTGCACCCAGGTCAAGTCACGCTTCTGGGCCTCAGGCTTCACCATGATGGACTTTGCCTTTTGTTTCAGGATTGGTCGGAGTAAGCGGCAGGAGTAGTTGATCTGGCATTCCGAGTGGAAGATTACGGAGTGCTGTCCAGTGGCGGCATTAGGGCCGTACAGGATGAAGAAGTTGGGGAAGTCTGTTATGACGGTTCCTTTGTAGGCTTCAGCGCCGCCTGCAAGATCCCATGCCGCCTGCAGATCCTTGCCGTCGATGCCACGAACCTCCATAGGGAAAAGCCATCTTTGTGTCAAGAAGCCGGTTGCGTAGATGATCACATCCGCAGCATAGACTTGGCCGCTTTCCGTCTCGATCTCATGCTCATTGATCCGAATGGCTCGATCTTTGACAAGATGCATATTTGGCGCGTGCAATTTCTTCAAATAGTCCAGCGTGTTGACACGTCTTTTGCAGCCAGGTTCGTAGTCCGGCTTCAGGATGTCTCGGTACTCAGCTGGTGCCTCTTTCTCGATATACCCGGCGGTTGCCTCTCGGATCTTATTCCTCATAGCAGCACCGTTAGGCGTCATGAAGAAGGAATAAAAGGTTGACTCCAACTCCCAAGCAAGGAAAACTCGGTAGATCCTCGCGGCAAACGGTATGTACTTCATTGCCAGCTTGAAGGACTCTGAGTACCGCGGATTGCCCTATCGACTGTGTCAGTGTTGGCGCAACCAAATCCAAAAAAGTGCCACATACTCTCTTGATCCACCAGTGTGCACCCTTTACAAGCTGTGTCACTTGACCCTTGGGACCAACCTCCTCGACCAACTTAGGGACGAATTGAGTCGCGGACGCCCCATTACCCATGACTACGACCTTCTTTCCCTCCATCTTCACCGACGAATCCCACCGGGCACTGTGGAACGCAGCGCCTTTGAAGAGAGCAGCGCCTGGAATCTCAGGGATGTACGGCCGATCTAGAGTGCCGACTGCGCTAACAACAACAGCCGCTTCGCGGATCGTGAGCTCGCCAGTGACCGTGTCCTGAAACGTGCATTCCCACAGAGATCGGGACTGGTTCCAGATCATCCGCAGGCACATCTGATTGAATTTGCAACGACGGATGACGTCGTATTTCTCTGCAACAGACATGAAATCTGCCTCAGATTAGCCAAAGAGCAAGCTTGGGAGGAGCCAGACAATCGACGGAGGATACGAAAATGTGGCAGAGAGTCGTTTGGTTTCAACTCACAGTCATGCAGCTCATCACGACCAGGATACGTGGTGGTCCAATCTGGTTTGAGGTGGAAGCTGTAGGAGTAGAAATGGCTAGGGATGTCGCAAGCGCAGGCCGGATACCTGTTGTGCCACCAAGTTCCGCCAATATTGTCCGATTTCTCGAAGATGGTGAAGTTCTGATGTCCCAGGCGTCGTCGAAGTTGGACTGCCATGCCGAGTCCTGAAACTCCGCCACCAATGATGAAGACTTCTTTCTGATCGGTCATTTTGCGTAGATCGAAAGTCAAAGAAAGGTTTCAAGGAAGTACGAAGCCAGGTTTTGTGATAGTATGGTATCAGTGTCTGGTTTGAGATCTGTTCGTTGACTGTAGAGAGCGAAAATTGAGCTCTTTTATGTTGACTTCGAGCTCCATCTTCGTGGGCGCCTAGAGTTGTAGCTACACGTGTAGACGCAAGCAAGTGCATGTTCGTCTGTCGGTCTCTGCAATGATTGATGTCGGCTCAGAAGCTATTGCAACCACTGGGGCGAGAATATGGCGCCTGTTGTTGCAGTTGGGAGTACGGACATGTGTAGTGTTGCGCGGATAATAGGGACTGCAAGCGCAAGCGTAAGTGCAAACGTAACAGGCAAGGAGTTGCAAGAGTAAAGACAAGCGCAAGCGCCGGTCGGCTTGCTCAGAAGTGCTGAATCCTTAGGGAGCAAGGGCCATCTAAAAAATGAGTTGCACCATCTTTGCTCTAGCTTCTTCTATACCAATTTCACGGTTAAACAGGACTCATGGTTTTGTCAACTATAGGGCAGCTAGAACAATCATACGATAGAAAGAAACACTTGTTTAGCAGTTTAGCGCTTCAAAGTATTAACCATCTAAGGTGTCATTGATCCATGGACTGTGCTTTGGGCTGTCCACGTTCAAGGCTACGAGTACCTAGGTAGCTTTCAAGCTGGCAACGCATTTTTAAAATGACCCTCTAAAGCGTGTGCCGGCTGCCCGAGTGTAGGGTTCTCCGCAAAAGCCCCCCGCAACTCCCCACCCCTCAGCCGCCCCCACTGGCGCATTCGGAAGAAACCATCTCTACTCATGCCGCCGGCCGAGGCGCGGGCGATTTAATCATGCTCGGTCTGTGCGCTCAAAATCAGTGCAGAGACAAAGCATGGTTAAATCGCTCCGGCCTCGGGCTTGAAGTCCGCTTCGAAGGCATCGTGCACCGCGAGCTCGGCGCTTCAAGACTATCGAACACTACAAAGCATCAGCAAGAACCCTATGAACTGCTTCAACTTAGAGCGCAATATACGGAGAGCAGTTCTGTGATATTGTGATATTGTGATATTTATCTATCGTATGGTGAATAGTTGCAGCGTGTTTGATCCCACGTTGCTGCAAATCCAGTATTGGTGTTCTGACCCCTGGCGAATAAACTTTCCGAGTATTCAGTCCGAGGCCAAATCGATTTGACCATGCTCAGTCTGCTCACTGATTTTCGGCGCACGTACCAAGCATCACCAAAGCGACTCGGCCTTATTTTGATGGCTAAATCTCCTACTACTCTGTGCTCGGCAGGTGAAAGCGCTTGCAGACTGAAAACCGCCACTGCGGGTTACGCGTGTTCTGATGGAGAACCAAAATTACAGCTGATGTCTTGTTGCCCAGAGCTTCAGCTATCGTTCTCTGTGTAGAGGACTAGAAGCTCAATCTTCATGCGGGCCGAAGAGCCTGAGCGTTACGGACTCTTGCAACTCCAAGCACGCGGAGATCGCTTTCGGCAATCAGAGCCACCTTGGCCTCGATTCATTGTGTTTCGTTCAGCCAGTTACGAGTCCAAGCCCGGCTAAGATGGAGGTGGCCGCATCTGGGGTACACAGGTGCGGCGACCTCCATCTTAGCCGGGCCTTGGTCGTTAGGGTTTCATGTAAGGCTAAACTCCATCTTCACGATGTCGAGCAGGTAGACATTGTGTATTAAAGGCCGACTTTCTCTTCGTCTTTCAAGATGCCACGAGCCTTTACTCTCTTCTTCGAATACCTAGCACCACCGAGTCTTGTCGATTCTCCCTCAGTGCTTAGGCTGCATTGTCATTCAAAGCTCCTGCACACAGGCCGTAACACCATCTGAAATTACCGGTTTACCGCCGACAGACCAATATGCGATCCTGGTTCGGAAGGGGCAAGTCCCTACAGCTTGCCGTCACTTCCTGCTGCTTGATGGCTTTCGTCCTCTTTGGCTACGACCAAGGCGTCTTTGGGGGCATCCTCCAGAATGAGGACTGGCTCAATCAGTTCGATCATCCCTCGGACACCAAGACCGGCATCATCGTGTCATGCTACAACCTGGGCTGCTTGACTGGATGCATCATCAATTTTTTCGTCGGCGAGCTACTTGGCCGCCGGCGTACCATTTGGTTAGCTATGGCCTTTGTCATTGTCGGAGCGACCTTGCAGACTTCGGCATACAATGTCTCCCACCTAGTCATCGGTAGAGTCATTACTGGATTTGGCACGGGTATCAAGACCTCCACGGTGCCCATGTAAGCGATACCCCTTCCCACCTACTGATGGAAACCCAAGAGCTGACTTGTTTTCAACAAGGTACCAGTCCGAGCTGTGTGAGCGTGAAACGCGTGGACGCCTCGTCTCGGCGGAAACTCTCTTTGTCGGCGTTGGTATCGTCTTTGCCTACTGGTTCGACTTTGGCATGTCTTACGCAGGCGGAGCGGTGGCATGGCGCCTTCCCATCGCGTTCCAGCTTGTCTTCACCTTTTTTGTCATCTTTATCGTCTTCGGCATCCCCGAATCTCCTCGTTGGCTATGCAATCATGGTCGAAAGGAGGAAGCCGTCGAAACCTTATGCGCAGTGTACGACAAGTCTGCTGACGATCCATACATCTTCGCTGAGATGGAAGCAATTGAACGCGCCATTGAGCTGGAAAGCGACAGCGGCCGGTCAATATTGTCCATATTCAAGAAGGACAAAGTCCGCACGCGGTACCGCATTCTGCTGGCATGGGGTATCCAGTTGATGAATCAGGTTGGAGGCATCAATCTGGTCGTGTACTACATTCCATGTGAGCCTGATCCACTCTCCTTTATAGCACGCCTGCTGACTTGCCGTGTACAGCTGTGCTTGTGCAAAACGTCGGCATGACTCCCCGTATCGCTCAGATTCTTGGCGGCTGCATCAACATGATGTTCATGTTCGGCTCCATCCTGCCAGCACTTGCTCTTGACCGAATGGGACGCCGCACGACAATGATCCTCGGATGCGCTGGCCTTGGAATATGTATGCTCCTGATCGCCGCCCTCCTTTCCCAGGCAACCTCGCCATCCATCGGCCAAGCTTGCGCCTCGGCGTCTGTTGCGTTCTTTTTCCTGTACATGCTCTTCTTCGGCATGAGCGTCAACTGTGTCCCATGGGTCTACGTGCCAGAGGTGCTGCCCCTCGAGGCACGCACAAAGGGAACAGCCATTGGTATCAGCTCGAACTGGCTCTGGAACTTCACAATTGTAAGCTTCGTGGATGGAATTGTACGCCAAACCTCCTGGATAACACTGGCAATAGGTTATGATCACGCCCGTCATCATCAATCGGTTGCAATGGAAAGCTTACTTAATCTTCATGGCTACGAACCTGATCTTCGTTCCGGTAGTCTACTTCTACTATCCTGAAACTTCGAATCTCAGTCTCGAAGACATTGACTACATCTTTACCGAAGGAGGAAGTCCAGTCAAGATTGCACGACGCATGCAGAAGGAGCTTGGACCCAGGCGTGCTAACTCTAGAAGGCCGTCCATGGTGGCACCGGTAGAAGCCAGCGGCGAAAAAGATATCAGCCATACCAAAACTATCGAGGCTATGTGAAAAGCGGACTGGAACGGGTCACGAGTATCTACTCCCCATCTGTCAATATCTATCATAGTGGCGGGTAATCGTGGAACTTTTGTATTTGGTTCACGATGGGCTGTTACGTATAGCTTGGTCAGACCAACCCTAGAAGACTGGGTAGAGTGTGACGGCCGTGGTCGCACTTCTACGTTTCTTTGTATTGTATCTCACTTGTTCCCGCTAGTCAATGTCGGTGCTCACAGAGTTGCGAACATGCTGAGTGTAGCAGCATTTTAACATAGCCCACCCGGATATTGCTTGTTCTACTGAACGGCAACAATTGCAAACGGGTCGGCACCAACATCTCGATCACCACTTCGAATGATTGAAGGCGAGCAGCATCGTAACGGCTCTACCAGACACTCAAACAATGAATTTCTATGCACCGCCTCCACCTCTGTGACTAGCAAATACCATTCGGCCCTCCGGTACCACAGGTGCCGAAATAGCAGTAGTCAATGATCCTTATCAGTTTTTATGTTGTCTTGCCTCAATCTAAGAGCAAATGCGATTGCAGCGTAAGCTTCGCCAGGATTATGCAATAGCCACTCGTCAGTCCCGGCAACACCACTGGAGACTTAGGTCCTTGCTGTACTGCGCTGCTCAGATATCCAGCGCCACTGTTCCGCCGCAGCTTACCCTAGTTAGGCTTCCTCCGGAAGACGCTTGAAAAACAGAACCGATCTACTGAAGCCCCCAAATCTTGCGAAGATCTTCTGCTCTCCCTTCGGTTTTCCAACCGGTCTCACGCTGGATTCTAATTAGGTGTTTTAGCAGCACAATCTGCTCCGCTGCGTAGCGCGCTGTGTCGTCCGCATGATCGTCTTCGTCGTCGCCCAAAAGCCTCATATTCAAACCGAAATCGAGGCTAACGGACCTGCCTGTCAGCGTCCTTGTTTGGAGACTTCTCGGCGTCCGGCCTTGTTCTTGATAGTAATTAGGACCACGACTCCGGCGGCCTCCGAACGTCTGACCGGCTATGTATAAAGGTTGTAGATGATTGACCCAATTCGCGCTAGAAATCGAGAGACTGTAAGCGTCCGACTACGTGACACAAGTATCGCGGATGGTTGGGAGAACCTAGGGAATATAATCACTTACTGATCAACATTGGAAACTGAGATGCCACAAAGCTCCATTGCATGCCATATCGGGTCAATCTGAGTGCGGTTAGCCTCGGGCTGAACACTGCATGACTCGTATGAACACCAAACACAGAAGATCCAGCAGTCTACTGCAAGTGGCAGTTACCATTTCATCACTTGAATCACTCCCCGGATCGATACATAACTTCTCGAGTAATAATAGCGAGCCAGCGTGATAGAATGTATTACCGCATACTAAGCGGCCAATTAGCAATCCATGGCAGTTACCCAGCCCACCACTTACCACAAGGTTCGGGTGCGAAGGCGCGTCGTACGAGAGCAATGGCTTACTTGACGATGTATAAGTAAATACAATAGTGGGAAATGGATTTGAGTTTGTCGGTCCAGTTCTGTAGAGAGCACGAACTCGTTTGGGTCGGAACTTCCACCACTCCTGAAATCTAGCCCAAAGCTGTTGGGCCTCGCGCCGTGATTCTGAGGTTGTACTTTCACTGTCGTCTCTTGAGAGGCAGTTAACTACCCTTGCAAATAATAGGATACTCAAGTTGCAGTAATCATCGGGGCAATCGATGGCCGCCGCGCGTTCGAGTGACTCGTCACTGACCCAGCAGTTTGTCGGGATCAGTGTCCGCTTTTCAAGAAGAAATGCCGCCCATAGATCTAGATGCTGATTAGCCTGGGCGCACACGGAGACATCAGCCTCAAGCTGGGAAGTTACCAATCCTGGCAAAAGCCCAGAAGCAAGCCTTCATTAGTCCTTCGCTGCTCCCGTTCCATCCTTTGGATGAGAATAGGCCCGCACAACCCTGTTTTAGAACCGGTTTAGTACCATGAATCTCCCGAGCGAAACGCCTGAAGGAAGCGCTCCGACCATGATTGATGCTCCCATACCTTCAGATGCCGTCTCCAGTCAACCACATCCGATGCCATCATTTCGTAGACACAGAGAAGGGTGCACGATGCAAGTATTGCCGCATCGGCCTGGTCGGGATCTTGTTGTATGAGAAGCTGGATGGTGTATTGGTAAAGCTGTAATGCAATTTCCTCGACTAGAACCCCGGTCATACTAAGTTGGCGGGACGCTAAAGCCAGAGCGGATCCTTTGAAGATATTGCTCTCCAGCATATCATGGGCGCATACAGCGGAGAAGTGTTTGTTAGTGTCAGTGGTCTCGCACCAAGTCGCGGACTCAGTGAGGTAAGAGCGAAGCAGGGCCAGTGCCTGAGCATCGCTGATAGGGAACCGGGGCTCGCGAAATGGTGAACTCTTCCGGGACAACGCCAGGCCCAGGGAGAATGGAGGCGTGTACACATCAGCGGATGGAGCGGTCTCGAGGAGGTCGGTTCTGAATGCTTCATCGAAGGTGGGATCCGGGTCAGCCCTTTCCGGTTGACCTTCGGCACTGGACTGCGCGTTGAGTTGCGCAAAGACTGGAGCGCTTATATTGTTGTTGCTTGCAGCGGGGGCATCCGTGCCTAGGTAGAATGTGCTCACGTTGCCGGATTGTTGAAGAATGTCTTGTGGATGGAGTCCTGTGCTTGATATTGAGTGTAAGGGGTTCAAGAATTCATCTGAGGCGGTATGGGATCCTGAAAGCCCGCTGTCGTCATCTTCCGACATATCCTCGTGCGATCCCCGTGCAACAGGTGGTTCCGCTGAACCTTGGTCGCAGGATCTGATGACATTGTGAGTATCGTCGATGATCTAGAAATGTGTCAAAAAAGGCTGAGCCTGTTCAAGACATTTGCCGTGCCAGCTTACATGATAGGCAGATGTCACGGTCCGTCCTCCGAGGCCGACTGTGCGCTCCTGCTCAATAGCGACGAGGTTTCTCTCCTCGTCAAGGGACAACCCAAAATGCCTTGATGGATGGAATGAAGCCTTAAGACCCCATCGGCACTCTAGCTGTTTTCTGCTGCAATGACCGCATTTTGGTGATTGGCCGTCACCTGCCGGGTCTGGTCAGAGTTGGGAACCTCCGGTCGAGGGCATTCAGCCGACCTCGAGTGTTGTAGCTTACATTTTCTACGACGTGCTCGACAGGTCAAGCTAGCGGGTCAACTGCGTCAGTAGGTGCATCTTAGAACCGCACACGACAGCTGGGAAAGCTAAACACAGTACCATCCAGTTCGCGTGCGTTTATGGCCGGACAGCATGCTGGCACCATTCATGCCGTCATTTCCCCATTAACCAGTCAAGTGGCTCGGACTCAGATCGACGGGCCAGGATAATTCAGTGGAGACATAGGAGCATTGCAATCGACCCGCCTACACCCTAGGAGATCAGACTGGCAGATTTCGTCAACATGAGAGCCTAGCGGCGTCTGCAGAGAGAACAGGATGAGCCTTGAAAGCTGTCAGAGCGCGTGCGGAGAACGAGATAAGAAGGCGGGATGAGGGCAAAGGGTGAGGAAGGTTGAACAGCAGAAAGCGAGAACCCAACACTGGAACAGAAAAGCGGAAGTGCGCAAGAAGCGTTTGTTCGTAAACCGCCATGCAAAGCTTTCTCTCTCACGCAAAAGAGGGAGGCGCTGCAGAGGCCCGAGCGGGATGCTCCCCGCTTTGAGATTTTGGTGTGGGATTCCTGCGCTTGCGCTTGCAAACACCTTTGGCACGGAAGTACGGAGTAACCTAGAACCTCGATCAATTAGCCCATCAGTCGCTCAGATGTCTCTGTTTAGGGGGTTTGACATCGTGTCCACAAAGCACATGAAAGGGTCCAAGCGACGTTGTTTCCTCAACCCTAACTCCTCTTTCACAACGGTATCGCGAGCACCATCTACCAAACCAGTACCCAGTGGGTTTCGGAGAATCCGTATCGAACTGTCCAACAAAAGAGTAAAGACCGGACGATATGGCAAGCCAAGGCTCTAACGTGGCATTGGTTGCCGACAACCAGCCAGCGCTGAATGAGTGTGCCCTCAGCAAGCCGGAACCTGCTCCAAACCAAGTCCTCGTTAAGATTAGTCACGTGGCGCAGAATCCAACAGACGGTCGGGATATGTTGTAGCCGTGATGTCTATACAGTACGCTGACGTCCTCCTAGTTCAGTCTTTTGACTCCAAGACCTTTGGAGAAGGAGCAGTGTACGGCTGTGATTTTGTGGGCAAAGCCGTGCAGCTCGGTTCCGAGGTGACTCGCGTTGAGGAAGGCGATGTGATTGCGGGTCTCGTATGGGGAGGCAAGTGTTAATCAACACTCCTGCGAACTCAGCCTGAGGCAGTTTTGACGTGTCAATAGGAGAGGTTCCTGGAATCGGGGCTTACAGCCACTTCACTCTGGCTGATGAGAAGATTTGTTTCAAGCCACCATCCAACATCACGCCATCTGAGGCTGTGACAGTGCCTCTTGCAGCCACTACTGCTTGGCTGGCGCTGTACTCAAAGCAATGTCTGAACATGAACCGCAACAATCCTCAAAGCGTCCTGATCTGGGGCGGGAGCTGTATGTCCTCTTCCGTTTCCCCTGAGAATGAAGGATGGTTGATATCGATCCAGCAAGCGTAGGACAATACGCCATACAATTGGCGGCATTGTACTCCTTCGACGTGATCACAACATGCAGCTCCAAGAACTTCGAGCTGGTCAAGAAACTTGGTGCAAAGCATGTCTTTGACTACAAGTCAGAAGATGTGATTGACAGAATTAAAGAAGTAGCGCCAGATCTGACGTTCATATTCGACACTATTGGGTCTACAACATCCTCTGGGACCGCGTCGAAGGCTGTCACGGGGCGTGGAAGGCTGTGCACTGTTCGTCCCGGGAAAGCCAACACAGAAAATTTAGCAAACAATGTGAAGGTGACCGATGTGCTTGTATGGACCGCGTTCTTGAAGGACCACTCGTATGGCAAATTCCACTGGCCTGTAAGGCGCCATCATCTTTCACACCTGCCTTTTGATATCGTTGATGCAGAACGCTAATCTCATGGTCAGGCTTCGATGGATGATCACTTGCTGGCAGCCGAGCTTTACGAGAAACTGCCCGAGTGGCTGGAGAGTGGAAAAGTCAAGCCAAACGCAGTTCTAGCTATGAAAGGGCTTGATTCTGTCAGTCGTGGGTTCGAGTTGCATCGTCAGGGCAAAGTGTCGGGACAGAAGATTATTTACGAGATCTAGCGACATCCATAACGGACCAGCTGTGGTTAAAGTGTAAGGCGAAGCTGATGATGAGAGATCACTTTCATTGTGCCTAAATTCTGGGACAACTAAAGCAGAAATTTGAAACCGCGTTGGCTTTCTGCCAACGAGTTTACTTTGATACATGAACACTGTCGGCAATAGGATCAATCGCTGCTTACTGCAAAGGGATCGACGCCTAGAAGCTGTCGCTTGGAATGTGGAAGTCATGCAGCATGCTGACTTGAGGATTCTCGGCGGTGGATTTCAGAGCTGCGCAACAGTTTACCCGAATAACCACGTAAGGAAACACTTTCGTTTCTCTACGAAGGACGGGGTTTGTATTGAGGAAGCGAACGCTTGCCACCCTTCATCTGTTATTCGTAAAGCACCACCAAGTGAGTAATCTGATAGAAATTTAAAGCTTCTCATGACCACAGAGACCTCTAAGGGCTCGATTCTCCTCCCATAATCCCCGAAATACTTTGTGTCAAAACCTCGTGATCGCACGCCGCCAAGCTTCCGCTTCCTCAATACAAACCCCGTCCTTCGTATCGGGAGACAAACCGATCATGCGAAGGAAAGTGCATCCCGCCTCGCTTGCGTTTGCACGAATTCATCAATAGCGTGCCGCTTCCCAAATGCCGGACGCCTGTTGCAGCGTCTCCTATGATTACTACGGCGCTGATTGGCAAGGCCACTCGGGTACACGGCCTCACGCAGCCACGCTTGCTCTCTGTAATCAGAGACATTGTATATATTCGAGCACTCAGCCATGATACATTGACACGCGATGGGTTGTTGTATCAGCCTCTCCACGTCACATTCTCGCCGGTGAACTTGATAGCTTGAGACGTGGTTTCAGCTTTATTCCTACGTCCAGGTCGAGATATATCTCGAGAGCAGCGTACAGTGGAAGGCAAGATGGCCACGACGTCCAAGCAACAATCACGAACATATGAGCCATCCTTGCCCAATCCTGCCCTCTTCACAAACGAGAAGCATGAGATCTACCTTGCCGAATCACCGGAGCTGAAACCGAAGCCTGATGAATGTATCGTCCGCGTTCGTTGCAATGGAATCTGCGGGTATGTATACCGTCTTAGTATCATGAGACAGCGACGTCCGCCGTCCGAGCCAGATTTGCTGACTGCTGAGAAGATCCGACATTCACTTCTGGAAGAGCGGACAGATCGGAACGCTCAAAGTCAGCACTGACTACGTGCTCGGGCACGAGGCTTCAGGCAGCATTGAATGGATCGGCGAAAACGTCACGCATCTCCAAGTCGGTGACCGCGTAGCCATCGAGCCTGGAGTGCCATGCGAGCAATGCTTCCAGTGCTCGGCGGGCCAATACAACCTCTGTCCTGACGTCCAGTTTTCCGGCGCTCCGCCCTACCACGGGTCCATCAGGCGTTATCATGTCCATCCAGCAAAGTATCTCCACAAGTTGCCTGACATGATGAGCTTTGCTGATGGTGCGCTCTTGGAGCCTTTGAGCGTGGTTCTGCATGGATTTGAGCGCAGTCCGGTGCGGCTAGGAGAATCGACCGTGATATGCGGCGCCGGGCCGATTGGACTGATTGCTCTGGCTGCTGCTCGAGCTTCGGGGGCTTACCCACTCATTATCACGGATGTGGACGAGAACCGGCTCCAGTTCGCGGAGAAGTTCGTGCCAGGGTGTAAGGCTGTTCAAGTGGTTCCGGATAAGACTCCAGCAGAACTAGGTGCTGTCATCAACGACTGCATCAGAGAGGCAGGCGGTGAACAGCCTAGAGTGGTGTACGAATGCACCGGCGTGCAAAACAGTGTCGTAACAGCAATTCACATCCCACGAGCAGGTGGTGAGGTTATGGTTGTAGGAGTCGGCAGACCTACTATAGATGGATTGCCATTTATGCATGCCTCTTTGTCGGAGGTAGAATATTCCATTCCCGGTAGTACTAAGTGCATGAACACTGATCGCGAGGAACAGATCGACCTCAAATTCATCAACCGCTACCATCACTCTTGGCCAACGGCCATCAGACTGCTGTTTTCAGGCTATCTTGACCTCAAACCACTTGTCACGCACAGATTTGCGCTGGAAGACGCGGTTGAAGCACCCACGTCTTCTGCGGATCGAACAACAGGCTCCATAAAGGTTCACATAGAAGACAACAAGGAGTAAGTCCAGAGCAAGCTTGAAAGATACTACGTATTTGCAAACCCTTAGATTTACTGGAGGTTGCGCTACTTTGAAGGCGAAACTCTAAAGTGGTGCAGTGGAGAGACAGCGGCGACTTGGCCCTTCGGTATCAATCACATAGAAAAGCGATGGTACAAACCATTTTCGAACAACGATCATGAATGAAGTATCCACATCCCAGTTTGAGTGCCAAAAACAGGTGGTCAATTGCAGCAGAGCGGACAACCGCGTGAGTGTTATGGTAGGTTGCGCTCCAAAATAGCCATCCTGTCGTCGGGTGTCTACCCACACTGCGAGGGTGTCATGCGTATCATCAGCGGTCTCTGGTGAGTATCCATATAAGCGGCCTTGTGAAAGTTGTGGCATGGAGTTGAAGTCGCTTCAGATATTGAGCAAGTCCCGTGGTGGCCAGATCGGCTGACTCGGAAACTCTGAGATGCGGTTCAAGTGATCGCCGCATGACAGGAGCCGTCAAGATCATTCTCACTAATGGAAATTCGAGCCACCCGGCAATGCAAGCCAAGACGGTGACATCCAGGGATGTGGTACTCTTAACCGCACGTCCCGGCTCGACCAGGTAGCGTCAAGCGCAAGCGTAACCCTCAGCCCTACATCCTTACAGGTGCGGCCAACGTCCCATCTTAAACCTGGCCAACATATCACTCAATTATGCGGTTAGATTTGTGTCAATGATTCAATCTCCGACACCGGCTAGATGCATTGGATGCCGAATAATTGCAGCTCGCCGAAGAGGAACCATGTCCAACGTTACCAGCAAGTATACCCCCCAAGCCTTAGATACTAGATGATCAAGCATGGCGGTCGTCCATTATCGTTTTAAGAGACGATGGTCACCGCCTCGGACGCGTGATGCCGACTCTCAAAAGACCAGTGTATATATCTCCCGTACCTTCAATATCCCATAAAGAGATTGTCTTCTCTCCTTGCCGCCATCATGGCTTCCAAGTGCATATTTCCTACTATCAGTGAAGACATACCGCTCAACACGCCCGTGCGGTACTACCCAAGGGTGGACGACGAGTTCCTTAAAGTAACAAAGACGAAGCTATCGCTTACGAGATATCCCGAAGAGCAAGATGGCGTAGCAGAAGACGACTGGTCGCAAGGCGCAAAAGTGAAGGAGGTGCGGCGGCTGGCACGCTTCTGGCAAGATAAGCATGACTGGAAAGCACAAGAGGTGTGTATGCTTTCTTCGAGGTCTTTAACGATGCGAACGGGGCAACAGGACAGCCCACTAACAGGTTTCAACAACCAGGACAGGATCCAACAAATGTCTGAGCACTTCCTCGTCAGACTCGATGTCCCCGGCTACGGCATTCTGGACCTCCACTTCCTGCATCAGAGAAGCAAGAGCTCGAACGCAATCCCACTCCTCTTCTGCCACGGCTGGCCCGGCTCCTTCCTCGAAGCTCGCCACGTCCTTACGCCCCTCACAACGCCCTCCCCCCAGCATCAAGACCTCGCCTTCCACGTTATCGTGCCCTCCATCCCCGGCTTCGGCTTCTCTCCCGCCCCCCGCCGGCCCGGTCTCGGTCCCACCATCCTCGCCCGCGCCTACAAGCAGCTGATGACCTCCGTGCTGGGCTACACCTCCGGCTTCGCGACCCAAGGCGGCGACTTTGGCGCTTTTGTTAGCCGGAGCATCGCACTGCAGTATCCTGATCTCGTGCTCGCACAGCACCTGAACATGTTTCCCGTGCCAGCGCCCACGCTTCTGCGGGCCCCGAAAGCCTACCTCCGGTGGTGCCTCTCCTGTTTCCTCTACTCCGACTTCGAAAAAAGTTCCTTGGAAGTACGGACGAACTTCGAGCACGACCAAAGCGGCTACCTCGACGCCCAAAAGACGCGGCCGCAGACACTCGGCTTCGCGCTGGGCGACTCCCCGGTAGGGCTGCTGGCGTGGTTCGTGGAGAAGTTCCATGACTGGGTTGACGTTAAGGGGAACCGCGCACTAGAGGACGCGGAGATCATCGACCTTGTCATGATGCACTGGATCCAGGGCGCGACGCCCGGGCTAAGGTTTTATCGGGAGGCGTTCTGGGGCGGGAGACGAGATGCGGAGGAGACGTTTGAGAGGTGGGTGGGGGTGCCGACGGGGGTGAGTATGTACGCGAGGGAGCAGTTGCATGTGAGTTGAGCCACTCTTCTGTGTCAGGAGGATGGATTGAGATTGCGGAGGGGCTGGTGCTGACTTAGTGACTGCGTAGTGTCCCCGAGATTGGGCTGCCCAGGTGGCCAACATTGTGTTCTGGCGTGAACATGGCGCTGGAGGTCATTTTTCGAGTCTCGAGCGCCCGGAGCAGTTTGTTGAGGACATGCGCGCGTTTTTCGAGTGTCCGGCTGTCCAGAAATCAGTAGATAGCCATTTGGGTTGTGCGACAGCTAAGATGTAGAGAGCTATGACCTTCCTCCGAGCCTGTCGGGTGTGCGTTGCATTCTTGCTATGAGCTCTACTCGTGTATTGTATGAGGGAGACCAACCATGCTGTAGTTGCTTGTTGCGGAAGCAGCTGAGAGCGGCATACAGTACCTGGCCAAAAGTCTTTCCGGATCGCCGTTTTCTCACCAAAACTCGATGTTTTCCAAGTAATAAATTCCGAGCTAGATAGTATAGCTCAGTTCTAAAAACTATAGTATAATCTATTAGAAACCTAAGCTACCTTAGAACTAAGATACTACTAAGTTACAATAAGTATCTAGTAGAGAAATTTAAATTCTAAGTATTTTCTACTAGCTAAAAACTTTAGTTCTATTTATTAAATAATTAGCTATTATAGTTAAGTGATATTGTATATAGTATATAGCTTTCAAGCTAATAAGCTTATATATATATAACACTTAAATATAATACTATAGTATAATATATAAATATTATAATATATTTTTACTAGTGTTTTTACTTAGATTTAAATATATCTAGTATAAGTATATTAATAGTAGAGCTTAGTATAAGTCTACTAATAGTTAGCTAAGGCTATACTCTTACTAACTATAGCAGCTTATTGCTTAGTAATAGCATTAGGGCGGGGTTTTCAGATCTTAAAAACGAGTTTTGGTGAGAAATCGGCGATCCGGAAAGACTTTTGGCCAGGTACTATACACTGGAAATGTCTCTTGCGGAAGCTAAATCTCTTCTGTCTGTCGGAGTCGCTGCACCTATCCGCATGCCTTAGGTTTTGTGTAACTGGTCCTGGGTAATTTTCAGCCGTTTGCAAGCCATGGGTCAAAAGACCAAAGCCTTGCTCATGATCTGGGGAAGAAGAAGAAGTATTATGGCAATTGATATCATATCATTCCTATGAGCTGCTCAGTCGTAGTTACTATCTCCTAGCTCTTTCAGTTGCTCGCCATGTAGTCGGCCAAGCAGAAGTACGGAGCTATGAGCCATACCGAGGCCGTGATCCATTCGAAAGACAGCGCTTGAACGGAGCAATTCCTCAGCTCTGATACCTGGATCGCGGGTCGTCATGCCCTCTTCCAGCAAGAACAGCAAAACAAATGTTGGGATGAACAAGCAATGCAGCAAAATCGTTCCACTTCCCGCAGTCACGACCCGATCCTCTCAACGCGGCCCATAGGCGAGACACCGGTACCATGGCTACCGATCTGCTCCATTGGCGGGCCCGACCCCGAACTTATCGAGGTCACCTGTTGGACGATACTCTCCGCCGTCTCCGCCGCAACATTGGGCCGTTGGACCTCATCCGCCGAGACCGGATCATCTGGCGGGTTGAACATGCTAGCCTCATGATCGTCGAGGTCCTGGCCCGGATTCGCCGTCTCGTACTCGGAGTACTTCATCAGCTTGTAGAAGCCGAAGGCGAGGAAGGTGCCCAGCACCGGCCCGAGCCAGTAGATCCAGTGGTGGCCAACGAATCCTTTGATGACGGCTGGCCCAAATGAGCGCGCGGGATTAAGCGAGCCGCCGGTGAAGTAGACGCCTGCCAGCTCGGCCGCGAAGAGAGCCAGCCCGACGCCGATGGGTGCGAGGAAGGTCGCCTTGTGCTTTTCTGCGGCGAGCATGAAGATGACGAAGACCAGCTCAGCTGTTAAGAACATCTCGATGAAGAGGCCTTGAGCGATGGAGGTGCCATTGCTAAGGCTGGTGGACGCGTTGAGGCCGGTGGGGAATAGGCCTTCTACGACGCCTGCAGCGGCGATGGCGGCGATGATCTGGGCGGATGCGGTGACGATGGTGCGGACGGGCTTGACGGCGCCAACAAGGAAGAGGCCGAGGGAAACCTAAGACTCAACTATTAGGTGTGACTCTGGACAGATCTTGATACAGAAGGCGTACAGCGGGGTTGAACAGGCCTCCGCTGATTCTGAAGAACGCCCACACGTTGATCATGAGAGAGAACGCAAATGACAGCGAGATGTAGAGCAAGTTCGCGGTGTTCGGTCCATCCGTTGTGGGTACAGCTGCGTTGGCGATGGATGTTCCAGAGAAGGCAAGGAAGAGGAACATGAACGTCCCGCCGAACTCTCCTGCAAAGGCGATGAACTCATTGCGGACCCAGTTCGGGACGAAGCTGAAGCTGCGGCTTCTTCGCGGTCTCTGATCCGCTGTCCCGTCAAGCTGTCCTGATTGCTTTTTGAAGAATGGAAGGATAGAGTCGCCGGACCGCTGCCTGGCCATCTTAAACTGTGAAGGAATATGCAGACTGTGAGAGTATCCGAGATGCAGCAGACTGTGGGTTGATGAAGTCGTCGAGAACGGAAGGAAAAGACGATAAGAGAGGTCGAGATCTCGAAGCGACCTATGTGTGGTGAGCTAATTAAAACGCGAGGTATTATCAGCCGTTAAGGAAGGCTCGACAGCCTTTCCGCAGTCAATGACCGCGAAGAAGGAAGGAGCTTGACCTACGTTTCTCCGCAGCTCCAAGCGACACCGCCCAGGTCGACGCGTGTGGCTGTCTACAGAGCAGAGATGCTGCCGCCCAGGCGAGTTGCCCTCGATAAAAGCTCCAGACGCAGGCCGCCTGAACCGAATCTCGAAGCTGGACGACTTCGTGATTGGCGAAGATAGGGTGCAAAGGCTGTCTCCCCGCGTTGATCAGTCGCCTCCTCGCAGTCCAGGTGATTGAATTCCTTCTGCAGGCCATCCGCCGAGACGAGTGAGGTCAGAGAATCCGTATCCCTGACGACACCGAAATCGAGGCCGCAACGCCTCCAGCTGCCGTGCGAAGCGGCAGCGTCGTGACTGGTTGCACCCGTCCCAATGTTAAGTTAAGGCCGCGGGGAGACGCTGACGGCTACAGCAAACGGTCCCCGTCATCCCTAGCTGCGGGCAATGTTGCTTGGGGCGAACGCTCATTGCGGCTCTTGCGGCTCGTTTCAGAGCCTCAAGCAACGCGTGTTAAGCTTCAAATTGGCTGCATTGATGGGAACTCAGACAGCAGAGACCTGCAGCGCCAGGGGAGCTTCCCCTTTGAAGCTATTGCAGTTGTCCGGGTCTGTGAGTTACTCTGGGGCAGAGTAGGGCACATTATGTACAGTACCTACCGATCAGCACGAACCCATGGACTGCGGAGGCTCGAATTGCCTCAGACAATGTGGCGGTGGAGGAGGTGCAGGTGGGGTTGGTGGGGGGGCGAGGAGCTTGCAATGCAGGGTCGTGCAGGATGGCGTAAGGTGCTTGGCCCGGCCATCAACCGTTTGGCGCCCAGATGAGATATTCGTACTTCCGTGTACTCCAGTGTGCGGTACCTTAGCTTGGGCTTAGGTATCCGGAGTAATGGGGGCATATAACACGGATGCGCGCTCCTCGAGCATCCGCCTTTTCCGTACGCGTCACCCTCGCAGCTGGGCATACCACTGAGTTAGGAGGACATCCTCGAGGCGGCGAACCTACCTCAAATACCTACTCCGGTCCTTTTGGCCATTGAGCAGCGGATTTCGCAACGCACCAGTCCTGTCGTGCTTGAAAGTGCCGCAAACTTCTCAAAGGGGCGGCAAGCTTCTCAAACGGGCCCTCCTCTCGGCCGACATCCGCGACTGTACCTGGGCCATATACGGGAGCTGGTTACAGGCGTCAGAGCAGCTTCCAAAAGATCCTAACGGTGCTTCGATAAGCCGCTTCAGAAGTGTGAGGTTTCATTGCATATGTGGGCTCTGTCCATGGCAAGATATGTGTTTTCGGATGATACAGCTTTCTATATCGGATACAGTTGGTGTCCTAGAGGGGCAAAGCGTCCAAGCAGTCTCCATCCATCTTGCGAGACAGAGCTTGAACACCACACAGGTTAACCCAGACCCAGGGTATCTTTCCTTGCCTCCCTCTTGCGCCCCAGTACCAGCCCTACCAGACGCCATTCGTACTCACCCAGAAGACCCAACCCATAGCCCCCAGAACGTTCGTGTAAACGCTCCATCTCCTTCTGCGCCGCCTACCCCTTGACACCCAGCATTTCCCTCAACATCTTCTCCGACGTCCTCAACCACCGTGCCTTCTCATCAAGCTCATCCTCCAAGCCCCCCACACCCTGCTCCCTCCGCCTCCTCGCTTCCTTCGCCGCAGCCACCGTGCCCTGTTTCTGCATCTCCAACGGCCTGAGCTCCCTCTCTAGCTTGTCTAATTCTTGCGTCTTGCGCGGAAGCGCTGCCTGCAGACTCGCGAGCCGGGTATCTAGGGTCGCAATTTCCGCTTCCCGGGACGAGAGGAGCTCGAGCGTTGCTGGCAGCGGTAGTGAGAGGGAGGAGTTGGTTGGGTGCGGCGCTTGTGATTCGTGTAGGGAGGCGATTGTGGATTCCAGGTTCGCGATCTCGGTCGGTAGAGTCGAGAGCTGTGCCGTCTGCAGCTGCACTGCCTCATGGCCTGTCTCGTCCGCATGTCAGCCATATGATCAGCAGCGGTGCTACACCACGGGTTCGCAATGGCGGCGCGCACGCTGGCTCAACTCCCTGCCTCGCCGCTCCAGCTCCGCGATCATGTCCGCCACCTCTGCTTTCTGCGCCTTGAGGAGCGCCTTCTGCTCCGCAAGCAATGCCTCGAGCTCGGCATTCTCGTGCGGTTCCACGAAGGGCGGGTCATCGGAGACGATTGCGCGGAGGAACTTCTCTTTGGTAACTTGTTCGACGTAGGAGAAGCGGAGTTTGGAGAAGAGTTCCTTTGTAGCTTCCGATTAGCTTGTACTCATATACAGGTAGGTGTTGTGGCGGCGAGAATCACCTTGTAATGCGTTAGGTCTGCTTCGAGGCTCGCTGGTGTCGCGTTGTCCAACGCGCTCGCCGAGACGTCGGAGACGCCTGAGTTGCGCTTTTGGGCACTTTGCGGGGTCTCTGGGTAGAATGCGTCGCTGAGCTTGATGATTGAGAGGGGCCTTGGTGGCTGTAGTTCTGCCAGCGCGGCATCGATATTCGTGGGGTCATCCATTGCAGAATATTGTTTGTTTACTCGGCGTTAAAGTAGAACTGTCGATCAAAGAAGAGGTTGCGGAACCGTGGGATGTGCAATCACGTGATCCAGTCGCGACAACTTTCACTCTTCTTGCCGGAAAGTTATTCAATCCACCAAAATCAAGGTAAAACGTCGTATGCTGCAAACCATGCCCATATCGTAAACAACAGGGTTCGTCATCCATCTTCTGTGTCGCTGCATGGCATAGGAATTGCGTCGTGGATGTCAAAATCGGTAAACGGTAAAGGATATGGACCACGTGGGTTGCTCCAGCAGGATTGATGAGCGCCGCCAAGCGAGAAGTGGGTGAAGGGAACAGTCCACAGCAGCATGGCGTACGGAAGGCGTTCTAATGGAACAATCAAGTAGCGACACCTCTTGTGACGGGCAGATCAGCTACCAGAGAGTTTCAGTATGTCACGAGCGTTGAAAAGAGAACAGAGATTTGATAGAGAACACGTAGCAGCGGTGTGAGTTTCGGAGCGCGCTGCACTGCTACAGCTATCGCTTGCCTCGAAGCCAAAGGAAATGTGTATGGGGTAAAGATTTGAGCCCGTGGATATCAGACAAACCAAGTTTCCTGTATCGGTATGCTTTCGTGATGCAGATATCGCCGAAGACATCAAACGCAATCGGACCTTAAGCCGCGCCCCATGATATTTGGGAAAACAAACTCCGATCCCTCCCCGAACCGCATTCCCCCATCACCTATGACGAGGTGCTCGGACCCCTCGAACCCTTGGGCGCACCAGTTTGGAAGCCGTTCGATGCACGTCGGGCAACAGTCTTCAAGTACCGCATCCTGCCAGTGCCGGTGGTCTTTCTCCTCATCGCCTTCTCGCCCCAGTTGTCTGTATGCCGATGTTAACCTCGTTCTGTCCCAAACCGACCACCCTCTAATCCAGTCTCCCTGTCCTTCGGATAAACGTACACTTTCGGGTCTTAGCAGCGGGATATCCGCACGATGAGCATGTGTGCTTCTGGATGTGGAGGGAGCGGCGACCTGTGGGGCCAATGTTCGTCAACCTCGAATTCCTCCACTGCTTCCAAGCCCTCCCATTTTGCTCAAAGTCCTGGTATCGTGGGAAACTAACCGCAACGTCTGCAGAGGGTATGGGTCTTGTTGTGGCGCTTGCCGAAGCTGGATGTTCCCTTCGCTGTAGGCGTGGTCAGTCGCGTTCTTCGGCGGGCTGTTGCGCTGCGGTCGCTGCGGACGTACTCATTTTGCTTCAGGGACTGCCACAAATGTCAGTTAGCGGAGGTTCTTGATTTCCGATGTTTTGTGGTCTTACCACGCGGTCTTGAGTCGGGTCAGTGGAGGGTCAGTGTGGTCGTCGTCGTCGTCGCTCAATGTCGTAGGTCACAATTCAGATTGTGCCTGTCGGGTAAATGTGAGGCCGACGGTGCGAAGTCTGCCAAGATACCCGCGGCAAGATCCGCAATCGTCGTTATCTAATCGCATCTCCGTCAAACTCCACAGAATGTTCGACATCCAACAACCGGCAGCAGTGATGGAGACGTAGTTTTACCAGATGCAGATACATACAATCCACGAGCACATTGTTCCCCAGCACATTCATCGAGATGCCGGCTGAAGAGCTGTCCGACGACTATGTTGCAGAACTTCTCAAAAAGGATGCCAAAAGCAGTTCCTCCAGATACGCAGTCATGGGGTTGGGCGCGTTGTTGCCCAGAAGGTACTGCTCACCTTATACACATAGAATATGTATTACTAACGATTGATAGAACGGGACAAGCCCCAAAACCCAACACCAGGTTCTTGCGCAACATCCTCCGCGAGACGGACAGCCACAATGCGGCGTTATTAGCGAAGGAGGCAGAAGACTCAAGAGCGAGGCTGAAGGCGCTGCGTAAAGAAGGAGCAGGAAAGCCACAACAAGGCCTTCGTGATTGCCGAATTGGTGAGGGCAACGATCGTGGAGACCGTCGGGCAACAAAGCGCCGCCGTATAGACGACAGCGCCAGCGAAGCCGAGGACAGGGATCGTCAGCGAAGGCACCGCGGCAGCGGCTCGAAACGGCATCGGTCTGGTTGGGACGAATCTACAGGCCGCGAGCGTCTCAGCCACCGGAGATCAGGGGGCGAGGACGGTGAGCGCGCGGAGCATGGGTCACGGCGAAGGCATAGAAGCCGTAGGAAGCACAGTAGCGATGATGAGAGTGGTCGGGCGCGCAGTCCTCGGCGCCAGCATAGGAGTCGAAGAGAGGAGCACACCAGCAGCTCAGACGAAGCGTACGCCGAACGGAAAGAGAAATCACACCATAAACACAGACGCCGCAGATCACGAACTCGAAGCTCATCACGATCCAGGTCACCAGATCGACGTAGAAATCAGCGGTCCTACCACAAGGACAGAGAGAGATCGCCATCACCCAGATCTCGATCGACCAAGAGATCCAAAGAGCCGCGCCAAAGGGGGGACCGAGAACATGACCTCCATACTCGGAACAGCGTTACAAACGGCAAGCAAGGAGCATCAACACCAAGGTCTCCATCGCCAGGAGCAGCCTACGATTCAGACCCACTGGAAGCTCTCGTAGGCCCGCTACCGCCACCCCCAGCCCCTCCTGTCCGCAGCCGTGGCCGAGGAACCTTCAACGCCTCGTCCGCAATGGACGCCCGCTTCGCTTCTACCTACGATCCCACAGTCGACGTCCAACCCGATCCTGAGCTTGACGACGACTGGGATCAAGCGCTTGAAGCCTTGCGGGACCGCCAGAAATGGAAACAGCAAGGAGCGGATCGGTTGCTCGCTGCTGGTTTCACCATGGACGAGGTCAGGAAGTGGGAAAAGGGCGGCGAGAAAACCGAGGAGGATGTCAGGTGGGCGAAGAAAGGCGAGGGAAGAGAGTGGGATCGCGGGAAGGTGGTTGAGGAGGGAGGTGAGGTGGAACTGATGGCAGAGTGGGGGCGGTTGAAAGGGACGTAGAACAGACCACAGACTACAGGAGCTGCTCTGTATACTGCCTGTTTGAACATGCATATGCCTAGCCGAGACCTGTGCTTTGTAGTGATAGAGTGTATAACTGGAAGCCCTTACACCACTCTCCACGCCGCATACTGAGCCTTTGTGCGGCCTTACTGTCGTGAAACGAGAAAGTTTATCTTGCATTCATGCACTACAAAGCATAGGTTTCCTGACAATTGAGAGCGCCAATACGGGTGCGAGTGCTAATGGCTAATCCGCTGTCGAGGGGGGCGGAACATACGAGCCCGCTGACGACGCGCCAAGAAACCTCCGAAGCTCCAACCATACGAGCTTGCGCAAAGCTTCCCCCAGTCGCAACTGCCCTTTCGAAATTCACACACAAGCGCTCTGGATGTTCGTCTTGCCCTCTCCATCGCCCTCACAACCACCTCTTCCTCCAACGTCCCTTCCTTAGCAGCACTCATAGTCCACAGCTCCTTCCACACTGGCTGCCGGAGGAAGCGTGATAGCCGCCATGTACGGCTCAACTCGCAACGTAGATATGGGAAAGTAAGTCGCGCCACCAGCAATGCTACCTAAAGCTGCGCGTATCATGGCACTGTGGTGTCTCATAGACGGAGCTGACGCTCGATATATAGGCAGGAGTCTGAGCTTGCGACAAATATTCGTAAAGCTACAAGCATCGGTACGCCCATCGCTCGCCCGCTACGCAATCCAAGCCTTCTCCGTAGCTGGCTGACCATCATTTTGTGCAGAGGAATCGGCGCCCAAACGTAAGCTCTAGCAGCAACATCGCAGTAAACAAAGCTCATGCGCTCAGGCAAACATGTCCGGAGCTGTATCGTGTATACTTGGGACCACAAATCCTCCCAGTCCTTCTGGGCTGGTATGAAAGTGTAAGTGGCCCATGGATACCAGATCTCGATCCTCGACTGACGCCAGAGCTCGCTCACAGACAGCCGGTCCTCGCCGACGAAGTCCAGACCTTCAAAGCCCTCATCACGGTCCATAAGGTGTTACAAGAAGGCCATCCCATCGTTTTGAAGGAGGCCCAAGCGAACGTCAACTGGATACAAAGCTTGTCCAAGGGTGTGACCGGCTCAGAGGGTCTTAGAGGTGTGTTCGCGACGACGCGCCGTGTGACACATAGTCAGGGGCGGTGGCGCTGACGGCTGGCAGGCTATGCGCCGCTGATTGAAGAGTACATATACTTCCTACTGGCAAAGCTGGCATTCCATCGACAGCATCCGGAGTTCAATGGTGGGTTTCGCCTCAGTTGTCGCTGGACCAGTGCTGACTGGGACAAGGTACATTTGAATATGAGGAGTACATAAGCCTCAAATCCATCAATGACCCAAACGAGGGGTATGTCCGCACGCTCTTGCTTTGTTGCGACTCCCTAACGGTGCGCTAGGTACGAGACCATATCCGACCTTATGACCCTACAGGACCAGATCGATTCTTTTCAAAAGCTCATCTTTTCGCACTTCCGGAGCGGAGCGAACAATGAGTGCCGCATATCCGCTCTCGTGCCACTGGTCCAGGAGAGCTATGGCATTTACAAGTTCATTACCAGCATGCTTAGAGCAATGCACACAACACTGGGCGACGACGAAGCTCTAGCACCACTCAGGGGTCGCTATGACGCCCAGCATTACCGCCTTGTCAAGTTTTACTACGAATGCTCTAATCTCAGATACCTCACGAGTCTCATCACAGTGCCGAAGCTCCCCCAAGATCCACCGAACCTCCTCTCCGAAGACGAGCAAGCGCCCGCCCTACCAGCGCGACCCGCGAAAGAAGTCGAGGCGCCACCATCTGCACCTACCTCGACACCTCCGCGGACGGCGTCTGTTGACCCTGAGCCTATCAACGAGTTCTGGAAGACTCAGCAGAAACGACAGCAGGACGAGTACGCCGAGGAACAGCGAAGGCTGCAGGAGCAATGGGAGGCTGCTCAGCGTGCGCAACAAGAGCAGCAGATGCGCGCACAGCAAGAATTTGAACAGCAACAGCGGCTGCAGGCTGAACAACAGCGGCTAGCTCAGGAACAGCTCATGCGCGAGCAGTATCAGCAACATACGCAAGGGCGCATGGCGGAGCTGGAGCGGGAGAATCTCAATGCGAGAGCCCAGTACGAGCGCGATCAGCTCATGCTTTCGCAGTACGATCAACGGATGAAGAGCCTTGAAACGGAGCTGCAGCAGCTGAACGCCAATTTCTCACAGCAGTCCTCCTCTAAAGATGATCAGATACGGGCATTGCAAGAGCAGCTGAATACATGGCGGAGTAAATATGAGGCACTCGCGAAGCTCTACTCACAACTACGGCACGAGCATCTTGAGCTGTTGCAGAAGTTCAAGAACGTGCAGCTCAAGGCAGCTTCTGCGCAAGAGGCTATCGACAAGCGCGAGAAACTGGAGCGGGAGCTGAAAACAAAGAACCTGGAACTGGCTGACATGATTCGCGAGCGAGATCGAGCGCTTCACGACAGGGACCGGCTGACTGGCAACAACAGGGAAGAGGTCGAGAAGTTGAAGCGTGAGCTGCGACTCGCGCTCGACAGGGCCGAGAATGCGGATCGGTCGAAGGGTTCCGAGCTTTCTGCGCTGCTGTCAAGGCACAACAGGGAGATCGCGGATCTTGAAGAAGCGCTGCGGAATAAGACCCGTGCCCTTGATGAGATTCAGATGAAGTATCGTGAGGGCGACTCAGACCTTGAACGCCAATTGCGCGAGAAGGAAGATGAGCTGGAGATCTTCAAGGCTGGCATGGATCAGACATTGCTGGAGCTGAATGAGCTGAAGCTGTCCAATCAAGACAATGACCATGCTCTTAACGGCGCATTCGACGAAGTTATCCTGGACCAGCTGCGAAAGATCAATGACATTATCGATTCGGTGCTACAAAGCGGTGTTCAGCGCGTGGACGACGCGCTATACGAGCTGGACTCTTCCATGATAGCAGGAAATCAAAGTGCGTCCGGTGCATATGTGCTTTCGCAGATCGAGAAGGCCTCGCAAGCTGCTATGGAGTTCTCCACAGCCTTCAATAACTTCATCGCCGATGGACCGAACAGCACACATGCAGAGATCATCCGGACGACCAACCAATTCGCGGGCTCAGTCGCCGATGTACTCAGCAATACCAAGGGCCTGACAAGGTTCGCCTCGGACGACAAGAAGGGCGATCAACTGATTGGTGCTGCGAGAAAGGCAGCACAGTCGACAGTCGACTTCTTCCGGTCCCTCCAATCGTTCCGCCTGGACGGCCTAGAAGCGATGCAAAAGACCGACGTAGTGATAAACAACAACAACGAAGTGCAAGTAAACCTCCAAAAGCTCTCCAAACTTGCCGACGCCTTCGCGCCGCGGACCAAGATCACAAACGCTTCCGGCGACTTGGGCGACCTCGTCGACCGCGAGCTGACGAACGCCGCAAACGCCATCGACGCCGCGACAGAGCGCCTGACGAAGCTGATGAACAAGCCGCGAGACCAGTACTCAACCTACGAGCTCAAGATCCACGACTCGATCCTCGAGGCCGCGATCGCCGTCACGAACGCCATCGCGCAGCTCATCAAGGCCGCCACCGCCTCGCAGCAAGAGATAGTCCGCGAGGGCCGCGGCACCACCTCGCGCACCGCCTTCTACAAGAAGCACAACCGATGGACCGAGGGTCTCGTCAGCGCGGCCAAAGCCGTCGCCCGCTCCACAAACACGCTCATCGAGACGGCGGACGGGGTTATCAGCGGGCGGAACTCGCCTGAGCAGCTGATTGTAGCGAGCAACGATGTTGCGGCATCCACGGCGCAGTTGGTAGCGGCCAGCAGGGTCAAGGCGAGCTACATGAGCAAGACGCAGGAGAGGCTGGAGGGGGCGAGTAAGGCTGTCACGAACGCGTGTAGGAGTTTGGTCAGGCAGGTCCAGGATATTATCGCGCAGAGGAATCGGGACGAGAATGAGGCGGTGGACTACAGCAAGTTGAGTGGGCATGAGTTTAAGGTTAGGGAGATGGAGCAGCAGGTATGTGTGCCGCGAGTCGTATTCCGGTGGTGGGGAGGTGAACTGACAGCGCGTTAGGTCGAGATTCTGCAGCTAGAAAACAACCTTGCGCAAGCAAGACAGCGGCTGGGGGAAATGCGGAAGATTTCTTACCAGGAGGAGTGAGTGAGCCTGCAGGGGTGTTGTGCAGCTGCATCAGAGGAGTCTTCCGTTGTAGGTCATTCTTTTGCACCATTACTTGTTCATAAGCGTGCGCGGAGGGCCTGGGGCTTGGTATACCATCTCTTTACCTTGGGCAAGGAGCTCTCTATGTTTGCTCTAAACGGACACGTCCCAAAAGGGTAAAGATGGCACTTCCGGTAGAACGACGCAGTCTGGGCGCAGTCTGGGCTTTCATGTGGGCGCCGCGAAAGAGCGTGAGCCGTTCAGCGCAAAAAGCAGTTCAATCGTAAATGCACCAAGTTACTCCGTGGGGCCGGCAGTGCGTTCTCAAGTTTCAGTGGCTTCATCAAAGGTCCCTCATGAAGCTCGTGCGTCCTTTGCTCCGCAACGTCTCCACAGCGAAACTTGCCATTGTTGATTAGTGTCAGCAGCTTTTGGTAGTCAAGTCGGCACTACAATTCTTTGCGTGTGACTTTGTTTACTCTAGGGTGATCTAGTCCCGGCTTGCGACACGTCTCAATTTCAGAGACAAGTGTTCAGACGGCAGTAATCCACTGCTGGGACCTTAGGATTGGATCGCGCAGTATATCGATTAGCTATGTCAGGTGTTGGAAAGGCGGTGTCGGTTCTTATTCTGGACGATTTGCTGGTCACATAGTGAGAGCCGCCAGAGTGCATGGTTTATCTATCGCATGCCATGTCTTGCCTCCTGTAATGTAGTATCAAACACTGTCCAAGCTCGTTTTGTGCCAGGAGGCGACTTCACGCCTGGTGTATCAAAGAGATAGGGTTATCCGAGTACGCCACAGCTTTTGAGAGAGAGAGAGTCTCATCAGTTTGCTTACCCTACAAGATAAGCATGTCTTTGAGGTTCTTTGACTGGCATATGGTTCCAAGTGAAACCGAGGACCACCCCTCTAGAAAATGGTCGGCAGTCTAGGATACCTACTCAAATCGCATGATTATGAGATTGGTCACATTTTGGCTGGCCTTCACCAAGCCAATACTTGACTGAATTCATAAATTTTGTGTCGATATCTCAAAGCTCTCCCCTCATTCCTCTCATTTATGTGATAAGTTATTCTGGTGTTCGTATTTGATATCAGCGTGGGTATGCTCGTCCATTGATGCGGCGTGCGTCACCGTCGTCAAAACTCATCTGCCTCAAACGGCAATCCAGCGCAGGCCGAACGCCTAATCTGTGCGCCTAACCCACAACAGTAAACCCGGTGTATCAGAAGCCTCATCTGGCGACGCCCGGCGCGGCAACGACAGCGCTGTTTCGATATCGCACGCCACTGACAGCAGCGCGCAGCCTGTTCTGGAGCCGAAAGAGGGAACAGACGGCACCTGCAGTGATTTCCATCGAGCGCCAACCGCGCAGCGCGAATCATCTGCAGATCGTGACAGCGGTGACGGGGCTAGTCGTGCGTCAAACAGCCCATCGCCGGCGAACCCGGTCCCTGCTGGCCTTCTTGGCTGCGGTTGTGGGAGGTCACGGTGGGCTGGGTGGCCTGTTTCCGCCCCGGGCCTGGGAGGGTCTGCAATCATTGCTGTCATCGTTTGTGTGTGGTCGCCCGCTTCGCTGATCCAAAGGACATCATTCAGCAACGGCGGACCGCCATTACAACTCCACACTTTCTGCTGCAACAACGCGTAGGGCGATGCTGTGGTAGTCCTCCGCGCACCCACGACCTTGAGGCAATCCTCGCATGACCGCTGCCGTGCTACCGGGACTTGCAGCAGAGCGCTTGGTGGCGCACGCCGAGACATGCCCTCACTCGATGGAGCCCCCGCCGACATCTCCTCCGCGAAGCTGATCTTCGACGACCGGTTGTATGAGCAGGAAGTTCTCGGCTTGAAAGAAGGACAGACGGAGGAGAAGCTACAGGATGAGATCGCAGCGGAAGCCAGACAGCTCGGCATAGAGCCATACCTACTTCATGGCGTCGCACACACCTCCAAACCGGCATCTACCGTCACCATCTCCAGCGAGCACCGAAGCTCCGTCTCTCTCGAGTCGCGCGGCTCCCACTCTACTGAATTCACCTCCGATCCCTCCCGCAGCTCCAAGGACCAGGCCGATCGTCCGCCGTCTTTCACCAACAGCCAGCGCCAGCGGCCATGGGCTCCCGACGCCAAGGAAGAAGACGCCAGGACGTCCAGCCGGCCGACAGTCCGCTACTCTTACTCCTACTCCGAACCCCAAACTGCCTCTGAGTCCACCTTCTCGCTCTCCTCAGCGCTATCAGGCCGTTCCTTAAGCACGAAGCGCAAGCGCGGCACAAGCATCCTCTCCATGTTCCGCAAGCAGCCCTGGTACCCTCTACCCCCCCATCCATTCCCCCCTCTCTACGCCACAGCTAATCCCCCTCGCAGTGACTGCAACTACTGCCCCCAGCTCTCCCACCACCCCCGCCAGACCTACAAGCTCGAATGCGGGCACTCCCTCTGCAGAATCTCCATCCGCCAGCGCGCCCACGACGCAACCGAGGATCCGACGAAATGGCCCCCAACGTGCTGCGACAAGCCGATCCCGGACTCGATCCTCGGCTCCGCGCTCAAGGGCGAGGATCTCGCCAGCGCGCTGCGGCGCATGGCGCTCGCGGATGGCCTCACTAACGGCACGAACAGCGCCAGCGGTACGGCGTCCGCGCGGAACGTGTCTGCGTCGCCTAGTAGTCGAAACACGCGGTCGCGACCCGTGACGGCGTCGTCGGCGGAAGAGGCGCCGCTGTCGCATCGGCAGGAGGAGGAGAGCGAGGACTTGGCAAGGGCGACGGCGGAGCCGACGTTTCGGGCGCTACGGGCGCAGCAGGAGCAGGAGTATGAGCGGCTCGTCGCGTTTGAGCAGAAGCAGCGGAAGGCGCTGGCGGGGTATCAGGCGTGGTCGAGGCGGGAGTTGGCTGGACGACACGATGAGCGGGAAGAGGAGCTGAGTAAAAAGGTCTGTTGCTCTTCTCCCGTCTAACCGGTGTTTTTCTTTATGGGAGGCTTTTTTTTTTGCGGGGGCTGACAGAAGACAAAAGCACACCGAAGCGCTCGAACGCCTCGAGGAAAAGCAGGTCGCCGCAGAGCTCGACCTACGCGCCGCGCACAGAGAGGAGCAACAAAACGCCGACACGGCGCTCAAGTACATGGAAGCCTACGTGAACGGCTCCTCCGCCGCGGAGAAGCGGCACATCGTCACCGCGGAAGACAAGGCGCGCCTCGCGTCCCAGCGCGCCTTGAAGCTGAAACTCGACGCACGGCACGAGAGCGCCATCAGCGTGCTGCGCGCGAAACAGGAGCGCGATTCGAAGGCGAAGTTGCAGAAGATGCAGGCGGAGAGGGAGCAGCTAGAGGCGGAGGCGGAAAAAGAGGAGAAGGCGCTCAAGGAAGAGCAGTGTGAGGAGAGCCACCGGCTCGCGATGCTGGCGCGCTCGAGGAGGAGGAGAGTGGCTGCAAGATGGGACCTCAGGATGGAGGTGTGGAAGGCGGAGCTGGAGAGGGAGAAGGGCGGGGCGTTTCATAGGCCCTTGCCGGGTGTGCCGTGGCCGCTGCCGGTGGGCGAGACGATGGATCAGTCTGCGCTGGGGGGACGGAGCGCGCTGGATGAGTATGAGCGCTTGGCTGGTGCTTGTGAGGAATGGGGAGGCTCGAGCGGGGCGCAGTAGACGTGGGAGACATGCTTTTGCGCGAGGGAAAGGGTTCTTAGCGAGGCGTTTCGGTGTGGGGTTGTGGGTTTAGTCGTTCTCTGCGGAGCGGGATACCCCTTCATGACAGCAGGAGGGAGCACAGCCTAGTCCTTGTAGTTTTGTAGGCAGCGCACGTCATTGACGTTGCTGAGGAAAACCGAAGCAAGGGATATATGATAAGCGCCCCCTTTTTAACGGCCGCGGCCAGACGCTGCCCTTGGAACTGAAGACTTCCTACTGTGCTGAACCTGTGATGCTCACTTACTCGTCCTTGAACACAGGAGCTAGCACCACTCTGCTCGGTCCCTAGGATTTCACCGCTCCTGGTCTGATCTTCTCATGTAGAAAAGGCTGTCGCCTCGACAGATAAACAAGGCGTGTTCTCAACCGACCCACCCCAAATGAATACTATAAGGGTGCAAAGGGCGCGCTGGCTAAGATTCTTTCGGCAGCTAACAACAACACCTGAATATCGACACTCATATCCAGATCCCCCCTGTCAGATTCAGTCTGCGCCACACTAGACACCATCTTGGGTTCTTGTCCTCTGGCGGCGCAGCTCAAAGGGATCCGTCCAAGGCTGGGCTGAATTAATCGCGGTCGCACCTTGCCCGCAGAAATCCATGCACTCACCCGGGCAGGCGCGATTAATTCAGCTCAGCCTTGGTCCCGCAGCCTCGTCTTGTCGAGCGTGCCCGCGACCTTTGCTCACCAGATGCCTTTCTGCGCAGGCTCGCACCGGCGAGAATTTTGTTCTAATGCAGTACTTGCTAGCTAGTAAGTGCCATCGAAGCAATATCAAGGCCCAGGCTCCTTTAAGGACCAACGGTGATGAAGACAGCGCTCTTCGATACCTAGTCCAGCCTCGCGGACATAGTATACAGCCCTGTTTCCACGTGCGACACACAGCCCCGGTCTATGAAGGCTGAGCAGCCCTTTACCATCGCTATTGGCGGCATTGTATTCTGGCCTGATGCGTATCGAGGCTTTATGACTGCCAGCGTGTCCTCACATATCCCACTGACAAGAAGCACGCAAGGCTGCCACCGATGGAACGTAAATTTACCGGTTTCTATCCCTCTTCTCTTGAACTTTCGTTCGTCCGAAGCAATTTTTACTTTCAGTCGAACGCTTCTTAAAACGGGTCAACATCTTTTTCAGCCTGTGTCGCGCAGGCCAAGGCACACATTTCAATGCCAGGATTGCCATCCAGTGTTGCTCACCACGGGTGTTGCATAGACCTTATCAAGGACTCTCGAGTGGTGATTTCAGATCATCCGAGCAAACTATGCATCACGTGTCAGAAGATTGACTTTGTTTCTCTGACCGGTGGATGGCAAGGTGTAATATGCGTCGGATCCGACGGCGCTGAAAGACATTCCAGGTGTTTCCACATAGGCCCACTACGGAATGTTTTGGAGAAAACGTTCTGTCCCAGTTGTCGTCTCATTCTCTCTGCCGTGCAACGCAGCGATCTTAGAAGCATCTCTGAAAGCACAGCGATCACCATCCGAGGAGAGCATCATTTAGCTGAGCTGCGGAGACCGAATCGCGTCCTGTACCAGATGGAAGCGCTAAAAGCAAGACGTGGGTTCTTGGTTCGTCTCATTCATGTATTCATCCACAAAAGCAGCCACTTAGGCAGTAAGAGGATGGCCGGTACGATTGTGAGAGCAGACGAGGAAAAGCTTGGGGATTCGAATCGCTTGAGGAGCCCGAACTTCAAATCTGAGGAGACATTCCACATCCGCGGTCGACCCATCCCGCCCAAGGCCAACCTCGACTTGATGAAGCAATGGATGCAATTTTGCGGTTCTGAGCACCACGAATGTCGAACCCCGACTCTGACAGTGTCGAAGACGCAAAGCATTCGCCTGATTGATGTTCAAGAACACAAGATCATCTTGACTTCCTCGGCAAAGGACTACGTGGCGCTGTCGTACGTATGGGGTCCAACTACCGCTCCATTACTAACCCGAGAAACTCTATCACAATATTCTGCCACGAATGGGCTCAAGGATGCGATCATTCCTCGGACCATATCAGATGCCATGGGACTCGTGAGAGACCTCGGAACACGGTATCTCTGGGTGGATTCTCTCTGTATCGTACAGGACGATGATGACGACAAGAAGCAACAGCTCCCGATGATGGGAAGCATTTACAACTGTGCAGAACTTCTTATTCTGGCGGCTACTGGCAGCGACGCCCACGCAGGACTCTACTCCACACAAAATACCAAACGACGAGAGCCGCAACCGATTGAGGAAGTCGACGGAATTCCCTTTACCACGGCCCAACCACCAGCTCAGGAAACCTTGATGTGGACTACTTGGAATCGTCGAGGATGGACATTTCAAGAGGCGATTCTCTCACGCCGTGTGCTAATATTTACAGACGGTCAAGTTTACTAGAATTGTCATGTTGATGCCTGGAGCGAAGACCTTAGTAGTGAATCATTCACCGCCGGACTGGCACTTGATGCGATCAACTCGATATGGGCAAATATATTTGAACGTGGGACATGCCGCACGCACATCTACTGCCACCTGGCTGAGACCTTCTCTCGGCGAGCTTTCAAAGAGGAAAGAGATGTACTCTGGGCATTCATGGGTATCCTTCAGTACATGAAGATTTACTTTCCGAAGTGTTTTGTCTGGGGTCTTCCAAGGGAGAGACTGGATGCAACCCTACTCTGGTCGGAGAATATAGGTGAGGAGAATATGCACCCACGGGGGCACAGCATACTATCGTCACGGAAACTGGCCACTCTCGTGATCTCCGATTCCCATCGTGGGCGTGGCTCTCAGCAAGTGCAAGCATCTCCTTTATGGATCCATGCGGCGCCTCAATCGTCTCGGAGGTCGCCTGGAACGACTCTTTCAAGCAGGATGATCAGACATCAGCTGCATACCTGAACACAACCTTGTCAGACGACCGCGCCAACCAGCAAAAGCACCAAGAGAATGTCAACTTGCTCTCCGTGTCAGCTCCAGATTTCATGGGTTACGGCTTATTGCAATTCACCGCTCAGACAGCAGTTTTGAACCTCAGGTGGAAGAGAGGCGCATCGGTTGCCTCTACCGAGACAGGGACAAGCATTCCAGGAGGTTGCCTGGAGGGTGAAGGGAAGCCAGACGGAGATGGATCGCGAGTGGAGTCCAAGCCCTGTCCCTTTAGACGGATCGGCGCGACCATTCATTCCTTGACAGGAGAGCTTATCGGCAAACTTAACGTTCCTCTTGTGTTTTTCGGCGACAAGTCCGAACGCTCTGGCGAATTCGTGCTACTTTCTTCGAACGCCGAAGAACAGTCAAGCGAGACTTGCAAGAAACTCATTGATGGAGTCGACTGTGGGACTATCAAGCATGTCAATGGGTGCATGCACATTCGAAGTCGGAATGTCATGCTGGTCGAATGGGTTGGGGATATTGCCTACCGACGGGCACTAGGTCAAGTAGAAGTTGATGGCTGGGCGAAAATCAAGACTCAGGAGAAGGAAATCATTCTCGGGTAGGGGATCATTTCAATGGGCCGTGATTTGCCCCGACAAGAGATGAATCGGGGGACGAAGATGAAATGGCAAGGGTTCCGAGCTCGTTGCGGTGCAAACCTGAGCAGGCTGAGCCGGAGTTGAGTCTGGTGGTCTCTTGCGAACTAAGCTGACGCGCAAACAATGTATTTCCTTGCAGGTCATTCTGGTTGTCTTTTGCCAGGTTTTACCATGACCACAGTATTGGAGACGTTACAGTGGCTATGAACATGCATGTTCTTGCGACCCAGACAGGAAGACATTCGCGTCCAACGGCGCCGACAAGAGACTCGGAACCGCGCCTGCGGTGCTAAGTTGGTTACGAGTATACTCCGTATCGTAATCAAGTCGGAAGACACTTCGGCTGAAGCACATGGCCTGACGTCCTCGCATCGCTTCGGCCCTCTTCGAGTACGGGAGCCTCCAACATATGCAGCGCTCGACCTGGAGACTTCAGATGGCTTCGGATGATCTTGAGCGTACTTCTGATCTTGCGACTGCGGCTTACCGGGATCCTCAATACGAATCATACGAAGGAGCGGCCTCGAACTGTCACTTGAAGCTTACGCGATCCGCCGGCTTGAGGAACGCCCGTGGTTGAAACGTTGATCCATTTCCAGGTCCATACTAGGAGAAGTTGACCATGGTAGCTTCGTTGCCCAAACACCGGTCGGGTTTCTCCCTCACCCAGGCGTTTGCTGATTGAGCGCTGTGAGTACCTAACAGCTCGTCTGAGATAATCGTACAGAGGTAGCTACCAAAAGTCGTAAGACACGCTAAAAAAGCCACGCCGGCGCCACCACGTACCATACCGCTTTAGGCAGTTGGTAGACAGGGGTGGTGGTTATAGGAGTAATTGCAGGGGTGAGATTTTGGGGTATATATAGGATTTTGAATGAGGCTATTGAATTTGCTGGTGGAGCAGCTGTTGAGGCTTATTACCAGCGCCTTCTATATAGTTATTGTCGCCTCCACACTTAATAATCTTCTGGATATGATGGAGTATCCTCTTAATCCAAGCCTGGATTTTGTACTGCGGTAGATCCTGCCAAGCTCGGTTCTAAACCTTCTTTGCAACTACTCTTATTATTAGAGCGCTTTTTGAGTGGTGACGCGTTTAAGATATAGCTAGCATGGCTCGATTATGTTCATATCGGGCGAGTTGCCAACCTAAAGGAGGCGTTAAACGGCAGCAGCGTCAAAGACAGCTTATTAGTGTTAAGAGGCGTGTAATAGAGCCTTATCCTCTTAAATAATCATTCCTAGACGCTTAATAGCGCACCGCTTAGTAAATGGGAGCAGCTTTAGCTTTAAAATCACGGCTTAATACCACCACCAATCGATGCCTTTACCATTACCTCTTGTGATCCTTCCATTCTCTTTTATCCAACGCCATTAAGGCTTCTTACCCTCTAGATTTCGCAACCCTATTCGCCACATGCTTATTTCAAGCTTCTATTCAATCTTCTTAACCGGCTTCAGCTCTTTATTCATCTTATTAATTACAGCTTTTACCTACCGTTTTTTAGCAGCTGTCTTCTTTTCCTAAATATGATACGGCCCCTTTTCATCATAAAAGAAGCAGCCCTAAAACATAAACTCTAAATACTCCTTCCACCACTCCCGAATGTAGCTCTTTAGGACGCGTTCATCAGCTTTACGCTATATATAATAATAGCTCTCTCTTTAATAACCAAGAATAACGCTTATCTCATCACTCTAAATAACGTTTTTTTAATCTTCTAGTATTTAATCCTAATACCAGAGCGTAAACTAGAGCCGTACCTCTTTCATTATAGCTATTAAGCCTGGCTTGCATGTGGGCTCTAACTTCCTAAATCTGGCTCTTTTTAATATGCGCCATATTATTATAGTAGAGACTTCAAGCTCACTAGCTAGTGCTTAACAGCTTTTCTCTCGGCTAAACCAGTCTTTTTAGATAGCCTAGATAACCTTCTTCTTAAACTCCTCTATCTGCTTTATCGGCCGGCCGCTGCGAGGCTTATCTACAAGGTAGGCATCTCGGATAACTAAATTAATGCTAGAATTATAGCCTCGGTCGGCGGCTTATTTGGCTATCGTATAGATTCGAGGTTTTAAGATTCCGGTCCGCGCAACAATATGGGAAATTGGCAGGCCTTCGGTCTTTAGGGCTAACGCTTGCGCGCGTGTGGCAAGATTATGCTATGAGGGCATATTAGCGTGGTAATAGAGGTTAAAAGAAGCTGGTTAAACTAATAAAGCTGAAGATGGGACTACAATTAACCCTGTTTAGCTATGAATTATAGTAGAAGGCTAGACCGCCTACCTAGATAGGCTTAGCGCTAGTGGCAAGGGGCTTTCTTAGCATTTTAGCGTGTCTTGCGACTTTTGGTAGCTACCTCCGTACACCTGGACACTCGTACTCTGCCACTTTGCACATTTGGGCCGGACCGCTGGTTGTTCCGGCCCTTAGTAATACGGTCGCAAGATGCTAGGGTCCCTCATCCAGCGGCGCTTTGCAAGCAAAAGGACGAGACGAGACGCAGATAAAGCTTGGTCAAGGCTAGGTCATCAGAACAAATCAGCAGAACTTTTTGTAGCTCTAAAATTGAACAGTTCCTCATGTTGCTGAATTGTTGATGTTCCTTTGCAGTGTGATCACCCAAGCGTACGATTCCTGCGGTGAGAACCACGAGTAAACGAGTAGCCGGTGACCACGGATTCTTGATTCTGCCCTTGGTCCAAGGTTCATATTTGCGCTATCAAGCCTAGCGAAACTTATAAACCGGCAGCCAGCGCCTCTTCCTCCACCATGCGAATTCATGTATTCCACCTGATTCGATTCAGCCTTCGAACGTACGGCATAAACCAGCAACACCTTTTCTCACAATTACCGAACCCCCCTTGCTTCTGGCCTCCAGTGTGCCTCGTTCTCCTTCCAACATGGCATTCTACGCTCCCGTCGACAATATTCCAGATCCACACTATCCCATTGACCCCCTTGGCATTGAGAGAAGATGGCTGATCGAAGCCCCGATCAACTCCGTCGAGGTTCTTGAGGCTATACTCAAGCCGGCAGTGCCTTATAAGGTTCATCAAGCCCGCCCGATACGCCAATATCGGCCGGGTCCTCTGACTCAAAGCGAACAGAATTTGCAAGACTGTCGGAATAGACTCTTTCTGGACCGCGAGGTATCGTTTGTAATCCTTGGCTTTAGGGAATGCTATCGCCTCTCCGACTGGTTCGAAAAGCGTGGGTTTTGGAGCCCCCCCTTTAGCCAATTCACAATCCCGTGGTTCAGTACGAAGAGGGGCAAATATCTCAGCCCTGTGGAGTTTGCGCTGTTTTCCGAGGTGAGCGACCACACCAGAGCAAATGGTCTCACTCGCGAAAGCGCAACGCGGGCTGTGCTCGAAGAGTTGGGATTGCTCGGTCAGAGTTTGTCAAGAAGTCTTCTACCTCATGGCGCCGTAGCTCTTCCGGAGAACTCCACCGCCTGGATCAAAGGCCGCCCTGGGACAACAAGCGAATACACCGCGTCTGCCGAGCAGATCTACGAAGCACGCCGCAGTCATGACCAAAAGCACCGACCAGCCCTTTCGGCTGAGTCGGAGCACGGACAGACCACCTCCTCCATGTGCGAAGCCATTTTGGACGAATTCTTCGCAGACTTCCTCGCCCGGCAATGCCAGTCTGATCGCAGCCAACTTTAATCTCAGGAAACACTCGATACATGAAGGACCAGGCCACTTCAGCGCTCTCCGTGGGACCAGATCTGCAATCAGGTATCGAACGCTGCCTTCGAAGGCCCACCCTATCCGTTAAGCGTTTTGGTATCAGTAATTCCGGGGGAGAGTTTGTGTTGAATTTCAAAACTGGATCCTGCGAAGCCAACAGTGCTTTCGCACTTTTGCTTTTCAACAGTTTGCCACTCGATCGACCGAACAATCCAATATGGACGAATCAGGGTGAATGTTTGGTGTTGCAAATGGGCTTGGAGTTGCAAATCCGCTTGGAATTACTATTGGCTAACAGTGCAAACCCTGACTTGTACATACTGTCACCTAGGTGACAGGAATTGCCGAACTCCGAAGAATAGATAGGTCTTTAGTTAGCTTAGGGAGTTTATAAATAGACGTAATCCTCTATAGTATACTACTATATAAACATGTGCAAGCTATATCTGGAGGTAGGATGGCTAGAGTAAAGATCTCTAAAGACATAGTAAATTAAAGAGATTTTGTTGATTTGGGAGTAAGTAGTAAGTCCGGTAGTTTACGAGTCCGGCGATTTATATCACTCGCGTGACTGTTAAATTGCAGCCGTAACAACGCTGGCAGTCCATAGAAAAGTCCATAGCAAAGTTTTAAGAAGCCAAGAATCAACCGCTTTGACGTCTTTAACAGAAGCGCAACGGTAGGGAAGACTCTCCGTCAACAAATTCTCTGAACTCTAGCTCGAAGGCGTAACAAGCTTCTCGCGACTGCCCTCAACCTCGCATTTCCTTTCCCAATATACAAACTCGCCCAGTCGGCGTTGAACGGTTCAACCGGCGAGTAACGAACGTGATGATCGTTTCTGCTGCACGAATCTCAAGTGATGGTAGTGACTCAGTTTCGAAGCCTACGCCGAAACACAAGCCCCTTCAGGATCCTAGCTTCTCACACCACAGGGTTCTGGGTGCACCTCTCCTTTCAGAGTTTGAAACGAGTTTTGACATTGAACGCCGCTATCTTGGCCAGAAGAGCTTGAGCTGATGCGCCGGACAAGCCAGCCTTGCGCCAAATCGAAGTGATAAATCTATATTTTTGCAGTGGCCTTTTTCGTACCGAATGGTCGCCGGAGAGCACCTAATAGCCTGATCTCGGCGGACAGGTAAGCACGTATCGATTAACGCCGAGCGAGTCTAGGCCGCGCTGAGGCGGATCAGCATCGAGTCTCGAAAGACGTTGAGTCTACTCTGGCCGTAGCCTCTTCGCACCATGCGGATTCGAGTACGGATCCTCGGGCCTGTTCTGCTGGCCAAAGAACGCCGGATTGAAGTGGCCCGGCGTGCCAGCGCCAAAGCCGCCTGCTCATGTGCCGTGAGTCAGCCCACCCCGAACAACGACATGAAAAGAGTCAGGACACTCACCTCCCATACCACCCATACCACCCATACCTCCCATTCCCATCCCGCCCATCGGCATCCCGCCCACACCCATGTTGCCCATCCCCATCCCACCCATGCCCATGTTGCCCATGTTGCCCATCGGACCCATCCCCATACCTCCTCTTCCGCCGCGGTTGCCCATACCGCCCCTCATGCCGCCCATCATGCCCCCACGGTTGAAGTTGCCGAACTGCGGCATTCCACCCATTGGCCCACCGCCGAAGCCCTGTCCCTGCATGCCTCCCATGCCTCCCATATTGCCCATGCTGCCCATGCCTCCCCCGTAGCCCCCTTGCATACCACCCATTGGCTGCTGGAAGCCTCCCCTGTTGAAGCCACCCATGTTGCCTCTGTTGTTGTTGTTGTTGTTGCTGTTGAAGCCTCCGCCTCTGCCGCCGCGGTTGAAGCCGCCCTGGTTGTAGGTGTTCTGCATGCCGCCCTGGTTCCCGCTGTAGTTTCCGCGACTGTGCTGACTGCTTTCCTTGCGGTTGACGACGTCTTTGGGGAGGGTGCGGTAGGGGTTTGTGTGGGGGTTGTGGAAGGCGGCCGTGTGCTTCTTGGCGTATTGCTGGCCTTGGCCGAAGGACTCGATAGTGTGTTTGAGGGCCGTGGCTGCTTGGGGAGATTGGAGCTCGATGAAGACTTGGCTGTTGGGTCATGATTCTCAGTAGCTGTGTTATGTGTATGGAGATTGGGTGAGGGTAGAGGACTCATACCCTTTCGACTTGCCGTTCACCTTGTGCTCGTTGAACGTAACGTCAATCACCTCATCCTCGCAACCGCTCTGATTAGCCCAGCCACGGACGTCGTCTTCGTTTGTCCACCAGTGTAGGTCGCTGACAAGCAGTGCTGTCGTGGCGCCGGCGTCGATTGGACGGTCATCGGCCCCTTCTTTCCGCTTCACGCCTTGCTGAATTGGCGCTTGTTTCGGCGGCTGGAGTTGGTTGCGCGCTGAGCCTCCCGTACTTGCGATCTGTTGGGTCTGATCGGTTTGTGAGGCCTCTTCTTGCTTGATGTTGACGTTAGACTCTTGGTTGGACGTGTCGTAGTTCTGAGGAGTGCCGTTGGTGTGAGGTGTTTGATCGTACGTTGTGTCTTGTCGCATGTCATATGAGCCGTCATGTTGTTGTATCTGTCCGTTCGCATTGGCATCCTGCTCCTGCTCCTGCTCCTGCTCCTGCTCCTGCTCCTGCTCCTGTTGGAAGTCCTGGGCGGAGTCATCCCCGTAGATGTCGATGTCGAAGTTATCCTCATCAGCCATGGTGAATGAACAGGGTTAATCAGTCTTCAAGTCAAAAATCTGTTTTCCTTGATTGACCTGTAGTTACAATGCGTGCGAAGCTATGACTGAAGGTACATGTCTGTGAGGTGTGAGATAGCATATTAGCAATCGGTAGATACAAGAGGAAGCATTGAAGACAACCATCGTGCGAACTGTTAGGCCGCCTTCAACCACTGTCGACAGTGATAGAAAAGGCGCCTCGTCTTGCAGCAAGCGACGCAAGATACATGGAGAAAGACACCGGCGGAGATACGTACACTTCCCCGTTGGCTGGTAATGAGCAATCCAAGAATATCGGACAAAGATGCGCGATGTGTGAGAAGTTCCACTGCCAGAGCGGCTCAAAGTGGAAAACAGAAGTACACCAGGATTTGACTATCGCAAGCTCTGTGCTTGACGATGGTTCTTGACAGATGCGGATTCCCAGATGCGTCTTCAAAGGCTACAGTGTCCGAAGTCCCCAATATTCAGCGCCGTAGGTAGAGAACGGACGACAAGCAACGGTGCAAGATGCGTGCGCTGAAGTGAAGTGAAGCCCGTTGTCGCTATCCTCCACAGCTTCTCCTAGACGGTTTGATACCGAAGCCTGCCGCTCAGGTCAGTATGTGTATCAGGTTATAGACCGTAATCTAAAGACGGCTTGTCTATCAGTGAACGTTTGTTGTAGGCGGTGGTTGTGGTGGTTGCAGTGAGAGACGGAGGCTGTTGCGGATGGCGTCAATGGTTTGCCTGTCGGTGCCTTGCACGTGACCGTTCCCCGGAGTCCGCAACGTCGCATGAACCTTAAGAAGCCGCATCTGCACAGCTTCATATTTCTATCATACCCACGCCCACATCGACCTCTCCAAACACTCGAACCGCTTTACCACAACGTACGTCGAGCGCCCCACACAATCCATCCATACGTACACTCGAAGCCACAATGGATCAAGTCAAGCATCTGGCAGATCAACCCAAAGTACGCCCTGCCCCCCTATAGCGCCCTTGAACCACTACTAACAAACTATCAGGAGTTCCTCAAGGAGGGTGCGGACCTTCTAACCCTACGCTACGCTTCCTAAACTTACGATCCTGCCAGGCACCCAGTTCCTCAACCGCTGCCAGAAGCCCGACAGGCGGGAATTCATAAAGAGTGCGCCGACTACCTGTCGCCCTCTTACAGACCCTTGGCTGACGGAGTTGATAGTCTCGCAAGCTGTCGCAATGGGCTTCATCATTATGGGCGTACGTACAGACAATTTAGCCGATTCTTCTCCATGCTTACCTCAACACAGACCATCGGCTACTTCGTCAAGCTGATACACATTCCGGTCAATAACATCCTCGTCGGTGGCGCATAGTGAAAACGGGGCTGCGGAAGGAACAAGCGGAAAGGGGTTTAGGCTATGGCACAGCGGGACAATCTCTCAAGGGCGCCCCGAAAGAGGGGGCAGATTGGTCGATGGCGAGACTTTCCAGTGGCACGATACCATTCTCGGGGTCAGGCGGGGTGTTGGGCTTGATTTAGTCTGACTTTCAGTATCTGTGAATCCACTTTCTAGCTTGAGTGTACAGAGTTCATCCTCCAAAACCAGCAACAGTATCCAGAATCTCACGGGATGAATGAGATACTGAATCCAAAATACGTCGAACTAGTTGCGAGTGTGCGAGCATGGTCGTCAAAGTGGTTCGATACGTCCAAGAGCAACCCGTTTCAGCCATCGAAGACTAGGTTTTATTGCTATTGCTGGACCCACATCCCACAGCTGGGCTCCAGCCCCGCCTCCCCTAAACAATGAACCGCAAATCTGTACCAACATCCCAGCATCCGACTCCAAACTCTCCCACCAACGCCTGCGAATTTGTATCCTCTACCAGCATTCTCCATGTTTGCCATGATTCTTCGATTCATCATATCTCCATAATGTTGCATGCCAGCATAGTCCCCCATATCTCCCCAATCCCCACATCTCTAATCGTCCTCATCATCCAAAACCCTTCTCCTCCTCGCCCTCGCAAACAAATTCTCTCCCGCCCTCCCGCTGGCATAAAGACTCTCATCATGCTCCAACGTCGCATTAACCCTCCTGGCCCCTCCCACCGGTCCCCCCTCCTCTCTCTCCACGCCATCGTTCCAACTATGCACCGTACACGTGCCCAAACTCGTGCCCCACCCATTCCAGCTCGTCGCCGCAATAACCGGCGCATGCGGATGCCAACTCGCGTCCCGGACGCACGTCTGCCACGTCCGCCCGTTGCGGCCCATGTAATCGTAGCTGTCTGCCAGCAGCTCGTCGTCTCTGGGCCTGCTGTTGCGGGTCGCGGCGAGGACGTCGACTTTGCCCGCGAGCGTGGCGTCAAGGTTCCAGATGTAGACGCTGCCGTCCGAGGAGCCGCTGTAGACGTAGCGGGCGTCTGCGGAGCCGGGGGGCGCGAAGTGGCACCGGATGAGCGTCTTGAGGACGGAGTGGCCGCGGAAGGTCACCAGGCTGCAGTCGTAGGGGTGCGGGCGGTAGTCTTCGTCGTCGTAGTGGCTGGTGCGGTATTCGAAGCCCGTGGTGTACTTGTTGATGTCGATGCGATCTGCCTTCTCTGTCGGCATCATCTTGCGCAGGTCCCACAGCTTGGCCGTTTGGTCCTTGCCGTTGCTGAGGATGTAGCGCCCGTCGCCTTTGCTGTCGACGTAGGTCAGCCCTTCGGTGTGGCCCAGGAAGACGCCGGCTTCGCGCCCGTCGCCCATGGAGCGTCGGTCCCACACTTTGAGCGTCGTGTCGTCGGATCCGGAATATAGGATGTGCGGCGAGTTTTCGTCGCCGAAGCACACGGCGTTGACGTCGTCTTCGTGGCCTGGGATTCGCAGGATGCTCTCCTGCCGCTCGATGTCGTAGACATAGACGCTGCGGTCGCCGGTCCCGGCTACGATTTCTCGCCCGTCGCCCGAGAAGCGTAAGGACCAGATCCCGAAGTAGGGGTGGTAGCCGAAGCCCCGCCGGCCGGTGCGGCCTGTGTCGGCGAAGTTGAGCATCTGGGGTTCGGAGGTGTCGTGTGGGTCTGTCGGGGCCAGACAGACGATGGAGCGGATGGAGGAGTAGGCGAGGTATTTGTTGTCGGGGGAGAGGGAGGCGTCGGTGATGGTCCATTGGCCGATGGGGTAGTCGACGGTCTGCGGTATATGGTTCAGTAGAGAACTTTTTAGCGTATGTAGAGCGAAGTGTTACCTTGTAGTACTTCCAGTCATACGGGTTCGAGGTGTCGTACATCCGCACCCGGAAGTCCTGTGCACAGGAGAAGAAGAAGTTGCCGTCCTTGGAGAACTGGCCAGAATAACAGCGGGCATTGTAGTGGATGATCAAATCGGCGCTCGTGGACGGTATGAGACCTTGCGCTATCAGGTTGTTCGTACTCTTCTGCCGTCCCGGACAGCCAATACCAAGCTCCCTCCGCATAAGCCTGTAAGCCAACTTCTTCTCCCTCTTGAAAGTGTCCTCTGCGCGGTCGTTGGCGCCGAACGTGCCGGATTGCATCAGCTCCCGACCAGTGTCGCTCGGCACCTTCTGGAACGCTTTCCGGCCTCGACCTCTCCTTCGCCGGGGTGCGAAACCAGTGCTATACCCAACATCCGGTTCGCTATCCTCGTTCTCTTCCTCATCCTCATCCGTCGCCCGCCTCCGGCGCCCAGTATGATCCGCGAATATCCTCCGCAATCCCGCATGCCCCAGTAGCTGCAGCATCTGCTCCCTGGTGATGTATATGGGCTGCCTAGCAGCCTGAGGCTGATTCGCATCCGTTTCTGTCTGCTCGCCCTCTTCGTCCCGCGCTGCCTCGCTCTCCGGCTCTTCCGTACCGCTCACCTCGAACTCGATGTCGATTCCGCTGAGGCTCGACTCGGCGTCATGGTAGCTGCCGTCCTCAGTCCCATCCTCCTCCGCCTCAAGGTACTCGTCCATGTCGTCATCCTCGTCTACCCAGTCGTCCGAATTGGAGTCGAAATGGACGAGTGCGGCGGGCGGGCCGTCTGCTGGCGGATCGTTCAGCGCGGAGGCTCGGCTGGTGCTCATGGTGGGGAGTGAAGGGGGTATTCCTGGGACGGACAGCTGCTGGAAGGCTGTGCTGGGGGTTCACGACAGCTTCCCGTCTCGATTGTCAACTGCTCATAGACGGCTCTTATCGCCGAGGGGCCGATAGCCGATGCGCTTGGTCTGGCCAGCGCCACCGGGCTTAAGCTGTGCGGGTGGTTAAGTCCGTATCACCAGTTTCCTGAAGCAGACAAAGTTTGCGGAAGGTGAGAAGAGTGATAGAGGTGATTCAGGGTTTCCGGTTGGTCATATACCGCTGTTGCTCTGGCGCGAGTTGATCCTCGTGCGTTGTGTGAGGGAAGTTGCCTGGTCATGGAAGAGCGCGTGGTTTGGCGATGGGCTGTCATTTCAACGTTCCCTTCGTGGTGAAGCTGGTCCCCAGAGGACGGTGTCTAGACGACGAGGAGAGATTACACGCTATGATTCCAGCCGTAGCTGAGGACCTAATCCTCAAGATCGGAGTAGATCATACTGCTGTACGTGTGCATAGGTTTTCAGCACCGTACTAAAGAGCGTAAGAAGACGTGCTGACGGTCCGTAACCTCACTCGTACTACTGCCGCAGCAGAGGCAGGAAGGTAGATTCAGCAACATGCTTTCGTCACAGTCACCGCGCCTGTGAGACCTAGTGGAGCAGACAAAACGTAAATCGAGAACTCCATATCCTGCACCAGGGTATCCCAAAGCATGCTACACCAGAGTGCAACCATGACCAGTATCCAGCTATCCATTGTCTAAGCGAAAGCGTCTGCGCTCTAGCGCAGCCCATGATGATCCATTCCGTGTGAAAGCAACAAAAGCACAAATGTCCACCCATGACGCCTACATGCCCTGTCCACCGTCGCCGCCAAAGCCATTCTGCTGTCCACCGCCTAGAGCTGCAGGCCAAGATGCGTAGTTGAGAATGCCAAACTCATCGTACACGGGTTGTGCAATGCCATAGTTCATGGAATCGTAGGTCGTGAAGGGCTGCGTGGCGCTGGTGCCTTGCGGCAGCTGAAGCGTGTGGTTGACGTCCATGAAATCGACCACCCCATGCACGCCATGCAAGCTCTGCATTGGATCTACGAAGGATACGTGCTGTGGATATTTGGCGTCAAGGTAACTCTGCACGTGAGGAACGGCTGGTGGAGATAGGTCGACGTTGACCTTAGGCGTGAGTTCGCTGAGATGCTTAAAAGCCCTTTCTGCGGCTCTGCTGTTCTCTCCCATCTTGTGAAGCCAGCGTCCAAGCTTCTTCAGAGCGTTGACAATGTTTTGTTTGTCGTGCTGCATGTGCTCGCAATTGAATGAGAGCTCCAGCATCAGGACCGAGGCAGCCTGCATGAGCAGGTGGATTTGGCACCACCAAGGTCCGTTCCTATAGAGCAAGACTGGGTCCGGCTTGTCGGGGAGGAGATCGACCGTAGCCCTGGCGGCATTCACGCAGGCTCGCGCTTCCTTAATGTTCAGCTCCTTGGATTGCATGGTCTGGTGTTCTATTCGGTCGTTGAGAGGACATAAGCATGGGCGGCCTGCAAGGATCTTCGCACTGTTGTAGAAGAAACCGAGTGTCAGGCGTTCTCGCAGGAAAGGTGTATCGGCACACAGCGGCACAAGGAAGTCAAACTCTTTAGGGAAAGCCTTTTCTCTCCACTGATCGATCGTCTTTATCAGATCCTGAATTTTGCCTTGGGCTTGATGCCACGAGTTTTCGCCAGAAGACGCGCTGTATAGCTCGGCAAGTACTTCTCCGGTGATGATCGCTAACTCTACCCGGCTTTTGAAGAAGTGATCAGTGTTGACAGACACCGCTACCTCGCCACCGGTGATAAAGTGCATGAGTGGAGACACCGCTGCCGAAGCGGAGCTTTTCTGACGGAGGTCCTCCAGACCATGGGATTTTGGGGGATCATTGATAGCCATGTTTGCGAAGAAGGTAGCCAGTTGGTCTTCCTTGATAGGAAGTGGAAGCGGGACTGAGCATCCATCATCCCTAAGCGCACTTGGTCGGCCTAAGATCACGGTGACTAAGCGGTCCAGACAATAAAGAGACCACCACGTCCGGATTCTCGTCTCCCGCTTGGAGTCATTGAGATTGGGGTCCTCGTTGCGAATGTGCAGGCCTAGGGCTATGGCATCCTTCACGGCAAGTCCACAAAGCGAATAGGCACTGAATAGCTGTTAGCAGCCTAATTGGCTATTTAGATTTCCAGGCTCGACGTACCGACTCATGTGACCGATAGCGACAAAGTAGAAAGCCATCAAGGCGACGAATTGTACATGCTGAAGACTAGGATGCATGAGGATAGCCTCGCCGTTGAAGGCAAGCATTCGAGCCCGAGTGAAATAAATCAAGTGGTCCCGCTCATCCGCGCGCCATTCGGCTTTGAGAAGGTGCGAAAGCTTAGCACCAATGGCGAACACAAGATTAACGATTCCGAGCCATCTGAAATGGGGTCTTGCTGGCTCTCCGCGGGCTTTCCTGTGGTAGTATTCCAAAAGCTGCTTCGTGACGGTGTTTTTCTCAATGACAGGGAACGTGTCATGGACAGATGTTAGATAAAGGCTCAAGAGATTGCGGCCAGTGTCTTCAAGTGGCATCTCATACGGATCAGTGTGGTTTCTCAGGAAAACGTTCTCCATGTCCATGTGATAGGTGGATTCGCTGATCAGTCCGTCGCTTTCTGAGTGATTTCCAAAGCCCCTTCGCCTGTCTGATTTCTGGAGGCGTTGGTCTGCTGCTTCCGTGGACTTGCCCGGGGGCCCATAAGGATTCTTAGCGCGGCCATCGCTATCCTGATCGGAGGGTTGATCGGAGGGTTGATTGTCTTGCATCTTGAGCCGTCGCATCCACATAAGTTCCGAGTTCTTGCCAACGAAGCCGGTGGCTCTGGATGCTTGGGTTCGAGTGAGATCTTCGTCAAGCTTACCCGAATCCTCCTGTGATCCGACCTCCGCAGTAATCAGATCTTCTCCGTGTTCCTTCTGGTCCTCTGGAAGGCTTTCAGTAGCCACATGGGAGCGCTTGAGCGTAGGCGAAGCCGGTCGAGACGTAGGTTCGGATAGAAGCGTGGCGTATTCACGCTCCGCCTAATGTAATTCACATGTGAGCTTTCTATATTTGCGGCGTGACGCAAGGCATCAGGCCTCGGAAGACTATGTCGGCTTACTTTTGCGAGGAAGTCGTGGATCTTTCGCTGGTCCTCAGGCACAGCCCTGAGACTGACATCTTTGAGCAGAACAATGAGGCCTGTGCAAATCTTTTCAAGGCTCTCATGCTCCCTGCAAACCACATTAATTAGAGTTGGGAGACGGAAATCTACTCGGCTACAAACTTTCTAGTCCTGTCTCTCTTGCCGTCAACATACTCGCACTCGAGCCCAAATTCTAGGCAGTGCTTGCACCGGGGCCTCTCCCCGCTACATTTGACCTTTCTCTGCCGACATTTTGTGCATGCGTGCGTCGCACGCAGCTTGTCGCTGCCAACTGAACGAGTGCTTCCTCCATCGCTGCTCGTTCTTATTCTCGGTATTTCGACCCTCGGCTGAGGGCCACCAGTGCCCGGAATCGGCATCTCAGTAGATAGATCGAAGGCTTCTGGGAAGAGATCGAATGGTGGAGCTGCGGCGGTGAGCATCAGCATCGGTGATTCTGTGCCTTCTTCTTCGAAGAGTGGAAAATCCTCCGCCACCGAGAAATCAACGAAGCTCTCCATGGTGGTGGTGGAGGATGAATGTGATGCTGCGTAGATCACGAGAAGAGGAAGAGAGGAGTGGTGAAAGGAGGTAGACCAGCGAGACTGCAGGCCAATTTGGGACATGTCTTGGCAGCCACGAGAGTGAATTGCATGATGGATGACATACCTTCTTCTGCACCGTCAAAGCAAAACACCTTTCAAGGCTACCTAAACACCACACGTCAGAACGTCTTAGCAAATTGGTCCAGGATAGTAATTTCCCCATTAACAGGAAGGGATCTAGAGGCCGAATCCAAATTGGTGTTGACCAATCTATAGGTCGCCATGCCACGTTGGATGCTGGTGCGGGCGCTAGATATTCGCAATGGCGGCAGCAGAATCCTCTATTCTCTTCGCAGTGATCGATTCCACGATCGAAGAGGAGTCGTATCGGAGCCCGTGATAGTAGGGATGAGCATCCAGAACTCAACGCCTGAGCTGTAGCTATCGTCTTCCTCCTTGCGGTGGACCTACGTTCCGAACAAGTCTCTCCGATCGATAACCGTGAACAACACGGCGTTGTAATCACACAGCAAGAACCACACCAAGCCTACTGTATCTTCCTTCCAAAGCCGTCGAAAAAGAGCGCTGCTCACCTCAGTGGGACTTCAGCTGTCCGATGCTTTCCATGCCTGTCTGCTTGGGTGTCTTGAGTTGATATCAGTAATGTCGTTACGAGGTAATTGCAACACCGCACCGCTTGCGGCTTCCAGTCAAGTGTGTCGCTGCGAATGATCTCACCAGCCTGAGATCCTCATACAGGACGGTGGACCACACCAGGATGGCTAGGGAAGACAGTGGAACAAAAGCAAGATAGACTAAGGGTAGGAGACCTGAAAGGAGGGCAGAAAGGCGCTTACCGGTGCAGTTACAACAACACAAGAGAGTGACTAATCACGCTCGCGCACACGCTCAGAGGTTCATGATATGGTCCTTGCAGAAGACCGAACTCTGCAAGGGTCGGGATAGCTTCGGGAGGAGTACACTCCGAATCAGCCGCATGCGGGAAGGCTGCAGCAAGCGGTGACCCGGAGGCGTAACAACATTAGAAACCTCACGGCAGCCGACTAAAGTAAGTCCTTCTGAGCCGAAGACAGTAGGGGTGGAAGAAACGGGTAGCACTAAGGAGCCATGACATAGTAGTAAGAAAAGTGGCAGACTCAGCTTTGCTGCTCCTCTTACAGATGCGAAGACAGGCAGGGCACACCAATGCGAAGTGGCGGCACTGAGTTCCGATCCCCTGTCAGATCCGGAGGTCGCTCCGGCCTCTGTCCAACTACGTCGTTGCCGAAATAACATGGACTGCGGAGTCTTCACCTCACCGCGAACCCGTTTATGTCCACCAGCATCACTATCACAACTCTGCTTCAGAGAATTGAACAATACGAATCCTCTTGATTGAACATTTTCTTTCTTTTTTGCAGAACTTTAAACCAACATGAAGAGCTCTGTTCTACTGCAACTACATCTTTGGTGGTTCTGCGGTCCACGTTATTTTGGCAACGACATGCCAACCTACCTGCAGTCTTCCCTGTTGGCTTGCGACGACCAGAAATCTGGGGCCTGGAGCCGGTAAATGTCCAGGTGTCGACGACTGAAGTGGCTCCTCGCTTCTTCATCGTAGAACTCGCTATTTTCTACTCAATTGTCTGTGGTAATATTTCGGTAGGCCTCCGTATCGGTGTCATAGAGCAGAGTGACACTATACCAAGCGTTACTGCGCCGTGTAGCAAACGCCTCGACGAAGGCTGGCCCGCTTGCAGCCAACGACAAGCATGCTACAGACTCACAAGGGCAGAAGAGACTTCCTTGCAGCATGTCTCCCGGCCGAATCGGCTGTAAAGTGTTTCTCCAGCTTTCCTTGGGCAACAAGGAAGACATTGTGTAATCACATACTGCCCTTAGAGTAAGTCCTTTTCGCTATGCTAAGTAAGCATATAGACTGGGGCTCCTGTTTGTTAAATCGGCGGCTAGGCCCCCGGATAAAGCATAGAGTCGTGAGGTAGGGCGACTAGGGGCAAGAAAAAGTGCTAGTCTGATGCCTCTAGTGGTCTAAACGACGTAAGAGAAATGGCGACCTGGCTGAAATAAGTTTGGAATACCCAAGCCCGTCGATTTACGGTTCTGGTTTTTCTTGGCGGAACCGGTGGCTGCGGCTCAGGGCTTGTGCCGATGCCACGCGACAGGGCCTTGAGAACCCCACACCGTTGTTCTGCGCGTCAACCGTTACCCCTCGGACAACGGTGTGAAGAAACCCAAGTTGCGCAAAGAGCCATTTGACCGGTATATATACCCAGGCTTAAGTTGGTGCGGATAACTTCCACCGCTTCCAACCTCCTTCAAGCGGGACTTTTCTAGTATCTCTCAAAGCGTGATACCCCAGTCATTCCTCTCGAGCGATTGCCAGTATTCATAAGCAATTATTTCTTCCTGAAGCCAGCAATGGCGGGCAGTGGATCAGACTCAGAAGCCACCGCCGAGGCGTTGGAGAGTCAGTACTTTACTAACAATCCACCCCCCTTGTCGCTCCACTCTCATCTAGCCCTTACCCAGGCCTTCATCGAGAGGCATACGGATCAGGGCAGGCGCATTGCATTGGTGACCTCTGGTGGCACGACGGTCCCTCTCGAGAACCAAACGGTCCGTTATCTCGACAACTTCTCAGCCGGCACCCGGGGAGCAACGAGCGCGGAGTATTTCCTGGAAGCCGGATATGCAGTCGTATTTCTCCATCGACAGTTCTCTCTACTTCCGTATTCGCGGCATTATTCCCACAATACCAGCTCTTTCTTGGACTACATGAAAGAGGACCAGGATGGCCGAGTGGTCGTACAGGAGCAGCACCAGCCGGAGATGGTGAGGGTCCTGAGGGAGTACACCCATGTGAAGAAGCAGAACCTCCTCCTCATCCTCTCCTTTGTTACCATCACCGAATATCTCTGGGAGCTGCGGGAGGTCGCGAAGCTCATGCGGCCTGTGGGTGCCAAAGCCGTCTTTTACCTCGCGGCAGCGGTATCGGATTTCTTCGTGCCCAAGGATCGTATGGTCGAGCATAAGATCCAGTCGTCTGAGGAATTTCAAGCCAATGGCGACAACACGAACAGCAAGCCGCCGGCTGCTCGCACGGAGGGCAAGAGTCTCATCATCGACCTTGAGCCAGTGCCCAAGTTTTTGAAGCAGCTTGTGGACGGCTGGGCGCCAAACAGCATGATAGTCAGCTTCAAGCTCGAGACCGATCCGTCGATGCTGGTGAGGAAAGCGCAATACGCGTTGGAGAAATATCAGCATCATCTCGTGATCGGCAACTTGCTCTCGACGCGGAAGTGGGAAGTTGTGTTCGTGTCAGCAATGGATGGCGAGAAATGGATTCGCGTTCCTCCGAGCAGACGGACGAAGAGCTTGTCTGGAATCGAGGCATTGGTTGGTCGCGCCGGCGGTGCGGATGGTGATGGCTCGGAGTTGAAGCATTCTGATGGCCGGGCCATGCAAGGGGAACCGGCTGTTGAGATCGAATCTCTGATCATTCCTGAGATCGCAGCAATGCACAGCAGACTCATCAGGGAGAGTGTGCGAGAAAAAGGGACCGTTTAGCTGCGGAAAGCGAGCCGAGTACGCTCGTGATGAGTGTTGGATGTGGGAAGTTGGATGACTATGCGAATGCGGATCATGGGTGGCAGATGGATTCAATACAACCCGTTTAGCATGGCGCTTGTCCTCAGCAAGGATGTTAAGACAGACGAGGAAACAAGAGCTGTGAGTTTTGCGCATTCCGAGTCTGTTGGTGGGTGTTTGTTCTATCGCGATGCGGAATTGGCGAGTGGAAGATCTATTACTTCGGCCACCTTGTGAACGTCATGTGGTTTATTATGCCCGTGGCAGCCTCGACAGTCACCACCCTGCAGTCTCAGTCTTGCATGCTCAGCAGATTGCTCTGACTACTATCACTTCGCGCAGTTTCGGCACTATTGCTTGATTACATCTACACCCTTACTCACAAGCCGTCCACAGTACGGCAGCGGCTGGATGGCCCACGCCTCTCCTTGATCTTCCATCTACCGGACGCGACGCTTACAAGATGATACGCCATTGCGCGGTTCTATGCCGAATTCTCCCGCCGAACAAATACAATGGAAGGCCAAGTCCGATGATAGCCACGAAGAGGCCGGCCTGTGTTCCGAAAGAATCGATATACCCGACTTTTGTGACCCAAGGCACAACTCCGTACTGCAAAATAGACTTCTGTCAGCGCACTCGTGGACCGCAGAGCGGCGAAGAACTTACCAGAAAACCGAAAGCCACTATGTTCTTCAGGCCATTAATTAGTAACAACGCGTCTCCATTGATCGGAAGATAGAGATCGCTGGCGTATGCCATTGTGATTGTGGGTACTGTACCAGACATCGTTAGCGCTTGACGGACGCCGCAGCTGTTGCGTGCTCTCGTTCAAGACTGTGCTGACCAAACCTACCTGCAGTAAGACCGACAGACACCAATCCGTATCCGAAGAACAATGCTACCCAGGACATGGTGTTTTCAACACCATAGCCGAAGAGGAGACACCCAGCGGGAACAAGGAGCGTTGGCACCATCAGCAGAACAAGCCGAGTCTCTGGCTGGAAGATGCCGTTGTTTTTCACAGCCCTCCACGCACAGTAACGGTCCACCAACGAACCACCCGCCCAGGCACCGAATATGTTACCGAGAAGGCCCGGAATGTTAATCAAGCCATTGATCTGCGGCTGCCAGTTGTACGGCGGCGCTTGCAGGATGAAAGAGTTCAGAATGTTGACGGCTACGACCCAAGCAAGCGCCACGGAATAGCCAAGGAACGCATAAGTGATCGCCGGATATGCGAGAAGCGGGAAAGGGCGGACGAACATCTTGAACAGATTCGTATCCGCAGGGGTACCAGACGAGAGGCTGAGCTCTTGAACAAAAGTCTTTTTCGGCACCTGCATTCTCGTAGCACGACGTTCAGGTGATTCGGACACTTCCTTCGAGTTGGGCGTGACCGTCTTCTCCATTGAAGTCTCCTCGTCTGAAGACGATACTGCGGAATCGGACATAGTCGGGGCCAGATTGCTCGAAACTGTCCTGTCATACCGAGTCTCTGGGACGAAGAGAGCAACCGCCACGAAGTTTATGGCTGTAAAGATTACCGCTATCCATTTGTGCCATCTCCAGCCAAGACCTGACAAGGTGTCAGTACATCTACCTGTAGGATCTGCTGGCCGGCATGGATTTACTCTGCACAACGAATCCGCATATCAGCGGGCCGATGGTGTTACCACCCGAGATTGCGTTCATGTAGATTCCCATTTTCGCGCCACGCTCGTGCAGGAAGTACAGGTCCTTGAGCGACTGTCAGCAAGCATGCATAATGCATGTCACTGTACACCGGCTTACTCACATTGACGATTGCAGCTCCCAATGCTTCTGTCGATGAACCGGCAAACGCGGCAACGATGTTGGACCACAAGAGGCTGTTGAAGCTCGTCGCTGCAGCACCCCAGACATAGCAAACACATAGCAAAAGTGAAGCGAAAACGAAGACCGGGCCTGGCCGCACAAATCAGTAAACGTAAGATGACTGAGAGGAGAATCTACGCAACCACTCACGCTTCCCGAAGTAATTGGCCATTGGCACCCAGAAGAAGTTCTACCTCACGTTTAGCAAATGGTCCGTTGGTCATAAAGAAATCCTTTAAACGTACAAAGACTCCCAGCACCAGGATCGGCCACAGAAGCAGCTCGCTAGTCTCGGTCATCGTCTTATTGAACTCGAGCGAAAGCAGGTAGAAGGCCGGGGCCAGTCCGCCGATGGCATAGTTCGTCAGGAACGTAAACGCGCACACGCTCGTAAACGCAACATGCTTCTTCCAAGGTGGCCATCGCAGTGGATCGTTGGGATCTGTGTCCGAGGGGTGAGGAACGAGAACTAGCTCGGACGCAGTTGCACCCCCGCTGGCAGCTGGTACAGCCGTTATCAATCCGCATCTTCAGAATTTCGGACCGTGGATAAGTGGGTACTGACGCTGTCGCAGTTGGACGGTGCCCTCTGTTTGATCAAGCTCTTTGAGTGTATGTAGACGCATGGTGGCTTGTGTTGCAATTTTTTTGGCCTTTAATTGGGATACGAGGACGAGACCCAAGACCAGAACCACGATGATTCGGTGGTATTTGCCTGGCTGGGGCGCGTGCTGTTACTCGGAGGCATCACAACGTCCCTCCTTCCGGCGGTTTGCTGTATGTATACACAAGTACGGAGTCCGTAGTTAAACTTCGCGAAGGGCTCTCTGACTGCCTCGTGCCATGGCGCCCTGAGCTAGAAATATATACAACCGGCATAGCCGGTGCCATTGCATCGACGCCCTGCCGGCTGGTTGGTTGTTCCTTGGGTGATGTCGATGATGTTCGACGGAGCGGGATGGGATTCGGGTCTCCGTCTCCCGAAGGAAGACCGCATCTTGCACGCCCAAGGACACATACATGGGAGTCCCCTAAAAGAGCCGGATGCCCTCCCGGCTGCGCAGAGCCAATGGCAGAATTGGCAAGACTCAATGCTATGGTCTAAGTGGTTCACTTCAGAGCACAAAGCCGGGAGAGGCATCCGGTCATTTTAGGGGGCCCCTTGTAGAACAGTGCGTGGCCGGTCTGTGCACATAAAACGAAAGCCTGAACCGGACTCGTACTTTTCTACCTGCCCTTATCCCTTCGCAGGAGGAAAGACAGCGGGCCACGGCCGCGACATCTATTTATGAAAATTCCGATTGCTGTGAGACTCATTAGGGTTTCTGCGCAGCAGTCTCCTTAGCCGGTTCAGGCATCAATTCCTTGCTGAAGGGGGATAGCGGGCCAAGCGCTGGCGGCGCACTGATGTCCTACAGTAAGACATCGCGATTGCTTACTAAGGAATCACGATTTCTTAGCTACCAAGCGCTGCAGCTACAAGCGCACCTTATATCCTACGCCGGATAATATGTTAACCCTAAGACTCCTAAGAGATCTAGAACGGGTTCTCCATGTCGAGAAAAATATGAGGCCTAAGGTTATAGCAAGAGTTAACGCCTGGAGGAGCCGTAACGTGATTATTTGGGTTGTTCAGACTAGGAAAAATATCTTGCAGGCTGCAACGTATATAGCAAGACAGGACTGCTTGAGACACGGATCTTTCAACGGAAATCAAGCCCGGCCGACCGCGGGCTCACAAGTGAACAGGCCCGTCACCTTGGGACAGTTATGCAGCACCGTGGCGCCATACCGCCGTGCTGTGCCGCAGTCCACGGCGGTAACAACTGCATGGCCGCGGTGGGCGCCTGACGCGTAGAAAGTTTGAAGTAGGAGTTTTCGGCGCTTGTAAAGCCGCCGACTGTCACAGAAAGGTTGATTCGGGCGGCCTAGCCCCAATGTTGACGCGCGGTCGCTCGAAAAATTATTATGGTTTTTTCTAGCATACTTGTTGGTTCAGGACTTAAAATTCACTTGCTTGCCTACACCAATACAGCAGGCATCGAGACTAGTCTGGTTTCCGCTTTGTGGACATAGATCCGCAGAGTAAACCCATCGGTCGGCAAGGAGAAATCAGAACTCTAAGCCTGGCTCACGACATATCCAGGTCGGTTGCCTCAATTACGCAAGCGACCAGCAACCTTGAAGTAGTTTCTACGCGGCTTTCGTCTCCGTTCTATTCTCGATTCCTCTCTTTTGTCTGATTGGGACAGGTCATCTTGGATTGGACCTCGCAGTAGCACTAAAATCCTACGCGATCGTTAGCAAACTGTCGAGCAGTCCTGGTCCCTATGACTCACTCTAGAGTACATGTAGGTTTCAATATCGGTACACCCGGTAGATCAGGCGGATCCTGTGAGGGCTCAGCAGGCGCGTCTGGTGGCGCGCTCTCGACTATCGGTGGCCGTTTGAGGCCATTGATGCTGTATACGATGCATTCCGATGTTCGGGTGCCGCCCAGCTCCTTGTCGGTCGTGTGCGTACTACCTAAGAGAAGGGATCAATATTCATGACTTTACATAGCAAGGTCTTGCAACATTACGTACAATCGTTCAGCGCCGAAAGCATCTTATCACGGCAATAGAAGAAGTTCATCTCGCCCTTTTTGGGACAACGTGCGCATTCTGGACTCTTGTTTACAGAAGTGCGCAGAATGATTAACTCCACCCTGTTTTCTCCATTGGGCAACCGTGCAAGTATTCCATCGCCAGGGAGCGCCTTACCGTGGGCATGAGAACGACAAAGGTGCGAATGGCCTTTTAAACGTCTGTCACAGTAAACGAGACGTGGTCGCCACTCGGCTCATCTGAATAGCACTTTCCATGGATACCAGCATGAGTTGCAGGACCAGAGTTGGCAGGACACTGATCAACGATGATGATAGGAGCTTTGGGGATGCCAAGTCGTTTCACATTATCGTCGTCCAGAGCTCTCTTAGCAGCGTATGCCATGAGCATGTGCCCACATTTCTGCGGGTGGAATATCCAACCAAGTTTATCGGGTAGCCAGTTTCCATTAGGAATACGGGCGCCGCCCATCTCATCTATCTCAAGGTCATCCCCCTTCCAGTCAGATGTTCTTGCTCCGTCTGACGTATCCACGCTCTGATCTGTAAGGACAGGCTAAAATCATCTCGTACCGCTGCAGCGTCAGCTGGGGGTTCCCCAAAGATTGGGGGAGGATCGTTGTGCCCTCGTCATCTGCGGTAGTTCCGCGGTAGCAAAAAGCGGCGGAATCATGGCTGACGTCTGTCTCCTTGACGAAAGGTTCGCAATATCGACCGCTGAGTGCATCAACATGAGAGTTCCAGTTGACAAAGATGACCTGCGGTCCCGCTCGAGTAGCGGCATCCTTAAGTTTCGAGTTGAGGTCGACGACGATCTTGTTCATTGCTTGACGCCTTGCCTTTCTCAGGTACTTTTTATCGATGGCCGAGACAGACCAAGAGACATCGTCGATCGAGAGCTGCTCTCATCGGAAAAAGGCAGCATAGCCGAGCCGCACGTGTGATGAGTTTTCGGGTAGCTTGTTCTTCGTGGCCGAAAGAAGTTTGTCAAGATGGCCGAGGGGTCGTTGCCCCGGATGATATCGTTGATCTCTTCCAAACTCGAGTCACAGCAGCTAACATCAGCGTTTCATTGGAAGTTACAGCAACTGAATGCATCCTTGAACAGTAAGTTGTTACCACCAGCAGTCAAAGTGATTAGGTCGTACGCTTCGTTATTCACTGAGAGTACTTGTTTGTCCAGAATCGTTTCGTTCCAGCCCCCTGTAGGCGCTATGTAGAGCAAGGGAAGATGAGATGACTGAGCCATCGCCAAGGCTTAGTCGGCGCTAGGGTGCCTGCAGGGCGCTTACTCGGGAACAGAAGATATCAAAACACCAACTTCTAGGGCTGAGGATGACGGACCCAGCCCCTTTACTCTATGATTCTCTTGCCAATGGTGATGTGCTATCCGTTGACCTTCAATTGAGTGCCGGTTGCGACGTGCACTTGAAAGTGGAGAGAATCAGGGGCTATTCCAGCTCGGAGTCGCCACCCCTTTTCATTGCGGTTGCCCATGGACATGTTGCCCTCGTCCAGCTTTTGCTGGATAAAGGAGCAGAGGCATTCGACCCCAACAGCGACGATTTCCCCACAGCGTTACACCTGCTCGGTGCATTCAGCCTGGATGCCTTCACAGATGCGTATCGTCAAATCGCCCGTTTGATTCTCGAAACGGACAGTGCGCATATCGAGACGCTATCGCAAGAGGGCCAGACTCCGTTAGATGTTACGGCAAGACACGGCAACCTGGATTTTATGAAGATGCTTCTCGAGTTTGGCGCCCAAATTGAAGGCAATGTATCGCCGCTATCGGAGGCCGCTGGAGGGGGCCATATGCCTGTTGTGCAGTTCTTGCTCGATCAAGGAGTCAGGACCGATAGATTTCCAATACATAACGCATGTTGTGGTGGCCATGTTGACATCGTGCGTCTCCTTACCACGTATGGTCTCGATGAAGGGATCGGGCCATTACACATGGCTGCGGCGATAGGGCACGCGGATGTCGTTCAGTTTCTCTTAGACAATGGGACAGTCGCGGAAGCTACTGTCGAAGACCACCAAACAGCGCTACATGTTGCAGCAACCGCTTCAATAGCACGCATCCTCATCGACAGCGGATACAATCCGAACGCACGGGACTCAAAAGGCGCCACGCCACTCTTTAGAACGTGCGCTGTGTTCAGACCGTCTCCAGAGGCTTCACGAGAGATAACCGCTGCACTGCTAAATGCCGGAGCAAATGTCAACGTGCAGAACAATGCAGGAGAAACATCACTATGGACTCACATAAACGAGATGCGTTTCTACGATTTCCTGGACGAGTCCGCTATCGCCAACATCGAGAAGCATTTCGGGGACGCACCTTACCTGAAATGGGCCTATAAGCCCGCACTTATGGCATGTCGTAAGAACAACAACCAGCGCCTTTCTTGCCCACCGCTTGAAATTATAGCGCTACTTCTTGGCGCAGGCATCGACATAGGTCTCAGAGATCAGAGGGGTCAAACGGCCATGCACCAGATTGTCTGTGACAGAAGTCAGCTACCCGTCCAAGGGTATCTCGAATGTTTCAAACTACTTATAAAGCACGGCGCAGATCGTTCCGTTGCGGACGTACAGGGCCTGACAATTCTTCATCAAGCTGCAGCAGCGGGCGATTACCCCCTTGTGGAGATGCTCATAGATGCCGGCGTCGACGTTAATGCCCGCAAAACGAACGGGCAAACCCCCCTTTTCGAGGCTGTTGCTGCTGCTTGGTCTACCCGTAGCCAAGCAGAGGTTCTAACTTTGCGGATACTGCTTGACAATGGAACAGATGTTGCTGCGGTTGCTGACGATGGCTGGACGGCTTTGCACGAAGCGGTTTCGAACAAGAGACGGCCGGGACGATTCGAGGCTGAGGCCGTTGCGTTACTACTCGAGCGCGGGGCTGATGCGGCTGCGCGAGATGCGGAAGGAAGGACCGTAATGGATATCGCCGCGAAGGAAGGAGACACCTCCATAACAAAGGCGCTTCTTGCTTCGGGGGCCTCGTTGTGATCATAGTGATAAGCCTCCTCGATGCGCAGTAAGCCGTTTCAGAAGAGACTGGGGATTTCACAAAACATGTGGATCGCAGACTGTGGTCAGCGGGTCAGCATAGCTGCAAACCTTAAGAGCATCCTGCAGAGGAAAGCCCCAACGGCGCTCCGTTGCCGGTCTCATTAACCGCCAATCTTTTGGACAAAATGAGCATCATCATACAGTATTGAGCAATTCTTGCAGCTGTTGCTGCAAAGCTCTCGACATGGCTTCTTGAATATCCGCCAATTCTGACAAGACCTCAACCCCATCTCCGCTTGCCTGGATATACTCCCTTGACTAGAGCCTCGCTAGGAGATGCACAATCACGCTGAACTTATGATCTTGTTGATAGTAGAGTAGCTGGACCAATATTATGGGATAGAGAGAGAAAGACGTCCATCAGTTACATCTTAAATTCATCGATCATGCACCGTGATTTCTATCTATTAGCGGTCCTCATGGCTCTTAACCTCCATGTCTATGGAAACCTTTTAACGGGTGAACGGGCATTTCAGATGGCGCTTGGACTTTCCTTCGCAGGAGAAAACATAACTAGCCGGCCACGCCCGCAACCTCGATCTCACAAGAAACTCGTGACTGTGGGATTTGTAAGCCCAGCGCCTATGGTGTTCCCGATATTAGCGCAGGCCGAATCCGTCGAGAGCTGATGAAGCACAAGACGGGGCTCTCATGAGAGTTCCCTCGCATTGGCTTCGGACGAGGAACCTGCCCTGGACGCCTTCTACGAACTGTTGGACTTATCTTCTGGCTTATATCGGCGTCTGTTCGTAGCATGATGCATAGTGGCTTGATCGGCGAATCCTGTATCACTACGCGGCCGCGTCCGCATTTGTGCATCTCACGTCAATCGTTCGAGTTGACTCGTCCTGCTTCAACGCCAAAAGACTATCTATTTGACGCGGCGCCAACAATCTCATGATCTGCGTTCACACGAGCAATGACATATACTTCGATTTCGAGGCGCTGCTGCTCGTTCCCTGGAGGTACTGGTCTAAGTGAAGCTGCCAGCTCTTCTGAGGTTCAGCCTCATATTTTGCTTTAAGGTGCCTGGAGCGTGGTACTTGTTGGACTAAGTGCGCAACGAATGTGAGTTCTTGCTGCGTGAGGCCACAGGTTTCTTCACTTGTAGATGAATGTATGGATCTCAAGCTGGCTTCAGCCGCCGCTACTTATCGAGAACCGCCTACACCGTCGCAATCAGTCTTCTATATGTGTCCCACAAATCTCTGATGCCAGATCCGGTGAGCCTGCATTGCTTCCAGTCCTTACCTCCTTCCGATACTCAGGACGAAGGGCGGGCTGAATTAGCCATGTCCGGTCGGTACGCCAAGATGCGGGCACAGAACGGCCACGGACAATTCGGGCCGCCCTTGGACCATTCCTGCGAACAAACACAGATAGCACACTTTGCAGCTCATCTGCAGCTGCCCACTCTCTTTCTGTTCTCTAATACAGTTGACCAAGCGTCGAGCTACGATCGCGCTCCCCCGCCTGATACTGCAGCTAGCACCCCTTGCATCGTAACGTTTTGCTTTGTGTTGCCCGAAGCGTTCGCTACATTTCTACCTCCGTCATCAGCACCTGCCTGCCACCTTGGATCGTTTACCGCTTAGCCATCAGGTAAGAGCGGCCGAAGCTCCCCACGATCAGTGGCTCGGGCATCGGGCCGGAGGCTCTGGCCCTATTTACTTGTCTGATCGCGAAGGTGTGTGTGCGCGATTCCAAGAGCCCCTTGCTTCGGATTCACGGCCATCGGCAGACCCTTTGGTTTACAGTACAGTAATTCTACTCGATATTGGTTGCGCCTGTGCCTAAACCGCTCCCACACCGCCGCTTGTATCGGTCGAAGAGCTCCACAATAGACGCTTTGGAAAATATGAGCGATCCGGGGTCGTGGTTGAAGTAACCCTAGCAATGGCCTGCCTCAATCTTCCCAGCCTCTGTCTGTAATCCGAGCCGCCGCCGTGACCTCTTCATAAGACTCGGCTAGCCTCCCTTGATTCCAACGTTCTGGAAATTCTCCGTTATATATGGCGTCTTAATTGCGAAATCGTCTATCAAGATTATTAGCCATTGTCGCGCCAGCGATTGCCTGTCGGCCGCTCCCCGAAATCCTTGTTTTGGGTGGTCCTTGTGCTGTTTTCTTCCGCGTCCTTTTGTCATGCCTTGTACATCTACTCTTACACACTCTTCTCCTGTTCCGAACCACAACCTGTCGTCTTCTAGTTTGTCTCAGCGGGACCGAGGACTTCCTTGTGGCAGCCGTACGCCTCCTTCGTCACCTTGCGACTGGACAGAGAAGTGGGATGGAAACGTGAACAGAATCCGGAGCACTGCCACCTACTACGGCATAATATCGCAGTACAAACTTAATGAAGCGTCGACGCCACCCGTACCGCTGGTACCGTCTCCCGCAACATGTGAAGCCTCACCGACTTCTGACTTCGGCTTCTCAGAAGCATGTTCAAGCAGAATTCCGGCGATCTCGACAGCAGAAGATGGGAATTGCAACAGAAGCTCCAGCACAGGCGATGAGAACTGCGGGATTCTACTGTCACTTTCGCACCACAACTATGTCTCTGCCAGTCTGCAACGTCCACGGGATGTCAAGATATCTATGCCAGGAGGCGTCCGCATGACCGACACGATAAGAAAGACCACCAAGGCGTCGCCTGCCGCTATTGCGAGAAGCTCAACAGAGGGCTTCCGCCACGAAGTTTTCGATTCCTCGGCAAATGGAACGGACATGACATCGAGACCAGCAAGACCAGCGAAACCACCGCCATGCTTTCCTCCGGTGCGCAAGGACTCTCTGCCAACATGTCAAACGTCAACGCCACCCCTTCAAGCCCCTACCCGCAGAGCTCTTCCAGTTCCGTTGTCCCCAACCACTGGTATCTCGTCACTGCCACTATCAACTCCGCCATCAGCTCGAGGGTCGTGCCGCTCCATTGACCCATTGTTGTCCACCCCAGAAGTTACGACCCAGACAGTAGCTACGCTGTTTGCTCTTCATCGCTTACAGGAGCCGATCTCAGAGTTCGAAGATTACGATGATGAGGATGAGAAGGGAGGTCTTGTCATGTACCTCAAGCGCCCGCTTCGGACATCGAAAAGCCAGCTGTTGGGCACTCACAAGAGCGAGCGGAAGGAACGCCGAAAAGGCAGCGGTATTAAGAGGACGTTGCTGACGATAGTGAGCTGCGGCTGCGCTAGCCGCCGAAGATGACCGCGTTACGGTTGGAGCAAAATACGACGCTGCTCTGGTCGCCGGTGCACGACGCTGTGCTGCACCCAGTTGCACTGGCTAGCCGTTCTCCCTAAGGCACGATGTGTCTTTCGACGACAGGCGTAACCGCAAAGTCTCAATGTAGCTTCCGCACCTATTTTCGGCTACAAGCATCATACTACACTTACCCAAATTTTTCGGACTTCCTTTGCGCATTCAGACGACTTCATGTAACGACGATGCACGACTGCTATAGTTCGTACGGCTTCACGATTTATGTATACGATTTGGGACGGACGCGAATGGATGGGTAGTGGTTGGAAAACGCAAGCAAACGAAATTGTCGAGCACAGCTCACAAGCCATGTATTTCGGTTACCATTCTTACTCTGCTGCATCAGGCATGCCATGCAGTATGGCCAAGCCCGTCGTCCTCATCTCCTCCTGCTGCACAGCACACGCGTCATGACATGTTTTCCATGCATAGATGATGGTACCGTAACATTCTCGAACCCGCCCAGCGCGCTTGGCCCAGCTGCAATGCGTGCTTCTACTCGAGACAAACAGCAGTCCCGCTGACGGGTCGCGGTTGCGGAAGGCTGCAGCCGAAAAATCTGCAGGCAGGCTCGTGTAACGAAGGCGCATGATCCGGCCCATTCGACAGCGCGGAAGCGCCCAGTGAATTGTCTGCTTTTTGAATCTGCAAAGACGGTGCGCCATGCAGCGAGTGACGGTAAGCCGTGATCTCCGGGACTGCTGCAGCAGATACAGCGTAACGTGTCTGGGTACCCGCAGAATCAAGAACCACGTAAGTGCTTGACCATGCTTTTGCGATGTCGAGTCGCGTCAACATTCATGGTTCAAAAGACAGGGTAAAGGAAGATCCCCGACCTTGCTACCCATTCCTGGAAGAGCTCACGATTCAGAGTGTCCGTATGTCACTACGCCGAACAGTCAGGTATATACTCAATGTTCTACAACGACTGTATGTCTCTTGCAATTCGACCGCGTAGCCGATGCCCTGCACTGCCTACCCGAACTCGCATACCTCCCCATGTCTAGAATTGCTGTTCCTTCAGGCCTCACTGAATGAGACTCATCCCCGCCAACTACCCATTGAAAGCTTGTTCTAATTCGTGTGCTATCCGCTACGGCAGAAGTTGGCTGGGCAGTCTCGGCGTCCAGCGTCTTGAGCCGCAACTTCGATGCTTTACTCAGCCAGGGTTCGATGGTGGGAGCGGCGAGATACAAACGAAAGTGCAGGCTGGTGTTCGATGTCTCTCAGTGCTCGACCTTGATGAGTTGATTGCTGAGAGATGTATTGAAACCGATGCGGCTAATCTGAACATGACCACAGAGTTCTTCTACGGTGTTCTAGTACCGTTTCGGCACCTCATTGCTCTGTCCGTACAGGAATTAATAGTTACAGGACAGAATCCGGAGGCGGTGGCCTTGGACACCAATGCTGAGATACGGGATCTCACACAGCTGTTCCCTCTTACATCCCGTGGGCATGCCGCAGGTGGCCTTCTTGTGTAACGAGCTCGAGACGGGCCAGAGACAGCTGTTTGCGCCGACCAAGAACTGTCCTAGTGAGCATACAGCACTTTCTCGTAGCCGGTGACTGATATGTAAATGGCATAATCATGTACTCATCACCTCCCGCGCCACGCCGGAGACGCATTCTTCTACCGACTGGCCTCCGGACTAGCAGCGTAATACATAGTAAAAGGCGTAAGTCATGCCATCCATCGGATACGAGGAGCTAGTGTACTCAATGAAATACTCCATGGATAATTGGGAGCCATCTCTGTGGCTGAATGCCACTGTGGTACACCACACAGTCCATGGATGATTTGCTGTCCGACGCGAGTGAGGACACTCGGATACGTGCATGTTTGATTCTGCCACTATGCGCGCCACGTGTGTCTGTCCTGGGCCTTAGCAGACTTCGATACACATCCTGGGCGTTCCGCAGGAAGGGTTCCTGGACGTCGGGGGAGATTGTCTCTCAAAACTGTATACGGGTACGAAGTAACATCCTTCACGGATATACTTGGACATGCGGAATGAGAGGACCGCCGAAGGGCCTGCGAACACGAGCCAACCAGCACGTGATCCGACAACGGCCCTAGCGGCTAGAAATCGATGGCTGATGACTTGCATCTCGGTGCGCGCCAGAAACCCGACGACTCTGCCGTGCAACGGCTCAGATTGCCGTTCAGCGGCCTTTGAGAAGATGACTGCCTTCATCACTCTCGTCAAGGGCGCTCATGGAAGCTGAAATATCTTCGGCTATCGACGCCGAAGACGATGGTCGCTCAGGGGGATCCGCGCTCCTCAAATCTCGTATCCAATGATCTTGAGACGAAGCGAGCGACCAGGCTGTCTCGCGGAGAGTCCAGCCGTCCCTGGCCCTGCAATTGGCGCCGCGAGACTTTCGTCTCATCAAAACGCCCACGCTGCACGCAAGCGCAGCCACCATCGTGATTCGCAGCGCTCGTGCTAAGCATCTCCTTGGTCGGTATCCGAGGCATCGTGAAAAAGCTTGTATCTGTGTGAGCTATGAATGGATGCGCACGCATGTCCGTGGAAACCGCCGGTGAACGGCTACATAACGGCGCTTGCTCCTGCCCTGGGGAGAATGGAGATTTTGACGTCGTTCTTTTCTGTCAATCCACTCACTTCTGCAGTCACGCTTGTTAACGGTCGTTGACATTGCTGGCTCGTGGATGCTTCATACACTGTTCATAACTGTGCTATTGTGGTAGTTGTCACTCATTTCAACTCCACTTTATTGTCTGTCATCACTATCACTAATTATCGACTTCTGTTCCCATAGTTCAGCTCTTACAAAGGCAAGTGTCACCTATCAAATCCGTCTACGCAAGCGGTAGCCGGTAATATGGCTAGTCTAGAACCAAGAGTAGCAAAACCACTCCACATTCTACAGTTCGCCCAAGACGCAGACAAAGAGCGCAAGAGCTGTGCGACCCGTGGAGCTAGATAGCGCTGCTTGATGCCGCCTTGGGAAGCCTCGCTCTCTGGCCGTGTCTACACGGCAGTGGCTAGACATGCCCCCCGATATCATCAGGTGTTCTAGTGAACCCCAACGCTGACCATCTCACAGGCATCAGGCCGTTCCGCTCTTTCCGGTATCAGCGCATATCACACCTTCCTTAGAATCCACTCGGTCATAACATCAGTAACCCGATTCGCGAAACCTCAACCGGCCGTCTTTCCCGATCCGGAACACCCACCATCAAGTACGTCTGGCCACACTTTCCTCAGCTGATCAGTTGCCCACGGCCCACACCGTAGCCACGTGCAACGGATGGACTGATCAGAACTGCACACGGATCTTCTCAGTGCTCGAATTGCACATCACCTATCAAATATCTGTCAAACTGCCGCTCTCCGCCCACTTGCATCACCTATCTATCCATCTTTCCGTCTCTACCTCACCTGTTGAGCTGCCCGGCGCAGCGACATCACTACCTTCCTCTGTCACCTTGGTCGCTTACAAACACTTCCGGTAGATCACAATGAGAATCGTTTCACTCGCCCTCTTCACCGGGCTTTCTTCCGCCAATATCGTATTCAACAGGATACAACCCTCCTGCAATCATACCGAGCTTGGATACAGCGGCTGCTTGCGAGGGCAGCATTGCACAACAGAGGATATGTAGGTCTCAAAACTCCGGATTCCTCACGGGACGCGCAAGCTCACAGCGCCGACAGTTGCGAGGCTGCCATCGATCAGAACCTGTACCCGCACTCTTTCCACTACGACGTCCCTAGCCACCTCGATACTCGTGAAGTGCGCGACGATGGCCGATGCGGCAAAGAATTTGGAGGAGCGACTTGCGATGCGAACGGGCCATATGGCGGATGCTGCAGGTACGAACTAGCCTTTCTGCGTACTCCAACGGTCATGAAAGCTGACACAAACGCAGTGCATATGGCTTCTGTGGGAAGCTCGACGGCCACTGCTTAGTTTCCAACGGGTGCCAGAACGGCTGCAGAGACGCTCCGGCACCAACTATCACTGTAAGTCCCGGCGCACCTACTTCAGCACCGCCCCGCCCCGATGGACGTTGCGGCAAAGACGTTGGCGGCGCAACATGCGACGCGGCTGGCCCGTTTGGTGGCTGCTGTTCCGAATATGGGTACGTACAGTCTCTAATCCCATGAAGTCAAACGCTAGAACTGACATCGGCAGCTTCTGCGGCAACACGGACGGTCACTGTCTTATCAAGAACGGGTGTCAAAACGGCTGCAAGGATGGAGGACCAGGCGGTAACACCCCACAGCCATCACCGGATGCCACTACTTCTGGCGAGCCAATTCTCGGAAAACCCACGTCTGCCGCCACCGCCCCCGGTAGCGAGGCAACTGCCATCGTTACGACAGATGGATCGTGCGGCGCCACCAACAAGAACTCCATCTGCGGAAACTGGCCGCAGGGGGGCTGCTGCTCGATGTATGGGTTCTGCGGCAGCACGTAAGTTTTGAGATCATCTGGCATAATCATACTTCGGCCTTCCCCAGGCTAGTTGCAGTGCTAACCGTACTCAAGCACCTCTCACTGCGGCGACGGCTGCCAGTCCGGGCCGTGTCTCAAGGGTGCCGTTGTTCCTGCTCCAGGACCTAGTCCAGCACCCATGAATCCCAATCCGGGATACTTTAGAGTGGTTGGCGATTCTGGCGTCCCCGTCATGCACGCCGGACTCATGCCTAATGGACGCGTTGCTTTCCTGGACAAAGTCGAAGACTACACCAAGCTCAAGCTCCGTAACGGACAATACGCCTACGCCTCAGAGTATGACCCTGTTACCAACCAGGTTGTTCCGCTCGCCTACGGCACCAACTCGTTCTGCGCCGGTGGCACTTTCTTGGCAGATGGTAGCTTCCTCGCTGTTGGTGGCAATGGGCCTCTTGACTTCATCGATCCAACCGTGAAAGATGGGTTCACCGGGATTCGTCACCTTAAGCGCTCTTCCACCGACGCCAGCCTCAACGGCCAGGATTGGATCGAGCCCGGCAACAAGCTCGCCTCGGCGCGCTGGTACCCGTCCGTTCAGACCATGCCCGATGGTAGGATCTTCGTCGTCTCCGGCTCCCTCAACGGCCTCGACCCCTCTGTGAACGAAAATAACAACCCAACCTACGAGATTCTCTCCCCCACCGGCGTCTCCACCGGCCAAAACGTTCCGATGGAGCTCCTCGAGAAGAACCAGCCGTACTACATGTACCCCTTCATGCACCTTCTACGCGACGGCAACATGTTCGTCTTCACCTCCAAATCATCGCAGATCTTTAACGTCAATGCCAACGCAATCGTACGCCGCTTCCCCGATCTCCCAGGCGACTACCGCACCTACCCGAACACGGGCGGCAGCGTGCTGCTCCCGCTCTCCAGCGCCAACAACTGGGACGCCGACGTCATGATCTGCGGCGGCGGCGCCTACCAGGACATCACCAGCCCCACTGACCCGAGCTGCGGCCGCATCAACCCGCTCGCGCCGGACGCGAAATGGGAAATGGACTCGATGCCGCAGGGCCGCGGGATGATCGAGGGAACACTCCTTCCTGACGGGACAGTCGTGTGGCTTAACGGTGCAAACCGCGGCGCGCAGGGCTTCGGCATCGCGACGGACCCGACGCTCGACACGCTGCTATATGATCCCTCTCTGCCGAAAGGGCAGCGCTGGACGACGGGCGCGCGCAGCGAGATTCCACGGCTGTACCACAGCGTCGCGCTCCTCCTTCTCGACGGCACGGTTATGGTCACGGGGAGTAACCCCGTCGAACAGCCCGTCCTCACCCCGGATGCGAAGAATCCGTATATCACGGACTTCAGAGTCGAGATCTACACCCCGCCGTACCTGGCGGGTGAGAACGCGAACAAGCGGCCTACGGACATCGTGCTGGGTTCCAAGGACCTCAAGGCCGACGGCTCGACGTTTGGTGTTGCGTTCAAGGTCCCGCAGGGCGCGAAGGCTGTCAAGGTCGCGCTTTACTATGGCGGCTTTGTTACGCATAGCGTGCATATGGGCCATCGGATGATGTTTTTGGATGTTGAGGGCTGGAAGGCGGGAGCGGCGCAGCAGCATGTGCTGGTCAAGATGCCGCCGAACAGGAACGTCGCGCCGCCCGGGCCGTATGTGGTATATGTTGTTGTGGATGGTGTGCCGGCCGTGGGGCAGTTTGTCATGGTTTCGTGAGAAGTGAGAGAAGAGGGAGGGTAGAGTCACGGATTCGTGTTCATGTTGCTTGCTGGAGCGGGCTTTGTATTGTCCATACGGCTGTACCTTTGCATAATCACCTAGAAAGAATCAGACCTAGAAACTGAGTGCAAGAGATGTGGTACAAAGTTAATGATCCGCCATCCCATTTCCATCATGCTGCAAGGGTAGATGCAAAGGCCTTCTGCAACTCCCCCTAAACCACTCTCGATACGTTGTGTTTTCAATCTTCAGCAGGAAGAGTGCTTCAATGTATGAGCAACAGCACCCAGGATATCTCCAGCATTCCCGCCACAATCCCTACACATAGTTATTCAACTCTAACAGCGTCCCCTAGATTCAAAACCAACGGAGTCCCACCCCTATTCAGTCTTTTCCGGATGCAGACTCTTCCACTCCCCCACAATCCCCCTGTAGTCAGCAGGACTATAATGCTCACTCCACTCCCTCCACCAGCTTCCCTTCCTATGACGTCTGACGCTCAACTCACTCAGCAACAAATCTATATACGGTATGCTATCAAACCAGATATCCGGAAAGCGTCCGCCAAAGCCGCGCGAGTAGCGCCATTTACCGCACTGTGAGTGAAGTACGGTCTGGTATGCGATGCGCTCTCTGACGTCTAGAGCCGAGGAGTCCTTCAGGTTCGCGATGTGACCGCCGAAGAAGGCCGTGATCCACAGCGCCTGTGTCTGCGCGATCATCATGGTTGCCGGACTCCGGATTGCACCGGCGAACGCGAGCGTGCGCTGGGTGATGAAGGATGGAGGCACCATGAAGCGGTACAACCGGTACGGCTCGTTGATGATTGTGGTTTTGGTGAGAGCCATTGGTTTGAGGTTTGGACGGTCAGGTGGTTGGAGAGCAAGTTTTGGGAAGGAGGACAGGATCTCGGCATCGGCGCGGGCAGTCAGGGATGAGGCCACAGTGGTGCTGAAGCTAGGAAGGCCCAGGTCTTTCTTAGTGATGAACTTCACGGGAGGTGTCTCTTTCCAACCGGTGCCGCATATGAGGACCTCTGTTTGGATCTCGGTGTTGTCCGAAAGATGTATTGTCCCCTTCGAAAGATGAGTGATGTCCGCGATGTGAACGGTGATTGTGCCATTGCGGACAAATTCGAAGATGTCCTGATCATAATTGACCAGTCCTCGATTGGTGCCCACGAAGAAGACTTCGTCCCATGGCTTGAGCTTGGCTGTCTCGGCATGCCTGTCGTAACCGAGCTTACTGAGAACTCCGTGAGTCATAGCCGCAAAGAAACCGTCGACAATCTTGCGGCCGAGCCACGTCTTGTGTAAGAACCACCGGCACACCCAGTACCCGTCTGCATTTCCCCAGGTACATGGACTGAACCAGGTGAAGAAGCGCGTCAACAGCAGATACTGCGTGATAACCTTGAGTGGGGTTACGCGACTCGGTCCCATCCAGCAAGGGCCGTGTCCAGAGGCGCGAATGACCCAGTCGACTTTCACTCCGGCGGAGGCATAAGCATATGCGATATCCCAGGAGAACTTCGCACCGCTCATGATGACGACTTTTGTGTATTGGCCAGGCCCATCAGTCTGCTGTGCAAACTCGCTACTGTGGAGGATGGGAGTTCCGAAGTCATCTTTACCCTTCAATTCTGGCATGAATGGTTCGGAAGTAAGCCCTGTTGCAACCACCAGCTTCGATGCTCGAATATCTGATTTCTTGGCCCGGTCAATCACATCCACCACTGTCAACTTCCAGCCAGCTGCACCCAGATCTTCTGCGAGGCTGACATCGGTACGGAGGCGTACGAGCCGGATAAGATCGAACTTCTCCGCATACGCGCACAAGTACTCGTGCACTACTGGTCCCGGAATGTGCCCGGTACCGGCTTTCATGGGAAGGTCGCTAAGCTCAAAGGTACCATAGTGGTCGTTGGTCTTGAGAGTAGAGAACAGCTTTTCTGCGGCCCAGGTACCGCCGATAGATGAACCCTTATCGAGAATGAGGATGGACTGGCTAGGGTTGACATCTTTATATGTCTTGGCAACAGACAAGCCATGTATACCTACTAGTCATCAGCAAACGGGACCGGATTCCCATCCCAGGATGCCTCATACCGGCACCGATTATGACAACGTCAAAGTGCTCCATACAGATGATTTGCAGATAGACTGCAAGCTCCTCCAAAGGTTTGAGTTTGTGTTCACCGACGACCCCAAGTACGATCGAAAGTCAACCAACGAGGCCAGAGGAAGATGCAACGAAGGGATCTCCGAATAATGGAGGAAGGGCTTACCCTTAACTGATACCAAGAGGCCCCCACTCCCAAACAGGCTAGCAAGCTCTCATGGATGGTAAGCTTACTCATCGTCCGGAGAGTCTGATTGGGTCGAACTGGTGAGAACAGCTTGGCAGTGAGACCTAAATGCGCCAGGCGAGGATGTTCAGCTGCTGAAAGAGAGCGCTACTAGATAACTCTGAGGCACCTTCCGATCCAAGCGCGGAGCTGAAAAAGAAGATTCAGCCTCATCTGCGCTAGCCGCGGCTAGCGGCTGCAACAGTCGCGGTCAAGTGCGAGCTGAACTGGGCTCCGACCGCTTCCTCTTGAATGATTTAGCCGCACGGAACGGCAGTTAGTGTTCTAGTTCTCTACCCATTTACACCTGGCGCAAATCAAGCTTGTTTGCGAGGAAGATATGATTCGAGGCCATATTCTAGGGAGTTGTAAGCCGAGGGGCAATTCTTATTTTGGCGACAAGTGCATTGAGTTCGGTTGACAACACGTTGGACTGAATCATCTAGGACTTGGAAACCGAGCGGCTAGCGCAATGCGACATTGCTAACACTACTGAACAATGAAACTACATTATGAAACCACATTATGAAACGAGTAGTTAGCCACTTATCTCCAAGAGCTGGTTCCTCTTACTTGCAACACGCCTTCTTGTGTTCTTTCCAGTCGGCTCGTTGACACTCGGCAGAGCAGTACTTCGCATTGTGGCAGCGCGCGCATCTTAGCAGACTCGAATCGCTGCTCGATTTGTGCTTGCCACAGACCTTGCATCCATCGTCGTTTGGTTTTCCCTGGCTCGTAGCACTGCGAAAACTGAAAGTCTCTTCCACGAACGGAACGGAGAACAATGGCGATATGGCGGCTCGAACGGCATGGTTGGATACAATATTCCATTTGGGGACGCCGGACATAAACTCAGCCGGCAGCTTTCCATTCCCACAGGAACAGATGGGGGAGTGACCATCCTCAAAGGACAAGGGTATCTTAGATGAAACCGAGTATTCGCAAGAAGAACGATGCTCCCATTGTCGGCAGCGTTCGACCCAGGCTGGAAGTACCTGTTTCCAGAGCCGCAGCTCATCGTCATCGACCGTGATGTTGCAGCGCTGTACGCCCGACAGTGCTCCTAAGAACTGGCCTATCTGTGGCACCAGCTCGTGGGTCAATGGCAGCACCGCCGCGTCCAGGACTACAGTGCGATTTGCGCCATCGAGCCTCAGACTCGACCCAAAGATGAGCGTGTGCACGCCACCCCTCGTGGGATTGTCAAGGCAGAAGATGCGGGCTTGGTTGCCCTGTAAGCCGCTGAAGCCGATGAACATGGAGAACAAAGAGTCCTTGAACTGGACTCGGACGTCATTGTGAGAGACCGTTGGGGACACCATAGATTTGTCCCTCAGCTTGCGCTCTCTGCTCGAGAACATGAAGGAGGTATGTGTAGTTAGCCAACTCTCTTCCTTGAGCCTTGACGTGTCGAGCATCGGTAGGCAATCGAATTTTAGGCGTGGCAGGTTCCAAACCACCGGTGTCTGTTCGTCTAGGAACATTGGATAAATAAAATACGGCAACACATCTCCATCCATCGGCGCTACCATGGAAACAACTACTTCCACGTATGCAGACTTTCTGGCAATTCGAGTTTTGCTTCCTGACTTCAGCACCGGAACGGGGAAATGAAGATACTGCCGAAGGGCGCCTTTGCCGATTGTTACAGCGAAGACGCAGGCAGAGATCTGATCGGTCTGAACGTTGGCGTTGTTGCGTAGAACCGATTTAATGTCTTCCGAACGGATGTCTACACGGCCTGTGAAGGAGTCTATCCGGGTTCCTCTCACGTCGACGTTCGCAGTGATAGTCGCGCTGGTGGCTTGGCTAGAGATCTCTTTGCTTTCGACTGCAGCGTCGTCAGAGGCGCATATGACCGCGTATCCTGACTGATTCGGCATGTGTTTGGTGATGTAGACGGCATCCTCGTCCCCAAGACTTGTTTCAAAAACATTCATCTGGGGGCCGAGGAGTTTCGAAAACGTCTTTGAACTGTACGGGGTGACCTGAACCCCGAAAGCTACGATGGCGCTCTCGGGCTCCTGTAGTATAGTCCAGGTGGGTGCATAGAAGGATAGGGAAAGCGGAGAGCTTCCATTCCAACCATCTTTGTCTTCTGTGACCTGAACCTTGAAGTTGCCACTGTTTCGTACACCTGCGGCAGTAGCCTTCCCGAAGGCCAGTTGAACGGACGCGAAGAGGTTTTGCCATGACGGGACAGTCGATTTCGGAGAGGATTGTAGGAGGCAGTGAACAGCAGGTACACCAAGCTCCATTCGCGGGATTTTTGTAAAAACGGCAAGTTTAGCTCTTGAGACCTTCAAGGTGACGCAAACAGCTGCGGGGATATCCTTCCAGGCCCTCAAACCTTTTGGTCGTTGGGTCTCGCTTCCGAGGCCAACAGGCTTCCGCAGCATCTCTATGGAGTGAACCCCGAGGAGATGTAATTGAAGGATCAATTCCTGAATGTAGTTCATTCCCACCATGAGATTTGAGTCCCTTCCTACCAGACCAAGGAATTCCGTCATGACTGTGTTCCAGTCGGCAGCTACGTGAGTCTTGACGAGGCTGATAAAGGCAGCTAGGCTTCCTCGATAATGGTGTGGCAATGAATGTTTCTGCAATGCCATCTGGCTTATTCCGGACATCAGTACGCTCAGGTTTTCGCTCTCGAACATCTTGAGGTAGATGCGGTACAGGATGTGGGCCAGAGGACGTTCATCAATGTGAATAGGAGATGAAATCTTTGGCTGAAGCATCTCCTTCGATGCCGGACTGAGGCGTTTCCAAGTCAGTCTCATGTGCATCTGTCCGGTCGAGTCGAACAGAGTTTCATCGACTGTTGATACGGCTGCAGCATTCGTCCAGTATTCTACAGGAAACAGTCCGAGTAGGATCGAGACGGTCGGAAAGTGGCCACACAGGATACTGTCTACCCGTTCCTTGTAATTTTTCTCTTGCTTCACCAGTGATTCAGTATGGAGACTGGGCGAAACGCTATGCTTGAGCAACGGTGACGTCGCCACCAGGGTGTTGATTGCACCAATGTGATCAACGAGATTTGATGTGTCGATCACGTCGAAAGATACCGGTGCATCTGCTGGCGTAGCATACTCCACACCGTCGAGTGCTAGAGGTTCCATGTGGTACATCGTACGGTACAAGTTCGCGGTGATGTTGTTGGTAATACGCTTATGTTGCAGCGTGTGGCAAAATGCAAGTGCGTCTCCCGCAAGAAAGCGTAGGATCAGACCATGTCGAGCGCATCTTCGAAAGGATGATGCCCAGCTTTGGCACTGCAGTCGCGCTGCTGCTACGACTTTGTGCAGAGGGGGAATCCCGTGAGGTTTTAGGCGCAAAGGCGACTTCGGATCCAAGGGTACATAAGCGCTTGCAAGGTGGAAACCGAGCAGTGGATCAGTGCCGTAATGAAGGACGAAAGTGTCTGTGACAAGAGAAGCAAACATTGGGTTTGGAAATTTTGCTTGATCGCTGCTATCCGTAGTGCCATGGTCCCAATATTGCTGATGTAAATGCGGGAGGTTGTCTAGAGACTGAACGATCACAGGAGCAGTGGAGCGGAAACCCGTAAACACGACGCCACGGCTGCCGAGGCGATCGACTCGTATATCGACGGCTTTCTGGATCACAGCTCTGAAGTGCTTCTCGTAGCTTGCTTGTTCATCCTTTTCCATGGCCGTGGTGGCGGCGTAGGAACTCCATATCTCTTTAATGTTGATAAATGTAGCCTGGTCGCAGAATCTTACGAGTTTCCCGTACTCACTTCTGTACCAGTCATGCAATGAAGCGGAAAGGGCACAGAGCTTCTTCGATTGAAGATGCAAAAGTTCAAGGGACTTGCTTCCAAGGAAAAAGTGGTAGTAAACATCCCAGATGGACGCAGTATTCGAGCCATCCACGTCGTCCACAATAAGAGTGAACAACAGGATATTTCGTGCTAGATCTGTCAGTGCTGAGCCCTATAAACAGCTGAAAGTCCATTGTACCAAGGATAGCCCTCTCGATGTCACAACATGTGATGTCGAGTCGACGAGGCTCTACAGCATGTTAGAAATAATTTCATATCTTCCTTATACGAGGATAACCCACTGTCATCACGTTCGGAGTGGGTTGTGAAGAGAACATTGCGTGCATCGCCGCACCAAAGAAGCAAGACATCGGCGTCCTTTTCACATGGTAGGTCTTGCGTTAAGCAAACAGCAGGCGTGTTACCGATAGGATAGAAAAAGGAATAGAGGTTGACAACCGTTGGAGAAAATATCTCTCAGCGAATGCCTACAGCGAGCCTTGGGAACGTCTCAATATTCGGGGAGGCACAAGTGCAGAAGTCGTATCGGATTTGTGCGTTTGTCACCGCGGATGCCAGGTTTGTGCATTCGCGGACGCGTTGAGTGGAACGCGTAATCTCGTGACTTGACCTTGCTCCTCCAACCTTCAAGCATCAACCCGCAACCTCGGCCAACTCCGACCCACCTCTCAATGCCACCCTACGACGTCTCCTCCTCGACGTCTACCTCAGTCACCTACTCCCCTCCTCTCTCCCAACCGCTCCCACACCACCGCCTCGCCGACCCATCGCGCCTCGACCCATCTCGTCTCGACCCCTCCATCTACTCACCCCCGCGCCGTCCGCGCGACAGCAGTACCTCGCTGAACGCCCTCCGCCTCCAAGATGCTACCAACAGCTCCCTCCGCCCCCCCTCCGCCCACCGCACCCGCAAACCACGCATCCGCAGCTCCTCCCGCCGGCGCAAACCCCCCGTCTGGCGCAAACTGCTTTGGGTAAAGCAATCCTACCCCGACAACTACACAGACGCGGCGACCTTCCTGGACCACTTGCAGCGCAACCCGCGATTGCAGCCGTACGAGTTCTGGCAGCTGGTCGGCGAGGCGACGGTGATTGTGCAGCATGTTGCTGCGGTAGCCGTGTTTGCGTGCTGTTTTGTGGGGATCTATGCCGAGAGGGCGAGTCCGGTTGCAGTTGTGGGCGCGGGGAGTGTTGGGACGGTTGTCGGGTGGGTTATTTGGGATGGGTGGGTTGGGAAGGAGGAGGAGGCTGCTGCTGCGGCTGCGCTAAGGGAGGCTGCGACAAAGAAGAGCGTAGTGGTAGATGGGGGAGGCGGGGATGCCGCTGAGGATGGGAGCTCGACTAGCTCTGGAAATGGAGAGCTGGCGGGGAATGTAGCTGATGCGGCACCACGGCAGTCTCTTTCGCACAGCGCAAGCGCGACGTCAGTGAATTCGCTGGCGAATGGTACAAGCCATCCGACGGGCGCGCCGAGCTTCCCAGCGTATAGCTACCATCCGCCGTACGGGGACCCTGTATCTTCGATCTCGCCCCGGAATCAGCAGAGGCTGGCGACGGCGAAATCTGCGGTCCTAATCTACTGCGCGCTGCTGGGGCTCAGCCCTATACTCAAGAGTCTGACCAAGTCTACCACGAGCGATTCGATCTGGGCGATGAGCTGCTGGCTCATGTGCATCAACGTGTTCTTTTTCGATTATGGAGGCAGTGTGGGAGCGAAGTATGTCACGTGTTTCCTCCCACCAGACTTAATTACCTCTCAGAACCCGCACATCGTTTCATTAGGGTATCGAATGCTGACTAGAACGAAATATTCAAAGGTTTCCGGCCTCGCTCTCTACAAACGCCGCTCTCATGGCCTCCACTGTACTTGCCAGCCGTCTCGACAGCACAACCTCCGTCTTCTCTCTCCTGCTGTTCTCGATCGAAGTTTTCGGCCTCTTCCCTGTCTTCCGTCGCCACCTGCGCCATGTCTCCTGGCAAGGCCACGTGACGCTCACGATCTTGCTCGTCATGGCCGCCAGCGGCGGCGTTGGCGTTACTATCTCGGGTGGCGGATGGACAGCAGCGGTTGTTGGAATGGTGCTTGGAAGTATACTGACGGGATTGAGCATGGGCATCTGCAGTTGGTGGCTGATCGGGCTCCAGAAGTACAAGAATGAGATCTATGGGCCCTGGGATCCTGCAAGACCGGTTATTCGGAGGCGGTGGGATTAAGATCATCAGACTTGGAGGAACCTTTGGCCAGAACGTGGGCTCTGAATTCGGCTAAAGTGCAGCTTCCGTTCGCTAACCATGGATCTGTCGCCTGATGATTCGCGATAGAATTGTCGCGGCGCTGGAGCTTCCTCGTGTGAATGTAGTCTTTTGACAACGCCTCCAACTCGATCTTGCCGCCTGCCCTGGACCACCGTATAAGCTTGTCGTCTTCGCTTTCCTCGCAACCACGCTTTTCGACGGCACGCCAAAGATACTCCACTAGACAAATATTCCCAGGCGGGCAGTCTGTACCGGCAAAGTGAGCAGCATGCCACGGCTCGATAGTCTCCATGTAGCCTTTGCTCGCTCCTATCACGACAACACGCTCGAGGCAGGAGACGTTTGAGAGCATAATAAGAAGGGCGCTCCAAATACGATCCCTCTTCCCCGGGATGGTCGGCCAGCTGGAAAAATTGAGTCTCAAGACCTTGAGCTCTGGGGCTTCTTTCCACAGCGAGCCGTACTGGTTGAAATAGTCATTTGGGCGCGCAGACAGGTATGCTACGAATTCATAGCACAGGCCGTACTCTGGCGTGCCCATGTTGCGGGCGTCGATTTCTACGTCTCGGACCATGGACGAAAAGGTCGGCGAGAGTGAGGTCAGGAAGAAGTGCGCAGTAGTGATGCTGGTGAAGGCAAAGCTGTTGTTGGAATAGAGAGTCCGCACGTCGGCTTCCTCACGGATGAGCTGGCATGTCTGGAGCAGCGCTGTTCCAAGGGCTGGGACGCTGCGGTTGCGAGAGACCGGGATTTCGCGGTCGTCATCTTTGCAGTCTTCCTCGCCTACAGGATGGAGAATTGTTGGGTCAACGATGGGTGAATCGGCGGTGAAGGCAAAGCGGTAGATCATGTTCCTGATCTCGGCGGGGAGACGGAGTAGAGGGCTTTGGAGCTGCGGATCCATTGTGTGATTTGAAGTCATTTTGACGGGTTCGCGGGTGTATGAGTGAGAAGGAGAGCGTGATGGGGGTGAGATGTTGTGAGTAAGCCGAGTAAGCTCGAGCTCTCTTAAGCGGGTTGTCAACGGAAAGCTTCCTGCGAGCGCGCGATAGAGCTAAGCTACCCTAGGTAGGGCTGAGGATAGGGCTGAAGTCGGTGTGCGGCGGCGAACCCGTGATTCGCCGAGTGGATTGAAGGGTTCTGACTCTGGGCAAGGGCCATCCAAAAAATCTGTTGCCGCATCCCAGCTACTGCTTTTTCGCTATCGGATTTACGACGGAGCTGGACGTATGATCATGTTGATTATAGAACAACAAGACCGATCACATGCAATAGAAAGTATAAGATGCTCAGCAGTGCAGCCATGTAGTGCATCAATCACCTGCCACGTCTTCGATCTGTGAACTGCGCTTGCCCTATCCACCTTCAGTGCGGCAAGGTACTTTTTGAATGGCCCTGCGTGCATCAGCTCGTGGGCATGCAACTGACGTCGCCAGCTGAAGGGCTGCAGCTTTTATCAGAGCCGCCAGACTAAGCTACCTTGCAATCTTCTCGACAAGCGAATCCCAGCCGTCGTAGCCGCAGTTGGTGTTCTCAGCATCGACGATGGTTGGCCGTCCTGTCCAGAGATTTTTATGCTAAGGTACCGAATCCCGGGAAGCGTCGGATTCAGAATTGAGAGCCTTATGCAAGCACCCGATGGGGCTTGGTGAAATGTTAAGCAACTCTCAAAAGCGGCTTCGAGAATCAACAAGCTGCGGCTCTCCCTTTTCACGTCGCGATTCATTCCCCCCCATTCCCGTGTGTTGCTGCAAGGTAAGACGTTGATTCTTGTACAGTAAATGAGCAGGGGAGATTACTATCGGCGCAGGGAGTGTAAGGATCGTTTCGTCTATTTCCGTTCTCTGCCACTGCTCGTAGCATGGATTTCGTTTTGGCCCCAAATAGCTTCGGCAGCGCGTGTTTCGAGGCGCCTCACAAAGTCAGCGCGGCTAAATACGTGTCCGTCGACACCCTCCCCGCCTGGCTGCCTTGCGCTAGGCGCTGTTCTCTCTTTCAGCTCCCAGTATATCATAGCCTCTTCTCTCCTCTCACAGCTTTCATATGTTCTGCGCTACGCTTGCTCAATTGCGAAGATGAACCTCCAACCAGACGACCGCGCTGCGCGAACCCGCGACAAATCCCCTGCAGGCGCGCGCCCGCGCTCCGCGAGCAATGCCAGAGCTCCATCGCCAGGCCCAGCATACAACACCACGACCGCGCAGCCTCAGTATAATATCGTTAGCCCTCCAGGTATATCGCCAGTTTCGCAAAATGCCGCCTCACAGCCCGTGCAGGCCCTGCCAGGCTTGTCGAGCTACACAGCACCCATTACCTCTGAACCCATTACTATGGGCGATTACACAGACCTTCCACCAAACGAGAGGCCTCAGTTCATGCAGCAAGCTCAGGCTCAGTACACCATGGCCCAGTCTTTGAACCCATCAGTGTCGCCGAACATCCAATATACCAAACCAGCTGCCCAAATAGCTCAGCACTCTGGATTTACTATGAGCATGCCATCCACCGGTACCACGCCGCAGCTTAGTAGGACTGCCCCCCAGTACCAGACAGCGCAGCCCGGCGGCATTCAATACGCTGCAGTGCCTGGCGGAATCAAGTACACAGCAACGCCTGTCACAGCAACTCAAGGCCAGCCTGCTGTTGCGCACTCCAAAACTGCGCAGTCAAAGAAAGGAACTGCATCCCAGCAACAGAAGCCGGCGTACATTATGAATGCGAAGCCACAGCTCTCGCAGCAGAGTACTCTACAGAGTCCAGCACCATCCGCCCCTGCTCGCGCACCGTCACCGCAGCCTCAAGGCCAAGGATATGCCCAGAACGCAAACATCGTCGAGATAGTACCAGGAGGGAGAGGCAAGCTCGGTGCACCGCCATCGCCGGGTCTCCAACCTCACAGACTTTCAGTGCATGGGCAGCGTCCCGACCTCGGCGCCCCGCCGTCGCCGGGGCTTGTACCTCGAATGGATAGGCTCTCAGTCAGCGGGAACAGACCGGATATGCCCACCCTTATGCCCGGCGGCTTTCCCGGTGCGGGAGGTATGTTCGGCGGTTTACCCCCTCCCAGCCCCCTGCTGGAAGCATACCACGGCACGTATCAGAGCATCTCGCCAATGCCGAGTCCCATGATGCTCCCTCACGACGACGAGCTCGACATGCTACCCCAGCTGTCACCACAGCTGTCTGCTCCCTCGTTCGAGGCAGGAGGAGGTCGACGCCGTCACCGTGCCCACTCCTCCGCCTCTTCACAGCTCATAGGCCCTCTAGCAGACATGGACGGGCAGAAAGACAAGCGGCGCGTGAAGCTCTATCCCGCCGAAGACGACGCGCGCGACATCGCCGACGCGCTCGGTCGCCGCAGCGGTGTTGACAACCAGGTCCTAATCGACATCCTGCCCACACTGACTCATGACCAAATCCTCGAGCTGCGCACCGAATACAAGCGCGTCGCCAAAGTCCAGGGGCGCGGCATCAACATAACCAAGCACATCAAGCTGAAAACAAGCGGCAACTTCGGCAAGATCTGCTACGTAACCGCGCTCGGCCGGTGGGAGAGCGAAGGCTACTGGGCGAACTACTGGTACCAGTCTCAGTCCTCGAAGCGGGAGCTCCTGATCGAAGCGCTCATGGGTCGCTCGAACCGCGATATCCGCGCCATCAAGCAGAGTTTCAGCGACAAGCGGTATGGCGATAGCCTCGCGCGCTGTATGGACGCTGAGCTCAAGCGCGACAAGTTCCGCACGGCTGTGCTGACTGTGCTGGACGAGGCCCGCCAGGAAGAACACGATGTCTGGCCTGTCGAGTACCGGAACCGCGATGTCGACGCGCTGCATGAGGCTCTCTCGCGGCGTGAGGGCGGGGAGAGCGCGATGCTGCAGATCGTGATTACGAGGTCGGACGCGCATCTTCGCGAGGTGCTGCGCACGTTCGAGCGCAAGTATCATGTGAACTTCGCACGGCAGGCGTTGAAGAAGAGCAACAATCTTGTTGGCGAGATCATCGCGCATGTGCTTAATGGCGCGCTGAATCGGCCGGCCCGCGATGCCATGCTGCTGAGGCACGCGCTGTTGGATCTGCAGGAGCCGCCGGCGGAGAGGGCGTCGAGCCCGACGAAACATGCGCGCCAGCAGCGGTGGGACCTGCTGATCTCGCGGCTCGTGCGGCTGCACTGGGAGCCGAAGCATTTGAGGATTGTGAAGAGGGAGTATAGGGAGAAGTATGGGAAGTATGTCGAGGAAGACATCGAGGACACTTGTAGAGGCGATTTTGGCGAGTTCTGCCTGGCGTTGCTGGAGGTTTAGCCGAGTATCGGGTTTGTTGCGGACCAATTCTTCTCTGATTTATCCTTGGATTAGCGCTTGATACCACCGTTGTCGCTGCGTTCCTGCTGTTTTCCCTTGTTGTTCGTCCTTTCGTACTTCGTATCAAGTACGGTCAGCTCATTCCATGACGGATCGAAATACAAGAACGGAAGCGTCGTAATTAGTACTGGAGTATCGGATTGGTCGTCCGCATTGTTGAATCTCAAATATTGGATACTGCGAAGGCAGTAGTACGTCCGCACTTTTGTTTTTCAACACACATATGCTGTCCGCATACTAACATCCTACGCACGCCTGGATCCCTGCCGCTAATCAACTCCCTCCTCCGCCCTCATTTGCTAGCAGCCGTCTCACGACCCCCTCAACTCTTCCATCCCCTCCCAGAATCATCTTCTCAACATCTCGGTTCCTCCTCCCCCTCATGCCCTCTCCATGCTCCCTGACAACAGCGCCCTCGATCCTGCCATCCCGCGCAATCTTCATCCTCGCTATCCTCCCATCCGCCCAAGTAATTTCTACTTCGCGCACGCTGGGATCTAGGGCCTTGATGTCCTCTATTCCGCCCTTCGCTGGTACATGAGCGTCAGACCTGCGCGGTGGCTGCTCCACGCCTTGTTCCTCATCAATGGCATCATCCTCTTCCTCCGTCGCCTCCATGACCGCCGCTGCAGCGGGCTCAGAAGGCGCCAACCCAACTTCCCGCCGCAAGGTCTCGACAGCCGCAAGCCGGAGGTGCAGACTCAACACCTCCCTCCTAATCTCCCTAACCAAGCGGCCAAGATCCTGCCTCCGCCCCCGCTGCCTCTTCCCCGCACCTTCCTTATCCTTCTCCAGCGGCGCGGGGAGCCACCGCGCCAGCAGCGCAGGCAGCGGTACACACGGCGGAATAGTATGCTTGTGCACCCTCAGTGCCGCCGAGCCCTGCCACGGCCGATGCAGCAGCAGGAAGTAAGGGTCGGCAAACCGGCCGCGGACGCTGGCTTCGATGCGCACGCCCAGCACGCGTCCGCTGTCGATGCCGGCGGCTGCGGGGTCCGGGTCCTGGACGAGGAAGGCGGTTGCGCCGGCGGCGAGGCGGTGGGAGGTTTGTTGCAGGAGGCGGTGGTGGGATTGGACGGTTTTGAGCGCGTCGGTGAGGGCTGGGGGAGGGGCGTGTTGGGTGGCTTTTGCGCGGTTGAGGCGGGTGAGGGTATGAGGGGAGGAAAGGAGGGTGGTTTGGAGGAGGGAGCGACGGGTGCGGAGGGCTTGGACTGGCGGATTGTATTAGCGGGGTGATGGGATGGGTGAAGGGGTATAGGGCTTACTTTGGGAGCGGATGCGCGCGAGTTCGGTGTCGTGCTGGGAGTCGGGTATAACTGTCTCGTCCATGGTGACAAGGAGGCAGCAGTCGCTGCAGATGAGATCTGTTCACTATTGTGGATGCGTCTGCGATATGGCTGGCGGGTTTTCAGTGTTGCGAGCGCTATAAATACAACCAGCGCCGCTTGGTAGTGATGGGAAGCTCTTGGTGTTGACAAGGGATCGACAAGGAATCGCGTTTCGGCATCACGGCCTCACGTGATACTGCAGCTGCAGTGCTATCAGCCGGGGGAAGGCATGGCATCGTCTCAACAGCCGTCAGCTAGCACAATCTTTTAGTAGAGCTTGACACTCAAGAGGAGTGTTACACTTGCTTCAAGAGCAGAGGACTCCGGCTTAGGTCCGAGTAGCCGCTGTCGCTCCCGTCGTTTATTCCCGTCAGCCCTGTCGCCGCCCCTCGAAGTGGACACGTTCACGTTTATAAACGCGTGGTCACCGGCCGCACTAGCTCCCCAAAATTCCCCAGAGCCTGTGAGGGACAGGAGCCCTCACCACGACCCATGGATGCCTACATTTCCCTTAGGCCACACGCTCCCTCCCAACATTCGTTCTTCCCTTTCCGCAGATGACGGCCACATTCTTCCACTCCACCTAGCACGGCACGAGCAGAATATCGCAGCGGAGCAGCGTCGAAGGCAGGCAGAACAAGGCGTCGAGCTCGAAGACCTGTCCCAGCCAAACGACAGCTCCTCCCGCGCTCCAGAGCGAACAACAAAGAAGGCCAAGAGGCGTCCACCGCCCATAAACACATCTTCCGCACCCCCTGAGCGCTCCCACCTCCTGACCGCCTCGCCCTCCTCCTCCCCTTCCGACGCCGAAACTACCTCCGACCCCCAGATGCCCCGGCGAAAAGGCCGCTCACCCAACCCACCAGCGGCAGGACGGACCCCCTCGCCCGGCTCTCAAAACGGCCACGCATCGCAAAACGGACACGCAACCGGCGCCATGAACGGCATCGAACACCGGCGCAAGCACGCCTCGCTGGACTCGCCCTCGTCCCAGACCGAACACCTCATGGGTCGGGATGACTTCTCGCTGGACAGCCCCGTGCCGGCCACGGCGACGGGGACACATGATGGGGGCGCGGTGTCGAGGGGGTTTACGGAGCTACCGGACAAGGATAAGAGGAATTTCCTGTTGCTGGTGCTGCTGTACTTCTTGCAGGGTATACCCATGGGGCTGGCGTCTGGGAGCGTGCCGTTCCTGCTGAAATCGCATCTGTCATACGGCCAGATTGGCGTGTTTTCGCTGGCCAGCTACCCGTACTCGCTGAAGCTGCTGTGGAGTCCGATTGTGGACGCTGTGTGGAGTCGGAAGGTCGGACGGCGCAAGAGCTGGATATTGCCCATACAGACGCTTTCAGGGTTCGGGATGATATGGCTGGGTGCCCATGCCGAGAAGATGATGGTGGATGCGGGTGCGGATGGAGGGGCTGGTGTTTGGGGGTTTACGTGGTGGTGGTTTTTTCTGGTGTTCATGTGCGCGACGCAGGATATCGCAGTCGACGGTGAGCACACCCTTGGCAGTTGAACAAGTCTGAGCGTGGTTGACTGATCTATTGACAGGCTGGGCGCTCACGCTCCTCTCCCCTGAGAACCTCTCCTACGCCTCCACAGCGCAAACCGTCGGCCTAACCGCCGGCCAATTCCTCTCCTACACCGTCTTCCTGGCCTTTAATTCCAAAGACTTCGCCAACAAATGGTTCCGCACCACGCCGCTGGACCACGGCCTCATAACGCTGGGCGGCTACCTAACCCTGTGGGGCTGGGCGTACCTGCTCGTGACGCTCGGCCTCGCCCTCCTGAAAAAGGAAGAAAGGACCAAGAACACAGAGGGCGTCTGGGAAGTCTACAAAGTCATGGGCGGCATCCTCAAGCTGCGCAACATTCAGACCTTCATCGTTATCCACCTGATCGCGAAAATCGGGTTTCAGGCCAACGATGCGGTTACGAATCTCAAGCTGCTGGATAAGGGGTTCAGCCAGGAAGATCTCGCCTTGACTGTGTTGATCGACTTCCCATTTGAGCTCGCGCTTGGCTACTATGCGGGCGTGTGGTCCCAGACGTACCCGCCGATGCAGCTGTGGTGCTGGGCGTTTGTGGGACGCCTGATCGCGGCGGGGTTTGCGCAGTTTGTGGTCATGATTTTCCCGGCGGGGGGCGTCACGACGTGGTACCTCCTTACGGTGATCGTGGAGCACGTCTTCTCGACGTTCATGAGCACGGTCATGTTCGTTGCAGTCTCGGCGTTCCATGCCAGGATCGCGGATCCGGTCATTGGGGGGACGTATATGACGTTGCTGGCTACGTAAGTCGCTCTCCTCCTCCTCCTTCTTTCGTTTCAGCTAACAAAACTTGAAGCGTCTCCAACCTCGGCGGCACCTTCCCCCGCTACTTCATCCTCAAGTTCGTCGACCTCTTCACCGCCGCAACTTGCTCGCCCCCCTCTTCCCCCCCTAAAAACGTCGACTCCCTCAAAGGCCCCCTCGTCACGACCCCCTTCTCATGCGCCCTCGAGGCAGACAAGCACCGCTGCATTGACGGCGGCGGGACTTGCACCATCACGACGGATGGCTACTATATCGTCAATGTGATGTGCATTATTATCGGCGTTGTGACGTTTTGGGGCTTTATCCGGCCGGCGGCGGGGCGGCTGCAGGCGCTGCCGTTGCGGGCGTGGCGGTTGGCTGGGGGGTAGGTGGGCTGGCCTGGGGGGACTATATAGATGGATAGAAATCATAGACGATGGGGCTATGCAGTCTGTCGGCTCTTTCGCGCTTCCCTGTGCTTGAATCTGATAATTTGGGGGTGTATTTACACTACAACTAATCTGGTGAGATTCCGGTGACCATTTCATCCGTCACTTACGTCGCACAGCACCCTTCCCTTTGAAATCCCCATGCTGCCCCAATAGTAGCGCCGACTCCTTATCGCCAGCTACCCAAAAGAAAAAAGTTAGGATCCGCTCCCTGCAGATTAGGCAATCGCCCTCTCCAAGAACCTCCTCCCCCCCATCCATGCCCTCCAGGCCCAACTCCCCTCCCCACCAGCCCCCGGCCCTCTCGCCACCCTCACACTCTCCACACCCCTCTGCTTCGCAATCGCCTCCTCGCCAAACCAGTTCCCATGCAGTCCATACGGCACCCTCTGCGGCAGGCTGACCCTACAAACCACGCTCCTCATATCGCGCGCATCCAGGACCCAGAGCTCAGACACCGCAGTGGGCGGACACTCGCCCTCGACATCGAGCTGCGCCTCGTCGAAGGCGTAGAAGAGGAGGTATCCGTCGTCTTCGGCCGCGCTGTGCGCGCGTGGCACGAAGCGCGCTTCTTGCGCGCACCACCCGGCCGGCATGCGGAACGCGCGGATCGGGTCGGTGGCATCGGTGCTGCTGAGCACGGCGGACATGGCGCGCGTGTCGACGCAGCCGGTTACTGGTGCCGGTTTCGTGGTCGCGGCGCGCGCGATCAGTGTCGTGGCGTCTATCTTCAGCAGGACGTCGATTTTCGCCGCGCGGCCGAGCGCCGCGCCGAAGGAGGCTGCGGTCGTGCTGCAGCCGTAGATGTAGCGGGCCGCGGCCATCTCGGCGGTGGGGTTCAGGGTCGGAAATTCGAAGGGGAGGGCTGAGAGGGCGTACTGCGCGGTGATGGTCGGCGTGGGGTGGGAGAGGGAGAAGGTGTAGTGGTAGAGGCGGCATTGCTCTTCTTCCTCGGCTGCGACGGTCGCGGGAGGGGGAGGTGAGAGGGAGGGAGAAGGACTTGATAGGAGTGGCGTCTTTTCTGTGGGGCGGGGGGACTCGAGGGCGGGGGCGCGGTCGTAGGCGGCTGAGACGGAGGGGTTCGCGTGCGCGCTGGCGTGAGCGGCATCGTCGTCGTCATAGTGGTCGAAGAACGAGATGGAGCGCTTGACGGCGTCGACAGTCTCCTGCGTCGGCATGGGCTGGAGTGCGGCGATGTTGCCGGCGCTGAAGACGAGGCTCGCGGAGGTGAGGCGGCAGGCGAGCAGGTTTACAGTCGTGACGTTGCCGTTGGCGTCGTGGCTGTCCCAGGCGTTGGCTGTGTGGAAGATGCAGCAGGCGGAGGTCTCGAACCAGCGGACCTTGTGGGGTTCTGTGCGAGGAAAGACCCCGAAGCGCGAAGGCCGGGAAGAGTCGTAGGTGACGATTGGCTTGTTCTTGAGGAGGTTGAGTGGGTCGAGTGAGAGCGGAAGATCCATGATGACGGCGTGAGATCGTGATACGCCAAAGTCGTGCATCATCTTTGCGGAGCGCATGCCGGGGACTGGAGCGTTAATTATCTTTCTTGTTGCCGATGGCTTGCTGGTGTCCGGGATTAAGGAGTAATGGCAGTATGGAGACACAAAGGTGTTGTGGAAGAGGACCAGCTCTCCCGTTACGGGATCGACCTTCGGATGGCCTGTAGTGGACTCTTTGAGGAAGCTGAATAGTCCCGTGCCACCAAAACCCTGCGCGTCTGGCTTTACTCCCTCACCTTCTGCTGTATTACCATCGTACCAGCCAACAGTTTCCAATCCCGGTAACTGTATCCGCATAGGCGGTCCGCTCTCACAGGTCGCCAGCGCTCTCCCGTCATGGTAGTAGATGGCCGTGTTGGAAACGCTTATCCGCTTGATAGCGTGCTCCGAACCTGGCAGATGAGAGAGGAGGACCAGGAAGACCGCCCTGAAGATTCGCAGCATGATGGTAACCAGCCTCGAAAGCGGGTTCACCAGCGTTGCGATACTCGGAAGGATTGCTCTCCTCAATGACGGCGTAGCCAAGGTCGACAGGTACAGATCGGTGTGGATATATTGATTGACAAACTCCGGCCGTATCGATCCATCTCTTTCTGACCGTCGAAAAGCCACCCCGCTAAGCATGCCGTCTCCGTCGAACCAGTGGGCATCACGTCCAAGGTCTTCGTTCAATAGCGGGTTGCCTCCATTCCGTACATACTGGCCACCTGCAAGTTCTTCTGGGATAGTCCCCTCGTAGGTACACGGCGTTAGGGGTCGTGTCTGCTGGATTGGCGCGAAGTTGCCTGAGAGATAAGGATGCTTCTGTCCTCTTTTCCTCTTCAGAGACATGCTTGATTGCTCGGCGTCGAGGAGCAATGGGGTTCCGTCCACAGAGCTGGCAGTGGTGTAGAAGCGATTGAGCTTCCCTAGTCTTAGCGCTGTATGAGCATACTGGACGGGCGCAGATGGAATGGTGCTGGTAGTTGCAGTCCACTGTGAACAACTCCAAGGCTCAGCGTGTCGAAGCAACGGCTGAGTTGAAGCTTGTCGATGCTTGCGGCCGATGATGCGATGAAGTGGTCGATCCGGCGCATAGCGCAAACACCTCAGGCATCTGCGAGCATGTGAAGCGGGTCCTGCCGCTGCATTGCTGAGGAAAGCGGGGAGCATCAAATGAAAGTCTTCCAGGGCATGTTGGGCCTCGTGGGCCTCAGTGAGTGTTCCAGGATGTCGTTCCAGGTTGTCGTCCCCGCACGGTTTCGACTCTAGCAGAACTTGGAATGACAGGAATGCAAGCTGCAGGCATCAGGCATCGATGACGCCCGTAGCTTGCGCACGGACTTCGAGGACGGTTACACGAGCGGTCTGGCGCGCGTGGCAGGGATCGTTGGCGCGTTTTTCCCCCTTGTCCGCTGCACGACTTGCCGCTTTACCCGCTTCGGGCATGGCGTCCGTCAACCTCCCCGCCCCCAGCTGCTCGAGCAGATCCCGGATCTTGCTTTTGCGCCGACTGTCCGACTCCGCTTGGGATGCTGGTAAAGCGGGACTTCAGGTTGAGTCGAGGTTGACCACCTCAAAAACCGCTTACCCGGGCGTTGCTGGAGTAGTGTGGTCGCCGTTCTTCATCTGGACATCCAGTCGCGTCTCATCCGCGGTTACACCTGATATCCTTCGCATCGACACACACGCTACACCACGGCTCTTCCCGCGTCGTCCCATCTCCAAACTTCAACGCTGTTGTTATGGCACCGTAGCACGCAGCTCTTCGTCACCAGAGCGCCATGGGCTTCGACTATGCGCTTGTGTACGTGTGGCAGTACAAGCAGCTGCCTGTGCGCGCATACTGAACTGCTCCAGGCACCTCAAATACACCATACCCGTGGCTGTAGCCCTCACCTTTGTTTACCGCCCGCTCCTGACTCGATTAGATGTGTATAAGATCCTGTTCTTGGCGACCGTCAGCAGTTCTGAAACACCTCCGACAACTCCAATGGCTAACCCGAGCAGATCGCCGTCCTTTCGACTATCCCGTGGGACTCGCACTTAATACGGACTCGCATATGGAGCTACCCACCAGAGGCCATAGTAGGCCCGACGCTGTTTGCTATACCGGCCGAGGAGATATTCTTCTTCGTCGTCCAGACATATAACACAACTCTGCTGTACTTGCTCTTCAGCAAGCCCACCTTTCATCCAATACATCTCCGCAGTGAGGGGCCTTCTACCGACGTGCGCCGCACACCCGGCTCTCTCTGGAGGTATTACAAATGGGCAGGCCAGCTCGTTCTGAGCTTGAGCATTGCATCTGGAGTTTCTCTCATTGGACGCGGAGGCGTGGGAGTTTACATGGGCTTAATAGTAGTTTGGGCATGTCCCTTCCTGCTGCTCCTCTGGTACGCGTGTTCGAAACAGCCATGCAGTCTAGGTCCCAACTAACCGGATGACGGAAACAGGAGCCTAGCATACCAATTCATCATTGGCCTTCCGAAGTCTAATACTTTGCTACCAATCTTCGCACCGACGTTGTACCTTTGGATCGTAGACACGTTGGCTTTAAAAAGAGGTACATGGGTAATAGAGTCTGGGACGAAGCTGGGTATCCATTTATGGCCGCATCTGGAAATTGAGTAAGTTTAGCAGAACCTTGGGCGCGCAATGTACCAGGACGCTAACTCATGCCAAGGGAAGCTGTCTTCTTCCTGCTAACCAACACCCTGATCGTGTTCGGGCTCGTCGCTTTTGACAATGCCTTGGCCATCCTCGACACTTTCCCGCACCTCTTTCCGGAACTACCCGCAATGCCGTCGCCGTTGCTTCTGGTCAAGGCGCTCTTGACGCCGGCATCCAAGTACGACGAGGAGCGTATTGCCGGCCTGACGGACGCTGTGGCCAGGCTTCGAAAGAAAAGCCGCAGCTTCTACCTCGCGAGTGGGACCTTCGAAGGCCGATTGCGCATCGACATGATCGTTCTGTACTCCTTTTGCCGCGTAGCTGACGACCTCATCGACGAAGGCACCGTTGCCTCGTCAAGACAATGGATCAACAGACTCCGCACCTTTCTGGACAGATCCTACAACTACTCTGAAAAGTCACACTCAGTCCGGAGCTATGTTGTGGCAAACTTCCCACCATGGGCACGCACAGCTCCACTGCAACTGCCGACCAATTACCTGCCGAAACAACCGCTCTACGACCTCCTGAAGGGCTTCGAGATGGATCTCATCTTCTCCGAAAACCCCTCAGGCCCTACACCGGCGTACTTTCCCATCGTAAACGCCAACGTTCTAGACTTCTACGGCGCATGCGTCGCGGGCACCGTAGCGGAGCTCTGCCTCGAGCTCGTCTTCCACCACATCCCCGGCCCTATCGCTCCAGCGACTCGGCGGCGCCTGGTCGATGCCGGCGCGAAGATGGGCATAGCGCTCCAATATGTCAACATTGCGCGCGACATCGCTGTCGACGCAGCGATCAAGCGTGTTTACATCCCTACGTCATGGTTGGAGCAGGAGGACCTGACGCCGGAAGCAGTGATCAAAAAACCGGAGGGCGAACGCATAGAGAGACTCCGCCAGAAACTGCTAGATAGAGCTTTTAGTCTGTACGGAGAAGCGAGAGGAGCTATTGAAGAGCTGCCTGTCGAGGCTCGAGCGCCGATGAGAGTGGCGGTCGAGAGCTACATGGAGATTGGACGCGTGCTTAGACAGAAGGGATACCAGGTCAAGGCCGGCAGGGCAACGGTACCTAAGCTGAGACGCGTCTTGGTTGCGTGGCGGGCGCTCAGCCGGTGATGCATCATAAGGGGGTTGGATAATTGCATAACCTAATACCGCTGTACCTATGTAGATACTTGATACCCAAGACGAGACTGTTCTCGTTAGTTGATCGGTAGGCAAATGGACCGTCGACTCCCCAAACGATCCATAAGTACTTGTAGAACACCTTCAGGCCTAGGTAGTATCGTCTGCGGGAGCCAATCGCGGCTTAACCAAGTCCGGAATGCCGAACGGGCGATAGCGCACGTCATGTAACGGCGTTCTAGTGTTAGTATTTACTCAACCAACCGCCAGCATGTGAAGAAGCACCGATTCCTCGCGCGATGAGCGAAACAACGAGGCAGAAGACTGCCATTATAATCGGTGATTTACTGCCTGCCTAACAGAGCTGGGGCCAGTTTACTGACTGTATATAGGCGCCGGGGTGGGCGGCGTAGCAACAGCAGCGCGCCTCGCGAAAGCCGGCTTCAAGGTGACCGTCGTCGAGAAGAACGACTTCACCGGCGGCCGCTGCTCGCTCATCCACCGCGATGGCTTCGTAAGGCCACCTTTTGCACACAACCCGTCAGAATCGACTGACACAGCGCTGCACAGCGCTTCGACCAAGGCCCCTCGCTGCTCCTCCTCCCCCACCTCTTCGCCGAAACCTACCGCGACCTCGACACCTCGCTCGAAGCCGAAGGCATCACGCTAGTGAAATGCGAGCCGAACTACCACCTCTGGTTCGGCGACGGCGAGTCCTTCGAGCTGTCGACCGACCTGGCGCGCATGAAAGAGGAGATCGAGAAATGGGAAGGCAAGGACGGCTTCGAGCGGTATCTGGGCTTCCTGCAGGAATCGCACCGCCACTACGAGCTCAGCGTGACGCATGTGCTGCGCAAGAACTTCACGAGCCTGCTCAGCATGGCGCGGCCGAGCTTTCTGCGGCACCTGCTTGCGCTGCACCCGTTCGAGAGCATCTACAGCCGCGCGAGCAAGTACTTCTGGACGGAGCGGCTGCGGCGCGTGTTCACGTTTGGGAGCATGTATATGGGCATGAGCCCGTTTGACGCGCCGGGGACGTATAGTCTGCTGCAGTACACGGAGCTGGCGGAGGGGATATGGTATCCGTTGGGAGGCTTCCATAAGGTGGGCATCGCCAGCCCTTGATTACAATGTACCAGTTGGCAAGCTAAGCTAGGCACACACCAGGTCATCGAAGGCATCGTCCGCATCGGCGAGCGCCTCGGCGTAACCTACCGCCTCTCGACCCCCATCTCCCGCATCCTCCTCTCCTCCGACAACACCACCGCCACCGGCGTCGTTCTCACGACCGGCGAGACCCTCACCGCCGACGTCGTGATCTGCAACGCGGACCTCGTCTACGCCTACGCCTCACTCCTGCCGCCCTCTCCTTCCGCGCGCTCCCTCGCCAAGCGCGCCGCGTCCTGCAGCTCCATCTCCTTCTACTGGGCGCTAGACCAGCCGGTGCCAGCGCTCGCGGCGCATAACATCTTCCTCGCGGATGAGTATAGGGAGAGTTTTGATAGTATTTTTAAGCAGCACCTCATTCCTAAGAAGCCGAGCTTCTACGTTAATGTGCCCAGTCGTGTGGACCCGTCTGCGGCGCCGGAGGGGAAGGAGGCGGTGGTGGTACTTGTGCCCGTGGGGCATTTGCTCGAGAGCAGCGGCAGCAGCGACGGGGGCAGCAACAGCAATGGCAGCATCAGCGCCAACGGCACCGCTGCCACGCACAAGGGGACATCCGACTCACCCTCCACGACGCAGGACTGGCCATCCCTCATCGCGCACGCGCGCTCCACGGTCCTCGCAACCATCCTGGCACGCACCGGCGTTGACCTCTCCGCCGCCATCCTCCATGAGTCCGTCAATACCCCGCCGTCGTGGAAAGAGGTCTTCAACCTCGATCGCGGCGCCATCTTGGGGCTCAGCCACAGCTTCTTTAACGTGCTGAGCTTTAGACCGAAGACGAAGCACCCGAAGATTGGGAGTCTGTACTTTGTGGGCGCGAGCACGCATCCCGGGACGGGCGTGCCGATTGTGCTGGCAGGCGCGAAGGTGGTGAGTCAGCAGATTTTGGGGGATTTGGGGTGCGGAGAGATGCCGTGGAGCGAAGGGGGGAAGACGGGAGTAGCCGCTAAGAGGGGGAGAGAAAGGGGAAGCGGGATTGATGAGGTGCAAGTGAGCCCGGTGCTGAGCTGGGTGCACTGGACGGTTTTGGTGCTGCTGTTGGCGGTTATGTTGGGGGTTTGGGCTAGGTGATGTTGCGGTGCGATGAAGACGAATGGGGACTGGGCATTTGGTCCCCTTCCACTTCCATGAGTGGATAGACAATAAGAAGTAAATATAGTGAGATCTCTGACTCGCCGTGCAGCAGATTCATGGTGCTCAGTACTCCCCTATCCTACCACGCCAAGCCGTATACTTGGAGTTTACTACTCGCAAGCTCCCCCCCCCGATTCGGCAGCCAATCGCGGCTCTGGGCGGAATCATGAAACTCTCATGCCATCCGTTGCCGGAATCGTCGGCAGCGTTGCGCTGGCACGTGCGGCAGATCGCGAATGGCGTTGCAGCATCGAAGATCACACCACATGGGAAACGCGAATCGCAGTGCGGCGGCCAACGGTTTCTGGGATTATTGCAGGGAAAACGAGCTGGGATGGGAGGGCAGGTGGACAGAGGAAATTATTAATCTTCTTGGGCGGAAGCAGGTTTTGGCGATCACATGTGTCAGCAGCGTGTCCGTTATCGTTGGAAGGGCGCGTTTTGTGTTTGGGGTGCGAACACCACGGCGATGTTGTTGAACATCTGCCCAAGCGGCTCGTCGACCTTGAAGTTTTGTATCCTTCGTGAACGCAGTGAGGTGTTCAGCAAACAGAAAATTGAAGGTCGCAGCAAGCTCCAGTCTAGCAAAGCTTGAGTGCTGTAGCGCGCTCGCTTGGCTTGCCTGAGGCCTGCTAGCCGCTGGAAGAGCGACCGGGAGGCGTCTGCCGGCCAAGCGCACCGGACAACGGAAAGCCATCGTCAACGTCAGGTATCGCAACAACTCCCCATCATGGCCGCCGCGCTCAATCAAATCTCTGGCAAGAGCACTAGCGCGAGTGAGATGCAAGAATCCCTTCAGCGCCCACAACTTGGAGGGAGCGGAACCTGATACCGCTCCGTTCGCAGGGATGGATGATGTGATCTCACAATGAATCAAAGTGCCCGTTGGCCGGTAACTGACGTGGTCGCTGCGTCGGTAGCCTTTTGATCGCATGTGCTCGGAGGGCAATCGGGTTGATACGCTGCCGGCAGCTTAAAGCGGCCCTGGGCGTCATGGTGCGCGAATGGCAGGTGTTTCACTCTCAAAAGCCTGCCTTCTCGATCCCAAATATCCTGTGCCTTCCCCCCCTCACATCGAGCATTCCTCAGCTCAATTTCCTTTCGCGGTCCACCATAACTTCCGCTATCCACTCCTCACAACACACTCAGGCTTTCATATCACTGCTGAAGCATAGTCAACCAACAACCTTAAAGATGGCAGATCTCTTCAAGCGCAACAACGCGCTGAGGGTCAACGGTGAGTGCTTTCTTCCATGTCGGCGTCGCTTCCCTCGCCTGCTAACCCGCTGCTCCAGACCGCACTGCCAATGGCGCGACGGCAGACATCGGCATCACCGTCCGCGGCTCTGACTTCCTCTGGGCCTGGTGCGCCGTCATGGGCCTCGCGACGCTGGTCTTCATCGCGCTGTCGACTCGCAAGCCGCGCACGCACCGCGTCTTCTACTACATCACCGCGGCTATCACCATGACGGCCTTCGTTTCCTACTTCAGCATGGCCTCTAACCTGGGCTTCACGCCTATCCCGGTGGAGTTCCGCCGCTCTGACCCAAAGGTGCGGGGTATCTTCCGCCAGATATTCTACGTCCGCTACATCGACTGGTGAGCATTGCGCAGAAAGTGGCCCGAGACTGCACGCTGAACACAACGGCAGGTTCATCACAACGGCCTTGCTACTCATGGACCTCCTCCTCACCGCCGGCCTGCCCTGGCCCACGATCCTCTGGGCCATCTTCGTCGACTGGTTCATGATCGTGTGCGGCCTCGCCGGCGCCCTGACGCAGAGCAGCTACAAATGGGGCTACTTTGCCTTCGGTGAGTCTCTCCCGTCTCCCTACCCCCACAAAACCAACTACCCACTGACACCGTCCCCCACAGGCTGCGCCGCCCTGCTCTACATCATCTACCTGCTCGTCTGGGAAGGGCGCAAGCACGCCAACGCGCGCGGCACCGATGTCGGCCGCGTCTACACCATGTGCGGCAGCCTGCAAGCGCTGCTGTGGATTCTGTATCCGATCGCGTGGGGCCTGTGCGAGGGCGGCAACGTGATTGCGCCAGACTCGGAGATGGTCTTCTACGGCGTGCTCGACTTCGGCTCCAAGGTTGTCTTCGGCGCCTTGCTCATCTGGGGCCACCGCAACATCGACCCGGCTCGTCTGGGGCTCAGGATCCGCGACTATGATGATGATCCTGCTGTTCATGGCAGCTTCTTTAGGGGTGGCCCGGGCCATGAGAAACATACTAATGGTGCGGGAGTGCATGCGCCGGGGACGAATGGCGTGCATGATGGGCCTGTCGTCTAGGCCTTGCTGGTCGTAACAGCGTCTGGGATTGCTCCTGAAAAGGTGTCATTGAGCGGATCGGGACACCAACTCTACCTATGGGCTGAGTCCTGGTCTATCTCTGATGTTGGACAGGGTTCGGAGAGCGGAGGCTTGCGCTGGTGGGGATCTCCTCTCCACTTCTGCTGCGGATTGGGTTTGGGTTGTGCTCTCGAAGGGAGGGAATTGAGATCGGTTCATGGCTCTGCTTTCAATCTGTTTGTTTGCGTGGCGAATAGCACTAATAATCCCCCCTTTGTAATTCTAGAATGAGTTCATGAATAAGGATGCTGCTTCCACTCTCATACTTGCGACTTGTGTGACAATTCTCCGCTCGCTTGGTTCCGCCGAGAAGCGTCTCAAGTGACCGTGGATCTTTGAAGCCCGAGATCCGGCAACATCATGGGGGGTTATCTTGCATCTTCGCTGAGACAGACGCAATACCTTGACGTGATTCTAGTCGTTTACATGTAAGGCCGAGGTGGCGTTATCCCGTTAGTATGCAATGTGGATAACACGCTGCAAGGTCTCCAAACCCGCTCATCATGCTAAGACATTTCGACCCAGAGTTCAAGGGTGGAACGTGGAGATACAGATCTTCGAATTGCTGCCACAAAAAAAGCCGGCTGACGCTTAACAAAGCACTTCCAACGCCTTGACAAGCCCTCGCAGGACTCCGCTTCAGCCCAAAATCACCCGCTCTCCCTCGCCGTCCGATTCGTTTTGTGCGTCGGGGATGGAAGTGGTTGTGTTCCGCCACTCGTGCCAGCACCCAGCCATGAAGCAGGCATGGGTACCCAGTGCATTTGGTCAAGGCAATGATTGGAGGTGTGGTGGATGGGGGGGTTGATCTGCCTCTTTTGACAAACGAGTCTCCCATTGGGAAGGGGGGACGACGTATACTGAAGAGGGTGAATGAGGCAGCGGTTTGTTCAATGTTTGGGGGTATTTGGAGAGAATGAGAGGCCATGTGGTGAGGGAGGCCGGCGGAAGAGGGGAGTGCCGTGTTTCGATGTCGTAGGATAAGACGAGAAGAAGCTCACCGATTGAGTGATGACCTGCCTTGTAATGAAGAGCTATACCTCACCTTCCTGTCGGCCCATGGAGACGTTTCTAGAGCAGCGGTATCAGTCGGGGGTTTACGCTATGAGGATTCACGGTTGCTATAAATGGCTTTGATTATATGGCCCGGAAAATGCCTAAGCAAGCTTGACTTGACCTTGTCAGTTCCTCTCGCCTTCTCCGCCGTCCGTCGCACTCCTCAGCGCCGGTAGTTCCTCTAGAAAGTACCCCGCCGGCTGCGCATCAACCCCCGACCCCAAATCGGCCAGCGGCGGCAAACTAACACCCGCCTGCCCGCCCCGTCCACTACCCGCATGGAGCAAACTCGCAAGCGGCGGCCCCTGCCCCATGAAATTCCCCGGCCCCATCCCCGTCCCAGTCCCTGGCCCGGGACCCGACGGCCTCACCAGACTCGGCAGGCCCAAAGGAAGCTGCGGCAGCGTGCCGACGGCCTTACTAGGCGGCAGCAACGTGTCCAGCAGCCCAGGGTTGATGTGGGTGAATAGGCTCGAGGACAGCGGGGGCAGGTTCGTGTCGACGAAGTCGAGGATGTCGCGGTTGAGGATTATGGGGCTGGAGGTTGTGGTGGGCTCGGAGAGGAAGTCGAAGTCGGCGCTGTCGGGGAGATGGGTGCTCCAGAAGGCGAAGGGCTTTGGGGGTGGTTGGTTTGCTGAGGTGGGCGGGATGGAGGTAGCGGGGCGTGGGTGGTCTGGGCCAGTTGGCAGAGGACTCTTCGTACTGGTAGCCATGTTCGAGGCTGTTGCGGCTTCTGATGTGGGGTCTTGCTTCGACGCGCTTTTTGGACGGAGCTTGTACCCGGCTTCGGTGTACTTCTCTGGGAAGCGGTTGCGGAAGCGATCTCGCAGATCTAGTGGATGTCTCCGGCTGGAGAGTCCCAGCTCTGGGTCATCGCGTATTGCTTTCCAGTGCGGTCCGTGCTTTTCGTAGCCTTGTAGGAGAGCAGCATCCTCTTCCTCGGTGAAAGCTCTGCGCTCACGATGACTGCTTTTGCGGAACGGCTCCTCGATCCCGATGCGAAGGAGGTCTTCGGCACCCTTGCGATGCTTGCGGTCCGGAGGACATGGTTCTGGTTTTGAGGGGCAGGTCTTAGGCTCGCATGGCTGGAGTATGTTCGAGGATATCAGATTTGAGACTGCCTTGACTGGCACTCTTTCAGTAGCGGCGCTAGTAGATTGAGCTGCGGTCGGGGACGCTATTCTAGGTCCATCGACTGTATTGAGCTTTCGATAATCATCAGGCCGACAGACGCGAAATCTATCTTTCAGATCCACGGCATTTCGATCCTGGAACGAGTACTCCGAATGCGATAGAATCTTCTTCCAGCTGCCGATACCGAATTTGGCCACACCACACAGCAGGTCGTTCGTCTCCTGTTCCGTCCATCTTCTGCGCTTCCTACCTTTGGACGGCTTTTTCGCATCCGCGTCAGCGGGCGGCTGCAGCTGCGACTCAGCATCCTGTACATTCGCCACGAGTTTCACAGTAGTCTCCACAGCAGCCTCCTCGGCAACAGGTACAACCTGAGCCTTCTTGACAGGCGGCTCCGAGGAGATAGGAGGAAACAATCCCGCATCGGGCGGCGGCTGGTGCAGTCCCTGCAGCAGTGGCGGAATCCTCCTCCTCGTCCCTTTCTTGGGCGGTGGATGCGGTTTCGGCAGCGTCAACAGCTCCGCACCGTCTAGCTTCATGCGCTTCCGAGCGCTCGTGTCGTCTAGTATGTCATGGAGTGATCCGCCGAAGACTGTGGAACCGCCCTCGTTGTTCAGGACCTCCGCTAAGGGCACCGCTGACTTTGGTGGCCTTGCCGTACTTTGCTTCTGCTCCGCATTGCGGGCTGTATTGTGAATGCCATGGGGAACGCTGAGCGTTTGGTCGAGGAAGTGTCGTGGTTCGACGGGCAGCGGACGTCCGCCATGGGGGAAGGGAGTGGAAGTCGATGGCCGAGCAAGCGGCTGTGCGAACTGGCTTAGGGTATATCTCTCTAATGAGTTGTGGTCGCTTTGTCCGGGAGCGGGAAAGTTGTCCATAGAGTTGGCGAGCTCTGAGGTGCGAGGTGCTGTTAGGGCTGCCGAGGTAGCATTTAGCGATTGCATGGGCTCCCGTCTGGGCTTGACGGCCCGCCCGAACCGCTGTGATCGTTCCGTGATTCGTTCGAGCACTCCCGTCATGCTGGACTAGATCACTGAACAGAAGGACTTATCAATTATGAATGCTCTCCGTATCCTAATTAGGCCAACCCCGCTATCGCGAGGATTTTCGTGCTGGTGAGGGCTGAGATACTGCCTACCATGTAGACATCTACGAAGGCCCAAGTGGAGTGGGTACAGTAGTCCCGTCATCCTTGTTTTACTCCTGCTTTTGCAAGGTTCGCACAGCTTCAATTGCTTAGGAACTTGCTGATTGACGTTAGCTGCTGCAGGAGTGAGTGATTTCCAGACTGTAGGTATAGCCGTCAACGAGCCGCTGCTAAACATCGCAACTACAGTGGCCGGCCTGGCTCCAGTGCTGGCAATAGCCAGCGTCGCGTTCCTTATTCTCGCTCTCGTCAACCGTATTCGAGCCTACCGGCGCCTCGCCCACATCCCAGGGCCCCGCCTTGCCGGCTTCTCCAGACTCTGGATGGTGCGCGCCAACATCTCCGGCCGCAACCACGAATACCTCGCAGAGGTGACAGCCAAGTACGGCTCCCTCGCGCGCATCGGACCCAACCACCTCCTCACCAGCGATGAAGACCTCATCCGGCGCATCAACGCGCCTAGATCGCTCTACAGACGTTCTGGATGGTACAGCACGTTCAGGTTCAAGCCTCGGGCGGACAGTCTCATCAGCGAAGTAAACGAGGAGAAGCATGACGAGTTGAGAAGGAAGATGGCGCCGGGGTATTCGGGGAAGGAGGTGCCGTATCTGGAGAATTACGTCGACAAGCATATCGGGAAGTGGGTGGAGGTGATTCGGCAGCGATATGTATCCACTGGGAGAGAGCTGAAGCCTATGGATCTTGGGCGAGCTGCGCAATACTTTACCTTGGATGTGATATCGGATTTAGCGTTCAACCGGCCCTTTGGTGATCTGGAGGCTGATGCGGATAAGTTCGACTATATCAAGGTGACGGCGGATGCGATGGGTGTCATGATGCTGCTTACTATCTTCCCGGGAGTGCATCGGTGGATTGAGGCGAGCTACCTGGTGGACCTGGTTGCGCCTTCGGCGAAGGACAAAACGGGTCTTGGGCGAGTTGTCGGCGTCGCGCAGCAGGAGATAGCGCCGCGATATAACGATCTAGATCAGAAGGACAGCCAAGACATGCTTGGATCGTTCATACGCCATGGTCTGACGCAGGAGGAGGCAGAGTCGAATAGCGTTCTTCAAATGTCCGTCGAGCTCCATCTACTTCCAGAAGCACCAGCTGACAGTACTATTCATAGCATGGCTGGATCAGACACATCGGCCACCGTGATCCGTGCCCTCTTCCTATATCTGATCACATCGCCTCTTGTGCTTGCCAAGTTGCGCTCGGAGATCGACGATGCCATCAGAGACGGGCGCATCTCGTCTCCCATTCGTGATTCGGAGGCCCGGCAGTTGCCTTACCTCCAAGCTTGTATCAGGGAAGCCCTCCGGATCCATCCTCCAGTCACTGGGATTTTAGAGAAGGTCGTGCCGCCCGAGGGCGATACTGTCAATGGGGTATTCATACCAGGCGGTACATTCATAGGGTGCGTGGTCTCATGGAGAATCTCTTCGGACGCCTCCCAAACAGCTCTCAGATTTCCAATACCCCTGCTTTCTTTGCGTTTGTCGTTAGACCTGAGGCTCACTGATTGGCACAGGCAATGCACATGGGCCTTCGGACGAAACGTCGACATATACGGCTCTGACGTAGAGCTTTTCCGTCCAGAACGCTGGCTCGAGGCCCAGGGAGAGGAGCTGCGACGTATGGAGCGCAATGTAGATCTTGTCTTCAGCAGTGGACGGTTTCAGTGTTTGGGAAAACCGGTCGCGTTGTTGGAGTTGAATAAGGTCTTTGTTGAGGTATGTTAGCATCTCTTTCACTCCTGCCACGCCGGTAGATTGTAGATGAAACCGAGAAGTGGAGACATGCTGACGCTCCTACAGTTACTGCGGAGGTTTGACATCTCCGTCATCAATCCGTACAAGCCGTTGGTATCGGACAACAGGGGCCTATTCCTGCAGAAAGACTTTTGGGTACGAATTACAGAACGTGAAGACAGACTGTAAAGAAGAAATGGTAAATGTACACGTTCAAAACGAGAGTAGCCCGCTGAGCGCGAGAGCTTTTATGTCTTGCGATCTTAGACAGCAGCTCGGAGAGTCTCCACTTAGGAGCTCCTTTGGATGAACACGACACGCCGTGCTGACAATAAGTTTTGTTCTCGGATTTGTTGTACATCTGATGAGATTAACTCTCTCCAGTCAGCACTATCTGAGTCACGTTTGAGTGCATGTGGACCGGTCGTTGCTGAGACTAGGTATTTGGCCTGGTGAGGCGTATTCACGAAGCCTTGCGGTGGCGATACGCCTGTCAGTCACCATCCATGTCCGACGTTGCCACATCTGGTTCACAGCGGGTACCTTGCAGCTGACCCGCCCAGTCGGCCCGGCACTAAACCGTTCATGATCAAGTCTTACGAACCCTGCTCCCAGATCTGGGATTCTTCGGAATGCAGTGTCAAAGTTCACTGATATCAGCAGATTCTTGAGCTCATTCACGGTCTCTCGGTTTGCAGATCCTCCGTGGGGGTCCTTCTTGCACGTTGTTTTCGTCAGTTGTCACACAAACTTTTCTCCAATCCGATCCGTCACGATCTTCATCTTCAAGGCAACTCGTTCAAGTCAGCTCGCATTGCCCATCAACCATCTCGTCCGGTTGCTTGAATCTACACCTTAAGATCCACTTCAAACCGAAGTCGCCATGTTTGGAGCCCCTTCCTTGTTTGGACGCCCCCCTACTCCCACAGCTGCAGCTCGAGTTCAGGCGCCGGCCCCCGACTTCAAGTGCACAGCCGTCGTGAACGGCGATTTCGAAGGTAAGCTGCCCATGGCACCCACCTACCCTCACCCTCGTCTCGCGCCTTGCCAACATGAAACCCCACAGAGATCAGCCTCTCAACCTACACCGCAACCTCGCAATGGCTGCTCCTCTGCTTCATCCCGATGGCCTGGACCTTCGTCTGCCCAACCGAGATCATCGCCTTCAGCGACGCGGCAGACCAGTTCAAGACACGCGGCGCTGGCGTGGCGTTTGCGAGCACGGACTCGGAGTACAGCCTGCTGGCGTGGGCCAAAGCCTCTTGCAAGGACGGCGGCCTGGGCCAGATCAACATCCCGCTGCTCAGCGACAAGAACCACGCGCTGAGCGCGGCTTATGGCGTCTTGCTTGCGGAGGCGGGCGTCGCGCTGAGGGGCATGTTCTTGATCGATCCGAAGGGGATTGTGCGACAGGTCAGATAAGCATCACGATCTTTCTCTCTTGCGATTGCGGTGGTAGCTGATAACGTCGACGTAGATCACCATTAACGATCTGGCGGTCGGCCGCAGCGTCGACGAGGCACTGCGTCTCCTTGACGCGTTCCAGTTCACCGAGAAGTACGGCGAGGTCTGCCCCGCGAACTGGAACCCGGGCCGCGAGACTATCAAGCCTGATCCACACGGCAACAAGGCGTATCTCGACAAGCTCTACACTGATGAGACGGCGGGCGGTGCCAATGGAAACGGACTCAGGGTTGTGAACGGCCATTAGGATCGTCGATGCATAGGGGCGCGGTTGCTGCTCTTGGCTTGTGCTGCATGGCTTGGAGTTCTGGGGCGGGCTACGGGAGTGGCGGATATGGAGCGGCTCAAGTTTCTGGTGCTGGAGTGCACGAGGCTTTGAGCTGGCGAATTGGGATGGCGATGGACTGCTTTTGATGGCGGACAACACCGCTGCTTGATGGGTGCATGGTGTGATAGCTTCACTTGCTCTGTGGGAATGTTACTACTTAGCTCACTTTGGCATCTTGTAACACGCGATGTCGGTGGACTCAGTCACTGATCGCTATAAAGTCCAAAAGCCGTCCGGAAAGCCGGTTGCCGCATTGAACGCTCCTTGACCCTTTGTAAAACCGCGTTTTGCCCGCACTCTCACGAGACATTGCTGCGTTCCCAGTATCTATATCACACACAGGAGAGAACGGAATTCACCACTATGGAGAGAGATAGCCCAGTTGCTTTGTAATTTCACAGTTAACGTCGCCCGTCACACAAGCGCGACTTACACCCTGCGTTGTGAAGAACCAGAAAAATCTATAGGGTATCGCGCCATGCAGCCTGCTCCTAGAATCTACCGTCTTCACAAGCCGTCAAGAATGCCAAACCACTAACGCCGGACATCTGAGACCAAACACCAGTTCCTCACTCCATCATTTCGCATTGGAGCCCTGGTAGAACCAAATAACCTCACCCCGTGCTTGACGCATGACACGACTATCCCCCCCTCAAAACCACCCAACACCACCTCGTCCAGCCTTCTTCCCCCGAACCGCCGGGCTCGGCACGATGTCCTCGTCGAAGTAACTTGCACACCGCGCCTTCCCTGGTGATCTCTCCTTCGTGCGTCCGCGCTTGATCTCGACGTCCGGGCTCAGCGGCGCGAGCTTATCGCCATCGCCCTCCCTGTCCTCAACAGCGCCGCGATCCGCACGTCTCTTGATAAGAAGCCGAGGCGCGGCAGGGGTACTGATGTTGGGCTCCGCCTCGCTCTCGGCATCAGCATCCCCATCCCCATCCCCAACCGCCTCCTCAGAACCATCCCCATTAATCTCCGAGATCCTCGTCGAGTGGAACCGATATCTTCGCGGCTGCTTCTTGGCATAACAGCCCACCGCCGCCTGGCTCTCAGCCCTGTCCGGCTGCACCTCGGTCGTCGGACTCGCGCCCACAGGCACGTCGTCCAGCCACGCGTTTACCCACGGATCCTCGGTGGTCGGAAGCACCAGTTGCGGAGGTGCCGGAAGAGCGGGGACGGTGCTGGGGACGTAGAACTCGTCGTCGCCGGACCAGGAGGGCGAAGAGGGGGTTGTGGCTATGATCCCGATGACGCTGTCGTGGCGGGAGGTGGATTGAGATGGGCCGGTGATGTGGGGCGGTGGCTGAGGAGCAGGGGTGTGGGTGTAGGTGTGCGAGTGTGAGGTGGGTAGGGGCTGGTAGGGAGGGTGAGAGGAGGGCATAGCGACGTGCCAGGGGTTTTCAGGGAGGTATGGAGAGTGTAGGGCTGGTGGGAGTCGTGGGTACGTGACCTCGCTGCCACACGGTTGGCTTGTCATGTGACCTGAACGGAAAGGGTCGCCGTCCGGACGCGACGAGCAGGTCGTGTCGAAGTATCCGGGTCTGCCCGGCGTTTCCCTCTGCGGTGGAGTGTCGCGCGTACGCAGTGGGAAGTCGGTGGGCGGGGGCAAGTCTTTGGTCTTCAATGACAGTCGAGCGTCCTGGAAGATCTTCATCATGCGGGAGCTGTGGCTTGGTCGTGCGGGACTGGAGAGGAGTGCAGGTGCATACGATCTCCGCTTGCCGATATTTGAAGGCGTTGCCTTCATGGGAGACTCTGGCGGGGTCTTTGCGGGCGAGACAGGTGTGATGTCTCGTGGTCTCGGGCAACGTGCTAGGAGCGAGCTGTCTCGGGGTGGTGGTGACAGCAGATTGAATGCTTTGCGGGTGGTGTTGTTCAAGATCGGTTGGTTCTCTGTGCAGTGTCAGCGATGATACGCTGAACATGCTTACCGACTCAAACACCGTGAAGGGGAAGGATGTCTCACCCTTCGCAGTCTTTCTGGGACTGCGCGATGGAGCAGGAAACATGGATAGCTGTGGCAATGAACCAAGTTCGATATACTCGTTGTAAGTCTGAAATACATTGGTCAGTGTTCCTGTCCTTGTGTTCATTGTTGCGCTAAGGGATAGACTTACCTGCTGAATCCGAGACATCGTGGGATGGGTGTCTCTATAGGCAGAGATAAAGCAGATGAAGCAATGAGAAACACTATCTCTGGATAATGCGACTGGTATGTTTTTGCGATGAGACTGCGACCTGAGTGCAACAACTGTATCTGAAGCGCGATGGAAGTGAAACTGGCACGGAAGTTGATGCAGAGATGAAGAAAGAAAGCTGTTGAAGGGCGCGGTCATCGCGTGGTGTCTCGTGGTTACCATGCAAGATCAGCCCAAAGCACACAATGAAGCCATTGAAGCAGTTGCGTTGAGCGCAAACATACCACCAAACTTACCTTATCTAGAGAGGATCGCGTGAGCGGAAAACGCGGCGGAAGTACGAGAGATAGCAGAGGAAGGCGCGCTGATATCGCTCTCGACGCTCACCTGCACAATAATAGATCTCTAACGAATCTCTATTGAGGAACCCGTACATCGCAGGTCCCTACAACAAGAGATGTTTGTTCCTGCCACCAGCAGCGGCTTGCTTGACAGTGTAAGGCCAATAGCGCAACGGCACCTCGTCGCGCCGCGTAAGAGCGTGAGCACGTGGGGATCCACAGTTGATTGCCCATACCATCCTTGAGACCGCGACTCAACACTGGAAGTTGTTCGTAATAATCCTGAAGCATGCGGGAGACGGCAAAGGCGGATCGCTTTCTCGGTCGCGAAATTCATCTCTGTACGAGTACGAGCAGCCACAGCTAGACCTGCACCTTGACGTAGCCGATGCAAGCACAATGCAGTGGTTTCTGCACCAGCATGCAGACCGTAAGTAGAGCAGTAATCCTGGTAGTGCTGTGATAACGGCCGGTTGATAAGATGCTATCGCCGTCATGAGGATGGTCCTGGCGGCGGTAGTGGAATGAAGGGATGGTCCAGTCTTTTGTAAAGAAGCGATCCTCGACGCGCACCACAGCGCTGTTGTACCTTTGTAGGGTTCCACATCTCACAATCCAGCATGTCAACAGCTCTCTAGGATGCTGGTCGCAGCATGCTTCATTCGGCCGCGTACACGGTTCCTGTGCCTTGGAAGGGAGCAGAGGTTACGGCAGGCTGCAGGAGTTGATGCGAGACCACCTGAACGCCATGACCCTGGCCATCTGTGCTCCATGGCGAGTCGCCAAAGCCTTGTCGGCACGCTCAAAGGGCTCACCCGGTGCCTGGTAGGGCCGCCGATCATCTCTCGTGAGCGAGATGCGGCTGTTTCGAGTCTGCCATCCCAGGCCGACGATTAATTGCACGACATCGGCCTGGAGGACTGACGGGAGCTGGGGAGAGGCTGAAAGGGTGCGAGGGACAAGTTAGCGGCGACCTGCCATTGGCTTACGCCGTCTCGACAGAATCCCAGAACCTGGAAGTGCGTTGGAAGCCAGCATCTGGCAGGGCTCTCGGCGCTGCATGGCCGTTCGCTCGTTGCCGTGTGTCGCACCATGGCTGCGGGTGTCGTTCGCTTCCATCTTTCTCGTGTCCTAGCCCGGTCCTAGGCCAATGCGCCTGAGGTACCAGTACAGCCGGCCTGCGTGAGGGCCCTGCCTCTTCTCATCCTCTCGTCTCCCGTTCACACTCTCCTCTGTCGCCTTCCCCTCGAAGCAAGAGGCACCTCTCGCCGGTCTTGAGCAGTCTTCATCGCGCCGAGCTGCAAGGCCGCCAGTCATTCGTTTCTCCTTTTCCTTTCGTACGGAGCTTCGGTACTACTCCGCCCGGTTCGGACTACCTGCGCCCAACCTCAGTCACGACTCGGGGGCAATGGAGCGGTAGCAGCGAGCTCTGCATGTCTAAGTGAGCCTAGAATCTAGCACCCTTCAACCAGCACCCTCGCAGCTCGCAGGTGGGGCACGCGAGAGCTGTGAGCCCTTCCGACTATTGCACTTCTCTTTCGCAGCTTGTGCTTATATGGGAATACCTCGCCGTGCGTCCTCTTCAAATCGCTTAACTGACAGGCTCCTTGTCAAGTCAGCAGGTGCTTCGATCTTACTAGACTGCTCATTACATCTACAAGACGCCATCTTCGCCTCGTTCTGTATCCCCCTCGATCGTTTACCTCGAGCGACACCGTTTATCACTTTTCGCTACCCGTAAAAACACTGCCGCAACAAGACTCTCGAAGACATCGGCAACGCGATCGGAACTCCACCGCGACTGACGGCGCGTTCCGGACACTCGCTCCAACAATCCGCAGCGCTGCCGACGTACGGGTTTGAACTTTCCATTTGCCATTCTACTGCTGGAATTACTGGCTGGGACCTTGAAGTGATTGAGGTCACGCAAAAGGACAAAACGGCGCAGGCAACGCAGGCTCTGTGCAAAGATCGCGCGCTGGTGCGCCGAAATTCACGATTGGACTAGATGAGCTACGCTTCTCCACGGCCTCTGGCGCCTACAGGCGCGTCGGATCTGGCATCCCAGGATAAGCCCGAGTCGCGGGGAGGTTCCGTGAAGGCGGCGAGGGAACGGCTACGGGTAGCAAAGGACCCACGATCTCGTGTGGCTGGGGACGCACGGCAGCGGCGGGCAGAGCCTTCATTACGGACACCTCCTTCCGGGTCCCATGTCTCACCTCCACGAAACGGCCTGCTGCAGCAATCAGAAACATTGACACCGCCCTCGAGTAGCGAAAGCGCAAGAGGCTTCATACATCCTCCAGGCCCACAATGGCCGCTTCCGGACCACAGAGTCATTGAACCTCCGAGGGGAAGGAGTCCAACAGGGCAACAGCCGTCCGGAAAAAAAACTCCGCCCCAACGGCCACCGCGGCCGAACCATGTTGCATCTGCTCTGGACCCTACAGCATCACAACCTGTCGGTACGTCGTCGACGCCTCATCCGGCTAGAGGAGGTCTACGGCCGCTGGAGAACCCGTGGCACGAAGATGATTCACATTCACCGACTTATGCCTCACCTGATATGTCACGGCCAGTCACCATTTCTTCGCAAACATCAAGTGGCTCGTCTTCAGCAACTATACCCGATTTTCCTATCCCTGCTATGCACGCCGCACCTCGTCGAAGTCCAAATTTAGGACCGCCACCATCAGCGCGAAGAGGACCGTCTTCTTACTACTCTAATATGTCGTACGTGTCGCCTATAGCGGAAGAGACCGAGAGTCGCAAGTCACGTGGCTCCTTCGCGTCGAGCACCGTCATTCCCGGCCGAGGTATTCAGGACTTTTTCGAAGACGCTACGCCATCCGAAGAAGAGGGGCCTGCCGGTTTGAACCATGGGCGGGAGTCGAGAGCATCGGACCACGGCGAAGAAAGCGGTTTAGTCCGGAAGGCCAGTCTAGGCAAGAGGCATAAGCCTGCTCTAACAACCATCAAGAGCGGTGATAATCTCCGCACTGTCGACAAGGAACCGGCACAATATCCATCACCATCTCGGGAAGGCGGCATTGTAGGACAAGCAGCTGTTGCGGCAGGTGCAGCAGGAGGAGCATTTGCTGCGGGTTTGGGCCAGTCGAGGAACCGATCGCAAACAGAGAAAGAGCTGGAAGGTGGGTTTCTCAGCAGTGGTACCGGCTTGTTGGATCCGTCATCGCCGTCAAGCTCATCCACTGAGTCGCTCGACGACTTCAAGAGGAAGGAGATGATGTTGGACACGAAGACGCCTCCAGCACGTTCAGCAGCACGCTCTCCTTTGCCCCCTGTTGATTCCAAGGTGGAGCAGATTTTAGGCGGGCTCGGGAAAGGCGGTGCCCTGGACTCTGATGCCATCGGCAGATTCAAATCCCCTACTCAGACTTCTCTGTCTGAGCGGGTCGGCAGTCGAAGGCCGCCTCGACTCGATGTCGATTCGATCCGGGACGCAGAAGCTCGAGGTAGTCTCACAAGTCTACCTGATCTGATAAGACGAGCGACTCGGCTCGCCGCGAACTTGGATCGCGGCAAAACTGCCAGCAGGCTGGGCCTTAACCACTTTGACAGTAGCAGTTCAGAGCGACACAGGTTCGATGACGAGAAAAGGCGATCAGGATCGCTTTCGGACATTCTGTCCTCTTTTCCACCACCCGGTCTGGGGTCATCCATCGGCGACGGAACACCAGGCCGCACCATCTCCCGCATGCCATCCAACCTCGCAATGGGTCAGTTGGCCTCTGATCAGCCGGGCGGGTCGCACAAACCGCAATCTCGCCGCCGAAGATGCTGCGGCATGCCCCTCTGGGGCTTCGCCACTCTCTTAGTAATTCTCCTTATACTCATAATCGCCGCTATCATAATACCCATAGTCCTTATTGTCCTACCAAACCGAGAAGCCAACGCGGCCGCCGCAGCCGATCGCGCCATCGCGGAGTGTCAAAGAAGTCTGACATGCGAGAACGGCGGAACGGCTGTGCTGGGCGCGACCGGTACCTGCTCATGCCTGTGTTCGAATGGATTCACTGGCGAGAGATGCACGACCGTATCCGACGCTGGATGCATCACGACCACCATCGCCGGCGTCGACGATGCGACGGTGGGTTCCGCAATACCGCGCCTCCTGCAAGACGCGCAGACCAACTTCAGCATCCCGCTCGACGCCACGACGCTGCTTTCGCTCTTCTCATCAACAAACCTCCGCTGCGCGTCCGAAAACGCCCTCGTAACATTCAGCGGCCTCTCCGCTCGCTCAGTACCCGACTGGGACAACCTCATCGCGCCCTCACCGCCACCCCCACCCGCAGCCACCACCACCACCACAACCCCACCCCGCCTCCCCCGCCGCCAGCAAACCCCGCACGAACCCGGCATCCCCCAAACAAGCAACGGCGTCATCTTCGCCGCCCGCCCCACCTCTTCTCCCACTCCGTCATCGCAGTCCCCTTCATCTGCATCTTCCACCGCATCGCCAGAGTCCGACGCACTCAGGACGAACGCCACAGTCCTAGACTTTGCGCGTGTGGCTGTGCTGTATGTCTTCCAGGAGAGCCGGACGTTTGACGCGGCGGTGGACGCGCAGGGGATCCTGAACACGTTCTTTGCGGGGAACTTGGTTGTTGCGGGAGGTGCGGGTGGGGGGGATGGGGTTAGTGCAAGTAGCTTGGCGCTGGAGAATGGGTTTGGGGTTGATTTGGTCGGGTTGAGGGTTTTGGTGGCGAATGGGACGTGGGTGCCGTAGACGGCGGGTTTGTTGACTGTAGATTTTCGAGACGTATATACCCTTTTGTGTGCGGGAGTGCTAGGGGCGCTGGGTTAGTGCATTTGGGGGTGTTTGTGAAGGTCCGCGAGCGGCTGGAGTGGGTTCTTCTCTTCGTTGCGGAAATTAAAACAAACGTGTTCGAGAAGGGTTCGAGCTGTATCGCTCTCTTCCTGAGAGCGTATCTGGCCAAGTGTGCTGTAATGCGGTATTGAATGGGTCAAGCTGCTGGAAAGTTGTTTCCAGCGTCAACGCGTCAACACGAGATCACGTGACTGTGTCACCCCGTTGTATGCCGCAACCTCCATACAACTTCGTTCTTTCTAAAAACAATGAGTTGCCCAAGTTATATGGAGCCTCTTCCAACTATTTGCAAGAGCTTTTAGCAAGTTATAGCATTATCCGCAGGACACACCAGAATATCCTTGTCTCAGGACGGCCTCCAAGCCTTGGACCAGCTGCTCAGCCTGGTTGTGTAATCATGGCACAGCCACCGAGCTGTGTGGTTTACGCAAGACAGTCGCGGACGCCGTCATGCCATACCAGATCAATTGCTCCGGAATATTCAACTCCTTGCAGCACATCTTAAGAAGCCTCCTGTAGGCTCGGTACACCACAACCTGTCTACAACCGCTCCCCTCGGCGCTCCCAGCTTTTGCTATCTTGTCAACCGAATCTATCCAACTCGAGGGACTGTACCCGGGTAAGCCAGAAGCCCGCCGCACATTGGGTATGGGGAGCGCGAAGCTGATGTTTGGGAAAACTAGCATCGTCCCTCCTCCTTCCCACACAAGATGTGGAATCCCCTCGGAAGCCCACCAGTGAACGATACCACGCCGTGGCACCCCGAACCCACCTTCCGCGGCACCTTCTCCATCTTATCCGGTTGCATCATCACCCTAATCTTGTGCGTCTGGACTGCCGTCCATCTGAACGTACCGGAACACAAGAAGGAGCATATGCAGAAGTACCGGAAGTTTAAATGGCTTGCCATAGGTCTGTTCGCACCAGAGTTGATTGCCTGGACAGCCTTCGACCAGTACACATCGGCCAGAAAGTTTGACAAAGATATGAGGACTCTCTTAGGAGAACCTCCGGAGCCGACATTGAGCCAGAGATTGTCACGTTTCCTAAGACGTATTGTTCGAGCAAAGGAACCCTATTCGGCAGACATCGAACTTCCAGCAATCTCAGCAACCACAGCAGGAACCAAGAGGAATCACCCGTGGACGTTCGTACACAGCCCATACGTGGTCATGGGTGGCATGGTGTTTGACATCAGCCACGTAGAACGAAAGTTCTTGCCGGACGAACGCACGCGTCTCACACTTACGACTAAGGAGTTACTCAACCTTGCGGAATACTACCCATCATTGGTGCCAGATATCTCACAAGCCGAGATTGAGGACAAGAGTAAGGGGGACGGTTTGGCGAAGACACTCGTCTGCGTGCAGGTCTTATGGTTCTGCATCCAGTGCATTACAAGACTTGCGCAGGGCCTGTCCGTTAGCTTGCTCGAACTCAACACATTTGGCCACGCCCTTTGTGCAATGCTCATATATCTCCTGTGGTGGTACAAGCCACTCGACGTGTCAGAGCCGACACTCATTACCGATGAGAGTGCGCATCCAGTTTGTGCCGTCATGTGCACTTTGAGTGAGGTTGGAAGTTTCTTTGAGTATATGGACTATGGAGGCACTTCCCAACGGTGGTCAGAGCGGACAGACAAACGGAACTTCCTCAGTTAGATTGTCGCTCTATACAACAACGATGGCCGGGTTGAGATTGACGTGGACCGGCTATGGAAGATGAGGTATGCTTCCACGGCTTTTTAGAAACGCCTGTGGAAGGTTTTATCTGACAATGACTATTATCAGACAACCCCTCTATTTTCCCTTTCGAGCCTATTTTGATCCTCTTCCCCCATCCGGCGGATATATGCCACCCAATTACCTGTTTCATTTGATCTCTAGTGCTTGAGTAAGCAAGAACGGTATCCTACATCCGTCGCGTCCGTGCATGGTTATCTCCCCTGAAACCGCCCTCCGTTGGAAGTTGGCCTCCCTTGGAGGGAAGCGAAATGAAAACCGATCCCCCCCAGTGCGTCGTCCAAAGCAGCTTGAAGACAGCGTCAAAGTTCGGAGACGAAACATTCGCGTTTTTGATCCAACTTACGAGGCTACCTCGCTCATGGGTATTATTATTGCCGGTCTTTCGTATGGCGGCTTGCACATTGTAGCATGGGCCGCGCCATTCGCATCATCAGCTGAGATGTACCTATGGCGCATCTCCAGTCTAGCAATCGCAGTATCCGGCTTCGTAGTCCTTGGAACGAAGCTTTTGTCGGAAGCAAGTTGTTACGTTCCCAAAAAACTTATGGGTATCATGGACCTTGTATTCATAGTATGGATACCAGTAGTGGCCATACCATTCGGCTTACTGTATGTGCTGGCAAGAGGGTACCTAGTTGTGGAGTGTTTCATCAACATCGCGCATCTCCCGGATTCTGTGTATGAGGTACCGGCATGGGCTCAGTACTTCCCCCATATTGCTTGAGTGTAAGCTGGCTTCGCTCAATCAGATCAGCACATCTCTTCGGAATCTTTTGGATGCATGGGATTGGTGAGGCGCGTTAGATAGTGTTTTGTTAGACGATCGTACGGCTAAGGCAAAGGGAGTCTGGTTGCTTTCTGCGGTTGCCCTACAGCGTGTTCTTCAGATTCAAGAACTTGTTACCACTTTCAGCGCTTCTCTAGGAGCGTTGGTTTCTACTCTGAGCACTAAAGACCGTCTCGTGAGACGTCTAAGCACAACTACGCGTTGCGTGAAACGTCCTTGGTATCGATGTGGCCAGTCTCTGGTCCCAATGAAGTCCTTATGCCACAAGAACTCCGTCTGCAAAGCCTACACGTGCAAGGGTTCGTCCGAACAATCTCGTCGCAGGCACGTACAAGCTTGATTGATGTACCTGCTCTCCCATTAAGCGATTGATCGTCTTAGCAGGCCGCTGTCACAGAACTCGCTCCAATCGTGCGGAGCCTAGTAGACGTCCTTGTATGGGGTCCTCGTATGTCCTACCAGAGAATCATGGACGAACTCTTCGTCCAGCAAGCTCTTACAACGTGCGGCGTAAGGTATATCAAAGGACTGCCCTGATGCGGTCCCAATAATATCAAACAACATGAGCCATCAGTCTTTAGAGTCGAGAAACGTCCTAGATGAGTATTCACATCTACCTCACTTCGCTGCTTATTTGAAGCGTAAAACTACAGACGGCGGCACATGCCAACATGTAGAGGCGTGTCAACCGCGGCGCTAGCCGGGATGGCCGCGCTACACGGGCCGTGATGGGGTTAGCAGAGCCAATGTGCGGGGAGAGCTTCAGGGAGTACAGCGGCTCCATGTCACTCTCTACACGCCGCAGGTGAGAAGGTACATCGCCGTAGGACAAGCTGCCCTTCCCCACACTTCCCCTGCTGTTCGCACCTGTAACTTCACCCGCTGTACATCTGTCTTCGTACTGCACTGCTTCAGCCTGCGTTTGCTTTTAGACCGCAGTTCGCCGTCGAGGCGGCTCTCGCAACTTCCGCGCAGCGTCGTTTCTGTTGCCGTTATCAACTATCCGCAATTGTACCCTCATCACGACACCCTGTGATCTGTACCCAGTCGTCGCGCAGCCATGATGCTCACACGACGGGTCCTCCCCAGCCTCCGCACCCTCTCCTCTACACCCGCTCTGTCTCGTACCTTCGCAGCCTCCGCCCAGCAGCACGCAGACCGCGCGCCCGCACTCGCCGACATCAAGCCCGACTGCGCAGCAGCGTTTGATGCCCGGCAGCGCGAGTTCCGCGAGAAGCTGACGGGTGCTCAGCGGCGGAAGGAGGCTGCTGAGAGTAAGACCCTTTCATCCACTTCCCCCGGCAGCTCGTCCGCGTCCGATGGCACCTCTCACGATTTCGTTGGCTCTATCTCTTCTCAATCTCTTCTCGGCAAGGCTTTGGGCACACTGACCTCGTCTCACGCAGAGGAAGCCCGCGCGCGAGAGCAGGCGAACGAGGAGTCTGGGAGGAGGAAGGGTCCGCTTAATAAGCTGATTTACGGCACCAAGGAAGGAAGACAGATGGACCAGGATATCGAGAGGAGCTTCTCTCAGGTGCTGGCGAGAGGGAAGTACGTCCACTCGATCGTCTTCCACGAGGTCAAGCCAGACAAGGTGGACGAGTACACGCAGCTTGTTGGAAGCTGGTACCCGCGCATGGCGAGCATGCCTGAAAATAAAGTCCACCTGGTCGGCAGCTGGAGGACTGAAGTTGGCGATTGTGACACTTTCGGTAAGCCTTTATCCATGCTTCCTTCTATCTCTTGGTTCTCTGTATGCTAATGAGGACCTTCACATGACAGTCCACATCTGGGAATACCAGCGCTACCAAGGCTACCACGCCTCCCTCAACGCCATCCAGCACCACCCCGAGTTCCCCGACTTCGACCGGAAGCTCAAAACCCTCATCACCAGTAAGAAGACATCGCTAATGCAAGAATTCTCTTTCTGGCCCACCACCCCACCGCGTCAACTGGGCGGCCTCTTCGAGCTCCGCTCCTACACCCTGCACCCCGGCAACCTGCTTGAGTGGGAGACGCACTGGCGCCGCGGGCTGAAGGCCCGCAGGGAAGTCATGGAGGGCGTTGGAGCCTGGTTCGTGCAGATTGGCGAGCTTAACACGGTGCATCATCTTTGGCAATTCGCGGATCTGGAAGAAAGGAAGGTGCGCAGGGAGCAGAGCTGGAGTGTGGAGGGCTGGGGCGAGACGGTGCACAAGACTGTGCCGTTGATTCAGACCATGAGGAGCAGGGTCTTGATTCCGTGCTCATGGAGCCCGGTTGCGTAAGGCTTTGGTGGACTCGGAGGAATAGAATAGGAAGAGACCATGGGAAGGGGAGGATCGATGAAATTGGGAAGGCAGATCATATCTTTGAGACGAGGAGCATACTTTTCTGCAGGCGATGGGGGTCTGATATCAGTTATTGAAGCTGTAGCTGTGGCATTAACAAACTACTCTCTACATCTTGCTGTAGATCGCAGCAATATTAAATCACATAGCTTTTACTAATGAAAGTTGCCTCTGCACCTTACTTGAACATGGCAACTAGCCCATAAATCCTCGTCCGTGGGTAACCTTGGCTTCGAGAGGTTTGCGGCTGTGGTTGCATGTGATTGACACCTGAGGCCGGATCGGGATGACGTAGAAATTCTTTGTCGTGTCAACACAACAACTTGGAAGAACACCAAGAAAATATCCGAGACGTCCCCTCTCACTCCAACATTGAGACACCACTCGAATACAAACGAACGATTGTTCTATACGCCCGCCGAAAACTCGAGGCCAGACCTCGACCGCCGCCACAATGGTGTACATTCGGCAGGACAAGCTTCCAAGGCTCAAGGAATACAAGTACTCTTCAGTCGACCGCAGCTTGGTGTCGAAATATGTCCTCAAGCCGTTCTATACCAACTTCGTCATCCACTGCTTTCCGAAATCCATGGCGTGAGTACTGCCCTCCTTCCGACGAGGGCGCAGGCTAACATGATGCTCGCGCAGCCCCAACCTCGTAAGTTCCCGTGCCTTGTGCCACGCGCCAGACCCTCAACGGGTCGTACACTCGCTGACATGATTCCGACCTGGCAAGATTACGCTCACGGGCTTCTCCTTCGTCGTCGCAAACTTCCTGACCATGCTATGGTACACCCCGACCCTAGATCAGGATTGCCCGCCGTGGGTATACGCGAGCTGGGCAATCGGGCTGTTCCTTTACCAGACATTCGACGCTGTCGATGGCACTCAGGCACGAAGAACACACCAGAGCGGGCCGCTAGGGGAGCTGTTTGACCATGGTGGGACACACCAAAACACTCTGCTACTACTGAGACAAGCACACCGCTAACACACCCCAAGGCGTCGACGCATGCAACACAACCCTCGAAGTCCTCCTCTTCGCCGCCGCCATGAAGTTTGGCCAGGGCTGGAAAACCGTCCTGACGCTCTTCGCATCGCTCCTGACGTTCTACGTGCAGACTTGGGACGAATACCACACGCGAACATTGACCCTGGGCATCATTTCCGGCCCCGTCGAAGGCATCCTAACCCTCTGCATCGTGTACGCGATCACCGCGGAAGTAGGTGCCAGCTTCTGGAGCCAGTCCTTGCTCGCCACGCTCGGTGTTGAGAAGCACGGCTTCATTCCGGATGCGCTGTATAACCTTGCGTGGAACGAGTGGTATATGGTGTACGGCGGCATCGTGCTCGTATTCAACACCATCTCAAGGCACGCATAAATTCCGCTCTCCCCGATTATCCAAACGCTCGTTTCCACATCGCTAACAATCACACCCGCAGCGCGATGAACGTCGTCGCCGCCCGCCACGCCCGCGGCCAACGCACGCGCATCGCTCTCCTCGGCCTGGCCCCTTTCTTCCTCGCCTGGACGCTCATCCCCGCCTACTTATCCCTGAACCCGGAGATCCTGCACTCCCACCTCGTGCCCTTCGCCTTCTACGTCGGCCTCATAAACGCCTACTCAGTCGGCCAAATGATCACCGCGCACCTGACCAAGTCGCGCTTCCCCTACGGCAACGTGCTGCTGCTCCCCCTGCTCTTCGGGGTGGTCGATAGTCTGGGCCCGTGGCTGCAGCAGCGGCTGGGGGTGGGCTGGCCGTCAGCGCTCGGGGGTGGCGTGTATCAGGTTGCGTTTGTGTTTTTGTGCGTCGGGGTCGCGGTCGGGGTGTACGGCAGCTTTGTGGTCGATGTGATTACGAGTATTTGCGACTATCTGGATATTTGGTGCTTGAGTATCAAACACCCGTATTTGGAGACGGAGCAGGGGCAGGTGGAGGATAAGAAGGGGAAGTAACGGGGCGAGTAGGGCAGGGTGGTGGTGGCTGGTGTGAGCGTTTGTTCGAGGACTGTGGGTCGTTGTTTGGGTGGAGGTTGATTGAGTCGGTCATGGGTTTTGGACCGCGTTGGTTTTGTGCGTTGCTCATGACGGATATTAGATGAGACATGATATACACGGTGCGCTATTCGTAAATGTTTCCATGTCCTTTGTACTATACAAGCGACTGCAGCCGTACTATGGAAAAGTCGAACTCAAGGAGGGAGTGTATGATTCTGCCGGCTCACTGGTTGTTCCCTCACCTTCACCGATATACGCAGCGCCCTCGCATTCTCCTACCTCACACCAGCGGACTTGTAACCCGGCTCCTCTAATGATGCAGAGAAACAAACTTACTCTCGTCATCATGAACCTACCGTTGTTCGCCTCCACACTGGGACGCTGAAGTCTATTAGATCTCCATAATGATGTCCGTCACCACCGTCGATTAACGACGAAGCTCCGGCGGCAGCATTTCAGCGTCAAAATTAACAATATCAACAGTAAGCTGGCATTCAGTTTAGACATCTCGACTAGCAGCGCCCGACCGGTGCTGGTTGAGCATACGCCTTGCTTTCGGTCCAATGCTTCGCGGCCCCACCTCTGCAAGCAAGCTAGCTATCTGCCTCACACGCGCATTGTAGCTGCCACTTGGCAGCTAATGGGCATGATCCTGTCTCACCAGACGTAAGGTGCGTCTTCTCACCCCGCTCACGGCATTTCTCAACATCAGAGTAGTTAACCTCGCATAGTGCATCAATAAACGCGTGTGCATAGTATAGGACGGTCTTCCCTAGGCCCTGCTCATCCCTAATGAATGCGCCGCTAAACTTGTGCACCTGCTCCGTTTTCCAGGTGATGGCTATGACCTGGTGGAAATGGATATGCTTCTGGAGGCCGGCCAGCTTGATGGGAGTGGTGGTATCCTTTGGGTCTCGCTTAAAGAACTTGCACATGGCTATCCATGTCTCTGGTGTAAGATGCTCAGCCTTAGTTACTTGCCCTTAAAGTTCTTGAAAAATCGCCTTCATATCTTTAAGTCTGTCTTCGTCATTAGCGACCGAGTTATTGAGTTCGTTGGTAATTTCGTCCTTAAGGTCTTGATCGGCGCTGTTGTCTTTGGTATTATCGGTGTATTTTCTGGCGCGTCACGACTATACTGGAATACGACGTCGAAGTTGAACTTGCTATACCAGTACTCGAGGAAAGGGTTCCAGCCGGCATTTGGTAGCTGCTTCTCTATGACTCTCTGGAACATCTCAGCCAACCGGGTTTCACGGGTGCGTTCTGTCATCCCTCGACACTTAGCTGAGTTGGCGAGAATTCCTGATGGTATTGGCGAGACACAAAATGATCGCCGCTTTATGTACCTCCCTTGGAGACGTGACAGGCAGGGAAGCTGCGAAAGGTATCACCTTGGCTTCGAAACGTGACACTATCGCCCAGGTGAATATTGCATGGTATGTCATCAAAGGTTCGCACTGCAGGTAGACGATGTCTAGGGCGGTAATCTGTGAACTATTCTCTTGTGTCTTTATTAAATGGTGGTAGCGGTGATAAACGACTAGTCCTATGGTTCCTTTTGCCTCGTCCTACTCTTCATTCAAGGCAGTGAGACGCTCAATCCCCTCTCCCGCCTTCTTGTTCTCCTCTTTTGCCTCGTCCCACTCTTTATCTAATGCAGTAAGACGCTTAATCTCCTCTCTCGCCTTCTTATTCTCCTCCTTACGTTCTACTCCTCGTTCAACGCGGTGAGCAGTTCTATCTTCTTCCTCGCTTTCTTGTTCTCATCTATGAGGTCGGCGATCGGGCCCGTCAGTGCCGTCAATTCTTCTTTATACGACACTTTGAGGGTCTCGGTGACCTTGCCGCGTAAACTGTTAACCGCATCGAATATCTCCTATTCTCTCTCTTGCAGCGGGGTCAACTTCCAACTCTGCCAGACCATCACGACCGTATGAGCCGAGCATCAGGGAGCACTCCTCGCCGGAGAAATCTCATGAAGCTTGTAGCCCAAGCATATGGCTTGGATGCCCCTTTAAATTGCACTCGAAGTGCCTCCTATCCGTGGGATCAACGTCTTTCCAACTCACCATGCAAACCATACGTTCTCCTATTTCAAGTCTTCCCAACTAACTCGGCGTCTTCTGGATTTCAGTGATGTAGAGAGCTTTCGGGACCTCGTCGATGGAGATCGGTATGGAGGTAGTGGCGTTGGCGAGGTATGGTCCACTAGTTGTGAGGTTTATAAGGCTCTAGGCCGAGAGCGCGTGCGTTGAGGTTCTGGCGATACTATGCGAGGCAGACTTGCTCTTCGTCAGTGTTCATCCCAAAGTCCGATCGCAGCCTGCATCTGTCAGTATGGCGAGGCCTACATGAATGACTAGACTCACTCTTTGTTCTCCGGGCCCTCGGCCATCTCGAAGAATTTCTATGTGAGCCAGCTACTGGTATCTTAAATATAAGATGACAGCGGCTAGGTAAAGTAGACTTTCATCAGGTAGGAGGTAATGGGTTATGTACCTGTTGCTTACGTTGGCATCTTTGTTCGCGCGAGGAATTTTGGCGATACCGAAATTGTCGCAGCCTATGTCGGGCGGTGGAGGTAATTGTTTCTTGAGGCTCTGATCGCTGGGTATCCCTCGACCTTTGAAAGCAACTGTGCATTAAGAGATGATTCAACCCGACTTTCGTGCCATTACCTGTTCCAGCTCGTCCCGATAGCCAGCCAGTCCGGCCATTGTTGAAAGACGTTGTACCCAAGTGTACCTTTGGACGGCCGGTTATCACGCTTGGTTAGGCATAGTACCAAAAGGTCGTGAATATGAAATTGGATTGATGATGCTTGGTCGTGTTGAACTATATACTTGATCGGTTGGCACTTGCCGTCCAGGCTACCTCACTGTAGCCTAGAACCGTGATACCGATGACCAGTAGTCCCTGAAGTCCACCTAATGAGCGGCGTCTATAGATGCCGACTTCATCCAGCTGATGTTTCCTAGGTGTATACTTGTCTGTCATACCAGCCGGTACTTTTTAAAGCGCGAAGATTGAACTCTGCAGTCTCGATTCTGCTTGGCGGCTTGCCACATCGAGTTCGAACGCTTCTGCTTCAGATTCAGCCTGACGTCGCGCCATCTCTTTAGACAGATCTTCACTTTATACTTCCTATGACTCTTCCCATTCCTATTCGGGGTCTTCGTCATCGGAATCCGGATAGTTGAAGTTAGTCTTGCCTAACCAACCCTCGTTCACTACGGTCGCATCATTATTAGTGTTGGGTTGAGGTGGAGGTGGAACTCTTAGTAGGCCGTTAAGTGTGTTTGCTCTGTACAATTGTTGCGATATGGTGGCCGCTTAGACGGGAGGACGGGCCCCTCGATCAAGCGATAAACATGTAGTGTCTATCACCTCGTTCAGCGGTCTCTAGGCAGAGTAGCTGTGGATCCTGCTGCATGAACTGCTGCGGTAAGGAGAACACATATTCGGCAGGTAAAGCTCCTTCTCTGGGTCATCGGGATGCAGGAACTTTCTCTGGTGCCATTGGTAACATTGAAGGATCCAGTTCCATTCTGTGCGGACTCCCTTATACCATGGATCGACGATATCCTTGAGACTCTTGCCACCGTAGCCTGCTTTTAGACCTTTCATCACCTGATCGTTGAGAAGCATCGGGAGACCGTCTATACTGCCCTTCAATTTGAACTCCGGATGGACGGGGTGCACTCGAGATCGCTGGGCTCTCCTGGAATAATCATCGTAAAAGTCCGTGGTCTCGTGAAGAGTACGTCACCGTTGATAGTTCGGGTCGTGAGTTGTGAAGGCACCGCCGCCATGCCTGTCAGGGTGTAAAACTCGAAGTCGACGACCGAAGTGGTCTGAGGCCGCCGCTTCTTTGCCTTGTGTGGTTGATCGAGTTACCGAAAGACCATTTTGAAATCGATTTTGCCCTGGATGCCTGCAGAAGCCTCAGCAATATCGGCGGGCTGACGTTCGTCAACAGTCCGTCCACACCCAGAGTGAACAGAGCGACATCCTTGCTAGAGGTGGGCTCATGGAGCACTAGCAGAAGCAGCAAATGCAGACAATAGTTGTCTTTGTCATTGGTTGTGTTTCAGTTGTGTTGTTGCTGTGTTTTTCCTTGGGCAATTGCTTGTGTTATACTCGGATGTAACGGATTGTTGTTACTTGTGGTGATGCTTGACTTGCTGCTTGTGTGAAGTATTGGTGTTGTGTTAGTACTTGTGTTTGCAAGTGAGTGGAAGTTCTGAGACTGCACTTGAAGTTGTGTTGCTCGCTTCTGGGCGGGAACAGAGCGAAGCGAGACTGATCCTGTCTCACGTGCTCCCACACCGCCACACGCTGTTCGGCCAGAGTCGGTATCCAAAACGGCTGCTGGGGGTCCCGGCGCTGACGGAGCAAACGCAATACCGAACCCAGGAACAAACAAGGAAGACAGGACTCGCTCTTGCGATGATGCATTTCTTGTGGTCTACCGTACTCCGATTGACTTCAGTAGGAGGAACACTGAGTAGTGTTTTGGCAGGAGCAATGGTGGTAAACTAAGCCGATACTGCGTGGAGGAGGTCCTTTGGGTTCAATGTCGAGCAGCGGCGTAGGCCGTAAGAAACAGCGAGGTCGAGTGTGTCGCTCCGGTAGTGGCCTGAGAAAGGGTGAATGAAAGGCGAAATAGATGACGGTAGTCGTGGCCGTAAGAGTATGCGACAAGGCTATGGTCATGGATAGATGTTGAAGGTCCAACAACTAGACGCAATATGCGGAAATCGCGAAGCATGCACTGCGGTTGTAAGGCACCGATGGCCACTTGCGATGTCAGCAGTCGAGAGGACGGGAACAGGCCTCAGATCCTGGAGATACATGTTTTTGCAGCAGCCGGTTTCATGGGTACGGATAGCAGCAAATGCGAGTTTGAGTGGTGAAATTTGACCGCCAATGTATCAACGACGTCTAGAAGCAGACAGGAAAATTGAGAACGTATCTTTAATTAGCAGTAGAGAGTCCATGTGAAGCCTCTGTACCTGGACACGCTCCAGCTCGGGCTAATTGTTTACCGGAGAGAAAGCCCAACGTGTTGGCCCTTTTCAACTGTCACTAAATTACGACCAGAATGAGCGCTGACTTACAGATAACACCTAGCCAGCGGACACCTTCTGGTGGGTCATGAACTCACGAGCCGACCGGCGCTGCAGCTAGTCTTCTTACTGGTCTTTCTATCACCTCTTCCTCTTCGTAGACCTCCTCCACCTTCAGCATAGGAAAATTTTCCCGTAGCTTTGCAGCAAGAAACCTGATTCCCCACTCCTCAGCAGCGCGATGTCCCACACATACTACGTTCAATCCGGCAGCTTTGGCAGCTTCCAGTCCATAATTACGAGGCTGCCCAGTGAGGTACAGTACTTCCCGAGCATAGCCAGACCCTGGCAACCAGCCGCGTTCCCTCGCAATCCGCAAGACGCGTTCAATCTCGTCCGGATGAAACGCGTTCATGATGGCAACAACCCTGACCCCAGTGTCCGCGCCCGCGTACTCGAACAGCTCGCCTGCTCCACCAAACTCCTGCTGTATGCTCTGCACGATCACTGGTAATGATACGCCCGCCACCGGCCCTACGATCCCAATCCTCCTCTCCGGATCGCCCTTATACCCTTGCACACAGGCGCAGTCCGGTATGCTCATACCCAGCCTGGTCGCCAATGCGGTGTTCCAGCCGACTGTAAGCACCTCGTCGAACCCAACATGGCTCGAGAGCACCACCGCGCTTTGGGGAACCCGCCGCCTGTCGAGGCCGAATGGTCTGTGGAGGAAACAGAGCGAGTACCGGTTTAATGTCCCGTATACGCCGGATGTGGGCGTGATACTCAGGACTACGTGGATGGTGTAGGCTGTGGACGGCTCGTAGGTTGGACTGCGAGGGATGTGGTAGTGGAAGGGGACGTCTTTCGCTCGGGCTGGGAAGAAGGAGGAGAGGAATTGGCTGAGGGCGTGGTGCGTTGATCTGGTGGAGCTGTTCAGGAGCATGACGGACGCTCAATGGTCGTATATATCAGATGTAGCAGGATGTTAATGAGCTCCCTCCTTGTCGAAAAAGTCAACGATTGCCGGTTCAGTATTGCGACATTTGGTGAGCGTTTTCTATACTAGCAAAGCCTGGGTAGCTCTATTTATGCAGACAATATAGCTTAGAAAGACGCACACGCCCTAACAAAGCGCCCTAAGTGTCGGCGACGGTGTGCCATGAGAGCATTGAGGGGACGTGTTGCGGGCTCGCTCCTTACCGGCTTGTCTCTCTCCAGACCTCACGAATCACGTGATATTTCCAACGATCCCACTGCGTAGGGTCTACTCCATTCGACTTTCAAACCTGATCCCTTCTCGTGAAGTGAACTGAAGTATACCCACACGCGTAGGTACGAGATAATCACTCACGAAAAACGCATCAACACGTCACTCTCTTTATGGATTGGCGACTCTGGTGAGACTTGCGGCGATGTTGTGGCCTATGCGTGCGGCTGCCTTGGCCTAGAGGCAACCCTTGAGCAAGCCGCATCGCGAACGTTCGTTTCTCGTTGAAAGATACGCATTGACGCCTGAAGATGGCAAGGTAAAGGGTGTAGTGAACAATGCTAGTTTAGGCAGAAGTAGCGCGATCACGGGGTATCGCGTCGGCTTAGGGACACCTCGAAACTGATATAAGAATGCTTCCCTTGGTCAATTCATGTCAAGACATCCTATCTTCTCTTCTCTGAGCCGTTTCCTCACTAAATCAGCCCGTGTTGATCTGACAAACTCAGAGTGCGCCCTATACTTCACCAGTTTCCAATCCACAAGAGCCACATTGAGCACCAGCAGATACTTTCGAGCTTTCAGCACAGCCATGGCCCCTTCTCAGCCGGAAGCTCAGTCTACCTCCGTTCCATCGCTGCCTGTAAAACACCGCGAGCTTGTTCCGTACATTGCTGCCTACGCGAAGACCCCCATCTCGGAGCTTCTTCAGCCTTTCAATCAGCATGAAGCAAAACTACGCGAGCTCTTCGCGCAAGAGCCCGAGCATCCGACGTTGTCTGATCCCCATGTCAACACTGTCCCTGTCTTCGATGGTCATGAGACTGAGATTACCGTCCGCGCTCGCGATCTCGGCGCTGAGTCGCCAGAGGAGAAAGAGCGGTACCTGATGCCATTGAAGGACGAAGAGCGGAAGTCCACCGGCGCGCCTGCTGTCGTGCAGTCTTTCAAGGACTTTCAAACGAACTTCAACCTCTTTTCCGAGTCGAGCTTGGTCGATCTAAACTGGAGTAACGTCGTCGCCGCTGGGAGTTCGGTTGTAACATCGTTGCTACCAGTGCCTGAGAAGTACGGTGGATCGAAGAAGACACTTCGCCAGTACTACCATGAGATTCTCGCGCCAGCCTCGGGTAAGAACGTTGATATATGTGGAGGGGCGAACGCTAACCAAACTCAGACGTCGACCTGTTCCTGTATGGGCTTACTGAGGACGAGGCCGTTGAGAAGATCAAGCAGATTGAGAAAAGTATCAAGGACTCCATTCTTTACGAGACAACAACCATCAGGACGAAGAATGCCATCACGATCGCCAGCCAATACCCCACCCGGCATGTGCAGATCGTCCTCCGCATCTATAAGTCTATCTCAGAGATCCTAACCGGGTTCGATGTCGATTGTTCCTGCGTAGCATACGATGGGAAGCAAGTTTATGTCACGCCACGCGCTCTGGCCGCCTTTGTGACTCAGTCCAACCAGATTGATCTAACGCGGAGATCACCTTCTTACGAGAGTCGCCTTTCCAAATACTCTCATCGTGGCTTCGAAGTGTACTGGCCGCTGCTGGACCGGACACGGATTGACCCTACCATCTTTGAGAGGAGCTTCTCCGGAACTGTTGGCTTAGCGAGGCTGCTCGTGCTGGAGAAGCTGCCTAAGGCGTCCGATCGTGACAGGTACATGGACCAGAGGCGCTCCGAACGCGGCCGCCCTCCGCTCGACCGCTATCGGCGCTACCGGCACTCCATTCGCGGAAACATCAAGGACGACTATGACGATGAAGTCGCAGACTGGGTCGAAGAGGACGAGGTTTCGAATTACCATACCTTTACCATTCCCTACGGTCAGAAGTTTCATGCAAGGAAGATCGAGAAACTCCTCTACACCAAGGACTTGCTTCTCAATGCCGAATGGAACAAGCCGAAGGATCGCGAGGTCAACCTCCATCGTCACCCTGCGTTCTTTGGCAGCGTTGAAGATGTCATACATGATTGCTGCGGATACTGTCCGAAGCCATTGACCCCCGAGGACGAAGAAGTGGCTGAAGCTGAGAGCAAGGTCTACATTTCCGGCAACATCTCGTTCATCAAGGACGATCCTGGACGACAAGCAATCGGTAGCTTCAATCCTATCACCGACGATGACTGGACGGAAATGGCATATGTGGGGAATACTGCCCGCCTATGTCAAGCAATCGTTGATTGCGATCTCGAGCATGTCCAAGATTGGCTGGCCCAAGAAGGCTCAAATCCAAACCGTCGCGACTACACCGGACGCACGCCTCTACACCTTGCTGTTATCAGCTCGACCCCGGAGATTGTGCAATGCCTCATTGATCATGGTGCCAGACTTGTTGCTCGCCTTGCCGATGGCCGAACAGCTTTGCATCTGGCGGCAGCAAGAGGAAGTGCCCACATGGTTAAATCTCTGCTGGGAAAGAGCGAGCAAAATGAAGAGGAAGAAGCGCGCAAGGAGGAGCTCCGAAAGCAATCCAAAGCAATCACGCCGAAGGAGGATAACAATGCAAGTTCTGCCACCGGGGAGGACGACGATGTGGAGATGGTTGACATCGAGGAGGAGACCTCAGACGATGAGGTTGCCATGCGCTCGACCACGACTGGGTCGTTCGTTGACATAAAACGTAGCCAAGACCAAGCCAATAACGGCAACCTGATTCAAGAGGAGGATCAAGATGAGCCGGACATCTATGATGTCAACGTCGTTGCTTGGGATGCGCCTTGTTCCCCACTCCATCTCGCCATTGTGAACGGCCATGTGGATGTTGTCCAAGAATTGGTACAGAATTTCGGAGCGGATGTCTTGCTGCCTATCAAGCTTGCCGTCTCTACTGGCGGAGGCACCGCGACGCTGACTCTCGTCCTCGCCCTTCAATTGCCCGCGGCCAAGGCCCAGGAGATGACACAGACGCTTCTAAAATTAGGAGCGTCATCGGCTCAAGCGGACATGAATCAGGCCACTGCGCTGCACTACTATGCGGCCACAGGTTCTGACTGCCTACAGGTGCTATTCGACTATGATGCGCCTGCGGTTAAGAGGGCTTTAAACCACCTCGCTGTCGGCGGCAGTTCCTACAACTACTTAGCTATCAGCCCTCTCATGGCTGCCATCGAGGCGCGCAATGCACTCGGAGCTATAAAGCTGCTAACTGCTGGCGCCGCTCCGTCGGTAGACTTCGACAGGTTCATCAAGTCATATCAGACCAAATTCGAGAACAACTACGGCCAGGACCCCGAACAGCACCAGAAGAGGTTCAAGAAGCAGTTAGAACAGCCTGTCATCCTTGCAGTGGAATATGAACGGCCTGCTGTCGTGCTCGAGCTGTTGCGGCGCGGTGTGGATCCGAATACTCTGACGCGGCTCGCGCACCAACGGGTCGATAATGGTTACCCGAGCGATCAATCCGCCGTCGGTTCGCTGCTCGATCGTGTTCAAGCAAAGATCACTCAGCTCAACAATTATCTGAATTTGGAAAAGAGTGCTCACGGTTCGACTGTGGAGCAGCTCCAGGAAGATGCATATTACCTTAAAGGACTTGTGGAGGGTTCTTACAAGCATTGGTTCGCTAAGAAGGAGCTACAGTGGGCGAAAGCGCATATAAAGAGGCAGCAGGAACAGAACGAACGTATTGGCAAGAGTACCGAGGAGAAGAAGGGTGAGAAAGAGAAAAGGGAGGCAGCTAAGCAGTTGATGGCTCAATACGAAGTCGTCCTAGCCGAGCTCGAAAAGAAGGGAGCGAAGTCATTCAAGGAACTGTATCCTGAAGCTCAGGAACACCCAACTGGAATAACTTACCCATACAACTACAAGCCTGCAAAGGCGGAGCCTTTCACCATCAAGTTCAACTTCCAAGTGCCTGATCTGACGGAGACTCGTAAGGAGGCCTACCTTGAGCTGTAAGTGCGACTGCTATACGAAAACCTCATGGCGGAGCTGATGAGTTCCTCTCCAGATTCCAAGCGGCTTGGTCAGGCGACTTGGCCACGATCAAGAAGCTCACTCTTGCCCCGTGGGGCCCGGATGCTGACAGGGTGCCACTCAAGATTGCCATACAAGATTCAAAAGGGTTTTCACCATTCCACGTCGCCGTCCTACGCGGACATTTACCCGTCGCCAAAGCCATTTTAGAGGTTGCTCAAGCACAGTACCAGCCAAAGAAAGCCCAGCGAATGAAATACACGATGAACGAAGACGATGAGTACAGCGATGAAGATAGCGAAGCCGATGGCGACAGCATTCACGTCTACAGCGCTCTGGTTGATGAACAATTTACCATCGACAACATTGGAGAAGTGTCAACGCAAGTCAAGAGCGATGTAACCCCAGTGGCTATGCTTAATCGGAGTTGCCCGGTTTGGAGCTTGGTCGGTGACAAAGATAACCAAAATCTTCCTGGAAGCCTGCTAATGTATGCTATCAATACGGATGATGTTAATCTGGCCAAATATCTGCTGAACCTAGGTGTTGAGTTTTCCACTCACCCCAAGGACGACAATGAGTCTTCGAGCATTTACTCTGTTTCCTACTCCGATTTCACGTACGCCATGGAGCTCGGCCGAATTCACATCCTTGCCGAGATCATCAAGCGTACTGGTGCGGGAATTCCCTTGGATGACTTGGTAAAGAAGAGCGGCGTGGAAGTGGCGGAGAAGCCAAAGTACTACCGCGGACTGTCTGTTCATGGCAAGAAGCGAGCAGATTGGGCGGCAGCGGGCCGCGGTGATCGGGTCCCATCGCAACCGACTGTGAAGCATCCGCCGCTCCTTGAAGCTGCCTACAGCGGGAGCATCGAAAGCGTTGAGTGGTTCCTGAGTGACGCTCCGATGCGGTATTACTCTACGTTTGCATCCACCAACAAGCGCGATGAGCGCTTGCAGAATCTGGCAAAGGCATCTGGCGGTATTGATCAGTCCGTTTATAGATGGCTTGCTACGCGCGGTAAGTTTATATCCCGCCGCTGTACTACGGTATGCTAATAACATATCCTTGCAGATGACCTTATTGTCCACTGCGCCATCCTCTCAAATCCATCCGACACCTCCGTTTCTCTCATCAACTACCTCATCCGTACTTTCCCCTCGGGTCTTGAGAAGAAGTCCCAATCCGGTCACACTCCGTTGCACGTCGCCTTCTCGCTCCGCCGCGTCGCCGCCACTAAAGCTCTCCTGGCCGCAGGCGCAGACCCCACGACCCGCGACCACCGTGGCAACAACATTCTGCACAGCCTCCTCTGTCCGATCTCCAACCAAGGCAGGATCTTCGCCAACGACAAATACCTCAACGAGATACTGGAACTGCTCGACCCTGCCCTTATCGCAACCCTCGCCACTCAACGCAGCGCCGATGGGCCCGGCTCAGCAACTCCGCTAGCAAGATGGACGAAATCGATCACGAACGACTCCTGGTACTCCAGCACCCAGCGCTACCAAAGCAGCGTCGTCGACGAAAATAAACACGCCGCCGTCCTCCGCATCATTCTAGCCTTTTCGGCTAACGGTGAGGAGCTCGCGCTTATTGACGGCGCGGGTGACACGCCGCTCCACACCGCTGTGCGTATAAAGGCGCCTCGCTTGCTGGACCTTATGCTCGAGAAGCGCCCGGATCTGCTGTACAGGGAGAACGCGACTGGTCGGACGCCCGCGGAGATGGCGCGGGATGCGTGGATCCATCAGGTTGTGTGGAATGCGCCAAAGCTGAAGGGCTTGGACTCTTACAGCATGTACCGGTCCAATGTACAGGGCTTGGTGGATCGGAGTCCGGAAACCTTCGTTGAGGAGAAGGATGAGAGGAGTGATGAGAGGAAGGTTTGGGATGTGTGTCAGAACTGGATGGAGAAGGACAACGCTGGGAGCAGGAAGAGGAAGCTGGTGAGTCTGTTTGAGGCGAATGAGGTGGCGAAGAGGGTTGCGGGGCAGCAGGGTGTGCGTGGGAGGTATGGTCCCAGGGCGATGTTTGGAACGGAGGCGATGGAGGATCAGAAGAATGATGAGAAAGAAGACGAGGATAAGTGTGACGAGATCACGGCGTGGTATGCCACGGCTGCTCAGTGGGAGGATAATCCATCCTATGTCGCTCCTTCGCCTTGGCGAAGTGGTCGCTAAGAGCTCGGCGTACGAACCACTCTGACCTCAGCGGTCGGCACTTGCTATTATGCAGCAACCTCATATATTGGCTCGGCTTGATGCTGTGTACAAGCAGGATACATAGCATTCGCTTCATAGCCTCATATAGATAATCAGACATTGTATCTATCGAGCGGACTCACAACACACTCTCTGTCCGCGCCCTCGTCATTTTCCCATCTCTTGCACAGTCATCGGAAGCTGACACGGCATTCTCGCCGCGCTCTTCACCTTCCCCTTCGACTCAAGCTCAACCCTACTATACCACGCCCCACCGAGCAGCGCCACCACAATTCCTGCTCCATTCAGCAAGCTAACCTTGACATCGAAAAGTGCAATGCCCAGCACTATCGTCAAGCACTGCTTAACATTGGCGCAAACCGCAATCGTCAGAGCTCCGGCGAGTTTGTTCGTCTGGAAAGAGGCGACGTTGAGTAAGAACGCGATGACTCCGTTGCCGACAAGAGCGATGCAGACGGAAGAAGTGAGCTGCCCTTTGCGGACGTAGGTCAGGAATGCGGACAGCTCGCCTATGACGCCTGCATAGAGGATGGATTGCACGGCGGCGAGCGGAGACATGCGGAGGAGGATCTCGAGCGCGGGGAGAGCGAGGTTGCCGGTCATTAGGCGGTTTGAGACAACTGTCTGAGGGCGTGCTGTTGGTCAGACGGCCATTATTGCTTAACAAGGCATGCGGCTCACCTTGATGGCGGCAAGTAACACTCCAGCTGAGGTGAGCAGGAACCCGGCTGTTGTGAAGTAGTAATCGCCGTAGGTAGCTAGGCCGACGCCTAGGATGATGGGCAGAATTGACAGGTATGTTGCCCGTGAATAGGTCCGGGAGTACCAAATTCGGTGGATGATGATGGTGATAACAGGACATGTGGATCGCATGATCTGGTGGAAGGGTACGGAGACCATGGCTCTTTGCAATTTGAATTATCAGCTCGAGCTGATACAGAAGGAGATTGTCAAGCATAATGCCCGGCCGCGCTACGGAGAAGCTCTTACAGTGAAACGTTTGACATGGCGATATTGATAGTGAAAAGCAATGAAGACGCGACGATGACCATGTTCTCGCGTTTATTGAGCCGCATCAATCCAGAGATTCCACATAGCAGGAGACCGTAGCACCCGATGGAGGCTGAGACCGCATGAAATGGCCGTAAGGATCCAGGGAAAGGCAAACTTTTCACAGGCGTCAGTGTGGACTGAGACAGAAAGGCCACCGGTCATGGTCTGCTTGCCTTCCCTAAGATAGCTTTGTTGGACAGAGTGAGGGAGAGATTCAGAATAAAATAAGCGGCCAAATAAGCGAGCGTTCTGCTTGTGGGTACTTCGTACTCGACCGGCATGTCTATATCCATTGAGGGTTTCTTAGGCATTGTGCTCCCGAGACTTAGTGAGTGGTTTCGTGCTCAAGAAGCTGGCGAGGCAGGACCAGAAGAATTACCATGAATACTTGAAGGGGAAGTACAACACACGCCAATGCTTGTGGGGGCGCAACATAGTATAGCTCCATCATCACAGGGGACTGTGGTAGGCGCTCCTAGAAGCACACCATCCCGAATGGTCCGAGAGACGCTTCCAGCACTGCAGGTGGATGAGCGTGGAGGTGACCCGGGGCGGCCTTTAGCTCATCACTTTCATCTATGGAAGAGTTCTCGCCGGTCAGTCTACATGGCTGACAATTCATCCCGTTCCCGATATCATGCAAAGGCCAGTAAGCTCAAGGCATGAAGCATATCTCATGCCAGGTAAGCACATCACAAAGTCCCACTGGCTCAGCGTTTGAGCGTCTCAGGTTCGGGTTCTGGCCAAAGGCTCTAAGCTAATTAGTGCTTACTCAGCAGCCGCTGTGGGCTTAGCGTACTTGCGATGTTTGATCGTGAAGAGACTGTATTCCAACCTCAATCAATCCAACTTGCGCAACAGCTAGAGAGATCCAGTCACAACGGGTTTCTACGGAGTCTCAAGAAGCCCAATGAAAGTCTTCTTGGGCTTAAGCCCAGACTTAGTGATAATGGAGCCGTCAACGCTCGTGTCGTGCTCCAGTCGTAGCCATACTCGACATGGCCGCAAACTATCGGACTTGGATGAACTTGGGTGCCCTAAGGCTGTCGATAGATGACTGAAGACCGCATCAGAATGATGTGTCAATGTATAAAGGCTCTAGACGAGGGAGGAAGTGACATATTGGTCGTGGAAGAGTGAGGTTCGCAAGCGAAAAGGATTGACGACCGCTTCGAAGGCGAGCTCTTTGGCGACTAGTGGAACTCCATCAGGCTACGGGGTACTTAGACAGGACGCTTCGTGGAATTTCTGCCATCCGAGCCTTCATGATTCGTTCTACAATGCGACGCTCATACCCGCACTCTCCACGTCTTCCTCTCAGCTCAAGAAAGCGCGCGCGCACAGTTCAAGGTCACGTTGAGACATCCAACGTCACTCAGCTGTCGCAGATGCCGGATTCTCACTCAGAAATTTCCAGTGGCCCGAACAGGAAGCCGAGGGAAGTGAAGAGGATCTGTTGCATTGGAGCGGGTCACGTCGTAAGTTTGCTGTCTTTGCAATACCATCCTTGCGCTCCCACTTGTTGTTCTCTCCCGCTTCCCTCCGGCAGTATCAGAGGCTCATCGTAATGCACACCCATGTGCATATACGTCAGTCATTTTCAAGATATCAACTTCATAGCTTCGCCCACGAGGCCCTCGAACCTCAAAGGACTCTCGTCACAGCCCCAATCACTTGATTGTCTTACCGAGTTTGCATCTTACTCATAATCTAGGGAGGGACTACGTGCGCAGTGATCGCGAGCAACAATCCTGAAGTTGTCGTCACTGTTGTGGACCTGAACGCTGAGCGAATCAAGGCCTGGAGTTCAGATGAGCTGCCGATCTACGAGCCTGGCCTATTGCATCTTGTGAAGAAAGCACGAGATGGCGCTCGACGAAATCTCTTCTTCTCCAAAAGCATCAGTAGTGCCATCATCGAAGCAGATCTGATCTTCATGTGCGTCAACACTCCGACGAAGCAAACCGGCCCCGGCGCTGGACAGGCGTTAGAGCTGGATTATCTCGAAGGAGCTATTAGGAGAATCGCGGAAGTGGCGCAGAATGACAAAATCATAGTCGAGAAGAGCACAGTTCCATGCCGGACAGCTGAAACCATCCGAGAGATCCTCGACACCACAGGACGGCCCGGCGTCAAGTTTTCTGTCCTGTCGAACCCAGAGTTTCTGGCCGCGGGCACAGCCATTGCTGATCTGCTACAACCGGACCGTGTCCTGATTGGCTGTTCAAAGACCCCAGACGGATACAGTGCTGCTGGTGCGCTAGCAGACGTCTACGCTGCATGGATGCCACGCGATCGGATCATCACAATCAATCTCTTCTCGGCGGAGTTGACGAAGCTTGCAGCCAATGCTTTACTGGCACAGCGCATCAGCAGCATCAATTCGTTGAGCGCAATCTGTGAAGCCACCGGCGCGGACATCGAGGAGGTCACCTATGCGTGTGGACTCGATAGCCGGATAGGACCATCCATGTTCAAGGCTTCCGTTGGCTTTGGCGGCTCATGCTTCAAGAAGGACATTCTAAGCCTCTGCTACATCTCCGAATTTCTAGGCTTGGCTGAGGTCTCGGCGTACTGGAAAAGCGTCATCGACATCAACGAATACCAAAAGGACAAGTTCACCAGCAGAATTGTCTCATGTCTGGGCAACACAGTTACGAAGAAGAAACTCGCTGTCCTCGGGTTTACCTTCAAGAAAGACACCGACGACACCCGCGAAAGCGCCGCAATCTCCGTCGTGAGTAGGCTGGTTGCAGAAGGTGCGCATGTCAGCATCTACGACCCATGCGCCAAAACGGATCAGATCTGGCGCGATATAGGCACTTATGTCACGGTCTGCGAGAGCGCCTATGAGGCTTGCATGAACGCGCAGGCTGTCATCATCCTCACGGAATGGGACGAGTTCAACAACAGAGTGACTACGGATGCACAGCGCTCGTCGGACAGGCTTCGCGGCCCTCAGCCAGGGTTCGTAAACCTTATCCGCTCGAAGCTTGATTGGCCTTTGGTTGCCGACATCATGTGCCCTCCGAAGTATGTTTTTGACGGAAGGAATGTCGTTGATGCTGGCAAACTCGAAGAGCTTGGGTTCCGCGTTGAGTGTGTCGGCAAGCCAAGCATGTCCTAGCTACAAGCTCAGGCACAAAGAGACGCGAGACGGGCAACCGTACCTTTGGGGACGAGGAAAGGGACGATGGATTGTAGACCTGATTGAGCATTAAAGGAATCTCGGAGGGTTGTAAATTCAGAAGAGTAGGACTTCAGAGGCTTGATGCACTGTGCGCGCGATGTGGAAATGTGGATCTGAAAGTGTTTTGTGCGCCTCACTGCGGGCAACAATCGCTATGCTGGAGCTTCTAATGTTATGTCACGCTAACTGTCTGGTATTGCTAAATAGATTTGCTCGGGTACGAGCTGCAATGCAATACAAGATGTTCTTGCTTTTGCGCATCAATTTACTCAACATATTTGCGTGCAGACACCTCTCTGTGAACAATGTCAACCTTGGTATCGCGCACTACGCCAGCCTCGCATGAAAGACATCTCATGTTTGGTAACATTCAAGTGATCTACGCAAAAGCGTCTTGATCAAGGATGAGCAACCACTCCTCCTAGCCATCTTTGATACATGAGCGCATATCGTTCCGCCAACAAGCTCAACATGTTATCTGCGTAAGACCTGCTCAATCTCGGAGTTTGTCCCGCAGCAATTCTTGACTCCTACTTTAACATAAGCCTGCCGCTGAGTTGGCTTCGGAATGTGCCGTGTTAGCTACGCGGTTATCCACCTTCGGGGTATCCGGCCCCATCCTTCTGAGCTTAAATGGATCACGATGTGGATGTCAAGATGGGGATTGGATGCTCTGTCACAGCTAAGAAGCTGAGGATACAGCCTACTAGAGTAGTCTCTCCTGGATCGCTGCTGCAAGGAGAGTAGAGTAGTAGTACCTCGGGTTGATCTCACTGAGTCTCCGCGTTGCACTGGGTTCGTCGAACAGCACTCGAATTCCTTTTCTACTCCTCACTTCGCTCAGTTGCTGCTCAGCATCTTTCCAGATCCTTTCGTCCTTGTTTGGCACAACAGTCTCAGATATTTGCAACCTATGGAATTCGTTCCTCAGTTCTTCTCACTACTACTTAAAGCGCTCCACTAAACGCAGTGGAGCTCAGTCAAATTCTCAGCAATCTATATACCTAGGAGTTCCCCAAGATATCCACCACGCAAACAACAACAATGCAGACTCAGGAGCATCCCGACCTCTCCTCCCTTCTCCGCGTAGAACGCTCCCCCAAAGCCTTCGGCTCGCGCGCCACCTCCCTCGTCTCTCTCCCCCCCGGCGCCCTCTTCGCACGCATCACGTCCGCGACCCCTGCCCAAAAAGCCTACACCTCCGTCCAAACCTCGCGCGACACGCACATCGAGCTGAACTCCGACCTCGTCTTCTGCAACCACTCGTGCGACCCCTCCGTCGAGTTCGACATGGAGCGCTTCGAGGTGCGGGTGGTTAAAGATAGGCCTCTGGAAAAGGGGGAACCGGTCACGTTTTTTTATCCGAGCTCGGAGTGGGAGATGGCGCAGCCGTTTGAGTGTGAGTGTGGGGGTGAACGGTGTAGGGGCTTGATCAAGGGGGCGAAGGACATGGGCGAGAGGGAGCTGGAGGGGTATTGGTTGAATGGGCATATTGTGGGCTTGTTGGAGGAGAGGAGGGCGGGAAGGAATGGGGTAGTCAGGGAGTCGAAGGTCTAGAGCTAGAGCTGGAGCGCCGGTTGACGCGCCGGATCCGCCAGATTTTAGAATTGTGGCTGTGTCAATTCTGGATGTCAGATTCAACATCTGGCATGGTTGCAGGGTCTCAGGAACAGGAAGGCGGGGTATCGCGGGGTATCGCGGGGTATCGCGGGCCGCATCCGAGGTCGGCCAACAGGGTTGACCGGTGTCGGCCCTTGTGTTTAGCGTACCACGACACTCATTGCAGTAGCTGTCTACGAGTAAACTGTTGTAGCACGGAGTCATCGATCTCGTGTATCAGAGATCAACTGGAGTTTCTTTTCGAAAGTTCAAGTATTCCTAACAGTGGTTCACTAATCGAGCAAAGAAAACAAGGTCACGTGAGCGGCGCTGTCATAGCCTTGAGCCTCTCCGTAATAAAGTTAAGGAGTAGCATACTTACATCATAACTCGACCGCAAGACGCCACGAGGACCAATAGAACAATGAAGTCTGCAGCTGTGGCTTCAAGTAAGCGGTTTCTGGAGTCTATATAAAGACCTCCTGTGTGATGGGTCGATGAGATAACGAACGTATGCTTCGAGGCGGAAGATACAAAAAGCGAGACAAACACTGTACAAGTCCCAATTACCCAGTCGCGATGTGCAAAAAGATTCTCAACAAGATTTCAAGTCACGCCAGATGCTGTCCGGCCATGCTAGCCAAGAACACTCGCCACTCGCAAGAACGCCTTCGGACCAAGACATAATCCCCCAGACCTCTTACGCATCATGAAACCCTGAATACAACTGCACACCGGCCAACCTACTCATCATCCACCAAAACCCTCCTAATCGTCTCCCCACTCCCCGCTCCATCCTGCAACCCATACCTAACTATAGCCGCCGCCTTTCTCGGGCCCCTCACGCTCCTCACAACTCCGCTTCTCACCGTAGCCGCAACGCTCTTCATGCTCGCCGATGTTTGCGGCCTCTGCAGCCCCGGCCTCATCGTCGTGGGCCTCAGACGGCCACCGCTCTTACCCTGCGGCGCCAGCTCCTCGTAGTCGCCGAAGTCCAGCTCCGGGATTTGCGGCGCGGGCGCTGCTGCGGCGGTTACTTGGGTCGAGGAGGTCGCGAAGTAGCGCGTTAGCTGTGACTGGGTAGTTGACTTGAGGGTGCGGGTGGAGGACTTGAGGACTGTGGCGAGGCGCTCGCGCTTGGAGTGTGCTTGCCGTGGAGGAGACGGTGGAGGGGGAGGGCTGCTGGATGAGGATGGTGCATCCTGGCAGGCGTTCGCTGAGACTTTCTTAAGTTTGCCGGGTTGGCGGACGAGAGCGTCGCCTGAGGAGTGCCGACGCGCTAGACGCTCTTCCCGGCTGCGGCTCTGCTCGATGGCCTGGGTCGCGCTGGCTGCGACGGTGTTGACCGCGTGCGTGGTTCTGGCGATTTGGGAGCGGACGGCGTTGGCTACCTTCCGGCGCTTGGAGCTGCGGTCTTCGTCCGGCTTGGGGAGGATGGCATCTAGGAGATTCTGCGCTTTACGCTTGACGCCGGCGGCGAGGCTCTCTTTCTTTCCGAGTGTGCCGCGGCAGGTTGGGGCGCCGCAGAGGCACTTGGTCTTCGCATCGCCGAAGTCTCTGTACGATCTGTTAGAGAGTCCTGAAACGACGCGAGAGACGGAATGAACAGAAACATACTCGAAATTATAGTCGTACGTCAGCTCTTCGCCGGTTCCGATACCGTTTGGTCCTGCAAACAATGCCATTCGTGGCTCACCATTGACCGTCATCGTGCTCATCTCGCAGTTTGGCGCGCAAGAGTGATTGACGAAGCGGCCGATCGAGCCCTTGGTCGCATCGATGAATAGCTTGTTCTCAAATCGCATAATGTAGAAGCACTACCGCGAGAAGTATCAGCAATCTGCGCAGGCCAATCAAGAGAAGAGTATGGGTAACTAACCTGGTTATTGGCATACTCCTCTCTCATTCTCCTGTCACACTCATTCTGATCGATGACCTCGCCGGTATACTCCACGATGATCTGGCCAGGGTCGAATGTGCGGGCAGCACGAACACCAAATCCACGATCTCTAGTTGGCATCACCTCAACACCCACGTCATACGCATTTGGCTCCCTCTTGTTCTCTTTCTTCTCTGTTCTTCTTTTCAGTTCAGCAAACTGGCGGTTTGTGCAACGCTCGGCCGTGACCTTGCAGTTGCTATCGTCGCACTCGTAGCGCATAACACGGTTGTGACAATTCTCATCGCACACAGTTCCCCACTTGTCACACTCACAGACAGAGAGGTTCGGGTTAGGTTTTATACGAGCGGCATCGCCGACATAACGGTCTACGGATGTGGTTAGTCACGTGAGCTTCCGCTAGGTAAAGCCAACTTACTCTTGGAGATGCGATGCCAATCATGAGGCTTGATCTTGCGTCCTTGGGTGTTGTACACTTCGTATGGAAGTTCGAAGTCGAACCACTCGTCAGTTGGGTCATCCATCAGGTGCTTCTCCCACGTAAACAGCGGAAGCGGCAGCGCCCAGTTCTCGCGCTTTTGGGCGGTCGTTGCTATTATGCCGGCCGATATTTGCTCCTGCTTGTTCTGAGCCTCCGTGTGGTTTGCCTTGAAGCCTCGTGATTGCCCGATGTACATCCCATGATTCTGCCACGTCTTCTTCTTAAAGCAAGCCTCAGCGATGGGTTTGGGCTGCGCCAGAGCAGCAGCCGCACCGGGTGATTTCGAAACACGCTTCCGCTTCGGGACATGCTCATCCGCCTCCATGTTGTCCTCCTCTTCCTCAGTCTGCCGCAAGGCCTTCCCGCGATCGCCTCCAAGGGCAGTCATCTTCTGTTTCCCACTCTCCATCGCTTCCCGTGTCCGCTTGCGCAATGCCGACGGGGCAGAGACTATAGCACTTGCCGCATCCTTGAGCTTGCTCCGACGCGTCGATTCCCTGCGCCTGACCGTGCTCGCCTCTGCCGTTGTCGCATCTCCTGGTACTTCATTCATGTCCCAGGCTGGGTCCAGCTTCTCGGTCGCCTCATCTAAGAGCCTCTGGGCTGGCCCATCGATGTGGCTGACCAGGGTGTCACCGGACACCGTCCGGTGCTTTACAGCTTCGGCTTCCAGGTACTTTCGTGGGGTGTGTATTGCGGTACCAGCGAGGATTGTGTCATTGTAGGTGGCGATGCTTTGGCGTACGCGCCCGCTGCGGCGGCGCTCCACTTTGCTGTCAGTCTTTGACGCGTCGGGAGCTTCAGTGGACGTTTCTCCAACACTGGTAGGCGGCGTGTCTGACGCGGCGATGGAGTTGCGCGCAGTGCTTGATCGGTCCATGACTGTAATGCAAGACAGAGTTGAGGCCGTGGATTCGGGTGAGGAGTCGCGCGTGGAGCGTGAGGCGTCAAGCGAAACCATCTTGAGTTCGTTGGGTAGGCGTTGCGAACTTAAGCCTTCGGAGCGCGGTGGTGTAAGTAAGGAACCGTGGTTGAGGCCCGACACGTAGGTAGACAAACAGCTTCCCAAGTAAACAATTCTCCAAGCAAGAACCACGCTTCAAGAAGAGGTTTACACGCGCACTCTGTGTCTGCACGCGTCCGCTGCTCTGGGAAGCGAAATGGCAGGGAGGCGTTGCGGGAGAGGTGGTGGAACGAAGGGCAGGGTAGCTTGCCGCCAGCGTGTAAACAACCTGGAAATTCCTCACCAGCGAATCAGACTAGCCGGATTCCAACGCGGCCATACACGCCCGCCAAAGCATCGAGTACTCGAGTAGATTCCCGTTGCCTTATTGAAAACACAGTAATTACTCAAGCGGAACAGCTACAAGTAAGTGGGCGTAACATCGGACCCCCTTCTCGAGTGCTGCATCATGTGCTTCACCATTGCCTTTTCATTATAGTCGACCTCTTAACATGTCGCACCTTGTCTCAACTATCAAAGAACGCCTCTGTGGATACAGCGAGACAGGAAGTTTCTAGAAAGCGGCTGTATACACTACATGGCCGTAGCCTGTCCGTGGAAGAGGAGTGCAGGACTAGGGCTTATCCTGCAAACGCATTGTACAATACAACCGCAGAGACGTACCTCATAGAACTTCTATGCGTTCTGCAGTTCAACTGATACAGTTGGAGTCAGGCCTTAATTCCCTTCCATAGCATGGAATCACTTGTCCATAGGTCGAAGTGTTCCTTTTTAAGCTCGGAAGAACGCGTTACTTTGCTGCAGACCTGACGCACGCGTGCACTTGATGAGGAGCCCCGGCTGTAGACCCGGGCGATATTGTACGGAAGCATGAGCGCAAGATATCTTCCGCAGAAACACACAAAATCTGAGCATGCTTCTCCGTAGCTTAGATCCATCGTAATGGGCAAAGAAAAGAGTAAGAAGCCAGCGTATATAACGGACTGCAATAGGGGATGTTTTGTCTGGAAGCTTTCCTTTTGGAGGTTTGACTGCGGTAGTACTGCTTGGTATATCATGGTGAACGTTCGTGGAGCGGTGCGATCTAGAGTGTCATTCATTTATACCTGCCCTGGATGATGCACATGAATTCGAGAGAAACACGCTTCCGGGATAGGTAATACCAGCTTTCCCGTAGGACATTGCATTTTCTTGGAAAGACTTCAGAGCATGCCTGCGCGTTCGTTGGATATACTCTAGCTTTCCTTGTAACCATGACACGTCGCGTGTTCGATGAGTACTCAGTCCCAGAGCAACCGTAGCAAACGCCTCTCATCGTAGCAAATCTCTCCACCTCTCGTTTTGCAATGAGTGTGGGAGAAAGATTAGCTGTTTCAATAACAAGATGGATAACGGTTCGTTGGAAGAAGGATATATCCATGGCGCGTTATAAACACGTCAAAGGAGGTTTGCGCACGGACGGGTGATGTTCGCGTCATCACGTGAGGATCGAGGGCCCGCCAGGATCCGCAAGCTTCGACTTCAACATCATCCCGAAGGCGATATCGAATCGTGGCCATAGACTCCATGGATAGACAATATCAGCAGTTCATATTTTTACTGCGTCCAGCTAGGCAGCGTGCATCGGCTCTTGCTCTCGATTCTAGGTGCGGCTAGGAACACTTGCCCCGCTTTCCAACAACTTTCATCCTGTTAATCACTGCTCATATTCTTAGCCTGAAATGAATCGGCATGTGTGAGGCGTAATATCTGCGATGATGTTATGCTTTGCAGGCAGCGAAACGTTATTGTAGCAATTCCCGCGCAAGTAAGCGCCTGCCCAACCTGTTCGACGCAGTTCACACTCTATCCTCTTATCATTTCTACAATGGACAAAACCGCAGCCCATCGTCTTTGGCTACCGTAATATTAACGGAGGTCAAATAGCTGTTAAAACCTCATTGGCATCGTTACACGCTGTCTCGATGGAGTGCTCCCTCAGAACAGTTGTTGGGCAGTCAACGGCAACATTGAGCGAGCAGCAAATATGCCTTGCCCCAGCACTAGTCCGTCTTTCAGCTTGCCTTTCCTCACGCTGGCGACCTTTGAGGCTGGAAAGAATACACGGGTGAACATTCTATGTACCTAGAGCGCTGCTGGTTTCCGTGCAAGCAATGCGGAGTTTAGAATCCACCTGAATGATACCGCTGGTACTTGCGATGATGCTTGACGTCGTAGCTGCATCTCTGTGGATACAAGGAAGTGGGCTACCGCGCAAAGCACCAAGTAAGGCAACTCATGGGTGGCCGGCCGGAGTGGGATGCCATGAACGTGTCTAAGTACCTTCCGAAGCATTTGTTTACTTCCCCTGCCTGCCCTCTTTCCTCACATAACGGATCCGTTTCGGCTGTTCGACTCTCCGGTGGTAGCTATTTCAATGCCTTCTGCTGGGTCTTTTCTCCTCCTCAATCATCGCATTCTCGTTGCTTCACCATTGCATGACTATTGTTTCAAGAAGCCCTCCATTGTTCAGCATAAACTATACAAACCCTCTTAGCGTCAGCATGGCTACTCGCACCGACACTCCCGTCAGCGCTGCCCCGAAAGCTGCCAACCCGTCACCGGCAATCGACACCAACGATATCGAGGACTGGCGTAACCGTGTCAATACCTTCCTGGATGGCGCTACGCAGGCTGCTGCCGATGCCAAAGCGAACCCTCCTGTCAAGAAATGGCACACTAATCTCTTCGGGTACGTTCGAACTTGTTCTATGTATCTCAGGTATACTGATCTCTGTCACAGGTGCTGCACGCCCTTCGAGACCTGCTGCGTCACGACCTGCTGCCCCTGCATCACCTTCGGCAAGACGTACCACCGCATGAACAAGGACAGCACGATGAAGGGCTACAGCCCGATCAACACGACCGTAAGCATTACTCACCATTCGTTACACAGCCTTGCCGTCTCATCCTTGCCTTTACACTTTTCCCTTCTTCTTACAGCCGATCACCCGCCCGCACCCACCCCACTCCACCTCCAGCTAACACCTCACCACAGTGCCTCCTCTTCTGCATCGGCCAACAGCTCCTCTGTGTGCCTCTCCTCTTCGCAGCAATGCAACGCGGCGAACTCCGCACAAAGCACAACATCGCCGGCTCGACCTTCGGCGACATCTGCACCTCCTGCTGCTGCATGTGCTGCAGCCTCGTCCAGACCGAGAAGGAGAGCGCGTACCGCGCCACGCAGGCGCTAGTTACGGAGCAGCCCGGACGCCAGCTCGAGATGATGACGTATGCGCCTGTGCCGGAACCGGAGCCGCGGAATCTGGTGGTGGTGAGTAGAGAGGGGACATGGTTGTCGGGAAGGGTGAAGCTGACGTTTGCAGGACGCCCGTGGGGTGACTGTGCTAGAGCGTGAGGACGTGGGAGAGGCGGAGCAGGGGACGGTGAGGCGGGGGAAGGTGATTGTTGCCACTGTGTAGCCGACGGGTTTCAGGGTTTAGATGGCACTGAAGCTATCTTCAGGCCTGTGAGCTAGGGTCCAGGCGGTGCTGTGGTGGGATTGCTTTGCTTTTGCTTCTGGTTATTCTTGGGTCTCGTTGTACTGTTTTGGAGTTTGTAGTTGATCTGCACGGGTTTCTTGCGCCCTGTTTCCGTACTGGTGCTTGCCATCTTTGGACGTGCTGACACTCAAACGTTCTACCTTAATGATCATTCCGACGATCTGCACCTTGCCCAGCTTGCGATACTATTACGGAGTCTTTTGCTTTGCCCTAAGTTCAGTCAAGGCTCGAAACGAAGGGTTCCTCCTGGGGCGCGACGGAACGTGGGCGGTCTTTACAAGCTTGTCAGCAGGGATTTCTGGGTTCTCGGTGTAGGAGTTGCTCTGCGCATGTGTCCCGATAGTATGGAGACATAGACAGCATTTTTCCCAGCGTCTGCTTCACCGTTGCGACACACGGCGTGGTCTACCAAGCAGTCAGGTATCCGGAATGATCACAATTTCTTGGGCTTCTAGTTCTAGCACCCGAGCCCGTCGGATTAAAACTTCTCCATCAGGTTCTTCCTCGCAGTCCACATCCTGGCCCTTTTGCCGTAAACATACATGGGTGTCGTCACGAGCAAGCACGCCATCTGAATGCCCCCGATGGCAAGAAACACAACTCTCGGCCCGTCGGACTCTAGCCAGTGGGTAAAGAAGAGCGAGAAGACCAGGCCGTGGAAGACATCTGCTCGAAATCAGTCCCCATCACTTTAGAGCCAAGAACGCAGCATCACGGTGCGGAGGATGCGAACTTACTCTTCCCCAGATTCAACGTAACCATCGCCTCCACTACCAACCCGCTATAACAATCCACCGCAAACGTAATCGCTGTCATACACCCTAGCGTACACCCAAAACTGACCGCCCCGAAAAACACCGTCGGCACGATCCAGGCTTCTCTCTCTTCCGCAATCCACCCGAACCCCATCAGCCCCACCATCGTGCACACCGCCACCGGCGCTGCCATCGCCAGCCGAAACTCCGGCTCGTACACACCTCCGTTGTGTTTGGCCATCCACCACACGACATGATCGGAGACCTTTCCCGCAACGATGGTGCCGAGGATGCCGCCAATGAAGGGGGAGAGGTAGACGAGTCCCGTCTGGAGGGCGGAGAAGTTGTAGGAGTCGCGGTCGCGGTAGATGGAACACACGGACTCGGAAAGAACGATCAACCACCCGATCGAGAGGGAGTAGACCACAGTGCTCCACAGGATTGAGGGGTAGGCGAAGAGGACGAAGGGCCGCACAGCGACTTTTAGCCAGGAGCCTTGTGATAGGCGGCCATAATAGGGGCGGAGAGTCTGTAAAAGGTTTTCGGCGGGTGGGTCTTCCAGAATTCGGTGTAGGCGGTAGCAGCAGGTGGTGTAGAGCCTGTGGGGCGGGGACTGATAGTAGTGAGTTCTGGCTCGGTGAGTGCAGTGGGAGAGAGGGTGACGTGCTTGCGAGGGCTGGAATGCTCTGGTGACTGGTGCGGTGAGCGGAGGGCCGAACGGAGGGGAGGCGAAGGCAGCCTCAAGACGAGTCTCAGTGGCTCTGAAGCGGTTGGTGACTCCTGCGGTTGACTCAGCACTGCACCTTCGTTAACATTCGGCGCGGCTGTAGCACTCAAGGCGAAGTAGTCGTCCTCGTTAGCCTGTGATTCGTAGAATGGCGAGTTGAGGTTGCGGAGCAACGGGGTTTTCGGTGCACCGCCCATAGGTACAACTCTCCAGGCATCCGAGTGAAGCGATCCAGGAGACGCGATGCCTGCAATAGACGTCGCTTTTGATTGCTGTGTGCTCATGGGGCCGCTGTAAGGTTTGCCGAATTCTAATACGGCCCCGTTAATAGCCTCTGCAGTCTTCTCTGCAGCGGCATTATTATCAGCGTTACCAGAATGCGGATGACGTTCACGACGCCTATGGGCAAGCGTTCCAGGTGCTGATTGGAGCAGGAGAGGAAAATTTGAGGCGTTCCCTGACTCGCTACCGCCATCGATTTGGGCGGAAGCGTCTCTGGTATCACTGCGAGGGTGTCGGCTTGAGCCCTGTTCACTCGGCTGGGCCTCCCGCTGTCCCTGATTATACCCATACGGACGTGGTGTTCTGTCCCAGAACGTCTCGGGAACAAATAGAAAGAGTAGCACGAAGCATAGGCCGACCACCATGGCGACAATCCTGATAGACGTTAGTTGAACGCTGCTTGAATTCTAATTGCCTAACTTACCAAAAGACCCAGCTCCACCCCAGAGCCTGGATGACAACAGCGCTGATCAGAGGCACCAAATTCATCCCTCCCAGCAGGAACAGCGTGTAGATTCCCAGGCGGTATGGTCGCTTATGGAGAAAGGATATCTCCGCTACCGAGGCTGAAGGAAGGCATTCGACAGGGCTGACAGCCAGTCCCTGTACAATCCTAGCAACAAGCAAGGATGGATAATTCGGCGACAAGGCGCACCACACAGAGCTCAGAATGAACAGAATCGTAGTTGCGAGATACACTGGCCGCTTGCCGAAGAGGATGGCTGTAGGCGAGCAGACAAGGCTCCCTATCCCCAGCCCCAGTATGTACAGTCTGGTGGTAAGCGCGACCGAGGCCTCCGAAACATGGTATGTTTCTGCAATATCGTGGAAGCCTGTGGCAAGTAATGGGGCCATGCCTCCGCCGGCCATGCAGTAGAAGCCTATGGACAGCAGCGCCGCATTTCTACGTTTCTTTGGCCAGTTCAGCGGATCGTTTTGGGACTCGTCGGGCTGGGGTTCCAGGATTATCTTGCCACCGGCTGTCCGTTTCTTCTCGGTTCGTGTGGGTTGTGCTGAACCGCTTTGTACGGAGGACGGATATGATGAGGTCAGCGATGAGTCGAGTATCTCAGCTGGAGTGTTGTGAAGGCTGAGGGGTCCATTATGGTCTGATTCCTCTGGATACAAGAGTACGGAGCCTGACCCAGTTGTTAGTGATATCTTGTAAACGAACCTTTTTTTCAGCATTCTCCCGGCTGTTGTGATGCTATTGAATAGTTGAGCGCAGTCAGGCTCGTCCACGCACCAGGAATCTTGTCCGTCTCTTCGTCGCTCAAGATGCCCATGCTCCATTTTTTCCGCTCAGGTGCCCTCTTCTCCAGGTCTCCTTTCGAGCTGGAGAAAGTGTTGTCTCGTGCTTGGGCGCGCCATGGCTTCCACTTAAGCATGCTCACAGCACTCGCAGAAGACTGTGCGAAACCTGACTCGATGCAAGCGCACAAGGACGGATCAGGAAGGCAGGCAAGCTCCGTAAACTAGGTAAAAGAGAAAGTAAGGTACAGGGTCGAAATGGAGCGTCGACGTCTAAGGAGTGGAAATGGAATAGGACATATATTCGAGGACATTCAGGTTCGGCAGCTCAGCCGAAAGTAAGTGAGATGGGCATCAATATAGGGAAAGTGGTGTTAATGAGCAGGTAGGCTGTCCAAGGAGCCGTCGTTGGCGCCATGAGCGTAGCCAAAGACATCAAGCTTCCTTGGGCAAGTAAGTGCCTACCTAGATAGGTAGTAGCTCTTTGACGTGTGGGACAGACACTAAACCTAGCGAAAGCGGAAGGCACCTAAGAGATGTTTCATGCTGCCCGCCGCCTGTTCTACACCGGACTTAACAACGCGGGATCTATAGCATGCAACTGACCATCCTGTGCAACTGGAGCAGCCGGAGATGACTCAACGTCAAGCGCCAGAGCTTCAAATTGGATTCGAAATGCTGAGCCGCTCCCAAAAGTTCGTCATAGGGACCGTGAGCGGCGTGCGTTAGCGTGATCGCGCATCCGCAACCTGCGCCGCACCTTATTTGGACTGCACCTCAAGTATCCATTGTAGTAAATCTGGAAGCCTGAATATTATCCCTTTTAGCATCGATCAGACCTCGTTCTCTATTATACGTGCAGATTTATGAACACATATCGGGTTAGGCCTTTGAGAAGGACGGGGCTTCTCCAGAACCGGTAACTTTGTGTCGCGGAACCGTGAGATATCCCTGCTTAACACTAAAACCAGTCATCCGAGCATTGTTGACAGGTACCCTATCTACTGCCGCATGACTACTGTTGAGACGCGAAGGCGTATTCAAGCGGTATTTGAGCTATTAACTGTAATGACCTAAGAGACGGAGATGTGACCTTGCTGGTATGATTTATTGATGAGAGTGAAGTCTGTACAGTCTACACCGGTATCCAGCTCCCCATGGTGATCCGAAAGCGAGCACCGCCCGTCTAAGATGCGCTTACGCCAACCCACGTAAACGCTCTCTTTCATCTGAGCAGGATATCATACCCGTCTCTTGATATCCGTACCTCATCTCCTTGCCCACCATACTTCCTCCTCACAAGCTCAAACACAATCAACCCCGCGCTGGTACTCGGCACCTGCCTCGCGGTACTCGCCCAAAAGTTCCTATATAAATACCTCCGCCACCCCCCTGCGCGCTTCGCCTGCCGTTCACACTGCTTAAACGTCTCCTGATACGCATGATAATACAGCCTCATCATCTTCCCGCTCGGCGGCTCCAGCTTCGCCGCATAATCAATCGACTCCAGCCGGCCATAGTGCACGTTCTGGATCTCGTTCAGCGGATACAGGATTCCCTGCTGCGCCACACTCGCCGCGACGCCCGCAAGCAGCAAGAAAGATGGCTCGAGCGCATAGTGCGGCCGTATCGTTGCGCGCTGGTCCTCGTTGTAGCTAATCGTGGACTTGTAGGGATGAAAGAGATATACGGGCTCGAAGTGGCCATAGTACCGCGTCACGAAGTTGTAGTAGCCCTGCGATTTGATGTACTCGAAGGTCGCGAAGAAGACGCCGGAGCCGAAGGCATCGCGCACGAGGGAGAGGCCGTAGCCGGCGAAGATGCCACGCACACCGATTGAGTGCAGTTTGGCGGACGCGTAGTGCCACATTGTGCGGTACCGCCCTTCGAGCATGTCGGCGGTGCGGAAGCGGACTTGGAGCGCATCGAGGGGGGCAGCGATGAGGGACTGGATTGAGCCGGCGGTGAAGCCGGCTAGGAAGGTGTGTGAGGGCGGTGCGGGAGGATAGACGCGTTTGGCGTTCTCGGCAGAAGGCGCATGGAAAGCGCCGAGAGTTTGGAGGTAGGCGGTGTAAAGTACAGCTCCGACTGTTACGTTTGCAAGCATAGGCGGGAGCACTTGGTTGGGTATAAAGCTCCATCCGTACTGCTTCACCGCATGGGCGAGGAGGCCGGGGGTGGTTGTTCGCCATGACCAGCCGGTATTGGCTTTGATTTGCGGGTTTATTGCTCTTGCATAGGCCTACAGTGGTTCAACACTTTGCTCGAGCTCTTGACCTGGGAAAGTGGAACGTACAGTATAGCTTCACCCGATCAGTACTCCGTATGTTTTGCGGACGAGCGGCGTATCACTCACTCAACCCTGGTGCGAAAGAAAGCTTTGATGGGTGCTCTGAAGTAGTAGGTCAAGAACTGGGTAGTCAAGGCTCGTATGCCTGCAGCAGAGGCTCCAGTAGCTGCGTTTTGCTTGCGCTGTTGGCCATCTCCACGACCGAGAGTCCTGTTGGGATCTACAGGACCCAGGTCGGGGGGGAGAGTGGTCATGGTTCGCACGCGCTAAGTGAGTCTGAGGCTCGCAAATACATCGAGAGACTCTCGGGTGTCTGAGTACTATCTAGAGCACGGATCTGGCGCTGGTGTTGACCGTTTCAGTCTCCACAGCGGGAAGGGGTTCGCTGGACGGAGTTGATCGGAGTTAAGACATATAAGGCCCCAAGGCTGACACAGGAAGCCCGGATCAATATCAGTCCGAAGCTCATCCCGTCTCCAAGACGCGAAAGTTCACGTCGTTGCTTCATCGTTCAACACGCCCGGCAACCCCTCTATCCTCCTTCCAACACACCTCCACGTCTTTTTCCGTCAACCGATCGGTCGCCTTCAGAAGGGGCTTCATTCCATTGCCGCCGACATGGGCGACGAAATCACCATCGACAAGCAGGCCTTCCACGATCGCCTCTCCAGCTTCATCTCACAGTGGACCGACAAGCGATCGGGCGACACCGTCTTCGGTGGCGTCGGCTCCATCGTCGTTCTTGTGGGAAAAGCAACAGACCAAGGAACATACAACAAGAGCGCAGCATTCCAGCTATGGCTGCTAGGCTACGAGTTTCCCGCGACTCTAATGGTGATGACACCGGCGGGGTTGACTATTGTTACGACGAAGAAAAAGGCGGCATATTTAGAGCCTTTGAAAGGTGGCAAGACGCCTGTTGAAGTTCTGGTGCGCGGCAAGGATCCGGCGGAGAATGCGAAGCAGTTTGAGAAGTGCCTGGACATCATCAAGAACGCGGGGAAGAAGGTCGGCGTTCTCCCAAAGGATGTCCAGAGTGGGCCCTTTGCAGAGGAGTGGAAGAGGGCCTATGGGGATATCTCGAAGGATGTCGAGGAGGTTGATGCGGCGGTGACTATTTCAACCGCCGCGCTGTCCGTCAAAGACGAGAAGGAGCTGGTATGTTCCACTACAGTTATGCAGCAGGTGGGCAAAGTTTGCTAACACAGAGCGTTAGCGACAAATCCGGGACGCTGCACGAGCGTCGAGCGGAGTCATGGCGAACTACTTCTTGGACGAGATGTCGGCTATACTCGACGAAGACAAGAAAATCACAAACAAGGCGCTGGCGGAGAAGGTGTCCAACAAGATCGACGACGCAAAATTCTTCCAGAAACTCAAAGTCTCCAGCAGTTTCGATGCGATGAACCTTGATTGGAGTACTATGCCGACGGTTCAGAGCGGTGGCCAGTATGACATCAAGTTCACCGCAGAGCCTACTGACAGCAATCTGCATCCAGGCGTCATCATATGCGCGCTTGGACTGCGATATCAGTCCTACTCTTCGATAATCGCGCGAACATATCTCGTTGACCCGAACAAATCGCAAGGGAGCAACTACAAGCTCCTCTTGCAGATGCATGAAACTGTACTTCGGACGATCAAGGACGGCGTTACGGCAAAGGAGGTGTACACCAAGGCTCTGGGCGTGCTCAGGGCGAAGAAGCCGGAATTGGAGAAGCATTTCCCCAAGAACGTTGGTTATGGCATTGGTATTGAGAGCCGCGACGGCACGCTCATTATCAGCGGCAAGAGCAACCGAACATTGAAGGATGGCATGACCTTGATGATCACAACGGGCTTCAGCGATCTGCCAAACCCCGATCCGCAGGACAAGAAGAGCAACACCTACGCATTAGCCATTACCGACACAGTCCGCGTTACAACGGGTGAAACTGCAGTCTTCACCAAGGATGCGCCTTCGGATCCGGAGTCAGTGTCTTTCTTCTTCAAGGACGATGAGGAGGCGGCTCCAAAAGCAAAGCCCAAGAAAGACGCGAAGGTGGGCGCGGTTGCGCAGAGCAACATCACCAAGACAAGGCTTCGTACCGATCGCAGCACGAATCAGGATGCCGAGAAGGACAAGCAGCGCCGGGAACACCAAAAAGAACTCCACCAGAAGAAACAGCAGCAGGGCCTGGAGCGCTACGGTGAGGGAACCGGCAATCTCAATGGCGTTGAAGAGAAGAAGTTCAAGCGGTTCGAGTCGTACAAGCGCGACAACCAGTTTCCTTCAAGGGTCAAGGACCTTACTATCGTCGTGGATGCCAAGGCCGCAACTGTCGTTTTACCTATCATGGGTCGCCCAGTACCATTCCACATTAACACCATCAAGAACGCTAGTCACACGCCCGAGGGCGACGTTACCTCCCTCCGCATCAACTTCCTCTCCCCCGGTCAGGGTGTTGGCAGAAAAGACGACCAGCCGTTTGAGGACCCGACCGCACACTTCGTCCGCAGCTTAACCTTCCGCTCCAAAGATGTCGACCGCATCGACGAAATCACGCGCCAGATCACCGACCTCAAGAAAGAAGTCGTGCGCCGCGAACAAGAGAAGAAACAGATGGAGGACGTAGTCGAGCAAGACAAGCTCGTGACCGTCAAGAACCGTAACCCGCTCCGCCTCGACATGATCTTCCTGCGCCCCGCCCTCGACGGCAAACGCGTACCGGGCGAAGTCCAGATCCACCAGAACGGTCTCCGCTATGTTCATGGCAATGGCGGTGCACAAGTCGATATACTGTTCAGCAATGTCAAACATCTTTTCTTTCAGCCCTGCCAGCACGAGATGATCGTCATCATTCACGTTCATCTCATCAACCCGATCATGATCGGCAAGAAGAAGACTAAAGACGTGCAGTTTGTGCGTGAGGCAACGAACGAGCAGTTTGATGAGACGGGCGCCCGGAAGCGGAAGCACAGGTTTGGTGGCGACGAGGATGAGTTCGAGGCCGAGCAGGAGGAGAGGAGGAGAAGGGTCCAGCTCGACAAGGAGTTCAAAAACTTTGCGGAGAAGATTGCCGATGCCGGCCGGAATGAGGGACTGAGCGTCGACATTCCATTCCGCGAGCTGGGCTTCAACGGTGTGCCCTCGAGGAGCAGCGTTACGATCCAGCCGACGACGGACTGTCTGGTGCAGTTGACTGAACCGCCGTTTTTGGTCATCACGCTTGCGGATATTGAGATAGTGCATTTGGAGCGTGTTCAGGTAAGCCGCTCTATCTTGTGATCACCGGCACCCTGCGGAGAATCGACTAACAAGACTAAAACCGTAGTTCGGCCTCAAAAACTTCGACATGGTCCTCGTCTTCAAAGACTTCAACCGCCCCCCCGCGCACATCAACACCATCCCCGTCGACTCCCTCGACGCAGTCAAAGACTGGCTCGACAGCGTCGAGATCCCCTTCTCTGAAGGCCCGCTCAATCTAAACTGGGCCACCATCATGAAGACCGTGACGTCCGACCCGCACGCCTTCTTCGCAGACGGCGGGTGGAATTTCCTAGACGCCGAGAGCTCCGACGAGGGCGAACAAAGCGAGACCGAGGAGTCAGCGTTTGAGATGAGCGACAGTGAGTTGGCGGAGAGTGAGAGTGAGAGCGAAGATGAGAGCGAGTTCGATGAGAATGCGTCGGAGGAGGCGGAGGGGAGTGGCAGTGAGAGTGAGGAGGAGGGCGAGGATTGGGATGAGTTGGAGAAGAAGGCTAAGAGGAAGGACAAGGAGAGTGGGCTTGATGATGAGGAGAAAGGAAAGAAGAGGAAGCGGTAGATTGCTCTATGGGGGCGGAGCCGAAGCTTGCCGAGAGGCGGAAGGGAATGGACTGGGGTTCTTGCATCTTGCTGAAAGCACGGAAATGGTTGCGCTTTAGCTTGTATGTGTATCATGCCGACGATGGTGCTGCATCTTGGTTAGGGCTTGGCGTTGCGTGGACATCAGACAGCAGGACAGCAGGATAGCGTCTCATGGGGTCTTAACAAGGCATGCTCCTCTTCGTTGCTCGGTCGCCAGACTATGCACACTGATACAGCAGAACAATGGAGCTTATTCAGTCAGAAAGGAACCGCTCTCTTCAAAGTTCCAGTGGTGGGTTGTTTCTAGAAACTATAGTGATTTTTGCCTCCCGGGCAGAGAGGAAGTTATTCGAAAGCCATTTCGCCGTGATCGAGTGCTGGTGAAAGTACCGGAGTCCATACGACTCCTCGGCCGCTCCTCCGCTACTGCTTCACCCAAAGGTAAGGCCAATGCCATACCTCTCTCGCAGCTCCGAGCGTCATGGGAATCAAGGGGACTTTGAGAACTCCGTTTAAGCGTTGTGATGCGAGTCCTTCCAAATACCTTCCCTTATGAAACCTGAGCGATGAGCGAGCCCTGCCGGTTCACACTCCCCTGGCTTAGATCGAACTAAAGCTGCGGCGGCGCATGACTACGTGCACAAGACTTTCTGGCGGAGCTGAAAATTAGGGCTTAATTATAGTAATTCCCAAGAGCTGAGGGAGAGACCGTTCGAGGCTCGTGATAGGGGGAGTTGGATCAGGGACAGGGGGAGCGGCTGGATGCACGGGCCCAGGCACAGAAAAGCTTGTCTGCACTCTGCGATGCCGGACAGCATGCAGATTTGCAATGCTGCTCCTCTAAATGAGCTTATGCAACGTTGTTGCAGAACACGAGCGCATTCATAAGGACATCAAACTCCTTTGTAATCTATGGAAGATCATGGCGACAGTAGTATCTTGGACACCTCGGGCGGGGTTGTTTGTCAAGCGCTCGACCTATCGATGGCGTTCAGTAAATCAAACTGTATCCGTATCCTGAGCCAGCCACAGACAGCCCGAACCCGGATTGAGGTACCGGACCATGGTTTAATATCCCGCTACCTGCAAGTGTTCAGCGCTGAGCGTCCGGCTTGGCTTACCGTTATGCGAGATACCGTGGATCGTTCATACGTCTACGGAAGCCAGTTCAAGCCGTTGCGCCATGCACATTTCCGCCTGGAGTACATGTAGCTGGCGCTGGCCACATGTGAGGAGTTGCTGCATCCCCGGTCTTCCTGCCTTACTTTTTGTGTTTACAATTGCTTGTCTCCCACATTCCTTTGAACATCGTTTCTTTACTGCCCCGCTTCGTCGAACTCGAGCTTGCCGTTTGCGTGAGAGTTAACTCGCACTTGCCATTTACTTGCTCTCTCCATACAAGTACCACTCGCAATACTCGTTACCTAGAAACAAATCGTACAACTATCGCATCAACCCATTATCGTCACGCAAGCATCGCTCAGCACGTTCTTCCGCCAACATCGCCATGGCCGCCCTCACGCTAACGGCCCTCCTCGCCCTTGCGTCGACCCTTCCCGCCATAACCGCCGCTCCCATCCCCGCACTCGCCTGGACACGTCAATGCCGGTGCATCTCAGTCCCCTCCGCAAGCCTGGGCTACATATTGCCCGCTTCCGCCGAAGACGCCTGCACTCGCATCGGACCTCAGCTCGATAAATGGCGCCGCAGAAATTCTTACGCTTATGGCGACCTCTTCGCATCTGGCCTCCGCACTGATGCGGCGTCGAGGGCAGGTGTGTTGAGGGAGGCGCTGCCGGTACCGACGAGTGCGCTGATGCAGGGGTCGAGGGAGGGATTGGCTGAGGAGAGCAGGACTATGTGTCGCATTGTTAGGGTACCGGACGAGGAGGCAGAGAGGCTGTGGGAGGAAGAAGGAGAATTGAATCTGATGCTTATTCGGTTCACTTTGTTTGTGATTGGAGTGATTTTGGCGGTAGAGGTCGTGGGATTGGTGCGATTCATGTGGGTGGCACCTACGCATTCTTTGTGCCCTAGCAAGACCACTGACCTAGGATATAGTGCACGATGGGTCCTCGCGAGAAAAGAGAGTGCTATTCGGCTTGATGGTCAGGAGAAGGCTCTATGGGCGATTGCCGATGAAGAGGATAGATGCAGCAATGCGCATATTCTTACAGAGAAAGAAACGCTCGGCGTATGTTGCAACGGGGGGAGCTAATGTTCTGCACATAGTGACGAATATAAACATCGTTCATGGCCTGAGAATCAGGCGCCTGTTTCTCCTCTATTGATGCTTAGCCTGACAGCCTTGGCATTGCTACGAGACTCGTACAAGACAAGACTATGATTGAACAGCACGAAGAAAATATGCTCTCGGGGACGTGCTTCGTCGAGACAGTTTACAGCCACGTGCTTCGGGATTGGAGATGTAAATGCATCTGAAAGGGGTACTTGCAGCTGGGCGCACGGGAGGATTATCACGTGACTGTTTGGGCGCTTTGCATCCTAACATTCGTGTCCCGACATTATCCAGCGGTCGAAATGTGCACAACGCATCAATTACGATCACTGTCGTGCATGGCTTGCTGGCTCACTCGGACGAACCGCTAGTTGTGCATCAAAACCCCATTCAGCGCGATTCTAGCTCGTGCACCGCTGTTCATAAGCGCTCAGATTGCAAAGTAAGTTCAGTATACCTCAGATTCCATAGATCAGGATGCCTGTCCGCACTCACCTATGGGTATCTGGCATAATAGCAGTCCTCACTGGAAGTGAGGTCTCTGAGAGCTAGTTAGGTGTAAGCGTGATCTTTCGTGGAATGCCTCCTGCTACATTCCTCACTCCGCTGTTTGTTATGCTTAGACCCTGGCATGCATCATGCCATCACCGGATCTCTTCGAAAGCAGCTCCTCTTTTCATGAGATCTCCACGGTCCATGTCTTACTTACTCACGGTCGTCGTCTCTCTCATATCATAGTCCATCGTTATGTATCTTTCATTACCATCGTTGTCGCTGGCCCTCCAAGCCCTTTCCTCCCTTACCGGCCGCCGCCAGGAGCACGGATTAGACCCGCACAAGCGATACAACCCTACATCACAGCATGCGAAGGTCGATGCAGCATATATCAGACGCCAAATACCGCACCCCGAGCCCGAAGATCCTATGCCAGAGCCCGTAGAGGAAACTTCCACCACCAGCGCCAGCTCGAGATATATTTACACCCTCTTTATACCCTCGCCATCAGCCCCACCTATTGCCATCACAAAGCAAAGCCAGGTGGAGACGTCTTGGGTCCCCCAAATCACGATCTGTGTGCTTCCGCCTCTTGCGTTCTTTGCCGAGACACACTCCACGTTCAGCACGGTTACCTCCGGACCACCATATAGAAATTACTCGATATCAACTCCGCCCGGCAATGGAACATGCTTCACAGAATACAGCCCTACACTCACCACAATATGCGCAACCGTGCTTAATGGCCTTGCTAGCCGGGTTACAGTCTCCGAATGTAATCAGGAGATCACCTTCTCTAGCCACTCCGACGCGCATCTGGAATCGACAACACCGTTCGTCTCCGACGGTGCGCTCATTACACCCGCGCCAACCATTCGGCTCGTAACAACCTATTACAGAGCGCCATGGCAAGCCCTCACGACTGCCGGTCCTCCCTCAGACGTCGACGTCACAATCTGCAGCATCGTCGACGGCGAGGAGCAGTGTCTTGATATAGAGGAAGTCTGGGAAGTCAAGATCGTTACTGTAACCAGCACCCTCACCACTACGGTCGACCTCTCGACCACGATTACCGGACCGGCGATGATCATGGTGGAGACGTATCAGGCCACTGTGACTAAGAAGTTGACGATGTTCAGCCTCTCGACGGAGCTAGTGCTGCATTACGAAATCGAGAAAGAGACGACTATGCACAGCAATAGGACGGAGGCGAGAACGACTACAGAGCCCCCGGCCACGCAGACGTTGACGCTGGAGTATGCGCCGGGATATTCGCCGGGTGCACCGGGCGAGTAAGTGGCTGGAGTGCGCTTTGAAGTAATCCGGCATGTAGATGATGGTGTTGTAGGCCCACTACTACGGATACAACTACGACTACAACGACAGCCGCATATGGTACAATTACGCAGATGACTCAGAAGCCTTCATTCACTCCTAAGCCGGAGTTCTCGCTTCCTTACTTGTAAGTCTTTAACTAGAACTTACTCAGCTACAATGCAGTATTGAGCCAACTACTGACGCGTGATTGAACAGTCCCGGGATACAGTCATGGCCCATAGATGACGATGACTAGTTGGCATCATTTGCTCATTTCACATTCTTACTCGATGCTTCTCTCATCGGCTGGTCTGCCGTCACCGCTTCGTATAGATATTACAGAATGTTAGCACGCTGGCCGCTTACCACAGCCTCGGCCTCGAGGCTCGGAATCACCAGAGCAGCACTGGGAAATGATCCATGCATTCCGCTTTGTATCTCTTCGTCGTAGAACTTTTCCTCTACGGCATGCTGTCTAGCAGGTCTGTAAAGCAGCTTTCAGAACCTTATACAATCCGTACTCCTAACATTCCCTTTTCACACTCGCGCTCCGTTACCGCGGCGCCGTTGACATGCGAGACTTTCCCCGCATCCGAGCCACCTCACCCTTAGACGGACTCTCCATGCTTCTCTATGCCTCGGAACATTGTGCCATCGGGCAGCTCGACCTTTCCTTCATCCAAAAACACCAGAAGGATGCGGACGTACTTCTCCTCAAGAAACCTCGTCGCTCGTAAAGCCACTCTGTTGTGCGGCCCTCTTGGCGCGGAGTGCCGGAGGACGAGACCGGATTCCTCGTAGTGCCGGGTGAAACCTTCTGCGCGCACATTTTGCTCTGGCTCGGCCTGGGTTTGTCAGCGCCTCTGTGTTAGTTGCTGCGCTTTCGAACGTGGGAACACCTACGTGGTGGTATCCGGGAATGTCTTCATAGGCTCGGTACTCGTTCATGAGGAAGTGGCAACACAAGAGTTCGTCGTTTTCGAGCGCGTCCAAGCATCTCTGGAGGTGTGCCCTAAGCTCATGCAGTTCTGTCGATGCTGCCATGATGCTTGTATGCCATCCCTTACTGGATGAGCGAACACGCCTCTTATATGTAGATTTCGTTTGCCCTTCCAGCTCAGCATCACAGTTGTATACTCTTTGCTAGATGGTAGGGTTGTCCAGCAAACCGCAAGTTCAGATTGGGTGGGGTCATGAGCAGTGAATCATGCGATACTCAATCCACTGGAAGATTGCTCGGCTCCTCGGCTCTGCTTTAACTTCGTATCATACTACATTCTCGCCGCTCTTTTTTTTAGTTACTCTCTTCGGCCGCTTCATTTGAAGATGGGGAGCGATGAAAGGATGTCACGTGATTGGTAAACGAACATCTCAGAGCTTGTTCATCTGTGGCGTTGACATCTATTGGAATAACGTCTCCATTCTCACTACGTGTAACACCTCCGCTCCCGCACAACATGTAGAAGCAAGGTTACTCCACAGAAGCTCTCGAAGGTTCTCTAAGCTGGCGGTTCATTCTGAGACCCCGGCTTTGGGTCAGCCTCTTCGTCTTGAGCGCCTTCTGCTAATTCCCCGGAGCTGGAGTCTGCAGACTCATCGTCCTGGGGATTGATGACTGATAGCTCCCAATTGTAGTGTCCCAACTCATCCTGGTATGCTTGACTGGTGGGGTCCTGAAACGCCGGGTTTGTGGGAGCGGCGCGTCGATGGGGTTACGCGTCTGGGTATCTTGTAGGGCCTACACGCCCTTGAGCATGCTCGCGAGTCTCGTCGATGACGAATACACAGCACACCAGCTTGTTCAACCCGCTGGGGTTTAAGCGCCGCTGGATACCTGCTTGAAGGGATCCCAACGATGTTTAAGGTAGTGACATGTCCGGAAAAGCATTGAAGTGCTGACAGGAACACCGCTTCGCCAGAAATTGACCAGTGTGTCTGGCCATCATGCAAGGGATGAACCCGCGTCTTATAACCGGGTTTCTTTTTGTATTTGACCAAGCAGATGGTCCGATCACGCTCTGTTAGATGTTTGATGTTTCAGCAAATCTACATGCTCAAGATTGCCCAAGATTAGGTTGCTCATGTCATGGTACTTATGACTCTGAAAATATCTTCAGCTTCCACGTTCCGCTTCCATGTTCCGCTTCTTTGCACATCGATCTCCATCCTCGCATAGCTTTTCCGTCCACCCGATCCTGCATCTGCCTCTGAACACACGCAACATGAACAAGACACTTAATCAACACGTCCGCTTTCGAAGTCTGACAGACTTCTCATCCGCTGCTCTTTCATCTATCTAGTTGGAACAATGACGAACTCCTTCCTCGCAACTCTCAAGTGCATTTCTGTATCGCACCTCAAAGCCGCTGTTGCCTCACTGCCCACGAGCGCCACAAGCTCCGCGAGGACCGCGAGGACGACGAGGACCACGTGGACCATGAGCACCACGAGCACGAGGACCTCGCCAAGTCCCCAATGCGCCTCCACGCCCTCCCCGACCCGCGAGCGCTTGAAAGAGGCTGGGAAAGGCCTCTACGGCAGCCCGTGCTCCAGCTCTCCATTCTGCTGTTGTCTGTGCTGCCAAGGCTGTAGCATCGGCGTCTAGCTGCGCCCCGAAAGGATCCCGCACCCCGATGAAAATCAGGCCGTCCGATAACTGCAGCCGGCCGGTGTCCAGGAACTCCGTGATCCTGATGATTGTGGTCTCATCAAGGAGATTGGCCTGTAGGTTCAGTCTCGAGTTGTTCTGGGGATACGTCTCCGGATCTAGCGACTCGAGCCCCTGCACCATGAAGCCAGGTTGTAACCAGGTGGAGCCGGCGGACTCGGCCACGGTGAAGCCGCGGAGTGGCTAGATTGTCAGTGTGGATTCCGTGCATCAGAGGCTGAGGAGGACTTACATCGTGAGTCAGCTGACCGCTCGCAAGCTGCCATTGAAACTCCCTGATGATGAATACGCAACTGTGGAAGTCGAAAGTGTTCAGTGCATCTAGACGCGTCTGGAGATCTCGTCTCAGCTGTTCCAATGCCGCTGAGTCTGCCATCTTGTGTTGCAAGGAAAGCTTGGTGGTTTCCAACAGTGACAGAACGGGGTTGCCTCCCACTCTGGTCGATAAAGGAGGAGCGAGAACGTCCCTTATGAGTCTGATTCTGTTTGTTCCTACGCTTAGCAACCTACCTTTCTACATTCAGTTGGATGCTTCCATTGCTCGCTTGCTCCTCAAGCATCGGCTTGTTCATTGTTTTTAGCTTGACCGCGAAGTGCTATTCAAAATCTCACGAGACTTGCTGGCCGTCACAAGGGTGAGAGGTTCCCGTAGAGAGCTTGCTATAGCATACAAGGCTTGAACGCTAGTGATGGCCTTGTACAAGATGGCGAGGGCGACACACGATTCAGCCGCCCAAACTTCCTGGTTGACGGCAAATAGAGCCATCCGGAAGCTCCACCCTGCCAGTATCCAGAAACTCCAGTATCAGCCAAAGGTACTCCTCGTCCATCTCGAATGTATTCAGAAGGTGTTTTCTCTGCGTCACCAAGAGATAGCCCAGCTGAGGAGGTTCTCCCGGGCGGCGACTCGGGAGCGTCAGATGCTGCAACGACATCGTTTTGTCTGCAGATACCACGACGAAACGGAACCGGTGGTGGCTGTTGTCTTGTTGGGTATGCACATGGATGTATGGAACATTGACTTTCTGGAAAACTCTAGAACCTAGGTATACTTTCCCGTATGTAACCACGTACTATTTGGCCAATCGCTTGCCCCTAACGGACGATATACTGCTTTGCAAATCCTGCGACAACAACGTATTAAGGGAAGTCTGACTTCTGTGCCGCGACGGAGGATAAGCGAGCAGGTTGTGGTCGACGTACACGATAGCGAGGTCTCCGCGGATCTGACCCATCCTCACTCCCCGTCTTCCGGCAAGCAGTCCCATCCTCCAGCTCTACCCTCCCCGTATCCAGAAACTCCCCTACTAACCATAAATTCCTCTCTACATCCTCCGAGATCTCCAGCGCGCTCAGCCTCATCCTCGTCATATTGAGTAACAGATAATCCGCCCCCGGACGTTCCCACACCTCGGGCCTTCGTAGCGTGACATCGTGCTACCAGACCTCGTTCTCTTTGCGGACTTTGAGGGGATCGAAGCGGTGGTATCGGCGATCATCTCGGCGAACGTAGATGTGGGATTTGGGGGGTGTTAGTGATGGGTGTGTTGATGGTTGGTTATCTTGGGCGTAGGGGATGGGGAAGACTCACCCAGTCGAGAATACGGGATCGCCATTGGGGGATGATGTACATGCAGCCGAGGTAGTCGGGCCCGTCAATCGCCCAGGCCGAATTGTAGCCACCATAGCGCTTCCAGTTCATCGGTCCTGTCACCGGTTCTGCCATTAGTTCTGCCATTGGTTCTGCTACTGGTTTTGCTCCTGGTCCTGTCATGCTGTGCTGCTGATAGTTCCGAAGCGATCTGAGTGGTACTGCACGGGCCTGTGGAGCATTCCGTTTAAGGATAGAGCGTTAAGACCGGTTTGTCTGCCAACTATGAAAGACGGGGCGGAGACGACTCTTGTAAGGGAACCATGTTGTAGCCTGGGCTAAGCAAGCTAATTTCGCCTTCGCTAGATGTTGCCACATGCCCCTTTGGCCGGTCTCTTGCCTACTGAACAGCTGTACTGCTTTGCAAACACAGTGATATCAGCTTAGGATCTACTGTTTGTGTCGGCAGCGGCGGATACGCACGCGACGTGTGATTACGACAGGGAGCAGATCCCGGTTGGAATGATGTTTTACGTGGGTGGAGTGTTGGACGTGCCTTATGCAGCAAATCTCGACTTTTAGAGATGATACGAAGCATATTGTCGTGCTGGAAACAGACCGCCCTACACGCTGCATCTGAACACCTAGGCTATTAATGTTGTCCAGAAGTACCGCAGCGCCGCAACAGGCAGTCGAGAGAGGGAGAGCACCACACAGCTTAATGGACAAGCTCATCTTTTCCCAAGAGATTTGCCATCGGATCTTCTGCCACAGTTCTTTTACGCCGGTACTCCTCCATCTCCTCCTCGGTGATGCCGCCCTTCATTTCGTCTAGAGTCCGCTTCTTAGCTTTAGTGTCCGCCGCAGCCTTCTCCTCTCTGTCAGGTCCGTTCGGGATGTGCCTCTCCAGTGCCTCTTCTTCCTTCCACGCCTCCGCTTTCGGGACCTCAACTATGTCTGCGGCTGTCCTCATGCGGGTTGACTCCTCAATTGCAAGTCTGCCCTCTTCACCTGTGCAGTAGCTGTTTTTGACTGTGGAGTGGCAGCAGGCGTAACCCCACTTGAAGTCGGACCACCAGCTTCCCCAAACGGAGGTGTGGTTGTGAATGAAGATGTCTTCCGGGTACTTTGACTTTGGTTTAGTCTTCGGTGCTCCCTTGACTCCGCCTGTTTCGTCGTATTCAACATAGCGCTCCGATTCGAGAATGGCCGCATCCCGGAGCGCTTTGTTTTGAACCAGCGCTTGGTCGCCATACTTCTCGGCCAGCGCTTTACGCTGCTGCTCTTTTCGTTCCTCCGCCTCCTTGGCTGCCTTCTTGCGGAAGTATTCTCCGCTCGTTGGGTTTGCTTGCAAATGCACCTTGTTCTTGTCGCCCCTCTCTTGCGTCTCCCACGCATACCGCTGCGCCTTTTCAAACTCTGCCGCATCGCCGGACGCCCGCATGAAGCCCTCTTCCGCCACCAGCGCTGCGGCGTTATCGGAGGTGGCCCCGCTGTCTACCATACTTCGGGTCTTCGGGTCGTACTTCGCAGAATCGAGGTCCAGGTTGAGCAGGTACTTGGCCGTGTCTTCTCTTAACCTAAGATTCCTCGTCGACGTAGCCTGCTGCCTCCCCATGTCCGTCTCCTCCTCATACTTCGCGCCCTCATCCCCATCCTCCTCCCCGTCCTCCGTTAACCTCTTCTGCCCATCCTTCCCGCTCTTCATCTCCCGCTTCATGTCCTCCAGCTCGTTGTACTCCTGAACCACCTTCTCATACTCCTGCGCCTCATACCCATTCCACCGATCCCTCTTCGCGTCCCACCCTAGCTGCACCTTCTGCACCACCTCGTCAGCCTGAATATCCCGTCCCGTCCACCTCGCACCGGCTTTCCTCGGCCGGCTCAAACACTCCTTCGTCTTGTGCGTCAGCGCGCCGCAGTTCTCGCACGCGCCCTTGCGGAACTTGGTCGCGGCGGGGCCGAGCTTCTTGCCCCGGTCGTACCAGGCCGAGTCGCCTTTCTGTTGTTGCTGCTGGAGACGCTGGTGCTCGAGGTAGTCGGAGTCGGAGGAGGCGAGGTCGTCGGTCACGTAGAAGGGCTTCTTGGAGATGAAGGAGGGGATGTATTCGTTGCGTTCTTTGGCGGCGGCGGACACGTCGGCGGGTTTCTTCGGTTGGGCGGGCGGCATGTTGGTGGTTGGAGGAGGTAAGATGTTGGGAGAAGTCGTCAATGACGGAAGTCGTGGGTTGGAGTGCGAACCGATATTGTGGCTCGAAAATGCGGCGTTCGGAGGTGATGTCGCGGTGATGGCTGCGGATTACATAAGCAGCTTTACGCGTGATGATGGCGCTCTCGCGCCTCGACTTCAACCCACTGCGCTCTACCCATTGGTCCTTCTTAATTCGCCTTTACAACGAGAATACAGCGAAGTCTGATGCGAATGACGCGCCATGCTACTCAGACATCACTACGATAGCAGTCCGACCGATCAGGCGCCCAATGGACACATTCCGCTTCCGCCTGAACTGCATCGACCACTACCAAGCCAACCCCACCGAGCTTGATCCACCGTTACAGCGCAGCTCAGGGCCATCACAGCGGCACAATGGACCTCAGGTACCCGTCATACGGGCGTTCGGCGCTACAGAGACCGGACAGAAGGTGTGCGCTCACATCCACGGCGCGTTTCCATATCTATACCTACAGTATGACGGGGATCTGAGCGCCGAGGCTGGTATATCGCCTATGTCATGCCGCAATATTAGACAAAGCTAATCGCTGTATAGTCGACACCTACATCCACAATCTCCGCCTCTCCATCGAACATGCCCTTGCAACTTCCTACCGCCGCAACCCCTACGACGGTCGCAGCGCATTCGTCGCCCACATCTCACTCGTCAAGGGCGTTCCCTACTACGGCTACCACATCGGCTACAAGTTCTTCCTCAAAGTCTACATCTTCAACCCGCTCCATATGACCCGACTAGCCGACCTCCTCCACCGGGGCGCTATCCTCAACCGACCGCTGCAACCGTACGAAAGCCATCTCCAGTATCTTTTACAGTGGATGTGCGACTACAATCTCTACGGCTGCGCGTACATAGACTGCGAAAAGGTCAAGTTTCGCGGCCCTGTACCGGACTGGTCTGCGCTCAGCAGCACGGTGCATAGATGGCATGATCAGAGTATACAGCCTGAGTGGACTTCTGAAGCTGAGCAGTTCCCGCGGCAGAGTCATTGTTCGATTGAGGTTGATGTCTGCGTAAGAGACATACTTAATAGGCGTGAAATTCAGCCTCGGCCACTACACCACGACTTTGTCGAGCGCTTCAGCCATCTGGCGCCTGGTGAGAGGCTGGTGCATTCGATGGCTGGTCTGTGGCGGGACGAGACAATAAGGAGGAAGAGGAGAATGGGTATCACGGATCCGAGTAGTAGCCCTTTTCCACCCGACGTGCTGCTATCGATGTCCGCAGATCCGAGGAATACGGAGACCGGCGGATGGATTCACGAGGAAGAGTTTAAAGGTATGGTGCAAGGGTTGATACAGGAGGAGCGTGCGAAGATCGGTGATAGGAAGATCGGCTTCGATGATTTTGTCAGTCCTGCGTCTGTGGAGGACAGGATACAAACAGCGCTGGAGAGCGTGGAAGATCTCTTTCCGGAGAAGTTGCGTAATTCTCAGGCGACCCAAGCCGCCATTGATGACGAGTTTGATGATGAGGGATTAGGTGGCGACGAAACTATCCTGGTGGAGGACAGCCTTCCTAGGATAGCTAGTGACGACATGACTTACGATTCTAATGAGGACACAGCTCGGGAGATTGCGTTGACGCAGAGAATACAAAAGGGTGTTTATGCAGAGGAGAAGCAGAGCTTGGGCGAGACTATTGAATACGATGACGAGCTTAAGCCGGACGAGGAAAACTATGGGGAGCAGTTCAAGGATCCGGAAGATCCTGTCACACTTGCTACAAACGGTGCCGCTAGCCAGGCAGAGAGCCCCCGGAAGATACGCCAGGAGCTGGACCATTATGAGAAGTTAATGGCTCGCTCTGCGCAATCTTTACCCCAGGGACCTACAACTACAGTTTTCAAGCGGAGCTTAGAGCCGAAAGATAGCAGCCCCAGCAAGAAACGAAAGGTGTCCCACGTCGGAGCTCTGCAAATACCTGAGACTCAGTCTCGTTACATAGGAAGCCCGAAACGGGCCAGATCGCCTCTCGCGAGACAGGCGGAGTTTGAGGACGGAGTAACCGATGCTGACTTGCTCGGTCTAAGTTCGCAAAAGAGCAATGGCGATGGCTTTGGCGTACTCAGCCAATCATCCCAGCGCAGCATCAAAGCGCATGGCTCCAAAGGACCGAATACCCTGTCTTTCCCTGTAGTCAAGAAGACGAACGAGACGGATGAGAGTCTGAGACTGAGCCAGCGGGCTGGCTTCTCGAATTCGCAGAAGTCACCGCGGAGGTCACCGAAGACGCCTGCGCCGAAGACCGTCTCGTTCGAGACACCAACAACGGACTCCCCAGTGACGCCGTGGACTGATCAGAGGCTTACCTCGACAAGCACAAGCGAAGACGAGCCGAAGCATTCTGCTGAAGCAGTACAGCTAGCGGCCAACATGGCTTCTGCGTTTGGCGATGCGTCCACTCATGGTGATCGAGTCCTTTGCTACGGTTCGCTGCCTCCCAGTGCACAGACAGTGGAATTGACCATGCTGGAACTAGGCTTGCCACCGGTCATCTACCAGGACGCTTACTACAGCGACGAGAAAGACGTTCCAGACCGGCCACGTGAGTATGCGGCTCGAGAGTTCAAGCTGGAAAGTAAGACGGTGCCATATCTGCCCACGTTTGATCCTACAGGTACATCGCCAGCCAGTTTCGGCGAGAAGGCTCCGATTGTCGTGGATAAAGCGAAAGAGGAACTCAGCCACCGCCGCCGAAGGAAGCAATGTACACTGCGCAACTGGGAGATTGCTGCTCCTCCTCCGACTTATGCGGAGGTTGAGGAGTGGCTGCGGAACGAGAAAGAGCAGAAGCCTACCGCTGGGAAGGGCGAGATCGATTCTGAGCTGATCGCGCAGCCCCTAGCCAAGTCCTATCCTCCGCCTGAGCTATCTCAGATTGACGGACCAACTCAAAAGAATAAGCATGGTTTCAGGGACTCGCAGAAGCAGAAGTCCAGTGTGCAACATGTGACGCAGTACATGAGTATTATGAGCCTAGAAGTACACGTTAACACTCGAGGCACGCTTATACCCGATCCGGAGCACGATGAGATCTCTTGCGTCTTCTGGTGCGTCCAATCAGATGATGATGCGCACGAAAATGACGGGCGACCGCACATTGGCATACTGGCTCTGTCTCCAGAGGACGGCGTAGCCAAGAAGATCGCACGCCAGGTCTCCATCGAAGTCGAGTACGAAGAAGACGAGCTCGACCTCATCAACCGCATGGTCGACATCGTCCGCTCCTTCGACCCGGACATCCTGACTGGCTACGAGGTCCACAACGGCTCCTGGGGCTATATGATCGAGCGAGCAAGGTTCAAATACGAGTACAATCTATGCGACGAGTTCTCGCGCGTGAGATCACAATCTCATAGCCGCTTCGGCAAGGAGGCGGACAAGTGGGGCTTCAACCACACCTCGACCATCCGCGTCACAGGAAGACACATGATCAATATCTGGCGCGCCATGCGCAGCGAGCTGAACCTCCTGCAGTACACTATGGAGAATGTGGTCCTGCACCTCCTGCACCGCCGCATCCCGCATTACTCCTTCCAGGATCTGACGGCGTGGTACAGGAGCTCCAAACCACGGGATCTAGCCAAAGCCATTGACTACTTCACCACACGCGTGCAGCTCAATCTCGACATCCTCGAAGCTAACGAGCTCGTCTCCCGCACGAGCGAGCAAGCGCGACTCCTTGGCGTCGACTTCTTCTCCGTCTTCAGCCGCGGCTCGCAGTTCAAGGTCGAGTCGCTCATGTATCGCATTGCCAAACCGGAGAATTTTATCCTCGTCTCCCCCAGCCGGAAGCAGGTGGGCCAGCAAAACGCGTTGGAGTGCCTGCCGCTGGTCATGGAGCCGCAATCGGCGTTCTACACGAGCCCTGTGCTCGTGCTGGATTTCCAGTCCCTGTACCCGTCCGTTATGATCGCGTACAACTACTGTTATTCAACATGTCTCGGCCGCATCACGAGCTGGCGCGGGCAGAACAAGTTCGGATTCACGGATCTCAAGCGCGAGCCCGGGATGCTGGAGCTAGTAAAAGACTCGATTAACATCGCGCCGAATGGAATGATGTATGTGAAGCCCTCGCTGCGCAAGTCGCTACTGGCGAAGATGCTGGGCGAGATCCTCGAGACGCGCGTCATGGTCAAGAGCGGCATGAAGGCAGATCGCGACGATGAGCCTTTGCAGCAGCTCCTGAATAATCGGCAGCTGGCGCTCAAGCTCATCGCGAATGTTACATATGGCTACACTTCCGCTTCCTTCTCCGGCCGTATGCCCTGCTCCGAGATTGCGGACTCCATCGTCCAGACCGGCCGCGAAACGCTCGAGCGCGCCATTGCGCTCATCCACTCCGTTCCTGAGTGGGGCGCAGAAGTCGTATACGGTGACACCGACTCCCTCTTCGTACACCTTAAAGGCAGAACCAAAGACCAGGCCTTCATCATCGGCCAAGAGATCGCTAAGGCAGTCACGGACACCAACCCGCGCCCCGTAAAGCTCAAGTTCGAAAAAGTCTACCTCCCCTGCGTCCTCCTCGCCAAGAAGCGCTACGTCGGCTTCAAATACGAAACTTCCACACAACAGGAGCCAGACTTCGACGCCAAAGGCATCGAGACCGTCCGTCGCGACGGCACCCCCGCAGAGCAAAAAATCGAAGAGCAGTGCCTCAAGCTCCTCTTCCGCACGTCAGACCTCAGCGCCGTGAAAACTTACTTCCAGAAACAGTGCGCGAAGATCATGCACGGTAGGATCAGCATCCAGGACTTCCTCTTCGCGAAAGAGGTCAAGCTGGGTACATACTCCGACCGCGGTCCCCCACCCCCAGGGGCGCTGATCGCCACGAAACGCATGCTCGAGGATCGAAGGGCGGAGCCGCAGTATGGCGAGCGCGTGCCGTATGTAGTCGTCACTGGCGCGCCGGGCGCGAGGCTCATTGATAGGTGTGTGGCACCGGAGGTGTTGTTAGGGGATGAGCAGGTGGAGCTGGATGCGGAGTATTATATCGGGAAGAACATCATCCCTCCACTCGAGAGGATTTTTAATCTCGTCGGGGCGAATGTGAGGCAGTGGTTTGATGAGATGCCGAAGGTGCAGAGGATCAGGCAGATCAGCTCGCTGCCGGCGGGGGCGTATGGGAGGGATGGGAGCGGGAATGCGCTGGTTGGTGGGCCTGGTGTGGGACAGACGAGGAAGACGCTGGAGAATTATCTCAAGAGCAGTTTGTGTGTGGTGTGCCGTGCGAAACTGCCGCCTCCGCCGCCCAACCGGTTCGCAGCTGTGCCGCCGCCACCGCCATTGCCGCTCTGCGACAAGTGCTCAGCGGCTCCTAGACGAGCGCTGCTGGCGCTGCGGACGAGGCTCCAGCTGAAAGAGGAGCGCGCCAGGAATGTCGATCTGGTTTGTCGCAGGTGCTCGGGCCTGGCGTTTGGCGAAGAGGTGAGGTGTGATAGTCGGGATTGTCCGGTCTTCTATACGAGACTCAAGGAGCGAGCTGCGCTGGGTGCGCTGAGGGCGGGTGTTGGTGGTGTGATCGAGGCATTAGAAGAGGAGGAGGGTGTAAGGCAGAGGTTTGAGTGGTAAACTCGTATGTCCTGCATAGTTTTGATTGCATCGGGAGGAGTTGTATACCAACGAGTGTACCTTTGTTCGCTGTCGCGGATGCTCTCATTCTAATGAGACACGTAGGAAACGGCTTGTGTTTTTTCGTTGACTCATATCGGTTCTTCTAGTCCTAAACAACATTATACGTTCTGTTACGCAGATCCTAGGACGTTCATCCTGTTCATTACCCGCACCGGCATCCCCTCCGCCGGCTTCGCCGTAGCCCTCAGCTGCTGGTACGCCTCATCAGCCCAGACATCATACACCAGCCCCTCCTCAACCCATTTCCGCAATCCCTCTGGCGTTTCTCGCTTCACCTCCTTCCCTCCTCCAAGGGTCTCATACGCCGCACGAACATCGAACCTCCTAACAGTCATGACAAGAATAATCCTCGCCTCCAGCAGCGCTAACTCCTGCCCAATACAGTTCCTCGGCCCCTTCTCAAACGGCCTCCACGCGTCCTTAGGCACACTCGCCGCGTTCTCGAGCAGGAACCGCTCAGGTTTAAACGCCTGGGCGTCCGGACCCCAGAGATCGGGGCTGCGGTGCATACCCAGCGCATGCACCCACACCAGGAACCCGTCCGTCGGGTACTTCTCGCCGCTCTTCGGGTCATGGAGATACACGCCTGGGAGGCCGCGCCGTACGCTCGAGGCGGGCGGGTAGAGACGCAGAACTTCGCGGATGACGGCGAGAGTGTAAGGCAGGGCGTTCAGGAGGTGCGGGGAAGTTTTAATGAGTTCGGCGGTCTGGGAGGTGTCGGGCCCGAAGACAGAGTCGTGCTCTGCGCGGATGGCGGACAGGCAGGAGGGGTGGGTCGAGAGGAGATGCAGGGCGTAGCAAATGGTGCTGCTGGTCGTGTCGTGGCCCGCGAAGACGAAGAGTTTGAGCTGGTCGAGTGCGTAGGACCGGAAGGTCGGGTCCATGTGTTGGGGGCTTTCTTCGCTGGGGTCTTCTTTGGTCCTCTCTTCGCCTTCGGAAGGATCGTGGTAAGACTGGAGGGCTAGGTCTATGACGGTTTTCTTTCTCGGCTTTCGAGATTGGGCCCCTGCTCGTGAGGCAAAGCGTTCGTCAAGTAGCCTGTTGAGGTAGCGGTCCATACGCCATTTGTTGTACCTTTGCATAAATGGCCGCATTGGATTGAGGGGATCCAGTGGGTTGGCCGGTAAGAGGGCGGGCGTCCAGCGGACTTGGCTCAAGAACGCTTCGACGAGCTCGTTGTTGGTCTCCTGGGAATTAAACGAGTGGTCACTGTCCCACCCAGGGTTAGCGTGTGGCTACAGAGTCCAGAGCCCATGCTGAGACCTTACAGTACGACTTTGCCTATGATATCCACAGTGACTTTAGTGGCGGCTTCCTCAAGGGGGAACACGTCGCCCTTTTGAGCGTGTCTATTAAGCACATCGGCGAAGACAGCTGCGCTATCTACGATGCCGGGAACGAGCGTCATCAGATTCGCCGCAGAAAAGCCCGGATTGAAAATGGATCTCCATCTCTTCCACTCAGCGCCTTCTAACGTGAGCATATTGTTCTCGCCTGATAATGCGTAGATAATGTCTTTTAAACTCTTATGTTTAGGGAGGAAGAGCTGTGTCGTGACCTGCTGCGCGAGCTCTGGATCCTGAACCACTAGCATATCTGCACCGAACGGCCAGGAGCTAAGGTAGAATACCGGGCCCAGGTTGTACTCTCTCTGTATGAAATGGCCATAGAGGTGTGGGTGGGCGCCGCGGGGGCATAGGTCAGAATATTTTCCCATAATTTTTAGATGGCCCCATATCGGATCAAGAGGCGGGCCCGGCTGTAGACGGATGTCAGCATAGGCCTTGAGCTGCTGAACATTGCTGGCTGACCAGTTCCTTGAAGATTCTTCGCTGTCTATACAGCGCAGCAACAAAGCGGCCGATCAATCCTGTTATCAGCACCACGAACGCCGTTGCAACAGGGTGTGCTTGGAGGACGTTCATCATTGCTACCTGATAAACGTGGTGGTGGAAAGGTTGAACGTGTATCACCAATGCAGATTTGGGGGCGGCATATATTGCGTTGATGATTGCTTCGTAAGCGCCATTAAAACCAGCTAAGGTGAGCGGCGGAAGTGCATGCCTGGTGTCTCACATTTAGTGCTTACTGCCCACTGAAGCACAGCATACACGTGAGTTTTGTGTCTGGGTTCGTTGGCTGGAGGGACCACGGGGACGGTGATTGGACAATGGGGCGGCGGGGGTAGTGGTCACACTGTTTCCCATACTGTTTGTGGCGGCTAAGATGCATACTGAAGTATGGTTGGGGGCCAGATTTGATATCACGTGATATCACCAAGTCCATTCCTATATGATCTGCAATCTTGAGTCTAGAACCGAGATCCTGAAGATGGAGCTGAGTCCGAGCACGTTTAGTCAATCAATGCCCATGTCGTTGAATCACGATTCAGCTCAAGCGCGACCTTGATTGTAAAAACCCAACATCATGAAAACTGTCCCACCGATATCAGATACGTTGCTTAGGCACATGGCGCGCATCAATGATTGAATTCACAAACCAATCACACGGCCAAAGAAAACTTGTAAGGTCATCAAAATCACGTTCAAACGCATCAGTTCGGGCCCAGTCACGGTCCCAAGAGAACTTGAGATAATGCAGTGTATTTTTTCTAGATAGCGGCGGTGTACAAGGAGCAAATGACACCCCGTCAAACAAGCCGCACACCGTTGAATTGAAATTTTTGATTTCTCGTTGCCCATCCCCGGAGCCACTCATGCTGCTGTTTTGGACGTCCTTTGGAGATGCCCGAACTGCAGGCAGAGAGTACTCCTCCACGCTCGTCAAGATTCCAATCAAGCGTTGTAGCTGACGTGGACGTGGTCCCTGGTTTGGTGTAAGCAACTCGAAGACAAGACTAGAAGGGAGAAAACTGACCAGTGGTTCGCGGTGATTGAACCTCTGTCCTCCATGCCGCGCCATTGCGACCAAGGCTTGACGGCATCCTGCGATGGGTTCCAGATCTTCTGTCCCCAGATGACGTACTTGAGACCGAGAGAGGCACGGTTGTTCATAACCCACTCAGCAATGGGTGCACCGCTCTCAGTCCTCACCTGTGGCAATATCAGTGTCTGTTCCTTTGCTCGGTCATGGAAGGGGGACGAATGCTTACGCCTCCAGCTGATGAGCACATCAAATCGTTGGCCAACCCGCAGCAGTGGTCGCTGGTACCCGGGCAAGCGCAAGCCCTGGTGCAGTAGATCTCACGGACTTTGCCGGGGTTGCCGGCAACGATCTTCTTGGCGCCATCAACAGCTCGTGCTTTGCAGGCTCCGACCGCTGGGAAGGCTGGGGTGGGATAGCCGCCGCCGGTTCTCGGGACACAGCACTTGAAGTCAGCCGGGCCAGGGCACAAGCCGCTCAGCGTGTTGCCGCTGCACTGGGAGGTCCAGCGGCAATTGCCACCACTGCCGCAAGAGGTCTTGGTGCAGCACCTGATGTCGGCGGGAGTGCCAGGGCAGGCACCGGTGATGGAAGTCCCGCCTCCAGCGGAGCATTTGGCAGTGGAGATGCAGGAGCCTGGAGCACCGCCAGCGCCAGTGCAAGGGCCGTCAACGACAGCGCGCTCAACGAGGGCGCTGGCTTGGACGATGGGAGCCCCAAGAAGGGCAGCGCCAAAAAGGATTGAGAAGATATGCATCTTGATTGTGTCTGAATGAGTGACTTGGTGTTTTGGCTGGATAAGAGAGTGATGGACTGGATGAAGGAAGATATTCTGAGCGGAAATTGGTCTACTTTATATATTCAGTTGGAGCCCATGGAAGGCCCGATTCGTGCAGTCGGCCTGTACAAGTTCTACAGAAGACGATATTTGGACGTTCTTGGCAGGACGCTGCAACACAGGCCTCCAGTTCCTAAAACAAGGAATACGAAGCATTGTGTAGATTAAGGAGTATGGGGTAGCGAGGCGGCCTCAGCACGGGCGTTCCAGATCTCAGGTGTCTGCTAGGTGCATCAATTGAGCTGCAATTCTGTGTTACACGTGCCACCGAGGTTGTCCGCGGTATGGCCATTGTGGCATCCGTGCTGTTGTTTTCGCTCTGGAGTGCAGGTCTAAGAAGGATCATGCTGCAAGGCACGGATGCCACAGCCGCGCCGCTTGATCGTGCGGGAGGTGCCGCTGTGAGCCGCAGGGGCCTCCCGCATGCTTGGAGCCGCATGGCGAACAGGGTCAAGCGAACTTTGCTCGCTTCATGAGAAACACGCGAACGCCCTTGATCTCTTTTGTCGATAGTCAATGCATATGCGGGCCATACATAGTAACTGGAAGGCAGGCAGCGTGGAGCGTGCACACTGCTTGCTGTGCACCGCCTCAACCCCTTTGACGAAAGCTTTATTCCCCTGTTTCGGATGGCACACAAGGTTGTATCTCGTGCGGGGCCCCGCAACTGTTGGAATCTTTCGTGGAAGGCTTTCGGTGAAACCTGATCGCGTACCCAAGGAAGGCTATCGTGGAGTGGCCCTTTCGTTGGTGAACGGGATTCCCTCCGGCTGTGAAACGCGAAACGCAGCGAATACTCGTGTCAGCGAAGCCACAAAGCCCTTCATAGTGGCAATTGCAGGTACTGACCATCTCGGACTGAATGCATGTCACACACTGGAGTTGAAGGCCTAGATCTGCATAGTGTGGCTGAATTCAACTATCTGAGGCAGGCGCGCAGCAAGGAAGGGAGGTCCTCAATGCAACTATTCGTACATCCTAGAATCCAGAAGGTAATGGCATGTTCAGTACCCCCTCGGTGATGTAATATGATCCAAGGGGAAGCGAGCTTTCATACTCTATTCCGCATCATTGTCTTCCCGCCAGCTGACATACCTTATGCAGGGAGCCATCAGCTTCAATCCCTGTAAGTGTTCATGCACTTCTCACCGGTAAGGTAGGAAGCGGTTCTAGATGGTCGTCCAATGTACGTGTATCGCACAGCGCTGTAAGGTCGTCACGCTTCCAGCCCGAATTGGCTTCAGCATAGCACTCTTACGGCAGCTGTCAAGGTGGAGCCGCACGGCTAGAAATGAGATACCAGGTTTGACCATGGCCGTCAGATGTAGATCTAGCCCTTATTGAAAAAATATTGATCATAGCGTGCAGTCTGTACATTAGCGTTCGGGTGTTGAAACGCGAAACACTAGAAACACTCACGTTGTCGTGGTTCCTCCTGTCATTTGACATGCTCACGTGATTAGCGCTTTGCAACCCCATCACGTCCTTCTCCCCCCTAACCTCCTCAGCAAATAACTAGCTCGTCAGCTAAGCATAGGGCCTGACGTGCATCAGACCGTGTCCTTTGATGCTCGCGTAGCCCACCTCAACAGGATCTCAAGGCCCCGGCGGGGCTTTATCTGCAGACAGCATGCAGGTCATCATAAAAGGTAGGTGATGGTTCAAGTCGTCCATATCACGGCTGAGTCTGCGACTCAATGGGGTAGGTCGGTAACGCAGACACGACGCCCTCTTCATGCCTTTCACGTCCCATAGTCGAGGTCGCATAAAACATCCGGTGGCCAGACCTGGCACAAAAGGCCGAATCAATTGATAGGACCAAGTCGGGAGCACTTGGAGTGAGCAAGACGAGCAGTCATATTCTCTCCTGCCAATTGCACTTCGGCAAAGCAGCACGGGCAATCCACTTTCCGACATCTCAAGCTTCTGCGGTCCGAGTTGTGCAGCTTGACACGTCCAAGTAAATTTTTCGCCTACGTTGAGCCAGCATCCCTCGATGCATATCTCCGCCGGCCAAATACAAGCGGGCCTAGATGTCGCCTGTTTTAATATGCGAGCATTGGAAAGCTACTACGGTTGATTGCCGCACACTCGGCTTTCGGGCTATCCTGTGCGGACGCCAAGATGACATCCAGACTTTCATGCCTTGTCAGCTTCAGTATCCTCTGGCTCTCCAGTCAGTGGTATGTCGCCATGGAATCCACTATAAGCTCGAACAGAGAACAACACTCATCCGAACACGCTGTCTGAGCGATGGAGTGAGACTATCTAATTACCTGACGTATCTGCTATTTGGGACAGCCACCTTGTGAATTCCCGGTCCAACATATCTGATACTCGCAATAGGCCTTGCAGGCTTTGACTTGTGCTCAGAGGCTCCGGGTTCAAAGGTGGTGGACGGATCGATCCGTGGTTGCAGCATTGACGGTGAAGGGGGTATCAGTTCGACTCCCAAAACCATCAGCGTTGTCCCCCGATGGAGTGCCCTGGTTTACATGTTGATCCTCAGCAAAGCCATCAGAATAAACCGCCAGACCCAAAGTTCATCGACCGCTCAAAGTACGCGCTTCTAGAACCTTAATCGAAACGAGACCTCGCAAAACTTACCAACGGAGTGCCTCTTCCTGCTAGCATAGCCCACAAAATCGCTCGACTTGTCTACGTCCCTTAGCCTTGCCGCCCTCTAGAAGAATGACTTGGACCGTGATTTACTCCGGTATATCGACCACGAATTCACTCCATCGTATCAGTCTAAACTCTATAAGACACCGCCCTGATCTTGGACACAGTTCTGTGGCCGCATTACTTACGAGGGCGCTACGGGAAACTAAACTCGAGGGAAGCTGCGTGGGTACGACCGCGGTTGCTTCGACATCTTAGAGGCGGAGGTAGAGTAGTGTTTGAAAGAGAGATCTCCCACCCACTGATGATGGTCCCTCGCTCGAATCTAGAACGATACTGCCGAAGTTGACATTGTGTTCATAGACGCGTAGTATAATGGGTGTATGGGCTTTTCGGATTAGAAGCGTTGGGCGTATCATAGCAATCATTCCAGAAGTCTTATCCCAACTGCAAGTGAGTATTTCAAACAGTGCGGCTTGGTTGAGTGTTTCTGCACCCAGAGACTGCCCAAAGTGTATCCGTTCGGAAACCTGCAGAGTTGAAGTACGACTTATCACTCCGCGTCCTTGAGGCCTGAAGGCCGAATCAGTATTGGAAGGGCGATCTGAAATCATCAAACGATGTAAATTCAGAGCATGTTCCTCAAACAAAGAGAGAGGTAGACAGAAGAGAGCCGAAGGGACCTCATAGAACCAGCACTCGAAGTTGACACAAGACTACGAAGTATACGAAGGATCTAGTAGGACAGCGTCCACTTGACGGCGTGCGGCTATGGAGCACAACCACAAAGTATATGGGCAACTTATATAGCAGAATCCAACTCTTGGAGGCATGTGCTAACAAGCAAGGCTTCGAATATCTATCAAACGAGTACTTCGTAATTGATGATGGTTGTCAACAATAATGGAGTGCTATCCGCTTGCTAGCACTTCCTCGGTAAACACCGGATAATTCGTGTGGGAAGACCCATCTTGAGCTGCTCCTGTGCGCCGAACGCGTCTATACACGCTGGACACGTCGGCAAACGCTGTCCGCGGGACCGTGACTCCTTGATGGCTCCCTAGGCTCCGCAGCCGCGGCCTGTACACCAAAATGTCCCTCCGTGCTGTGTCGGAACGCCGAAGAAATGCTGAAAGCTTACAAACGAGACCAAAAGCACACTGATAGGGACTATCCCGCAATGAGCACCCAGAGCAAGAAAACTGCCACCAAATCTGTTAGCCACTATTCGCCATGCACGCCTTGAGAAGCTAGGGAGGGGCGGAAACTCACATATCATCAACACCCCAAACATCTTCGCCACCAACCACCGGTTCCCACTCACGCGGCCCCAATACTTCATCAGCTCTCTCTGCGCGCCCTCCACATTATCAACCACATCCTCCGTGTTCGCATCGATCCTTTGAATCGTCTCGCCCTGCTCCGAGACCATCTGCGCCAACTGTCCAAATATGCCCCCCAGATCCGCCATTGTCCGCTCGATCATCTCGATCGCCTCGCCCCGCTGCTGTATATAGGTGTTGGGGGCCTGCGCCTCCTCCATCATCAGAAGCTGTTGGTCCGAATGCGGTCCTGCGCGCGCCAGGGCGGAGCCGCCTGAGAAGCCGGGGTCGAGGGAGAGGAGGTCCTGCTGCGAGCCGCTGGTCGGGCCGTAGCCCGGTTTCGGCGACCGCCCTCGCTGCGGCGTCTGGTACAGCGGCGAGTCCGTCCGCGCGGTATCCAGCGCCCCAGACCCTTGACTATGCGCCGAAACACTGGAGACGAAGTGCTCGGTCCTGCTCTTCGAAGCCAGCTCGTTCTTCGTCCGCGTCTCGAGCACGTCTCGAAAGTTCTTCGACACGCCCGCCAGGTTCTTCTGCAGCGATATAACCACCTCGTTTGCGTGTTCGCCCTCCTGGTCGCCGCCTCCTCCTGCCCTCCCTGCCCCGGGATGTTTTGCTTTCGACAGCGCCTGCAGCTCCTTGATGTTCCCGTTCAGCGCATCGAGCTCGTGCTTGATCACGGATGTCAGCTGCGCGATCTCCACCGGCCGGTCGTCGAACAGGGTCTTCCGTTTCGCCAACTGCGCCAGCCGCTCCAGCTTCGCCATTGTGGCGGAGATGCCCCGGCCGATGTCTGCGGCGCGCCGGGCGAACTCGGAGCGCTGGCGCGGTGTCGGCGCGGAGCCATTGGCGGCGGCTTTTTGGGAGGCGGAGAGGAGGGATTGCCGTTGTTGGGTGGTGCGGGAGGAGGCGGCGCGCCGTTGGGCTTCTTTGAGGATCGAGCGGAATTCGAGGGTGCGGTCTTGGATGGAAGTGGGAGTGGCGGCCATGGCCGGGTAAGTGGTGGTGACGGCGCTGTACATGCAGGAGGGTGTGTGAGTGTGGACTTGCACTCGAGGCGCTGTTGGGTTTGTGTGGTGAGACGATGTTGGTGGTTATTTAGGGGTCGCTTGGGCTGAGGTCGAGGGAACTGGGGGCAACTGAGGGTGAGATGGATCAGGCGCTTCTCGAGTGTATGTAGTGTGTGCGGGTGTGAGATCGAGTGTTCGTGAGCGAGCCGTGGTCTGGTGGGAGTAGTTGAGGCAGAAATCTTTCGGAAACGGCCAGCATGCACAAAGGCCACAGATCCGCAAGGCTAAGGTGTCTCAAATGCAGGTAACGGGTGATCGAGGAGCTGTCACTAACAATCACCCGCAATGCATTCTTTCATTGGACTTTACACAGCCACTGGCCTGCAGGCCGCGATGGATGATGCCTGCAGATGTAGAATCCGGCTCCACCACCACCGAAGGCTACATATCAACTTGCAGGCACACGACTCGATCCCCTTCCTCGTCGCATCTTCAGTTGCTCAATTGCGCCTTGTAACACTCTCTTTGTGGTACTCAGTAGAGGCCGCTGGAGCTCGTTGATCACGGTCCTGCTGCTGGCCGTCCGCCAAGCCAACTTCTGCACCAAATCAGGTTCGCGGCTGTTTCCAGCATCGCCGGCCTTCGTGATAAAGACCTCCACCTCCACCTCCACCTCCACCTCCGCCTCCGCCTCCTACGCTCAACCCTCTACCGGCGCTTGCGCGTTCGCCTTCCTTAGTACCCTTGAGTGCATCAGGCGGCGCCTGGAGAGCTTCAGATACCAACATTCAGCACGCCCTGCATTGGTTGCGTCTCTTGGGTGCATCGCCGCATTGTTGGCCTCAGGTCTCCAACAGCTACTCGAATCGCTTTTTTTAGACTCAATGTCGCGTTAGGCCTCCACGCGCAGCAAAGCATCCGCTCGCTTCGCGATAGTAACTAATACCCAGCCTTGCTGTGGACTCTCTTCCACCATCAACAATGTCCCGGCCATACCAGTTCACACCGGACCAGGCGAGATCGCCATTGTAAGCGTACTCTCAAGACAGGAATACCTTTACCGTTTGTCGAGGAGCCAATCACTGACTATTTGGCAGAGACCGACAGCCACCGAACCCGTTCCCAGCTGGACAGCCGCCCTCATTCAAGACGAACGTTAATCGCGCCAAAACCAAGCGATGGGTCGAGGCCAAGTCATACTCGTACGACGGCGATGACTGGGGTGATGCCGACGAGTACGATGAATACGGAGGGTACGACGGGCCGTCCGTCCAGCAGCCAACAGGCCTAAGGCAGCCAGGTCAGGGCGTTGGAAGCGTGAATGAAGGCGAACGCAACTACATGGACCCTGCTTCCTCCGCTTCAGTTGGGCACCATCGCACAACGTCATACGACAGAGGCGATGAGTACCGCGATTTCTCATCTGGCTCACATATGTCTCCTTCCGGACAATCGCAGATCAACAACATGGATGGATCGTCAAACACCCGCTTCAACCCTACGATGACAAGTCCTGGCGGGATGGCCCCCGTCGCCGGCGTACCGCCCAATCAGCAGTACTATGCAGCAGGGCCTCCACTGCACGTACAGACCAACGCGCCGACTTACCACCAGCCACAAGGCGGTTACGGGGACCTTTCCTCCGGCGCTCGACAGTCGAGCGCAACGAGTTGGGGCCAGTCTCCTCTCGCCGAGTCTACATCGAACTTGGACCCTCAGCAGCGACGAGACTTCACCCCGTCTGCAATGCCCCAGCCCTTACACACACATGCTCCACAAGGTTTGCCAAGCGCTGGCTCCTCCACCGGCGGGTCGTTCCCACCTCGGAAGGGCAGCCTAAGCCAGTCATCACCCACAAGCCCGTTCGCCTCAGCATCGGCTGGAGCGCCACCTTCAGAGCCCACGTCAGCCACCACAGGAGAACGCAGGCCGAGCAACCCAGCCAAAGCGTTACCTTTCATCCGTCCTGCCGACATCTACAAGCGCATCGAGGAGGAACGACAAAGGGAGCGCCAGTCAATGGACTCGTCAAGGCCGAGTATGGATTCTCTGACGCGCCCGACGGAAGAGGTTGGGGCTTCTGCCACTTCACCCAGGCAGAGAGTTAGCTCGGATAGCTTGGGACCGTCTGGTGGTGGAAGATCTAGTTCTGACTCCACGCGTGAGGGCGCTGATTCCAGTCGGCTGCAGAAACCAGCTTTGGAAACCGTACCGGAGAAGAAGAGCGAGTACAACCTTCCCGGGTTTTCTGTCGCCAACCCGATTTTGGCAAAAATATTGGGAGCGAAGCACGTCGATTCTCCGTCTTCACCAACCCGATCTGCTGAACCAAGCAGCGAGGAACCCCCCATGCAGTCTGCAGCTATTCCCGCTTCGCAGCCTGCGAGTGGAATACCGACGTTCCCTGAAGATCATAGGCCTCCCTGGGAAGCGGCTGAGCGACCTGCCGAGGCCGGTGCGCAGCCTGCACAGCCATCAAGCGTCGAGACCCCCCGTGCTTCTGCCGCCGGAGAACAGCCGAGACTCGACATTCCTCAGATGAGCTCTCAGTCAGCGCAGCCAGTGAGCCCTGTGCAGCACCAATCGCCTTGGGGCTTCCGCTCTGCCGTCAACAGGGCTTTCGAGAGAAACGACGACGTGTCCGTGCCTCCCACGCCGGTATCAAGCGGCATATCACCGCCAGAGTCTGACGTGTCGAGGAGCAATACAACTAGCACATCTGGTATCAGCCCAATATTGAGTCGTGCACCGAGTGAAGCTACAGCAGCTATGAGGGCCGGCGACGCTCCCGCGCCAGCAGTTCATGATGGCAGCAATCAGTTTCAGATCCCAAGGCAACGACCCGGTTCCACCGACTCGACCGCCACTCTGCAGAATCTGCAGCAGATACCACGGAGGACTCCACCTGAGCATTCGAGGAACGTCTCAAACGAGTCGTATCGCCGAAATCTAGGCACTCCAAGCTCTGGAAACAGCCCAGCTCGTTCGCCTGCCATCAAGGCGCAAACACAGCTCCCTGAACCAGAGGTTGCTCAGCTTGAGACTGTTGGTCCTACCGACTTCACCACTAGGGAAGCAGACATCGCAGCCGTGGTCAACAACAGTGCAGACAACGAGGCTCCTATCGCAGCTCAAATGACAAAAGATGCCCCTGCCGCTTTCTTGGAACACCGCAAGAACACCAGCGATGCCGATCTCAATCCGGTCCCAAGGTCGGGCTCACCCGTGTCGAGATCTGGGTCTCCTGGCAAGGGCAGGGTACGAGATCTAGCGGAGAAGTTTGATGCAGACTCACGACGTAACTCGACACATTCTGTCGAATCAAGGCGCAGCGTTGTTTCCTGGACCGGAAGCACCCCTGCAGGCAGCCGATCGAACAGTCCGGTTAAGGAGGAAGCATCCTCAAAGCCACTGCCGTCGGAACGCCCAGCCGCGGACAGAGTATTGAGCTTCAGGCCCAAGCTTCCCGGCGGATGGGAGTCGTTCGCTACAACCACCGGAACAATGACACCTACCGATGCACCTGAGGACCCGCGGACGCGACAAGAGTCACCCGTGCCATCCACACTCCGGCAGAGCACTGTTCCAGATGCACAAACACCAACCAGAGCTCCACCGTTGGAGGAGGAAGACTCAGAGCCTGACTTTACCCCGACAACAAAGAAGCGATCAGTCGCACCGGCTGGACTGCCCGATCCTCTAACTGATCCCCTGGGTGCCGCGGCATACGCGGGCAGTGCAATGGCGGAAGCGCTCAAAGCTTCAATGGGGCTTGGCGAGGATACTGAATCTGAGGAGCGCAAGGAAGAGGCGCGACGTCACGAAGAACCGCGCAAGAACCGGTCTGTGGGCGATGTCTTCCTTCGGCCGCTCGCGCTTGATAGGAAGGCTTCGTCCATAGCGTCTTCGAGTGCGCCGCCTACGCCGCCACCCAAGGACGATTCAGTCTTTGACACCAGGGAGAGGGGGACATACGGAGGCTTGTCTTCTGCGGCGCCTCTCGACAGGCAAGACGCCGGGTTCTCAGCACAGGAGGCTCCCTCATTTAGTACCGCTCGTCCTCCTTTGACCTCGGAACTAAGCACGGATACGTCGATGGATGATCTGGAAAGCGACCGTTTGAGAAAGGAGATCGAACAGAGCTTAAACGACCCTCGGTCATCCGTTCCTGGTTATGCTGAGCCCGAGCCGACGATGTCATCTCATCTAGCACCGGCGACACAAGAACCGGCTAAGAGAGAAAGTTCCATCCTCCCTAGCGAGTACGATAGTTACTGGGCGAGCAGAAACTCTTATGAGCCTGAGCAACCTCGTCTCTCTGCCGAGACGCCAAGGCCGGGAGCCGAACTGCAATCGGAGCCCCAGATGCAGCAAGAGACAGGTCGTGCTCCAGAGACAGCGGTTACTGAAGCAGCATCTGCAAAGACGGCCTTCAACACCAGACCTGATCTGCTCAACCAGCGCTTCAGCTGGGAGAACAGCCAGACCGATCTTTCTCGACAGCCATCAGTGAACGCTCCCGTGTCGGAGCTATCGACTGATACATCCAACGACACTCCCAGGGCTGGCTCGCCACTATTGCAAGTCATCGATGAGGATCCCAAGTTACAGCAGTTCGACGGAGTGCGGGGAGCGTATGCAGGCACCGCGGAGACCGGCCCGTCATACCAACAGCAGTCTGTCCTCGCGAACCCTCAGGCGGCTGAACAGCACCTCTCAAGGGAGCTGCCAGCGGGTGCCGCAGCCACACTCGGCATGCCGCAGCCGAGCCAAGCAGCCCATTCAGCCGAAATGCCATCTCGCAGATCCCAAGAGGGCCTCCACGTCGTGAACGCAGAGTCCGGAGAGATCCCTCAACTGCCCAGCCCAGAGGTGCACAAACCGGCCAGGGAATCCATGATCGGCCCCGCCGAGCTTCCAGCCGAACTCGCCCAGCAGCGCCAAGAGCAGCCCCTACCTCCGCTCCCAGCGCAACAGGTACCGCACTCTCCAACCCAGCAAGACCGCATCCCGCCCTTCCGCGAGATCCTCCAGATCAAGTCCGCGCCCGACCGCATCGCAACCTACAACCGGACGCGCCAGCAGTTCGCAGAGATGCACACGGGGCTGACGGATTGGACTACCGCCATGCTCGCCGCGCGGCCTGAGTACGCGGATGTCGCATCTGCTGCCTCCCAGCGCCGGCCTTCGATCTCGGCAACCACCCCGGCGGGCTCGATGAGGCATAGGCATCGTGCGCCGTCGCTCTCGCTTCCCACGCTTTCCACGCTTCCCATATTCGGTAACAAGAGCAACGCCGGCGCTGCCCCGCAACCGCAGCAGCAACACCAGCCGGTCACCGCTGGCTCGTCTGATCCGGTGTATGAGGGCCAGGGATCGAGTCCTGGCGGCGCGGCGGCTAATAGGGAGAAGATGCAGGCGAAGGGGAAAGAGCTTTTCCATACGGCTGGTGTACTGAGCGGTAAGGCGACCGTGGGGGCGAAAGGGCTGTTTGCGAAGGGGAAGAGTAGGTTTAGGGGCAGTGGGGGTGTTGAGAAGGTAGAATGATTTCTTTTCTGTCATCTCTCCAGCACGCATCTACCCTGCAAGAATCTTCTCGGCACGACATGCGAAACAGATTGAAGGACTGGTTGTTTCTTTCATGGGATATATCCTTGCAGCGTTCTGAGATGAAGCTTGTTGGGGTCTGGTGTTTTTCCATTGATGTTCCGCGCCTGCACGAGTGCCGCCCTCACGACGATCTCCTAGCCCATTACTTGCTACCCGGTCGGACTTTTGCTAGCGCCGAAGATCGCATGTAAGATAAGACCGGCGAGTACAGTTACATTCCTCGTAGTCAATCTCCATTAAGCAAACTTGAATGAACACATGTTGATTGTTCTTCGTGCACCTAGGCCCCCGATACCAGAGCATCTTCTACCTCCATCGCTTCCTCCCCACCGCCGCTCTCCGCCTCCTCCTCCCAGGCACCGCCTTCCTCCCTCTCCTCGCGCCCCTCCGCCTACTCCCAACCCTCAAACACCTCCCAACCACCCTCAGCCTCTGTGCCCGACCCTAGTCCCACCGCCGTCGCAGTCTACTCCGTCTCCATCCCCACTCCTACATTCCCTCCCCCAAACACAACTACCTTCGCACCCTTCGATCCCGAAACGGACCCCCTCCCCACCCTCATGGCCTTCCACCCAGCCTCGGAAGAAAAAGAACGAGCGGAAGCTGCACCCTCCTTCTCGTCCTACGAACCCGTCGACCCGGGCTCAAGGTCTCGGTCTAAATCCCTTGCTGGCCCCTCAAATACCACGGCCGCCTCGTTCGCTGCGAGTGACGACGCGTCCACAGACCCGCCGAACGACCCGCGCCTGATCAAGAAGAGGAGCAGCTCCATGCCTAGGATGCCGGACCTCCCCTTCCAGCTTGCAGGCGCGGGACACATCCTCTCCGCGTATGCGCCAAGCGGCGGGCAGAGTCCACGGAGCCGCGCGCGGAGCGATTTCAACAGCGAGGCGGCGACAGCGGGGCCGTTGGAACGGGTCGAGAGTCGGGGGATGCTGCCTCAGCCGGCGGGCGAAGCACCTCACGCCGACCGGCCCGCAACACGAGACGCGGAGGCGAGCAGCAACGCCGGTGGGAAAGAGAAGGTAGCCGATGAGGCCCTACTGGACCCGAAATTCTTCCCCTCGCTGCGACGAGGATCTGCCGCTGGCGCTCTGCCTGGCCCCTCGTCCTCCCAGCCGGACCTACGTCAGCCAGCCACCATCTCGAACATGAAATATCAGCCCAGAACGGGCGCGGCGCACAGCACCGTCTCACTCCCACCGCACAGGCTGCCGACGTGGTTGAGTCGTGAACCGGGCCCGAGGGCCGGAGACACGCTCGTGTTGCGTGCGATGAAGGATTCAGATGCCGAAGCCGAGGCTGAGGCTGAGGCCGAGCTTGCCGCCGCTCACAGCAATGCCGATGGGAATAGTAATGGCCAGACCGCGGCTGGTGGCTTCGACTTCCTTCCCCCGGGAGAGGGCGCCAGTCATACGGCTCCCATTAGTCAGCAGCAGCAATCTGCACCGTCCTCGGGTCCCATCGCAGCAGCAGTGGGGCCCGAGGGGCCGGCGGCAAGCGCTACACCGCCACCGGTACCGTCGGTGGACAACAAGGCACGCAGGAAGAGCGCGGGCAGGTTGATGTCCTTCTCGAGCAGCAAGAGCAGTCTTGTGAGCCACAGGTACGAGGATATGCGGCCGAGAACGCCGCCTGTGTTTGTGGACCATAAGCTCGGCGGGACTAGTACGCTAGCGGTCGCGGGCGAGGCTGCTGCGGCGGAAGCGGCTCCTGCGGTGTTGAATGCGGATGGAGAGATGCCGAGAGATGATGATGCTGCGGAGGGCGCCGTGCCCCAGCGCGCATTGACGAAGCGGGAGGGCCAGCTGCTGGCGCTGCTGGGGGATGAGCGGCGCAGGACGTTGCAGAAGCCAGCCGGTTCCGATGTTGATAGTGGAGAGCCGCTGGAAAGTGATGTCCTAGACGTCTTGCCCGAGGGAGAGGATGACAACGACGTCGTGAACAATTTCCCTCGCCGCGCGATGACGAAGCGGGAAGCGCAGTTGCTGAAGCTGTTGGGAGAGGAACGGCGCAAGACGGTCGAGGGGCCTGCTGGTACCGGTATCATTGGCGAATTGCCAGAACCTGGAGACGAAGTGCAGGTGGGTGGTGAGACGGCTGCAGGGACAAGCCTCCACAGTTGGAACCAGGACGACGAGATCCGCGAGGTCGAAAACAACTTCCCACAGCGCGCGATGACGAAGAGAGAAGCGCAGCTCCTGAGCCTACTGGGCGATGAGCGACGAAGGACCCTGCAGCAACACCGACCGGATGATCCGCAGGAGGAGAGCTCGAAGAGTGCTAGTCTACGGACCACGCAGACGAACGAGCAGCTCGTAGGAGCTGAGAACACGGTGCCCCAGCGGACGTTAACGAAGCGCGAAGGCCAGCTGCTGCAGTTGCTTAGGAATGAGCGTCGCATAACGCTGCAGGAGCCTTCTTCTGATGGTGCATTGGAGTCTGGGAGTAAGGCTCCCGCCGGTCATACAGCTGATGGAGAGCTTTACAACGCAGGTTCGATGCCGCGAAGCCAGAACGCAGAAGTGATGCCCGAACAAGGTTTCGCTTCTGAGGGCGTGGCGGCAATACCACAGCATAACAACGAGGAAGTAGTTGCTGCATCTGCGGATAGTCCCATTCTTGCCAAGCGGGAGAGCCAGCTCTTAGGCTTTCTGGCGCAGGAGCATAGAAAACGACATACAGCGCACACGTTCGACCCTGCAGATACGGCACTCGTCAGTGATCAAAGGGAGTCAGTGGTGCTGCGGAGAAGTGAGGAAGCCAGGAGGTCAAAGGAGAGGCAGCACACTGCAGCTGAGCTGGAAGGTCCCGTCACGGAACACCTCCAGGAAGAGTCAGCAGCTGCCATGGTAGATCAGCCTGAGGAGGACGCTATCAGGCGGGACAACTCAGTCTCAGTTAGGAGGGAGAGCAATCTCTTGGCTTTCCTCGCCGACGAGCGGAGGAAGCGCGAGGATCCGCAGACAGCTGTCGCTTCACCAGTCGAGCATCCACAGGAAGATTTGGACGCAATACAGCCGACACCGTCTGTGGCGACTTCCCAAACGCGGGTTGACAGCGAAAGCCACCAAGCGAGTGAGAGTCCGCTCGGCCTCAGGAGGGAGAGTAACCTGCTTGCTTTCCTTGCGGACGAACAGAAGAGGCGGGATGAGGCGCAGAGAGCCAGCCCTGTACAGTCTGTGTCGTATGCTAGTCATCAACCGGGACCTCTGGGATCTTCAATGAGTGCTGCAAGTGAAGAAGGCATGGGCGATTTTAGGGGTGGTATGGAACAAGCTGTCCAAGATGAGCGACAAATTACGCTCTCTGCATTGATGGCAAACGACCTCGATAGTCAGCGGCCTCTAGAGGCGCGCGCACCACAATTGGAGAGATCAGCAGTGCCATACCATCAGATGGAGTCCACAGAGTCTTTAGGGAGCGGCACGACTGGAGAAGATTCACTTGCTATCTCAAGGCGACCAAGCCGATTGATGGCTTTGATGTGGGCAGACTCGAGCAGGGACCGGCTTGCACCATCGCCATCAGAACCTGGATCTCGGCCGGGCACGTCTTCGGCGGTGAGAGCTCTAGAAGAGAACCATACCGCGAACGATCAGACGGCTTCGCAGCTTGAAGGGTCTCTTCGTGGTCAGTCTATCAGAGGCGGTGAGGTCCAGTCTTCAGTCGCAGCCGGAAGTGAGGCACCAATGACCTATCTTGATTACCGCGAAAGTCAACTACTCGGGTTCTTCGCCGCCGAACGCGCACACCAACATGACCAACCCACCGAAGGTGCCGGAAGATCTGCAAATGACAGGCCACGAACAGCGGATGACGGGCACCTCTCCATCAATGATTCGAGGCCCAGTGACGTAAGCACCCGAATCGGAAGCCACGCAGCACCAGATAGCATCGACCGAGGCTTTGACGATGTTGAAGGCAATGAGCGTGGGCGACAGCAGTGGCCTCAATCGGGTACGCAGCCGTTGCCGGTAGACCAAGCCTCGGTGCAACATACTGACAGCGGCATGCCACAGCGTGGCGAAATCATGGACGCAGATGATGACCGCCCGATGTCGTATCTGCCTGTAGCAAGGGACGCTTCGGGGATTGCGCAGGAGCACATTGACTTCAACCGTCCTCAAGGGCCGGCCGTCGCGGCAACGACGGAACAGTACACAGATCAGCCATCGAGTGGGCAGCAGCACCATACAGGAGCTCTGTACAGCCAGGACCCTTGCGCGTATGGTCGGCAGCCAGATATCTACGGCGCTAGGCCGCAAGAGGCGGTGAATCAGAATGGATATAGGCGCCAAATAGATCCTGCCATAGACCCGCGTCAGCATTCTTCGGAGTATTCGCTTCCCGGCGTAGGGCCTCCTTCCGCCTCCTCTACACCTGATGAGAGGCGGAGCAAACGGGGGTCAATACTGAAGAGTATGAGCCGAAAAGAATCACCGAGCGCTTCAATTTCTGTCCTGACCGAGCGGATGGATCCTCGTCTAGTTGCACCCGAGCCGCAGCGTGGTCTCTCTTATACAACCGACGGCGGCTCGGCAGACGGCAGCAGTACTCACGACGACAAGAGCAGAAGGAGGTCTGGCATATTCAGCGGTTTCAGAGCACGTAGCATTGGTGCAGGTTCACGCAAGAGTAGGGACAGCCCAAATGGCACATCTGACGCATTGCCGAGGGAGCACACGGAGCTGCAGCATCCGCCCAGTCTGGTCCCTGCAGGTGGTGTTCCTCCCACCCAACTAGTCGCAGCCTATGAGGAAGAAAAAGCCAAGAAACTACAACGGTCATCTACGTCAAGCGCGCCGGAGACGCACAAGAAGAAGCGGTTCTCGGGGCTCGCCAGTCTCTTTGGGCGGTCTAAGCATCGAAGCACGTCTCCAAAGCCGAACAAGCTTTCCAAGTCTGCCTCTAGCGCCCATCCTAGACACCAAGAACGGTTGCGAGAAGGACAGTCTCACACGCCTTCTCGTAGCAGTACTGTGCACTCCTCTGCGTATACCGGCGCAAGCAGCCGATTCGAGTCGGCAACAGTCGTTGGACCTCATCCAGCTCCTCAAAACATTCCGCCAATCCCTTCGAGTATGCATATGGGAGCGTTGCCCACCACACAAGCCAACCCTATGCCGGAAAGGGAACAAGGCCAGGGAACACCACCAGGTGGCTACTACGCTCCACCCCGCTTCTCCCATTCTCCTGGCACGAGTGGCTATTCAGCAATCGAACAACAAGCAATGGTAGCCCGACGCGTGTCATCACCTTCGCTGTCAAGCATAGGCACCAATCAGCACGGCCGTCGCACCAGTTCTATCCCCAGCGAGCCGCGATACGACACTCCGCCCGTCCCCGGAGCTTACCGCAGCGGCAGCAGCGAGTACGTCTCGCCTGTCCAAGGACCCCAAGGCCCCCAAGGCCAATGGGGTCCGGGACGCCGGCGAGGCTCGCAAGATGCCCTGTCCCCGCAAATATCCAATCAGTCACAGCAGAGAGTCACTGCATTCGATCTCCTGTCCAATCCCCACGGCTCACCACCAGCGCAGTCCCAGCAGCGGCAAGGCTCTAATGGCTACCCGTACAGGCAGCAGACGCGCATGGGCTCGATCGTCGAAGCGACACACCAGGAGCGGCCGTGGAATATCAGCTTGCCGGAAGGGGCGACTCCGACAGAGGAAGAGCGCGCAGTCATGAATGCGGAGATGTGGGAAAGGGCCAGGTCGGCGCCGCTTTTGCAACAGCAGCAGCAGCGGTATCAGCCGGAGAATGTGAAGTTGCAGAACCTCGACCAGTACCCGCAGCAATCGCAGGGCTTCCAGCGGCAGTTTATGCCGAGCCAACATCCGCCGCTGCAGTATTGTCACCCAGAAGGCTATGGACAACCCGGCCCTACGCAGCCACAGCAGTATGGGACTCAGCCTTACCCTGCTCCCCACGCAACCACGTCGCCCGTTGTTGGTACTTCTCCATCAAACCAGCAACATACCCGTCCGGCATTACAGGATCACCAACACCAATCAGCCACCAGCAACTACGACGACGACGACGAAGAAGACTTATATGCCCCTCCCAGAAGCAGTGGAGCGGAGCAGCAAGCTAGGAACGGCACGCGGGGGACTCATTCGTCGCAGCCCAGCACCGATGATGCATTGGTGATGCGAGGGGCGAGCTACCCGGGCCAGGAGTGGCAGCCGAGGTGGGACGGGGAGGATTGAAAACTGCGGCCTCAACTTGGGTATTGTTATGCTTAGTTTGTATATTGTGGGGATCTGGCTGTATTTATCCTGGATCTGCGTTGGGTCTCTATTTGCATTTCTTGTTCAATATCTTCGCCACTTAGGGAGAGGAAGTCCTTGCTGCATATTACTGGCACTTGGTTGTTAATCTACTTTTCGTTTCTGGGTTATATTCTTACCTTAAAAGTAACCTCTTTCCTTCTGTAAACAACTCTCAGCGTAGGCGTTGTTGGACTCATCACGATGCATAGCGTGCCTTCATAGCTGTGTTCATGGACATTGTCCTCCTAGCCGTCTAATAGCAATTGCACATCGCTACTCTCCAACGTCTATCTCACAGTCATCACCCAGAAGCTCCGCTTATAAGACAGTCCTGCCATCAATACAGTAAACCGCGTGTAACGGCTGAGAACAAAGAGTGCATGTCATCCACAGCTCGCGTTGGCGTTCTTTGCAGCATTCTCGTAGCAACTGGGTAATATTGTGGTCTTCAAACCAAAAGATTATGGTGTGTTGATCACCTGACGAACAGTCTAATGCAGAGGTTTTGCGTGTCGCTTGACTTTACTAGGCATACCTTCAAAGACCACGACGGCCGAGAGAACATATTACAGGCCTTCAGCTTCGCAATTTCCACAACTCGGTTCGTCGGCCCCTTTGCAAACCCAAAGCCAGCTCTGCCTGTACTGCCAGTAAGGGACTGGCGCCTGTATGGGAGATTTGTCGGTTGGTCATCGCACACTGCCGAGCAGAAATACCGAGTTATCCACGCTGGGTTTGCACAGTATAATTCCTCTTTGCAAGCAAGCCGGTTTCCAGGAAGCACGGGGTGATTCCAGAAAAGCAACAATGGATTTGCTAAGCCCAGCGGAGAACAGAACGCCCCTACAAAAGGCATCCCACTTCCGCTTCCGTAGAAGACAGTCGCTCCGGTCACTTCGCTCTGCCTTTGGCGAAAATCGATAGTTGGGTTTCTTTCCCGTGATCGACGACACAACATGGCGGACCCAGCAGCAGTAGCACGGGTGAGAGCAGATCTACAGAGCCGTCTCGACGCGCTCAGCATACTCGACTTCCTATGCTGCATGTACATCGTTACCGAATGGCGCGGGGGTATGCTCACCTTCGTAAGTCTTTCATCGCGCCTAGAGCGGCGTCTGCAAACATAACACTGACAGCCACCAGGTCTACGTGGATGCTCAACAAGGGTCTAGCGACGTCTGGTTCAGGCTCGCCGAGGTCCGCATAGCTAACGGGGCCTTCTTCTGGCTACGGCAGGCCGTGATACAAGCACCTCCCGAGGGAAACTCTTGGCCGGAGGGTAGTACGATCCCGCATCCCAGAGAGGTTACGAGAGTGCAGGAAATCGACGAGAAGTATCTCGAGCTGATACTGGGGTTCTTGGACTCGGGCAAGGTGCAGCTGCCTGATGGTTCTTGTTTCATGGGCATGGTCAATAGAGAGATTGAAGAGACCATTGCTGCAAATGCTGCGGGGCCTTTGACGTTCTTCCCAAGTTGAGGCACCTACCGTTGGAGAGGAAGCTGCAATCAATATTTTCATACAGAAAACGAAACATGGCTGTCATGGACAAACTAGGAGGATGCAACAGACTTTCCTGGAGAACGGCGGGACTTTTGCCATAACCTACAACACTCTCGCTCTATCAGAAAGCAGCCGTAGAGTCATGACGGCTACGACGATGACTAGGAAGTCTCCTGAGTTGAACTCTGACCCTTAAGACCCTGAGGCATACAAAATACGTGAACCTCGGCTCAACCCCGGCTCCAAGATGATTCTCGAACCTCATCACCAAACCTCATCCAAGCTCCATATCGCCATCCCTCTATCCATCCACAACACCAACCACATCCCTCACCACTACATCCATCACCAGCTTCACTAAAACACTGTCTAAGATGCCTCGTCAATCCCGCGGTTCAGCTCCTCCCCGCCGGCCCGTCGCCGCGCCCGCAAGGCCAAATGTTACGCCTCCCCAGCAGCCGCAAGCCCGGCCTGCGACGACCGCTGCTCGCCCACCTGCCCAGGCGCAGGCACCTCACCCACCAGCTCAGGCACAAGGCCAGAGCCCGGGACTATTTGGCCAGATGGCCAGCACCGCTGCGTAAGTCACACCCCATAGCCGGACCTCGGAACGTATGGCGCTAGGGCAGGGATGGGGCCTGAGGCATTCGTCCTCTCCCATCCCCTCGCGCCGTACGAGGCAGGACTCAGTTTGCACAATCGTAAGAATGAACGTCACGCTAACACCATCCGCAGCGGTGTCGCAGTCGGCTCCTCAATCGGCCACGCCATAGGCGGCTTCTTCGGCGGCGGCTCCTCCGCGCCGGCTGAGGCCCAGCAGACCAACGCCTCCGCCACCGGCGACAACAGCTACAACGAGCCGGCACGCTGTGCGACAGACGTCAACAACTTCAAGAACTGCATGAACGAGAACCAGGGCGACCTGACTATCTGCGGGTGGTATCTGGATCAGCTGAAGGCGTGCCAGGCGGCGGCGAGGGGGTATTAGATGTAGAGACGCGGGTTCGGGAAGAATATAGGGGCTGATGCTGGAAGGCTAGATAGCTTGAAAGGTTGGCAGGGAGCATGAAGATGCATTGCTCGGAGTTACTGGTTGGCAGTATATTGTTGCCACACCTTGGCACGATCTAAGCGCTCGATTAGGGCTTTCGCCTCTCCCTTGTAAAAGCTGTTTCACTTCACAAATGATCAAAGCCTGTGTCTTCTGGTAAAAGCCCGTTTACCCTCCATCAGATGAACTCTACGGGAGGCCACCTCAATCTAGCGGTCATCATCCTGGCATGCAGAACGTCACACTGCCATAGTTCCCCTATACCGTCATCGAAGATGTTCAAGTGTTTGCTAACATTGAACGCTTGGCTTCCAAACGTCTCTCTGCGTACCGTCTCAAGCTGAGAATGACAACGGCCAACATCTCGGTGTCAATGTCGGAAAGGCTGTCGAGGAATGTTCCCCTGCCGATGGTCCTTGACACAACCAGATATAACATTCCGTCTTTGTGCTCCATTCCATCCGTTGATATCTTTGCCCATAGAGTATTTGCGTCACAGCAGTCGTGTTCTGTCATGCCGGAATACTCTCAGTTCGCGGATCAGACCCGACACGGGACATCCTGCTATTGTATGATTCCATTGACGGACATCTATGGCATGATGCTCACGACCCCCAGGGACGATACATGACCGAACAGATCGTAGCTCTGTGCCAGATTGTCCTCAAAGAGAAGCCTGATCGAAAGCGTGTGGGATCATCCGCGTTGCCAAGAGCACTTCCGGAAGTTCCCAATGGACCCTTTGCGCATCCCATTCACCAATCCCGATCCTCAGGTGCATATTGCTCAGTTGGCCCGTTCGGAAAGCGTTCGTGATATGATACTGATTCACATCCCAGGTTACTACCCCACTATCCACGGAGCATCCTTAGCATACACAAATCCATCGCGAAGAATTAGCGTCGAGGCCTCTACAGGCCACGTGGGAAGCTCCAATTCAAGAGCCAAGATCGCTAAGCTTTTAGATTTCAGTCCGAGGCCAGCAATCGAATTGGTGAAAGTAAACAGAAGAGTGACGGTCCCATTCCAGCCGCCTATCGGAGCCTCGATACTCACCCACTCCAGCGCGAACAACACCACCCAACGTCCCATCTGAGCACGGAGCCCCAGAATGATCAAACTCGTCGCTTTCGATCTCGATGGGACGCTTGCAGCGAGCAAGCAGCCGTTGGAAGACATCATGGGCGAGGCACTGGCCGACCTGCTGACCGTTGCCCATGTCGCCATCATCTCGGGCGGTGACTGGCCGCAGTTCGAGAAGCAAGTCGCGAGCCGATTGCCGCCGCGGGCGGACCCGTCGAAGCTGTGGTTGATGCCGACCACTGGAACGAAGCTATACACATACAAGGAGGACGAGTGGCATGTGGTTTATGCCGAGCTGTTCAGCGACGACATGAAGAGGAAGATCCTCGAGGCGTTCGATGCGTCGCTGGACGCGACCGGTTTTACCCCACAGAAGACATGGGGCGAGCGAATCGAGGATCGCGGAAGTCAGATCACCTTCTCCGCCCTCGGGCAGCAAGCACCCATTTCGGAGAAACAGCACTGGGATCCTTATTTCGAGAAGCGCAAGGTGATCCAGGCCGACTTGTGCTCGCGGCTACCCGAGCTATCAATCAACATGGGCGGAACCACCTCTATTGACATTACGAAGAAAGACGTCGATAAGGGATACGGCCTGAAGAGGCTGAGCAGCGAGAGCAAGATCCCGCTTGAACAGATGGTATTTATCGGCGACGCCATCTTTCCCGGCGGCAACGACTATCCCGCCAAGGAGCTCGGCCTACACACGGTCGATGTCAAGAACCCAGACGGCACACTGGCCGCAATTGCTGCCCTCGTTGCGTGCCTCTCTTCGACGCCGAATCACGCATCTATCGAACCTTGAGCCAAGGAGGACGCCCCGAAAGGGTGTCTCGCTTAGGATTGGGTGGGGGCCGGTGGAGGGCTATGAGATCGCATTTCTGCATCAATATATTCCGATTTTTAGAACACGCAGTAGCGAACGTAGCTCGCTGGAGTTCCCGAGTCGGATTTTACGTTCGATACTGGCGGACATAGGAAAGACTTTACTTTCCGCAGCTTATCAACGGACTAGAGGGCTTGGCACAGAGCAACAGCATCCGCATGCATTGTATGCAGCAGTCACATTGCATAACCATCGGAGCATTTCTTACTAAATCGAACCATGCATCTGCCTTGCTTCCATGTACGAGATAAGACAAAGCGTTCACTCACGGCTTTCACACCTTGTTCGCGGTTGCTTGTCTATACGAACCATTCACAATTTATTCTACAGTGTCTCCCTCTCTTGCAGATTGTAGGGCTAGAGCCTCTTGTCTCTCGTAAGCCTCTATCGAGCAGCAATTTCGCCTGACAGCCTGTCAACATGTCCTCGAAGCCGCGAAAAAGAGCTATAGATAAACTTCCAGCCGAGCCACGGATCAAGAGGGAGATGGAAGTTCTCGGAATAGGCATGTCGCGGCCTGGAACTGCATGTTAGTCTTAGCCCGTAACCGTTTCGACGTCTACGGTAATCTTAGTGCCAGTTCGTCTTAGCAACGGCCGCTGCGTTGAACATCCTTGGTTATCGCAGCTGCCATGCCCGTGAAATCTTTCAACTAGAAGTGCCAGGCGAATGGCATGTGCAATGCTGGAGAGAGGCGACTCTAGCCAAGATGTATGGTAATGGCAAGCCATACGGCAAGGCCGAGTTCGACAAGCTCCTGAGGAACTATAGTGTAAGTCATTGATAAACCACTGGCTGCTTCATCGCTGACATTCGACCACCACAAATTAGGCTGTAACAGATGTGCCCTGCATCAGCTTCGCGGACGAGCTGATCCAAGCCTACCCAAAAGCAAAGGTCGTACTCACCACGCGCGATCCAGCCAAGTGGATCGTTTCTTTTGAGAGCCTGATTCTCAAGATTGCCGAGAGCGATGAGTATAAATGGGTCAGAGCAGTAGGGTGTATTGATACTGTACGTTAACCGGTCTGTGGTTCCCCAGCTTGATACCTTAGCTAACCTCAGCACTTTCAGGAGTTTCTTGGGCCGTATCTCGACTGGATAAACATGTTCCTGCGATACTGGACCAATGGTGACTGGCAGAACCGAGAGAAACTAATTCAGGCCATGCTCGATGAAGGATTGGCAGAACTTATTTTTTCTCTCGAATTTGAGCAAGGAAGCGGGTCTGACAGAAAAAATCACTCGTTCGCCCTTACGCACTAAGAAAGCAGCAAGTTGCGACTCGATGTCACTAGATGCGCCGATGATTGCAGCCGTCAAAGGAGTACTCGGTTCGGTAACGAGTTGCGATCGATCACCTCGGACGAGGATAAAGTTGTTGCCGTTGGAGGCGGGCTGAGCGCCGTCAGAAACAAAGGAGTTACTACTGGAGCGAGACGGATCGCGAATCTCGAGTATCGATCTGTTTGCTAATATTGAACGCTTGGCTTCCAAATGAGCGCTTGAGTCTGATTCCTACGCTCTTCCTCTATTCCTTCCGTAGTTGTATCAGCTGTTGGCATCAGCTTAGGCAATACGGCTGATATGCTGCACCAAACCTCCCACTGCCTGATAGCTCTCATATGATACGACGCTCCATGCGAGCGTGCTCGGCAAGTCTGTCGCCCGCGTAAAAAGCTACGACGTGTGCTCAACCTGACTGCTTCTTCGCCTCTTTCTTCGCCTTCTTCTTCTGCCTCTTAGCCGCATTCCTTTCCACCTTCTTCTCAGCCCTCTTCTCGACTCTTATGCGTTTCTTCTCCGGATCATTGCTATGTCTCAACTTCTTCTTCTTCGCAGGCTCTGACGGAACCCCGCCCCTCTCATTCACGGCCGACGTATCCTCTTGAGCCGTCGTCTCCGCTTCGGGTTCCAGCTCTCCCTCTTCGCTGCCTTCCTCCTGCGCCTCCTCCGCCACTTCCCCATCCTCCTCAGCTTCCTCAATCTCCTCGGCCTTCCTCTTCCTCGCCGTCATCTCAGCCTGCAGCCTCACTTTCGCCGCCTCCAGCGCCTCCAGCTTCTCCCTCGCCACCTCCTTCTCCCTGGCCTGCCTTTCCGCCCTCTCCCGATCAAACCGCTCGTTCCCGGCCAATCCCGACTTGATAAACCGCTGGGCCGCGCTCTTGTCTAGCGTCTGCGTCCTGTTGATAGCGGCCGGACCCGCCTCGGCCAGCTTGATCTTCTCGTTGTACTGCTTCACGCGCATGATCTCTGTGAAAATGGGGTGCGTCTTTGCATTCACGCCGTTGAGCGAGAGGTAGGAGAACAGCAGGGACTCGATGGCGTAGGTGGTTAGGACGTGCAGTTTTGCTTTGTCGAGGAGGGGCAGCTTGGAAGCGGTTTGGGAGAGAGGGGTGGTGAGGAGGGGGGCGAGGGAGTCTTGTAGGTCGTCGATAGATGAAGAGAGTGAGGAGAGGAGGGGCGCTAGGGTGGTGGTGTCCATTGTGGTGGTGGTTGTGGTGGACTTTAGATCAAGGCTCTTAGGTGGACGTGAGGTTTCGATGGCTGCGCGGTTTAGACGAGTTCGAATCCGTGTTCACAATAGGGCCGCCTGAACAGGTATATCCGCTCTCTTGAGCTGTTCTGACCGTAAATGACTTGGTGTTGCGGCGTCGGTAGCTTTTTGATAACGGAAGAAGGTTATTCCAGCTCTGCTTCCAGAAAATCAAGGTTGCAGCATTTCACACGTGCTTTGTGCCTTGAAATGCGGCAACCTTTATTTTAGGTCGCCCTTCTCCCCCTGCAGGCGTCATAGAAAGTTTGGAAGCAGCTCTCGTGCCTTGCAGCATCCTTGTGCACATTATATCTCTCCACCATGTTGTATAGCCTCGTTACCTGACTTTACGTGTAGAGGTGACCGCGCCTCGGTCTTCAATCTGTCTTTCCTTAAACTCACATATCCGCTTCCGCGGCTACGGCCCCGAAGTCCGCGGCCCTCCTTAAGATGCGCGCGAGGTGACCTTGGCCTGGGCCGGGCGGCCTTTGCATCTTGGTGGAAGGGTTCAGCTGAGACGCCCTATGAGGCAAGCTTGGGGGAGTCTACTCAGTATGTATACCCGATTCTTATCGACCTTTATGAAAATCAGTACTGATACTCCCTGAAAAGTGAACCCGAATATGATACTCTGAAGGAACGAAAACCACATCAATCCCGCCGCAGTCTTGACAGCTACAGACCCCCCGATGTCCCACGGAGGATACACATGCTGGGTATGGGCAGCATCGGCAAGCTGGTTGCGCATTCGCTCCGCGGCCTTCCCAACCCGCCGCCCGTAACACTGCTCTTCCACCGGACTTCTATGCTCGAGCAGTGGAATGACGGAGCCCGTGAGCTTCGCCTGACAACTCAAGGCGTCACCGAAGCCCGGACAGGCTACGACGTCGAGACCGCGATACCACGGCGGCGCGAACATGGGCGAGAACTTGGCGTCGACAGCTCAGAGTCGCGACCCACGTCCGCGGACCCTTACGTGACAGAGACCGCGTCTCCCGAAGACGCCTCGAAGTACTCGGACCCGATCCACAACCTCATCCTCACGGTCAAAGCCACACAGACCGTGTCCGCGCTCCTCGCCGTGAAACACCGACTCTCCGCCGCCTCCAGCATCCTCTTCCTGCAAAACGGCATGGGCATCCTCGAAGAAGTGAATCGCGACGTCTTCCCCGACCCGGAAACCCGACCAAACTACATGCTCGGCATAATCTCCCACGGCGTAACATCCCAGAGCACCTTCTCAGCCACCCACACCGGCTTCGGCACCATCAGCATCGGCATCATGCCGCGCGCCTCCTCCCAGACTCCTCCGTCCGACGCCTCAAGCACCCCCTATCCGACCTCCCCTCTCCGCGGCGGCCTCGGCCACCGCTGGGACGCGCAATCGCGCTACCTGCTGCGGACCCTAACCCGCACGCCCGTCCTCGCCGCCGTCGGCTTCGCCCCGACGGAGCTCCTGCAGCTGCAGCTCGAAAAACTCGCCATCAACGCCATCGTCAACCCGCTCACCGTCCTCCTCGACGCGCGCAACGGCGCGCTACTGTACAACTACTCCCTGTCGCGGGCAATGCGCATGCTGCTGTCCGAAATCTCCCACGTCATCCTGTCCCTGCCCGAGCTGCGCGGTCTGCCGAACATAACCGCGCGCTTCAGCCCGCAGCGGCTTGAGACGCTGGTCGTGGGCGTCGCGGGGAAGACGCGGGAGAATGTTAGTAGCATGCTGGCGGATGCGCGCAGGGGGCAGCAGACCGAGATTGAGTATATCAATGGGTATATTGTGCGCAGGGGGGAGGAGATGGGGTGTCTCTGTGTGATGAACTATTTGGTTATGCAGTTGGTTAGGGGGAAGCAGATTATGATTCAGAGGGAGATGCTGGATATGATCCCGTTCATGGGGGCGGATACGGGTCGGTGAGCAGTTTGCGTGGCGAATTCAAGTGTGCATTGGCCGTGCGGAGTTCAGGGGCGGCTGGGGAGACGTGGTGTCGTGCGAGTAAGCTGGCGCAGAGTAATATCACACTGTGAAGTGGTGGCTGCGTGCATCTGTGGAGTCGATGTCTATAGTATTTGTACTGTTGTAAATATTGTCTTGATATTCTAGGTCTGCCTCAGAACCTATAATTTGCTCCTCAAAAGGTTCGATCATACGGTGCATCACCACGGTAGCTCATTTTACAAGACAGGTCCCACCAGCTCACGTGTCGAAGGTATCAGAGGCAATACAATCATCGGGAACTAGCGTCAGTGAAGGCGACATGGCGCATCTGCAACCTAGCATACAGACAAACTGCATGAATGACTCCCCTACCACCCAAGAGGCACCGGAACCAAAGGAGATTCTGATAGGAAACCTACCGCCGCCGGACGCATGCAGACCGGATAACCCCCAATAGCTCCAAAATGAGAACCCCGGTGCGCCTCAGACCCCTGCCGGCTACTCATCTTTATCGTCCTTTCTGTTTGGTTCGAAGTCAAGCTATCAACGCCGTCAGCAGCTTGTCCCATACATTCTTTACATAAACGCTCACTCACCGAATTGCCGTTATAAAACTGCGCGCCCTCGGCCCTCTCCGCTCGCTGATCCGCCAACGTCCTCACGTTCACCCGCGCCCTCCCCGCCACCGCCGCCGCAGCAGTCCCACCGTCACCCTCCGCCTCTCCCGCAGTCGTCCCAGCCTGCTGCGCCTGCCCCGCCTGGCCACCACCCGTCATGTACGGCGCCACGACGCCCGCCACTGTATTGACGCCGCTCGCCAAGCCCCCATACACCCAGCGAATACCGGAGTACGCCTGCCCCAGCACTCCGCGCCCCACACTCCCTGTATACGCCTCCGTGAACGTAGCGATTGGGACCAGGACGAGAGTTGCGTTCGGCATGAGGCCGATGAACGCGAGCGGTTGATCTTCTTCTGATATGGGGATAGGCCTTGCTGGTTGTGACGGTAGGATCTGCTTGAAGGTGTAGGGCGGGAGCGCTGATCTCGGCATCTCGGAGTTCGAAATGGACGCATCGATCCAGGGCCGGACATCTTGACGGAGGGTTGCGTGGCGGGGGAAGGGATGGCGAAGGCGGGAGCCGTCGAAGAGGAGGATCTGGAGGTGGCATTGCGCGTTCTTATTCGCGACTGCTGAGGCTTCTGTTTCGGGCTGCGATTTGTGTAATTGCTGGGTTAGGGCGCTGGACGCTGGTTCCGGCCGCCTTCCCGCTTCCTCTTCCGCCTCGGCTGCTACCCTCAACTTCCGCTCCTCCTCCCGCTGCTTCCGCTCTCTCTTGTCGGCCTCAATGGTCGCTAGTATCCGCTGGAGTTCCTTCTTCTCCTCTGTCTTGCGCAGCCGCTGCTGTGCTGCGTAGCTCATCTGCGCCTGCCGGACCGCGGAAGACCCACTGGCCTCTACCTCGGTATCAACGGCGCGCCTCTTCCCGGCTGCTTTCTCGGCGCGTGCAACCCGTTCCGCTTCTTCGCGCGCCGCGCGTTCAGCGTCTAACCGAGCAGCGCGCTCGAGCAGGAGGGCTTGGACGGCGGGGTTCGGCTCGGGAGGTGGTTCGGGGGTTGAGGACGCGGGGGTCGCTGTTGGGGGGGTAGATTCGGTGGAGTCGAGTGTTTCGTAAGCAGCAGCTACCGAAGGCTCAGCGTGTCTGAAAGTCGCCGGATGTCCGCCTATCGGCGAGTCGCTAGTTCCAGTAATGGGGGTTTGTTCCTCAGTCGCCGACTCGGGGGCTTCATCCATAGCCACATCTTCCTTTGTGCTTGATGCATCGGCTCCAAAAGCTGTGCGCAAGCGGCGCACAAACTCTCCCCGCGTGATATCCCTCGAAAGGTTCTCTTTGAGCTGTCCATTACTATGCGATCGCATCAGAGATGATCGGTAAGCAGGAAAGGAAAGACACCACTCACTCTATCAGAACGAGACTAGGCGCTAGCTCTACCGGGCAGAAGTGCGCAAGGAAGCCATGCTCCACGGAGCCGGCCCATATGCGTAGAAGCACGACGTTCTGTGCTAGGAGGTCTTTGAGCTGCAATGTATAAGTATGCTGTCCGTATAGGTCTAAGCGTATCCGTGAAACGTACGGCCTCATCCTCTAACCATCCATATTCCCAAGTGTCGCTGTCAGAGCTGTCGTCTTCCTTCGAGCACCGGCGTCAGCTACAGACATGTCGTGGAGCGCAGGTGGGACGCACCTCGTACAAAGCATGCGACAGTTTTGCCCTGCTGCATGGCTAGGGTTATGCCGCTCTGGAGGTCTCCTTCGTGAAACATGGTTACGGTATCCGGGTATAGAGCAGTTTCGTGAGAATCGAGAGTACCTTACTCTTATACCTGGTCTTATGCCGCTAAGTCTGCCCTGCAGGACGTTCCCCGGACGTCAAGGCCTCGCTCAAAGGTTCCACCGGCCCCGGCTTACAGCCTGAGGCTGCAGCCATACTTCCTGGCACGCATCAGGGACAAATGCGCGGATTGAATGAACAGCGGAATCAGACCCGATCGTAATGAATTGACAACTGGGTTGATTCTATCCCAAATTGCTTATGCATGTCTCTAGATGTGGAACGTTCAAATATAAAGCCAATCTCGAAACTGTCAATACTTCTGCAACGTTGCCTGGTGGTACTTCGATGCCTCATAATTCGGGATACGACTCAGGAGATTACTCTTTCCTCAACAACTGGTTACGTTGAGCGACTTCTCATGAGCTACAGTACGGCAACGCGGTTCACATAGGATTCTACGAAGCTCTGATACGGTAAGCAGCGGTCGAGATGTTCCGTGGGCGCGTTGTCCTATCCCTGCCACTTGTTGATGGTACCTCCGAAGGATTCTGGAGGCGCTTAAGTCATGCGGCACAGTCGTTATGCAACCCGAATTAGACCATACAGCACGGCTTGCAACTGCCCAATGGAGTTGTTATTAGATGCACATGAAACCCCCTTTCAGTAGTTTCCTCTAATGCGGGGCATCTTGCTGTGCCTCAGCCACGCCGCGTCTAATGAGGCAAAATGCCGCGTCTCTAGTATTCCCTTATTCCTGTCACCACGTCTCGTAACGTCTTCCACTATCGCGATCCAAACAGCATATTGCGGCCATGGAACCCCTGAGCACGGTATCTTCGATTCTCAGTTTGTTGGATATATCTCTACGGACGACTTCCGCCTTAGCTAAGTATGCTCAAGCCACTCGACATGCCGCATCCGAACGAGGCCTCCTTGCAAAGGAAGCGCTTCTCCTATCAAGTCTTCTAGAACGGTTAAAGGATCGAACGGAAAGCGCAAACCCAAACCAGAAATGGCTGGATGATAGAGCAGATATCTTGAACCAGTTTCAAAGTGCCTATGCTGACCTCGGCAAAGCACTAAAGCTGAGTGCTTCATCACCAAAACTAGTCCAAGAGAGCCGCTTCAAGGCAGCCATAACAACAGCAAAATGGTCTTTCTCCAAGGCCGAGGTTTTTGCTCTCCTGGAGCGCCTTACTCGCCTGCAGCAGTACGCCAATACGCTATTACTGGAACATCAAGATACTGTTCTTGGCCGCATAGACAAGAGGCAGCAACAGGTCGTTGACGAGAAGTACAAGCAATCCATCCTCAGCTGGCTGTCACCGCTGCAGATGAACCGTACTCTGCGGACCATCTCTGAGCGGGCGGCCGAGGGGTCGGGGAAGTGGTTCCTGACTTCCGAAGCTTATGAGCGATGGGGTGCCGGCACCGAAAGGCTTTTGTGGGGTTGGGGAATACCAGGGGCGGGTAAGACAGTGCTCGCAGCGCTCGTCGTTGAACAACTACGTCGGCGGCGGGTTGAGATCAGCGGCAACAGGAATAAGTTCGGTGTTGCTGTGGTTTTTCTTAGGTATCATGACCCGGAACATACCCTTCATAACATACTCGCAAGTCTCATCAAACAATTGGTACAAGAACGAGACTCTGTTCCCGATCAGCTTCGAGAGTTGTTCGACAACCACTGCGGCCAGGAAACGACAGCATCTCTAGAAGATATCTTGGACGCCCTGTCAGCTTTGGTCGAGACGTACAACATGGTTCACATCGTTGTCGACGGGCTGGATGAGTGCAACGATGAGGTCCGATGGATGTTGGTTGAGAAGCTTCAGGGGCTGCCTCCCAATGTCTGCTTGATGCTGACATCTCGCTTCCTCGAAACCATCGACGAGGAGCTGGCCGACTTTGAACGCATGGAGATCAAAGCTCACAAAGATGACATTGAGCTGTACATCGACGCTCAAATCCGGAAAAACAGGAACCTACGAAGGATGGTTCAGAGAAGTCCGGCGTTACGCCAGGATATCAAGGACGTCGTGACCAAGACGGCGCAAGACATGTTAGTAGTCCACCGGCCAGGCTGTACCTTACGACTCTGCTCCCATCCGCCTACGTCTCCACTTACACAGCTCAGTCGACTTTGTATTGACTCAAGACAGGTTTCTTCTCGCGCGCCTTCATGTTGAGTCTCTTGTAAGCGCAGCTGCTCTATCGGTTAAGCATGTCCGCAACAAGTTACAGACTCTCCCCATGACCCTCCCCGAGACATATGATGAGGCTATGCGCCGAATCACGAACCAGGAACCAGAACACAGAGCCATTGCGCTGAAAGCTTTGGCATGGGTCAGCTACGCGTTCCGGTCCCTATCTTTGAGGGAACTTCAGCATGCATTGGCAATTGAGCCAGGGGTCGCAGAGCTGGATGAGGAACTCATGATTGAGGGAAACAATCTCATCTCGCTTTGCGCGGGACTCATCGTTATTGATCAAGTAAGCATGCGGATTTATCATGCTTATCTCAGTACCTCATGGGTTTTTTGAAGTGCGAGGTAAATGTATACTGACCGCGGACTGACTGGGAGCAGGATACGAGCGTTGTGAACTTAGTACACTACACCACGAAGAACTATTTCGAAGACATCCGCCTCACGACCTTTCCCGGCTTCCATGCCACTATCACCATGAGTTGTGCTACCTATTTGAACCTTGATGTGCTCAAGGATGCGAGCATCTGGAAGATTGTACGATGGTACCCTTTAGCATGTTATGCTGCACAACACATGGCGGAACACGCACGGCAAAATCCTGAAGACGCTCTTGAGCCACCAATACTGGATATAATCTGTCAGCTTCTTTCGCGACCCGACAAGAGGAGACCACTTCTGGCTTTGTTGGATGGACTGGATCTGATAAATGCTGGTTTCTACTCTTCTTTCAACCCTGCACTACATACCCAAGATGATCTGGGGATCAGAGAAGGTACATCGACATTCAGTCACGACGACACGATTTCCGAATCCCGACCGGCTAGCATCCGCACTCATAGCGCACCTGCAGATTTGTCGAGTTCAGAGACTGATGCTACGGACACGGAAGATGACCTACCCTCCTCGCAGGACACTGCTGTCAGGACATCAGGATCACCCGAGGTGACAGCACTTCATCTTGCGGCGTCTATGGGTCTCGCTAAGGTTGCGTCTATGCTGCTCAAGAGCTCTCCTGACGTTGACGCTCTTGATGAAAATGGGAATACCGCGCTTGCTGTTGCCATGGAAAGGGGCTTTGCGAAGGCCGTCGAATTCCTAATCGAGAGCGGCGCTTGTGTCGACCTAGCCGATGGTCACGGCAGAGGTGTTCTCTTGCTTGCGGCCGAGCGTGACTGGACGAGGGTCGCAGAACTCATTGTTCAGAGGGGCAGAGCTACCGTTGCGGAAGATGCTCGAGGGGATCACAGAGGTTCAGTCCAGGCGTTTATCGCAGCTTACTACGGGAAGGCTGCGGATCTCAAGCGTTCACTTGATCAGAAAGACGTAGATCTGGGCGGAGAGAAGTTGGAAGCGGGTGAGATGGCTTTGTTCATCGCTGTTGAGCGAGGGCACACCGATCTGGTTAGCATTCTCATCAACGCTGGTGTCAACGTCAACGCGAAAGACAGCACTGGTCAGACTTCTTTACATCGCGCAACACGACGCGGAAACGAGTCCATAATGCAGACACTACTTCAACACGGCATCGATATAGAGCAAAAGAACGATGACGGCCGTACAGCTTGGAGTGCAAACGCGCAAACCTGTAATGAACACATCCTGGGAATCCTTCTCAAAGCTGGAGCCGATCCGAATACTCGGGGCCAACAGGGAGTTCATGAGATCTACCATGCGGCGGCGCGTGGCGATGCGAACTACGTCCGTTTCCTTCTCAAAAGTGGGACAAACCCTTCAATCACAACTGACTTCGGTTGGGCTCCGCTCCACTGGTCATCTTCCAATGGCCATGTGGAGACGGTCAAGCTGCTTTTAGAAGCAGGCGCTGACCCGTCGCCCGTGGCTGATCAGGACAAGACACCCCTGGATATGGCAATACAAAGTAATCAGAGTGGTACCGCTGAGCTCCTCAGAAAGGCCGGAGGACTCCGGCACCAAGAGCTCGCCTCCAGCCTCGGGCGCCTATCGTTAAGTGAACCGCGAACTACTACATTCAGAACTACGGAACGGGCCAGCTCCGGTAAAGAGGCACAGTTAGGAACAGACGAAGGTAATATAGCTTCAAGAAAACGCCGATTCATCTTCGATGAGAGCATGTATCCCTTGCTGATTCCTGGTTACTTCGTTTACTGCCCGGACGAAGAGCGGCAGCCCGGCTCAAAGCATTCAACCTATGCGATTAGTCAACCGCTGGGAACAGGCGGCACGTCACTCACCATTCGGCATGCAGAAGGCCTTGGCAGAGCGCTCTTTCCGGAATACCTCACTGGCCTCGCAACATACTTAGGCTCAAGTGACACGCTCTACGAGATTGTAGCAAAGAGTGTGGACTACCAACACATGGAACTTCGAGGAAGTCCAAATGGCCCTTTTCCTGGAACGATTATCATGACCAAAGCATGGACGGGCTCCTGGCAGACGCATCATAACCACGACGGCAAGAGTAGCTTGCTCTTCCGGACTGCGCCTGACTGGTCGAAGACGAACAACGATGCGCTTCGTTGGACGGCCGAGGACGGAACACTGCTAGCTCGGACTGGATTCATAGAGAAGCTACCGGTTCTGGATATTGAGATCGGAGTGGAGCATGCCTTACAGGAGGTTCTCATTGCCTGCTGGATCGCAAGAACATGGTCGACATTTCAGACAGTCCCCACGGAGGAAACATTATGAGTAGCGTTGCCGCAATGCGGTTCTGCATGCGTTCGGTCAACTGTATAGTTTTTGCGTCAAGGTTTTGGCTTTGCAACAATACGTACATCATTCATTGTGGCAAGTATATAGCTCTAAGTCGCAACTCAGCTCACTAACGCATAAAGAATGTGGACACTTCGACCTTCCTCAGCTGGACGGTTTCAAGATGTCTCTCATCAACTGTACCCATACCCAAGGCTCGCCAAATTCTGGATGCGCCGCAGTGACCGAATTAAAGTACTCCCAGCCCATGACTCCCCCAAATCCCGGATACTTCTTCATCAATGCCGTCAGCGTCTTACGCAACGGTTCATCCGACACCCAACCCGCCCCATTACCGGGATTCGTGACCAAGCCGACCACGACCTTTTCAGCCGGCCAACCGCGCATCACAATCTGCTCATAGCCCTCTGTTTTCGCCATGTCACCCCATCCACAATAGAACTGCGTGTTATACCAAGCAATCTTGCCCCCAAGCCCTTTCTCCAGCGTCTCGTGGTCGAAGCCTGAGAGGTTCTGCTTATTCTGCATGGCCGTCGCCACAGGCGCAAGCGTAACAAGGAATCCAGGACCAAGGTCCGTCTTCAGTCGGTCGACCAGCCTGATTATACCGCCCAGTGACATCGCTTCTTCGACGTCGAGGTCGAGGCCGTCAAGACCCGTCCACAGGATCATCTGCCGCAGCGGCTCGTAGTACTTGTCAAATGTGGCCAGGTCGCCGTCGAGCTTGGTGAAGGAGCCTTGAGCAGCACCGCCTAGCATCCCGAGCACGCGGACGCCAGCATTTTGTAGCAGCCGGACTTCTGCCCATAGCTGATCGTTTTTGGGCGCATCGTAGGGGTCGTCGTTCAGGGCGATGAAGCCCTCTTTGGAGTCCGGTTGGTTGATGTGGATCGCGGCTATGACGACGTGGGTTACACCGGTCTTTTTTAGTATGAGCGGTAGTATGGACACGAATTTCCCGTCATGATAGTGGGTTTGGTGGTAGCAGATAATTCGGGGAGACTTGGAAGCTGCTTCCATGGGTTTACCACTGGGGACTCGCATTGGTACAGATACTGTGACGACTTGGTCGCAGTCAGTTGTTTTGGATTGTTCTGCTCCGGTGCAAGGAAATGCCAACGCATAGTGCACCCATCTCAGCCTTGCTCTGCATGGCAAAGCTGCTGTGCCACATGGATGTTGCGCGGAGTCGCCCAGTCACGTGCTCGAACATTAGATAGAGTATATCGTTGAAACTATGTTTCTAGTGCACTCTTATCAGTCTGAGATTGTAAGCTTCACAAGCGGCATATATCTGATCCCACGTAGAGTCTCGTTCTAGTAGATTCTGTATAAAGTGTATAATCAACTCCCTATGCACTAATCAGCAGCTGCACCCACCCCCTCTCTCCTCTCCTTCTCCTTTCTCCTTTTCTCCTTCTCCACAGCCCTGATGCCCCTCAAGTCTGGCGGTTTCTCAATCCCCAACTCCGCCCTCAACTCCTCCACATCCCTCTCCAACCACTCTTCCCAATACACATTAATAACCTCCTTAGCCTTGACCCCGTTCTCCACCGCCCACGGCCCATAGATCTGCCAAAATCGCTCCCTCTCCTTCTTCTTCAAGGTCGTCACCGCAAACACGCTGAGCCCCGTCATCGGCAAGAGCGTGTTCGCAAACTCGAACGCCTTGAGCGCCACCTCGCCCTCCCTGAATACAGGCAGCCCGCACAGCGCGTGGTAAAAGTCATGACATTCGCGGTAGCGCTGCATCACGTACGCGCACTCCTCGTCGTCTATGTATTGGACGGCTGAGCGGGTGTCAGGGCTTACGCCCTCGCGGTCGAGCCAGCCGACATAGGCGCGGCCGACGGAGTTCTCGGGGAGGCTGCGCAGGTACTCGACGGACATGGTTTTGGAGGATATGCGTGGGCGGTCTCGCAGGATCCGTCGGCCTGTGGGGGAGCGGAGCATGGCGTCCCGCAGGCGGTAGATGAAGTAGGGTTGGGCGGTTGCTTCGCCGAGGGCGGCTATGAGGTCTGGGAGTTGTCAATTACTGCGGATGTCTGAGGCGGACTAGGGCGTGATGGATGGCTTACCTGCTCGTCGAGGGTTGAAGAGAGACATTACTGCTGAGCCGACTGCTAGGGCGCCGCGCTCGACTCTGGTGAGCGGTATGTGGCCCTCATATTTGGGCGGTGGGCGATTGAGCACGGAGAAGGTCCGGTAGCTCGCTGGGAGCAGGAGGGTGTAGGTGTTACATATTTGCGCAGCTGACGCTCTAGTGAGAGAGCGCTGTAGTGGAGCTGCCATCACGACAAGCTTGTGGTGTTGAAGCTTGAGGTTGGAATATTGCCCCATTTGGAGGTCCTCGTAGGTATCGATAACAGCCGTGCAGGGATCACAAGGCTATAAGGCTCATGCGGATAAGTGACTGGACAAAAACCATCTCCTCGTCAATACTAAGGTAGAAGAAGATATACCAGTCATCATCAAAACCCATCTATGAGAAAAATGGCGGGACAAAGAGTCGACTCCGTGCGGGTTATCATTAATGAAAACATTTGCAGCCAGCGCGCCTGAGTCCTCCTTCAACGTTCTTCCTCAGTGCTTACCGTAAAACATTTCTCTTATATTCTCGATCGCGTTCTTGGTTTCTACAAGAAAGATCGGAGGTCTTTAGAGTCTTCTGGTTTCTTGCTCGTCAACCATCAATGGCACAAGACACAGACACAGACAAGAAGCACGAGGACTTCACATCCTGGGCCAACAGCCAAGGCGTCCAGACCAACGGCATCCACCCCAGCAAAATACCCGGCCGAGGCATAGGCATAGTAGCAGATAGAGCTCTAAAAGCAGGCGAGCAACTGGCATTCGTTCCGGCAAAAGCGCTTATTACAATCGACACTGCTCCAACATGGCTAAAGATTAACGAGCTGGTCAAACCGCTGGGTGTTCCTGAGAAGGATGTTACGGTGCACGGAGCTCTGGCTGCCTATCTTACAACTCGGGTCGCAGAAGGTGATGAGCGGCTTGGGCTGTGGCGGAGTGTTTGGCCGAGTCTTGATGATTTCAAGGAATCAATGCCTATTATGTGGGCAGAGGAATATCAGGGGTTGCTTACGCCACCTGCTAAAGGTATATATACTTTCTGAAAAGTCCAGGCAATGGATCTGCACAGGCATCCTGCGGCTGGTGCGAGGCTGACAGGACAGATCTATTGCAGGCCCAGCAACAAAAATACCTGAAAGACTGGCAGACATGGCAATCCATGATCCCTTCCGGGGCTGAGAAGTCATTCCAATACCACTGGCTCATCGTCAACACGCGCACGTTCTTCTGGAAACACCATGGCTCGGGTGCGAAGAAGCTCTCCAAGAAGATCAGAAGAACATGCAACGATGATCGCATGGTTCTCTGTCCATTTGTGGATTACTTCAACCACTCCGATGAAGGTTGTACGGTTAGCAACACGCCGAAAGGCTTCACTATCACTTGTGACAGAGAGTATGAGGCGGGTGAGGAGGTGTACGTATCTTATGGTCAACATGATAATGACTTTCTTCTGGTGGAGTACGGTTTCGTTTTAGCCGGTAATAAATGGGATAAGACAAAACTGGACAGCCGGATCTTGCCCAAGCTAGACAAGAAGATGAAGCGTGATCTCGAGGAAAATAACTTCCTAGGGTAAGTGGGTTTCGTATCAGCCTATAGTAGTCTAAATCAGCTCCAGCTGGAAACAAACTAGACGGATAGCGTAGACAGTACCCCAGACTGACGAATCTTTTGTAGCGAGTACTTCCTTGATGCCGACGAGATTGAATACCGCACTCAAGTTGCACTCCGTCGCAGCTTCTGGCCAGTGGCTAGATGGCGGCGATACCTCGCGACCGAAGATGAGACCGATGTCGAGCTAGCATATGTGAAAGCGAGACTATGGGTGCTCCTCACAGAGTACGCCGACGAAGTAAATGAGATGCTTGCCATCCTCAATAAGATGAAGCCGACAGTTCAACGCAACACACTCGTCAAGCGCTGGGAGCAGACGGCGGAAATGTTGCAAGTTCATATCTTCCGGAACTCATACCAGGAAGCGTGTCCAAACCATCAACATACATGAGAGGGAGCGGTACTGTCTTGCTTCCTTGTACAGATGTCGAGATGGCATGCTGGAACGTCCAGGCCTTTTTGAGGTGGGTGACGGAGTAAGGTTGCCATTCGGAGGTTCACACCGAAGCTGATAGTGCAGTCAGGGGTAGGGTATGGTAATGAGAAGCCTCTAGTCTCATGATGTGCAAAGACTACAGAAAGCGTAAGAACCAGAAAGGAAGACGCATGAGGTACTAAGGGCTCGCTATTGCAGGGAACCGCCCGGGCAGACCGGCCCGTGAACCAGTATCCCTTGCGAATGAACCTCAATTGGAGGTAGCTTTCACAAGTGCTGAGGAGCAAATATTAGCAGTCCTTACAAGCTGCCTTTTCACCCATCAACCGAACGCAGCCTTAGCCCGCGAATCCACTCCTGAAACGCCATCTCATGCAATGCACTTCTCTCAGCATCCTCACGAATTCAGCAGATCATCCAAATCGTCATCGTCATCCCAACCGCCCTTCCTCCGCACCGTAACAACCGGCTTCTCCTGCTCCTTCTGCTGCTCCGACAGCGAATTCAGCATCTCCTTGAGCTGTTCTTCCGTGACCTTCTGCCGGAGCTGTCCACTCCGCGCAAGCATGATGAGGCGGTTTTCCACATCCACGGCACGCGACTCCTTGACGAGCCGGATACGGCCGAGTCGGTCGGCGGCTTCGGGGAGGAGGATTTGTGCGAGGATAGAGGAGCGGGCGTCGGCTTCGCGTTGTCTGGGTTGTGACGTCAGTTTAGGAGTGTCGCGGTGTTTTTGGGGCGTCGCGGCCGGTATGCTCGTACCGCTGCTGGTCCTCCTGCCCGCCTTCGCCGCCGCCCGAGCTGCCTTGCTGCTGGCGCAGCTGCTGTAGACGCGCTTTTCGTATCTATGGAGGGATCAGCCAACTCGGGAGTACATTGCGAGCACACATAACTGAATACCTCTTCAAGATCCGCGTCCGCCATTGTGATTGAACTTACTCCTTCGCGGGGTAGCTCGTGCCGTCAGCCTCAGATTTTGTGGTGATGCTTGGCATTGCCGGCGGGGCTGGCGGAGCTGTCACGTGCATTACGCCTCTGGCGTGCAGCTAGATCTTCCTTTGAAGAACTGCTAGCACCTGACTTACCGCCCTGCGCTTGATGTCTGTGATGTCTGTGATGTCTGTGATGTCTGTGATGTCTTACTCGGAGGAGCTTCTGGACGGATGACGCGTGTGGCGGAGCATGCGGACCTGGTTTGCTCGGGCGAGAGCTCGCTCTGACCGTTGAACGAAGCGCCGGCCGGAACGCCTGCACTTCAACGCCAAGCTCCCACGGCTCCGAAGCTCAAGAGCACACCTGGAAGACATCATCCGCTCACACATCACCAGGCTTCAATCACTCTCCTTTGCATCCCGCATACAACGACAGCGAACCTCCTCTTCCCGCAGCTTCGGACTCTGTACACGGTTGTGCTCGTCCCACGTCCTTCCTTTGGTCCCGTCTGGAAGCCCGATAGTGCTTACACTGCCGCTCTCGGCTCCGAGATCACACGCCTCCAAGCTGGCTGAGTAAGTGCGCCTACATACGCGTTATCCCGCGTGAATATGCACTTCCTCGGAGCTCTCTAACTGACTTTTGGGAGAAGCTACTTTTACTTGCTCCCCGGGGGCCACGGCGCTCGTTCTGGACTGTTCCCGCCGTCGCGTTCGCGTCCCTTAACGCCTGCTGCTCAACCTCCGGAAAGCAAGCAGGTCACCAAATCGGTCTCGACACCGCAGCTACCGAAGATGGCATCCGTGCTTCCTCCACCTAGCCCCTCGACCTACTTCCGCGCCGAGTCAGAGGCCATGAACACGATACCCGACCCACGGACTCCCAGTCCTCATTCGGAGAAGTCGAGACATGGCTCCACGGACTCAGCACACCACCCGGACCTAAGCAATGAGGTGGCGATGCTGAGTACGAAGCTTGTCAACGCGATCAACTATCAAACAAGCCTGGACGACACTCTGCAGGCGACGCGACATGAGTTGGAGGCGGCAAGAGAGCAGCTTGCGCGCTTAGAGGCTGCAGCGAAAGAGCATGCAGACATGATAGCACAAGGTCTGCTGATTAGAAAAGCGAACCATGATATTGCGGTAAACCGATTAGCGCACAATCTGGAGAACGAAAAGCAGAAAACCGCTGTGGCGGAGAAAGAGAGGAAAAGAATGGAGAGCGAGCTAGAGAATTTGACGACAGCTTTGTTCGAAGAGGCGAACGCGATGGTAGCATCTGCTCGTAAAGAGACGGAAGCATCGGAGAAGAGAAACGAGCAGCTACGCAATCAGTTGAACGACACGGAGCTCCTTTTGGCGTCCCAACAAGAGCAACTGCAGGATTTGAAAGCGGTCATGCAGGAGATGAGCTCTGAGCGGGGCGAGAACGACGCGCACATGTCAACCGCGCCATCGACACCTGGCGCAGCTGCACCGGACAAGCTCAGCCGAACATTCGAAGAATTGAACATGACGCCAAACACTCCCGGCATGGATGAAGTCCCAGCCGACCATCCTCTACGCTTCTCGCATCTAATCCGCCCGGTCCTGCGAACAGATCTCTCAGCCTACGAAGACTTCGCCGAACTGCTACGCCTAGCCAAATCCACCGGCCCCTCCAGCCGAGTAGCCAGCGGCAACTACAGCGGCCTCAATGTCATGGGCCTCAGCTCCTTCAAGAACTCCAGCCAACCCAACATCAGCCAGCCGACCGCCTCATCCCCAGCAACACCCGTAACACCATCAAACGGCAACGCTTCTCCCCGCGTCCCGCCCGCCGACCTCCCCCCACTCAAAGACAACAGATTCTACAAGCGCGCCCTAGCCGAAGATATCGAGCCCACCCTCCGCCTAGACGCCGCACCCGGCCTCTCCTGGCTTGCGCGCCGCACCGTGATCAACAGCATGACGACCGGCGGGCTGGTCGTCGAGCCGCACCCGCCCATCCACCCGTTCCGCGGGCCAATTTACTCGTGCGCGCTCTGCGGCGAGAGTCGGAAAGCGGACATATACAAGCGCAAACACAGGTTCAGGACTAGTGAGAGCGACGACGCGCAGAGGTATCCGTTGTGCGACTACTGTCTGGGGAGGGTGAGGGCGACGTGCGATTATATTGGGTTTCTGAGGATGGTGTGGGCGGGGCATTGGCGCGCGGAGACGGAGGAGGAGGTGAAGAGTGGGTGGGAGGAGAGCGTGAGGTTGAGGGAACGGATGTTCTGGGCGAGACTGGGGGGTGGGGTCGTTCCCGCTTTCCTACAAGTCAAGGACAGCCCAAGTAGTCCGATCAAAGGGCAAAAGAGCGTGGAAAGGGCGAGCGAGGACACTGAGACCGGTCAAGAGCCCGGCCGGGAGAAGGAGGTGGCGGCGGACCCGTTCAAGAGTGAGGGAGGGCTCAAGAGGGTTTCTATTGGGAAGACGGTCATCTCGAACCCAGAACTCGGACTTACTGCGGATGAAGAGAGGAAGATCGAGGAGGAGGCTGCGCAGCAGCTGCAGGACGATATGCGGCGTTCGCTTGAGATCAAGCCGCAAGTCTCACAAGCTGTGCCTCCTACCGAACCGCAAGCGACTGAAGGCGCGCCACGAGGGAGGGAGAAGGAGGGGAGGAGATTATCTCTTACGATCCCGGGGTCATTCGTCTGAACTGGTGGTCAGTCTTCCATCAACATCACACGAGCCCGTGCTTTCGTACAAGCCGCTGCCTCTCGAGCCAGATCATTCGTCGCCCTACCAGCAACCGCCATAGATCGTCGATCAGCTAGCGGCGTTAGCGTTACGCTTGTCTGGGGGGTGGATGTAAGAGACAGCCCTACGCAGGGCCTTTTACGCACCCCATCGCTGGATGACGAAGCAGCGGCGAAGAGACTCGACGGGAGCGCTACAATACTTTAGCAACATCCTGTCAGATCCCGCAGTAATATCAGTGGTAAACATGTAGGGAAGTAGATCTAGGTTAGGGGCTTTTGGGACAAGAGTAGACGCGGTCGGACCACGTATATCACACTGAACAGTAGCTGTGCAGCGTCCTCATGGTTAAAGCGGCACAGAGGAAGGCTTGAAATATCGACGAATCACAACCGAACTGCTACATATCTGTTCGAGCACACAATTCGTAGTGGCTGGCATTATCTTGAGGTACTGCTTTGATGGTCACTTCGCGGATCACAGCGAAAGTCCTAAACCCCGTAGACCCAGGTGAACTCAACTCGCCACCTGTAATACTAACCCCCCAGTAGGTGCCTCAACCGCAGCTCAGACACACGTCTGAGTCATTTCCCACCCTCGCATTTTGGGAGCCTTCCTTGATCCTGCCTTTCTTTGAAGAGGAGCGCAGAAGCCGTTCGCCTTGTTTTTCTGTTCAGCGTGCAATAACACAGCTGATCTTCAAGAAGGAGACAGTCTGGGAAGGATAAAAGGCGGTATATGTTCAGCCTCACAGCTGAACCCTTCCAGCCTCGACCCTGCCTTGGCCCAGTATCGTCAGCGTGGTTAGCGCGGTAGCTTCGAATAAAGGCGCTGCGGCTGCTTGTAGCCCCTGCACCAACTGCTTCCCTCCATCGATCCCGAGCAGAGTAACAGATGCCTAAACCTTACGTCTTGGCTTCCTTCAACAGCTCCGTAACAGTAACAACGCGAAACCCCCTCCTTCTCAATTCCGGCAGCACTTTCCGTAGCATCGGAGCCGTCCAGCTCCGCCTATCATGGCAGATAACAATCCCCCCAGGCCGTACCATACTCAGCACATGCCTCGCATTGACGCGCCAAAACGGGATCTGCGGGTCGTGCGGATAGATACTCCCCAGCACCAGTCGGTAGCCCAGGCCGCGCAACACCTCGAGCATCCGGCCGCTGAAGAAGCCGGAGCCGGGGCGGAAGTACGGGGGAGGCCGCGCTGCGCCAACGGCAGCATATGCCTTCTGTAGCATTTCGTCCACGGACTGGATCTGCTCGATGAGAGTGGAATCGCTCAGCGAGCGCGAGGGCTCGTCGTGCGTGGCGTGATTGCCCAGCTCGTTTCCGGCACGGATGAGGGATTGCAGCGCCTCCTCACGCCCTGGGACCTGGGATCCGATGATGAAGAACGTTGCGGTTGCATCGTTGGCTTTGAGGATCTGTAGTATCTCGTTGGTGTACTCGGACGGGCCATCGTCAATAGTCAGCGCGATGATTTTTTGAGACGTTGGGACGTGCCAGAGAACGTCCGGCCACCGATGTTGGAAATAGCGAATCAGGAGAGTGGGGGGTTTATATATTATGTAGAACGGTGATAGGATGAGGCACGTGACGCTCAGGAGAAGGAGCATTAGGAAGATCCGAGAGCGGCGGGCTCTTCTGCGTAGCCTGGAGGGTAGCCGAAGGAGGTAGGAGACACGAGGCATTGGAGAATCAGCGATTCATTGAGTGTGCCGATTCAAGAGAGTTGATGTCGGAGGTTGCTGGCACGTCGTTGAGGTGTGAGGCAGGGAGAGAATTCATCACGTGACTAACCCTAAGTCGGTATCTTACAGCGAACAGTAGCGGTCCAGAAGATCTCTGCGGAGCTTTCCTGTAGAGTACACATGGTACTTTGCTGGAGCCTATTGAGAAAGATTTCACTGGAGCAAAATGCAAGACTGCCGGTGATTTCGTATCGGCATATGTCACGTGATAAGTCAGAGCTGGAACCTCAGCCTCCGCGAACTCCTCGGGCACACCATGGAGACTCGCCACCAAACCGTCAAGCCTCTAGTAAGTGTATCCATTCACTGCAGGTAAAGTAATGCGTTTATTCGAAATGCTTCGTCAAGGTTAACTCCCTCGTTCTCTTTGCGTCGTTGTCGCTGTTTTTCGCATTCTTCCGCCGCTGAGACGGAGAAGCATTCTACCACGTCGCCGCGCAACCACCCCAACCGCCTCATCGAGTGGATTGTTTGCGCGATATCGCAGTAACAGTCGCATCATTCTGCCGTGCGATTTCTCGTTTCGTGTATGCCGGCGCGCTTGGCCACTCGGAAACCTTGCGGACAGACAGTGCAGCAGGAGCCCAGCTCACGTGTTATGACAACATCCATCTTCCGCAGATCTGCCCCAACGGCAAGAGATGTTCAGGAACAGCAACCAGCGTCTGTCCAGCACGTCAGATGGAGCAAATGTCAGGCACCAGTCACTGCGCTTGTCTTCTCGGATGTCAGAGAATGCCGAGACTGTCAGTCGAGCACGTTCCATTGGTTGCAGTGCCGGTTTATTCAGCCGCCGGTACGTACCACGCTAAAATTGCGTGCTCGAGAAAAGTTATGATGCCTTCAAACAATGATTTCAAACGCGGCCTTTGCTGCCGCGGGGTTTACCCCCGGGCTACATAGTGTCAACTTCGACGTTTCATGCTCTCCATTATCTCTACAAACTCGAAACTGCTGCTGCTCTTGCTCCTTGTATCAACTTCAGTTGCTTCATATCAAAGTCCAGAAGACAGCACACAGATACAAAGAAAGGCTCCGCCACAGATGCCTCTTGACCCCTGCCAGCCGGCAGACCTCTTCTCCACCTACCCCATACCGGACTTCTCATATCCCACACGAGACATGTCGTCACCCATATACTTCCGAGACACCTCCCCCGTGAGGGACGTAGAATCAGGCTACGCCAGTGCTTCCTCCAGCGAGTCGAGTATACCGGACGTCTACTTCAGCAAACCGCATCTCAAGTTCCTCAACCAGCAACTGCAGCAACTCGAGCCAGAACGTAAGTTTACGTATATGTACTATGATACATGGCAATTGCTAATTATTCCGTAGAGATTCTGCAATGGTGCCTCATAACACTACCATCGCTATACCAGACCACAGCTTTCGGTCTCACCGGTCTTGTGACCGTTGACATGCTTTCCCGAATATCCGGTCCTATCAAATCCCAAGTCGACCTCATCTTCCTCGATACCCTGCATCACTTCTCGGAAACTCTCGCCTTGGTCGACCGTGTGAAAAGGAGGTACCCCAACGTCAACCTTCACGTCTACAAGCCCGAAGGCTGCGAGACCACCGAGGAGTTCGATGCCAAGCACGGCGAGCGGCTCTGGGAAACCAACGAGGAGCTCTACGACTGGGTCGCCAAGGTGGAGCCGGCGCAGCGCGCATATGCCGAGCTGCAGGTCAAGGCCGTCCTGACGGGCCGCCGGAGGAGCCAGGGCGGCAAGCGAGGTGATCTCGACATTGTCGAAGTTGATGAGAGCGGCTTGATCAAGGTCAACCCGCTCGCCAACTGGTCATTCAAGGACGTGCAGGCCTACATCAGGGAGCACGATGTCCCGTACAACGAGCTTCTGGACCGAGGCTACAAGAGCGTCGGCGACTGGCATTCTACCCAGCCGGTGACTGAGGGTGAAGATGAGCGGTCGGGCAGGTGGAAAGGGCGGTCGAAGACCGAGTGTGGCATCCACAACAAGAAGTCCCGTTATGCGCAGTTCTTGCAGCAGCAGGAGCTGAAGCGACAAGCGGAGGAGGTAGCGCAAGCTCTTGAGTCGGGGCTGAAACTTGACGGAGGTGTTGCGTTACCATGAACGTTTTATGATCCATGGAACAGCGGTTTTGATTTGTGCTGCATCTTAGCATTGGCGTTGGTCGTTAGCATTTTCGGGAGTTCCGTCCCAAGAGGGGCGCTGATTAGCATAGTACTTGTTTAGTCATATATATCAATCGAGATATCTACCGTAACCCTTCACACTAATCTCTGTCTCTGGTGTTTTCTCTGGAGTTCCTGACCCATAACGCTCGGCGAATTGAGGTACCGCCACATTCAACGTCGTGCAGAGAACGTCCTGACCTCTTTTCCTTGGCTCTGACACACATGCACAATCACGCAATCCCGAGGGCCGAACCACTTTAACCAGAATCTTTTTCTCACGCCTTAGGGAACGAATTGCGTGCGTTCGAATTTTAAATCCCGGCGTATCTCCGATGACATATCTCTCGACCATGGCTCCAAGCAGCAGGACACTTCCTCGTGTCATCTCACGCTCGATATTGCTTTTAGATCGTTCCTGGATTCGACCTCGCAGCTGCTCTCCCTCCATCACTCATAGGACGCGCTTTGACGAGAGCTTGGATCCCTGTTGACGCTTCTTTCCGCTCGAATATAGCTACAAGTTTGCAAGGAGCCATTGGCAAATTTTCGTCTTATAACAGTCCCTATCCGCCCCCAAATTCCTCAGCAATCAGCCTCTACAACGCATCTATCCTCCGCTTAACCCGTCCAACCCGTCGACATGGCGAACCCTCCTCACGGTGCGTATTCAACGGACCCCTGCATACCCCTCCACAGGCAGCCAGAAAACTGACACTGAGCAGGCGGTGTGCTGAAAGACCTCATTGCTCGCGATGCGCCGAGGCGACGGGAGCTGGCTGAGGAAGCTGAGAAGCTGCCGGCAATCGTGCTCACGGAGAGGCAGCTTTGCGACTTGGAGCTGATTCTCAATGGCGGGTTCTCGCCGCTGGAAGGTTGGTACACCCTACACCCCTCGAGATCAGGCCCTGGGGGAAACGCCTGAGCGCAAACTTCAGAAGAGGCCAGTAGGCTTCAATTGGATACAATTAACCGCTAGCGTATGGTGTGCAGGCTTCATGAGCGAGAAAGACTACAATGGCGTTGTTGAGAACAACCGACTCGCGGATGGCAACCTCTTCAGCATGCCGATATGCCTCGACCTTTCGAAAGAGACCATCGACGAATCAGGCGTAAAGCCCGGCGCCCGCCTCACCCTCCGCGACCTTCGTGATGACCGCAATCTCGCTATCCTCACAGTCGAAGATGTATACCAACCAGACAAGCAGAAGGAAGCTAAGGAAGTCTTTGGCGGCGACGAGGAACACCCGGCCGTCAGGTATCTCTTCAACACCGCGAATGATTATTATGTCGGCGGCAAGCTCGAGGCCATCGACAGGCTGATGCACTACGACTACGTCGGCCTGCGCTACTCGCCCGCCGAGTTGCGCCTCCACTTCGACAAGCTGGGCTGGTCCCGCGTCGTCGCTTTCCAGACGCGCAACCCCATGCACCGCGCCCATCGCGAGCTTACCGTGCGTGCCGCCCGCGCCCGCCAGGCCAATGTCCTCATCCACCCCGTTGTCGGCCTCACGAAGCCGGGAGATATTGACCACTTCACCCGTGTCCGCGTCTACCAGGCGCTGCTCCCGCGCTACCCGAACGGTATGGCGGTGCTCGGTCTCCTGCCCCTTGCCATGCGCATGGGCGGGCCGAGGGAAGCTATTTGGCACGCCATCATCCGCAAGAACCACGGCGCAACGCACTTCATTGTGGGTCGTGACCACGCTGGGCCGGGCAAGAACAGCAAGGGCGTCGACTTCTACGGTCCGTATGATGCGCAGTACGCGGTCGAGAAGTACAGGGACGAGCTGGGGATCGAGGTCGTGCCGTTCCAGCAGATGACGTATCTTCCGGATACGGATGAATATAAGCCGAAAGATGAGGTGAAGAAGGGCATCAGGACGCTTGACATCTCTGGCACTGGTACGTTTCTACTCCTTCATCACCTTTTACAGCCACCGGCGTACAATTGACTGACCTGGCGGCACTTGCAGAACTCCGCAAACGTCTCCGCACCGGCGCCGAGATCCCCGAATGGTTCTCCTACCCCGAAGTCGTGCGCGTGCTCCGCGAATCCCACCCCCCACGTTCCCGGCAAGGCTTCACCGTCTTCCTAACCGGCTACCAAAACAGCGGCAAGGACGCTATCGCGCGCGCGCTCAACGTGACCCTGAACCAGCAAGGCGGTCGCAGCGTCTCGCTCCTCCTCGGCGAAACCGTCCGCCACGAGCTTTCCGCCGAGCTCGGCTTCAACCGCCACGACAGGGATCGAAACATCGCGCGCATCGCGTTCGTGGCCTCGGAGCTCACGAAAGCGGGAGCCGCCGTCATCGCGGCGCCGATTGCCCCGTTCGAGGACGCGAGACAGCAGGCAAGGGAGATTGTGGAGAAGTACGGGAGCTTTTACCTTGTCCACGTTGCGACACCGCTCGAGTACTGCGAGAAGACGGATAAGAGGGGCATCTATAAGAAGGCGAGGAATGGGGAGATTAAGAACTTCACGGGCGTGGATGATCCGTATGAGAACCCCAAGAAGGCCGATTTGACGGTTGATCTGAGTAAGAGTAATGTCAGGACAATTGTGCATCAGATCGTTCTGTTGTTGGAGGCGGAGGGCTTGTTGGAGCAGTTGTAGATGGAGGATTGTAAGGCTTGGAGGATAGAGCAGATAGATGTAGAAGCTGGATGGAGGTGTTTCGTTCTGACACGTGGCACGAGGCGGCGACTGGACGCACATGAAATGGAACGGCATCTTTCCAGCTACCTCGATAGAGTCTCTACCGAGATACTTGATCGTACAACTCCTATGGCTCAACAACTCTGAAACTTGTGATACTGCCGTATCCCCAAACCCAGATGCACTTCCAAATCCAGGATGGCTGTATCAAAGTCGTACACAAACACCAGCCGAACTCCAACCGATAAGTACTCCTTGATCCTTCCACCTCATGCATCCTACGCATCAGCTCCATCGGCAGCAGCCAACTCCTTCATCTCCTCCCTCTCCTCCCTCCCAGCTTTGCCACTCTTCACGCCCTCCTTCAGCCTCTCCAACCTCCCATACACCTCCTCACTCACCCGCCCCTTGAGCAACCTCATCAGCTTCGGCGCGAATTTGCCCGTCGCGTAGACCACGCCATCCTGATACTTCGCGAGGAGCACGACGACAAGCGCGAGAAAGAGGCGCGGGCCGTCTTTGTCACGGTCGAGGGCCCGGATGGTTTGGTGCAGGTCGGTCAGGTGGGCCGTTTTGGCGGCTGCGAGCGAGGTGGTGGACGGGCAGAGCTTGGTGGCGAACTTGTTGAGGGTGGAGGTTAGGGTCTCCAGGGCAAGCGGCGTGGTGGTGTCTTTGCCATCGAGTTCGAGCGAAGCTTTCAGCTTCTCAACACTCTTCTTAAGTTTCTTCCCCCTGAGCAGTCCCTGCGCTTCCGCGCGGGAAAGCGTCTCGGGGATGAGCTCTGCACGTACGTGCGTCTGCAGGAGTTCGAGAAGCTGCTCGCGGAGCTTGGCGTCTGGTATCGCGTCCGCGCCGAGCCTGTAGCGCTGGAAGCGCGTGTCGACTCTGTCGCGCCAGAGAGCGGAAAAGGTTTCGAGGCTTTCGGCAGATAGTCGGGAGATCTCGGTGTCAAAGGCTGTTTTTCCAGTCTCGTCGAGCTTTCCTTTGATGAAGTCTTGTGCGGAGGAAGCCAGGACCTGTCCGGCCGTGAGTGTCTCGAGGAGACCTGCGGGATCCAGTGCCAACTCAACATCGCTATCCGGGGTAAGCTGGTTCCATTGTTTCTGGGCTTGTTGCGCAGCCCTTTCTGCGATTACGCTGTCAAGTTGATCCAGCCAATCTTCTTGCGCAGCGAGCCAGGCGCCATCGTGAGGTATGTACTCAACCTCCATAGGCGCAGCATCTGATATAGCGGCCTTGATTGCACCAAGGATGCCGGACAAGGCTTTCTCTGAGGCCTCAGATGGAACAACGATGCGCTCTCGGAGGTCGATGAGAGGCGTCTTTGTGACACGATCCAGCTCAAGTTCAACGTGCTTGTCGAACCACGATTTCGAGACGGCCATTTCTTCGAAGACGATGACCTGCTCCGGATACAAGTTGCGTATCATGCTCTGTACATCCGAGAGCTGGGTATACTTTTGAGGCAGGCGTTCGGTGATTTGAGATATATTGTAAAAATTCGTAGTACCTGACGCAAGTTGCTCGAGTGTTCTATCAATTTCGCGCGATAAAACGCTCTGAGGTATGTACTCCAGTATCCCGTCATGAATGCGGCGTTCACCTGGATATTTGTCATGCAATCTCTGTTCCATACGGACGAGCAAGAAAAGAGGTGGCTTCCCAGGTAGCCGATCTGGATCCAGCGCAAGAGGTTGAGCCTCCTCATAAGCTGCAGTGACCCGGCTTTGGATATCGTCTTGTAGCATTCCATAGTAGGCATCGCTAATGATCCACGCCGATGAGGCTGATGAGCTGATATCGGCGTTGGGATCGCAGTGTAGTGTTAAGCAATCTGGAATGCTCCTCTCCTTTGAGGGCTCATTGATCTCTCTCTGCAGCTGACCAAGAGCTTCTATGCTAATGTCACAGTCTTTCACAAAATGGAAGAGAGGAACTGGCGCCGCACGAGCCGATAATTCCAATCTTTTACGGATATCATCCCTTAACAGTCTGAGGGAGTAGATTAGCTTTTGTGGTTTTATCATCGAGCATCTGATGAATCCACAGAGTTGGACCTGCCATTTTTCCTATGCATTAAGGGGGGTACTGGTAATCTTGAGGGTAGCAGCAAGCAAATCTACTTACCGAGGAATTACGTAGTTACCTGCGCGGTCTGAGATACTGCGGAAGTACTTCATTCCCAGAAGTTTAGGTACCACATCGCTGTGAACGTCCACTCTTTCACCCAGAATGTGGAGAGAGATACGGTCCAGTCCTGCCAATGACTTAGCAACGTGCCGCTTCATGTACACGTAAGTCAGCTGATGTACATGTACACAATGAAACTCACCAGTAGCAACGATTTCATGCAGATAATCCCTAGCTAAGGAAGACCTCACAAAACCGTCATTTGATGCACTTGGTATTAGGAAGGAAGATTCTGACCCGGATGTGCGTACAAGGTCCTCAGGGAGCTTAGTAGGAGGAAATGTAACGGTGAACTCGCGGACATCATCAGCTGTAAGCATCGTAGACATTTCCAAGCTCTTTCTGTCTAGGTGAGACTCGGAGAATAGCAAGGACACGGTAAATATCAGAACGTTGTTAATGAGCAAGGCATAGCAAGATATTACAGCGGGCACTCTGAAACTGTAACGATGAGCCGTTACTTGCGACAATGCATACTTTGGCAAATGGTAGCAACAATCGATAGGCACTGGTTTCACACTCCGGCCAGATTGCAACGGTGTTTCTACAGCCAGAGTTGAGGGTTGGTACTCTTCCAGTTGTAGATGTAATGCACGTGATTTGACAGGCTGCTTAGTCAGAACCATCCATCTGCCAAGACCCAGGATGAAGCAATCCAGCCTGTATTGGAAGGGTTGAGCTAGTACAGCATCACAACATCGCATCGCCTCCGTGCCGCTACGAGAGTATAACCACGATGTCACAGTTCCGAGCGAAGAAGCTCGACCTGGGCTGCTTCATCAACATTCGAGTCATTCGAGACCACACCAAGCGCAAGGTCTTCGCCGAGCATGAGCCCGAAAGGTACAGCCGCCTATCCTTTACCATCACCTCTATTCTCAGGATCTGACGTGTTTCCCTTCGCAGACAAGCACTCCGGTACATCATCCGCAACACGACTCTTCCCCAACGAACGCGCGCCCAAGCGCAGCTACAACTGTCCCAGATGCACTGCTACACTCGGGGCACTCAGATCAAGAACCGGTGTATAATGGGTGGGAAGGGCAGGGGCGTCTTCAGGGACTTTAGATTAGCAAGGGTAAGCGGGTTTGATCCGAGGTTGGAGCTCTCAAGATGGCTGACGGACGCGGTATTACAGTTCCAATTCAGAATGAACGCTCTCGCTGGCAATCTCCCAGGTGTCAAGAAAGCGAGCTGGTAGTCTGGAGCGCTGGAGATGTAGGATATGTACATATTTGGAGGGCATCTGGCGATGAAAATGCATTACAAGGCGTTAGGCTGGTGGCACGGCGAGATAGCGCTGGCTGTGTTTGGGCCTGTAGGCTTTGCGTAAAAGTCAATGGAAATAACTTCTGATACGAGACTCCATAGGAGTAAGCGTATTTGAGCTCTATCATTCTCGTCACAGCCTAGCGGCTGTAATATTCCTCGCCGTGGCGGAATTATCAGCGTTCAGGATTTGTAGTTTCTGAAGCTCTTCATCAACATTTCAAGGGCTTTCAGGGCCTCCGTTGGCGTTCTGAGTACGTCCTTAATGAGTTGGCGATTTTCAAATTGACCGGTCGATGAGTCGCAATATTGGACGGCGGGATCTTGCTGCAGTGTCCGTGTCACGGTCAAACGCAGCTTCTGTTTGGGCAACATCCTGACCACCTACAACTCTCTGTCTTCACCAAACTCTAAACCTTGCATCATCCCAATTTTTTCGAGGAAGTAAGTCAAATCTGTAGAAATTCAATACGAGCGAGACACTTTATTTCACGGGATCTGAGCCTCGTCTGCAGAGCGCTGACAGGTCAAGATCTCCTTTGGAGCTCCGTTAACTCTCATATATCAGACTATCAACCACACGTCCTCCCCAAACTGCAAGCTGTGCCGCAAAGATGTTTCGACGTCAGCCGGGCTCTTTACCTAAGGACCCGATCTTCCAGGATGCTCTGAAAGAGACAGGGTTTGTCACTGTAATACCAATCCATTTCTGAGAACTCACAAGCGTACTACAGACACTTTATCGCCGACGACGGCACCATTCGGCAAGTCAACAAGCCAAAGGAATTCTTCGTGTTTAGGGCAACGGACAACGAACGGTTTAACGAAGTCCGCAAGGAAGCGGTGAACGGCGCAATCCGAAAAGAGCTGAAGAAGCGCATGATCAAGGAGGGCATGCAGGTTTGGTATCTGCCGCAACTTCAAACTCGGAAGCCAAAGGAGGCTCACGTCCCCATACTCACCACACCTCCTCAAGTCCTCCGCCGATGCAAACGGGTTATAGTCGTCGTCAATGAAGATAGTCAAGATCTCGGTGTCTTCGCCTGGCGTGATATTGGCGGTGAGCCCGGTCTCGACGGCGGATCTGTCCTAGGCATTGTCAAGGAGCTGAACAGGCGGTTCTCTAATCCAGTGAACTGTTCCTGGCCGGTTGGGCAAGAGTCCAGCTCCGATAGTGACGATACCCCGACAGCGGAAGTGCCAAGCGACTGCAACGAGGCAACTCAGGTTGCGAAAGACCTCAAGAAGATCCACTACCCCGATGCACCAGGTCTCATCGTGCTGAACTCGGGCCAGCTGCGCTATTCTCCCAAGGAAAACAGGGCCATGAACACTATCACCTGGCACGACCGACCACGCAAGTCAGCGCTGCACCCAATGAGTCCGGTCGACGAGGATTGGAACACGGTCCCCGGCCACCGAAACGCACTGCAGCATATCAAGTGGGTTTTCGATCGGATCTCCACTGACAGTAACTGGGTTTCGCCAAAGGCGGAGATCTATGTGGTGGCTCTGAACAGTGGCGCGAGGCATATGCTCCAGCTGCTGGACGAAGAATGTAAGAGGACTCCGTGAGATTGCAGGCTACCTTCCTACCCACGAGTCTGAGGAGACGCATGGGTCACGTGCGCTCAGTACGATGTAGTGAAGCTGACACATGCTATCCCAGGGCCAAAGTACAGCCGTCTCATAACCGCAATGGCAATCACTCAGAGCTACGGTGTTGCTGAAAACATCGACAACCCAGAACTGAGGTGTTTCCTCCGTCGTCGCTGCCGCGCATGGATGGGCTCCGACGCGCCTCTCAACGCGCCCATCGCTCTGCCAGAGGGGGTAAGTGCCTACAGAGCACGTCGTTCTTCGTGTCTTCGCAACAACCGCTGACTCCCTCACGCAGTCCAACCCATCCACCCCCCAGCCCTCATACACAATCTCAGAACTCTCAAACGGCATGGACGAGACGGTGTACTACCCAACCTTCTCAACCGGCGAATGGCTCTTCGCCGAACAAATCTTCCCGGCCATCCAGACGCACGTCCTGGACTGGTTCGAGGAAGTCGCGCGCGATGCCTTCGGCTACAAGAACCCAGAGTTCGAGCTGTATGTCGCGCCGCCGGAGCCCGAGACCGTGGAACCGGTGGAGCCTGTGGAGGATGAGTCGGAACCGGTACTGCCGCATGATTCACAGCAGGGGCCCGGGACTGACGCGGCATCATCCACCGTTTTGGCTGATGGGGTCGGTGTCCTGGGCGCTTTTCCAGCCTCTGACGATGCCTTTGACTATGCAACTGCCGACGAAGCGGAGCCTGCATTGGGCAGTTGGGGGAAGCCGGAATCGCCGGAGAAGGTCATGATCGCGGGGACCTTGGTTCCCAAGAGTATGGCCGAGATGGCCGGATTAGGAGGATTGGTGACTGAGCGGGCTAGTACACGTACCCCCGAGATGGATCTTGAGGTTCAGTTGGAGGACAAGGATAAAAAGAAGGATGACGAGGAAGGCGTGCAGGATAGGAAGGACTCACAGGTCGTTTGATAAGGGCTTTGGGCACGGCTGGTCGGTGTTGCTGGCGTTTGCGACGGAGTTACTAAGGCAGGCTCCGGGGCGAATTCAATTGGAATCGGTGCGGTTGTTGGCAGGGGAACATTCTTCTGGTCGTGGCGCTGGGGAATGAAAAAGCGGGAACTTCCTACCTAACGTGTAGCCTTGGCCAGCTGCTCGAGCCGATTCTCAGCGGTTTGCCTGGGATCGAAATGGTCAACCCAGTTCCCCATAGCGGAGCCATGTCGCAATACAACAAAGCTGCTCGGCACGTCCGGCAGAAAAAATCCTCACGGCCTCACCGCGAATCTAGAGATTTAGGACCTGATCAACGATTACGCTTCCTTACGATCAATGTAACGCTACACAACAAGGTCGGAATAGCTAACCGAAGGCTAGTCGTTCTATCGCCCACGCATAAGATTTACTACAGCGGCTAATCATAGATTGCGTTGTGAAGCTGACGGCGAACGAGCGCTGGACAGTTGTCACGATAAGACCTTTTTCCTGCCTGACGTGCTAGGATCCTAGTTTCTAGAACCAACTCCGATTCTCAAGCTTCGCCTCCCGCCTTTCCTTCTCGCCCTCCTCCCTGGGCCCCACTAACTCTTTCACCAGAAGCTTCTCACCCACTGCATCCATCTGAACCCTGATGTCCAGGTCCCAGATATCAACACTCTCGTCGCCAAGGCTGAAGCTCGCCCTGATCTTCATGCCCCTCTTCTTCGCCGGCTCCGGCAGCAGCAGTCCCAGCTGCTCCGCTACCTGGTTTGCTAATGCTTGTGGTGCAAATCTCTCCCTCAAAAGCTTGGTCCAAGAACCCTCTTCTTGATCCTCGGAAGGGACGACGGCGAGCGCTTTGCGACTTGAGTCGCGAGCATCAAGCCAATACGCCACGATCTCTTCGTCGCGCCACTCGTTGTCGAACCATGTATCCAGGTCGAAAGAAAGCACCAACCTTTCCAGGTTGACGAAATGCCTGAGGTTCTCCAGCAGCGGGTTCTGTAGCGGCTTCGGATCATAGAGCACGGGAGCGCCATCGTAACCGCAAAGCCTGAGTTCTCTGATCGTCTGTGCAAAATGAGTGGCCACATGGTACAGCATCGGTGGTCCGTATTCCCAGCCGTACTCTGGCGTAAACTTCCAGCCCGCTTCGGGAGTGATGAGCTTTGCAGATGCGAAGGCGCGGATTGCCGACTCATGCTCGTTCCCCTCAACAGGCTGCCAGTGCGTAGGAGGATTCACATTGCCGTACGGACATGAGACACCTATCATGACGATTTTCGACAAAGGGCATCGATGCATGGCGCGGATCGTCTCGCGCTTTTCGTCGCGTGGAATGCCGCCTTCCAATTTGAGACGCTGTACATTAGTCATCTGGGCTGCGAACTCGGAAATGAAGCGTCGACGGCGAGTACGCTTTGCGACAGCTGGTTGGTCACCTGCAACATCGGTGAGAGGTTCGCCATGTCGGAAGTAGTCTGAGTCTACGCGAAGCTCCAACAAGTTGCTCGACAGACTGTCTATGACGTTGCGAGCGCGTTGTGCTATTGACTCGCTTGGCTTTTGATGGGAGAAGAAGCGATTTATTGGCCAAGCCAAACATTGGAGTGTGGAATGAGCTTCGATGAAAGATAGCAAAGGCTCAGTGTCTAGCAGATAGTGGCCCCATGCAGGCGCGGTTTCGACCATGACCGCATTCCGTAGCTGGAATGAGCGTAGGTTCGGGAATCGAAGATCTGCTAGCATGTGTAAAATCCGGTATCTTAAAGTCATTCCACCGTCGGGCTCTAGCTCTGAGCTATCATCAATCGGAGTGTCGCACACAAGAACCCAGTCCAAGTTGAGCGAGGTGAGTGTACCAGAGGCGTTCAATAGCATCCCGCTCATCAACCCGATCGGGTCCATCGTGAACTCGGGGAGCAATGGATGCTCTCGGCATGATTGACCTCCAAGAACATCACGGCTTTTGCATGCCCTGTGGGCTTCGTCATCGAAAGCTAGTGCTCCGGAAGGGATGCCTGGCTCTCCTTCGGTAGAATCGAACACCTTCTCAAACCGGATTGTAGTTTGGTAGAATCCGCTTCTGCTATCGTCGAGCCTCGTCATGTCACCGCCGCGAGCAAGGGCGTACACTTCCTTACGTCTTCTTGGATGTTGAGCAATGTGCATGCGTCGAAACCGGACGCTCTCCAAGCCCTCCGTTCGCAGCTGATCTTGGAAGTCCAGTTCCATTCCTTCAATGGAGCAGTTCTCCAGCCAAAGCCTTCGCACGGGCGTGGTACTGATACGGTGGCGATGGAAGAAGCCGTACAAAAGCCCACGAGTAAGGTTCCAGTGTCCCTGGATGATCCTTAAAGTGCGAACGTTGACCAGATTGTTGATAGCCAGTTGTAGAAGCTTCATGGTACGAACATCCTGAGATAGGGTTTCATTCTTGAATGAGATACGGGGGAGCTCCTCGAAGATGTCCGGTGTAGGTAACTGGCATCGGTGTGTTACCATCTGAACATGCGAAGCTATCCATGGATTTCTGCTAGTTGTTAGTGGAAGTTTTGTATACGCGAAAACCACTCGAAAAGGCCGTTGACGCATCTCTGATCCAGCTTGCTCGACACCAGATTCATGGTCGAACTGGACTCATGGTTCTATCAATCGTAGCGCAGCTTGACCAATTCCATGCGATAGATACCAAGAGGTGTTCAGCAGCTGAGCTTTTCAATGACTCGATCGCCTGAGGTGTCTTTGAATGCATACCTTGCTAGAACAACCAGTCTCTCAATGATTGGTTTGTCGTCATGGTCATCGGTAAGGGTTTTGCTCTCATCTTCATCGTCCACATATTCGTGCCGCCTGTCTACAAGCTCAACGGACCGCCATATTAGGGGCACGGCAAAGTTATGCGTCCAGCGAGAGATAGTAGCCGCCACGCATAAAGAGCGGGAGTCCAACAGGTCGAAAATCAAGTGGCATAGTTCGTCAGGCAACACTGACTTGATGGAGGTCAGTTGTGGGGTGGCGTGGTGTAGATTGGGGATGCTTACGAAGTACCCAGCCGAAGGGTTTGAACACGGCGACTCCGTTGTATCCATATTTTTTGACAGGAGGCAACGGATCATGGGTTGGGCTACATGAGAAAGGAAGAATGGGTGGTTGTGGTTGTGGTGAGCTTCACAAAGGAAAGCCTCTTGGCGCGCCGAAAGTGAAACACGCTCTCACGTGATGACTTCTAGGGGCTCAAAAAACAACGATCCTTATTTTGTATTGCAGCGATCTCCGTAGTCGGTAGGTAGGTTAGGTAGCTAAGGTAGGTATGGCAAGGCACCACAGCCGCCCCTTGAGGTGCAGATTGATCCCCATGTGCTGTATACACATAGGCAACTATGTAGAGACCGCAGCATTCAACGCGTCTAAATGCCAGCGAAGTACTATGGCTTGCGATGCAAACACTTCACAACAAGCAACAAATCTCCTCCCAGCGCTGCTTCCTATTGCCCGTACCTGAGTACCTGCGAGTCGCAATTCCACCCATCATGCATTGAACTGCCTCGCGGTCGCAAAGATTAGCTACAACTCTAATGATCCAATGAGTCATGGTCCGTGCTTTCAAACTTTCGAGTTCGAAATGCTCAGAGGCGATCATTGTTGAAAGCTACAGCTGGGCTCTTACTATAACATCCACGAATCTCCAAAACGCAACACTTGACATGTCACGCACCGCATCAGTGCGCTGGGCCACAGCCAGCGTTGTCCGGACGCTCCGCAACGAGCTACCCACCACCCGCATCGCCTCTCGAGCCTTCCAGTCTAAATCCGCACCATCACCATGTCCCCACTCCGCAAGCCCCCAGCCGCTCTCACAGCGCACCCTGCCCCCAGCACCGCGACCGCAGCACCTCCACCTCCGCGACCGCCACTTCTCCTCCACCGCCCGCTCGCAGAAATACAAGACAGTGGAACAGGCCGAGTCGCGGTATCGCAGCGGGCCCTTCTCTTGGGCAGCTGGCGTACTCTTCCTGCTTTCCGGCGCAGGCCTGATAGTCTACTTCAGATATGAGAAGGCGCGTATGGAGCGGAAGCGGATCGCAGAGGCGACGAAGGGGATTGGGAAGCCGAAGGTTGGGGGGAGCTTTAAGCTTGTGGATCAGGATGGGAGGCCTTTTGCGGATGAGCGGTTGAGGGGGAAATATGCGCTGGTACGTTGATTCTCGTCTACACAGGGACACGAGAAGGGAGATGTGGTTGTGAGTCACTAGCTGCTGGGGGATGCACAGTCTGGTGGGAGAAGGCGAGCACAGGAGGCTAATATAATGTCCCGGCGCCGCAGGTCTACTTCGGCTTCACGCACTGTCCCGACATCTGCCCCGAAGAGCTCGACAAAATGGCCATCATGATCGACAAGGTCAAAGAAACATCCGGCAACGTCATGCGGCCGATTTTTATTACCTGCGACCCAGCGCGCGATACGCCTGAGGTGCTGAAGCGCTACCTACGCGAGTTTCACCCGGACATAATAGGCCTGACCGGGACATGGGAGGATATCAAGAGCGTGTGCAAGGCGTACAGGGTGTACTTCTCCACGCCGGCGGATGTAAAGCCGGGGCAGGACTATCTGGTGGATCACAGCATTTACTTTTATCTCATGGGTAAGCTCCGAACGTCCGGAACACCTGGTGTTAATCATCCGAGCTGGCCACCGCCCGGTCCGATCGTGGAGAGTAAGGGCTCACGTCTTCATGCAGATCCAGAAGGCGACTTTGTCGAGGCGATAGGACGGAACTTCAGTCCCGACCAAGCGGCTCGGGTCATTAACAACCATATCAAGGACTGGCGGGGCACACTGGACAAGAACTAGACATTATCATTCAAAGCATGGCATCCGGCTGGAGTTGGGTAAAGGATCGGTCGCACCACTCGATCTGTACATAGGATTACTGCATCACAGCTAGCAGCTGATAATGCCCTGCAGCTGCTTATCGTTACATCTGCAGAGTATCGCTTGTGTATAGATATCAACCAGGCGACTCACTCACGTAGGTCTGGATGTAGATTGGACAGTCTGTAATGCTGTAGAAGCTGACGAACGTTGCTCTGCTCTATCTATCTTGACGCTTTTTGCGCAACTCTAGACGCGACTAACGATGGTATAATCCTGATAGACACCCAAACCACGCTAGCCCCTTGCAATATCCCAATGCTATGCTACCCAGACTCCCTAAAATGCTATTGACCACAAAGAAAAACCGACTAAGGATGCATGGACTACGCGCAAGCACCGGCCTATCCCGCGGCAAACTTACTCCTCGCTCTCAACTTCGGCCCAAACTTCCACAGCAAGAACGGCGCCGGCAACCCAAGCACAATAGCGATGAACCCTAGCAGCGAATTACCCCAACCATAACCCAAAGCGCTATACATGTAAGGCGCAAACAGCGGAAAGCCAAACCCGGCCAACGACCTCAACACCGTCGCCGCACCAACAGCCGAAGCCGCAAACCTAGAGTACGAGTCGACAATGTACGTCTGGATGCACTGAAACCCAATAATGGTGCCCGCCGCAAAGATCGCGGCCCCGATGTTCGGCATGATCCAGTGGGTTTGCGCCTGCGCAGACCAGCCGTACCAGAACAGGCCGACGGGCACGAGGAAGCTGCCCGGTATCATCAGCGGCACGCGGAACTCGGGCTTTCCGACGCCCTGGTTCCGCTTCTTCAGCTTGCGGTAGATGCGATCGTTGATGGGCGCACAGATTTGCGTGCCGAGGAAGAAGCCCAGCCCGAGAGATATGTAGTTCAGCCCGCCCATGGCGATGCTTTGGCCGTACTGGCCTGTCCAAAGGCTCGGGAAGGTGGAGAGGACGAGGTACATGAGGCCGTAGAGATAGGCCATGTAGAGTGCGAGGACTTGGACGATTGGCTGGGTGCCGAGGAGCTTGAAGGGCCGCACAAGGGAGGTCCGGATGACTTTGGAGAGAGTCTTGTCTGGTGATTCGAACTCGGTGTGTAGAGCGGTGTTGCCAGTCTCTTTCCGCAGCTTGTCGGCTTTGTTCTTCAGCAGTTTTGGAGCGTAGGTCTCCTGCAGGAAGAAGATGCCTGCAACCTGGATGACTGCGTCCGCGATGGAGACAGCCCAAAACGCCCAGCGCCATGTGGTGTTCTCGGTGATGAAACCTCCTGCAATCGGACCGATCGCCGGACCAAGGAGTGGAGCCAGACTGTAGATGCTAATAGATTTGCCCCTCTCTTCGGGTCTCCAACAGTCGCTGAGAACACCGCCACCAATGGCTAGAGGAGCGCTGCCGCCGAGCCCGCTTAGAAAGCGGAAAGCTAGCATCTGGCCTTTTGTCTGGGCGAAGCCGCAGCCAAGGTTCCAGCATAGGAAGAAGAGGTTCGCTAGCTGTAGAACTGGTACCCTGCCATAAATCTCGGAGAGCGGGCCTAGGAACAACGGGCCGATGGCGTATGCCAGAACGAATATCGACAGTACGAGGGCGGCCTCCACCTCCTGGGTGATGCCAAGATCTTGCGCAATGGTCGTGAGTGCGGGCGCAACCATCGAAGAAGATACCGGGGAGATAAAAGTGAACGAGGATACGATGACTGTAGCGGCCCATTTCTGCTTCGTCGACCAATTCTTGGGATTAGCTGGATCGTCTGGTCCATCCCACGTGACTAAATCCGGATCCTTTTGTGATCTCGCAGTCGTCTGTTTCTCCAACTGGGCCGCAGCAGCTTCGACGTCTCGGTCGCGTGAGATCCGATCTCCTCCTTCATCTACGGCGTTTTCTGCGTCCTGATCATCTTGCTTCTCTTCCTCTAACGATGAGCCCGACCCGTTTGAATCCAGCTCGCGTGCAGGTGGTTCAACCTCATCCTTGCCGTGGTGGTATCCATGTTCATGATAGACTGATTGGTCATCCAGATGATGAGCCGAGTAAATGCGTTGCAGTTGCGTTGTGCTGGGTCTCCGCGGCCGTGATGTTGACGTTGTGCGCGTTCGCCAGGTCAACGACCGTGGATTTGCAGGTCTTTCAATGTCTGCCATGATAGAATAATCGACTCTTTCGGACCCGACTAATAAAGAATGACGCTTTCTAAGTAATAAGATTGCAGCCCGGAAGGGTCAGTGGTAATGATGACGAAGCCGTCCGAGCAGTATACGGAATGACTGAGAGTGTATACAACAGTTAAGAGAGCAATGTTTGAGTCGAGAAGGTGACGGAAGGGAAAACCCGGTGATGGCCACTATTTCAACAACTATGATTGCCGAGAGGGCCGCTACGAACAGAGAAGGTCCGCCACCGGTAATGCGGCATCATAGCAGCCAACGCTCCTACCTTGCGCTGTACTCACTGACAGCATGGAGATTCCAGGGTATCTACATAATGTCCCCAAGGTAACCGGTGTAGGTATCACCCTGACGCTGCTCAATTATACAATTCCGTGAATGGGATCGATTGCAGTTCAATCTGACTGTCGCTTTGGAATGCGAATTGCGGCGGCGCACGGGTGCTCGAGTAAAAGTTTTCGGTAAATGACGCTGACGTCAGTTGACCGGACGCTGACTGCTCGACGCGACTGACCCACCCTTCGGATTGCTCGTCTTACCTGCTGTATCATTAACATTTTTGCTTCACAATGAACCTGTGGCGTTACATCGATAATTGGCCTTCAAAGCAAAACTAGATAGGTGAGTGTCTCTCAGTTTCATACACAGCAGTGAATACTATATAGAGTTGCTGGTCCGCAGAGGCTGTAATGCCGGACGTTGTAGGTAGCCCAGGAGTTCTCTTGCTGTGCTCTTACAAGAAGCATTATATCGAACGGGGAACTCGCCCTGCACTCGTTTCTTCCAGGTTGTTGCATGACACTGAACGTCTTGCTCTTCTCACACTTTTGAATCTGGGCTATAGCAGCACTGTGGTAAATATCCAACTCTCTCCGCAAGTTGATAAAAGCCCGTTCACAGGAGAACAGAAATATCACCCAAAGCGAACGAGATGCCGGAACGAAACGCAACTCTGCAGGCTGCCAAGGCTGATAATGACGCTTTGGTTGCTGAAGTGATGCAACACCCACTTTTCCATCGCCAGCAGAATCAGCAGCACGGCAAGGTCTTCTACATGTGGGGCTTTGTCAAAAACACCCGGCGCATGATGGAAAATCTCGCGGATATGCGTCCTGGCGAGGAGCGTGACGAGATGCTCGGAGACATCAAGGGACGTTCCTGTTTCGCCTGCATCCTTTTTGACGACCAGACTGGGAAGCTTGAGATGATGACAGGCAATGGCGGCGAGGAGTTCTCGCAGGCAGTCAAGGAGAAATCCCGAAGGGCCCAGGATTCTGCATTCGCTGTCCGATTTTGAAAGGGTAAGCCAGGCCTTTCCTTCTGTTATGACAGCTAGCATCTATAAGTGGACTGCTGAGAGCGTGCTCAGTTTTTCTACGTGAATCCGCTCTCGAGAGCGTGTTCCGCATTCTATAATGAGTACGAGGATACCGAAATGGTTTTATTGCTCCATCCTGTGCTGGGAAGTGTCTTTACGAATGTAAAGTCAGTCGCAATCGTGCACATTGGCCAAAGGTTATGCCACGCTCCGTTGACATCGAGGTCACCATATTGTCGAAGGGGTTAAACCGCGATTCTCCAGAAGCTCATCAACATCCATCACTTTACCTCATCATCGTGTTCTGATGTAATGCGGGCCTCTTCGGCGTCGACTCGGTAGGCCAGGCCCGAAAAGGCAAGATTGAACTCAAGCTGTAGGTACCCTAAAACGCTACGAACCTCCTTACTACATAAGGTGCGCATTCTCTCTACCTACCTACAAATCTTGTCACTACAACCACATGGCTCCTCCTACGATCTAGATTGTTCCGCTAGTGCCGTTCTGCAGCATCCCCGTTGCTCGTAACGTGTCTGTTCTCACACCAATTTGCATCGTCAGTGGTATTTAAGGACAAGCTGGCATTTATCGAGTGCACTTTCAGTCTCGGCGGCATCTACAACAACTGTAATTTCCCAAGCGTCATTGATATCTCGAACAAGACGGCTGCCTGGATCATTGGCAGTATTGTGGCAGATCACTAGCTCGCTATTCAGGCTACACTCAGTGTTCCGAAATGAAAACAGAAGTATACCGAGTGCTATTCGTCAGTTCTTCCTGCACTCAGAACTGTCTTCTCGAAGCAAAGCCAGTTGAACCCGTACACATTCGCCAAAGACTGTGCTACGCTCCATCGGCGGGAAGGACGCTACGTTCTCGAAGTGGTAGAACTGCTACTCTCCACAAGCTCGTCATTGTCCAGCGTGTCACCTCAGCCTTTGACAGGCGGACACCACTTCGGCGCATCACCGAACCGATCGACCGTCAGCCCTGCACTCCCGGGATGGCTCATTCCAGCCTCAAGCTGCTTCTCATAGCTGACGCAACGAAGCCGCTCGCTTTCCGCCGGAGTCAACGCAAGATAGATCTCGACGCCGACGGTATGCAAGAAGATTGCCACCCAAACCTATCAACAGTCAGTCTCTCGGACCTGTCGTTCTGGGAGAACGCAATCAGCAAACGTACCGCCAACCCAAAACTCAGCTGTAACACAGCAGCAGCCTCCTCCGGCCCAGCTTCGGCATTGAACTGTGCATGAATAGCCACCTCTCCACTCGTGGTCCTATTCTCGCCAAAGCACTGCGGATACCGTCCCATGACCGGCCTGGCCGCACCTCCATACAGGAATTGTATTTCGTCGCAGCTCATGTGGGTGTAATACGAGTTAATGGTCGTCAGAATCCGATAGGCAAATTCCTGGACGATGCGCATTGTGATGATAGACCCGAACCAGAACATCGTGCGTAGCATCCATGCTCTATGCTGATCGATCTGCAGCTTCTTGATGTTGTATATCGCCATGGTCAGCCCTCCGGTCGTCAGGATAACCAGCAGGCCCACCCCAGTCTGCGTCTCCACCCTGCCGCCAAACGCCCGCCGCGCGATCATCAGCGCTCCGACGTTCGCGACGGTGACAAGGAGTACGATTACCCAGCCGTTAATCCGGTGCAAGATTAGGGCTTTGTATCGGATTGCGGGCACGAATTGGAAGATCATGAGGAACCCGGCTGGTAAGATGGCCCCGAGATGCAGCGTGATCCCGATGCGGTAGTAGCCGGCGCGGTACCAGTACCACTCGCCCGGTGCGGCTTCTTTGGCGAAGCGGTCGCCGACGGAGAGGTACTGAAAACGCGCCAGGGTGAAGCCCAGCATAGCGCCTGCGAAGATGATATCTGTCAACGGTTAGTAACTACGTACGCGCAGTGGAAAGGCTTGGGCACAGCTCACATAGGGGGAAGTTGTAGCCTTTGTTGAAGCCGAAGGTCTTGTAGACTTTGCGGTAAGAGCGGAGGAAAGCATTGGCGGGGGGCTGTTCGTGAGCTGCTTCTGGCTTCGGGGTGGACGAGTCCGAGCCTGCCTCTATATGCTGTATAGGGTTGGTGTTGGAGTTCATGGTGTGACGTGTTTATCTTGCTACCGAAAACTTTATTCGTTTGCCGTATAGACTAGTTTGGGTGAGAAACGTAGGAGAGTAAAGCGGTGGAGTGGTGCATTGATTCTATCTCGAAATGATCACTCATATATACCTCCATTCACTCCCTCGCTGGGGGAGGTGCTCTGAGAGCATTCCAGTGCAAGCATCAGCAAAGTGCGGCCGTAATTCGAGCGATTACAAGTCCATACAACGGATATACCAATCTGAGCGCCTGCGCCCAGACGCGCAATGGGAGGTTTGGGGGCGAAGTACGGAGGTCCTTCCGCCAATGTTCTCGCAATGGGAGGTTTTGGGGGCCGAGAAAGATTGTTCTCCCGCGAACGTTTTTCGTCCCGGCCGTAGAACAACTACACCGCAAGGATCCATCAATGCATCGGAAGATCTGGATACCCAAATGCCCGCATCGAGTGTGTACACATCATTGCGTACGCAAGGATATTGCGGCAGCTTCGACAGCTTGGCAGGCGAAAGACTCTCCCCAGCGCGTTCGTTGTTCGTCTGAGCAGATCGTTGTTGGAGCTGAGATAGCGGCTATCTTCGAAGGCACGTGTTGGAAGAGTAGAACACGTAACATGTCGACGAGGCAATCGCTGCTATACTGAACTAAGATTGCAGCAAGCAATACGGGAACCTCACTGTGCTCAGTACTGATACGGAGTTTTGATCGACTGCAGAAGGATTCTCCGTCCTCTATCGTACTCAAGTAACACCCTGCTGGCTTTCCATTGAACCAATCACCCAAAAATCCCTTAGTCGATTATAAATCCTCCTTCGGATTCTCCTGATAACTCCGTCCAACGCCATCGAATAACAACCCCAGTTCCCTTCATTAGGACGTACCTCAGAACATATCGCGCGAGCGATGAGAGGGGCTATATTCATCCACATCACGCTGCATCTCAGCCAATAATTCCGCGTCGTCCGCCACGTCTGCCTCGTTCGAGAACTCCGCCTCGTTCTGATAGTGTGCTTGGCGAGGCGGCTCCAGTCTCTTCTCCGGAGAAGCCGTCCGCGAGCTCGATGCGCTGTGGTAGGCCGCGGGACCGGGAAGCTTGAGTCCCCTCTCTGGAGACGCCGTGTGTGAACTCGATGCGCTATGGTAAGCTGCATGATCAGGCAGTTGGAGCCCCCTGTCCGGGGATGCCGTGCGCGAAGCTTTCGGCGTTACGGACGCAGGCCGCGAATGCGAAAAGAAGTCTGACATGGCGATGGACTCGGCCGTCAAAGGCGTAGACTCAGGGTCGGCCGTTTTTTTCGCGGACACCTGAACCTTGCTGTATGAGCCGCGACTCTCCCGCCGCCAAGCGATAAGGTCCAGGATAATGGCGAGGATAGTCATGAGCCTGATTCTCGGATTTAGCAGGGCTCGAACAGGAAACGGGTCAAAGGGGACCGTACAGCGAGATGGATCCACACACCACTACCACAACGTACAGTTTACACAGCGCGACAGTTCCGCAAGTACTCATGAGCTTTCTATCAATCGTGTCGTAGCTTATGCCGATCATGCCTGCGATCCAGAGGCAGAGGTTGAACAAGTGGAGAATTAAATCGAGTAGCGGATGCAGCCATTGGAACCAATGAAGCACGATGTGTATGAGAACTACACCGACGGAGAGATGGCCCGCGATGTGAAGCTACGCGACTGTCATGTCAGCGCAGTTCGGAGCGCAGCACGTGAGGCGATACGCGGCATAGGGCACTCACCGCCAGCCAGAACCAAGGCGCATCGACTTCGCGGACGGCGAAGTTGTTGTCAAACATCGGGAATAGCCGGTGCCCTGACCCATTGCCTTCGACTTCGACTTTGTCAAACATGTAGTAGATATCGAAGACGAGAATGCCGGAGGAGAGGAGGAGCGCTATCCGCACAAGCAAGGAAGAAAGGAAAGGATACTGCTGGTGACTGCTGCCAGCCATGACCAACTCTATGAGAGTAGGATAGAGATATGACAATAGGCCAGTTCAGAACGAAGCGAAGCACAGTCCGTGCATGAGCAGCGGGAGCTGTCAAGATAAGCTCAAGACGAAGGTTGGCGGCTCCTAGGCCGTCGCAGAGCGGTGGCTTGTGCTAAGCTTACTCTTGGATCTTACCCGATACGATGCGTGAGCCAAATCCAAGGCCATGATATGCACTACACGTGTAAACCGTTGCTGCTCCAGATGTGAGTGGCGCGGCTGGTTGGAGGGCTGCAAGTGGTGCATGGAGGGGCAGAGGACGAGGGGCAGAGCTGAAGTTCACCAAACACCCGGTCCGCCTCCGCCTTTCCATCCTCGTGGAGTAACGTTAAATCGGTGGGCCTAAGCTTTGGTGATGTGTGCTGACAAGCCTTCTGACAGGCGTTTCAGACAGCTTACTTGGGAACCGTCCGACACTTGGTGGAATGTGCACAATCGCCTGGCGGCGAAAAGAATGCCGAAACCTAGGATTGGATTGGCGACGGAGCTCCGAGCCCTGGCGGCCCGGAGCATGCTTGATGGTTTGTTTTCTGGGTTCTGGCTCAGGTCAAGGCTGAGCCGGGCTGAAGGGCAGGAGGGCTGAAGTAGCCCGTGCATCCGATCCTTGCCAGTTTGTGCATGAAGACATCCCGTTGCCGTACGTCTACCTGAAGAATGCTGCATTCAATCTCCCCCAAGTTTGTTACCATTGCTTGCGGCGATACCGCCAGTTGCTTTCGAAGTGTATGCGTGCCGTCATCTACATACAAGCAGCCGCACGATAGCTCGCTGAGGTGAGACCCTATTGGACTGCTCGAGGCTGCCAGACCAGCGTGAACCATCTACTGGCTATCAGGCTCAGCCGCAACTTCAGCCTTTCTGATCAAGAGCTCAGCGAAAGGCTGCTACAACGCCCGACAACACTGGGAGCTACTCCTCGAAGTGGACAGCAGCGCCGACGGCAGCACTTGTAACCAACCGCAAGTTGGTGTTTCCCCGTCCCCAATCAATAGCAGCACTTTCCCGCCCCAGTGCGGACGTTGCGAACCACCGGTGCCCAACGGATATCTGCTTCGGGGTCCCAGCTTTCCTCGTCTTGGGCTGCTCACGTGCTCAGTAACCCAGATACAAGGCACTCCGGGCTGGGCTCTTCAACATCCCCTGGCGATGCTGGGAGAGGACCACCCCTGGATTGTCCAAGCCAGCAAATTAGTGCAAAAAGGTAAGAGTCCGGGAGCGGAGCTCATTCGAGATGTCTTCTTCCTGGAATGGTATGGTCCCATTCAATCAAAAACCGAGAGATCTATCTTCCAATCCCGTGCCAGACTTTCGACAATATTAGACCAGCGCTTCACGAGCGGATGCGCAGCCGCAACTTCTTGGAAGGTAATGTCGTCCGTACTTTGGCCCGGCTGCAAGGGGAACTCGTACTTCCAGATGCCATCTTCAGCGAAAAACCGCTGGCTAAAGACGGAAGTGGTCTGCAGCTCCCTCCGCGCATCTTTCAACAGCCTGGCTGCTTTCCTGAAGCGGGTACGCATCTCCTGCACCTCGTCGACATCAAGATCAGCCGTGGATAGACCGTTCTGGGCACTGGGTGTCGGGTTGCCAGGCACAGGAGGCTCTTTGTGGCATGCTGAGTTCAATGCAATGACCAAGCCCTCCAGAACCCCCAGAATCCAGCCCACTTTGACCCCAATAACCGCGCCCAGCGCAAACCCTTCGTCAAACCCCTCTTGCACGTACTGTGACTTGCTTGCAGCTATGCCGTCGCGGTAGCCAGATGTTACATGTGCGCGGCGGAGGGCCGGAATATCTGAGACTTGTGCCGGAGGGATCGGATCGGACTCAGAGGCGCGAAGCGTGGGCGAGGTTCCTGGAGAGGACCCAAAGATATCGTCGAAGTGATTGTTGCTGGCGGGTGGGTCGTCTATGAGATCGTGGTCTAGCAGCGCTGTGGCGTGGCCTCCCATTGACGGCTGCTCTCGGGGGAGGAGCATCTTGACCAAGTAGACAGTTCTGCTGTTGGTCTCACTCTTTCCGTCCTGTGCAGCGTTACATGGTAGAACGGACTTTCTGAACGAAAATTGCAGAACAACTGGAACGTCCAGTGTTCCGCACGTCAAAGGCGGTCAAAGGCGGTCAAAGGCGGTGACAGGGGCCGCTCAATCTCTCGGTCGTCATCGATTCCATTTCTGCGCCGCCTCTCAATTGTCTGCAGCGACAAGTCCACAGCGACTTCAACCGCTCACCACACGTCCCATCGTAGATATGTTTCATGGCCTGCCGCTACTGCGCAGAGCATATCCGCAACATGTCCTCTCAGCAGCACGCTTGAACGCTTCTCGCGTCCCAACCCGCATCCTTCGCCCTCGTGTCCGAACCATTCAAACAGAACGATTCAGCCCTCTAACGCCCCCAAATCCAGCCAACCTCCCCAAACCCCCTCCACCACGGCGTCCACGCAAACCTCGCCGCTGGCCTCACCGCCTCTTGTATCTCTCCGCTATCCTCGGCGCTGCCTACGTAGTCGACACACAATGGAATGCCTCCTCCATCACGCGCTCCCTCCGCACCTTCAAGACCGGCCTTCTCATCGGCGCCGACTACAAGCTCAACTTCCGCGCCCACCCCTACACCTACAACTCGATCGGAGAGCTACACGCCAACAACGCGCAGCGCATCTTCGACCTACTGCGCGCCAATGGCGGACTGTATCTTAAGATTGGCCAGGCCATCGCTATGCAGAGCGCTGTCCTGCCGCCCGAGTTCCAGAAGATGTTCAGCAGGATGTTCGATGATGCGCCGCAGAACAGCTGGGAGCAGGTCGAGAAGGTCGTGCGGGAGGACTTTGGAAAAAGCGTGGAGGAGGTGTTTGGTGTCAGCTTTGCGCGGCAAGCCGAGGGCGGAGTCCTGGCCGCAGCGCAAGAGGGGAAAGGAGTCATGGAGCGCACGGCTAGGGCTAGCGCGAGCGTGGCGCAGGTCCATTGGGCACGGCTGGCTGATGGCAGGGAAGTCGCGATCAAGATCCAGAAAAGGGAAATCAAGCAGCAGGTAGGGTGGGACTTGTGGGCGTTCAAGGTGGTGGCAAGGGTGTACTCGTGGTGGTTTGACATCCCGATGTACACGCTCGTGCCGTACATCTCCGAGCGACTAATGCTGGAAACGGACTTCGTAAACGAGGCGAACAATGCTGAGGAGATGAAGAACCTCGTACAGAACGAGCCCAGGTTAAGAGATCGGGTATACATACCAAAGGTGTACAGGGAGCTGAGCTCCAAGCGTGTCCTGACGGCCGAGTGGATAGAGGGCGTAAGGCTCTGGGACAAAGAGGGTATCACAAGGACATGGAAAGGCGGCTGGTACCAGGGTTCGCCTGGCGCGGGAGCCACACCACTTCCTCCGCCGCGCGGGGACACCCCGATCGCCACCATCTCTGACGACGTTTCCTCCGATCCGAACAAGGAGCAGCTCAAGCCGAAGCGGGACTACTGGAAAGGCCCTGATGGTTCAGGCGGTCTCGGACTCTCCCTCAAAGACGTGATGTCCACGATGGTCGACCTTTTCTCTGCTCAGATGTTCTTGTGGGGAACTGTTCACTGCGACCCGCATCCTGGCAACATCTTCGTACGGCGGCTGCCGTCAGGCAAGTCGGAGCTTGTGCTCATCGACCATGGTCTGTACATTCGAATGGACCCCGCCTTCCGCATGCAGTACGCCCGCTTCTGGAAGAGCTTGCTGGCTTTCGACAACGATGCCATCAAGGAGATCGTGGCCAGCTGGGGCGTCAACAATCCCGACATCTTCGCCTCCGCCACGCTTCTGCGCCCGTACGAAGGCGGCGACAGGAGCACGGAAGAGCACATCAAGAAGGGTGTCAGTGGCAAGGACGAGCAAGAGCGTGCGTATGAAATGCAGCAGAAGATGCGCGCGGGGATCAAGCAGATTCTCGGTGATGAGAAGAAATGGCCCCGCGAGCTCATCTTCATTGGCCGCAACTTCCGCATCGTGCAGGGGAACAATCAGTACCTTGGCTCGCCGGTCAACCGTATCAAGATCACGGGGCTGTGGGCGAGTCGGGCGTTGGCGGAGAGCAAAGAGTTGCCGTTCCGTGAGCGGCTGAAGAACTGGGGCCGCCATCTGGTGTTCAGGTTCGTGCTGTTAGGCACCGATGTCGCCTTCTGGTACTCAAGGCTGAAGCAGAAGCTGGGTGTTGGGAGGGGGATGGAAGATGAGATCGAGGAGAGGATGAGGAGCATGGCGAAGGAGTTTGGGGTTGATCTGCAGCATGGCGTCTTCGAGGGATGAGGCTTGACGCCTACGATAGACGGTGATGTACAGATAGATGTTGGGTTCTGGGACGGGCGCTTAGTGGGTTGATGGGAGTTCTCCCAGCAGTGAGCCCATCTATAGGTGGCAGTGTATAGCTATCTGACGAGAGCGTGTATAGAATCACCTTCATCGTCTGCTCACGTGAGGCATCACGTGGGACGCCCCTCCAGATTGACACCCCGCCTTGTCCTCTTTGAATACAAGCAAAGAGTGATATGATCTCGGGCGGGGGGGTACATTGTGCTCTCAATCATAGTACCTTAACGCGTAGTATACTGTCATAGAGGGTGCGAAGGCAATGGCAGACACCCAGGACCCGGTCACCACTCTCACCGCTTCGTGTCTCTGCAAATCCACAACTTTCACCGTCTCCATCCCCAACTCCAAGCTGCCCATACCCACACACCTCTGCCACTGCGACATCTGCCGCCGCTTCCATGGCACCTTCGCCGCCTTCCACGCCGACATCCCTCCTCCGATAGGCCTCAATTATGACACCCTGACAAGCTTCGAGACACCATGCGCAGTGCGCTACTTCTGCAGCACATGCGGCGCCCAGGTGCTTGACCGCGCGAAAGAAGGCGAGAACTGGTGCGTCTCCACAGCGATGTTCAACCACAAAGACGTTGATGATATCTTCGAATACACCGCCCACATCTTCGTCGGCGATACCAAGGACGGAGGCATGAGCGATTGGCTGCCCAGCGTCAAGGGGAAAGAGCTCAAGCGGTGGAAGACGACGCCGAAGGGCCGGGGAGCCAGTGATGAGGAGCTGCCGCTATACTGGCGTGCTACTGCTCCCCCCAAAGAGTCCGCGAAGGAGGACCGCGTACACGCGCACTGCTACTGCAACGGCACCAGCTTCTACCTCCACCGTCCCGACCCCTGTAAGATGTCTCGCGAACTCGCAGAAAAACGCATCTCCCCTCGCGACCCTTCAAAATGGATTGCCAAAGTCTGCGCCTGCGACTCATGCCGCCTGGCCGCCGGCGCCCAGCTCGTGCCCTGGGCCTACGTGTCAAAGGGTCACATCACGCAAGCGAACGGCGAGCCCTTTGAGGTTACCTTCGGAACGCTCAAGGCGTATCGGAGCTCCCCTGGGGCCACAAGGACGTTCTGCGGCACTTGTGGGGCGCAGTGCCATTACGTCCGGGATGGGGAGGATATCGTTGATATATCGGTTGGCTTGCTGGATGCGGAGAGTGGAACAAGGGTTGAGGAGTGGCTAGATTGGCAGACTGAGAAGTTGGGCTATCCGGAGGATGCGGAGGGGAGTGGGTTGGTTAAGGCGTGTGCTGAGGGGCTTAAGGCTTGGGGTAGGAGAGTAGAAAGACGGAAGGAGTATACAAGTTAGCAAGTACTTGTTTCTAGTTGCTTATACCAGTGTTTTTGAGTCAGTCACGCTAGCGTCATAGTCTGTTACCGGCCGCTTTCTTGAACTTTTTATGGACTGTTTACTGCCGTTGGCCAGAAAAGTCTCTTCTGGTCTGATCTCGTCTTGTCTACGTCTACTCCAGTACTCCATGACGCCCGTGAACACTCTCGAAACTATCCGCTATGTGGACTTCGGATCTGTGCCCTCGGTCATATCGGCACAGTTTCCGCTCCTGATTTGTCGAAGGTCTCTGAAACTGTCGGGATGTCGGCGCATAGTTTGCATGATACAGACTGGGTCAGAAAACTGTAAGAGAGTTGGGAATGGAGCAGGATTACTCATTTTCATTGAAGCTCCTCTATAGAATACATTTAAGATTATACAGACGGCTTCCACATAGCCGCCTAGTTTGCATCCATCAATCAGCGCAGGCCAGATCCTCTACCGTACACTAGTTCCTAGTCTTGTCAACCGCATTCGCTATTGAAGCGCATGATAGGATGACGACAATCGAAACTTTACCTGTCACGAGCCAGCCTATCCAGCAACATCCTCCAGTCGCGTGACTTCCGGCTTGAACACTCCAAAGTCAACTCTTCAAGACTTTGTTCTTTTCTCTACAGCGTGTCCTATTGCTTTCCATTCCCAAACATGGCCGAAACCTCAACCTCCAGCGCTTCGAACCCACCCGTCACGATCTTGCTCACCACCTCTCCATCCATCTGCGCACTCTCAGGCTCTCCTGCTTTCACCGTCACCATTGAATGGACATTGCGCGGTGCTCGCCCCATCTGGGCTCTCATTTCTCTCAACTCAGGCAGGACTTACGGGATCGAGATCCGCGACCCTCAGCGAAACGGTCGTCGCATCGGCCCCCAAACTACGTTCATTGCCGACGAAGGAATTCTCACAATCCAAGACCACGACGAAGACGTCACGCTTGCTAGGATTGCACCAAACGAACCGTGTCGGATTTCTTACACGTTTTCCACTGAGCCCAAAGCAGGCGGCTTACGTGGCTCGGACACTGACAAGCTGAAGTCCGGGATGTCGTACGAACTTACTCTGAGAGAGACTTGTTGCAGGTGGATGTATGAAGATGAAATGGAGGTTCACGACGAGTTTGGGCGAAGACTGAAGCTTCGGGAGCAGGCACTGGCTTCGGTCGCGCCAGGTTGTCGGGCAATCTTTACGGTCGTCTGAGAATGTGCTGGAGGTCTTCAAAATGGCGGGCTGAGAAAAACTAATCAGCTTTGACGGACGTGATCTAGGGACTCTTTGTTGCCCGAATCGGGTCTCTCTGACGAGCTATCTCCTTTCCTTACTACGCATGAAGGTTCTCACACTAAAACTCTCGTCACGAGTTGTTCTCTGCGGCGACCTTGGAGCTCTGTTCTGTACGAAGTCAACGGAGGCATAAGATTAAGAGAGAATCTGAGTTCTCTACTCATATAGCGGGCTCTACGCCATAATCTATTCTTCTTTCTAGCAAAGAAGCTCCGGAACCGTGGCGTAGAACCAAGCTACGCCTGCGCCTTAGGTACTGCTTCAATGACAGTCTGATTCGAGTTCGATGGCCAAAAATTCCGCACCTCAAACCCGGCATCACCAAGAAAAGCCCTCCACTGCTTCTCAGTTCTCAGTCCGCCACCCATCTGGATCATTTGGATATCTAACATTGCGGCTGCCATAGGAGCTGCAGCTGGTGGAGGCACCGGTTCCATGATCAGCAGTCGAGAATAGCCAAGTTTCATAGCTGGAAGCGTGTTCCGCAGGATTTGGTGACCTCGCGCATCGCTCCAGTTCAAGAAAATCTGCCTGAATAGGTAGCATGCGGCTCCTGGATCAACTTGGTTAACTAAGATGGCTCATCTCAGTGCAGAATGGGACCTACCCTTGATTGGCTGCTCGCTCTCAAGAAAGTTGTACGGCACGGCTTCGATGCCTTCGGGCACTGTGATGGACTGAAGCGTTCCTGGAAGCTCTTCCAAGATCAAGCGCCCCTTGAATCCTGGCAAGTGCTTCCTGACATCCTCCAGCACATGCCCCTGGCTTCCGCCTACGTCAACGAGCGCAACGTCCTGCTCCGACTCAATCAAGGGACCAACCTCTCCCTCGAAATCGAACATGGATGCAAACCCAGTCTTGAACTTGGCTCGCTCCATTGCGACATGAGCTTTCATCTGATCATCAAAGCCTTTCCGTACATTGTCGTTTGCTGCCAGTGCTTGATAGAACCCGAGGGGTGTGTTGTTGCCAAATTGGAATGGCGTTGAGATTTCAGTACTATAACCAGGGTTGCGGTAGGATGTTGCAGCAAGGTACTCGGGAAGTCTTGCCACTGCAGGTGATCTGCGAGAGGTAAATTGAGAATGCTCCACTAAGTTCGTTGGCTGCCTTACACGAATTTGGCCACACTCAGTAGGCTAGGCTTTGAGAGCGTGGTAGAGAGCTGGTTATGAGAATAAAGCTCTTCGCCCAGCTCGTTGAAGACGCCGGCACCCACAAGAACACGCATGAGGCGAGCTTCAACAAGTTAGCCGGCTTGGTACTGTAGGCAGCTGTTTTATTATGCTGACAACACTGACGCACCGATTAGTCGTCGCTCCGCTCCGGTCTTCTCCGCCAATTCCTTTGCAGTCATGGTCTCTTTTGGCCATTGAGAAAGAATACCGCAGTCTCCTGCGGCAATGAAGCATGGAAAGACGGCGTTCTGCATCGCAAATGCCAGAGCTGCTTCATATGGCGCTTGTGTGGCTGCGATGAGTTCCTTAGCTGCGCTCTGCAATTGAGCCTTCGCTTTGGGACTTCCATTCGGCGCTTGGGAGAAAGCGTTGTAGGAGTCGACTAGGCGCTGGAATATGGTGTCTATGTTAGACTCTCGAGGTATAGCAGCAGCCATGTTGATGGTCGTTCCAAATCTGGTGCAAAGGATAAATCAATACGGAGTAGATAAGAGGGCGGCTTTGCTGCCTTATAGCATCGCGGTAGCCGGCTCTCCAAACGAGATACACCGATGCAGGCAAGACAGGTTCCTAGCCATCTCTCGTATTACAAGAGCACGCAGCTTGAGGTACGGTGGAGAACAAGAGCTACGCATCTCCATCTCGCCTTGCTCGAAGCTTGAACCCAGTTGCAGGAAGAGATAGCAGAAGTCCGACATTCAATCTAAACGATAATCAGTCGTAAATTCCGGCGAGCCTCGGAGACGCCGTCCCTAGACCTCTTGGAGATTCAGAGGTTCAGCTCTTGGCGGCTTGAAGAACAGCTGAAAAGCCACCAAAAGCCTCATGTCTTGGCCCGCCTAGTTCAATAAGCACTAACGCTTGCTGACCTCCACAACACATGCTGTTATGTTAGGCTACCCCGATGAGGTTCTCGATCTGTACGTTTTCAGCTGCCATAATTCAGCCTTCAGTATTAGCGCCCAGGGCCTTTCCCCTACTTATACAGCCCAGGCCGCAGCAGTTGCAATGGAGTGTCGAAACGCCCGCAAGAGCTGAATCTTACCAGGCTCCAACCTCTTTTGCACTTTTTTGGCCTCGATGGACAGAGTTAACGGCATTAATGAACGACACGACTCCCAGAATGGCTCAGCCGAATCTAATACCGGCTTCAACCACATCCGCAAACGGATAATCATCTGCTGCGACGGCACGTGGCAGTCATCCGTGTCCGGGGAGAGAAATGTCCCGTCAAATGTGACTCGCCTAGTCCGCCATCTTGCGCGCTCCGAGAAACAAGGGAATACGCTATGGCAGCAGATTGTCTGGTACGATTCCGGCATTGGAACGGGCGACCTTTCGAAGCTTGATGTCAACCGTCAAGGCGCAACTGGTGCGGGACTTGCTATCAATGTCATCGAAGCGTACAGTTTTATTGTCTCAAACTATTCTCTTGGAGACAAGATCTTTTGTTTCGGCTTCTCTCGTGGGGCATACACTGCACGAGCTCTCGTTGGATTGATCAACGATGTTGGTGTCTGCTCCCCCCTTGATATGCAGATGTTCCCTGTATTGTATGAGTTGTATCAAGCCAATGTTCCCGGCAACGAAAAAGCCAAAAGGGAATATGAACGCTTCAAGACAGACTGGATGGCAGGAAACCCTATCGAGATCACGCTAGGCGAGAAAGACTCGGGCGGACAGGTCAAGTTCAAGTCTTGCGACAGACAAAAGATTGACGACGCATCAAGAGACGTAGAGGTGGTCGGCGTCTGGGACACAGTCGGTAGTCTTGGTGTTCCAGACATTCCCAGCTTCGACCTGGGTTTTAGTAGGCGTGACCGAGCATCGCACGAATTTCATGATGTGAGATTGAGTGACCGTAAGTTCTGAAGTTCAGACGCAGTCGCCATGCCTACTTTGCTGACAGTACGCGAAGGCACTCACCACGCTTTCCATGCGCTTGCACTGGACGAAAGAAGGAAGCCATTCACTCCGACGCTATGGTATGTGCCTTTCGAACAGAAGCGACCGAGAGGCAGCTCTTTCAAGCAAGTCTGGTTCCCGGGCGTGCACATCAACATAGGTGGCGGAAGTGACGACATGCTAGAAGAGAAGAAGAGCGACTTTGAGCGTGAGTGGCGCGCCTCCAGAATAAACCCCCCTCAAGCTAACCTCTCGCAGAGATTGCCAATATCACGTTTGCATGGATGGTCGAACAAGTTCGCCCGCATCTGGCTTTCGACGAAGACAGCTTTGTGGCTGCCATCAAAGAGCAGCAACACACCCTTGAGGCGCTGCACGGCGAAGACCGTCCGTGGCCCAAGTCCTGGACCGGCAAACTGTACGCCGCCACTGGCACAGTGTGGAGTAAGATCGCTGGAAGCGGCGAACAGGCCAGAGTGATAGCCGAGCCTGGATGGGCAACAGGTCCCATCATCGACAGCTATGATGAAGCTTCGCGCGTTGTAAAGTCAGGCGGAATGCAATGGAGATCACCCGGCGAGACCATCGTTCCAAAGAGTGCTACCTCAGATGAGGTTGTCCGCACGAACAAGCTTGGTCTTACCGATGAGTGGATCCATCCCTGCGTCTTCTACAGGAAGGAGCAGCTTAAAAACTCCAGCGCGCCGTACGAACCGCCGGCCTTGCGCGGATGGACCCGCTACGAATGTGAGAACAGGATTGAGGGGTGGGAGTGGAGGAAGGACGGCGTGAAGGACCTGTTGAAGGAGTATCGAGTCATGCCGCATTCAGACGACGCAAGAGCTCCGCGCAACCTCGAAAGACTGGTAGCCGAGGCTGGGAAAGCGACAGAGTACTTGGAGGAACTCGATAAGGCGTATCGTGGTTCAGTTTAGCATTTTTGTAGTGGACGAACTCGCAATACGAATACTACATGGTTTACTCATAATCGTCATAGCCATGTCGGATTACTCAGCCACAAATTAGCCCAAAGTCTTTGCTAAAAACCGTGATCTTCCTGGATCATCTGGGCCGCCTTCTCAGCAATCATAAAAACCACACCCTGAGTATGCTGGTCCGGGATAACAGGCATGATACTAGCATCCACAATCCTTAGTCCCTTTACTCCATACACCCTAAGTCTGCTGTCCACAACGCCACCTTGAGCTTGTGGCAGCATGCGACACGTCCCAGCCACATGCCAGACGGGGAGCAATGTCGATTTGATGTACTTTAGGATAGTCTCATCATCGGTGATGTCGGGGCCCGGGACAACTTCGCCGTTCGCAGGCCCAATGGTGTAGTTCGCGAGACTAGGCTGGGCGAGGATGGTGCGGAGATTGCGGAAGGCGTAGAGGGCGAGCCTTTGATCGGTCTCGGCCTCAAGATAGTTGAGGTTTATCACTGGAGCATCTTGGATACTGTTGGACTGTGCCAATCGGAGGGAAGTCAGCAAGGTCTCATGCAAGGTCTACCGCAGTGCTGGAAGCAACATGAACTTCTTCACGTACCTGGAGCGTCACGTTGCCCCTCGAGACCGGGGCGATCAGCGCTGCGGTCACCGAAAAGAACGACTCGTCTAGGTTCGGGGGATACTGGGGCAGAATCGTAGACGGCGTCCCGGGGTAGTAGACATTTTCCCATAAGTACTCGATATGAGTCTGGTTTTGCCGGCCAGCAAGTAGCTCATCGGCAGCAATGGCTTGTAGATCAGCTTCGGGAACTTGTTCGAATCCGTATGTAGCGCCAATAGGCGTGGTCAGAGGACCTGATCTATTTGCCGTGTACTCCATCTCCGCATCTTGTAGGAGATCGATGCGATTGTAGACCTGAGATGAAGATGCTTCTGGTTGCGATCGAGCAATGACACTAAAGTACAAGTGATCCTGCATGCTATCAAAGTCGTTAGTCTTACTGGTCCAGGTATTATCGAGCTCGTCGATGGTGCTTGAGTTGACTTACTGTCGCCCCACGTTCTCGTTGATCAGGGACTGTGGAATGCCAAATTCCTGGAGTGTCTCTTGCGGTCCAATGCCCGAGAGCATCAGCAACTGAGGCGTCTGAAATGTACCGGCGCTCAGGATGACCTCCTTTCTGGCTGTAACGTTCATGGTACTCCCTGAGGTTTGATCCGCAAAGACAACCCCAGTTGCTGTCAAAGACAAGTTCCGCATCTCTGTGATCACCTGCCGCACCGTTGCCAGAGGAAGCACGGTCAGGTTAGGCCGATTCCGCACAGGTTTGTAGTAGCCATCGTACGCCGAAGACCGTTGTTGTCGGGCATCAAGGGTAAGCGGCTCCTGTTTCGCGCCGACGTTGTCTCCAAGATTGAGCTCATTCACCGTAGGGACGCCGACAGCTCCGAGGGCTTCGATGAACGCAGTGGAAGCGGGGCTCACGTATGTCGGGTATGAGAGGCTAATCGGTCCAGAAGGCGAGTATGCAGACTCATCGTATGTCTGGTATGCGGAGACTTCCAGAGGAATGAAAGAGGTGCTCTGGCAGTGTGATCAGACTTTCCGTTCAGTTGGCACGGAGATCTCGCTGACTGACCTTTTGAAAGAAAGGAAAGACATCCGTCCAGCTCCAGCCTTCGTTGCCGAGGCTCTCCCAGAGATCATAAATGCTGGCTGATCCGCGCCTAGAATTCCAAGCGGTCGGTCAGGCATCATATAACAGTGCTGCACGGATGAAGTCTACCCATAGGTCAAGCCATTAATGACTGTGCTGCCTCCGACGCCTCTCCCACCTGGCGTTGTTTAGTGTATAATAAGACCGGTAACTCTACGACGAACTCACGGCGGTAGGTAATCGTTCGGTTGTCTAAGGATTCTTGCGCGGGTGTGACAAAAGCCCAATCGAGCAGTGAGCCTGCAATGAATCAGGATTGTATGTTGCGGAACACGCCAAGCAGTGAACTTACCGAGGACTTGCTGGCCGGCTCCAGGTGTTGAATAGGAAGCAACGATCTCGGGGAATGGTCCAGCTTCCAACACCAGCACGGTTTGGTTGGAGCTCTCACTCAAGCGCGCCCCGAGTGCCAGACCCGCCGCTCCGCCTACCAGCGGATGATATCAGCGGGCTCCTTCGGATGCTCAAGGGAGTTCAGAACCGTGTGCCTACCGCCGACAATAACGAAATCATAGGACGCCGCGACATCTGCGCGCTTCGAAAGCCGTATGGGCGAAGCCGAACTTGTCCGCAGATTGACTATTCCACAGATTATGCAGAGCAGAAACGCGGCCGAGGAAAGCAAACGCATGATTGGGACAAAGCTGGGTTCCTGCTTCAAGCGAGTGCGATGAAGCCGAGAAATGGATGGCGGATGGTGAAGCGACAGGATTAATGGCGAGAGTGCACGCGGACAAGCTCCGTCTTATGGGACTGAGAGACATGTTTGAAGTCGATCGATCTTCCGTGGCGCTGCTAGACAAGCCGCCGGTCTTTGCACTGGGACTGATCGGCTGCAGTGCGACCTCTGACAGCGATCCATCAAGAGTTCGGGATTCACAGGAGCCCCATGGCTTTTGAAGGCCAACGGCAAGTGATGTCGGTGGTGATGTCGGTGAAGCTCCATTGGAGGCTATGCCGCAACGTTGGGCGGAATTGCGGCATGGGGTGCTGTAGTTTCATAATTGACGAGCCCGGAGACCACCAGTTGGACGTCCTGATGCGCAAGCAGCTGAACATACGGTGGAGATCACTTTGTAGCAGCGCTAGAGCGATCGTATTGTGGATCGCGCAATTCCATAGCTGCCGGAGCTGAACCGGGTATTCATCATGATCTGCAGAGACTAGTCAGCGCGGAATAAGGCGATGTTGCCGAGTGAGCGAAGCTGATGATCGAATGGCAGCTGTCGCCTCAAGCTGTAAACCCTTTTAGGATGGGGTCTGATAAGAGCGGCACCGTACTTGGCCAGCGCGAACAGCCTTGGACTCTTTCCGAACTCCAATCGGGGGCTTCTCCCGGTCAAGGTGTTCAGCTGCTCCCCTTAGAGTGGACAGGACGAGGTACCTAGGAAAGGTGCTTTAAGCCTCGCACTCGGCCTGCGAGGTTGGAGCAGGGCCTTGTGCAAATCACGCCGAGCTCACGAACCGGATCTGACCCAGAAACCAGAAGCCGGAAACCGGGAATCGGAGATCCGCGACCGGCGCGCGAGCCGTCTTGCGCACAGACACCAAAGGTTATCTGCTGAACCGGCAAAAATGAGCCTCGCCTGGCAGAACCTCTGAGTATGGACGGCAATCTTGGCTGGCGGGGATGCGCAGCACTGAGCCTCTCGGTGGATGCGGCGGAGGTTTAGCGATGGACGAGCGTGACAAGCAGGCAACGTACCATAAGCCGTGGGTCTCACGACTTATGGTACGTTGCCTGCAGGATGTTACTTATGAAGGCGGTGGCAGAGCTCCGCCCATGTTTGAACCACCAGCCCACCAATCCACCAGCCGTCACTGCGCCCATCAAAGCACAACCACTTCCACCTCGCCCTCGCCCACGCGCTCTCCCTTCCCATCGCGCCGTCACACCCGACCCTCAGCCTCGGAGCACCAGTATCAACACCGACAACCCCGCCGCCGAGACTCGTCCGCGTCCGCCTCATCCTCGCGCCGCAACGCCAGCTCGCGCTCGCTGCCATGGCGCTCCAAGGACCGCCGGCGTAGCGAGAGATAAAATGAATGAGGAAGATGGCAGGTGGGTCGGTGAAGCTGGTGCGGAGTGGGACGATGCGGGGACAGGGAACGAGAATCGGAACGCCATTGCCTACCAGGGCCGTGAGGTGATGAAGTGACTTGAGCCTCGGCGATGACAGGAGGGCTGCTTGCGCACTAGAAATCCGAAGCAGGTATTGTGACAATGGGAAAGGCAGGATGCAGGTAGAGGATAGGTGTTGTAGAGGGGGAGCAAATACCTTAGCAAATAGCTTATTTACCTGGTCACGTGTGAAAGTTTCAAAACTCCTTGATGTTGCAATCGTTGACAATCAGACTATTTCGCTCGCGTACACTTGCCGCGACTTCGATGGCTAGTAGATATCGAAAAAAAGGCAATACACATTATCTCCCTAGCCTAGAGCCTCTCCATCTTTAGCAATTTCAACTAGTAGCCTATTGCAATCGTACCACTACCGTGTTGCTTCTTATATCCTTTACAGGCTTTCATAATGTCTTTACACGAGGTGTACCCGTTTTATACTAAAACAGTTTAGAGTATTAGTAAAAAGTATTTAGTGTATTTAGATCTTTAAGAGTATGTCTTTTTTTATATTTTTCTATCTATCTTTCTCTTAGATATAAGAGGTATCAATCAATTAATCAATTAATATACTTAATAAAATATACTTTTCCACCGTGCGCTACCTTAATAAAAACTATAACCACCTTCCAAATTTCTATAGCAGAAACGCTTATAGCGCTATAATAAACACTATGTATTAAAATTATAAAAAGTGTTAAGATAAACTCTTAGTTTTACCTTATACTATTAATATATCTACTTTATAGTATCCTGTAACTGCTAGTGCAAAAGCCTTAGGGATTTAAAGTTTTAGCTAAGGCTTAAGTCTTACACTAGCTAGATACTAGCCTTAGAGGTTAAAATAGTTACTATAGACCTTTTATTCTCACCGCTTATATTTTTACCTACTACTATAATATTATACCTAGGCGAATAAAGTAGGGTAAAGGTAAATAGGCTTATATATTATAGCACCGCTATAACTATTAGGAGTAGTAGGAGTAGTAGAGTTAGTAGAACTAGCCGCGGTAAGAGTAATTGCGTATATAGGCTATTTAACTATAGTAGTATATATAGTCTATCTAACTGTAGTAGTAAGGCTAGAATAATATCTTTATTATAGGAAACTTATTCTTAAGTATTAGTCCTTATACTCTCTTGTAATCTTTTAATGTCTATATAGGCTTATAGTAGGTAAAAGTAAGCTATATATAGACTCTCTATTATTCTCCTCTACCTTAGCCTTCTATAAGCTAGCTTTCTTTCCTACATGCCTGTAATTAGATCGTACTATCTACTATTACCTATATAGCTCTTATAGAGAGCTTATCCTTAAATATTAATTCTTATATACTCTTATAATCTTTTAATATCTATACTAGTTTGTAGTAGATACGCATTAAGTCTTCTCCCACTATTATATCCTATAGGTATTACACTAGATATACCCTTTCTTCTATACCTCCTACTACCACTTATATATACTCTTATATATACTCTACTCTTTCTCCTCTACTATCTATAGGTTCTAGTAACCGCGCTGCTTCTTCTAAGCTACCTCCCTATATACTATAGTTATAGCGAAGAGATGCAAGCTAATTAGCTATAAAAGATACTAAGGTGACTCCTATATAGTAGTGTATACTACCCTCTAACTAGTAGGCGCGCGTGATGCTAGAGCTAGTTCTAGAAATAGGCTTCTACTATATATAGAATTATAGAGAAGCTATCTATAAGCCGCGTAATAATATTACTAGAGAACCCTTATAGTAAGGGGTTAATTACTACTTTATACTAAAGCGCGTATACTACACTTACTATTACTATAGAGCGCTACACTAGATTAAGGAGAGAAGGGGGAATTTAATAAAAAAGAACCTATAGTTTAGCTACTATATAGATAGCGCGGTACGTGTACCCCTATAAGAGTAATACCTTTAGAAGCTATAGTAGTTACTTATAGGGATAGAGAGTATAAACTAGCGGACACAATATATACCTCTAATATAGAAGTTCTATAAGTATATCTACTATTATAATAACGCCTTTACATTCTACTCTCTTAGTATAAATATCGATAAGAGGCTCGTGTAGTAGCTATATAGCGCCTATATATTCCGCGTGCACGGCTAGCTCTACTATTATATTAGTGTGCTATAGCTTTCTATAGATTAGGCTCCTAGCTTTATACAGCTATATATCTTTAATAGTAAGGAGAAGTAGCTATAGTAGTGTAGCTAGGCGTTTTAGAATCTAAATATAGGAACTTTATATATTATCTAGCGCGTGCTACATACTATAAACCTATTTATATAGGTGTTTTATACTAATATAGAGAGACTCTATAGTAATTATAGTATTACTATCTCTATTAGTATTATTAAGGCCGCTGCAACTACTTTATATAGATATAACTAGCTAACTATAAGTAAGGTTACAGCTCTTATACCTACCTTTATAAAAATAAATAGTAGAACGCATTAGATTGTGCTAGAGAATAGAGCTAATAGTATACTATAGTTTATTAGTAAATAGCATGTAGAGTATCTACCTATATAGTATCTACTCTTTTATCTAAATAGTAAGCTAGGCTAGCGGTATAATTACCCGCTTATAGGTAGGCTGTAGGTACTATAAGAAGAAGATATAGGTAAGATAAATATAGCTATAGAAGGTAGAAAGGTTACTATAGAGGCTATAGAGGGAGAGAGTTCTACTTTAAGTAGTAAGAAGGAGGGTAGGTAGAAAGAGGAGAGTAAGAGTGAGAGTAATAGTAGTATAGATATTTAGCGTGGCTGTAACGGTTCCATATAGGTCTTATAGTAGTAGTAGTAGAAATACTACCTATATCTACGCCGCCTACTACCTGCTTAGCTACTTATAGGGAGGCTATTCTATAAGGTAGTTATAAATATATATATTTTAATTACCAGCTCCCGCTTATAGTAGTGTAAGTATAACTAAAAAACCCTATATATTATTACGAACCGCGACACATGACGCGGGACAAAGTAATTAGTGCCAAGCATCACGTGAGGGACTAATCACTCAAGGCGCTAAGAAAGTCTAATTAGTAGGATTAGTGTGATTAGAGACTAATTACACTAATTAAGGGAATCACGGCGTAGGTATATTAGTATATAGATAGTACTATTCTTGTTTATTAGAACAGTGTGCTTAACTTAAATAAGAATCTAGTATTCTTTATAATTTAATCTAATCTTACTATATAATATTAATCCTCATCTTATTAACTATATCTTAGTACTATTCTCTATCTCCTTAATTAGGACCCTAACTATTATAGTAACCTTTATTATCTTGTAATAGCACCTTATTATACTTTAAGTACCACTTTTATAGAATACCTAAGATTAATATATTACTATATCTACTATAGGATTAACCGCCGGACTATTAAGAGGGTAGGTACTACTACTACCTCTAGCGCTAAAACCTATTAAGGTTGAGATACTAGATAAGTATAGTAGAGAATGTAATAAGCTTAACTTATAGCTACTCTAGTG